GTAGGGCCTCTCCCTATAGATTTTGATTAGCCTTTGAATAGATCAATAAGCTTCTAAGCTTATTAAGTAGTGTAAGGTTAATTCTTTCAATTAAACCATTTAGTTCTTTAGTATATATAGGAGTTTTTCGATAGATTATACTATATTTCCTAATATATATAGCGAAATTGTTATTAATATATTCTTTACCGTTATCGGTAAATATTTCTTTGATAGTAGTATCTGTCTGATTTTCAGACCGATTCTTATAAATTTTTAGCATTTCTAGCGCCTGATCTTTGCTTTTCATTAACCTAACGTCTAGATATCTAGATCTCTTATCTAGAAAGGTTATATAGTATTTATAACCGTTATAGGTTTTAGGACTAATAGGCCCTCCTAAATCGCTATAGATTCGTTCTCCGATATTATAATCAGTAGAATCATAAGATCGTTTATTAATCGATCTATTATATTTAGCTAGTAGGCACGTTTGACAGATATCTTCGATATATTTAGATATATCTTCTCTGGATATATCTATATTAATCTGGTTTAATATCTTTTGTAAGGGATTTAGCCCTATGTAAGCTAATCTCTCGTGCCAAAGTTTTATAATAGCTTGCTTATCAGTTTGAATAGATAAAATAGCTTGATTCCTTTCTAAGCCTTTAGGGGTAAGGATATCAATATTAGTCTTATATAGACTATTCTATTTAATAGCAGTAAATATAGTAGTTCTACTAGATATATTTCTTGTAGTTATATCTATATTAGATATAGAATATAGGCTGTTTCGGTAGGATATAGTGTATATATCCTTATTATTATATATATCCTTTGTATATATATAGGCTTTGTTATTATAGAATATAGATATCATATCTACTAGGCAGTTCGTGCTTAGTATATTCATACCTAGTTCAGGCATATATAGCACATTCCTTAATATATAAATATAGTTAGAATTAGTTCTAACTATAAGATTTCCTTGATAGTTAATTTGAATTGATTTAGCTTTTCCCCATACAACAGTTTTGTTTGTAGGCCAATAATTATAGAAATATTCTAGTCTGTTTATAACAGAAATAGTAGCAGTAGTATCCACGATAAATTCAATATCAGATAGGATAGATCGATTTATAAGCAATTTAGCGATCTCCTGTTTTTTAATCTAGTCTTTTGCGTGGTTTTGATTAAATATACTGTATATATTATCAGTATATACATCTGCTGATTGGCCAGGGGATATAGAAGTTATATATACCTCAGGTGTTTTAATGTCAAGGTCAAAATCATCGATATCTATATCGATTAGGTTATTAAAATCTTCCTTACCTAGGCTATTCGATAGGCTAGGTAGGCTAGATTAGCTAGTTAATTAGCTAGCTGATTGACTAGCTGATTGACTAGCATCTTTATCACAGATAGTAGCTATCAAAGCCTTCTGCTGTTTCTGTTTTTCAAGAGATAGTTCAGATTTTGGGTAGTTTTTTGATATCTTTTGATTTAGTTGCCATTTAAACGGCCTCTTTTCAGGATATAAATACCAGCAATTAGCTGTAGTATATATAGCCGTTTAGCAATGGCCACAGAACGGGCTATTGAATGGCCGTTTTCGATAGGTTTTGCCTATCTTCTTATTAGGCTTATTTAGCTAATTAGCCCTATTAGGGCTATTAGCTAATCTAGGCCTATATTAGCTAGATTGCTTCTGCTTTTAGTGGATATTGATATATATATCCTCTCCTATACTTTGATGCCCTCTTGCTTCGTCAATTAGACTAGCGAATAGGCTATCAATTGTATAGCTCTTAAGGTCTTTCCTAAGCGACTGTGTGATAGTTTAGATAAAAGACTGATAGCTTTCATCTAAACTATTAAGCACCCAGGCTATAACTACCTGTTCTAGTAGTTTAATACCCTTAGATAATAGATCTTCCACTAGATATTTAACCTTATTAAGATATTCCTCTATAGTAGGGAAATCTGTAGAGCTAGTATTAAATAGCTCTTTTAGGGTTAAATATTCAGTAATGAAACCCTTAAGGTTATATAGCCTTTCTAGGGTGTTCCACGCTTTATAAGCAATATCTTCGTCCTTTATATATAGTAAAGGACCTTTTGCGCAGTATATCTTAATATCTAATACTGCTTAACGATTGTTTTCGTTGTTAGTAGGTTTTTGAGATTGAATAGCGTCTAGTATACCATCTTTAGTAAGAAGCGCCTTTGTTTTTAAGGACCATTCAATATAGTTTGATATACCCTGTAAGGGTTGTATATATATCTTTCCAATTGAATTGCTCATATTGATAAGTATATCGGAGATAACTCGGATATATCTCGGAAGTAGTTCGGAGATAATATAGGATATATTTCGGATATAGTTCGGAGATAGTATAGGATAATATAGATATCCTAGTTTGGAAAGTAGGTAGTAGAACTAGATAGTTCTAATATAGTTGAATAGGTAAAATAGGGCTATCTTCCCTTTTAGGAAGGTAGGTAGGGTCTTTCCTATAAAGCCTAAGGTATATACTATATAGTATATAGTATAGAGCACTCGGGCTCATAACCTGTGAGTAGGCTATGACGTATAGGAAGCAGGGTTAAGTAGGTAGAAGAAGAATTACTATCCTTAGTAAGATAGTATATATTCAGATTAGAGAATAACAAGAGACTTAGAATTCAATTCACTCTGCTCAGGGATTTAGATTCCTTATATAATTAAGAAAGCGGGAGATTTAGGCAGATTATATTGATATCATCTAGTTCTGCTAGATTCTATATAACCTAGTTATAGTATCATATAGATCAGCTGATATCTAGTCTTGACATCATAAATATCTTAGTAGAATCTTCTAGGGTTGCCACATAGAAGATTCTAGCAGATTCTATCAGTTGCCACATAGAAGATTCTAGTAGATTCTATTAGTCTATATACGATAAGGTTCCTACTATAGGGAGAGATAGATCTATAGGATTTAATCTGTCTTACTATTATTTCCCTATAAAGTAGATTATATAGTAATAATAGGTTTATCCTTTAGCGGATTAAGGTATTTATTAGAGTAATACTTTTCGCTTCTATAGTTAAAGTATTAATTATATTTCCTATCCTCTTTAATAGGGTTTAGGTAGTCCTTCGCTAGTATATTCTTATTAATCTAAGGCTTTTAGGATCTTTTATTATCTTAGGTTCTCTTAATTAAATTCCTCTTTTATAAGGGTTTATTTATAGTCTCTATATACTTTTACTTTTAATTTATCTCTAATTACTATAAGTCCTAGAAGTAATACGTAATATTAATTATCTCCTTATAGGTCTTTAAGAGTTTTATAATATAGTGGCGGATATTATTTTAGAGGTTATATAAAAGTTTTATAAAGAAGGAAAGGGCTCTCTCTTTCTTGGTTACTCTTAAGAAGTAGCGTTTTAGGGTATTTAAATAGGCGTAGAACTCTTATAGGTCCTTATCTTTTAGCTAATAGGCCCTTATAAGCTAGCCTATTACTTTAGATTAAAGACTAGCTATATTCTTAATAAGGGTTAGGGTCTAATCCTTAAAGTAGAGCTAATCTTCTTTAAGGTTTTAGTTAGTAATTAATACCTTTTCGTTAATATATTAGTACTATCTCTACTAATATATTATATTTATATAGCTTAATACTTTAAGGATTTAGGTCTAACTATTATAATAGCGCCTTAGATCTCCTTCGAATTGCTATTAGAGGTCTAGGAGCTATTCTTGTTGTTACTATAGTAAAGAGTTAAGAGTAAATATAGGAATATTTTTAAGCTTAATATCCTAGCCCTTTCCTAATAATTTATAGGGGTCCTAGTATAGGTTCGACAGAGTTTTGTCTAGGTTTCGTCCTATAAGCTATAATCTAAGCGTTTCGGCTTAGTCTTATAAATCTTTAAGCCTCTATAGCTTTTCTATAGTAGCTTAAGTAGCTACAAGGTTAGTATTAAGATCGGTCGGGGTTAAACCCTAGTCGGTCGCAATTAGGATTTCTTCCGCGATACAGGCAGGGTTCGGTGCCCCTTTAGTAGAGGGAGTAGAATAGGTCCTTAGTGCTATTTCTCCTAGGTAATCGAAGAAGAAGAAACAGAAATTGTAAGGATATACTCTATAAGTTAGGATAGAGGCCTGTTAATTAGGTAGGAGAAATAGGGCTAAGTTAATAGTATAAGATAGTTAAAGACTGTTTCTTGAGGATCGTAAAACCTCTTCAACATAGGTTTATTTATATACAGTCTCATCGCTCAAACAGGAAGGAGATATATCCTTAGTAGGGAAATAGGAGCGGGGTGAAACACGAGGCTTGTGTAACCTCTGTCAAGGGTGTTCCCTGCAGGAGTTCGTACACGTACTAATGCCGAAGCCCCAGCGAGCCTCTACAGAAAGCCTGCCGGCTTATCAGGCCCGGGAAGCCTGAGGCACCAACACTTGGGAATAACCTTATGCCAGGATATATCATAACAATACGCCTAAGCTCCTGTAAGGATATACTCTATAAGTCAGGATAGAGGCCTGTCAATCAGGTAGGAGAAAAGGACCAAGCCAATTGTTCCGAAAGGTCAAAGACTGTTTCTTGAGGGATATAAAACCTCTCCAACATAGATCAATGTATATACAGTTATATCGCTCAAAACAGGAAGGAGATATATCCTTAGTAGGGGAATAGGAGTAGGGCAAACACGAGGCTTGTGTAACCTCTATAAGGGTCTTCCTTGTAGGAGTTCGTACACGTACTAGCAGTAAAGCCCTAGTGAACCTCCACCGAAAGCTTGCCGGCTTACCAGGTCCTAGTAGCCTGAGGCGCCAATATTTGCGAATAACCTCATGTCAGGTGTATCGTAACACAAATAGCCATATCTCAAAGAGTGTTACAATAAATACTACTAATTCCAGTGCTAAATAAGCGTATTTTAATTCAGAGAAGATAGTTAGAAGAAAATAGGTAGTGGTTACCTGTAGAAAGTGTTCACAGACTTTTGGTACCCCATATAGCTATATCGCAATATTTTGCAGTAGCCAATCTCTCCACCCATGATCGCCTATAATTGATCTTACACGGGCTTCAAGCCACTCCGTGTTGCCCCAGAATCCCCAGGAGGCCTGAAACCTACACCAATCCACCAAAGCTGTTTCCCAATGTCGCTCGAATACCGTCCATTCATAGAAATCCGGCTTCTTATCCCGTAGGAGGCTGTTGTGATATTGCTTCAACAGACGTCTCTCGCCGTCTCTCATTGCCAGCCGTTCGGGCAGAAGCTGCTCGGCGTCCACAAGCATCTTCAGAGGCACTGAACATGTGAATAGTTTCGCGAGGTCACACACTCCCAACCCCAGCCCAACGTATTGAAAATCAAAGAATGCCACCTCTTCGCCGTTTCTGTTTGTGAAGAGGTTCTCCGACTTCACGTCGCCATGGATATATGATTCAATAGGCCTTCCACGAGGGGTTAAGAACCATGCAGCCATCTCGGCGACCGACAAAGAGCAACCTGGCCACGCCTTGCACATAGGATCGGACCATTCCGAGTGTGTATCTCGAGCGAGAGAAGCATACTCGCTCCGTCGTGTTGCAAGATACGTGTACCCTCCATTAAGCCATAAGCCTTGCCCGATATCATCGTTGCCGGTACACTGTCTTCCTCTTCTACTGTTTTCTTGAAGGGGAGGCAAAATGTATCGGTCAAGGCTGTCCGGTAGCAAGTCCCATGAGCGGGCATGGAAGCGGGCCAACCATTCCAGCGCACTGTGTACCTGTGTTTGATTCAGAGCACTTCTCTTGCCTCCAGATACTGGAAATCTGGGAGATAAATCCGCCATGATGGTGGCCAATAGACCGTCGAGTTCTGCCTCGCCCTTTTTGCTCTTCATCTGTCGCGTCGATGCCAGACATTGGGCCACGGCGATTTCATCTCCCAAGAGTGGAACCACGTCACTATAAAAGTTCTGCTCCACCTCGTAGCTGAGCATCTTCCGTAAGTGGCCCTCATCTGCCTGGTTCGCGCCTTTGCTTGGGGGTGAGATCAGCTTCAGGATCAGAGGATAAGTGGCTCCTGCGGCTCGTGTTTCCACGCCGCATAACTTGCTCAGATGCTCTGCAGCTTCATTGGTTGTGGCTCGCGCGGTGATTGCACAGATAGTTCCATAGCCAGCCCACAGGGTCTGCAATTTGTTGCACGAGACAAGGTCAAGCGAGTGCCAAGATAGCATGATATGCGCGACGCGTTCGGGGTCATTGGCCAATGGAGAGGCCATGACCAACCGTGAGTTGTATGGAGAATATTGAACAAGAATGAATAGAAATTCAAATACGTTTGGGGCAATTGACTTGGGTTATTGAAGGTGGAGGGAAATGGGGGAATTATTCCATCGCGGATCGACTGTGAGGGCGCTACTCGGGCCCGCTGAGGATGATGACAGTACGGTGAGTGTGGACCTGACCCACTACAGTACTCCCACCTGCAAAGCAGCTCAAATTAAGCACTACCGTATTTATAGTACATAGCTTGATGATAGAAGATTACTGAATCAGCCACAGTCACATTACTTGGGAAAGATCAAGAGAGGAATAATGGGATTTACTAGCTCGATTGATTCCGAACCAAAAATTAGTATTAAAATGCCCCCAGTAAAGATTGAGCCAATAGAAACTAATTATCAGGGTATTCGTCCCTCATATTACTGACAAAAGCCCGACACTCCTCATCCCACCGTTTGAAATGCTTCCCCGCAATGCTCGTCAGACTGGAAGGTAACTCACTGAATTTAGGGAGAATCAGATCGATGTTTTCCTCTGCCACATATCGGACGCTTCCATCCTCCACGCTGGAAAAATCACAAAAATCAGTCAGTCGTGTCACCTCATGTAGATGATACCTCCCGGGGTCGTGCAAGCTTACAGAACATGATAGAAACTTTGATGACGGCCCGCCTGTAAGCGATCAATGCCCATTCGTCGCATCCACTGCTCCCCTGCACCACATTCGCGATCCCAGCCAGTGATGATAGCACGGTAATGATACCGACGGTGTCGAAAAACCTGACCCACTGAGAATCGAATATTCTGATTCTCACCAGTCCGCCGGCGCACCTGCTTGGGAATCTCATCCACGGCGCGCATAACATGGAGACTTTCCAAAATATGTTCATGCTCGAAAAGACCCTGGAATAGAGGGACAATATACTTCTCTACCAAAAAGATGTCGGAGGGAAAATCCGTGGCAAAAAGCTCCATGAGCAAGGGCAGGTGGTGACGTAGGTCCATGGGTCGCGAATCCCCCGTAAGAAGCATCGAGGACCATAAGGAGGCGTATTTTGCACTCACCACGTCCATCGATGTTGTGTGCCCGTCAGGGGGATGGGGAGTGGAATGAATTGAAGTCCAAATGTTTCTGCTGCACCGCTGGACAATCTCTGACGTTAATGATGGGCCCAGGAACGCCGCCTGCTCCGTTTCAGAAGCACCAAGAAAAACAAGTTGGTCTCGTAGATCAGAAACCGGGGTTTCCCGTGCGCCTCGGAATGGGTCCACATACATGGGAGGGCCTACATCCATTCCGGACAGAGCCTCCCCATTCATGTCAAAGCCAGGCAGTGGAGTGACAATGACGTGGACGTGAAATGGAAAGCCGCAAGGCTGAGCATCCAAACCAATTGCTTGCGCCACATAGCAATAGATGGCTGCAGAGATCAGTGGGAGGGAGTTGTGTCCTGGACTGTTCAGGGCCAGGCCCAGGAAGTTGTGTTCCAAGGCATGATATTCCCGACCCAATTCAATCCCCGTCAGATTGCGATCCCGTAGCCAAGATGCAAGTAACAGAGCCTTGTTGCGGGGGCTAAGATCATCCAATTCGGAACGAGAAGCACCAAATTGGGCGACGAGATCATCGAGCGTTTCTTTGACCTTGATCCATTCTTTATTAGTATACTAGGGGGGACTAAAGGACCAAGGAACAAGGGCAAAACGAGAGATGGAGAGGAGACGCATAAACCTACCTCGTCCAGGTCCCCATATCCGCTCTCAGGGATAAAGAGGTCGAACGCCCCCAAGGCGCGCTCTAGCGACACTGGCTCACCCCGTCGGAGCCTGGCCCACTCCGGAACCGCAATGCTCCGATGAAGACAGGTTAAAAGTGCGCGCGAATAGTACCTTCAACATGAAACGAGAGCCCGCAACGATCAGCACACAGGGGTATCTGACAACAAAAGAGGGTGCACCCACCTTCTCGCAAGATGATCCTCGCCCGATTCCACTGTACTGTGTCGCAGAAGGGTATCTTTCGCGTCGTATCCATAATCGATAACGGCGCGAAATTTCTCAATGCGTCCTGTTTGACTGCCAAGAATACTATCCAGAAGTTGAGTGACAGCCCGGTCAATGTGATATCTCGACACAAAGAGAGCCTTCCAATCGACAGCCGACACCGGAAGCGCAAGTTTTTGTAAAATCTCATGTTTCTTGTCCCATGATTTGTAGTATATTTCGCAGTAGCGCCGCCATAGTAGTGGTCCGTTGGTCACATTCTCGAATCGGTGGCTGGTCTGCTCGAGCGCGGCGGCAGAGCGCGGGTGCAAATGGCATAGAATGGAATGAAGAATCTCCTCCGGAAGGTGATCAAGAGACACAACCATCCCTGCAGGCTAGTGAGGTTGTCCTCGAGGTGCCCAGGAATCGGGGAGGGGGAACTGATTGACCACTCGGTGGCAATCTTGCTCCCGAACTTGTAGTTTGAAGCTTTGGCCGCAGGGTGCAACGCATACAGCACAGTTTCCACGCCGGTGTTGGACCCTCATTCGTCTAGATTCCGAGAATCGGGCATGTTTTCCTTTAGGCGCAGAGCTGTAAAGTAAAGAGGGATTGAAGGCGAATGGGCTCTGAGAAGAGGAAGACAAGCCGGAGACGAAAGCTGGGAACGATCACTTACCAGTCACACTGGGCAAAGGCGGGGAGGGGGAAACGGGAGAACCGCCAAGCCTGGCCGATAAGGCAAAAAACACCCCTCCGCTCCGAGGAAGAAATTCGAAGATCGCACGAGGCAACACCCTAATACAAGGTTGGGGGGAAAGAAGTCCCCTGGTCTTATGCAGTCACACGGTTACCATCTGCATCGCCCTGTCTCGGATCATCCTGGACTTCGCTAGGGGCATACTCAAACTTGAGAGGCCTCACTGATCTACTACAGGCGGTTCAGATCTCCAGTTCCAGGTGGCAGTCTGCTCCATCAACTCAACATGGGTCAATCTCAGTCGACGGGCTCTAAGGGTCAGGATACCCAAGCACAACAGTCGGAGCAGAAGACAGATTACTATGAGCTTCTGGGGATTACTAGGGGGGCAACCGATGACGAGTAAGCTTTTTATTTCCTGTTTCCCTTTTATGTACCGGGTCGGCTAAACTCTTCTTTCTATGCAGAATCAAAAAGGCGTACCGCAAAAAAGCGCTGGAGCTGCACCCTGACCGAAATTACGGGAACGTCGAGGAGGCCACGAGGCTGTTCGCCGAGATTCAATCTGCATACGAGGTCCTTGCAGACCCCCAGGAACGTGCATGGTACGATTCCCATAGCGAGGTGTTCCTAGGAACGAATGGAGCTTCCGAAGATCAACATTCTTACAATATTCGTGTGACAACTGCGGAGGATGTTCTTAAGGTCTTCTCCAAATTTAGCCCTCGCATGGAGTTTTCAGACTCGCCATCTGGATTCTTTGGGGGGCTACAGGAGCAGTTTGTCCAGCTGGCACTGGAAGAGCGACTGGCCTGTCAGTGGGAAGATCAGGATATGGTAGACTATCCAGTCTTTGGATCCCGTGATGATGACTTTGAGACGGTCGTACGACCCTTCTACGCGGCGTGGAGCGGGTTCTCTACTTGCAAGTCTTTCGCTTGGAAGGACGCTTATCGGTTATCTGAGGCCCCCGATCGCCGGGTTCGAAGGATGATGGAGAAGGAGAACCGGCGCCTTCGAGAAGAAGGTATTCGAGAGTTCAACGATGCCGTCAGGTCTCTCGTGGCTTTTGTCAAGAAACGAGATCCCCGATACAAGGCCAATGCTCAGAGTGATGCTCAGCGCCAGGAGACTCTTCGGCAGTCCGTAGCGGCTCAGGCAGCCAGGTCACGGGCGCAAAATCAAGCCAAGATGGCGGATTATGTCCTTCCGGAGTGGGCACGATCTGAGGAGCAGAGGGTTGATGAAGACGAAGAAAGTTCAGAGAGTGAGATTGAGAGCTTTGAATGTGTTGCATGCAACAAGCAGTTCAAAAGTCAAAAGCAGTTTGAAGCCCATGAACGAAGCAAAAAGCATCTCAAGGCTGTCAAACAACTATGTCGGGATATGCGGATGGAGAACGTCGAGCTGGATTTAGAGCCTACCAATTTCCCCGACCCAGTCTCCACATCCTTTGATGCTCTTAGCGATAAAGACAACGACAATCATCTTGCAGATTCTACCACCACAATACACCCGCAGGAGCCTCTCCGGGAGACAATAGACTCTGATTCCAAGGATCAACTCTCCGAGGAAGACTCGCCCGCCTCGGATGACCAAGATAAAAAGCCATCACCCCAGGACTCTCGACCCAGGAGAGACTCCTTTGATTCTGTTGACGAAGACTACGCTTCCAGGGAGTCTGTCGAGACCAGACTTCGCTCAGATCTCGATTCCAGTCTCAGCGATGATCCCATCACTCCTCTTACTGAGCAATTGTCATCTGCTGACCTTGGTGACGAATCTCCCGTTCCTCCTCAGGTTGGAAAGGCGAAGCAGAGACGAGCCAAAAAGGCAACTCGTAATTCCGAACAGTCCACGGGGATTTCGTGCACAAACTGCCAGGCTACCTTCACGTCGAAGACAAAGTTGTTCGCCCATCTTAAAGATAACCCAGGTCATGCACAACTACTCAAGTCCACTACCAAGAGCAAGAAGCGATGAACCCTGGGTTCTCACTGCGTCTACATGGAAAGATGATGTCGGGATAGTCAAATCTATGCTGGGGGTATTCGTATTGCATCAGTGTCTATGTACAGACGACGGGTAATATGGAGCCCTCTACTGCGCTTTGAGCGCATCCTTCATAGTGATTAAGAATTGATAGCATAGAAAAAAGAGAGACAGTCGGCCCAAAATATGATAATGGAATGAGGGGGTAATTCATCCATCCTTGACATTGAATCCGGCTAGGGTCCTCTTATCCAAGACCAGTTCGGGAATTCTTCACCACGTGCGCGACAGGGAGCAGAATACCCTTGTTGTTGATAGCTCCGAGCGCAGTGCCGCTGCTCCATCCCATCTTCTCTAGCATGGCGCGTCCTTTGTTTCCGGCCCCGATCTCTGGAGCAGTACCACCGACCACATCGCCATCCATATAGGTGACCGCGCCGCCAGCGGCCCCCCGTTTGACCTTGACTGACTTGGTGTACTTGGATGCATCTGAGCCCCAGGACTGGTAAAGTCGGCGATTGAGCTTTTTGCCGGACAGCAAATCATCCACTTTGGAAATAGTCTTGCGAGTGTATGCGGGGGTGCGAGAGGTTTTGATAAGAATGGGAAAGCGTGAGGGACCATTGCCTCGAGATTGCGATTTGAGATGCATCGCATTTGCTAGCTCATGGATCGTCTTTCGACGGTGCTTCGTCATGGCTGGCAGTGCAAGGCTAGATGGGAATTAGCATCTGGTGTGCGTGCAGAAGGTGAATTTGGGGAAATCAAAAAATTCCACGTACGTAGTGTTTGATGACAATAGGAAAGATCGAATCTCGGTGATCAATTCCTCCAGATTCATCCCCTGGGAGTACTTGACCTTGAGGTCCGCCTCTCCGGTGCTCCTACCGAGCAACCCTTGGGCGCGAAGCTCTTCTCGTTCCTGCTTCCTTGCCTTCTTCTTCTTGCGATCAGTTTGCCACACTTCGTGAAGGTGGGCTTCAAGGTCGCTGTCAGAGAACATCATGTCCAAAGCAGGCGGTTTCTTGCCCTTGCCCTTCTTCTGTAAACTTGGTCGATTGAAATCCATCATGTCGAGTCCATAATATGGATCTGCCTCGAGAGCATCTGCAAATGCCGTGGCCGATGCAAATTGCACTTTCCCGGAGCGACCTCCTTTCTTCTTATCTGCAAGATAGTTGATCGCTAGGTCTTCCAGCAGTTCTGTATCCAGATCCTCGTCGTCGGATTCCACAAAGAATTCATCCGTCGAATCAAGATCCACGTCTTCTTCGTCTTCATCTTCATCTTCGTCGTCGTCGTCGTCGTCATCGTCATCGTTATCGCTCGAGTCGGGGACTTGGTCTGGTTCCGTATCGAGGTGCATCCGAGACAGCACTAGGTCTTCCACGTTAGAATGTTATGTGATCCGACTCCAATTCAGGTGTACTTACCCTCAATCGAGTTTTGAACTTGTGCCTCCTTCGAGACAGACTCCGGCTGAGTAGGATCCAGCTGAGTCAGTAGCTCGTCGGCGTTGTCCTGACCATGGGCAGATGACTTCGAGTCCGCGGCAGCCTGGGCAACGTCAATGCCACCTTCGAGCTCGACCTGAATGTGGGAGATGATGTCCTCCTGGTAATCAGTGTCCATGTTGGCGATATAATCTGCCAGCATGTTGTCCTCATCTTCTCGTGTCCATCTGCGTGTGTCCTGTGTATGTGGCTGCTCGCGGTTCTGGCTCGGCTCCGACCGGGGATTGTGTCTCGCCGGGGCGTCTGCCACGGTTGGTTCATGTTGTTTCGTCAAGGGCACCGTCTGTGGTGCACGTAGCAATTCTCGGAGCTCTTCTTTGCTGGTCTCAATCACGATGGGCCTCGTGCCGGTTTTCCGTCCTGTGAACACCACTTCGTCCTCGCTCGAGTCATCGAGATCGCTCAATTGAGTTCGTATGATCGGGTCTGGGAGCCCCGTGTCGGTCACAGACTGAGGCGTGGCATCAAAGAAGAATCCAAACTCGGTGTTCTCTTGCGTTGGCTCTGGTGGGCTGACCACGGCGGGCGATGACTCCTTCGCGTCATCTCCCGCCTGGCCTTCGCTTTCTTGATCTGCTTGGTCGACCGTCTCGAATTCACTCCGTTGTAACTCCCCGGCTTTGACAAACTTCACAGGATTTTTGCGAAGTGTGCTACTTTGCCAGTCTCTCGTATGCGTTTCGGTGTTGCGGGCCTCCTGCTGCATGGTAAATCGATGTGGCGATGCTGTATAGAATGATAGTCAGCCAGCGGCGCGAACAATTGGAAATCATGGTCATTACGTGAGTGGAACATTGCGGGTGGCCTTTTGGCCCGAGCCTTGGACTTCCCATGGCGGGCCATATGGGCGTGGAAAAGATGAGGATGAGGGGGGAGGGTGAGAATGAAGAAAGTCGGCGAGGGGAAGGGGTGACTCTTTTCTGGACTTTTGGACTTTCGGACTTTCTGCGGGAGTGGGGCCGGGCGGTGGGACCACTCGCTACTATTGTGTGGAGGAGACAACAACAGTAGAAGATCATGGAGAGATGATAAGAAGTCAAGTATCCCCAAAATAATTTTCAACAAAAAAAAGTTTAGATCGTAGAATAATCCAAATATTTGATCCTCTAGCTATATAGATCTCTCAAAACACATACCACCTCCCCCTCTACGACTGTTCATACTGCTCTCGAGGCGCGCGGCCCGATCGACGCAGTGACGTCGTGATGGGTGCCTGTGACCGTCGCTTTCTCCATCTTCGTCACTCTTTCTCTCTCTTAGCTCTTGCGGTAGTTTCAAGTCCTTGGTCTTTGGTTGTTTTCCTCTCTCTCTCTCTCTCTCTCTCTCTCTTCTTTCTATCCTCCGAATTTTGAACCGGTTGTTGTGACTTCTCATGGGATAGAGGTGGTGGAGATATATAGTCCGCCCATTATATATATCCAAACTACCCGCATCATCCTCCACCTCTTGTGATTCTCCCCTCATTGAACCTTCCTCCACCTCCAACAACACCCCGCCACACTTCATTCCCCGACCGACACAGTCAGACCAGCGGAGATGACAGGGGTCGACCTAGAGAAATGCAAGCGTATCGTACAATACTTCTGGGACCCCGAACCCAAGAATGACACTACGCCAGAATCCCCCATATGGTGTTTGGGCCAACGATACACGCCCACTCCGCCAGCGGAGCCCCATGATACAGGTATGCGACCGTTCCTCCTAGAGAATGAAACCCTTTGACAACTCCACGAAAAGCTACTGATTCGCCCATCCTCCGCCCGCTAGACCAGGCGAGTCGCGTCGAGCAAGCAGCAAACGGTGTGAATGACACAGGCAGTGCCTGGCCCGAGGCCTTTCTGGCCGATTTTGAATCACGAATATGGATGACCTACCGATCGCACTTCGCGCCCATTCCGCGCAGCAACAAACCCGAAGCGACATCGTCGATGACGCTGGGAGTCCGCCTGCGCAGTCAGCTTATGGACTCGCAGGGCTTCACATCCGATACCGGGTGGGGTTGCATGATTCGGTCAGGACAGAGTCTCCTTGCAAATGCTCTAAGTATCCTACAGTTCGGACGAGGTGAGGGACCCGCTCAGGCTACGATGAGTGAGACAAGAAGCTGACGATGAACACAGACTGGCGAAGAGGACAACGGCCTGAAGCAGAATCGAAGCTGTTGGCCATGTTTGCAGATCATCCCAAAGCCCCATTCTCCATACATCGCTTTGTCCAGTGCGGAGCCGAGTCATGTGGGAAATATCCCGGGGAATGGTTTGGGCCATCAGCAACTGCCAGATGTATCCAGTTCGTACCCCCTACCACAGCACTGCCAGCGTCGAGAGCTGCGATCCTCGTGTACATAAGAGGGCTGACCAGAGATGGATTATCAGGATGCTATCTAATACACAAGAACCACCGACGCTCCGAGTCTACGTGACCAAGGACACCTCCGACGTTTACGAAGAGCAATTTATTCGACTTGCCAGCAATCAAAACGGGCAGATTCAGCCAACATTGATACTCATGGGTGTCAGGCTGGGGATCGACCATGTCACCTCGGTCTATTGGGATGGACTACAGGAGGCTTTGCAGTACCCACAGTCTGTGGGGATCGCCGGGTAAGTGTCAAACCCATGTCTCTCTATCAAAATCGACTGCCAGGAAGATGCGAAAGCTAACAAGCGTTCTCCTGGTCCAACAGCGGTCGCCCATCTGCATCACATTATTTCGTGGGGTCGCAGGACTCCCACCTGTTCTTCCTTGACCCACACTCCACACGCCCAGCAGTACCTTATCGCCCCGACGAAGCATTAAGTGTAGAAGAATTGGATACCTACCACACCCGTCGGTTGCGGCGCATTCACATCAAGGATATGGATCCCAGCATGCTCATTGGATTTTTGATCAAAGACGATGCTGATTGGGCTGATTGGAAAGCCCGAGTCCAGTCCACGACGGGGAAACCGATCATCCACCTTGTCACGGGGGAACCGCCGATCGATGCAGGACATGGCCGGAAGGAGGCGCTGGATGAAGTGGAGGTTTTGGATGATTCTGATTCCGATGCCGATGCACTGGTGTAAGCCGCGAATTCGAAATAGCTGCCGAGTTAGAGAGAGCCGCATAGACCCGCAATGTGCGCCACAAGATCATGGAGAACTGCCCCCCCAAACCTGAAACAAGATACTCGCTTCGTCCATGTACAGAAATCTATAGGGAGAGAGAAGAGTAGAACCAAGAATATTGTGTTAATGCAATCAAGCATTTGGAATTTCGCGTTCTAGTTAGGAGTAGGTTATACCGTGCAACCAGCCCCAGACCCGAGTTGTTATGTTACACCACGCGCATCGAGTAGTAACCATCAGAAAAAGTCGCCCATCGGGGAAAAGAAAATTGATACCATCCCATGACACATTAGAAAACCCGCAAAACACCCATAACCGAACCGCCTCCGAGAGCCCAGGAAAAGATCAGGAGGCAGGAAAAACAAGAGCAAAGCCGCAAGAAATTGAAAATAGAAAGAAGCCAATAAACCGCTTATTTGGCGGAAGAGGAGTACTTGGTGACGGCCTTAGTACCCTCAGAGACGGCGTGCTTGGCCAGCTCACCGGGGAGGATGAGGCGGACGGAGGTCTGGATCTCTCGGGAAGAGATGGTGGACTTCTTGTTGTAAGCGGCAAGCTTAGAGGCCTCGGTGGCGACACGCTCGAAGATGTCTGAAAAAGAAGTCAGAATATAGTCAAGTAGGAACGCGTGAAACACGTCATATCGAAATGCGAAAAAGGTAAAACATACCGTTGACGAAGGAGTTCAGGATGGACATGGCACGAGTGGAGATACCAGTGTCGGGGTGGACCTGCTTGAGGACTAGAGAATAACAAAGTCAGAATACGCGTCGCGTCAAAAAGAATGGATATCCGAAAAACATCCAACACAGATCGGAAAACTCACCCTTGTAGATGTAGGAAGAGTAGGTCTCCTTGCGGGTCTTGCCGCGCTTCTTCTTCTCGCCAGTGGCGGCGGAAGTCTTCTTGCCAGCCTCCTTCTTCTCAGCAGGGGCCTTGCCGCCAACGGGAGCCTTGCCGGCGGTGGAGGGCTTCTTCTCAGCAGCCTTGGGGGGAGCCATTGTTGATGATGGGGGTTGGAAATTGGGGGGTTTTGAGTTTGGTTGGAAAAGGTTGAAAGATGGATGGAGCGTGAAGGGTTGGAAGCAGAGATGGAGAAGGAGGAAGTAAAGCGCGGTGATGAGGGGGGGGGAGTGATTTATATACGCGACCGCCCACGGGTCGTTGATCCAGAAGGGCACAAAAGAGCCGGAATTTCAATACGGTCACGAATTGGTATGATCTGTATGATTAAGAGGGGGTCGACGCGTCTGACTGTGGGGGGATCATAGTTAATTGGGAGGGGCGATCACGCGGGTCCTGGGTACGGGCTGGTACGGCGTAATTAATACGGGACCATTCCTGATTTGGAATGCGCCCGCCCATCAACACGGCGCGGATTGGCCGTGATCCCGCCTTATCATTGGCCGATCCCGCTAAGCGAGAGCGTGATCTGGAGTTCCGTTGGTTGATGCCCGCCCAACGTCACCCTCCGCGTTTCTTATAAAGCTCCTGTCTATCCTCCGTCAAGACGCCCCCCCTCTTCCACCACGTACGACAACTCTTCCAACTCACTCTCAGCCCACCACAACTCTTCAACCACTCAATCAACCCCTTTTTCCAAAAACCCAACCCTCACAACCCACATTCAAAATGACTGGCGGAAAGTCCGGCGGCAAGGCTAGCGGTTCCAAGAACGCTCAGTCGTAAGTTGAATCCCCTTATCCATTTGTTTGATGGACGCGTCAAGATTCCAATCTTGAGCCCCTTTCCCATCACGATCAACGACTCATTCTGACATCAATAATTACAGCCGTTCCTCCAAGGCTGGTCTGGCCTTCCCCGTTGGCCGTGTCCACCGTCTGCTCCGCAAGGGCAACTACGCTCAGCGTGTTGGTGCCGGTGCTCCCGTCTACCTCGCTGCTGTCCTTGAGTACCTGGCTGCCGAAATCCTCGAGTTGGCCGGTAACGCCGCCCGTGACAACAAGAAGACCCGTATCATCCCCCGTCACCTCCAGCTCGCCATCCGCAACGATGAGGAGTTGAACAAGCTCCTGGGTCACGTCACCATCGCCCAGGGTGGTGTCCTCCCCAACATCCACCAGAGTATGTTTCCCCACATTCACCCATCTTTCGAGATGCATCCTTTACTGACGCGTCTTTTTTCTAGACCTCCTGCCCAAGAAGACCCCCAAGGCCGGCAAGGGCAGCCAGGAGCTGTAAACGGTTTTCTTCTCGCGGTTTCTGTTTTGTTTTTTCCGGCGCGGGTTGGTTCATTGACACGATAATGGGGTTATGGGATGGGCACGTTATGGCTCTGCGTTTTCTCTTTTCTTCATCAGTTTCCAGGTTGTACATTGTCTACGGGCATGGAATGATACCGACGAACTTCAAGCTTGTTCGAGGGATTTCAAGTTCTTTTTTTCGGATAACTAGTCCCGGGCAAACGCCCGAATCAATGAAAAGATTCTAGGTCCTCCATTTATACTTTTCCATTTTTAGATTCTGGCGTAAGCATTCTATCTACAGCATGATTTTCACTTCGATACTCCGGGCAACAATCACGAACTGCGACTGTCTTGAGGCTCTGGTTCTGGTTGATATCAAACTACGCTAGTTCGGATTCGCTTGAATTTGAAATGTGACATAGGCTTTTTTTTCATTGTATCTACATGTGCCTGTGGCTGTAATTTGGAAAAACGACAAATATTGTATGAAACTGATTCGCAAACCCCCAAGTGAATGACATCCATGCTCGAAACCCGGTCCATTAGTGGGCGGCGGGGGGGAGCCGCATCTGCGCAACTGGTTAGTCTGGAGTAGAGCACTGAGGAAGAGCAGTTTCAACGTACATGGAAGAATCGGAGCGGGAATGTTGCGCTCCCATTTGTTTCCTATAAATTATCGTGAGCTGGATACGCGACAGGCCAATATCAAACGGTGGACACGTACCACCAGGGGCCGTGGGAGCCCGGTAGGGGTCGGGGTGCTTCCACTCATTCAACAGCTTCTCAGTCTCGCGCAGCAGAATCTGGGTTATTGTCGCTAGTTAGTGGGTCTGTCGGTCGGAGCTCGATTGTGGTCGCGTACCTGTTGCTGGCGAGGATCACGGACATCCTTGTTGGCATCGAAGAGGGAGCGGATGTAGACGGCCTGGCCGCGCCAGACGGATCGCTGGACAGCCCAGTCCAGGGACAGCTTCAAGGAGCGCCGGTAGAGCGACCTGTAACGACAATGTCAGCCAGAATATCCTGGTGCCTGATAGTGATAGTGGTGACGATGGTGGAGGTGCATAGTGAAGTCGAATTGCGCCAGGACGACGTCGCAGGGAACTCACGTCACAGTGGTGGTAGACATGATGTAGTTGGAAGCTCAATTGAAGCGAGCTTATCGAGAAGCAGGATCGTATAATTCAATCGAGGGCGCAGAGGTCTCTCCTGGACAATCCGCGTCAATTCGTTCAGGCCCGTCCGAGGATAGGAAGGGCTGCGGGTTGACTATTCTCGGCTTCCCCATTCGTTACAAAGTGCCATTAGGGCTGCTGCGCATGACCGTAGCCAGGCGTAAGAATATTACTCCGTTGCCGGGCTTCTTCCGCATCTCGGCTTCGGGAGCTTTGCGCTTCGGCTACGTAACAGCAACAGGGCGTTTTGAGGCCTTTTTCTTTTCTCTCCCCCCTATCAATCCCTGTTTTCCGCCTCTTCTCCCAACTTCCTGTGGGAGATATTTGTGACTTTTATTGTTTGTGATTACGGTCTTTCTACACATCATGGCTGCTCGACTCCCTCTCGCGCGCCTTTCCGGCCAGCGCCTGACAACTCTGACCCGGGCCACTCGGGCTCCCAGCCGGCTTAGCGGAGCCCAGAGCCTGTCCACCCTCACGCGCTCCAATGCCTTCCCCAGGTCCTCTGGCCTGCTGCAGGTGTCCTCGGGGTAAGAACATGCGCCCTTGCGAGTCGCATTCGATATACTAATCAAGGATACAAACAGCATCAATGTCTCCCGCAACCTCGCCCCGTTCGTGGGCTCCCAGATTCGCACCTACGGTAGCTACGACCACTTCATTCTATCCCCCAAGACATAACATGAGACTAATGCCTTGTGCGATCCAGCCGACTCCATTGTCAAGGTCCCCCAGATGGCCGAGTCGATCACAGAGGGTACTCTGAAGCAATTCTCTAAACGTATGTCCACTCAGCTGCCCAGGGCTGAAAAACCTGTTCCGCATGTACAATTACTGACATCTTCTTTTCAGAGGTTGGCGACTACGTCGAGCGTGATGAGGAGATTGCCACTATCGAGACCGACAAGGTAGAGATATTCTTGTACTTCAACCGTTTTTCTTGATCTACAAAATCTAACACGAGCACCTTGCGCACCAGATCGATGTTTCCGTGAACGCCCCGGAGGCTGGTACCATCAAGGAGCTTCTTGTGAACGAGGAGGACACCGTTACCGTCGGCCAGGACCTCGTCCGCCTGGAGGTGGGCGGTGCTGCCCCCGAGGCCAAGAACGAGGCCGCCCCCGAACAGCCCAAGGAGTCTGCTGCTGAGAAGCCCAAGGAGACCGCCGCTGAGCCCGAGAAGCCCAAGGAGACTAAGCCTGCTCCCCCCAAGCCCGCCCCTGCTAAGGCCGAGTCCCCCAAGCCTGCTGCTACCGAGTCCAAGCCCGCCGTTGGCGGTCGCGAGGAGCGCCGCGTATGTTTTGACCTTGGTATTTTCGTCCCGATCAGTGATCTGAAACTAACCAGCAATTTTCACGTTAATAGGTCAAGATGAACCGCATGCGTCTGCGCATCGCCGAGCGCCTGAAGCAGTCCCAGAACACCGCTGCTTCCCTGACCACCTTCAACGAGGTGGACATGTCCTCGCTGATGGAGTTCCGCAAGCTGTACAAGGATGATGTTCTCAAGAAGACCGGTGTCAAGCTGGGCTTCATGAGCGCCTTCTCTCGCGCTTGCGTGCTGGCCATGAAGGATGTTCCCGCCGTCAATGCCTCCATTGAGGGCCCCAACGGCGGTGACACCATTGTCTACCGCGACTACGTCGACATCAGTGTTGCCGTTGCTACCGAGAAGGGTCTGGTCACCCCGGTTGTCCGCAACACCGAGACTATGGATCTGGTCGGCATTGAGCAGTCGATCGCCGAGCTCGGCAAGAAGGTACGGCAGATTCGCTCTATGATGAGAAGGAAATTAATTTACTGACACGGATTGATAGGCTCGTGACAACAAGCTCACCATTGAGGATATGGCCGGTGGTACTTTCACCATCAGCAACGTAAGTTCGGCCATGTAATTTTGCCATGATATGACTATCTGCTAACAGATATTCAAGGGTGGTGTCTTCGGCTCCCTGATGGGCACTCCTATCATCAACTTGCCCCAGACTGGTGAGCATCGATTTATTCTTTCCGGTTGATTCTACGCAACATTTCTCTGACGTAATTCTCTCCAGCCGTCTTGGGTCTCCACGCCATCAAGGACAAGCCCGTTGCCATCAACGGCAAGGTTGAGATCCGCCCGGTAAGATAGCACACACTCGTCACATTTTCCTCGTTGCAATCATACAGGGTACTAATTTTCACCAACAGATGATGTACCTCGCACTCACCTACGACCACCGTCTCCTCGATGGCCGTGAGGCCGTCACTTTCCTTGTCAAGGTATGTTGCTGGACTCCCCATCCCTCAAACTGGAACCAGGCTCTAATCCCCACCACAGGTCAAGGAGTACATCGAGGACCCCCGCCGCATGCTGCTCGGTTAAATCATTCCACGCTAAGCATCTTTTTGGGTAATTTGTGTTTGTCGTGGTTAGAGCCGCCTTTGGCACCCTCTGTAGATTATTCGATTTTAAAATATAACCGCCATTTCACAGACCAAACTGGTTACGTTTCTTGAGTGCGTAGTACCATTTAGAGTAGCACATCTAAGATATTCTCTTCTTGGCTCGGGAGAAAGGGTCTCGTAGGTAAAGCCATCCAGTCTGTGTGGTGGCGGTGTCTCATGCGCCTACGGTCAGCGTATCTCCTAGATACCGGTCCGGGGGATCAACATGACTGAAATGAATCAGGTAGGGGAGGGTTTTAGATGAAATAATATTCATCTCCGCCCGCCCTCCTCTCCTCCCAGACCTGATCAAACAGCAAAGCAGGTCAGGGAAATTAACAATTTAGAGAAAATGACAATTTGACCGGTGTGACATGTTGATCAAAAGGGAGGGTAGACAACAGGAGAAGTGAGGAAACATGACGAGTGAGGAGAGTACGATCTCTTTCTGTTTGGGGTGAGTCTCGTGCTCATATCATTCCAGCCTCCTTCATTAGCTGCTGGGTCTCCTCTGGGGTCCAGCCATCCAGCTTGCCCCGTTCCAGCTGGAGGAGAATGGGGGCGTCGAGGGTCGTCATGAGCTCGAAGAGGAACTCCACCACGATGGCCTTGAAGTGGGCAAATGGGTACTGCTGGTCCAGAGTCACCCATGCCGCACGGTCACCCAGGTCGTCTGGAATCTCTGCCGCGTAGCTCTCACGGACGTCCCACCACTTTGATCGGCGCTCAGGGGTGTCCGGGGTCCAGGTCGAGAATTGGCGGAGTGAAACCGGGACCCCCTGGCGGACCCCCAGCAGCGCGGATTGGATCATGAACCGGCCGCCAACGTCGAACCACCGAGTCTCTGAGACTCGGTGGGCGGCGACCTGGCACATTCTCAGGAAGTCGATCCCGATGCGCGCCAGGGCAGGGGAGTTGTTCGTGGCGGCGGAGGCGGAGGCGGGAGTGGCGGTGGTTTGCGGGTCGGGGTAGTTCCAGAGATCATGGGCCAGGGCGAAGACTCGCAGCTTGACATCCAGCTCCAGGGGGATTGGCTGCTCTGGATGGTTTCGGCGCAGTAGAGATTGGAAGGCTGTGAAAGTCAGAATTGGAACGTGAAGGCTATCGGGGATCATCATAACTCACTTTCGACGAGACTCGCCGTCCACTTCACTTCATCCTCCAGCTCAGGGCTGGGGTTGGCGGTGCCGGCTGCGGCCAGGATGATATCCAGCGCGAAACATGCCAGATAGTCCAGGGTCATGAAGTCCACATCGGCGCGGACGTCAAAGCTAGCAAGCGCCGCTTCAGTGGCCATACTGGCGGCACTTCTTGAAATCAGCGGGGCGATCGGAGTTAAGATGGTGTTTGGTGATCACGTGATGGTGGTGATGGGGCGGTGGGGGGGCGGTGAGTGACGTGAAGGAAGGAAAGTCCCGAAGGTCACGTGGACTGTTTGAGAAAATAGTTGATGAGTCATCATTGCCCCTCCCGCTTTTTCTGTATGCCTGGATTTTCTGGCTCTCGATTTCTTCACCATTCTAAATTTATATGCGTTACTCATGTTTTATTATATCATACTAGTAATAGTAACAAGTCTAGCTATCTAATTGATGTTTTTGTATGTCTTTTTGTGCATGTTCACATAGGCAAGCGTGTTGCATCTAATATCGATGGAAAGCGTGTTTGTCACTGTGGAAATATATATATCCACACTAGTGAGGTATATTTCGCTATATCCCTTCCATAGCTAACTCATGTCGTAGCACATATACATCCTGAAACTGTATTCAAAGTCTTGCGAACTGGCAAATTCTCACACATCAAAAAGGCCAATATCAACAACATCTCCCACCGCAGGGCGAGAAGAAACAGTTGAGATGCTATCACGTGGAGGATGAGGAGAGCATGGCGTCACGAAGTCCGTTGCCTCCAACGATATCATCAATCATCACCAAACGCTCTTGACACAGCTCTAAGACTCATCCCTTCAGACTCTCAAATCCCTACATGCTACATAGGCTAGCAAAACTACAACAAAGACTCACCTGGCGCCCTACAAATACCTTCACCATGGCGTGGCGTTGCTCCGGATCTACTAACACCGAGTTGATCGAGAATCTATGCAAGGCCGGACTGATCAAGAATGAACGCGTCAAAGAAGCCATGATAGGCGTGAGCAGCTACCCACACTACAAAACACTACGATTTTAAATCTACAATAATCCCTGACACTGTCACCTAGGTTGACCGCGCTCACTACGCGCCCTCAAGGCCATACTCGGACTCGCCCCAGTCCATCGGGCATGGAGCCACCATCTCCGCACCACACATGCACGGCCACGCCTGCGAGTATCTAATTGACCACCTCGAACCTGGATCCCAGGTCCTAGACATCGGCTCTGGCTCGGGATACCTTACACACGTCCTAGCGAACCTAGTGACCGGACGGCCCGGCAGCGCCACCCCAGGCCAGGTGATTGGGATCGACCACATCCCCGAACTAGTTGAACTGGCTCGATCCAACATGAACAAGTCGGAAGATGGTCGCCAGCTCCAGCAATCTGGACAAGTCAAATTCATCACGGGAGATGGACGTCTGGGCTGGAAAGAAAATGCCCCCTACGATGCTATCCATGTTGGCGCGGCGGCGGAGGAGCTTCACCCAGTGCTGATTGAGCAGTTGCGGGCCCCCGGACGGCTTTTCATACCGGTTGAGTCGGAGAATGATGGGACTAGCTGGAGTAGCCTGGGTCTTGGTGGTGGCCAGCATATTTGGGTGGTGGATAAAAAGGCAGATGGATCGGTTCACAAACAGAAGGTGTTCCAAGTTAGCTACGTGCCGCTGACGGACGCGCCCGGATCATGAAGACGAGGCTTGGAGCAGAAGAAAAGTCAGAACGATGTTCAATGAGAGCACTTCTCGATGCGCTACAGGATGACATGGAATTATCGTACTAGGATAGTCAATGACAAGACGATGCTGCAGCTGAATTTTTTCCATTTCACCGCTCATGGTAACTACGAAAAGAAGCAGAAACAGCTCGAAAAGGACAACAATGATGCCGAGCCCGCAATACCCTCCAACGGGCAGCAAAAAACATGGCGTAGATACTCCTAGAAACACCGCGGTATGTTTTACAATGGCAAAGGGACGCCAATGAAAAGAAAGAAAAGATATCAACGGAAGGGGAAGCCTCCGAAGCCCTGACCACCGAACTTGAACTGCTGGCCACCCTGCTGGAAGAAAAATTGCTGCTGGCCGCCGCCATGACCGAAGGGACTGCCCTGTTGGAAGGGATTGCCTCGCTGCTGCGACTCGGGGTCGTTGGGATCATCACCATTGTCGTAACGGGTACGCAGCTCAGAGTCGGACAGGACCTCGTATGCCTCGTTAATAGAGGCCATCTTCTTCTCCGCCTCTTCCTTGGACACGCCCTGGGCGTGAGCCTTGTCAGGGTGGTGCAGTTTCATCAATTGACGGTATGCGCGCTTGATCGTCCGTTCGTCTGCGTCTCGACTGACCCCAAGCACCTTGTAATAATCCTTTTGCTTCGATCGCTTCAATAGGGCCTGTGCTTTTTGAAGAAGGGACTGGATCTCCTGCGAGTGCGGGTGATGCTCCCGAGCAGTGTTCAATGTGCGCACTGCTTGTTCAAACTGATCTTCATCCAGCTCAGTCTGGGCCTGGTATAGTAGACCATGAAGAGAATATGGAACCAGTTGGAGGGACTCGGCGCAATAAGGACCAGCCTTCTTGGCCATACGCATCTATCAACACGAATTAGTATTGTAGACTGGTCAAAGGAAATGATTGGGGGTACAAACCTCTCGGTAGGACTCGCAAGTCTTCTCAACCAGGAAGACATAGAGATTATTAGACGCCGCTGGGTGAATATGACCCGCTGCTCTCGCCTCGGCGACGTCATTCTTCACATCCGTAATCAACCCAGTATCTTCCCCATCATCCACCATCAACTTCACCGCATTGCTGAACTTGCGCGCCTCCAGGGCACTGTGCAATTTCCCCAATGACTTAGCCAGCTGTCGTTCTCGTTTATAGAGACGATTGCAGGCCTTCGAGTCGGGATCAGTATGCAGACATTTGCGGATTTGCGCGAGACCACGATCACTATCACCCAGAGCATAGAACAGCATGGAGGACATCTGTAGATGAGGCTCCACCAAGTTCGGGGAGATCTGTAGAACATGCGCCAGGTCGCTCACACCTTCTTCCACTTCACCTCTCTCAAATCGACAGTGTGCGCGAGCCTGTCGCAACGATAGATCCGTATTCGCCTTCATAATAGCCACTCCCGCCTGCGCGATACAGGCCTCCCAGTCTCCCTTCTTCTCCGCAGCCAAAGCTAGGGCTGCTGCATCCCGCGCAGCCTGGAGCTCCTGGTATTCCTCCGAGTTCTTCTTTCCTGCACGCTCCAAATCCTGCAAAGCTTCCTTCCAGTGGGCAGACCGAGCCCGGAGACGAGATCGCTGGAGTAGCGCGCCCTCGAAATCGGGCTTTAGTTCCAGTACTCGATTGAAGTCCTCCGTCGCCTGGGTGTTCTTGCCAATGGACAGGTAAGCAGCGCCGCGCTGGTAGATGGTGATATAATTGTTAGGATCGCGTGAGACGGCAGCATCGAAGTATACGAGAGCATCTCGTGGGGAGCCCTTTGCCAGATGCGCTTTGGCGGAGGAGATCAACTCAGAGAGCGGCGTATCGGGGGGAATCTGGAGCGCATAGCTGGTGGAGAGACAAGCCAGGACGGCCGTGACGGTTTCAAGCGAGATGCGCATTGTTGAATTTTAATTGAGGCGCATAAGCATGGCCCAGGGTAATAGTTGGAGTTAAAGAAACAGAAACAAAAAAGAGTGAAAGTGAAGGTTGATAAGGACAAGTCAGCGATGGAATGCGAAGTCGAAGACTCTCGAAGCCCGTTCGGTGGCCTTTACGCGTACCGTACGATTAAATTACGCCCGCCCGCAAATCCTCCGATCTTATCTTCTTAGACGCCCTTTCATTTGTTTAACCTCAACAAGGATGCTCCAATGCCGCCGATTAATCTGGCGGCCTGCTAGGTTGGGCTTGAATTTATTCTTGCGATCTGCACATACCGGTAAAAACTTCGATATCCCAAAGCTCTCTACTGGTGAATGAACCGCCGCTAACTTACCCAGCCGCCGCCGCAGACTCCGGCCTGTCTCCGGTCCTTTTGACGAGAGCGCGATTGCTCGCCACCGAACATGTGAAACTCTCGGAAAAATTGGCAGAGGCCTTCGATGCGAAGGTCGCCAAACGAGTGGGGGAGATCGCCCCAGTTACAACAGTCCTGAAAGAATGGGATAGCGCGAACGAGTCGATTATCGAATTAAAGTCTCTCCTAGAGCAACCCGAGACCGATGATGAACTACGATCTCTCGCCATTGAGGACCTAGACTCCACCCGGGAAGCCTTGCCTACGATATCAGACCGGCTCAAGAAGGCCCTGATCCCCCGCCACCCATTTGCAGATCTACCATGTCTCGTGGAAATTCGCCCTGGAGCAGGAGGAGATGAGGCAGGCCTCTTCGCATTTGAGATGCTTCGGATGTATATGTCTTTCTGTTCTCGGCGAGGCCTTCGGCCAACGATTTTGAAACAGGACGTCGAGGACGGAGCATCGGAGGATCGCCTGAGTGAAGGAGTCATCGAGATCGAGGCGGACGGTGCATACGATATCATGCGGACCGAGTCCGGGGTGCACCGCGTCCAGAGAGTACCAGCCACAGAAACCAAGGGCCGAACACACACCAGCGCCGTCAGTGTAATGGTCTTGCCCAGTTTCCCAGAGAGCGGCAGCGGGGCGGACAATGCCTTGAACTTTGAAGATCCCAACAGTGACTACTATATCGACCCGCAAGAAGTGCGCGTGGAAAAGATGCGAGCTAGCGGTGCCGGTGGACAGCACGTCAACAAGACCGAGTCCGCCATTCGATTGACCCATATCCCCACGGGCACCGTTGTCTCCATGCAGGATGAACGGTCCCAACATTCCAACCGACGCAAGGCCTGGCAGGTGCTACGAGCCAAAATCGCCGAGGCGCGCCAGGAAGCGCGCGAGCAGGAATTGGTCCAATTGCGCCGCGGTGCGATGGGTGGAGTGGCTCGGATGGGTCGCGGAGACAAGATTCGCACATACAACTATGGGCAGAGCCGTTGTACCGATCATCGGAGCGGTACCACGATTCACAATCTTGACGGTGTCCTCGATGGCGGCGATGGCTTGGAGACGGTTATGGAAAGCGTACGCACCTGGATGGCTGACCGTGATGTTGAGACCATGGTAGCAGAAGAACTGCTAAAGGAGGAAAAGACGAAGAAGAAGTAAAGAACACAAGGCTTGTCCTGGTCATATTGTACACTAAAGAAATGATACCATGTACTTTTATAGCGACACATTCTCATGGATATTGACTCTATTGAAACGGCATACAATCCTCGCAACCGATCTATGTTAAAAGGTACATACTTTCAAATCCAGATACCCTCTTAAAGGTACTTCCTCTCGGGATCTGCGAGATCCATCAACTCCATCGATTTTTCATACCTGCCAGGTGATGTTAGCATATCAATACAGGAAACAACCAGCGGATACTGCACAAGACGACGCACATGGTAAACACAATTCCACCGCTCAGGATCAACCGGGCCAGTCGGGGCATGGCTCCGGACCAGAAAGTGAAGATGCCCTCATCCTTGAAGATCCTGGCTGCGCAGACAAAGCTGTTCTTGTAGTGCTTGCTGGCTTCGAGCGATTGCATTCTAGAAAGATGGTGAGCGACTTCCACACAACACTGTCTAAGCTCAACTGGGATACTTACCTTGTCTTGACTGTGTCAAGAGGCTGGGTCACGTAACTAGTAGAATCATCAAAGTCAGCGGGCTGCGTAGAATGCTTTCATCCTGGGAAGCTGCCAACACATACACTGTGATAATACCCGCCAATCCACCAATGCCGAAGGTAGCAAGTGTTCCGAGCTTCTCACCGGGGGCGACATAGCCTTCGGCGAACTGCTTGATCGTAGTATAACTGGTGAACCGAGTAGCCGAGTTGGCCGCTTGCCGAGCGGTAGTAGGCACAAAGCCTTGGAAAAAGCCCCGAATTCCACGTTCTTGCCAGATAATCTTGCTACCGTGAAGGAACCCATTCATACGTGGCTTAGCAGCCTTCCGGTCGTCAATCCTGCGAGTACCACCACGTCAGTAATGTGTTGCCAGGACCGGAGGAAACCAAGGGATTGCCGACAATTGAGTCTTGATACTCTCAAAGGGAGTCACCGCAAGAAGAGACTCGGTGAAGCCCGCACCAAACCCAGCCACGACCGTCCTCGGCCCCGAAATCTTGCCGTTCTCATCTTGGAGAGATGCCTTGATGGCATCGAACGCAACGAAGCCTGTATAGACACGAGTTATGAGCTAATATTCCCAGCACTCCACGAACAACACACGCACGAATTCCAGCCTTCAGCGAATTCCCAATAATCAACGTAGTACATCCAGCGTACCACTGCTTTCCGAAAGGCGGAAACGGGAGTTTCTGGCCCTCCGCAAGTCGGCGATTAAGTTGTGTCCGGGTTTTCGCAACTAGGTCGTCAATTAGCTTAGCGAGAGAAAGGAGGGTCGAGGACTGCACAACGAGAGCATACACTCAGCAGGATAGGTAATTGCTAGTCAGAACCGGTGGTTAGCGCGCGCACATCGTTATGAAGTCACAAATGCGGTATCCTTACCGATCTCCACGGCTCCAGCAGTGGAGCCCGCAATGATGGAGCGCAGAGCGCTGGGCTGTTCGTTTCGATTGATCAGTCTCAAACAAAGATTATCAGTGACTGTGTACTAACCCTGGCCGTTGGATCCCTACTCGCCGTAGCCATTTGGAGTGACAATGATCGTGGTTGAAAGATGCTGGACCTCGGGTTTCGTAGATCGCATTTACGGTCGCCGGCAGCCCCACTTTGTGCAGCTCTCTTTACTCCGACCTCGGTGGTCCTTCGATGTACGGAGGAGTATACGGAGTAACTTGATGAAGTTGGTTGTAGTCCTGATGTCAGTTATTTTAGAAATCTCTATTATGTAGTAAACTTGATTTACTTGTGCTACTGGATCTACATGAATGTAGGAATGATATCAGAGGAGTAATTGTCAATTCACAAGATGCTATCTAAATCCTTCACATCTTAGTGCTCCTCCGATTTTTTTTTTTCTTTTTTTCAAATTTCGTCGAGTTCGGGTTTGGTGTTGTAGGGGAAGTTGGGGGATTCGACATCAAAAGGTACTCGGACATGGTGGTAAGATATGCCATATTGAAAGAGGTAAGATGTCGGAATAGTCGCGGTATCGTGTCGAGGCCAGGGTAGAGTTGGCATGAGGTTGATGGAAATTGGGAGTGGTGCTGGTAAATAGACTCCCAGAGATTCAAAGCTGAACCGAGGAGAGAGTAGAGAAACATGCAATGGGGAGATCGAAAACCAGACAGGTGCATTGTGGAAGAAGGTCGTGGTTCTCTCTGAGCAGCGAGAACAATAGGAAAATGAAGATCGAAGAAAGCCGTCACAACATCAGCTTCCGCCGACTCCGCCAGAACGCCAATGTCAATCGAAGACCCCCGAGAACGCCACTTGCCCTGCAAAACCTGTTGAAGCATAACCGCGGTGAACGAGCATATGTACACCTTGTGTGTGGGGGATGAAAAACCAGGATCGCAGAGCACTCGCGGCACCGAACAATGCACCATGCTCAAAACCAAAAATAGAAACCCCAAAGCGACCCATGGCGATGAACACATTGGGAGACCATGGAGAGCAGAACAGGGAATTATGATACACAGATCCCCTCAGCACCGTAGCATCGTGACGGGAGAGGAGTTGGTGAGAAAGCAATGGTAGACTTCATCGTCGAAATGGTGTCGTTGAGTGAAGCTGCCAAAGTCCATTCCGTGAAAAGGAAATTCTCATGTAGGACAAGTCATAAGGAAGGGTAAAAAAGGCAGAGGGGAGGGGAGCAGGTAAAGAATCAGACAAAAACAGGTAAGAAGCGATGCGTAGCACGTTTTGAAAAGGGAAAATCCGAGGCAGCCGTGACATGAGTCATCAGAGTAAGATAGCAGTGTTTTCCGAGATAACCCCTGCTTCAGATCTAAGATGACGAAGGGGTCTATGACACAGGAGCTGGTGGCTGCGGGCCAACCTGGCTCGGGGCAAAAGCGGCCTGGTTGGAATCGTGTTGCTGGGGGCCACGACGAGGGCCTTGTCCACGGCCTCCACGATAAGAGCCTCCCCGACCTCGGTTGTTGTTGTAGTACTGCCCGTTATTCTGGTGATTGTGCTGACGACGAGGCTGACGGTCGCCGTTGATAGGGTGCTGGGGAGCCGTAATCATGGGTTGAGCGGGGTTCGAGATAGGACGAGGGATGTTCTCAGGAGAATCGTAGACGTAAAGGTTCTTGTCAATGTTTTGAGGAATGGGTTGAATCTCGGTGCCCAGCTCCTGCTCAATCTTGTACAGATTGAAACGATCATCCCAGTTGATCAAGTTGATGGCCAGACCCAGGTGACCGAAACGTCCGGAACGACCGATACGGTGAAGATAGGTCTCAGCATTCTTTGGGAAGTCGAAGTTGATGACGACGTTGACCGCTTGAATATCGATACCACGGGTCAGCAAGTCTGAGCAGACCAAGTTACGGCAAACACCATTGCGGAAATCGTGGAACACGCGGTTACGGTGCTGCTGGAGCATCCGAGCGTGCGAGTAAAAGCACGAATAACCAAGCTCTGTAATCTTTTTGGCCAGAAGCTCCACACGGTTGGTGGAGTTACAGAAAATGATCGACTGGTTGATCTGGAGCTTTGAGAACAGGGTATTCAGGCAGTGAACTTTCTGCTTCTCCTCCACAAAGGCGTAGTACTGCGTGATACCGCGCAGGGTGAGCTCATCCATCAGGTTGATCTCGTACGGGTTGCGCATGTGCTTGTCCTTGAATGACTTCACGATGAGGGGGAAAGTAGCACTGAAAAGCATGACCTGGCGATCCTTAGGATGGAAGGACATCAGTTGTTCAATGACAGGGGTGAATTCGGGGGAGAGGAGCTTGTCAGCCTCATCCATGACGAAAGTTGGGCATTCAGACAGATCGGCAACACCCTTGCTGGCAAGATCCAGGACTCGACCAGGGGTACCGACAAGGATATGAACGGCATCATTCAACCGGATGATATCATCCATGAGACCAGTTCCACCAGTAGTAACCATAACATTGATACCCAGATGCTTTCCGAGAGTCTTGCAAACTTGGGAAGTTTGAAGAGCCAGCTCTCTTGTGGGGACCAGGATCAGAGCCTGGGTCTTGGTGCTTTTCGGGTTGATCCGCTCAAGGGTGGGGATGACGAAGGCAGCGGTCTTGCCAGTACCATTCTTGGCTCGGGCAAGGATGTCTCGGCCGGTGAGGGCAACGGGTATCGTTTCTTCCTGGATGGGGGAGGGCTTCTCGAATCCGGCCTCGAAAATGCCCATCATCAGTTCGCGCTTAATGTAGAAGTCCTCGAACTCGAGGCCCTTGGTGGCAGTAACGTCCTGTAAATCCAATCAGTTTTCTGCATGTGTTCCCACAAGGAGCAGTGAGCAACCAACCTCAGTCTGGGGTCGGGCATCTCTGGGAGGTAGCTGAAGTGTGTCTTGGAGTCTGACTTCTGCGGCGTTATCCCCGCTAAGATAAAAATGGTCAGCGGAGGGTGGATTGTAATGCAATGAGTACCAGATAATTTACCTGAGGGTAGTGTTTTGAAGTTGTGTTGCGATAGCGTCAGCCATGGTTGTTGTGGATGATTGAAGGAAATAAGGTGAGGGCTGTGGAGGAGGCAATTCCACGAGAGATGCGGGGCTTGAAATTGTGAATCGTGCGATTTCGTGGGAGCGGAATTTGATTCGGTTCACGAAGGTCTTGGGTGAACGAGGTTGTGAGAGTTGGTTGAAGGTGAGTAAGGGAGGAAGGCTGAAGAAATCCTGGGAAGTGGCGCAGAGCTCAAACCAGGAGGGTGAAAAGGATGGCGGATAGAAGGGTCAGAGCCGCGGTCATTCAGATTGAGATAGGTCTTGTTGAAGAGTGATCAAAGCGGACGCCCAGCGAATAGTGGTGGGAGACAAGATCAAAGAAGATTCTCGTGGGCGAGAGTAAGGAAGACGGTAAGATTGAAGGTGGGAGGTGGGAAGAGAGAAGATGAGGTTCTGCCAGAGTGAAGGGATTCACGGAAGTCAAAAGACTTGCGCAGGCGGTCATCGCAGGTCCCGCCGCAATCACGTGATCACGATCTACATCTGGTGCGGTCTAGAGAAGACAGTTCGATTCTACAGTACACAATTAAGATTTAGTTTGCAATACTCACATGGGATGACTACTTGAGACATTTCCATTAAATATTTCTGGCTGATCAGATCGAAACTAAGCCATATTCAGAACATTGAACGGGGTATTAAGCTCCAAGAAACACCCCAGAAGAAATGCAAGACCAAACCCGAGGTACATCAACCATGTTATCCATTCTTACCGCGCCCTTTGGTAGGGTAAACTAGTTTGCCCACGTTCAGGCTCTGCTAACTCCTTCACCCGGACATCAGCATCAATAGTGATATCGTTCCGATTGCCCGGTGTGATCAAGATGAACTGGCGTCCAATGGACCGTCGAGCGGCGATCATCTGGAAGCAAGAGTCAATAATCAAATGATGGGGTGACTCGAGCTGAGAAAAACTTACAAGCATGTCAATGGCCATTTTGCGATTAATGTGGTCCATGTAAACATCACTGGAGAATTGGTAAGTAAAGGCAAAGAGCATAAACACTGGGTAGAGGGATACGTACAACTCATCGAGACACCGAATAGGAGAACCCATAGCTTCCCAGAGGGCAAGCAGCAGACAGATTTGTGAGAATGACTTCTCACCACCGGAAAGTGTTTTGGCTCCACGGCCAGTGCTGTCGTCTTTCGTGATATCGGGCTCAACCTGGGTAGGGACAAGCAGGAGTCAGTTTATGAGCTGCTGATCCAAGGGAATGGTGGAACATACTTGCAGGTCCAACAGCTTCTCTTTATGGTTGGTCAATAACTGACCCCGGAAGCTGCGCTCACTCAACAAGTAGGTGAACTGGGCCTTGGCACGGGACGAGATGTGGGCTCGGAAGATCTCCCACCGCTTCTTACGATTATGCAACGTGTCTTTGAATATCTGCTCATTGTTAGAATCAATACGAGGCGTTGGAACATCGAAGATTGTTTGGAAGCAGAGAAATACCTGGGCTAGTGTGGTCATCTCTTCCACCTGTTTCAAAGCTCGTTGATACTTCGCCTCTGTCACCGAAGCATCGTTGGCAATTTGCTCTCTTGTAGCACCCAGCCTGAAAAAAGAGCCACTGATCAGTATTGTCGAAAGGACCAACAAAGGGAACACTCACTGTTGACTGTATCGCTGCAAGTCCGCTTTCAATTTTTCCATCTTTGCTCCGAGACTATCGGTGGTCTCGCCTTCGTCCACAGGAACCCTCGGCGTGATGATGCTGGCCCCCTCAATCGATTGGAGTAGTTTAGCTACCAATTGATCATGTTGCCGCCGAATTCGGTCCCTGAGTCCTTTGGCCTCATCAATGCGCGAGATAGCCTTATTCTTCTCGCTGAGGATTTGGTGGCGCTTATCATCAACACGCTCCTGCTCCTCCTTGGCAACAATGCACCTCTGATTTAGAGTCGCCAGCTTCTCGACTGCACTAGTAAGATCTCGTCGCGCATCCCTCACTTTATCAAGCACAATGGCCTGGGCACTCTTGGCCTCCTCGAGCGACAATTGGTGGTTTCGCACCTCGTCCTTCGCATCCTCTAGAACCAGTTTCAAGGCGTCGAGTTGCCCATCCTCGGTAGTTTCAAGAGCATCTCTGAGCGACTCGGCATGATCTTCTAGTCGCTGCATCTCAATCTTCAACTCGTTGCTCTCCCGGTCATAGTCCGCCAAATCTCGCTTGCATGATCCCAAATGAGCAACCGCAGTTTCATACTCTTGCTTGAGATTAAGTTTTTGACGTTGAAGGTCCTGGAGGACCCCACGCTGGTGACTGTAGATGGGTAGAAATCAACATCTGAATCATTATGGATCAATGTGAATTATGGATCATACCTGGTCTGAGAGGCCAGATCCGACTTCATCCGTGGATAGCCTTTGTATGGCGCTACTGGTGACTGACTGGGACCACCCTCTTTATTATAAGAGAGATGAACTCCGCGCCTTTGATCCATCGAGTCGATGCTGAAACATCGTACAACGTTTCTGAGCCTTTGACCGTCGAACATCAACCTTGAAGCCTCTTCCAAATCTTCAACAAGAAGCATTTTCTCAATGGTGTGTCTGACAATAAGATGTCCTCGGACTAGATCATTGTCGATCTATGTAAACGCAAAATTAGCATAATGTCTCATAGATGACGAGCGCGTTACCTGACCTGCAAAACTCTCAAAACCGTGTCATACTGACTGTCCGGCTCATTGTTTGACGTGTCGATATTCTCATTAGATCCGACCAAGATCTGGCATTGACTGCAACGGCTGTTAGAGAGAGAAATCTGCCGGTAGCCATCAAGGAGGACGATTTCAATACTTACCAGCCCACCCTTTTCATGATATTGCTGAGAATCTTTTGGTCGCTATGGCTTTTTACTACGAAGCTGGAAAGGCTGTGTCCAAGTGTACTCTCGATAATAGAAGCCCATTTTGGCTTAAGCAAGGTGACGTGATGCCCAATCGGTCCAACCGGACGGGTTGTGAACGATCTTTCTTGCTGAATGGCTCTCAGAAGCGCTGGCATTTTCTCATGGAAGCCATTTCTAGCCTGTGCATTTTCTCTCGTGAGGTCTCGCAACCGGCTGTCGGCTTGGTTGATGTCCTGTATTTTGATATCCAGCTGTTTCTTGGCATCTTGTGTTTTCCTCTCGGCAGACTTGATAGCTTCTCGTAGAGAGGGTTGGCCTCGTTCGTACGACTCGTACTCGGTCCGTGCAGCAGCAGCGAGATTTTTGGCCTCCTCGTATTCCGCCTGTCTTCGAGCGTAGCCTCCATTGCTTACCTCGATGAGACGGTTTTCTTCGGCCTCGACCTTCTCTTGCGCTGTTTTAACTCTAGCGTTCGCCTTGTCGAGGTGGTCTTTGATGGCTCGTTGATCGGACTGTGGTGTATTAGCAATGTTATCAGGTCACAAATTGAATTGAAATCCCGTTTACATACAAGGGCCTCACGCGAATCTGCCGATACTTTCTTCAAATTGTCCTCCATCTGTTCTTTCTCCTTTTGACCTTCCTCTAGTGCATGGCTTGTTCTATTGCAATGCTCTGCTGCCGTGGCTAACTCCGCGTCAACGGTCTGGAGCCTATCATCGTATTGGCTCAAATCGGCCTCAGCGTGAGAGATTCCCTCATCTGCCTTGGCCAGTTCGTGGGTAAGTGAATCTCTCGTCTGGTCTTCATGTTAGACAAGCCAAATACTGGGATGGTACAAGGACCACTTACTCGTTCTTCTTCCTCCACAGTAGCCCAAGCCAGCTGTTTCCGATAGGTCTTGATGCGTTCCCTCAGGGAGTCTTGTTGGTCAGAAAGTTCCAACTTTTTCATTGCCATGTCTCTCTGGTTCTCCAAAAAGCGAATATTTGGCGCCTGGGTTCTGAGTTTCTCCTCAATCTGATCCACAGATTCCTCAATCAAGCGATAATCCTGGTCTAGTTGTTCCAACTGCACACCCTTGACGAAAAACTTGTATTTCTCTGCCGCAGTGGAACTGCTGAGAAACTGGCGGGCCATGTCCTGCGAGAGCACATTCATGGGATTATCGATTTGCAGAGAGAAGTAGTCGGTAATGGCATCTAGCTCGGCCTTTTTCGTGGAGACGATGCGCCCTGACTCATTTTTGATCTTGAAACCACTGGAGCCGCTCTTTGTGAAATGGCGTTCAACAATGATGGATTTTCCATAGTCGTCGGGCATGTAGGCGCCTTCGCCTTGGTTCTTGATCCGGACAATGATGGAGGCGTTTTCCTTGCCTTCCTTGATAAAGCTCTTCAAGCTCTGTCCGCGGTTTGTTGCAGACGCTTTGCCTCCCAGGCAAAGCGTGATAGCGGTCAAGATGGCACTTTTTCCACTACCGTTCTTTCCGACAATGAAGTTGATCAACGGCCCGAGGTCCACAGAGAAGTGGTTGTGGCACATGAAATTGTAGCATTCGACACGTTCGAGAATACCGTGTTCAGCAGGAACATTGGTTTCATCGACCATACGGGCGTATTTATCCTGGATTATCTGGGTCTGGAGCAACTCGAGTTCTCTCTCGTCCGCATCTCCGTCGGGGAGCGCATCATCGTTGGAGGGGGAGGGGGAGTCGGAATCACTATCGTTCGCTCCCGATCCATCAGAAGATGTGGGAGAAGCGGATAGACGGGCTCGTTTTCTCTGTGTTCTGTCTTAGTAACTTTGCCTTTGGAGAATTCAGTGATAATATGGTGAACATACAGAATAAGGCGTGGGGTTCGATGCGGCGCTCTCTGATCCCCCGTCACTCTGATCCTCGGAATCCGAGGGCGCCTGTACTCGTTTGAAAGACGGCATCGCTCAAGGATACCGAATATGAAGGAGAGAGTTTCAGTGCATAGCGACAGAAATCACCATCAATGACCAAATTGAACAATGAAAGCGGTAGCTCGCGTCGGCGCGCACTTTCGCGTCAAACGCGGGAGATGAGTAAGCGGAACCTCCCCGCTGCAGGTACTTAACTGAGTGTACGTATTCTACCGCCCCCAGAAACTGTGTATGAAAGTGACCTTTGGGTTTAGATCTTTGCCTGTATTGATTTCAGTTTGATGCTATTTTTAAGTTACATGAAACATGCTCTTCCCTGCTGCTCTTCTGATAACATGTTAAATCGAAGGGGCATAATTTATTCATAAGATAGCTTGTTGATTGGCTTAATTTGAGCATGTTTCTATAGTGTTGATAGAAACGCGCACGTTTACTCAGTGGCCGGCTCCTCGGCCACGTAGTGCAGGTAAGCACCTAGCAACTTGGTTCCCTCAATATAGTTGCGGCGGTCCAGCTTCTCGTTGGCCGAGTGAGCGGCATCGGTGGAACTACCCATGGGGAGCAGCAAGACGTTCTTGCCAGTGGCTTGCTCGAAGGTCAATGTGACGGGAATACTACAATCCAGTTAGATCGTGTCAATGAAGAAAGAAAAGCAATATACATACCTTCCACCCTCACGGGTCATATCCGGCTCGACGCCAAAGACCTGCTGGACGGCCTTGCTGGCGGCACTGAAGTTCCAGTGCTTAGGGCTGGCCACCCACCACTTGCCGTCGTGCTGCAACCACACATCCAGCTTGTTCTTGCTGTTGAGCTTGGCGAACTCGGCCTTGATGTGGTCGAACACCAGCTTGTTGACATCCTCACTCTCCATGTTGGGCACGGTGCGAATAGAGAACTTGCCGATCACCTTGGCGGGGATGACCGTCTTGGCTCCAGGAGCGGAATAAGCGCCCTCGATACCGTGAATGGACAGGGAGGGGTACCGCCAGCGGGCCATCAGAGTGCGCTCCTTGTTGGGGTGGATACCAGTCTCACTGCCCAAGGACTCGTGGAGGTTCTCCATGGTGTAGCTAATGTTGCCGTACAGAGACTTCTCATCCTCAGTCACGGGAGCAACCAGATCCATGAGGCCAGGGATCAGAATGTTACCCTGGGGATCCACCAGCTTTGACAGAACTTGGACCAGGTCGGTCATGGGCTCGTGTGCAGAGCCACCGAAGACACCGCTGTGGAGGTCCTGGGCAGGACCGGAGACACTGATGGAGTAGTAGTTGCAGCCACGAAGACCGTAGGTCAGGCAAGGCTTCTCAGTACCAAGCCAGTAGTTATCCGAAATGCACACGGCGTCGGTATCCTTGAAGTACTTCTTGGCCTCAGCGTTGATGAAGTCATCCAGACCCTCAGATCCATACTCCTCCATTCCCTCAAAGCAGCAGAGCAGGTTGACGGGCAGCTCAACACCAGCCTTGCGGTGAGCCTCGATCACGTTAACCCAGCCCAGAACGGGGCCCTTGTCATCCGTAGATCCACGGCCATACATGCGACCCTTCTCATCGATGGTCAACTCGAAGGGCTCGGTAGCCCAGCCGTCCTCCTTCAGAGCGGGCTGCACATCGTAGTGGCCGTAGACCAGGATGGTCTTCTTGTTCTTGTCGTTACCGTAGCGGGCAACGACGACGGGGGGCAGATCGAGGTGCTCCTTGCCGGGCTGCTTGCCCAGCGGCCTTTGCTCAACCTCAGCACCGAGCGCGGTCAGTTCGTCCGCAAGGAATTGGGCCATCTTTGCCGTGATAGACACTGGTTAGTCTCCCCAAGGTCTCGTGAGGGGTAGCTTGCGGGACTCACGCGGAACACATCCGGTCGGTTCTCATCCTGGGCTGAGATGGAGGGAATAGCAACTGCCTTGCGCAGACCTATAGAGATAGATCAGCAGCCGAGCAAATTTATTTCGCCTGGTTTTCTCGCCAGGCTATTCAGGATCCGCGACTAGCTGGTGTGAGACTTGGTACATACGATCAATGAAGAGCTCGGACGACTCATCGACCCTATAATCACGCGTGAGTCGGATGGTCTTTTCCTTTTTTCATACTCCAAGCTGCAAACACCAAAGGCACATACTGCTTGAAAAAGGGCTCCAGCTGGGGCGCCATCTTGGTATCACTGATATGTCCGTAGAAGAAGCGGCGAGGGACGATTGGACGAGTGGATGGGGAAAACTTGGAGAGAAGAGATTGCCCAGATCTTGCGAGCGAGGGGATGCGGAGGGGAAAGAGGGGCAGCATTTGCAGAAAGCTGAGGGCGCCTGTCGCACCGAAAAGTATCTTATCACGTAATTAATACTTTAGGCCTGCAACCCTGGAAGCCCGGCGGTAACCGCCAAACCGCAGGTGGTTGATTATTTTTCTTTGGTTCCAGTGATTCACCTCGGCCTTATCGATTGGCGCTTGGGCCATGGAACTAGCCAAATGCACGCGTGGTCGAGAGATGGAGACGTTGAAAAAGCTTGCTTTGTGTGGGATAACTGGGTATCCTATAGTAGAAGACTATATTCTAATTATCTTCGGCCCTGCTTGTAATATTCCACTATGGTTGGCCTTATCGCCTGTTGGAGGAGATTTGTGTATGATTCTGTATGTGTATCCATTCCTCTGCACTACCACGGTAATTTATTGACAGGCAGACCCACCCTCTTGACGAGGCGGCTCAATCCTACACTCAGTGGATACTCGGATAGCCGACGGTCAATAAGAAAAGCGAGAGAATAATTGTATAGATATGAGAATACAGATAACAATGCTAGAAGGTTAGAATACATGTCGTTTTTACACGAGGCTGCCATTCGCAGCTAAACACACGGCCAAGAGGTTGAATACCATCCCAATGGCGATGGACCCCCCCCTTAATATCATAGAGAATCCCTCCACTCCCCCCAATCCAGAATAACATACAAGTCTACCAGACAAACAAGCGTACTTGAATCACTCATCACGACCCCATGCCTCCCGGCGCAACTTCCGGTCCTCCCTGGCCATCCGTCGCTTGGGTCCCCATTGTGATTGCACGGCCTCCAGCACCTGTCTTTGAATCTGCTTCTTCTCCGGGCTGGCCTCGCAAACCATGGCGATGAAGAGGGGCGAGCATTCGAAGCGCTTGGCCAGCTTGTGTCGGCTCCAGGTCATTGGGTCGCTCAGGCGGAGCTTGCGGATTTCCTCGACATCTGCGGGGGTCAAGTGGTACTTCCGCTCGGGGTCGCTGCGGTAGACATTGGGGAGTTCTTCAACCTTGTCCGTCACATTTCCAGTCGCCGAATCTTCAATGCGCATCGACCTGCGGGCATCGTTGGAGGGCAAGAATTTGCTAGGAGTGTGATAGACGGATGGTGCGCTGGACGGCGGGTTGTAGATGATCTGATCGCGGCCCTGGTACGATGAGCCAAAAGTGGCATCTGGCTTGACACGGAGGCGTTGCTTTGTTCGTCGGTATGAAGATTGATAACGTCGAGATCCCAGAGCAAGGGAATCTGACCATGAAGGAAGGAGGAAGGGCAGCGTGACGAATGGCCGCTTGGAAGCCGCAATTGAGGTGGCCATTTTGAGGTCTGCAAGTCAATGCTGAGCTGGAGACTGATGGGAGTCAGTACAATTACAATGGACCTTGTCTTAGGTTAGAAACCTACCGGAACAAGTGGGTGAAGGGAGGTCGACGAACGAGCCGTGATAGACGGGGCCAAGGTGGACGTGTCGAGCCCGAACTTTTTTCCCCGAGTCTCTTGAGTCTCGTGACTTGATCCCGATCGGGCATGGCCGGACAATACCGTATTAGGTAATCTATCTGGTAATCTCGTGGTATTTGGTACTTTACCACTGACTCGCCGGCCACCAACCAGCTGGTCCAACACCGTCTGTACTTGGTACTTTACCCCGTCATAACACATCCACCCCCCATTGGCGTTGATCACCTGGATCACCGCATGTCATCATTGTTTCCTGGGCAAAAGTTGAGAGGGCGATCCATCCCATCCTCTCCTTTTCTCAACATTCATACCCATCCTACGATTCGTATTTCTCGTCTCCCCCTTCGAAACACCCTTGAATCGTTCAAAGACGTTTCTGGGTCATGGCTATCGTCTTCTAGAACATCTGGGCCCCCAGTTTCCATAGTTCCTCGACTCCTGTTATCTTGACTAGTTTCCACTGGCCACCCTCCGTCCCATTTCACCATGTCGGACCCTCGGAATGTACTACCCGAGTCTATGGATGGACAACTGCAGAATTCCATCTCATCTTCTGCGCAGCTGCACGGTGATCTAGTACACCCAGCAGACAAGAATGCTCTCTTGGTCGGGAAGCCTGCGACCAATGTACGAGCTCCCAAGCCCGCCAACCTGACTTGGTCCCAAGTGCAGCAAGTCGACAATGACCAACATATGGGATCTGGCGCTCTGAGTAGCGGACCGGTGTCGCCGATATCACCTGGCGACTCGTCTGAAGCGTTGCGAACGCCAGGTGTTTCAGAGCGGCAGAAGTACGCGTACAGGCAACCGTCATCCCCCGGTGGGAACTCACAGTTGCCTCCGCGTCTTCATTCCCCGGCGTCGCAAATCTTTGAGCGAAGTGTTCAAGAAGACATGCTTCCTCAGCAAGCTTCTCCGTCCATACCCGCACATATTCGCACCGAGAACTACATTCCCCCAGTACTGGAGGCCTCGTCAGCTGCCATCACCGACGAGCAATTGGACCCGGATTCAGTGGAAATCATCACTCATAGTATGCACCAGTCTGCTGCCGCTGGTGTGACTGGCACGTCTACAGCAGAGCACTCACTGGCGTCCTCCGGCTTTGTTGATCATGCGGGCTTCCACTCTATCGAGGCTGATGAAGGCTCATCTAGTCATGCAGCACTGGACTCGACGGACGTTCGCCGGCTGAGTTTCATCTCTTTCGCCGATGTAGTCAATGCTGAACATGCAGAGACGGGGGAATCAGTGTATAGTCGAGAGCCCTCCCAGGTTGGAGGATCCTCAAGCCATCCGATTGGAGCCGGACACCATAATCGCTCGCCGTCCCCGTTGCATTCTCCCGCTTCTTCTCATGGACTGGGCACATCTCCGCCAACCAGCCTTGCGACCTCATTCAAAGGGCTCGAAATGTCACCCAACCATGGCACGCGCGGGCCAGGAAGTCCACTCCCATTAGCCCAAAGCCCAGTTTCTTCCAGTTTCGGCGGTGAACTCAACGTTGAAACGATGCGACAAGCTCTGAGACGAACGGGTAGTGGGGATCTTGGCGGGTTTGCCAGCCAGCCAGCTAGTGCCATCGGCAACGATGAGCCTTTGGATCGTCATTTCTGAATTTTGGTCTGAAGTGGTGATATCTCCTTGCTCTTTCCAATTGTCTCTTTTGGTAGGCGGTTTGCGTGACGGGGAAGATAGTTCGGAACTGTCGTTGTTTAACTGTGATGCTCTGCACCGTGTCCCTCGCTCATGGGCAATGCACATGCACCGACGAATCATGGGATCTTCAACCTCGGGCTCAAGCAGTCGGATGGCGTGACGATGGTGCTCTGTCTATTCTCATCATCGCGTTACACATAACTCAAATCTATGGATCTGGATATCCTTGATTACGCGCTACTTCAACATTCGGTGTTCTTTGGCGTTTCTTGATTATTTACATCATTTTGTGTATATACCCTTTGAAATGTAGGAAGTTGACTGTGCCTGCGCTCATACTGGCTAAATCTCTATGAATGCAGTGCGCCCCAGAAACACGGCACTGGGGCTATTAGAAATATCTCTGAAGGTTGAGCAGATGGAGTTTTGTTGAAGATGTAGGAGCGCCAGCGGGTCATTATCGAGTCTATTTTGCGACCTTTTCCACTGCATCCAGAGCCCGCTGGAATCGGCCTCGCAAGTCGGAAACCTCCTCCAGTCCGACGCTAATTCTGACCAGGTCAGGGTCGACATTGAAAGATCTCGCCTGTAGGAAGCAAATACATGTTAGCTTGTTATCGCGTGGAAGAGGCGCAGTCGCGGGGAGATATAGCAAATCCTACCCAGTCAAGTTCGAGATAATGGGCTAGTACGACATATGGGGAGCTGCATAGAAGTCTGATTAGCACCACTTGAGGGATTAGCGGATATTTGGTAATCGTCACTCACCTAAGGGTGAAGTTTGTGCCGAGACTAGGGCCCTTCAAGACCTCAAGGGTATCATAGAATGCGATGGATCCTTCAGTTGAATGGAATGTGACAGAGAAAAGGCCACCGTAGCCACCGTTGGGACTACGAAGGCTGTCGTAAAGAGGCCTTGTTGGACTGTATTTGGGGTAGTAAACGTCTTTGACTGTAATTTATTTTCGGTTAGAGCCAATAAAACCAAGGAAGGATAGAGGCTTATTTACCTAGCGGAGATGCCTTCAACATGGCGGTGATTTCTTCGGAGGTGGCGTTGATCTTGTCAATTCTGCTGATAAAGTCGCGGCTGTTCCGCTCCAAGAAAACGGCATCTTCAGCCCAGTAAAGATCCTCAAACTCGCGGTTCAAGGTGTCCTTCAGCAACTTATAGAATGGTGCTTGCGGGTTTAGTACTCCACTACCACCCATGACATTGCTGTCTCCACTGAAAATCTTTGTCAAACTGCTGACGACGATATCGGCATGTGGAAGGACATTGATATTGAGGAAATTGCTGATAGTTTCATCAACAACCACGGCAAAGCCATACTTGTCAGCCAAACCTCTGATCCGGACGAGATCTGGAGTCTTGAGCAGAGGATTGCCTGGCGCTTCGGTGAAAAGCCCAAGGAAACGTTCGCCATTCTTCAGTCGTGACTCGAGATCATCCAGGTCCTCTGATGAGCCGTGGCCATAGAACAAGCAGCCTGGTCCCCATTTCTGTAGAATCTTCAGGGTGTCGGTATAAGGGAAGCCGAAACAGATGCTCTTCAAGGGTCCGCGGGCAGCCAACAATGTTTGATGTGAGTTGAAAATGGCACTCATGCCAGAGGGATAGAGATACACATCCTCCTCTGAGATGCCGGAGACTCGGCCTTCAGCCGAAGTAGTTTCGAGCGCCTCGGGCAGCTCAACATCGGCAGTGAGCACACCGGCAATCCGCCTCCGCACAGCAACCTTTGCCTGCGCAGCCAACGCGGTGCTAAGGTTGCGACCAAAGCGTTCCTCAATGAATTGAGCGTAGTCTCGGCCGTCTTCAGCACCGTTGGCCGCAGAAGGGCTGTCCGTGGACGTGGGAGTCGAGGCCGAAGAGCCCCGCGAGATTCCACTGATGGATCCCTTACCCTGGTAGCGACGAGGGCCCTTGCAGGGCCGCTGTGAAAGAGACTCCGATGCCGCAGACTTCTTTTCCTCCACCAGGAACCCATCCTCCAAAGCACGAAGACAGAACTCTCCCCGCCGACTCGATATGCCGTTGCCAGAATGCTGCCAGACCTGTTTGGCAATGGATGCATATTCCTTATTGTAGACGACAGCGAACAACGACGAGGTAACTGCGGTTGCTCCTTCACCGGCTTGCGAGGAGGGCACAAAGGTCACGATCCGAACCTTTTGTGCCTCTTCAGCAGAGACCTTGGACACGATGAACGACTCGCAGATACGCGCGGTCTTGAGGGTTGCGAAAAGGGTGGCAGTTTCCGACTCGGGATCTCCGACGCGACGAACGATTTCTTGGGCGAGCTTCTGAATGCTAGGGTGTACGAAGAATCGAGGATAACCGCATTGCATCTTGCCGATGACCCATTCCTCTCCCTCCTCGTACCCAATGTTGGACCTCCATGTCGGTAGTGATACACTGACAGCCTTTAAATTTTGTCAGTAACATGTCATGAATTAGATATGCGCGTCTCCAGCTCGAGCGGCCTGTAATGAAGTATCCCGGGGAGAGACCCATGGAGGGGTATAGTGCGGGGGATTAAGAAAGACGAACATGGTCAGTGTTTGGGGGCACAGGCCCTCCGAGTGCTTGAAGCATCCTGATTTTGAAATTAATAGAGAACTAAGAATCCAATTCAAGAAGAAAAACCAAAATAGTCAAGTGTAGTAAAGGAGAGAACTGAATCAACTTTTCGACTCATCCGTGTAGATTGCGACTTCGGCGCCATGACTCAGCTAGTTGGGGCTCGCCAGTTGGCTGCGGATAGTCCTTACCGCCCCTACCGCCCGCCGAGTTCTGCCCGTCTGTTATCGTCCGCTCAAAAAAATTTCGAGATTATCGCAAGATCGGTTTTAATACCTCGAAGCTCTACATACTGCACATTACATCCTGGTTTTGCTTGGCTTACAATTTGCCAGCGCAAGGATGTCAGCACACGCAGTTAAGCGAAGGAAATTGAGTCCTTCGCCCACAAACGACGCCTCAGCGACCCAGTCGAAATCTTCCGCCGGCGCAACTACGACCGAGAAACCAGCTCATGTTCCTGCGCGAAAGAATGACCACTCCTCGAAGACAAACTCTGCTCACCGGGCAAAGGATGAGCGCACTGCAGAGCTGGCAATGGCCAGTGGCTTCTACAAGTCCGGCTTCTTCAAGCTGCAAGTCGATGAGCTGGTGAGCGGGTTGAAAATCAACTACGACAAGCGGATCTCCAAAGTCCAGGATACCCTGCACAAGGTGAAGAATGCGATCGAAAGCCTGCCTGAACTCTCGCCGAAATCGATCGCGGACGCCGAAAAGGAGCTTCGAACGGCTTCTGGAATCGTTGTGCCATGGCCCGAACCGCGCCCAAGCAAGGATGTTAAGTACACTGTGTCGTATGCGAAGCCAACCAACATCAATGTGGTGGGAAGCTTTGGGCTGAGAACTGGAGCCAAGACTACCGACTCTCGTCCAGTCGACCTGGCGGTGACGATGCCTGGCTCCATCTTCCAGGAGAAGGACTATGTCAACTACCGCTACTTCCACAAGAGAGCCTACTACATTGCTTGTCTGGCAGCTGGTATCCAAGAAACCGTCAACAGCCTTGGGCTGGATGTCAAGTTTAGCTTCCAAGATGGAGACAGTCTCCGCCCATTGATTGTGCTGGAGCCTCGTTCGTCAAAAGATGAGAAGACGCCATCACAGCCCCAGATCCGGATTCTGACTGCAATTGATCCAAGTTTGTTCCCGGTTACACGCACGCTCCCAATGAAGAACAACATCCGTCAAGGTCCCTCTGCCGATACTACGGAAGCCGGTGAACCGACTTCCTACTACAATGCTAGTCTTCGATCCGAAGCCGCCGTGTCTCTCTACCACAAATACCTCCACTCCGCCTCTCAAAAATGCGAATCCTTCCGCGATGCCTGCATTTTGGGACGCACTTGGCTGCAACAACGCGGATTCAACACCTCATTCCAAAAGGGAGGATTTGGAGGTTTCGAATGGTCCGCCCTTATCTCGCTGCTTTTCGAAGGCGGTGGACCCTCTGGACAACCGATTCTCCTGCGGTCTTACAGCAGCTATCAGATATTCAAGGCGACGATGCAATTCCTTGCTGGTCGTGACTTGTCTACTCCTTTGCTTCTGTTTACCTCGGATGTCCCTGTTCCTGATGGCGGGCCCGTTCTTTATGATGGCCGCCGAGGACTGAACCTTCTGTATAAGATGACCCCATGGTCGTATTCAGTTCTCCGTCAAGAAGCTACAACTACTCTAAAGATGCTGAATGAGTCTCGTGAAGACAACTTTGACAGGGTCTTCATTGTGAAGGTTGATGAGCCAGCCTTGAGGTTTGATCGTCTCCTCACTTTCCCCAAGTCATTTAACGGTGACACTCTTCGTTCTCTGCACGACCAAAAGTCATTGTATCAAGTACTTTCAAGGGCTCTTGGAGATCGAGTCAACCTCATTTCTTTGACCAGCCGCTCTTCCAATTCATGGCCTGTCAAATCCAAGGCTTTGAACAAGAAGGCGAGCCATGACTTGTCCGTTGGATTGATGCTTAATGGCGAGAACGTTGGTAGGACAGTTGATCATGGACCGGCCGCAGAAGAGAAGGAGGAGGCTGCTTCTTTCCGTGCCTTCTGGGGAGAGAAAGCAGAACTGCGTCGATTCAAGGATGGTAGTATCGTGGAGAGTCTTGTCTGGTCCGATCAACCTGACGAAGACTCTATCGTGCATCAGATTTTGGCTCACATCCTGCAACGGCATTTCAAGATTGCAGACGAAGACTTTTTCCTGCACGGTGATGAGTACGATGACATGCTGTACGACGAAGGAGATAGAGTCATCTCATACTCCAACTCACCTTTCCAGTCAATCAATGATGCTTTCGGCGAATTGGAGCAGTCACTTCGGAACATGGAAGAAGTTCCATTGTCGATTCGACATGTTGCTCCCGCCAGCCCTCTGCTTCGTTATGCAGCCCTTCGAGTGCAGGGTGCCGACGGAGACAACGAAGCGGCTGATGTTGTCCTCCAGTTTGAAAGTTCATCACGTTGGCCCGACGATTTCGCGGCTATTCAGATGACCAAGGCGGCTTTCCTCGTCAAGATTGGAGACTCTCTCCAAGCTGCAGGCGCAGCATCTTCTTGCCGCGTTGGTCTGGAGAATGAGTCCAGCAAGGTGCTCAACAGTTTCTATCTTGATATTTTCCACTCTTCGGGATTCACTTTCCGCCTGAGGATTCACCATGACCGTGAGCAGACTCTGTTGGAACGCCAGCTCAAGAACAAGTCTATCAGCCCTCGGGAACGAGAGGAGGTCGCATTTGCACTTTTCTCATACAAGAAGGTGTTCGTCCAAACCCCTCGCTTGACGCAAGCACTCCGAAGCCTTTGCACCCGCTTGCCATTGCTGTCGCCTACCATCCGGTTAGTCAAGTACTGGTTTGCCTCCCACCTGTTCTCTGCTCAGATCAGCGAAGAGTTGATTGAGTTGATGACAACCCGAGCCTTCACCCAGCCCTATCCCTGGGAGACCCCCTCGAGCATCATGACCGGATTCCTGCGGACCCTCCATTTCCTCTCCCGATGGGATTGGCAGCAAGAACCCTTCATTGTCGACCTCAGCGGTGATCTCAACCCGGACGTGACCGAGACTATCAAGACTCGGTTTACCGCCTGGCGCAACATTGACCCAGCGATGAACACCGTTGCGCTGTTCGTCGCTTCGGACCTAGACACAGAGGGTGTGACTTGGACGCAGTACGAGATGCCCTCGAAGGTTGTGGCCGGCCGCATGACTGCGCTGGCCACGGCAGCATTGAACCTGCTCCGCAAGGAACATGACGAGCTGGATGTAGCCGACTTATTCCACACCTCACTTGCGCCGTACGACTTTGTAATTCACCTGCGCTCGAAGCCCCTCGACGACCGATCTGGCCCGGCATCTAAATACAAGAACCTAGCCGACGCCAATGCCCCCGGCCGCGCAGGTAAACTGGCAATCGTGAAGTCCTTCGTCCACGACGTCCAGGCATGCTACAACCAAAGCATTCTCCTCTTCCACGGCGACGAGCGCTCCGGTGTCATTGCAGGTCTATGGAACCCCCAGATGCTGAAGCCCCGTACCTGGAACCTGAAGACTGCGTACTCGACAGCGCCAGCGCTTGTGTCCGGTTCTCCAGAGAAGCAGGATAGCGTGATGATCAACCAGCCCGCGATTCTGAACGAGATTGCCCGTCTAGGCGAGGGCCTCATCGAGACAATCGAGATTACAGGCTCCAAACAATAAAGCGAGGAAGAACGACAAGAGTTGTTTGTTTATATTTCAAGATTAAAAATTTTCTTCCTATTGGCGAAATGTACATTTACCTGCTAGCGCCGCTGCAATGCAAACTGTGCCACAAATGAACACAACACATAAACAAACGTTTGAAAAAGTAGAAAGAGATACTGTAAGAAATGAAACGAAAAAGGAGGAAAAAAGAAAAAGCCAGCGCCAGCATCAGCATATCAAAGCGCATGAAATCACGTCATTTTACATTCATGAACTGCTCCGGTCCGACTTGCCCGTCGGTACCTGAGAGGAAAAGGAACAGAATTTGTCCTTGATGGCGACGACCTCGTAGGTACCTTCGTCCGAAGTCTTGATCGTCTTCTTGTGTTCGTAGGAAATATCGTGCTTGATATCAAGAACCTCCGACTTCTTACCCTTGCGGGCATTAGTGCTGCGAATGTAGCTGCAGATGGAAGTGTCAGTAAGAAAAACAGTAGCTGAATGAGACATGGGACAGCACAAATGACTTACGTGAATTCAAACGGCGGCGTGCCCCAAAACTCGAAGCTCAACTCCGCTTCTCCACCCTCGTGAATGTCGACCACGGACACCTGGCCCTGGCTGATGCGCACACTGGGCATCTCGTGTATAACCTTGGTTATATCCTTGTGGGCCTTGCATTTGCCGCTAGCCCCGTCACCGACAGCGGTGATTGTAAACTCGCCAGGACGCTCGGCGATACGACGGAAGTTGGTGTTTGGAGAGGTGGCCTTCCGTTGCACGCCGTTGAAGGTATAGAACACGTCGAAGGGAGCGTGTCCAGACAGGGAGAAAGACAGACGCTCTCCAACACAGTAGTCTACCTTGGACTCGAGAGGGATGATCGTGGGGACATCCGAAACGGCGACCCGGACAGACGAAGCATCGAACTCGGTAGTTCTCTGGCAGCCGCGAGCGTCGCGAACCTTGTGGATGCTAACCACATGCTGGCCCAGGTCAAGGTGGCGACGGGGAAGGGGCAGGTTGTGGTGATTGGAGTTGATCTTGGGGATGGTGACAATTTCCGGCTTAGCGTTGGAATGGTGTTTGATGATGATCTCCAATGAGAATGGAGGAAGACCTTCCAAGGTGAGAGGAATAGTCTCCTCGCCAGTGGCATCCTCCTTGCAGAAGCCGTAGATATGTCCAGGAGAGTCAAACTTGGCGGACGGAAGCGAATTGACCTTTTGCGTGACCACAAGACCACTGCTCTTCGGGTCATAATCATAGAGATTGTCGCCCACCTCGGAGAACTTGTAGGTGTACTGACCTGGCTCACAAGTATCCATCTCCATGGAAGCCGAGTTGAGAGCGGTTCTGATGTTCTTCGATCGGGCAGAGGCTTGTCCACGGTCTGATTTCCGGCGTTGCTCGTATTGAAGACTGAACGGAGGATTGCCAGACAGGCGGAGCTCAAGACTATCATCGTCACCCTGGCAGACCTCGGGCTTCACAAACTCGCCCTTGACGATGGGAGAACCGTCTACGGCGGTGATTTGGGGCCGGGGAATCCATGAAACTTCAAACTCCTTGGCAGATTGGTCGACAAATCCAGAGCAGGATTTGTCATAGACTTCAAGGAGTTCATAGAGACCCTCACGATCCACAGTTAAACGGCTGTTCTCGTCCCAGAATGTCTTGGTCAGAGGCGAGGTATTCACATCCACGTTCTTGTACTTGATAGTCCATGGCTTCTCGCCGCTCAGTCGCAAGGGAATATCAATTTTAGATCCTGCCAAAGCAGAAATAGTTCTCCTTTTGTCAATTTGGCCGAACGCGACATGTGGTGGCTTGGACCGAGCGTCAATCTTGATGCTGTCCTTCAAGTTCCGTTTGCAGTTCGACTTGTCCTTGATGCTGGTCAGTGAGAGTCTGTACTCGCCGCCGCTGACCAGCTTGTCCGTAGTAATAGTAGCAACATCAGTCTCGGACTCCAAGGTGTGCTTTGTGCGCTTGCCATTGTGGACAAGCTCGTACTGAAGAGACCATGGGGCTTCTCCCAGGAATGCCAGATCCACGGATACAGACTCGCCGAAGCAGGCCTTGCGTACATCCCTGGGGCCAAGGAAGTGAGCAGACGCCGGTGGCTTGACATCCTGTTCAAGAACCGCGACCTTGTCTTTGAGGGATCGAGGAGAGTACACGGAATCTTCAATATCCAGGAAGCGATACCGGTAGGAACCAGCCTCGGACGGCGTGAAATCTAGCTGGGATCGCAAGCCGTCGATGATCTTCGTCTGCGTTTGCACACCCTTCGGACTTTCAGTGCTGTACCGGATACGGAAGGGAGGGGATCCTGTGAGGTCTAGATCAACAAGTAGACCAACCGCATTGTTAGCGCATCGGTCGAAGACCTTCTCAGTCTTAATGGACAGCTCCGGCTCGGGAGGATTGCGCAGATTGCAAGATGAAGGCTCCAAGACTTCACCTGGGCAGTACTGACTCGACACCGATGTCAGGGAGTACCAGCCAGGTTCTTTGATAAGAGTCTGCTGATCCAGGCTCTTCAGGACGATGGTCTTACTATCAACGACTTCACCTTCCTTTCGTTCGGCACCGGTGGCGCTGAAAGAGTAGGTGACAGTGAAGGGACCGTCGCGATCGTATGGCTTTGTAGTTTGTTGGAAGTTAATTGGCAAGTTGACGCTATCCCCACGAGCAACCTCCAGCGGGCGCTGCTCATTGCAGCCAGACAAGGACACTTGGGGACGCTCGTGGATCATCAATTGATGCCACTGAGACGATGACTTGGGTGACGGCCTCTCCCCATCCTCAAAGATGGAAGAGTAATTGGCGACATTGCCCAGAGCATCATGAACCTCTTCAATGGCGTAGAACCATTCGCCGTTCACGTTCAACGATTCATTCAAGGGGACATCAATCTTCTGGCTTTGAGCCCAAGAGATGTCCGGCTGGTTAATACTGAAGAGGGCACCCGTGGGTTTCTGATTCAACAAGGGAGTGCGCAAGTTATCTGGTTGGACGTTCTGGAAAGAGACCCCGCGGTCCTGGAAGTTGACCTCCCGACTATACTTAATCTTCAAGGGAGGTGTACCCTCAACCTCGAGAAGGATGTTGGACAGCTCTCCTCTGCATTTATCGGTGTAGGAGTTCTTGATGAGTGCACGAGGACAAGTGACCACCAGTGCGTCAGAGGTACGCGTGCGAACATCCAGTTGAGACTCATCCACCACACGCTGGAGGCGATAGATACCGGTCTTGCGCACGGGGAAGAAGAGATCCCGATGCGGGACAGTGTCCAAAGTCGCATGTCGCTTCTCGGCTTGACGCTTGAGCTGTTTGAGCTGCTTGGCGGGGATAGTCAAGGTTTCGTTTTCACCAGTGTGGAGGTCGAGGCGCAACACTTCAATGAGGATCGGGTCGGTCTGGTTCACTCGAATGGGGAGGAGGACAGTGTTTTTCTGAGCATCGAGACAGAGTGGTTCACGTTCGGGATTGAGAACAGCAGACCTAAGGGGGTCAGTAAGCTTGCGCGCGCAATTGTAACCTGGGGAGAGCTAATAACTGACCCTTCCGGCAAGATATGCACAATTTGCTTTCCCAGGATCAAAGACGCATTATGGATGATGTCTCCGGGCTTCACGTTGCGCCCGGAGATGGACAGCTCGCGATCATAAGCTACCTTGACCAAGCCTCCGAGCCACGCGCCCAAAGGAATCTAATTTGAGGTCAGCGGGAAGCTCATCCTCAAAGAACATTAATTCAAGAACGCAAAAGACAAAGAATCTCACCGGGATACGGAACATGAGGAAGACATTGCCCACAACATGTAACAAGAACATAGCCAGTGTGGTGGGGAACGCCCACTCTAGCCATGGTATGCGCAGAGCTTGCAAGCCAAACAAGAAAATGCCGTCCAGAGATACCCATTTCAAAAACAACCACGTCGAGTCCAGCTCATCGGAGGCATTCCAGGATTCGTATATCCGATACGCGTTGAGCGCAAAGTAGAAGGCCACCACATAAAGACGTTGCGAGGGCGCATCGATCACGTCGGTAGGGACGAGCGGCGTGTTTGTGTTGGCGTTGGCGAGCGGCTTGGGCACCTTGGCGGGGGATCTGCTCGGCGACTTTTGAGGGCGCACATCGCGCGGTTGCGAGCGAGATGGAGTCTCAAAGAGCTTCCTTCTCCTTGGAATGGTCGTGGGCGTCTGGGGAAAGGCAGACGGAAGGAGGGGAGTGCCGTTCATGGCATGCTGTGGTCGCCAGATTTGTCGTGAAACAAGGTATGAGAGCCCTGGGAGGGAGGGCAAATGCGAGGAGCGGGGCTCGTAGTTGAGCGCAGAGCTCGTGTAGGAGCTAACAAGGACGTATAGACTGTACGGGTCAATGGGCGATGGGATGGTGAGGCCAGAGACGAGCAGATGAGAAGAAAAGAGAAAAGTTGAAGCCAGCCGAGAGACGCGGGAAGCGCGTCGAAGCTCGGTCCACCGCCGAACATGCCGCTATACATTCTATTCTACCAGTAGTTACTACTCCCGTACTACTCCACTACTCCTCAATTATTACAGTACACCTGCGACGTCAGCTTTCATCTTTTGTTGTGGGGCCCTTTATTGGGAAGTTTGTAGTTTGTCTAAATATTCGTGGCCTGGAGATTTGTCACTGTTTTTCTTTCAGCGCTGCCTTAAGACTGTCTTCACCCCCGTTGCGGAGCTTGATCGATTGCTCCCCTCTCCAACTTCTCTACATCTTGAAGTTTGACACTTAAGCTTGGTTCAATCGCTTGAACTTATCATCATCTACCCTCATTCACCATTATCTATCATCATGGGTCCTCGCAACAAGCGACGACGTCTTACCGACCCTTTGGACGATCTGAATGACTCCGATATCTACAAGCCCGCAACTGGGCTGGAAAAGAACAGCTGGAATGGATTCTGTGAGATTGAATCAGAGCCCGTATGATAAACTCAGCTTCTCGTGTGAAGGCCGGCGCTGACAACTTTCTATCAGGCTCTCTTCAATGTGATGCTCCGTGAATTCGGAGTAAAGGGTGTCAAAGTCCAGGAGGTGGTCTCCCTGGACGAAGAAATGATGGCGTTCCTCGAGTATGAGCTTCTGGTCCCGTTTGATGCCCCCTCTTGCTACGATCCGATGACTAACGAAGACATGTACAGCAAACCCATCTACGGCCTGATCTTCCTCTTCCGTTGGCGGGAGGATGATCCCGAGAAGCAGGAAGCGAGCTGCCCAGATGGCATCTGGTTTGCAAACCAGGTACGTTTCCCAGTGATTGGCCTTTGGTCTCTGCTTTGACTTGCTGCTAATTCTGCCTCAGACGGCTAGCAATGCTTGTGCTAGCGTAGCTTTGCTGAACATCGTGAACAATATCCCGGGCATCGACCTTGGGGAGAATCTGCATCACTTCAAAGAGTTCACAATGCCGTTTACACCGGCTTTGCGGGGAGATGCCATCAACAACTTCGAGTTCGTGAAGCGAGTACATAACTCCTTTGCCCGGTACGTCTTCTCATCTGAGAAATTGTTTCTACTCGACATTTATTTTCCTTACTGACTCTGCCTTTCTTCTTTTGGTCCTACAGCAAGATGGACATCCTCAACTCGGACCTCCAGCTCCAAGTTGAGTCCAAAACACGGAAAAAGTCCTCCCAAAACCAAGATGACTATGATAACGATGACTCGTCCTTCCATTTCATCGCGTTCATGCCGGTCATGGGCCAAGTCTGGAAATTCGACGGCCTGGAGCGACAACCTCAATCAATCGGTGAGTGAAAAAAAATGACTATGTGATATGAAACCGAGCTTAGGCTGATTGAAACTCCAGGTCAATGTTCTGAAGACGACTGGCTGGATCTGGTCCGCCCGAACCTCCTGGATCGGATGGCCGCCTACGAGGAAGACCAAATCGAGTTCTCGATTTTGGGATTAGTTCGAGATCCCCTACCAGACCTTGTTCAACAGCTTGCCGTGAATGTAAGGAGCCTGGAGATGATTCATGAGCGCCTCCTGTCCGACGGCGACACCACCGCGGCAGCCACCACCATCACCCCCTTCGAGGGCACGGTGATCGGCCCGGAGCCATCCCTTGCGTTGACGCGGGCCGTGATCAATGCCGCCGAAATCCCGGAGGAAAGTGTGAGAGAATACCGGAGATGCTCTCCAAGTCAACTTCAAGAGCATCGACAAAGACTCACCCAGGCGCAGGGTGAGCTTCGGTGTCGAGTACGCGAAGAACAGCAGTCGCAACGTGCGGACGATGACCATGCGACCGGGCGGCGTTATGATTATGGACCTGCAGTGCGAACATGGCTACGCTTCCTGGCGCGAAAGAAGGTGCTGGCTGAGTTGATTCAATAGAGAGGGTGGTCGAGACCCTCGTGGGGCGGCGATTGGCTAATAACCCGTTTTTGTATAGTCCCGTCCATTGTCCCTTCCTTTGCACACCTTAAATTTTGAGTAGTTTCGTAGTCCCGTTGAATGTAGATAGTACTTGTAAGGTACATCCTTATCATTTGATCCTCCATGACTTCCCCTATTCTCCTGTTGTCTATGTCGAGTACTTTTGGGAGAAATCATAGGGAATAACAAAGCTCCCTCACCGAATAATTAACCGCCCTTATATACTTGTCTCCACTATCTGTATATTATTCATTCCAACCAACGAGAACATCCTCAAATAAAAGCGTATCCTATTCATAGAAACCAAATAATCCAAGTCGCTACCAAGTCATCGTGACCCTCCACCAGATTTCCCCACTCGGCAAAAAGAAGTTCCCACGTCACCGCCCCAGTTTTCCCCCCGACACTTTCTCCAAAACCGAAAACCAACAAACCCTGGGCTATTGAATCTCGCCCCTCTCTCTCTCTCTCTCTCTTCTTCTCTCTTTTTGTTCTTGAATTTCGTTGGGTGGTCTCCTTGAGAACACCCCTGTGCATCTTTTTCTCTTTCTTCTTTTCCTTAGCGTCAACTCTTCCCCCTCAACAGATTGATTCAACTTTGTCTTTGCCACCAACTACATCTTTCCCCTCGGAGTACAAAGCTTCCCGGTTTCTCCCCCGCGCCACTCGAGACCATGTCAGCCACCGTTGTGCCTGAGAAGACCCCTGATGACTCCTCCAAGCTGAAGACTTTCCTCTCGATCTTGCGAAAGTATGTCTTACCGATGCGCCCAAAAATAACACGCTCGAAAAAGCAAAATAGCTTGCTCGGAGGTACTAACAGATGATCTCCGAATTACTAGGTTCGTGGGTGTGACAGATATCGCATCGGTTCGCTTCTCGTTGCCGGCTCAACTATTGGAACCCCGACCGAATCTGGGTATGTCTCAAGTCAAGGAGTGACTCTGTGGGGTAAGGGGGGTTAAAGACGAAGGAACAAACAGCTAATGGGAGTCGCTTACTAGAATACTGGAACTACTTGGATCGACCCGAGACCTTTGCCAGGTCAGCAACCTACCTACGGGTCCCAACTATGACGACCGCGCATATGCTGACACAGACTATACAGCATTGGCAAATCAGACGATGAACTGGGACGGATGCTGGAGGTGTTGAGGTTCTGGTTTACCAAGGACCTGGTATATTTTGACACACGACTACCATGAAAGGAATGATGTACTGAACTTCCGACAGAAATACATCAAGGGAAAGCCATGCAAGCCTTATAACTCGACCTTGGGCGAGTTCTTCCGGGTATGTCTATTTATTGGAGCTAGACATAGCTTTCATAGCACTTGGCTGACCTTATTCCCCCCGCTTGAACAGTGCAGCTGGGAGGTGCAAGACTTTGTCCCCGAAGAAGCCAATCTCCCGGGAGTAAACGCCGCCACCAACGGCACCACCGTCCAAGATGGTGATGAAAAAGTCAAAGTCTGCTATATCACTGAGCAGACCTCGCACCACCCGCCAGTCTCAGCCTTCTATATTGACTGCCCCGAGCGCGGTGTGTCTGCACGCGGATTCGACCAGATCAGCGCCAAGTTCACCGGCACCAGCATTCGTGTGAGCCCCGGTCAGCACAACCTAGGCATCTTTGTCAACATCGAGAAGCGAGACAACGAGGAGTATCAGTTGACCCACCCCCATGCTCACCTCGGAGGACTGCTGCGCGGTGCTCTGGCCATTACCGTCTCGGACGCCTGCTTCATGATCTGCCGCAAGACACGGATCAAGGCTATCTTGCAGTACGTGGAGGAGGGATGGATCGGCCGGTCTCAACACAAGCTTGAGGGCGTGGTCTTCCGCTACGATCCCGACAACGACACCATCACACGGCTGCGAGATGTAGCCGAGAGCGACGTTCTTGCCCGAATCAGCGGGTCCTGGCACGGCAAGATCTACTACACTCCCACAGGGTCCAAGGAGCCCCGTCTACTTATCGACATCACCCCATTGCACCCCGTGGACAAGATTCTCCCTCCAGCCGAGGACCAACTTTCCAACGAGTCTCTCAAGTTCTGGGGACAAGTCACCAACGCCATTGTAGACAAGCAATTCACGGAAGCCACGCGGATCAAGCAGGAAATCGAGGAACGACAGCGTCAGAAAGCCGCTGAACGCAAAGAGAAGCAGGAAGAGTGGAAACCACGCTTCTTCACCGGCGCCGTGACACCACTCGGCAAGCCAGAGCTGACAGAGGAAGGCCAGAAGGCTCTGGAGGGTATTCGAACTGGGAATTACGTGTTGGAGGAAAGTACAGTGCAGGGCGCATAGAAGGAAGAAACCAACCCTATATTAATCGTGTCGTCTCTTTCTTGGGCAGTTCCAACAGCACCCATCTCATCCCCTTCATGGCGTATCTGGTATGCGACCAATTTCAACACGGCGTCTTCTCTCTATCCTTTCTATTGCTCCCTACCTGCCCTTTGCCCTCTTTGTCTATTCCTTAGCCATTAGCCGTTGGCTTTTAGCTTCTTATTCTGCTTCCTTCCTCTTTCACACATACTTAGATTTCATATTGGGGGATGTACCTTGTCTGTTTTTTTCAACCTTGCCCCGAACCCCGAACCTACACCCCCCATTCTGTGGATAATATCTTGCGGGCGAATGATGATTTTGTTCTGGGAGTTTCGTACGTATAGGTTGACTCCCCGTGCGATCAGAATGAATATAGACTTTCTGCACACACTTTAATTTGTGGATAGCTGGCGATAGCATAGTCATACCCTATATAATCTCAGTCGAGGGAAATATATGCTCGACCAGGTTACATAAACATTTTTGAGCCCTGAATCTTATTACACTACCAAGGTATCAGACCAATACGTTACGATGGTGCTAGGAAATCATCAAGATGAACAAGAATAGGAAGATTCATGTACGATTCAAAACTCCACGAATGACGATAATGCACCAACCAACCAGCCACCAACACCCTCAACCAAGCACCCAAAGGCAGGATATAAGCAGAAATTACAGTCATCAAAGACATTAGAATATCATCAGTCCCCACCCGAAGAGCAAACCAACTATGCTGATGCGCTGACCGGCGCCGTGCTAGCGGGTGTACTAGCCGGCGCGCTGGCAGGGGCCGAAGTTGACCCGCTAACCACCTTGTTGAAGCCAGCGGTGACAACCTTGGTGATCTCCTCATTCTTATGCGGAAGCAAGGACAATGCGTAGGCAACATCGTTCCATTGGCGCTCGGTCTCGCAACGAGGAAGACGAGCAGCCAGTTTGTCGGAGAGTTGACGGGCGTGTTTCTCCTAGTGAAGCAGTGTGAGAAAGACAAGTTCCTTGAGTAGGTAGATAAAATGAAATGGCTTACCTTTTCGACGAAACCAATGAGGAACTTGACAATGCGGCGCAGAGACGCTTCCTCCAAGTTCCGCTCCGCACTGAGCAGACTGAACATATCGACAAAGTGGTTGTACACGGCATTGTCCTTGGTGGCCAACTCGGTGAAGAACATACGGGCCAAATCGGCAATCTTCTTGTCGTCGTCCTCCAGGCACTTGGCCATCTCGCCAAGTTGACCCTTGACCTTGACCTGACCGGCAAGAATGAGGAAAGTCAGGGTCATAAGACAAGTTCGCTTGACAGAGGCCTCGTCATCATTGAGACGGCGGTACAGGAAGTCAGTGTTCTCGTCAATGAGGTGGTTGAAGCAGACGGCCATATCGCCGAGAGCGATCACGGCATTGCTGCGCACAATAGGGTCTTCAGAGCGCTCCATGATTGTGATGAGAAGCGGGAGATTCTTCTCACAGTACTCGGCAGAAACGCACATGAGTTTTGCCATGCACAGAGTTGCTGAGGCCTGGAGGTCCCGGTCCGGATAGGAGTTGTTGTTGGCACAGATCTCAGCCACCAATGGGCCAAACTTGGCGAGTAGTGAGTTCTCTCCATACAAGAGCTCACGCTCTCGGATGTGGGCCATGGCGTCCTGGAAATCATCCTCTGTCGTTCCTCCAATAAGATCCAGCTCGTCAGCCTCGGCAGCTTCACCTTCCTTTGAGGCAGTAGCCTCTGCTGTCTTGGTCTTCTCTTGCTCAGCCTTGCGCCGCTTAAAGTCCAACTCACACAACTCAAGGTGCACGATTTGTTTGATGGCAATGTGACCAACAACGTACAGGAGCTGCGAGAGAGCAGCCGAAGAGGGCTTGGGCTTTGCGTTCTGCTCCTCACTAGAAGCAGTTCCCGGCCTTTGCTCCTCGCCGCTGGCGGTGGTGTGGGAAGAGGAGGGGCGTTCAAGGTGTGGCTGGAAGACAAATCGAGTCTTGCGGCGAAGAATATCCGAGCAAAGAACGTCAGGGTGCTTAGAAAGAGCGTAGATGGCACTAATTGCCTGCTCGGCAACGCCGTACCATTCCTTGCTCTCGGAGACGATCTCAAGGATAGCAGCAAGTTTGATCAAAACAGAGTGATCATTGGCGAGCTTTGGAACGGTGACAACATCCTTGGATTTGGCCTGGCGGCCAGGGACCATGCGTCGCAGAGCAATACAAGTGTACTTTGCGAGCACGAGGTCAGACCGACCCAGGCCACCCAGACCAATGCGCAGCATGGCCTCAATTTCCTTCACGACCACATCTGGGTCTGCCAGCGCCAGCATGCCGAGTACAATAATAGAACCGCGACGTTGGGTTTTGGATATCTCTTTCCTCTGAACACTGTAGACCTGCCACAACTTCGCAATAACTGCCTCTGAGACATGACCAGCCTTCATCATGGTGCTGAGTAACTGCTCGAGGCAAGTGAGCTCTGCAGGTGTCGCCCCAAACGTCAAACTGATCATGTTTCGTGCAATGTAGTTAGCTGCATCATTCGAGCTGAAAGAGTCGGGTGCGTCGAAGAAGAGGCCCTTGTAGCAATCAATGAGATGAGTTTGGACACCCTTGCCTTCATCGCTGTTGCCCTTGGTCCAAATCAAACGAAGCATACGCCGGATGCCGCTGCGAGCTGTCTCCACCTTGTAGGCATCTAGCATTACGAAAAAGTCCATGGCCTCGATGACCTCGCTCTTGTTTCGAGATGACAGCAATTGGGAGACAATCGCAGATGCAGAGTGAAGAACCTCAATGAAACGGATGGCCTCATTGTAGTACTTCCTCGTAAGCTGCAGCCGTGTCAGCAGTTCAGAGGTGGCGGCTTGCTCAGCTGCCTTTTGCATGGCCTCTGCCTTTTCTTCTTCTGTCATTCGGGGCGCCTTCGAAGGAGAGTCGTCGGGCAACTGAGTTGCGTCATCCAGTAATTCAGGGTCCACGGTCGTGACATCTCCATCGAATCCGGGAGTTTCTGCGGGCCGCAGTGAGTTCAGCTCCGCGTCGACGCCATCGAGTCTGTCAGTCCACTCTTTGTGAGAGAGCTGGCCACCGTGCATGACACTGAATGGGTGTGTGGCAACAAGCTTTGACAGCAGCTTGATTGCATTTCGTCGGACATTGCTGCTCTTGTCTTCCAGACTTCTTGCAGCCAATTGCGCAGCAGCTTGTCGCCTCTTGGGGAACTTCTGTTCCAAATCGCAGATCCGCATCAAAACTTGGATCGCTCGGCAACGGCAGTACGGGTTAATATCGAGGAAACGCTCTTCCAACACATCAAAGAACGCGTTGATTTGTGTCTTGGAGTTTTCGCTCGGCTCTTCTTGGCGGCTCAAGTCGGAGATGAGGTTACCGCAGACCTCAATCACGGCGCATCGGAGGGTATAGGCCTTGAATCTTTGTCAATCCTGTCCAAATGAAGAGAAGTCTGATTCGCCATACCTCGCTATCCAGCTGCTTGGCTAGAAGAGTCATTTGCTTAATGATCAATCTCGGCGCAAGCTCAGACAACTTGATGATGAACGCAGAAACAGATTTAGGTCCTCTGGTGTCATTTGAGTTGAATTCCTTGTTTCCAAGCTCCCTGGTGTACATTAGCCAAATTCTTCTCATACAGAAAATAGAGCAGCTAACGTACTTCAAAATCTCATCCGAAAGCTGCGGGTAGTCATACTGCTCCGCGAGAATGTGGAGGAATTCGGCCATGGGCTCTGACAGATGCTCAAAGTATGTCAAGCTCTGAACAATTGATGTTTGCGCACCTATCGTATGGGTCAGTGAGATGGCCTTGCGCAACAATAGACTCTGCGACGCCTACCGAAAGCATGACCATGGTGCTTAACCGCAATACATAGAACCTTGAAGGCATGCATGCGAATAGCCATGCTCTTCACTCGCTGCTCGCTCTCAAGAATGAGGTAGATTGTACGCGTAAACAAATTAATGAACGTATCGCGATCCGAAGTAGTCATAAAGATTCGGCCAAGCTTTAGTTTCATCACCTTGCACATAGTCTCCATGGAGATCTGGATCTGGGGGTCCAATCCCACTGTCCATCCTTTGCGGACTTTGACCTAGACTTGGGGCCTCCCCGACGTGCCGGCGCAGACTCGGCGGGCTTCTCCGCCGCCTTTACCTCCACGGCGGACAAAGCCCATTGGAGAAGAAAGCCGTACATCTCCAAAAGTTGCTTGTGGTGTTGAATGGCATCTTGTTCGTCGGATTCGAGATCGCCATGAATGATGTCGGCCTCAACGGATAGGCCAGAGACAATCAAGTCAAGGACTTTGCTCAGGGATTTCGAGGGGAGGAAAGTGGTATATCTGCAAGGGTTCAAATGTTCAGAGTCGGGTCCAGGCGCATGAAAGCCTCTATGGGGGGCATGGGAAGGGACAAGGGCGCACTTGAGCAGGAATTGTAGCGATTCAAAAAAGGATGACCTCGTCAATCCCTCTGGGTTTTCCGCGATCGCATCGACGATCGGGTTTAAAACATTGTCAACAAGCGCCGTTGACAGCTGGTTCGGGTCGGACTCGCAATCCAGGAGCTCGGGATCTGCATCGGGGGTCGGGATAGAACCTGGGTCACTCAAGTAATACTTGAGCGACTCGTTGATGTCGAACTGTATTCTATCCTCCATGGCGGGCGGGTGTGTTGGTGGTGTGAATGGGATGAAGAGGGGAGGAGTGGCGGGAGTGTTGATAAGCGGGTGTTTGGCTTTTGCCCTTTTGGGCCGCTTTCTTAGGTAACCGCGTGTAAATTACGTTGCTAGACGCTTTCCCCCCGCTAATACCACGGGTTCGTATTGTCACCACCGCGTATTGTCGTGTTGATCTCGGAGAAAAACAACGGAGCTGTGCTGTGGTTGGCATTTGTTTGGTTTGCGCTACCCTCTCTTCCTCCCACTCACCACCCTCGACGCTTTTCATGCCCTAACCTCTTGACAATCTGAGTCTGTTTTCTTTAATTTTTCTTTGAATACCCTCTCTTCTCACCTTCCTTCTCGAGACGAGCCCCCAATCGCCATGTCCGTCCTGCGCGGGGCCCCCGCGGGAGTCTTCGAGCTCAAGCGCAGTAGCTCCGGTCAAGGCCTACAAGCAGTAAAGGAAGAATACGCGTCTGAAGAAGAGGACAGGAGAACACCTAATGGTGAACAACCACAAGTGGAGAGCGAATACGAGGAAGAAGAGGAGGTGGACGAGACGGTGCGGGAAGACATGAACAAGCTGGAAGACACCTTTCCAGGTATTTCAGAGCGATTCCGACTGATCAATCGGATTGGAGAAGGTATGTTCTATTCAAATTACTGGATAGGTGGTTTGAGACTGTAATCGCTGACAATTTCCTCCAATCAAGGGACGTTCTCTACCGTCTACAAAGCCGAGGATCTACTTTACAACCACTACCATAACGACTGGGACATTTTCGGTCAAGCGCAAGCACAAGAACAAGAAGAATGGGACAATCCTCCATCCAAAAGGCGCCGGGTGGATGGGAATTCTGGGGGGCGCAAGAAGGCGCGGTTCGTGGCGCTGAAGAAGATCTATGTCACAAGTAGTCCAATTCGCATTCAGAACGAATTGGAGCTTCTACATGATCTTCGAGGATGCAAATCCGTGTGCCCCTTGATTACAGCCTTCCGCTACCAGGATCAGGTGGTCGCAGTGCTGCCCTACTTCCCGCATACCGACTTTCGCATTCAATATCGCACTTTCATGGTAGCGGACATGCGCCACTATCTACGCTCACTTATTACGGCGTTGAAGTCGGTCCACGAACATGAAATTTTGCACCGAGATATCAAGCCAACGTATGTGCCACTGGAGCGATCGAGCTAGGTCAAGTATTTCAAGACTAACATGCCTCTTGCAGCAATTTCCTCTATAATCCCGACTTGAAAGAAGGTGTTCTTGTTGACTTTGGTCTGGCAGAGGTACAGTACCACCCTTGGCTCGCTCCGTTAGGCCCCAACGTTTGACTAACTCCGTTCTTCCATCAATAGCGCCAGGGTTCTGAGTACAGCAGTCCATGCCTGTGCTCACACCAGAATTACGTCCGCCGTAGCCGGATACTTTCTAGCTACTTTTCCAAAAACCCACCAGCCAACGGTATCTCCAGCGGTTACCCGAAGGCTGATTCGCGGCCGTCAAGGCGCGCAAATCGAGCAGGAACGCGAGGGTTCCGAGCACCAGAGGTTCTATTCAAATGCACGTCACAGACCACAAAAATTGACATGTGGTCAGTCGGTGTGATCCTTCTCACCTTGCTTGGACGACGCTTCCCCTTCTTCAACTCGGCCGACGACATCGATGCTATGATTGAAATGTCAAGCATCTTTGGTACTCGGCGGATGAAGACAGCCGCCGCTATGCATGGCCAGATCTTCGAAACCAACCTCCCCACCATTGGAGAAAAGGGCTACAGCTGGGAGAAGCTGGTCAAATGGTCCAGCTGCGTTGAGGACTTGACTGAGAGTGAGTCTCAAGCGACGCGTTTGCTAGCGGGATTGATGGAACTCGACCCGTCCAAGCGTTTGAGTGCCGAGGATGCCCTGAACCATGACTTCTTTACGGACCCCATCCTTCATGATGTGGAATGGGGTGGTCACCCTGAAGATGCAAGTGTTGATTCAGAGGAGGATGACGAGGCAGGCGAAGACGAGGCCGATGAGGTCGCCATGCTATGAGATCCAAGATTTGTACGATATATGATGCGGTTCTGACTTTACCAAGTACCCCTTAAATTTTTGGCATCTGATGACCTAATTCTCGTCGAGTGGAGCCTAATGTTTCTCCAAAAGCAAAGTCAACATGATAAGACAGTAAACCCTTCTTGTCCATGCCATGCTGGGACAGTTCAAAGTCCGCGCCAAGTTCTCGCTCCAAATGTCATATCGACAAGACCTCTTCCGATGTATCCACAGTCGTTATGAATTATGCAGCTTCTCCAAAATCATAATGACCAGTCTCGGCCGCATGTTTCGTAGCCCCTTTCTCTCCAGTGAATGTACCCCCACAAGTATTGCAGCGAACCAAAAAACCCGACGTATCCGTATAATAGTGCTTACTCTGCAAGACACGACACATCTCCTTAGCCTTCTCCACGACAACAGGATCCGCCGCATCAAAGATTTTCGTATCATTCGGCGCAAACAAGTTGGCATGTGTATGTGGTGGATCGGAAGGACAGAGCGCAAGCACATCGTAATGAATGCCCGAATAAACAACTATACACCGAGTCGGAGCTCCCTCATTGAACTGGAACATATGCAGCGTCTGCACATCAATAGAGCAAATCTCAATATTGAAGTACTCGCTGATAATCTTGAGTTCGATGGCTCCACCCCACGAGTCCTCGTTCTGAATCCATTGGCAATAATCATCCGGCTTCTTCCCCAAAATAGCAGCCGTGTAGTCTGTCGGATTCGACTGGATGGCTCCTGCAACGATCGATCGTAGCTCAACCATGGTATCCATATCGCCCATGACTGCGGCTCCTACCGCGCGGAACAGACACGAGTTGTCATCAGGCATGACACGCAGCACGAAAGTGCCGCCATGCTCGGGGGAGGCAATCTCCGGTGGATCATCGGCTGTTTTCTCTGGCTTTTGCGACATCGAAGACTGTTGCTGAAGTTGTGGCGGTCGTTGCTGGGAGGTAGAAGAGCTACTGGGCTGGATCGGGGTGGTCTCGGTAGGCGCTGATGCGCCGGAGTCTCGTTGTGCGACGATAAGCTGTTCCCCGTTCAGGTTGATGCCCGTGTCGGATAGTAGTTGGGTTGGTTGGAAATGGTCGAGATTCAAAGGCTTGAGGTCTGGATATCCGTATTTAACGTCGAAGGAGGCGAGGCCTGTCTTCTCTGTGATCTGTCCCCGCAGGTCTTGGACGGTGGCTGAAACGTCTAGAGTGACGGTTGACTGGCCCGAGGGCCCACGCACGCGCAGACGCATAAGTTTTTGATGGATGGATTTATGAAGCTTTTCTTGGTTGTACGAGGTTGTTGACGCGAAAGTGATGGAGTCGGACAGGTACACAGGTACGTAGGCACGCAGGCGCAGGTGGTCCCGCCCGATAAGTGAGGGAGCTATGACGCTGGTCCGGTGTGGGGTAAAGTAGAGCAGTTGAAAGAAGTTGTTTGTCTAGCCATATAAGTTAGTCTTCAGAAGTATGAACGGAGTTCTGGAAGATCTCGGATCACTTTCACCGTATGATATCAACAAATTCAAAAGTCCGCAAATGTATATCCTCCATAAAGCTAGTAAGTTCCATAGATTGTCAACACTGACAAGTGACAACCTTTCACAAGCATCTTATCAATCATGATTTAAACAAGAGGCCAAATTATGATACCTACACTATCAAGGAAGGCAATTCAGAATCCAATTTGAAGAGATTCCCTAAAGTACTGAACTTAGACATATCCTGCTGGACAGTTTCTCTGGTCTCTAGATTCATTATAGAAGGGCAATGCGGAGATCAACATGGTTCCCCCCACACATGATACCGTGTTTGGACATTACGATGTCAAAGGTCTGCCGAGATAGTTAGCCACTCTTCCAGGTAATTTATAGACATTTCCAAAAAAAATTGGACAACAAATGAATCATTTCGGGGTCATTGGCGCTTTTGTAGCCATGTATACTCTACTCCGGGCTCTGGAGGCCTGGCAAACGAGGCCAAAATTGACAATACAGCGGTAATAACAGTGTAATAATACTGCTGACTCAGCCATTCGCAAAACATCCGTCCCCTTCGCGGACGCAACCAGGTCCTCTCCAAGCTACCGCGACGTCTTCATTTCAACTCTTTGAACACTCACCACGTGTACTAGGGTGAAAATGAGCAGTATGGAGTCGCCAGAGCGTGAGAAGTCTGCGCCTCAGCCTGAGGAGCCCGTTACTTCCATCGAGGATGACGGCGCCATCACCGAGGATCAGTGGCAAGGCATGGGCGATATGCTCATGGCGATCTACGATTTTCGCGAGCAGGAGTAGGTTCTCGTACTGAGGTTCTCATATTGAGGTGGTGGAGAGTTGTGAGGATTGTCCAGCTAATCGTGCCGTTTTAGTGGTCATGACCCCTCGCGACTGTTCCACCGCAGTGTCAACAAGCGCATTGTCCCCGACTACTACGATATTATCAAGGAGCCAATGGCCCTCAGCATTATCAAAGCAAGGATCAACAAGCGAGAATACAAGCAAATTGCGAATTTCGTGCGCGATTTTGCCTTGGTAGGCCATATACTCCCACCTCATCCAAGCCCTGCAGTTTGACTGACTGTTCTATGTTTCCTAGATCCCTCACAATGCGCAGACGTACAATCGACCCAAGTCACAAGCGTACGAGGATGCGCTAGTCATCAAGGTACGTAGACGAAACCCGGGCTGACGGCGCCAACAAGAGTCAAGGAACGCGACTAACACCACTACTCTTTTAGGATGTTATCGTCTCGGAGTTGAAGAAGCTAGTCGAGAAGGATTTACTCGGCGCTGAAGAAGCTGAGTTGCCGGATCTAGGTGAAATCCCTGAGGCAGACCCCTTGCCAGATGACGATGAAGAAGATGAGGAAGAAGACGAGGACGACGAGGAGGACACCGACGACGAGCGTCGCAAGAAGAAGCCAGGGCCCAAGCCAGGTTCCAAGCGTGGAGGTCAGAAACAGGAGCCTGATACGCGCAAGAAACGCGGAAGGCCCCCACGAGTCGATACCCCAATGGAAACCCGGATCAAGACCATTCTCAAGGGAATCCGCAAGCACAAAGGCCCAGGCGGCCAACTGAAAATCTCCCATTTTGAACGCCTTCCGGACAAGATCACTTATCCCGATTACTACATGGAGATCAAGGAGCCGATTGCTATTGATATCATCAAGCGCAAGGCCAAGCGCAAGAAGTACAACTCGGTTGATCACTTCATGCGGGATCTAGATCTCATGTTCAACAACGCCAAGGCTTACAACCAATCAGAGAGCCAGATCTACAAGGATGCCGTCGACCTACAGGGCGAGGCGCGCAAATTGGCTGAACAAGAGAAGAAGAAGCCTGACAGCGAGTATCTGATGGAAGACGGACGCTTCCCCCTGCCAGATGGTATCTTGTACCGCAACGAGCTGTGGAAGGTGGGTGACTGGGTCCACATTCAAAACCCAAACGATGTGTCCAAGCCCATTGTCGCCCAGATCTACCGGACATGGCAGGACTCGGAAGACCAGAAGTGGATCAATGCTTGCTGGTATTATCGGCCGGAGCAGACTGTTCATCACTTTGAGAAGCATTTCTACCCCAACGAAGTGGTCAAGACTGGCCAGTACCGCGACCATCGGGTCGAGGAAATTGTCGACCGTTGTTTCGTCATGTTCTTCACTCGCTACAGCCGAGGCCGCCCCCGCGATCTTCCCCCAGACAAGGACATCTATGTGTGCGAGGCTCGATACAACGAGGAGAAACATAAGCTCAATAAGATCAAGACATGGGCTAGCTGCTTGCCGGATGAGGTGCGCGAGAAGGACTATGAAATGGATCTATTTGATGTCCCCCGCAAGATCAAGAAGGTTCCGAGTCCGATCAAACATCTACTGAAGAGTGATGCTAAAGAGACTGATGACCTGCCTCGACCAACTTGGGGCGCTGATAATGCGCCGCCAGTGGTGGGTGCGGTGCATCGCCGCCCAAGAGATGAGAATGTAAGTTACCCCCTATGGTCTTTCCAAGAAGAACCCCAACTAACATGCTTCTCCCCAGGAATCTCCTCCACCAGAGCCAACCCCCTCGCCGCCTCCGCAACCACCGGCTTTACCACCACAAGCCATGCCAGTTGCCACTCCCCGCCAACCCATGAGCCAACCGATTGCCAATGCCAATCTGATTTCCGCAGGAGCTATGGCAACTCCCCAGCTCCAAGCCCCATCACCTGCAGTCTCAGTGGCACAGACCTCTCCAGTACCCGTTCCTCAAGCCCCATACCAGGCTCAAATGAACCCGCAGATGTATCAAGGGCCAAATCAGCGGCGTCCAAGCAATTTCATGCCACAGACCCCGACTGCGGCCTACCAAGGTTCGCCAGCACCGGCACCATATTCAGCCGCACCACCACAATACAGCACGTACCTCACGAACCGGGCTCACCCTACCGCAGCAGCAGCACCAATCTACAATCCCAACGCCCCGCGTCCAATTGAAGTCTACCACCTCAACGAGGCCGCCAACAGCGCAATCCCCGCCGATATCCGATCCCAATTCCACTGCGACGCCCAGGGCCACGTCCTCTTCTTCTCCGTGCCACCGCTAGACTTGATTCCACCCTCAGAGCAAAAACTAAGCCACTCACTCAAGTACCTCGCCTCGAAAGAGGAACGAGCGAAAAAGGTCGCTGAGCGGAAACGCAAACTCGCCGAAGAACAGCGCGAGCGCGAAGAAGCAGCTAAGCGTCAACGTGCAGATGAAGTAACCGACTTGGCTCGTCGGATTGAAGCGTTAACCCCGAAAGCCATCGAGAGTATGGTGCAGCAGGTGGTTTCCGGCACGGACCAATTTTACAAGACTCTCTACGACGATCAAGCAGAGAGTGTACGGGCCGCAGATGAAAAGGTGCGGGAAAGCAGGATTCAAGCTGATCGTGCAAATGACCAGCTTATTGCGCAGATTCAGGCGCAGACTAAGGATGAGGGATTTGTTAGCTTGAAGGGGAGTGCGATGTACCTCGGGGATAATTAAAGGGTGTTCAACGGGGTTAGCGAGATTCAAGGGCACCAACGTGGAATTGTGGAATTGGTGTTATATGTTCTTGTTAGGACAATGCATGGGGTGTCAATGCAGATTAGATTGATGCCTGGTTCATGGCTTAGCGTCTGTTTAAAATTAATCATAATTTTTTTCTCTTTGAATAATGGAGACAGGTTAGGACCTTTGAAGGAAATTCCGCCTTCTGGGCTCTATTTGGAAAAGATTGTACAAGTTTGTTCACGTCTTCACCATTTCCTCCAGGTTCTATATGACCGGCGAGTAAGACTTACTGATGCTGCAGAATAATGATAATATCGAAGGCAGGAGTCAGTATAGATTGTGGGAATAGAGGAATAGAGAATTAGAGAAGTAATCTATTCGTCAAGAGAGGTCTTGCTTGGAATCAAACCCAAAATTGTAACCCTCCTCGCCGGTGGCCTAGCGGTCCGAAAGGTCTCGCGAAGCTGCTCTGGTAGCCGTTTCTAACGGTGGCCGGCTGTCTGGTTAGTGTGCCGTGAAGCTTCTGTGGAGCTCGGCTGGGCAGCGGGTGAGTTCTGGGGTTGGGCGGGTGGGAAGACAGCTTGAATTCTGCAGTTATCTTTTTTATTTTTCATATTTACTTATATCACTTTAATCAGCTTGATTAGGGTAATTTATTACTGTATTTTTTAAAGCCTTTTAAAGAGGTGTGTTGTTATATAGCTATGTTATCTATTGGGGTGGTGCCCAGATGAAGCCCTTCGGGATGCCGTTGGGGAAAGAAAAAGTGCAGAGTGAGCACGGGGGATGGTTGTATGGGGAACTGGATATTCGGGGTTCTATTCGTGGAGGGAGCTTATTCGCCCTTTCTTGGATTTTGTTTGCTAGGGGCAGTTGGATATGGCCATAGTTACCATATTACGAATGTCCCTCTCCATTTTAGATGTGGTGGTTTGAAAGATGATTCGAAAGACATTTAGAGAGACGTTTCAAAAAAGAATGTTTGAAGCATGCCTAGTTGGTCTATTTCTCTGGTTTCTAGACTCGGACTTTATGAACAACTATAATGGTATGCTAATTATAAGATAGTAATACAGTTATAGCGGAGCCAAAAAAAGGAAAAAAATGCCTCGTTATTCACCATAAACAAGAGGGCTCTCGAAATTATGTCGACCAATCCCTTCGGTCTGAGCCTCTATTGCAAGGTCTCGTTCTTCTTCAGATTCCTTTTTGTACTTTGCTGCCTCATCCATTCCCATGGGCCAGTCGTCCGTATAGCTCTTCACAAGATCAACCAGGTAGATAATAATACAGCGTTGGTGACCGGGAGATGATTTGTCGCTGAGCGAAAATGGCTGCGTTTTATACCGTAACGAATTCGGCCAAGCCAAAAAGCGACCCTGCCGGACTGCCACGGAGCCCAAATCTTGAATATTTTGAGGGAATGGGAACGCATAGTAGTCGATGGTATGTGGGATGCCAAAGATCTTGTGTATGGCATCCTGTTCCGTGGTTAGTCCCATTCGTTCAGGTCACTCTCTTGTTGAAATGATATCCGTGATTCCTCCACATTCTCAACGTCGTATTAGTATCGCGATATGGCCACGATATGCTCGTTGAGAAGACCATCGACATGAAAGTCGCTGTCACCAGGGTAGCATGGTGTTTCCGGCGTGAGCTCGATGCTGGATAAACGAACGATGACTTGTAGCCCCCTCGTCCGAAACATAACTTGAAGACAAATATTCTGGTAGGGGTGATCACCCGCCAGACTTGGATCAGGAACAGGGACATTATTGCGAATATCATCCTTGCTTCTTCTCTTCTCAACAATCGCCTTCCAAGTTTTTCCATTTTTCCAATCCTCGTAGGAATACGAGATCCCGGCTCCTGGATACGTAGAGGTATTGTGTCTTATCTATTTGATCTCCATCAATTCCTCTAGTTCATCCATTGCCGAGCCATTCCGCATAGCGGGCGTCATTGCGGCCAAGAGATCGTCAGGTCCTCTAGTATCTTCTGGGCCATCATCGACCATTTCATACTTTGGACCAGGCTCTGGCAATGCAAGGGAGTGTTCTACCAGTGCGATGTAAGCGTCCCATGTCACTTCGATTGAGCGGCGACCAGATGCATCTATGTTGTAGTATCTAAGCTTCTTTGGTTCGGATTGAGCGTTCATGCCACTTTTAGTGAATCTATAGGTCTTGATGCGCAGTGGATAACGACTGGATGGTTGTTTTATCAGAACTTGATTCCACGGATCCAAGCTCAAAGATATCAGTTTTCAATCGCTGCATAAGCCCGCTGATTTCGAAGATGTAAGATTATTGATATATGAAGTGATACGGACGTCGGTGCTGAAAGATTTCCCTCCAGTGAACTCGACTTCGCATGGCAGCCACTGAAATCGATTGGACCAACGGTAGAAAGGTCGTTTGTCGTCATCATGTAGCCGAGAAGGTCCAGGATACCCTGACATATTGTTTCTGAATTTGTCCAGTGGGTGCTCTTGTGTCGGTGCGAAAGTGACATATGAGGCAGTAGTCGGATATGTTAAACCTCCGTCGTCCATGGGTACGCGTCCGTGATCAAGCACGGCGGTTCGGCCGTGCACAAGCATGAACAACGACGGATCAACCGTTGCTTCAACATCACATTTTATTTTAACATTCTCAATTAGTTTTACTATTGATTTAGGGATCATACATAGGACTCATATCATCTTTCTCATTGGATACCCCTCTTCGGTCGCAGGGAAGATGATTTTCGACGAAAAACTCTTGCAGTTCATTTTGAAACAGTTCTCCAACTAGTTGATCTGATTTGCAAACGCCTGAATCGGCATTCAGAGTCAAGACAAAATTGTGTTTCCGAAGATCTCTAGCCTTGTCCTGCAACTCTGCAATGCACCAGTTCCATTTCGCCTGCGAAACAAGATCCATATCCACAATCACATCGGAATCATCTGCTTCTGGGCCCCGTTGCTCAGTCGACTTCGACTCGGATAATACAACTGCATACCATTGAGCCACAATGTTCTCGTCAATGATATCATGTTCCCAATTCGATATCCCCATCAGTCGTTCCATAGTACGAAGTATGAATATTTCGGTAATCGTCAAACGGGTTGCTCGACCTCTGCGAGATTCGTGGTTTGGCAGGGCGCCATGGGCAAAACTCTCTCCAGTAGCCAACTCGTAATCAATGGGTATATCTCCGAATCCTGGGACCTGGAGCTGGCCAGATCCAGAATTATCCATTTGAGGATAGGTCATGGTGAAGGTGACAATCCCACATAGTGCCCGTTGTTTATAAGAATAAGATTTTGTTGTGCTAGGGACATTGCTGAAATTGAAATTTCCGTTGATACCCACTAGATCCGCGCGCTAGAGACCCTAAGTGTTCGCACGAGATCTGGTTAGACTCGTAGTCAAAACTAGGTACATTTTATGTGTATAACCGATACTTAAAGATGCACTCTAACCTTCATCTTGGGGTAATCCAAGGTTTTTTGGCGATTCGATAGCATGCCCTAAAATAAATATCACTATTAAAATCATCCATGAGATATAGAGAGGGAGTAGGTGGAACCGATGGGGGAAAGGTGGAGATAGATGATCCAGTCGCTCCCGACATACAATGTCAAGGCTGCCAAGCAAACCCGGACGAACGCTATGTTATGCCAGTCAACATCTCCTCTTTTTCTCTCTCTACTTTTCCTTTTCTATAGATCAAGTCTCCATCATGGGCGCCATCTGGTCATCCGAGAAGCCCTCATCCTCAGCCCCCGATGATCTAGAACAACCCCCCCATCCACCCACCCAATCCAACTACCCTCGCTACTACGGGGAGGCAGTCCCCCCAGTCTGCAGCGACCGGCTTGAGGACCTGTACGACGAACTATACGAAAAACTATACTATGTACAGCGCACCAACCAAGAAGACTACATCGTGGCCTTTCACGCATGCGAGAAAGATAATCCTCGTGTCGAACCCGAGGAGTGGTTTATCCTTGTAGAAAGAATCCCACGGGTCTATGAATACCTGGCACATCGCAGTGCCAATACGAATATCAATACTCTGGATGTCAATGTGGATGTAGATACACCGATTGATCTTCATCCCCGGATTGTCAAGTGAGTAAACTCAAACCCTCTCTGTCTGCTTGTCTTTTATAATCGCCGCTAGAACATTGCGTTGGTGGGAGTAGATATCATGGCCGTATCCCTGTTGGATATCTACTAGAGAAACTAGACCCGGGTCCACTGACCACTACGACTTTACCACTTCTGCGCACATTCCCTGCATCATCGCGCACATCTTCCGATAATAAAGAAAGAGAACCCCTTCTGCTGCTCTACTACCGCTGGACCCTCCAATCCCTCACCCTCCTCTCCTACCTGCACTCCCACAAAACCTACCTAATGGATTTCAGCACAAGTACAATCTGGCTACGCGCCGATCTCTCAATAGCACTATCAGGATTCATAAACGCCACAATTCCAACAAACGAATATCCCTACTCACCCGACGGAACTCGGTACGAAGCCGAGATCTATTACCCGACCACTCCTAGCGGACATCCGCAGCTTACTCCGAAAATTGATCTTTCGGATTGGGCGACATTTGTGTGGCAATTGATGCGACAGGATGCGTGTAGTGATGGGAAGAGGTGGGCGTTGCCTACGGATTCATTGGAAGAGGAGGAAGAGGCGGATGGGGAGGAAGAGGGGGATGTGAATCCATGGGGGCGCCATGTGCAGCGGTTGAAGGAGGGTAAGTTACAGCTTTTAGAGGAGGAGCGGTTGGGGCCGATTCTTGTTAAGGCTTGGAAGGGGGGGATGAAAGTGCAGAGGAGATTTTGGAAGAGGTACGAGAGTATTTGCGGCAGATTGGGGTGAAGATGGATGGGGAAGATGAGGTTCTTCTTGATGATGGGCGGAATTGGGAGGATGTATTCATGGTAGTGAAGACTGATGGTGTCCGTCGGGGGAGGGAAATACGATATAAATGATATCTGTTCTTAATAAGGAATACAATACTATTCAGAACTACATCTACAAGGGCATACTGTAGTAACTTAAAGAGAAGAAGAAGAAAACTGTCAGGAATCAGTTGATGAACCAGCCATATTTGCATATCACCCATTTATCAAAATGTCATTTGTACAGCGCGGGCAGGCCAGGCCAGGGCAGACTGGACTGCGACGAAGAAAGAAGGGGCTTCTGAAAAAAAAAACACCTCTCGCAGAAGGAAAAGAAACAAAACACCATAACCATCGGAGTGATAGGTAAGAGGTCTTGACAGAAAAAGTCAGGCCAGGTCCCTTGAATGGTTACCAAAGAGGTCACCCATAGCATAGGTACAGTATCACCCAGGCTGACCTGCATCCCTTGAGATCTGATCCCTCCAACTCCACAGATCACAAAAAAAAGAAAGGAAGATTAATACATACAGGAGCATTCGATTCTGGAAAAACAAGAAGCCCCTCGAGGATCCCGATTGGAATGGGAAAGAGCTGGAAAACGAAAAGACAATGCGATGGGTCTCTAGATGATCCAGAAGGGCAAAGAAGAAGAGGAACAAAACAACCAGAAAACTGTCCCAAAGTCAAGTTCCAATGAAAGATAACAGAAGAAAACGGCAGAGTCAGTCTATGACAAACAGAGTCGGTCGATGAGTCTTGGTACGCCCCGGTAATTGAAGGACTGAAACCACGAATCCCTCTAAAAAGAAGCAGGGAGACGCAACAAATCATCCAATTCGATCAATGAAAGAAGCCGAGGGGGAGGGGAGCAGTGAAAAGGGGGATGGTGCACTTTTGGATTCCGAGATATTTTGACGCTCCGTGATGCTGAATGTGCCCTCAAGATAGATAGAAAACAATGGGGAAAAAAAACCAAAAAAACTCCAATGACCTCTTTTTTGGATATGAGTATGTCCATAACTGTGGACGCCGCTTGGGCCGTGTCGTCGTGATCGTAGTGAATGAGTGCAATGTACAGAAGATGCAGATCTGCATGTACAGAACAAAAATTAGGAGTCGTTCGAGCTCTCCTTGCTCTCGGAGTTCCAGGAAGAGCTGTTGCGCTTGTTTCCCTCTTCCTCCTCCATGGAGAAGACCAAGTCACTCTGCTCTTCCTCCTCGATCTTGCTGGTTGTTGAAGAAATAGTGCGATCGAGACGGCCGGGGCCGGCGGAAGTGTAACGGGCCGAGCCGGGGTGGAGAGACAGGCCGCTCAACTGTTCAGAAATCATAGACATGGAGGACTGGCGACCGGGGCTAGAGACAAATGGCGAGCCATCGATCGAGGTACGACTGCCAATTGGGCCCAGGCTTGGGCTACCGATAGGGTTCAATGACGATTCGCGGAGTGGAGAACCAATGTGGGGGAATGACGAGCCGATGGAATCCTCTTCCTTCTTCTGTCGTTGCTTGGCGAATAGAGCGCCAAATCGAGATGGACTGGAGGCCAGCGGGGAGCCGTTCTTTGAGAAGCTGGCGCTTGTCATGCCGAAGCCGCTGACGTCGCGGTGACTGGAGCTGAGGTCGTTGTCTGTTCGGGACATGCGGCGCAATTTCTCCTGTGGTGTGAGAACATCATCGTGCAGGTTCATAGGCAGATAGTCCTCCTCCATGGGGAAGTTCTCATCCCAATCATCAAGCAAAGCGGGGCGAGGAACACTCGCAGATAGCATACGAGTCTTCACAGGGCGGGAAGAGTGCAAGAACCGGTGACCGGTGGAATCTTCAGGTGCTGGGGGAGAGGATCCAATGTTCGAAGATGGCTTTCGCATGTCGTATCCCACATCGCGAATATTCCGGAAAGGATCGGAGGGGCCCATTCGCTGAGCCGGAGGGGAGGACAGCTCCCCCAGGCCGAATTTAGAAGGCACCGAAGCAGCCACGGGACCATAGCGAGCCGCATGGGAGATTCCCTGGCTATCGAACGAGGCGGGGAGCGGGGCATCCAGGGCTGTCAGATGGCGGGCACTAGGCGACATGGGGAAGCGCACATCATCCACGGGGGAGCCGTACTTGGAGCCGGCATCGGAGGCGAGGCCGGTATCGATTGTGGGGATGGCATCATACGGTCCCTGCTGTTGACCCTGCACGAAGCCCGACTCGTCTTGCGGGGCAAGCTGCTGGTTATACCTGGGCTCGTGACCATTCAACCGCTGCTGCGAGAGAACCGAGTTCGTCAAGGCAGAGTCCTGGTTAACATATGCCTGCGGATTGACTCGGCCACCCAGATTCAAGTGACTGCCACCACCCATGCCCATACCACCAGCGCCACCACCTCCACCACCGGCTCGATTCACACGGCGGCCATCGGGAAGGATATGCGCGAGAGCGCATTTTGCACCGAACTTGCAGTTACCCTAGGAAATTAAAAAAAAGGTCCCGACCTCGGTCAGCCGCCAGATCAAATGGAAATGCATTGGAAAATGGACTGCAAAAGGCGCAGATCCAACACCTACCTTGGTAAAGTATTTGCAGGGCGCATAGTCGATTGCGGCATCGGTCGAGTGCAGGAACGGACAAGCGGGGCCAGCCTGACAAGCACCCTGGCGGAAGAATTTGCAGGGAACATGTTTAGTGTCTGCGGAGTAATCGGAGACAGATAATTAGCTTATGACAGGCAGATAGCGACCGATGCAGCAATTATAGAGAGTGCAGGTAACTCCGGGGGGGGAGGGCGAGATCGAAGAGACGTACTCTTATTGCTCGGGTTGGGCGGGCTGCGAGCCATGTCGAGGCTGGAGGGGTTGCGGGAATGGCCGTTTTGTTGAAGGCCCGAGGGCACCGGGAGAGGCGCACGACCTCTCATTTCAGGACGATTGGGACGAGATGAAGGAGGGCGAGAGGCCGACAGCATCGCCGAGGGGATTCAAAATTGGGGGGAAGGAAGGTGAGGGGAATTAAGTGAGGGCTGGAGGGGGAACGTTATCGGAGGTGAGAGGGGAAGAGTCAAGCGGCGGGCGGTGAAAAGGCTGGAAGTTTAAAAAAGAGTACAAAGTACACTTTTTCACAGTACAGTAGAGTAGTGTATAGAAGTTATTTGATGATGAGCGAGAAGGGAGAAGAGAGAGTAAAGAAGAGAAAGAGTATAATACTACATAGATTTCCTCCTACTGATAAAGTACCAAGAACAAAAAACGGGGCGGGAGTGCAGATGATGATGGGCTCTACCTCCAATACTTCCAAGAGGAAGTCCTTCTCCACTGGTTCTCGTTGGTCATTTTCACAGCCTGACAGAGGCTAAACCCGCGACCATCTGATTTTCCCAGCTCTGTTCATCTCATCTGATGTGCCTGAAAATAGTCGCCTCCTCCCGGTTGCCTCCATTCCGCAAACTCCGCTCGCATATCTCCGAATCTCCCAAGGTATCCTGGATAACCTGAATAATATCAAATCACCTATCAAAGCGTGACGAATCGACCTAGTCACGCCCTGGTTGCCCGTGCTCACTGCTCACTACTACTCAAATTGTATTTCCGTATCAGAGCTCAAAGTCTCCGCTCAGACCGAGCCGCAAATCACGCTTGTCGAATGATGTGACTGAGTGGAGACCACCGAAGCAGATCAAGCGTCCGTACCCGACCGACTCTCATTGGAGCGGTCCTTCAAGCCCCAAAGACTCCTGGTCGCCCCGTCAGTGCTTTTCACCAAAGTGGCAGTGGCGATTATCAGTAGTGTGTGGCTTACCCATAGCTGCGACGCAGTCATGTCCTCAGGCAAAACCTCCGAGCATCGCCCCCATAATTCGCGACAAATACGACGGCGAATGGTGGCATGGTGTTCCCATTGTTTCCAGTCGCGCTCCAGCTGAGCACGCGCCTCGGGGGAGATCTGAGGTTGATCGTCGCCGTAGAGTTTGCCTAGGCGTGCTTGGGCGGCATCTCGTTCCTCCTGTAGCTGGCGGATGTCCTCTCGCAGAGTAGAAAGTCGAGGTTTAGCTTCGAGGGCAGCCAAGGCAGCTCGGGCCTTTTTCTCGTTTGTCTTGATCGTGGAGAGTTCTTCTTGGAGTGTCTCGATCTCGTGACTGAGGGCAGCGAGGATTTCTGGGCTAGCGCTGTCGGATGATTTCTGGAGTGCGTGGTAGACTGTTTGTTTCCCTGTAGAGAATCCAGCATTATCGGTCAGTAAAATGACCTCAGATTGCGTATGCGGGGTTGAGGGTCCACATACCCGCAGTTCGTGCTTCGATCTCGCCATTCTGATGCAATTCTTTCAGGATCTTGGCGGCTTGGGCTGGGATGGCACCATCAGCTCACTGCGAATATATACCCCGGTTCGTGAGTTGGACTTCACTGCACTCACTTTTCGTGACCTTGGTGTGCAAATTCGCCGAGACATCGATGGCCTGCGGTCAACAATATTAGCGTTCTGTCTCGATGCAGGGCAGGATGAAGGCACTCACCGAATAGGGACGACTGCCCCAATCGAAAAGTCAGTATTAATGCTTGCTACAAAAGGATATCAGGAGCATATACTTTTGTTCACCTGCAACCGCGTCGAATGAGTCTCTGTCGATCAAGTATACAGGCATCGGAAAGACTCACGTAAGTAGTCAAGAATCAGAGTGGCATCTTGTCACCTGGTCAGCATCCAGCCCTCACCATCAAAGTCAACCTTCAGAAACACACCATCGGTCCCAGCTGCTTTCTCGCCCTTGTCCTTGTCCTTGCGGGGTGCCATGGTGGTCTTGGGTAGATCCGTGGACTCAGGTTCGAGGTGGAAGTTCGGATGGAAGTTGAAGGAGATGAGATGAGATGCCAAAGGGAAGATATCACGACACCACCACATCAGAACTAAAACCCCTACGTCTCTACACATTACACATACAATAACAGAACACACACAGAAAAGCTACGCAAATGCATATTCAATGCTCCATAAAAGACTACGCCTCATCTAGAAATCCAAAACAGCCGAACAACCATATGTCCAAAGGCCCCAGGGCAGCCTAGATATCCTGAGCGTAAATGCAAATATGTGGGAAACAGATGGGGGGGGATACAAAACAAAAACGGAGGCAGCATCAACTCATTCACCTCCAAAACGGCAAAAATGTAATTTTAAAAAAGGAGCCCCGGATTACAAGAAGGTATAAGGGAAAGAAAAGAACAAAAAAAGCTGGAGAAAATGAAGAGGGGTGTTGAGAAGAAGCTAGATGATCAAAAAAAATGCAAGATGGTCACGCCCATAGATATGGGATGTCCATGAAGAGAGAATGGTTCCGATGGAGAACAGACAACGTCCGGGGTATCAATTACATTATAATCTGTAGAGAAGATGGTTAGCTTGTTATGAACAGCATAGGAGATTGAGCCCGAAATAAGGCAAAGAACTCGAAGGGGATATAAACACGTACGCAATCGCTGTCGTTCTTTGCACTGGGCACACCCATCTCCTCGAATGTTTTAGGACCCTTGGATGGTGGCGGGGCTGGCTTCGGCTGCGGCTGTTGCTGCGGGCCCGCCGGTGGCTGAGGTGTGGACGAAGCCGAGCCTCTGGACGGCTGCCGCGACTCATTGCGTGGAGGGAAGTTTGCAGATTGAGGGGAGCCCATGGGCCTAGGAGACGTAGGGTTACGAGGAGATGGCAGAGGGCCAGGACCGTGGCCACCGACGGGGCTCCGCATAGGCTTGCGGTCTGGCGGCGCAGCGTCGAGGCGTGCAGGGCGACGGCGGTCCGCACCTGGAGGTGGAACCGGGGCGGAGTATCCAATGTCGACTCGGGGCGTGCCGCTGGGGCTGATCATGCCCGCGGACTGTGGGCTGACTGGTCCACCGGGGACAGGGCCACCAACCGGAGTGCCTGGGCCATGCTGGCGGTAATTCATAGGACCAGGTCCAGGGGGACCACCAGGACTGGGGCCATAGGATGCACTGCGACCTCCAGGCCCGGGTGGGCCACCATAGCCAGGACCGGGGGGGCCATTCTGGCGAAGGTTGGGATTGACCCCGAATGCGGAGCTGGGGCGAGGTTCGGGCATTTGGTAGTTCTGCTGGCCGGGAGGACGAGGACGAGCAGATCCACTTCGATCAGGATAGGGAGCGGCAGACGAAGGTTGATCGTTGAGGCTCATGCGTGAAGGGTCGGGCATCTCGATGTTCTCGGGAGTTGATTCCAAAGAAGCACCGCGCTGATGGGCGTAACGGGTCGACTTGATGCGGGAAATAGCGACCTTTTCATGATCCTTTCTTGACAAAGTCTTTGATCGCGAAATGCTATCAATGCGTCCAGAGGCATCCTTGTTACCGCTCGCAGCGGCTTTGGCATACCAACTTCGAGCTTCTCTGATGTCGACTGGAACAAAGATACCGACCTCATAGAAGTAACCCAAAGCAAATTCAGCGGTAGGGAGGCCGCTTTGTGCTGCACGTTGGGCAAACGTGAATGCCAACTCGTCGTTCTTCTCAAAGACACCTTCGTGACCGCAAAGGAACCACTTGCTAATGGCCATTTCGGCTTCGGGTTCGCCCTGGCGGGCCGCGAGCGCGTTGTAGTGCAAGGACAGCGCGGGGTTGAAATCGCATTGCAGCTGGCAAAGCTCGTATGCGGCACCCATCTTGACCTGGGCCTTGGCGAACCCATGATAGGCGGCTTTTTCGATGTTGACACGGGCGATGTTGAGATCCGGAGTGAGGTACGGTTCAGGCACGCTGACTTGAGGGAGCTCTCCGGCCAACAGCATACCGTAGACCTGTTGTACGAATGAATTAGAATCCACCAAAAAAGCCGATCCACCGGAGTTGGTCACTTACATAGGCACCCTGCGGCGCGTTCTGGTCGCATGATTGCGCGGCCAATCTAATATACTCCAAGCCTTTTCGGAAGTCCTGACGCTGGCCGTGTTGTCCAAGAAGAATCATCATTCCCAAGCGCTAGAGAGACAGTTAGAAATCCGATCTTAATCCTCCGATATCTTCCCCTCGGTAATGAACATACGTAGTACGAGGCAGAATCCGACATTGACACACCGCGCTCATAGTGTCGAATCGCTTTCTCCGGCTCTCCGGAGCTCTCAAACTGCATACCAATGCGATACTCGGCGCGCGCATATCCCCTCTCCGCCGCCCGCGTGTACGAGCGGAAGGCCTCCTTCCGATCAACACGGTAGCCAAACTTGCCAAACTCCAGCCACATGCCCTTGATAAACTCGGCTTTGGGGTGCTGCTGTCCCGCCAAAAAGTTGACAATATTCATCGCGTCCGTCCGCAGCTGACGCTCAACCTGGGGCGTGTGCGGCCGCGGTGGTTGAGTAGTCGACAGACGGGCCTCGTTTTGCGCGGTAACCTCGACAAAAGCGAGCGCATCCTGTGCCCAGGCCAATTGCATCTCCGGGTCGGTGGTGGACAAAACGGCCATGCGGGCGCGCTCGAGACTCTCTTCGCGCTGCTCATCGGTAGGCGGGACATTTGGCGGGGGGTTCCGCAAGACGGGGAAGGGTGAGAAATTGGGCTGATCCACGTCATCGTAGGTCGCAGACTGCGCGTAAGCACCGTGATCCTGAGTATGGGCTTGCTGAGGTTGGCTCTGGACGGCGGATGAAGTGCGCTCTGGGAACTGGGATCGGGGAGCGTACTGCGCGGGCGACTGCGGCTGGGCGCGGCGGGGGTCGTAGGCGCCATGTTCCATTTGCGCGATATTGTCTTGCATGTTTTCGGGGACCTCGGGCATCACCCTACGCGGATGGATCAGCACACGAACCCGTGGCATCGTGAAGAGACACTAATTTGACGTATACAATAACAGAAAATGGAGGGGAGGAGATCGCACCTTTGAGGGGAGGGGGAGATGACCTCTGGCATGTAAAAGTCATCCTGCCCCCCTGGATACCAAGTCGCCCCGAGGCGTGGCTGACCACGACCCTGGCCCTGTTGCGGAGGAGGTCGGTTCATCCCGTGTATAGTTTGTTTAATTGGGGGAGAGGGAATTGTCGGGCTGCTGAGAAGTACCGGATAACCCTCAGTCGCGAGGCAGCATCCGCGATCACTTTTTTTCACGATAGAATTTTGGAGAGAGAAAGAGAAAGAGGGGTGGAGGGGAAGAGGGGAGGGGAGGAGTAGGAGGGGCGCAAAGAGAAAAGATGGGGGGGGACGCCGAACCGGCCTTTTTCAGGAACTAAAGAGGAACTAAAGGAAGACGGTGGAACGAGGAGAAGAAGAGAGGCGTCCGGAGATTATTAGTATTCTTGGGGTTCCAGGACTAGCTTCATACCCTAATTAGGTAGTTGTAAATAAAAGTCTATCATAATCCCTGGGCTATTGTAATAATAACTACTCAGGTCTATGCCCGACGTACCGAACAGACCGAGCCACAGCCCACTTTAGCGCAACTCAGGCCCATAATAGGTGGCCTTTTAAGTAGTGGAGGAGGAGACCCAGTACAAAGTGGAATATATACACCATCAGGCACCCGATGGGCTGGATGTCATGGATTTTTGAAATTACATGATGTCTATGAACGATGGAGAATGGTGATTCACGTATGGAGGCACCTCATATTTATTGTACTACAATTCGACTACCTACGCTATCTGAATTGCCGTATAGCTTGCCCTAACGAGATTATGTCCGGTCGGAGGCAATGGACTGCAGGTTCATGCCCTGACAAACGCATGATACTCACGTAGAACAATCATTCGGCTGCTGTACAATGATGTCCTGCCACAGTCAGCTGAGGCTGGTGTGGATATTAATAGTTTTGGGAAGTCTAGAGTGGGAATGAGAATTTGGAGATAGGATTAAGAGTCTGACAAAGATCATTAGACTGATGCTTGCATGCATAAGATCTGATGACTGGAAAGGACCTTTTGTTGGAATTGATATCAAGATGGATACGATATACGAGATTCAAGTGCTTTTGGTATATGAGGAGATACAAACATTGCGAGGATGTTTGTAAGGAAGGTAATGCCTGTGTATTGTACGGAGTATAGCCTCAGGTTTAGTCCGGGTCCAATATATGCATCGCCTATACTTAATTATCTTTCTCTACACTGCTAGAGACACCGTACAGTGTTAGATGAGCTTTTAATTTTTTCCATTCAATGATTGATCTATTTGTCTTCCAGATTTGACATCAGGCATTGCGATTATTACATCCTACGTACGGAGCACATATTGTAGTTAAGTATCGGCCCCATCGCCGAGTGAAATACGAACCAACAGACCCGCACATTAATTTCTTTCCCCTGGATGTTGCAGCGACACGACTGGAGAATGTCTCTCCTGGACTCCTCCGAAGTCTCCACCAACGGGCTCGGGTGTTATTTTTATCAGCCGCGACTTTCCAGAAAAACCCTACCCGTTTGGATGCTGATCTTTTGAGTTCCACCAGTTTGTCTTTGGTATTTCAAGTCTGCCATCTAGGACAAACTCCGGGCTGTGTATCTGGCCCTCTGCCACCACGGCCACCAACATGGCGACCACCGTGGCGCCACAGGATTTCCACCATCCATTTACCCCGTACGACATTCAGCTCCAGTTCATGCAGGCTCTATACGGCTGCCTTGAAGACGGAAAAGTGGCCGTCTTTGAGTCCCCCACCGGTACGCGCTAAGCCCCTCTTCCCCGATCAAAGGCCCCCTGTTTACACAACTTTACTCCGTGTCTTCCGATCTGACGGCCATAGGTACTGTAAGTACATAGCTTGTCTCCACTGCGTGGTGAATCGGATCAGATGCCACCTTGGGTGAGATCGTCATTATTTCCCTTTACTCGTGCTAAGGCCTTTTTCACATTCAGGGTAAATCGCTGAGCTTGATCTGCGGCTCTCTCACTTGGCTGCGGGACCACAAGCGAAAGGCCTTTCAGGAGACCTTGGATCAGGCAGCATGTATGTGTCCCACTCGTAGCGCCTTGTCTTGCGTCATAGCTCATCTCATTCTGTTTCATTCTTGGACTAGGCGACGATGACGAGCCAGAATGGATGGTCGAGTTTGCCAAAAAGAGTTCGCGTCGTGCCATTGCCGAGAAAAGACAAGAGTTTGAGGCCCGATTGGCCAAGATTAAACGTGAAGAAGGGCGATTGAAGCAGGCTGCAACAACGCAAGACCGGCCTCGTAAGAAACAGGTATGGATATCCTAGTCTGAAACGCGCATTTTCCAGTCTAAATACCAACAATGCTGCATTCAGCGACTGGATGAAACAGATGATCAGCCAAGTCATGATGACGATGAGCAATTCGTCCTGGATGAGTATGACAGCGAGTCGGAAGATCGAAAGAAACCAAGCGAATCAGGAGGAGTTGACGGCCTATCTGCCAGCACACTCGCTTTGTTAGAAAAGTTCCAAGGGAAGTTGTCCACCCAGAAGAAAGACGAGGATGAGGAAGATGGAACAGTCAAAATCTTCTACTGCTCGCGAACCCATTCCCAACTCAGCCAATTTGCAGGTGAACTGCGTCGAGTCACTTTTCCATCAAGCATCCCGCTTGACCCGGAAAAAGGCGACGAGGACGATAGCCTGTCGAAGCTCGAGGAAGCCGTGAAACACCTCTCATTGGGCTCGAGAAAGAATCTCTGCATAAATCCCAAGGTCCGCGCTTTGGAGAATAGCACTGCGATCAACGAGCGTTGCTTGGATCTGCAACAATCAGGCGTCGCTGCCGACAAGAAATGTTCTTTCCTGCCTTCCAAGGATGACGACGCATTGCTCCTCCAGTTTCGAGACCATGCCTTGGCTACGGTGAAGGATATTGAGGATATTGGGAAAGTGGGCAAGGAACTTGGAATATGTCCCTACTATGCGTCCCGCTCGGTCATCAAACACAGTGAGGTCAGTAAACACGCCGAATCGATTTACAGGACCTTGTGTGAGGCTGATTCTTGTCTGATAGATCGTGACACTACCATATCCATTACTTCTCCAACGATCTGCCCGAGAGGCCCTCAACTTGTCCGTCAAGGACCATGTAGTCATCATCGACGAGGCGCACAATCTGATGGATGCAATTGCCGGTATTCACTCAGTGACCGTCTCGCTATCTCAACTGCAAACAGCCATCACACAATTAACAACATATGCACGCAAATTCAAGAACCGGCTCAAGGGAAAAAACCGAAACTACGTCGCGCAAGTGATTCGGCTAGTGAGCTCCATCGCTCGCCACCTCCATGAGATCTTACAACAAAAAGGGCCTGCCGAGGGCTCTATCCAGCCATCCGATCTCATGGCTGGCAAGGGCGTGGATCAGATCAACCCATACAAGCTATCTCGGTACCTGCAAGAGAGCAAGCTAGCCCGGAAAGTCGATGGGTATGTCGAGGCATCGCAAGAGCCGCAAGGCGCTCGGTCTAGAGACCGGTCTACAGTACCGGTTCTCTTCCATATCCAGAGTTTCCTGTTACCTCTTATGAATCCGTCGGAAGAGGGCAGGTTATTCTTTCAAAAGGACAAGAACGATGTGCATCTGAAATACCTGCTACTCGATCCGACCAATCACTTCCGGCAGATTGTCGAAGATGCCCGGGCCGTGATTCTGGCTGGTGGTACTATGTCTCCAGTGAGCGAAAAATTGGAGCCCAGTCGTTTGTGCATTGCTAATTCCCTCTAATAGATGTCTGATTACATGAATCACTTATTCTCCTACGTTCCGCCTGAGCGACTTGGTACATTCAGCTATGGCCACGTTATTCCTCACACCAACCTTGTAGCACAATCCCTTACAAAGGGACTCATGGGTTCCGATTTTGATTTCACTTACGAAGCCCGGAACTCGGAGAAAATGGTCAGCAGCCACTTTTGTCCCGCAAAGTCCTACCTCTATACCTGTGCTAACCTGGTTACCTATCGCCTAGATCACCGACCTCGGAAGAACAATAGCAACCCTATGCCAGGTCATCCCCGACGGCGTCGTCGCCTTCTTCCCCAGCTACGACTACCTCAGCCAAGTAGTCACCGTCTGGCAAAAGCCCATCCCAAACGGCAACGGCTCCACAATCCTCAGCCTAATATCCAACAAAAAGAAAATTCTCTACGAATCCCGCGACGCAACCACAACCACAGACACCCTCCTCGCAGAATACACCTCCGCCGTCGCCACAGGCAGCGGCGCGCTGCTCCTCTCTGTGGTCGGCGGCAAACTCTCCGAAGGAATCAACTTCTCCGACGAACTAGGCCGCGGCGTCCTCATCATCGGCCTACCATTCCCCAACATCCGCAGCGCAGTCTGGCAAGCGAAGATCAAGTATATTGAAGAGAAGACGTATAAGTCGCATGTTGGCAACGAGGCGGAGAAGAAGGCTAGTGCGGCGGCGGCGGGAAGGGACTTTTATGAGAATGCGTGTATGAGGGCTGTTAATCAGTGTATTGGGAGGGCGATTCGGCATGTTAATGATTATGCGGCTATTGTTATGGTTGATCGGAGGTATGAGACGCCGAGGATTCAGGCTAAGTTACCAGGGTGGATTCGGGGGAGTTTGGTTGCGAGTTCGAGTGTGAGGCCGGCGCAGGGGACTGTGCAGCGGTTGTCGAAGTTTTTTGCTGAGAAGGCAGGATGAGAGGGGGAATTATCCAGCCAAGTCTAGCCCTCAAGGAGGAATTCTTGCGGAATAAAATAATGTGTGCGAGAGCATAACAGAATGATCAGGTAAACACTTTCACTAGGACTTGAACAGAGAATTGAAGTGCATACAGTATATTGACAACCAAGGTGACACCATCTATCAGGAAGATTGTTTCATTTGTAAATCGATCATGTTTAGACTCCATGATCTTATCTCTGAACAGAATCTCTCATCCTTTTACCTGTCAATAACGTTGTATAATTGGACTTCTTTAGAAGGAATAAAGTATGATGTTCAAGTATCACGCAGATCGACAATCTTCACTGTACATAACAATCTTTACCCGATGTGGTTAGATCCAACCATACCATGCAAGCGGTGGCAGAACAAAGTTGGGTCCCGGTACACGTGACCTCCGACAACCCCAAGGCAGGGTTTGACCCTATCACGGGACAAGCGAATTGCTTAGCGCACAGTCTAGCTTTGCGAGCGTGGATTTCCAACAGCTGAGCCGGTAGCATCACGATCCTCCCCCCTTTCAACGCCCAATTCTCAGACCGGTCTTGTCGCCAACACACCACTCGACAAGATGCCTACCCGTTTGTCCAAGACCCGGAAGCAGTGAGTCGACCCTTTCCACCTCCCTCGAAAGTGTGTTAGTGATCGGCGCAACATTTTCGATATCGCCGGCGCTTTTTTGCATATCGCTTCACGCCTACGCTCGACATACAAGCCCTTCCGGGAACTGCACCCATTCTACCAACGCAAAATACTAACCTTTTGTTTTTTCTACAGCCGCGGCCATGTGTCCGCCGGTTACGGTCGTGTTGGCAAGCACCGCAAGTCCCCCGGTGGTCGCGGTATGGCCGGTGGTCAGCACCACCACCGTACCAACATCGACAAGTTCCACCCTGGTTACTTCGGTAAGGTCGGTATGCGTTACTTCCACAAGACCCAGCAGAAGTTCTGGAAGCCCACCATCAACCTCGACAAGGTACGTGACAACATATCGAAACGAGCCGGTCCATTTTGAAGGGAGAGAAAAAATCGTGGGAAAGGCGAGCAGGAAGGAAATGAGGCAGGATATGCTGGAAGGGCGACAAATCCGACGAAAAGATCATGGAGATCAGATTACAACATTCAATTGGGAGGAAATCAAAATGGACCGGCATCGTGAAATCTTGGATATGACAGTCCCACTGACTGTAATTTTTTCTACAGCTCTGGACCCTCGTCCCCGCCGAGAAGCGCGACGCCTACCTGAGCGGCGAGAAGACCGACACCGCTCCCGTCATCGACCTCCTGCCCCTCGGCTACTCCAAGGTCCTCGGCAAGGGCCGTCTCCCCCAGATCCCCCTCGTCGTCCGTGCCCGCTACTTCAGCCGTGATGCCGAGCAGAAGATCAAGGAGGCCGGTGGTGTTGTTGAGCTGGTCGCATAAGCGTTGAATATTGGTGTTTTTTTTCCGGCGAAGGCGGGTGAATCGGGGCAAGCGTAGTCGCCCCCACTGGCTGGCTACGTTCGGTCTTGTGCAGGAAATTTTTCAACTGTCTTATCCTGTCGGAGGAGGACGATCGGAAACGCGAAAAGAGGCCGCCACGAGCCGAGATGGTTTGGTTTGGTGGCGTTCCCAAAAGAAAAAGGGTTTTTGTGTATGCAAGCAGCATATAGCATGGCCTCCGAATGCCCTTACGATTTCACATTGTGTTAAACAAATACCACAAAGGAGGATTTTCAAAACTGTTCTTTTTTTTCTGGCAATCTACTCGATCGTATATGTGCTTCGAACGACCGTATCGGATATTCAAGCTGAGAGTTGGTCTGTTATGCCGGACTTCATGCGAGTTCAATGCTTGGAGGCTGTCTGCTATGCAACCTCATCCAAGCGTCAGCTCGCATGTGCATGGCAAAGCAGAGCTCGACTCTCCCTTGTAGGTCCCGTCTGTATACCGTACTATCGTGCAAGGTGTATCATTCAATGCTATTTACGAGCTCCTCCATCGCTGTAATCTATCTATCATAACACCGCTCATATCTTCGACTCCCGCACCGAGCCTCTCCGACCCGTCTTATCCGCACTCGTCGCCAGAGTCTCACTAACAAACCGAACAGCCTCATCAACCATCTTCGGCGTCACCTCATGACCCGCCGAATCATCAATAATATCCTCAAAAGTAACACCACCATCCCCAAACCATCCATTCGATCCCACCGCACTCTTAAACCAGTCCAAAAACGCTTCTCCACGGTGGTACGGGACCAACTTATCAATACCACCAGATAAGTTCAGGATCCGCTTGCCGGCCAATAACTTCGTCAGCAGCGGACGCAATTCCTGCTTCTGTTGCTCCGTCGGCGCAGGTAGAGGTCCATCACGTTGCAAGCTCTTAGAACCAGTATCCATGTAGCTTAGCATCAGACTGGCGGGATCATACTGCTTCACGATATCCACGAAGGAGGTCGGGAAAGCCTCTGAGCCGAGAATCTCTGCTCCGGGAGGAGTGGTCTTGGTCCAGGATGGTAATTTGGAGAGACGCGCACGGTCAACCATGAGATTGAGGTAATCTGGACAACCGATGATGACGACTCCGGCGCTGATGCGAGGCTCGTGTAATAAGCAGCTCCACGCAGCGTGGCCACCCAGTGACACGCCCAGCACCAGGTTCTCCGAGATCTTGTGCTCGCCATTAGGGAAGATAAACGCAGCGAGGTAGTCCATTAGCAGCGATGTATCGCGCGCAGTACCCTCTATAAGTAATATATCAGTACCATTCTAAACCAACGACATCAGCAATACTCACGGAAAATAGAAAACATATCCTGCGCATGCCGAGGATTCCCCTGTCTCCAAGCCTCATTCGCCAACGGATCAACCATCCGCGCACCATGATTCCGCTGGTCAAAAGAAACGGCAATCAACCCCTTCGCCGACGGAGTAGCCCGCGTCCTGCCATTCCAGTCATTGATAGTCGCCTCCGCGATACCGGTCATACGCGCCTGCGTCGCGAGCCGAGGGTGAAGAAGCCATAGGCATGCAACGTCTGTGGCCTGGGATTGGAGCTCGTCGAGACCGTAGACTGTTACGGAGATACCGGCGATGTTGTAGACGTTTTGCGAGATTGCGGTGGGCTTGGGGCGGCCGGAGGAATCGTAGGATTTCAATGGGTCTGTCATTGTGGAGGGTATTGGAGGTGAGGATTATTGTGGTAGGTTTGGAGGGAAGGTTTTGGAGGAGCAAGAGGAGAGGGTGAGTTATAACTTGGTTGGTTGGGTGGGTTGTTCCCCGAAATAATTGTTGGAATGGCGGGGAAGTGCCGTGCCGACTTCGGGTATATCGTGAAGGAGCCGAGGCCGCATTGTCTAACAGTTGGTAGCCGGTATCATCCACGGAGTTTAGCTTTCTACAGAGTCGTATTGCCGGAGTGAACCATGTCCAACCAGTCCTCGTTAAACGAATTGTACTATATCAAACACTGCTTTGTACAAAGAAAGTATGATACAGGGTGCCTAGCCATTGAGGCCACCCGTAGTCCGTGGGGTCATACATATGTCTCTCTTTCTCAGCTTTCCCTTTTCTCTTCTCCCTTCTTTCTTCTTTCTTCCACCACGACTAATACGCCCCTTGGATGCTGCTATAATTTTAAATAGTTTCCACTAGCGAACAGACATTCTCTCCCATCGCAGGGAGACCTATATCCTCATATCTGTTTTCACCTTCGTTCTCTCACAGAGGCCATCCTTCAAACGACCTTATAATCTCGTCAGGAGAGGCTCACTCTGCATCTCTCATCCTTCATCTTATTCCTTTCGATGGACTGGTGTGACAGCCACTAGCGATGGCTTCAAGCATCAGACATACACATCGCCTCATCTTGACATCACTTTCCATGTTGATCTCCGTTTCAATACACCACTATCAATCGCTACCGTCACTGAGACTTTGACTCCTCGCCCATGAGGCCTTTCAAAGCCATGCGTGGCAAACGGGTTCAAACTCAAGGCCGACCTGGAACCCGATTTTCTTGACGATTATCGCGACTCGATTGACGAACGTGCCCGGATCCTTCGTTCCTCTGGACTCACTGCCTGCTTCGTTGATACCAAATTTCTTACATATTTTGCGCTCTACGAACATACAGGGACGTCGATATCATGAAGGGAGACTGCCGAGGCGACATCGAGTACTGGATTACAACATGGGTAAAGCACTCGGACGATGGCGCGACGAGCGTGGAAGACCCATGCTGATATATGACTGTTGGCGTCTCTATTTCGTGCCAGAAGTGAATGATTGAGCGTCGGCCGAATTAGATACTACCATTAAGCCCCACCACCACGATGGATTTGGAAGAATCTTTACTCCGCTGCACTTCACATAGCCTGCGCGTCTGCTCTACTCGTGGGGGTCGACCCTTTAGCTCATACAGATATTTCAAGGCTTTTACCAACCAGCAGAGGTCCCAAGATAGCATCGTCTACCTGAAAAGGGAGTGCCAGCTTTAGAGGGACGACTTCGACTTTAAAGTGCCACCAGTCCCTGGCTGTATTCGCAGTCTCTCTTCGTTGTGACTCTGGCGTCGGCGCCTTGTCAATGCCGGCGCAACAAGAATGTGGTGTTATGGAAGCGACACTTGCCTCTCCTACATCCGACGAATCGCAACGGGCGTCGGCATCAAGTTGTTTGATTTGAGGCTTTTCCTCATATATTCATGAAGAAAGCTGGCTGGAGCACATTGACTAATCCAAAAAGGCATGGGATCCTGCAACACATCAACTTCCTTGAGAAACTTGACAGAAGTTTCGACACAAATGGTAGACGTACAAGGCCGGATAACATGCGTTTTTTGAGGGTATATACTCCTATACGGATTGATGTTCTTCAATTCGAACATGTGCATACAGTCCATTGACCACCAGCTTTATATTTCAAGGTACCACAAGTGATCATTGCCCTCAAACCTGAAATGAAGAACCCTGCTGACTCTATAGTCTTCCTCGATTATCTCCAAGATATATCTTGCAGTTCAGCATGCCTGCGTCCTCAAAAGTCGGTGGCCAGACATGCTTTGGGGAGCTAGCAAACTCAGAGACGCAAAATGTTGTGGTCATCACCAGAGACGGCCAATCATCAGCGCCGCCCCAGAGGATCTTGCTGAATTGAGCTCTGTTGCAGATCCCAAGAGTCAGAAGGTGTTCACAACTAAAAGACCAATGAGTGAATTGAACTCTCAAATGAGAATCCAGCAAGAAGATTCCCATCTTGATGGAGAGCATTAGCCACTTTGAACAGAATCTTGGTCTACGGGACGAGGGCGACTTTAACAGCGTCTATTATATGGGGAAATACCATGACCCTCCAATGGTCGGCCTGGGGGAAGAGTCAAAAGTCATGACAACAATAAGATTCTGCGGCCTACCATGAGAGATGATGCATCCACCCAGGCGAGCAAACAATAAGGAACGATGGGTCGAGCAAAGCCAGTTTCGCTCAGCACGCTAGAGGAGATGACCAATTGTACGCATATTGGGGATCTGGATGCTCTGGGCAATGGTATGTTGGTCGCTATCTGGATGGGACTTTTTCAAGGGAATACTTGAAGGGGAGGGGTCAGTCTCGCTACCTGTTCTTCGACAAAAGCTTTCCAACCATAGTTGAGGTTATGTGCATAACTTTGTTAGGATACGAAACCCATGCGAAATGCCCAAGGCCAATACCCCCTGTTACAGATCTCAATATTGCCCAAGATGCGATTTGAAATATTATTCCTCTACGATGAAGCTTTCCATTATAGATAGTCAGTTCGCCACGTAGTATATATTGCAACTATTGTGCATAAATAACCCCGTGATTTTTATTCTGATTATAGGCCACTCCAGGCGATCAAAAATGGAAATTGGCAGAGTAAATAACATCCTTGCACTGTTTTTCAAGCCTGAATACCCTGTTATCAGCGGCTTAATGACCATTGTAATTGCCCCTGGATGTCTCCTATCTTTTCCATTCTTTTTTTTGGTTTCAGGAACTGACCGCCCACTTCTTGGCTAGCTTGGCGGGCCTTCTCCAGTCGGAGTGATGGATGGGGCGGAGCTGCTCCACTGCAGTCGCGAACTAATTCAAACGACCAACGCTCCTTTAATGTCAACACTCGCGTGCGAGATACTGCTCGCGTGTCAATTCACTGTCTTGCTTCTTTGAAAAGTTGCAATTCTAGAATGACAGCGAGATACCTAAATCACATCCGACAGGGCCTCGATTGATCCCGCAGGTATGCAACCTGGTTCCTGTCCTGCCAACTTCCCCACGAGCTGCAACTGACGACCATTTCACAACTACAGTATGGCCGACGCTCAGTTGGCCCCGTCCCCCCTGAGGGAGGCTGACCAGAGCCTGGAAAATGAGAAACTCAAGAAGCCAAACCCAATCTCAGTCTCGAATGGCACCAAATTGGCCTCACCCTTCCCGTCTCCTACCGCCACAAACCGACCCGCCTCTCTGAGACAACCTCCGCCGACAGGCGCCGCAGAGACTGAGAAGGCGTCGGAAACAAAGGAGCCATCAAAACCAAGCGGAGCAACTGCCTCGAAGAAGGAGAACCTGCGTGCCTCCTCGACGCAACGTGGCTCTCCAAAGGACCATCCCTCCCCCGGGCACTCGACTGCCGAACAATGACCGGCCCTCGTCAGTGAACCGCCATAGGCACCAACCCTCGATTCCCGGAATGTCACCTTCGTCCCGTACGCCTAGCGTCCAGTTCCGCGATACAGACAACGAAGCCCCTGATGGGCCTGCATCTCGGGGGCCGTCTCGGCCTTCATCGGTGTATGGAGAAGATGGAGAACAACCGCGAGGAAGGTCATTCATAACGAGATTGAAGTCATTGGCTGCATCCCCACCATTTGCATCACACTCTAGGTCTGCGAGTGGAGCCACAATCGGTGACTTCCGTCCAGTCCCAGCCGATACGGTGACCCCAGGCTCTGAGCGCGGCGAATTTCGCTTTCCTGAGCCTCTGACCGAGGAAGGGAGTGACGCAGACGCTGATGCAGAGGAGAGTGGTGGTGAGCAACAGAATGAACGTCCTAAAAGAAAGAGAATCTTGCGACGTCGACGACAGACGGACGAAGACCTTGGAAACCGCACTGCTCCTACGACCCCCAAAACTACACGCCGCCCATCTTTCCACTTTTCTTCCTCATTTGCTCCCTTTGAGAACTACCGGATCAACCCGTTCCCCCGCCGAGCAAGCACTACGGACTTTACGCCTCAGCCCCGCGAGGGTGTGTCCGAGGATGAGGGTCGTGCCCAGCTCAACCGCCGCAAGCGGAGTGCATTGACCACTCGAGGCTTCTCTTATATTGGAAGGCAACAGCAGGATGGTAATCAGGATGAACAGCAGCGACCCAGTCAGCTAAGGCGACTCACCGGCATTGGAGGCCCATCGGAAAATAATGAGAGCCTTGCGGCTACTTGGAGACGCCATCGAAACGAGCGGGGTACTAGTGCTAGTGCGCAGCGCTGGAGACAGATCAAAGCTGGTCTTAAGTTGATCGGTCAACGGCGCAGGCCGGAAAATGCGGTGGACAACAAGAAGTCAGCAGAGCTGCTCGCTGAACTGTCCTCGGCCGTGCCCGCTGCGCTTATCCTAGCCAGTGCCTTCCAACGAGATGAACATGGAAGCAAGCGAATTCCAATCCTCTTGGAGCAATTGAAAGTTCGCGTTACCGACAGTCGAATTGACTCGCACTCCGGTGACCGTCACCTGGTGTTCCGCATTGAACTGGAGTACGGAAGCGGCATGACACGAATGAAGTGGGTCATCTTCCGAACCTTGAGAGATTTTGCCAATCTCCATCTGAAGTACAAGCTTCACCTTGGCACACAAAAGTACATTCAGCTACGGACGAGCGAGAACAGCCCCAGTCTTCCTCGTTTCCCCAGAAGTGCTTTCCCTTATATGCGTGGTGTTCGTGGACTGGAAAGCGAGTTCGAAGATGAGGAAGAGGATGGCGGATACGAGACCGGGCCCGAGGGCATGAGTGGTACCGAAAGGGCATCAAAGAAGAAGGGCAAGAACCCGCAGTATCAGCGCAGACCTTCTCAGGGTATTGCTCGGCGAAAGTCTAGCATCACCAACCAAGAAGGGGAGTCTGCTGCTGCACCGTCGTCCACACACGAAGGGGCTGGTGGTAGGCGAGAGACGTATCCCGAAAGACAGCGGAAGAAGCTGGAGCTTTACCTGCAGAAGATGATTCGGTTCTTGATCTTCCGGGCTGACAGCAACCGCCTGTGCAAGTTCCTCGAGCTATCTGCTCTTGGTGTACGTCTTGCCGCCGAAGGCAGCTACCACGGTAAAGAAGGCTTCCTAATCATTCAATCTTCAAAGGGCCTCGACTTCCGACGAGCTCTGACCCCTTCGTTGATCAAGAAGCGGCATTGGCCCAAGTGGTTCCTTGTCCGTCATAGCTATGTGGTGTGCGTGGATTCACCCGAGGAGATGAACATTTACGATGTCTTCTTGATCGATTCCCACTTCAAGATGCAAACACAGAAGATCAGCCTTCGAAATCAAAAGGCGAAGGATTTGGCAAAGTCAGCCAAGGACTCTGCCAGACACCCGCAACACCACACTCTTCGACTGGAGAACTCTGAGCGCAAGTTGAAGTTATTGGCCCGAAACGAACGTCAACTTTTGCAGTTTGAAGAGTCGATTCGTTTCATGGCCGAAAACACCCCGTGGATGCAGCCAAACCGGTTCGACAGTTTCGCTCCGGTGCGTCAGAAGTGCTTTGCGCAATGGCTGGTCGATGGCCGAGACCACATGTGGGTTGTGTCCAGAGCTATCAACCAGGCGAAGGATGTTATTTATATCCATGATTGGTGGCTCAGCCCTGAACTATACATGCGACGCCCTGCTGCCATCAGCCAAAAATGGCGTCTGGACCGTCTCTTGCAGAAGAAGGCCCGAGAAGGTGTCAAGGTCTTTGTGATCATGTACCGCAACATCAACTCTGCCATCCCAATTGACTCGGAATACTCTAAGTTCTCTCTGCTTGAGCTTCACCCCAACATCTTCGTCCAGAGATCCCCGAACCAGTTCCGCCAGAACACTTTCTTCTGGGCCCATCACGAGAAGCTTTGTCTTATCGATCACACGTTGGCTTTTGTGGGAGGAATTGACCTGTGCTTCGGTCGGTGGGATACACCCCAGCATTCGCTCACCGATGATAAGCCTACTGGCTTCGAAACTGCCGACATGCCCAAGGATGCGGATCACTGCCAACTCTGGCCTGGAAAGGATTACTCAAACCCTCGTATTCAAGATTTCTATGATTTGGACAAACCATACGAGGAGATGTATGATCGCAGTGTCGTGCCTCGTATGCCTTGGCATGATATCTCGATGCATGTGGTCGGCCAGCCCGCACGAGATTTGACTCGCCACTTCGTTCAGCGCTGGAACTATATTCTTCGCCAGCGCAAGCCTACTCGGCCAACTCCTTTCCTGTTGCCTCCTCCGGACTTCAACCCAGCTGACCTAGAAGCTTTGGGTCTTGATGGAACCTGTGAGGTGCAAATTCTGCGCTCCAGCAGCATGTGGTCAACAGGAACGCCAGATGTCACCGAACACAGTATTATGAATGCCTATGTCAAGATGATTGAAGAGTCTGAGCACTTTGTCTACATCGAGAACCAGTTCTTCATCAGTACTTGTGAAATTGATGGCAGGAAGATTGAAAACCTGATTGGTGATGCTTTGGTAGAGAGAATCGTCCGAGCAGCCAAGAATGAGGAAGCTTGGCGTGCGGTTATTGTGATCCCACTGATTCCCGGCTTCCAAAACACCGTGGATAGCGAGGGTGGTACCAGTGTGCGTCTTATCATGCAGTGTCAATACCGCAGTATCTGCCGTGGCGAGACCTCCATCTTCGGCCGTCTTCGCTCGCTTGGTATCGAGCCCGAGGACTATATTCAGTTCTTCAGCTTGCGAGCCTGGGGCAAGATTGGTCCGCAGAAGCAGTTGGTGACCGAGCAACTGTACATTCACGCAAAGTGCATGGTTGTTGATGATCGTGCCGCCATTATTGGATCAGCCAACATCAACGAGCGATCTATGTTGGGATCGCGCGACTCCGAAGTCGCTGCCATTGTTCGGGATACTGACATGATTCCATCCACCATGGCCGGCAAGCCTTTCCTTGTTGGTCGATTCCCACACACTCTTCGCATGCGTCTGATGCGAGAGCACCTTGGTATCGACGTCGATGAGCTTTTGGAGCACGATTTCTCTACCGAAGAGGAGCTCCGCAAGATCCAGGTCGTCGAAGAAGGCACACAGACGACCGACGGGCGAGAACGTCGAGAATCAGAGTCTTCCATGATTGAACGACAGGATGAGCGTGAGATGATGGAGCGCCGTCATCGCGTTCAAGACGAATTCCTGTCTCGCTCGGAACACATGCACAGCTTCAACCATGATGTTGACTGGGAACAGGGTAAAAACCCTAATCTGAAGAGCAACCGCCGCCTGACTTCCGATCCGCGTGTTACCGATAACCCTGAACACAAGAAAGACGTCGATGGCGATGGTGTTGACCGCTTGATTGATGCCGAAAAGGCCGGTCTGGGAGTCGGCCGTGATTCACAAATGTCACCAGATGGGCGGGAGGCCCTCCTTTCGCCAATTGCCGCTGAAGGAAAGGGTACCGTTGAACAGCCCAAACACGTTCCGGAGCGAAAGCCACCTCGGGCTACATCCACACGCAAAGACGGGAAGCAAAGCTGCTCGGTTGAAAATGCTCGTGACTCTGAGACTACTACCAACTCCGACACCCCGTCGCAGGGGCATACCGCTTCTGGCTCATCAGGCCGCGAGTCCGCCGTCGGCAGCGGCGGTTTATACGTGTCTAAGGAAACACAGGACAACTCAACCTACGGCAACCCACTCATCCCAGATCTGAAGCGAATATTCGTCGACAAAGACTGTATGAAGGACCCGGTCAATGATAACTTCTACCTGGACACGTGGCAAGCCCTTGCGGAGAAGAACACCAAGATCTACCGTTCTGTATTCCGCTGCATGCCAGACAGCGAGGTTAAGAACTGGAAGGAGTACAAAGAGTATGCGACATATGGTGAGCGCTTTGCAGAGATGCAGAGCCAGCAGGGCAGCAAACCGGCCCCTTCATCGAACCAGAAGCAAAACGGCCCAACCAGTGCAGGTGTCAGTTCCACTGGACTTGCTTCATCTACATCGGTTGCTAGTCCTAGATCTGAAGGATTCCCGAGTGACTTAAAGGCTCCTCAAACAATTGACGAGAAGGCCGAGCTTGCCAAACCGGATGCCAACGGTGCTCCGCAATCCGATCTGGCCAAGCAAGAAACCCTGTCGTCTATTGACGAGAAGGCAGCACTGAAGACCGCATCAGACCCTCACTTGCTGAACACCGCGCAGAATAACGAGGATAGTATCGCTGTTGAGGATGCAGAGAAGCCGCGTGCCGCATCTGCCCATGTCGATTACTCTGAGGCCGTGAACTTGAATGCGACGACTTCGACATCGCAGTCTCGTAGACGCAGAAGACGGGCTACCACCATCGGATCCAAGGGTGGCGTCCATGGGATGGATGAAATTATGGACAAGCAGCGCGCTGAAGACCTTTTGAACAAGGTCCAGGGCCATCTCATCCTTTGGCCATATGACTGGTATGATCCGAGACTTTTTCTTACTATTTTCATTGGCCGATATACTAACCCATCTCTCTCTAGGCTTGAGAAGGAAGAGCAAGGTGGAAACTGGCTGTATGCCTTGGACCAGATCTCTCCTCTGGAAATTTAGTAAGTCCCTTCTCTCGCTCTGTCATTACCAGAAGTACCCCCGTTACTAACAGGCTCTTCCAGTAATTAATTTCTTCTCATCAACTTGCACTGGACGGCGTCTGCGTGAAGAACTTGCTTATCACTCATGTTTATCGTCCTCTCTCGTTCTCTTGTGTATTTGAGCGCTGCTGTTCTTGCTTGCTTCGTTCTATGCATCATATTATCTCGTTGTTGTTCCGTTTTATTAGACCACTATCCCTTTAAAAACGCGGGACGTGATTCGTTGATATCTTTTTGTTGCCATGACCTGCCTATTGTCTAGGCGGGCATTTCTCAGTGTGGGAGCCTATAGTCAAGTGCTAACCACTTTTAATTGATCAATTGCAGAATGAAACAAGAGATGAGAAGTGTTTATATACAGGGTATCGTAATATTAATATGGAAAACGGCCTCAACCTATCTCAACAGGTCTGCGGATGCACAATTTGCTCCCGCATCTTCTCCAGCCCGTCAAACTTTGCCCGCAGGGCTTTGGTCAGGATCGAGCTCTCCTCTCGAGAGCTTTCCCAACTGTCACATGCCGATCGAAGTTGGTCATACGCAGTGGCGAAGACACTTTGCAACTCGGGGGTACGTGTACACGATCGACCTAGGTCATTCATATAATGGGTTGGATCCTGCACACATAGCCGGCGACTAGCAGGTAGATTCCCTCTCCCGGCAGCAGTACGCTTAGCAGCAATGAGAGACCGTTGACCGCGAAGATACGCTGATTCTTCTATCACAATGTTGCGCAGGGTACCCGCGTCAAAAAAGCCCGGAGGATCGACCGCAACGCCGACGGATTGCAAGTCAACATCCGTGCCGTAGAGCTGGAGGAATGCAAGGAGTTGATCACCGAGACGGTGCGGACCAGGGAAACGGCCGTGATTTATCTTCAAAAATGCAACTAACAGCATGGCAAGAGCATCAGGGCTGATACCCGCTTGCGAGGGTCCAAATAGACCGCGAGCTTCGAGTAAAGCTCTTGTCGTTGCATACAGTGGTCGCAGGGATGGATACTCAACCAGATAATCCTGCAAATACTCTGTAAACGCCGGTACACGTTCACCACAGTAAAACTGCAGCGATAACCCCGTAGGACGGTGTCGAGCCTCTAGGACAAGACTCCGTTTCCCAGATAAGCGGACCTGATCTTTAAACTCCGGAGTATTCTGCAGGGCTGTTTCCACTTGGCGGAGCAAATTCAAGTGTGCATCTCGGATTTGAGGACGAGTTGGACTAGGTCTGCGCGTTCTGTCCAAGGACCGAGGGAGATCTTCGAAGGGGAGGAGGAAATCGAGGTCTGAATGCGCCAGCGCAAGACCCGTACGGCGGGATCCGATGAGTGTTGGCTTCTGCGGGACAATGGGTTCTAGTAATGCAGACACCATCGCGCCCAGCTGAGTAACTTGATTTTGTTCATCGGGGCTCGGCGCTAGGTAGCGGTGCAAAGCTTGGATCTCCGCATCCAAGTAAGCGGAGGCATCACCAGGTGCACCATTATTGGGTAGAGAGCTTAACCACGGTGTTTGACTTATCCGACCAGAGGCCCCATCACCCACGGTGCGAATAGCATTCCTCTCGGGTCGCGCATCCGTCTCGTGGGTATTTGTTTCCGGGGCCCGTCTGCGTGAGCGCTTTTTTACGCTCGCCGCCTTCCCTTCTTCGGATCCAATCTCCGGCGGCGGCGGTGGCTGGTAACCAGCACGGTTTTCAGGCGGGATATACGGTCTAAACAGACCGGGGGATGGAGCTCGGGGGTATGTTTTGCGGATGAGACGAGCGCGGTTAGAGGTGCGGTGGGCGTCTAGTGTTTTGCGCAGACTGTTGGCGAAGATGTCGTCATCTTGGGAGGGTGGGGGGATGGAGCGGAGTCGCCGGGTAGTTATTTGTGAGAGGCGAGAGGATTGGACGCCAGACAGTCGCATCTCGCATCTCTGGCATTGCGGGGCGATTATCGAGGTGGCATGTCGTGGAGGGAGGAGATTTGGAGATGAGTGGAGAGTTTTTGATGTTGTAGATAGAGGCCTGAGGCAGGGCAGGGCAGGGTATTGTACGGAGTACATGACTTAAGCTTAAGTACTGTACATAATTATTTACATTTCGGTAGCCCTAACTAGAAGAAAGTTAGAGGTTAGATTTTGATATACACCTGCATTATTTGATTGATACCTCTCTCAATCTTGTTATTTCTTCTAAAATCATTGCAGATGCTCATACTATATATTTGAAAATCACAGATGTCTGTGTTTGTATTTACCATGGTGATAAGCTCCATATAGCAGGCGGTGGGTATATCACCATGCTAGCCATAACAATTACCGAGTACTTTACATACTGCGTACTACTATAACTGTATTTTATCTAGATCAATTGAAAAATTAAACAGATACCCATGAACTATACAAAACTACCAAGAACTAGATCAATCATATAACTATTTTGCCTAGAATCTTCGAGATCTCACCTAGGATATCTGGCCCACCAGCATTAGGTAATCCTTTCTCAGCCCCATCCTCTTACCTTGAGAATCTGTCTATATATGACGTAGGACTGAAGACATCAATATTCACCGGACTGCCCTGAAGCGAAGAGTTCCTGTTTCGGTCGGTGGCTTCATTCACCGCTTGCCCCTCCAACCACCACCACCACCACCACGTCGGCCTCCTTTCCTAATCTACTCTCTCTGGGTCTCTATCTTGTTGACATTTCGAAATCTTCTCTCCTTCGAAGACATCCTATACGATCCTTGATTCCTTCTTAGCTGCCGATCTTGTGGCGTGTTCCTCCGTCTCGTCATCCATGGCTTGCTCGCACCCATAGTTCCGCAATCCGCTCTCGTATCGATCTACCCCTCGACGTCCGTCTTCCTCCGAGGTATGCAATCCAATCTCGTTGCCGAAGTCCACCCGACGGTCACAATCAATCGTGTGGCATTGAATCATTGAAGACCGTGCATGTGAGCAATTGGCAGTGCTAATAGCGAAGCTTTCCCATAGTTTAATTGCCGGTGTGACGCATCATCCTCGTCCCCAATTTCCGAACCCCACACGCAATCATGTCTGATCAAGGGAGCCCCGCGAGGGTCCCTGACGGACAACCAGACCCGGTCCTTGTTGGACCGGGACTTACAGCTTTAAAGGATGAAGCCTACAAAGCTGCGACCAATGCTACGCCAAGCTTGCCGACCGATAAGAAACACCAGATGGATAGTGATGTGCCTTCGTACTTTGCTAGCATCCCGGGCGTGAACACCGAGGCACTGGACCCCTCGGATAAGACTCCACCACCAAGGAGAAGGAAGATGTCCTCAGGACAGGATCTTCTGCGCCGATTGAGTCTTACTGGAGACGCATCGCCAATGTCGCCGGAGCTAGACCCCCGCGCGCAGCATCCAGGGCTGAAGCTGAGCGGTCGATTGATCAGTGTGGCCTTTTGTATGCCGTACAAGCTTTACCATCAAGCTGGGTCAGACTGGGTATGTGGTGACCAATATAAGAACTTTACAAGGCACTTGGGAGAACAACGACGCTAATACCTTCTTATCTCTCTATAGGAGCTCAAGCCACGATCCGGAACCTCGGCCCTTTTCGATTCATTCGCTCATCTAGCTTCCGACGAGACTCAATGGTCCCATACTCTAGTGGGGTGGACGGGAGAAGTCGAGCCCGTGTCTGATACCAAGATTCCTCTACAGCAAATCCCGGTGAACGCGGCAACCAAGCTTCCGGCTAGTGCCAGCCCTGCCAGCGGAATCCCACTCAACAAGGCCGCGGCGCCAGTTCCCGTAAATGCGAGCCAGAAACCACCCTCGCACCCACTGATCGATGGAATCAGTGTTGAGAAACAGGATCGGGAACGACTCGATCAACAGTTGTCCTCGGGACGTTATGGCCGGATCTTGCCAGTCTGGCTATCCGACGAGTCAGAGGAGCCGGAAGATACCATCCTCCTCAAGGATCAAGGAAGGTGGCGCCGATATGCAGAGAGAGAACTATACCCTCTTCTGCACTACAAGCAACATGGCCCAACGGACGGTCGTTCGGAGCAGCGATGGTGGGCCGATTATATCCGTTTGAATCAACTCTTCGCGGACCGCATCGCGGCAGACTACCAAGAAGGAGACGTGGTATGGATTCATGATTACCATCTTTTCCTGCTGCCCAGCCTACTACGACAGCGCATCCCAAATATCTATATCGGCTTCTTCTTGCACTCGCCGTTCCCCAGTAGCGAGTTCGTCCGGTGTCTTGCCAAGCGCAAGGAAGTCTTGACGGGAGTCCTTGGTGCCAACATGATTGGTTTCCAAACCTTTTCCTATTCGCGCCACTTTTCTTCGTGCTGCACTCGTGTCTTGGGATTTGAGTCGAACTCGGCTGGAGTGGACGCGTATGGTGCGCACGTTGCCGTGGATGTTTTCCCAATTGGAATTGATGCTCGGGCGATACATAAGGCGGCCTTTGGGGCGCCGGATCTAGAGAAGACTGTGCTGGGCATTCGGAAACTGTATGCTGGGAAGAAGATCATCGTTGGTCGTGACCGTCTGGACAGTGTTCGCGGTGTTGCCCAGAAGTTGCAAGCGTTTGAGATCTTCTTGGAGAGATACCCTGAATGGCGGGACAAGGTGGTTCTCATTCAAGTGACGAGTCCAACCAGTGTGGAGGAAGAGAAAGAAGATCCCGAGAACAAAATTGCTGGTCAAATTGCCAATCTTGTCTCCACGATTAATGGTCGCTTCGGGTCGCTTAGCTTCTCTCCGGTTCAGTACTACCCGCAGTATCTGTCCCAACGGGAATACTTTGCTCTTCTACGTGTCGCTGACGTGGGATTGATCACCACCGTCCGCGATGGTATGAACACTACGAGTTTGGAGTACATTGTTTGCCAACAGAACAACCACAGCCCCCTCATCCTCTCGGAATTCTCGGGCACTGCGGGCACACTGCCCAGTGCTATTCACATCAACCCCTGGGACTTAGTGGGTGTTGCCGGCGCTATTGACAAAGCTCTCAAGATGCCTGCCGACCAGCGAAAGGACCAGCACTTGAAGCTGTACAAGCATGTAATCACCAATACCGTCAGCACATGGTCCCGACTGTTCCTCCACCGTCTCCTCACCAACCTCTCCTCCTTTGACCAGTCCGTCGCCACACCTGCTCTGGATCGCGGGAAATTGTTGAAGCAGTACCGCAAAGCCCGGAGACGATTATTCATGTTTGACTATGATGGTACCCTTACGCCAATTGTGAAGGACCCGCAGGCCGCTATCCCGTCGGACCGTGTCCTCCGCACACTGAAGAGCTTGTCTGCAGACCCGCGAAATGCCGTCTGGATTATTAGTGGACGAGACCAAGCCTTTTTGGACGAATGGATGGGCCACCTCCCGGAGCTGGGTCTCAGTGCTGAACATGGGTGTTTCATCCGCAAGCCCCGGTCCGATGACTGGGAGAACCTTGCTGAGAGATCCAACATGGCCTGGCAGAAAGAAGTGATTGAGGTGTTCCAGCATTACACCGAACGCACCCAGGGTTCATTTATTGAGCGCAAGCGTGTAGCACTGACATGGCACTACCGTCGGGCCGACCCAGAGTACGGAGCCTTCCAAGCTCGTGAATGCCGCAAGGCTCTTGAGGATACTGTTGCTAAGCGCTGGGATGTGGAGGTCATGGCTGGTAAAGCCAACCTGGAGGTGCGGCCGACGTTTGTCAACAAGGGATTCATTGCGACTCGGTTGGTTAATGAGTATGGTACGGAGCCGGGCAAAGCACCGGACTTTATCCTGTGCTTAGGCGACGACTTTACCGACGAAGGTATGTAACACCAACAGTTTCTTACGCGATTCAATAGACCTTCTACTAACTGTGTCTTCATAGACATGTTCCGTGCCCTTCAAAAGTTTGACCTGCCCCAAGACCATGTCTACTCGGTGACAGTTGGCGCCAGCTCAAAGCAGACCGATGCTAGCTGGCATCTGCTCGAGCCGGCAGACGTCATCAGTGCGCTGCAAATGCTTAATAGCAACTCTCACCAGGATCACTAAGAGTGTCCCGCCGACCCCATCCGGCTCCATTCTCGAGCTGGCCAAGTCTCCACGATGCTGGTCCGTAAACTTTCCCTCGGAGTGGCTTCGTTTTGTTATTCTGCTTGCGTCTTCCCAGCCCTACATTATCATCATCTCATGTACGTACACGAAACCAAGCCCATATAAAGCCGGAGAAAAAATAGTGTTATCTTTACTCCTTCCCCACGTACAGCTCAGCCCAGCCCCATTGCGTTTGTTTTCTCGCTTTGTGCTTTGATCTTTGTTACAGGGGAGGTTCTTTCGGCGCTGTTGGAATTTTCAATCTCGTTTTTTTTTTTTTCTGTTCCTGGTGGTTTTCAGCCTTGATCATTCTTGTTTTCTATTTCCTGTGGTGGCATTGATTCTGTTATGATCCGGGCATAGATGCATTTCAGCCTTGAATTGTAAAGAAAGAAAGAAGAGCGAGAGCGAGCGAGTTGTTGAGACGAATAGAATTACAGAATGTGGTTCCAATTGGAATTTCAAACTATACCTTCTTAGATAGTAGTCACTACTCGGCGCTTGCCCCCTATCCTAATTCTTGTATTCTTTTACCCCAAGTCATTCATAGCCAATGAGATGATAAATCAAATATCTCCAACCGTGCCGTACGTGCCGCGGCCCGCAATATCCACAATATCCGAAGAAAGAACATTGATTAAGTAGATTTGATCTCAAGCCACGATATGTATGATTAGTGATTATTCATATTAATAATTCAGCCCAGTGTCCACCTGCAGCACGCCTTTAACTGCGGGGGTTACGAGGTTCTTTTTTTTCCCCGCGGGGAATATACAAGCCTACATAGTGTAGAGTGTATGTACACGATAAGAGAAAGAAGCAATTATTGTATAATGTCTTCCATATTGTATACATTTGATAGTATGACTTATACAGCCTCTTATTAATCTACATTGACCTGCTCTCCTTCGTAGTTGATTGTACTTCTTCCTGACTACAAGTGGATCCTCCCGTCCGGCGTCGGCCATGTCATCGGAAGGCAGATGTTACATTTTTTTCGTTTTTCGGCAATCTCTGCGAATAACCGACCAGAGCCCGTGATCGGCATAAATCCCGTTGGGAACTTGTTGCTTGGACACACTAAAATTGTGGTCAGTGATTTAATTTTTTTTTGGAGTAACTGGGGATTGACTGGGTCCAGTACTTAGTCCAAAGAAGTAGAGCTATGAGTCAGGTCAATGGAGTTTTGGTCAAAAATGAGTTTACCCGGTGGTTTTGATTCTTTTCTGGTTCTTCTTTTTGCTCCTGGTTCTGAACCTGTTCCTGGTTGATACTCTTTCAACATTGTTGACATTTTCGATATCGACTGGTTATACCACCAGACATAACTGCCTAGTTTCAGTGTGCTGGTTGGTTTACACACGGAGACATGAATGACGAGATAACAGCCTCATTCTAAAAGAGAGAGAAAAAAGGTCAACTCTGTTCACATCGGATCCGACCTCCAATGGCAATGGCCAACTCTTCATCAGAAAAGAATCAACCCTCAAACACAGTAACAATGGATGAAAAAGACCATCCATACATCCAGCCACGCGCTCTCGAAGCAAATCATCCACCACGAACTCCATCCTCCGACGAAGAATCCACCATCGGCGACCTTCACGATGACAACCTCCACAACACCCATAACACCCATAACGCCCTAACGCAAGTCCCCACAAACGCCAGCGCCATCACCCGCACCCTCTCCGCCGTACGAACCCGCGAATCCGGCAAAGACCTCGGCCCCCCGCCGGACGGGGGCTTCCAAGCCTGGCTGCAAGTCGCCCTGGGCCATCTAATCATCTTCAATACGTGGGGGTATATCAACAGTTTCGGCGTCTTCCAAACATACTACACCTCGACACTCGGCCGTCCCCCATCCGATATCTCCTGGGTAGGAAGTATCCAGATCTTCCTGCTTTTCTTCATCGGGACTTTCTCGGGACGAGCCACCGATGCGGGATATTTCCGGTTTACGTTGACGGTGGGTGCGACGTTGGAAGTATTCTGTATCTTTATGACTTCGTTGTGCACGGAGTATTGGCAGCTTTTCCTGGCGCAGGGATTGGGCCAGGGAATCGGGTGTGGACTTATGTTTTGTCCGACGTTGGCGTTGATATCGACATATTTTGTTAAACGGCGCGGTATCGCGATTGGAATTGTTGCGTCTGGGTCGGCGACGGGTGGACTTGTTTTTCCTGCTGTGGTGATGCGTCTTTTACCGCGCATTGGATATGGATGGACGATGCGTACGCTGGGATTTATTTCGCTGGCCACGCTGATTCCTTGCTTGATCTTTTTCAAGCAGCGCCTCCCGCCTCGCACGAGTGGGCCGTTACTTGAATTAGCCGCGTTCAAGGAACTGCCCTACCTGCTCTTTGCAGTGGGCATGTTCCTGAATTTCTGGGGTCTGTATGTCGCATTCTTTTACGTGGGAAGTTTCAGCCGCAACATCATCGGTGTATCGGAAACTGTCTCGATAGATCTTCTCCTGGTGATGAATGGAGTAGGACTTGTGGGCCGATTAGTTCCCAACCTGCTCGCTGATCAATTCACCGGTCCACTCAACCTGCTTATTCCATTCAGCGGGGCCACGGCCATCGTCGCATACTGCTGGGCCCCAGTCAAGGATTTGGATAGTCTATGGGTTTTCGCGGCATTTTATGGCATTTTCGCGGCGGGCATTCAGTCCTTGTTCCCTGCGACGTTGAGCACATTGACGACAGATTTGAAGAAGATTGGTGTACGCATGGGGATGGTGCTTAGTGTTGTGGCGGTGGCGGCGTTGATCGGGTCGCCGATTGCGGGGGCGTTGATTCAGCGGGATGATGGGAATTACTTGTATGCGCAGATGTTTATGGGGAGTGCGATTCTTGCGGGGACGTTGACTTTAATTGCGGCGAGGGTTTGTAAAGTTGGGATGGGACTTGCTCGTGTTTGAAGAGAGTGGGAGAGAAGAAGGAATGGAAAGGAAAGAAGTGGATGTCATACATACCGTTTGCATGTTCAGCATATTGTAAATGGTGTTAATGGGTTGATTTAATGTTAATAATGAATGGATCATTTTATAATAAGATGGCTATACTTGACCAGTAGATAAGATGTTAATCGTGTTTATAGTTCTTCGGTCATGAAGTGGTGCAAGTATATGGAAGTAGTTACTGTATGTATTGCCGAGTGAAACTAAATGCACGACCTCTGCTTCTATATCCAGCTCGATATTGAACTGTATACCTAGTTGTGGCTAGAGCATTGACCATGCAAGTACAAAAAAGGTTGAAGCCCTAAGTGTACTTTGACCTCGTATCCTACCCCTCTGTCTCTCTGGTTAATTCAATGAGGATAAAACCCAAGCTATTTAGAAGATAAAATATGCAATTGTCTACAAAAGAACTTTCAAAGACATATTTTAAAACTAAACCCCTAACATTCGTGTCTACGGTTCTAGACTTGGATCTTTAAACTGCAAACTGTCGCCCAATCTGCAAATTAGGATGGATGTGCAAAATTCGTTGGCGGGACTGATTAATGCGAACGCGGTGACTCGCCTCTTGAACTACGGAGTACAACGAACGGAGTCACTTATGTACTCGACTGTTAATTACCCATAGTGATAAATTGACAAGTAAGTGAATTTCTCTACTTCTATAAGTCATACCAATCCCAGCAATAATATCGCACTATTTACCAATTATCTTCATATTCAAGTGATATGATCAGCTCCGGCCTAAATCTGATCCAATTGCCCTGGTCCCATCACATCACCCCCACTTTGACTTTGCCCCTCTATTTCTGCGGTGTATCCAACCCTGACTCAAGCGCAGCTCTGATCTTTCGACCACAGCATCCCTCTCATAGCGAATTGCTCTTCGACAGCGTATACAATCGAGACCTGCTTGCCTTTTCGCTTACCTATCTACTCTACACTACACCGCTACACACCCACATATTCCAACATGGCACCCCGCGGTCGTGGAGGAAAGTTCTCCAAGCCTACTCGAGGAGGTATGGTCGCGTGCACATCGTCTATCCCAGCATGTCAAGGCAAAGGAAGCTCACAAATATATCTATATCACAGGAGGCAAGAAGTTCAGTCGTGATCTCCAGCCTGTGGATAAGGATGGGAACCCAGTTGGTCTTTGGCGCGTACGTCCACCAAGAAGTTCCAGATCGGCACAGTCTCAATCTCAATCTATCTGACACAATTATCCCCATCAAACAGGAAAAAGAAGATGAAATCCCCTCCTCCAGCGAAGAAGAATCCTCTGACGAGGAAGACTCCGAAGAAGAATCCTCTGACGACGACGCCCCCTCCGCCGGCCCCAGCACCCTCCCCACCACCTCAGCAGGCGCAGGCGCAAGCAACGACCTAAGCCGCGAAGCCCGCCGCGCCGCAGCAAAAGCCAAAAAACAAGCCGCCCTCCGAAAACGCGGCCAAGCCCCCGCCCAACCCGGCGACCTCCCCCCCTCCGACGACGACTCCACCTCAGACGCCGACACGGACCTCCCCTCCAACCCCAACCACAGCGCCAAGTCACGCTCGCAGCTCGTCAAGCCCACCTCGGACTCCGAGGACCAGCAGAAGCAGCCCACCAAGAAGGCCGCGCCGAAAGACATGTCGCAGCTCTCGCGGCGCGAGCGGGAGGCTATTGAGGCGCAGCAGGCGCGGGAGCGGTATTTAAAGCTTCATGCTGAGGGGAAGACGGATGAGGCGAAGGCTGATTTGGCGCGGTTGGCTGTTATTCGGGAGCAGCGGGAGGCGGAGCGGATGAGGAAGTTGGCTGAGAAGGAGGAGAAGGAGGAGAAGGAACGGGAGAGGGCGGCGCTTGTTAAGGAGAGGGAGGATAAGTTGAGGCAGGCTGCGTTGGGGAAGGGGAAGAAGGTGCCGAAGAAGAAGTGAAGTTGAAGTTGAGGTGAAGAGAAGAGAAAGGGGAGGTGTAGACTCTTTTCTAGATGAATATGTGTAGGTGACATACATGAATGGATGGATGGATGGATGGATGGGATATTTGGTGTTGTAGGTCAAGATCTTTGATAAAATACCAATACACGAAGTGATTCACAAAAGGATGCCTCATGTTTTAAGCTATTGGGCGAGGAATTTGGAAATCGATATAGGAGAAGTCGAGAGAAAGACGTAAGGATGTTTTCGAAGGCAGGCCATAGATACAAACGGGGATATGTGAATAGATTCAAGTAACATGAAGTCTTCAAACTAAGCTGAAATGTACTTCTTCGCTTTTATAAGGCAAATCTGATCTTTAAATCTATATCACACGCCAAGAAAAAGAAGAGATGCCCCAATCCTATAGATGAGAGACTGGAAAAGACAAGAGTAAAATAACAAAATCATGTACAAACGCCTTTTCCTCGCAAACAAAATCAAGAGAAGCTCTCTTTCAATGCATAGCCAAGAGAACAGGGAGAGAAAAGGGAAAGAAATTCATACACGGGGTTGGCCAGAGAAACGTACCAAGCAAACCCCCATCAAGGAAAGAGAAAGAAAATAAAAAGCCGCACAACCTCAATTCCAGATTCAACCCTTCGTATCCGGAACCCCCAGAACAACCCCTCAACACTATGCCCATGCATAACGATCCCCCACCCAGCAATCAAACTAACAAACCACAGCACGGCAAAAACCAAAATGGGCACCAACAAAAGCTCCGTATTATGCAAAAACGGCAACGCATTATATCCCAAAAAGGTAATATAAGTATAATAAATGAAAGCCGACAAATAGAGCGAATTCCCCAAGAAAGTAGCGAGGAAGTTACTCGGCGAACGAGTCAACAAGGGAAGAAGCAAGAACTGCACCACATAAAGATGCAGATACAGCGGGAAGAAAGCTCGATTAGATACGTCGAAGCAGTATCCGAATTCGAGTTGGTCCTTTTCACCGGGTTGTACGAAGAGACCCTGTGCTGCGCCGCGGCGGCGGGCGCGGGAACCGCGGAGACCGGTTAGAGAGGCGGCGGCGCCGTTGGGGCCGAAGAGGCGGCCGATGGCGAAGTAGCCGATTGTGGAGATTAGGAGGGAGGAGCCGATGAAGTGGACGAAGATGAAGAGGAGGGAGAGGCGGAGGATGGCGCCGAAGGAGTGGGTGTATGCTAGGCCCCAGGCGAGTGCAGTGAGGAGGAGGAAGAAGGAGAGGAGGTAGGTGAATGATGGGTCGGGGCGGTGCCATGTGTTTTTTGTTTCTAACATAAGCATTAGTATATTCATGTATGGGGATCGAAGGGTGGGTTGCAATTGGGTTGTTGGCGGGGTGAGAAGCGAGGCGAAGTCGTTGATGGAGAGGGAGTAGTTGGGATCAAAGTATAGTACGACTCACGTTTCTATGGATGTCAGAGTGTAATTAGTATAATTCTCAACAATGTCAATGGCAGCAGCAGGTTATCCAGCCCTAGCCTGTATGGGAGTGTCATCTTACGTGATAGTATATGGACTTGAAGACCTTCTTCGGCGCGATCAACAAGGAGGTCATTTCCCAAATAGCCATTTCAAAGTCCATCTGGGGGAACTTGAAGAGCCTATACATCGCAAGATTATCAGCCCTGTTCGTCCCAATAATCACACAAACCATAACCATCTTCCCCCTCCAGCTCGCAGCTGTACAAGACCCTACCTCTTGAAGAAGCGCGGCATGCGCACGCTGGACCCGCGGCTGGGCGTGGACCCGAAATTGGCGGGACCGGCATGTTGGCGGGGGACAGAGATGTGCGGGTTCATCTTTTTTTGTGGTGTTTTTCTTTTCGCAGCCCGAGATCTGAACTGGTCAGACTGGTCAGGAATCGGGGATCATGGAGCGCGGAGGTTCGGCGTACGGAGTCACTCGTCGACGTGTCGGTCCGTTATGTCATCGTTGGGATCACGTGGTGGGAGTGTGGAGTGGGAGACACCTGAGGCAGAAAGGGGAAGTATACGCCATAGTTGGAGGGAAAGGCTAATTGACGAGAATAGAAGAACTACGAGAGACTATGTAGCTTGCTGTACAAGAGTGTCTATGTAGATCCATCTTTTTAGCTAAACCTTCTCATCCCACCAGTTCTGGACATAATATATCAATACTCTCTGTCAGGTTTGTATGTACAAACTAATATTCTGTCAATCATAGCGACCCCTCAATCACCCGATGAATTGGTCGATAGATCTACTTTGGCTGGAACCTAACCTTCTTTCCATTCCATACAAGAAAAGACAGAGAGAATATAATGGAGAGCATATGTATGTAGATTAGCATGAGAAGAGATGTAAGATGCAGGGCAACCTGTCGGATGTCCTCCCGGGGACTACAGCGTGGAATACGATACGGGCAATTTTCCCCTTATCGAAAGAGGGTGTAAAAGTCCTGTAAGTGCAGTAAAACCCGAGCGATGTACTCGGAGGCTTCCTTCCTACAAAGACCACAATGCGCAGTAGGGCATATCCATGCAATCGATTCATCAAATTTGCGGAGAAATAAAGTTGAGGCGACCACACGCCGCCGATCGCCTCGACCTTTGGAGTGTTGGACCCGATGCATCACATCGCTTGACCTGCATGGGACTGCATCGCAGATTCAGCCCACAAAAAAGTCAAATTGCCGGATTGTGGTGGAAAACTGTAAGAGACCGGCAATCGGGACTGTCATGATTTCCAGCATTGACCAGCAAAGAACCAAGAAAGGACTAAGAAGTGGTTTCCCCACTACGAGGGTCCACCGAGGGTCTACCATTCGGATCGACTGGCGATAATAATCGAGGAGTCAGAAGAAGGACAACTAACGGTGGCAAAGTTGACCATGTACTTATGTATGATAAGCTCTGGAAGTGAACGACCTTCACCGTCTTTTCAGATGTAGTCTTCTAGAATTGTAGTATATACTTTGTAAACTTTGTACACTCTGTATACTTTGTACTCCGTCCCTTGAATTTGTACCTGACAGGATGCTGCCAGCGCATCACTGCCCCTGAAAAAAAGATGGTGCGACAGTAGAAAGGTGGTATGGATTATGGAATAAATTAAAATATGGAGAACCCTGACAATGGGTTGATGAGAGCATGTACCCTGTACCTGAATTAATTAACTTTGTTACATTCGTTCCTTGTGCATTGAGAATCAGGGATGAATTGTTAGTTAGTTAGTCTCCTACCGTAATAAATGTTAATGTCCCCCCCTGTTTCGTATCTGCTTCACGTTGGCCCGATTTCTCAGTCCGCCCACCTTTTTCTTTCATTTGAGTATATACATTAGTATCCTATTCTATATTTCTACCCTATACACTTTATTTGCTGCCAACTCTCTTCTAGGAAGAAAGTTCGGTAGTCGAGTTCCCACTGTTCCCAGTTCCACTGCTTCGGCAGGTCAAAGCCCCGTTCAGGAGTTCGTCCCGCCCCCGGGTTCTTCTGATCTCTCGACTGTCAGTTATTATTCTACCACCACCACCACGGTACTACCACTACCAACACCAACCTCCCAGCCCGATTCTCAATCGGTCGCCTCGCGCTATTGTCGCTGTACGCAGCTGCGCTGCAATTGTACCCCCTGACTGGCCTTGGACATGCGATGACCGACTGAGACCACCTCCGTGCTTCAATTCGCCCAAACGAGCAACGACATTCTTGCTCGTTGACCGGCACATCCCACTCGCCGGCCTTTCGGGCAGCCAACACTACGCTCCTTTCAAGCCTAAGGGTATTACGGGTATGTCGCTGCTAAACTCGGTCTCTGTCTCTTGCCGTCCCCGTGTCGAAACTGCACCTCGAGTCCGCTCTCCTGAACCCTAAACCAACAATTGATGAACCGGAACCCCTAAACAACCAGCTGGAACTGATTTTGCTTCACCAGCGTGACAATGTCCCAACAGCGCGGCGGATACGCTTCCAATTCTCCTCCTCGCACTCCTCCCTCTCAGACCGCAAAATATCGGCCCAAGCGAGGCTACCCTACCCGTCCATCCGTTCGCGATGCCTTCCCCGACGCCGGTGACAATGCGCCCAGAGCCAGCGAGTCGGGCGACGAGCGGGACCCTCATGACTTGTCATTGTCGCCCAAGCATGCTGCCCGCACCTCCATCGTAGACAATATGCTCCTCTCTCTCGACCAGTTTGACGGACCCGGATCGGTGTTGGACGATTATCGACTATTCAATTCCGCCTTCGAATCCGATCTACAGGGTCGATATCGCGGTCACACATTCTCCTCTTCAATGTCTTCCGAAGCGGACTTTGGCTACGACGATAGTAGCAGTCGCTATGCGACCATTACTGCGAACGGTCGACGCAGTAACAGCAGTTCCAACCATCAAACCGCCCCGAGGAGAATGAGCAGTGCCCGTGGCCGAGATGCTATGGGTTCCAGAGGAGGCACCATGCCGAGGACCAATGACGTTCGAAAAGGAAGCAAGGGAAGCGCCTCCAACGCCGATTATTCATATACTTTGCCTCGAGGTCGCGCAGACTCGGACGGCCGAGATCGGCGCTCAGAGAGTTTTGACTGTGGACCAAAGAAAGCCTTTATTCCATATGGAGACCATGGCTTGGGCCAGGACTCGCTCTTATACGATGATGATGCCGCTCCAACCCCCAGTGTGCCCGCCGGCCCGCGCAAACTCTACGACTATAGAACCCCCAACACCACAGTCGCCCGAACGCCTGTGGCATCGCGGCGGAACAGCGTGAAATCATCCAATGCCCCCCAGGTCCGGAAGAACCGTCCAGAGAACATTGGCACTGGAGCTCTTAAGACCCGCGACAACGACTTTTTGGGTGATACGGATCTTGATCTCCCGCCCGCCATTCCGGCATCTTTGGATCCGCCTGCTCCTAGCCCAACAATTTCATACAACAAGCCAGCTTTCCCTCAACCGGAGGCAACAGTTACAAACACGTCAACCACGATCACGGCGAATCCGAGCGCCTCTGCTACAGCCAATATCAACACTAACAAAGAGCGTCCAGGATTTTTCCGTCGTGTGTTCGGCGGGTCATCAAAGGCTTCGTCCCTGGCGGAATCTCCCAGTTCCCATATAAACGACATCTCATACTTCCAGGAGAGCGAAACTAAAGAATCCACGGGTGCAACCTCCAACATGAAACCACGGGAACAGCAACAAGTACAGCAGACCCAACAGCAGCAGCCTCCAAAGAGCGCAGTAACAGCCACACCTACTCCTGCTGTCCGTAAAGGGCCGCCTCAAGTGGTGAAACAAAAGTCCTCCTTCTTCCGCCGGCGCAAGAAGTCTGTGACTGAACACGTTCCCCTTCCGATCAAGCTCCCTCAAGAGCTGGCCCCTCAAACTCTGGATACGATGAAACCAGAACCCAGCCCCGTGAGTAGCTTGCGCCAGTTCATGAATCAATATCTGGATGAACCCGGTGCACCGGCAAACCCAGATCGCAAGGAGAACCGCAGAGAAGATCCTCGGCCTAACGAGTCAGCCTCGCTGCAGGCCCAGAAGCCAAGGGAAAGTGTCTCGGCTCCTGGCGGTGTCTCCAAACCGAAGCAGAACCTCCAGCCTCCCAGCAGTTCTCGCGGTCAGGAGCCTCGCTTGATATTAGATAGTCGCGGTACCAATGATCATGCTCAAAAGACAAGTGATGTGGAGTCTATCTCCTCTGCAGAGTCCCCCTTGCAGGAGAGAAACTCTAATATCAACCCCTCTAGCTCGCTGTCACCAGTCGCCGAGGATTTCTCCCGCACCATCAGGGTGTCAACCAAAATGGCACCGCCGACCGATTCTTCTCGTGATAGCTTGGCTGGCGTGAGCAAGCTACCTCTTCCGTCGGACAGCAATGTTCCCGAGTCTCCTGCAGCGTCAGAGGCATCGCATTATCTAACCGCCTCGAACACGCCAGTCATTGAATCAGAAGAGCCCAAGGTAATTACCGACAACGACGAGAAAGATGACACAACCGACGGGCCTGGTGATGCTGTCGAAGACGGTCCTACCGCCTCTGATCGAGATCAAGCACGAAACCTCTTCGATAGTCAGGATCAGGTCGTTGGTAATGTCCCGGCGGCTGCTTGGCTTGGAGAGCCTGACCGGGCCATGGTTCGGGAGGCGTACATGCGACTTTACAACTGGTCGAATATGAACATTCTTGCCGCTCTCCGGAGTCTCTGTCAGCGATTGGTGCTCAAGGGAGAGACTCAACAAGTCGACCGGGTGTTGGATGCTTTTTCATGCCGATGGTGTGATTGCAACCCGAGTCATGGCTTCAAAGCTACTGGTAAGTGTCAATCTTGTGGCCCAACTTGACTCGCAAAAAGCCCTCTAACGGTTTGATAGATGTTGTTCATACTATCTGTTACTCCCTCCTGCTGCTAAACACCGATCTTCACTTGGCGGACATTGAGCAGAAGATGACCAAATCCCAGTTCGTTCGCAATACCATGCCCACAATTCACCGTGTGGCCATGGATGCAGCACCCGAAGGTTTCGAGACTTTGCGGCCTCAGAAGTCCAAGACCGTGCCTACCGCCGAGTCTGCACACTCTGCACCCAACTCTGCTCGCTCTCAAACCTTCCCCGCAGATGCATGTGGCTTCTTGGATGATAACACCGCTCGCAATACAGCTGACGTCGATGCTGGTCCGTTGGTCACTACCCCTTTCACGGGAACTGTGCGAGCATGGGAGCAGCAGGTGGAGATGGTTCTGAAAGATTTCTATTCTTCCATTCAAAAGGATAAACTCCCACTTCATGGTGCTCAACCGGAGAAGGAGGTAACCCGTATGGCGTCGAGCAATTTCCTCAATCCCGTATCGGGTACACTTCGCCGAAGCCCCAGCACCATCAGCAAGAGCGGCTCGGATATCTTCCCCCGTGGCCGTTCGGCAGATTCTCGCCATGGTGCCGCGAGGTGGTCGTCCAAACCTCGTTCGCGAGGAGCGCGACTCTATCCTCCATCTATGATGGGTTCTAGCAGAACCAGCCTAGATGATCAGTCCTCTGTGTGGAGTCCGACTGCGTCGAGCACCTGGAGCAAGTACTCGCTGGGCAAGTTCACGTCGGCCTCGGTGGATTCATTTGGCTCCGAGTATCCTCGTGGCGAGTACCAGCAGTCGATTGGTTTCGCCAATGCACTGAGTCAGGCTATTATTCGTGAAGATTCTGCCACATCAATCTACAGTTACGAGGAACCAACCGCGCCTCTTCTAGAAGATGAGACTTTGGCCTTGGCTGGTGCGCCTTGGGCTAAAGAAGGAAGTGTCAAGCACAAGCACCATCTGGATGCGGTGGACAAGCGTGCCAAAGACCGCAACTGGAATGAATGTTTTGCTGTCATCCAGCAGGGCTGGATGCGACTCTTCTCATTCAATAATGCCTCCAAGTCTATGCGACAGAAAGCCAAGCAGCGTGGAGGCGTCGTGGTTGGAGGTGGTAACTGGACCGAGAACGCCGAGGAGATTTGGAAGTTCATGCTGCGCCAGACTATTGCCAGTGCCCTGCCACCGCCGGGTTACTCCAAGTCTCGCCCGCACGTGTGGGCTCTGAGCCTACCAACCGGTGCGGTTCATCTCTTCCAAGCTGGCACACCGGAGATTGTACGCGAGTTTGTCTCGACTGCCAACTATTGGAGCGCCCGACTCTCCAAGGAACCTCTGGTAGGCGGTATCAGCAACATCGAGTATGGCTGGAGCGACGCCGTCATCAACAGCGCCCTAGTCAATGCCGAGAGACGATCACCACCCCCATCCTCCGGCGCCCCACGTCCCAGCATCCAAAGCTCCATTCGCAGCTCCCTGGACCACCAAGGAGTTGTGCGGCCCAAGCTGCCCGCGGATCGGGTGCACATTAGCGACTGGAGTCCGCCACAGCAGAGCATGGTCGCCTCTCACCAGTCAGAGGAAGATCAGCTCAAGGCTTTGCAGGCGTATGTGCAGAATGTCGAGGACGATCTCCAGCGACACAACGAGCTCCGGCCAGCTATGAACCTGGCGTTCTCACCGCGTCACCCCAATTGTGCGAAGGCGATGGCCAACTGGGAGCGGAAGTCGTCGTATCTCCTCCGCGAGATTGTCAAGTTCCGCACGTACATTGATTCGCTTCGAAATGCGATCAATAAGAAGGGGGAGATTTATTCTTCGAATAATAATTATTATAATCCTCCTGCAACAGGGGATGATGCTGGTACCGAGCAGCAGCAACAACAGCAGCAACCAGCTCCCCCTTCGACTGCTTCTACGACTACTTGACGGTAGGACCTGCAATGCCCTTCTCTTGAAAGTACCCCAACTTTCACTTTCATATTCTTACCCTTCTTTTTGGCCCTTCCTTGATGGATTTACACCACCGATTTTTTCCAATTGCAGACCGTTGTACATACCCGCCCAGGCCGGTGACTGTGGTATACATACTGCCCCAAAATGACTGACGGCTCTTTTTTTCTTCATCCTGGATTTTGTTTCTTTCTTCTCTTATTCCTTTTCCTTGGCTGTATATCTCTTTACTCTGTTCTCCCATGACCCTTTTTATTTTTCTTGTTATTGGTATCTTATTTGTTGCCATGGGGGCATGGTTATTTTGTTTAACGTTTGGAGCTATGATATGAAAGATGCTATGGATACCACGATTGTTTTTTTTTCTGTCGATGCAATATCAATGTGAATATTTTGTCTTTCTCGGAGTATTTCCAAAGTGTAGGAAGAGTAGAGAAAGTAGTCAACCCATGGTTGTTGGGCATAGATGTGAGTGGTAATTGGGTATTCCTGCAGTTAAGAGCGTGGCAATAACCCTGTCGACCCCGTGCCTGGTCGTGTCAATATTCCCGCCAGTCAACCTTGGTACATAGTAACACACCTGAATGCTTTGTTGGAACGCATTCATTCCCATGGCACCTGCCATGAATCAAATCCATTCTCCCTCGATACATCATATCTAATTCTCACCGTCTTAATCCAAGTCTTCTACACCTCCAATGAGAGCTGTCAAGAAAACCTGCACCAGGCGCATGCTAATTCGCCAATCGCGGTGGGTAAAACGCACTACCGCAAGTGGGTACCCAAAACACGCCTAGAAGCCCCCCGTCACCATGTCGACCAAGGCCAGTACCCCATTAGTTACAACACCTCCGATCGTCATCCCAGGCCCGCCCTCGGTGCGCATTCCCTCCTCCGCCCATGATTCTGGAGCTTACCACTCGCCACACGATCTCTCGCCCCTGGATGCCGATTTCAGCGCTTCAGATTACTTCATGGCTGAGGACGCCCGGGGTGCTGGACCCCCGAGTACCAGCTTCCACGACGCGGAGACAGTGACGGACGACAAAAGCGGCGCGCAAGATTCTATCACAACACCGCCCGCGCCAACGACGAATTCGAACACCACCACCACCACCACCACGACGCAAGCAGATAACGAGGAAAAGGACGTGCATGATGAACCGCCCGCTACGATAGCCCAATCCCACACCGAGGAGGAAATTAGTCTCCTTCCTCCCTTGACCGATCGCGACGATAGCAGTTTGTTCTTGTCGAGTGAAATTGGCGAGCGCGAGCACGTGAATAACCAGACTCTAATCGAGGAGCATGAGATGCGCCGTAAGCTGATGGATATGGAGTCGAGTTTCCTGCCTGAACCCTCAACCATCGACGTCGCCACGGCTGGTCGGACTACTGGCGCAGATGATACCTACTTGGTTGGAGTCGGGGGCTACGATCCCGATATGACCCAGTCGTCTACATTTTCGTTTATTCCGCCATCTGAGAGCTACGGGGAAATCGAGCACGATCATGACGGTGCTGGTGAGGGGACGGAGAATGTTCTCGACGCAGCGCGTGCGCAGCAGTCTGGCAATGACACTATGCTTGACTCGCTCACCTCGTCACCTTCGGCTGCGGCTATGCTGCGGAGTTTGCAGAGAGATCAGCAATCGGAAAACCCTGCTGAGAATAGCCTTTTGTCCCAGGATGAACGACCATTCAGATCTCAATTCTCCATTGCAGAAAGTGAATCACAACTCACCCCTCCAAGCTTCGACATTCATCTCGCAGCCTTTCACCGGGTTCGTCTAGGATATTCAGTGACCAGACCGGCGGTATTGGTGGGAGTCGGAGAAGTGGTAGCCGGCCGAAGTATTTGACGAGCCGTCAATCGTCTCAGCGACTCTCGCACTCCTCGATTGCTAGCAATAACACTGAAACAACTCACAGTGACGCGACGCTGGGGGCCGACTTTGCTCTTCAATCTGGAGGCGCGGCCTCTGAGCAATGGGGCGGTCTCAACACCGGTCAGCGCGCGCATATGACCCGGACGACTAGCCTGGGCAGTATGGCGTCCGGAGTATCAGGGTATAGTGAAGAAAACTCTTTAGAGAGACGCACTCTTGGCGCTCCGATTGATGGAGGTCTGCATACCTTGGAAGAAGAGAGCTCGCCACAGTCAGCACGACAGGCACCGGCCTTTGATGAAGCCTCGGCACCAATGACACCGAAAGCCAGGCCTCGAGACAATATTCCCACCGATATAGCCATCACCGAGCGTGTCAAGGGAATTCAGGTTCCTACAGCTTTCGTTCAAAGATTCCGTGATGACTTTGCTCACACTGGACCATCCCCCGAGAAACGCCCCGGAGCTTCGACGCCTGCATTTGGACGCAGTGGTCGCACGATGACTCTCAAGGAGCAAAGCAGTACGATCGACCGACTCTCGAAGGAGAACTTTGATTTGAAAATGCGCATTCATTTCCTCAACGAAGCTCTGAATAAGCGGTCTGAAGAGGGTATCAAGGAGATGATCTCAGAGAATGTTGAGCTCAAATCAGATAAGCTCAAACTGCAAAAAGACAACCAGGGTCTGAAGCGCAAGATCCGGGACTTGGAAAAGCAGCTGAAGGATCAACAATCTGACAAGGACTCCATGGTCAATCATGACCCTGAGGCATCGGAAGATGACCGCGACTCGCCTCAGGACGAAGAGCTTATCTTCCTGCGGGAGCGAGTTGAGACGTACGAGCTTGAGATTGAGCGCATGCGATCGGAGAATATTGCTCGCGAGAGCGAGAAGCGCCGCTTGGCTGAGATGGTTAAGTCTCTGAGCGAGAACCGCACTGCCGGTTCAGATGCGGGTGCTCGAGAAGAGAGGGTATGTTTTCTTATCTTTTTGTTACTGGGTTGCTTGGCTTTACGGAGGCTAATTTGTTGTTCATCAGGATATGTGGAAAGACATGCTAGAGGCAGAGACTGCTGCCCGCGAGCAAGCCGAGGAGGAGAACCGCAGGCTGAGGGATGAGTCGATTCGCCTTAAGAGTGAAATTTACACAACTACTAGCTCCTTGAAGCCTGGACAGCGAGAGCGCGGCGGTTCTACGGTCTCATATGCGTCAACATCTGAACGAGAGGGCCACCGCGGTGCTCTGATGAGCACTTCCAGCAGCACACTCATGGTCGAGCTCGAGCTCTTGAAGCAGGAGAATGCTGAGTTGAGGAAGGAAGTCAGCGCGCAAACCTCTATGCTTACATCCCGCAACCGCGAGAAAGAGCGCCTTTACCAGGAGATCGAAGAACTTAAGCTCGGCCAGCGACGTGATGGTAGCCGATCCGTGGCTGGGGATAGCATTTTCGACCGATCGGTTTCTCGTGCTCAAATGCGCGCCGGGTCTGAGATCAGTGATGGCACTGGATCCCGGGATAATATGGATCGTGAGGAGCTTGAAGCTCGGAATGGTCAGCTGCGCGACCAGGTGTCGACGCTTAAGCTGGACAACCAAGCTATTCGTGATCAACTTGAAAGCTATACCCGAGAATTGGAGGCGCTTGATAAGGCTTACCAGGCTGACGTGGACCAAGCCGAGGAAGAAATTGCGAATCTACAGCATGAGCGCGACCAGGCTATTCAGATGGCTGATGAGCGTGATGCTGCCTTCCAGGATTTGCGTGCCGAAGCGCAAGAGGAGCTTGACACTCTTGGTGAGGAGCTTGATCAGAAGATCCTTGAGTGCCAGCGCATGGGTGAAGATCTTCGAAACCAGGATGAGAGTTTGAGGGTGTTGCAGGCCGAGATGCGCTCAGCCAGTGAAGGGATCATTCGACTCGAGGAAGATGCTCAGAATAACTTGGAGCGGTACAAGGCTGTACAGCAGGAGTTGGAGGAAACCAATCGCGAGATGGAGTCTCTAGAGAAGAGTCTCTTCGAAGCCAACACCAAGGTGCAGCGACTGACAGTGCAGATCGAGTCGAGCCAGAACGAGATTGCCTTCCTGCGGGAAGAGCAAGATGGCGACAAGATCCGCATTGGTGATCTAGAGTCTGAGCTCAAGACGTACCATATGAGTCTGCACAGTGAGAAGGACAAGACCCGGGAACTGGAGCAGCGACTTGCGGACGAGCGGCACCAGCGTGAGGTTGTGGGGAGCAAGGAGAAACAAGAGGTTCAGCGGATCATGAACGAGTTGAACCGGGAAGCCTCGGCTGCTAAGGAGGAGGCCCGGCGACTGAAGAAGAGCCTATCTACTCAGGAGATTGAGACAAACACCTGGCGTGAGCGTCTTATGGACCTTGAGAACAATCTTCGCGAGACCCTGGGAGATCTGAGCGGCAGCCGGTCTAGCCTGATCACCAACATTATGAAGTTGCAGAAAGAGCTCGAGTCGACTGCGCTGGAGCTGGAGAGTGTTCGACAACAACTTGATGAGAAGGAGTCGCTACTTCGCAATCGCGATGCGCTTCTAGAGAGTCACGGTCTGGAATCCCGCAAACTTTCTGAACTCCTTGAGCGCGAGCGACAGGCTCGGCGGGCTGATAAGCAGTCCTTCGAGCAAGCTCTCAAGAACCACCAGCAGGCGTCACGAACCATTACACAGAGCAACTCACGGATTACGGATCTGGAGAATGCTCGCAACTCAGATCGGAAGCGGTTTACTTCGCTTGAGCAGCAGTTCCGAGACCAACTCAGCGAGCGAAATGCATTGTTCCTTACTATCTGGAAGAGACTCTCTTCGATTTGTGGTCCTGATTGGGCGCACTCGAACAGTCTTATCAATGGCAATCTTCCTAGCCAGGAAGTCATTGGTAACATCCTCTTCTGGCCTGGCTTTAGCCGAAACCTGCTTCTTGCCGTCAAGACTGTTGAAAGTGTGATTTCAGGCTTCAAGACTCGCATCAGGGGTATCGAGCATGACTTTACCAAGCAGTACCAAAATCTCGAGAGCTCCTTTGCTCAACGAGTCCGTCGACTCGAGCGTATTGAGGAAGCGGTCAAGAACCTACGCAATGGACGAGGCTATTCCAGCTCAGCGTCCGAAGTGTCCAAACTCCGTGGTGAAAATCGACTATTAAAGGCTGAAATCAACCTCCTCCAATCCAACACCCGTACCCACAGCTCTGCATCTGCCGCCGCCGCCGTAATGGCTTCCGGCCCGCGCTCACCATCGCTTGCATCAACCGCAGACGCCGAGCGTTCTTCCTTGACCCGTCATAACTCTTCACCGGGAACTAGCGAGAAACCACGAGGTCTCACGCGCAGTTCCACCGGTCTCCCACAACCATCCCACACCTCGTCCAGCAGTACATTAACCAATAACGCCGGTGCAATACTGCCCCGCTCACGCAGTGGAGTCAGCGGGTGGGACGGCATTGAAGAGAAATGGATTCACCGACTACACGAGCTGGAGAGACGCCTCAAATCCGAAAGAGAAGGTCGTCTTCTTGATCGCAGTGGTGCACGGAAGCGTCTCGAGGAACGGGATGCTGAGAATCAGCGGTTGAGGGATCAACTTCAGCGGGAGCGGGTACGAAGAGGTGGACCTTCGGGGACGGTTACGGAGAGTAGTCGGAGTCGGGGGGTTCCTACTTCGGATGAAGGGCCTAGTTCGAGTGAAGGGGAGGGCATTACGGTTGATATTGAGGTGTGATGTGATATCATTCCATGTCATACCATACGATGCTGTGCTGTGCGATGCCATGTTTCGTCGAGTCTGGCGGTGGTTCTTGCTTTCTTGTACTGTGTACTATATACCCCCATTCTTCCACCTTTGCGCGCATATTGACTACACCCACACTGTACGAGATGATCCAAGTCATGACGGTTATGATGGCGTTTTATTCCGGTTACTTTGATACAGTTTCTTGTTTTCTTATTCACTTCTTCTGTATCTTATTCAAATACACTTTTATTTGACTTTATTCATGACATAGACTGTGCCGGAGTGTGGATATGGAAGTAATGTCGTTCCAACATATGATATATGATACATCTGTTTCACCTCCTATCTCCCATTCTCTACCGCAGAGAAACCTTCAACGAAAAGTCCACAATACCCGTTCCCTGATGAATCGAGCTCGTCGAAAGAATATCCACATCGGGACAAGCATAAGCCGCCGCATTCTCCTCAGTCAAACCCCCACTAACCTCCACCAAAAACGACCTCCCCTTCCCCTTCCAACTCTCCTTCAAAGTCTTAGCCGCAACCCTAACCCCCTCCGGCGTAAAATTATCCAACATAACCACATCCGCACCTGCCCCAATGGCTGCATCCGCCTCCTCCAAACTCCTAACCTCAACCTCAACCTTCGTCGCAAAGCCCCCCGCCGCCTTCGCCGCAGCAACAGCCTTCGGAATCGCCGCCGCAATACTCTCCGGATTCGTCTTTCCACCAGCCGCAGCACCGTTATTCGCGCACGCCCAGACATGATTATCCTTCAACATGGTCATATGACTCAGATCGTGACGGTGCGGGTCCGCGCCGCCGACTAGGATACCATATTTCTCGACGACGCGGAAGCCGGGCGTTGTCTTACGTGTTCCGGCGAGAATTCCCGTCCAGCCTTGGGCGCGGAGGGCGGAGAGCATTGAGGATGCCTTTGAGGCGATGCCGGAGCAGCGGGCGAGGATGTTTAGGGCTACGCGTTCGCCGAGGAGGATTTTGCGGACGGGGCCGCGGACGGTCGCGCAGTGGGTTATTGTGTTTGCGGGGAGACGGGTGCCTTCTTTGACGTGCCATTCGATCCTGGAGAAGGGTGGTTGTTAGTGGGGGTTTGCTGGGGGATTGAGGGACGGTGGTGAGGGGGATACATACGAGCAACCGAGTTGAGAAAAGACCTCATCGAAGAAGGGGACGCCGGCGATGATACCCTGTGCATTGTCATTGTTTTAGTATATATCACTTTGTAAATATGTTTGTCTTGGAAGTTGGGTTGCGACATGACTCACCTGGCTCTTACCCAGCAATCGGGCCTCGCCTTCTGACTCGCCAACGACGAAACCGCCATAGTCCAGGCTAGGGCAATCCTCCTCGAGCCAGTCGGCGATCTGGCGCTTGTAATTGCCTGGCAACAGGTGGCGCAGGTCTCCGTGAGAAGCAGCCATTGTGATTTGTGAGGGAGTGTAGTGGTGGTGGTAGGAGGAAGAGTGAAGGGAAGTAGGACTCGGAGGTGGGGGGAAGATCGGCGGGATTAAAGATGGCAGATGCAGGTGGTTCATCTTTCTCCCCGCGCGGGGGAGATCGGGTAGACTCGGAAGGGTCACGTGGATGGAAGTATAGAACTACAATACGGAACCATAGAATGGATTATGGATTTCCTACAAAAGTACTTCAATTATAGAAAGCAATCCATCAGAATGACCATGCTATTTTCAATCCACGAACATATCCCGCAGGTACTAGTCAACCGACTTGCCACTTACTCGATATAGTGAGCTATGCACTTCAACCTAGCTTAGGACAGGTAGCTAGTATCCACCCAGCTAGTATAGCTGCTCCCAAGGATACTCGAGATAGAAACCGCCGAAGACAACTTCTCAGCAAAGCCAGCCCTCTTACCCGAAGCACCAGCACCCGAATTATCATATTCCCCAAACAAGACATCCCCAGTGTTAGGCTCACTGCTGGACCACTCAATCCAACCAGCAGAATTGATTACCTCACTGAGAGAGACCTTTTGGAAGACCACACGCGCATACTCAGTCCAGGGCCTACCAAGATAGTAAGTGCCCTTTGTGACGCTCTCGCCAGATGCGGCGCTGACAGTGCCACCGTTGATAACAAAGTATCCCGAGTCAGAGCTGGAGGGACGACCCTGGGCGGTGATGGTGCCTTCGGAGTAAGCTAGGACACCAATGTCGCAGTCGTCGAACCAGGCGTTGCCGGTTTGGCCGAAGATGAAGTCGATGGCACCTTCGATGTAGCACTTTGCGTAGACTTGGTAGCCGGTCTCGGCGAGGACGGTGTCTAAATTGTTAGTTGGGAGTTAGTGTTGGGTGGGAGGGAAAGTAACGTACCCTGGAAGCCGGTGAATTGGCAGCCGTAGTAGCCTTGCTCGGTATTGTAGGCACTGAGTGCGAGGGCTTGGTGGCCCTCACCATAGGTGTTCTTCACGTTGATATTGTATATGCGGGACTTGGCGGCGTAGTTTCTCAGCGTCGCTGGGTTATTAATTAGTGACTATATTTCATCGAGTTGACAAGTATTCGGTGTGATACTTACCGGTCTCATCGTCATCACTGACGGATGCCAAGCTAAGGCCGTAGGTGATGGTGACAGTGTTGGAGGAGTAGGAGGTGTCACTAATCATGGAGTGTCAGTCAACGTAATCGTAGGTCTTGATGAGGCACGCACTCCTCGGTCTGCCCGTATATGATCAACTCTCCCGCCAGCTTGGGAATATACACCTGTTCATTGTAGGTGCCCTCTTCAATGAAGATAGTCTGCGTGCTGGTGCTGGTGGTACTCAAGGCCGCAATAGCTTTGCTGATCTATCGACTTGTTACCATATGTAGGGACCATCATGTCTCAAATTATGAAAAATACAGTAGAGTAATCACCGCCAGACTTAGCCACGACAATCGAACCAGAGGGAGCAGTAGTACGGCTAGCCGCCAGCACCGAGGCCGCAAACGACACCAATGCAATGAATCTCATGATGAACGAGGAGTATAGCAGTAAACCGAAGAGAAGAAATCTGTGCAAAGTTTCATCGACATCAAGCCAGCAGAAACCCCTTCATATACTCTCTCAATCTCCTCTTTTTCACACCCACCAGCACCCCCTCTTCATCTCCTCTCATCAACAGAATGGAAGTTGTCCGAACAGACTGTCTCAACAAGCCTTGCCCAGCCCCGATCGGGGCCATACCTCCGATGGATTATATTATCCCCCCCACTCCGAAAGCTCCTGAATCCACCTATAGCGCGAACGACGATGGAGCCACGTTGGAGTTAAACGCGACAGCGGCCCCTGGTTAATTAATAACTCCGTCAAAGGACAGAATTTCCGCCAGTCGATGGTGAGACTGACGAATGCCGATCATGTCACGTGCTGTTGCCAATACCCAAGCACCACCCCGCAAGAACTGGTCAAGCTGCAACAACTATTGAGGTGAGATGGTGTCTTCCAATTATGAATTGTCAGTGTAAGTAAAACTCTTCACAGAACTGCAATTGACCCGATTGTCAAGCAGATTTGATGAGTGAAAAGAAGGAAGGATAACTCCTATCGAAACTGTATCGAAAACCAAGTGATGATTTGGTCAATGGTAACTTCTTTTATTTCCTCATCCATTTCCATACTCTTTCAAGTGAATTTTGTACTCTCGAAATGAGTTCAGGTTCCCCGCAGACTACAGACTACAGACTGGGGCGTGGCTAAAACTGAGACGCCATTCGCCCGAAGGCTGACGATCGCGTGAGGCTTATCCTAATTAAGCATAAAGCTAACCAGCAACTATGCATGTATCATCAACCCTCTTGGCACCTTCACAAGGCAGTGAGTTACAATTGAAAATGCAGATCACAAAGAGCATAGAAGAAGAATTAAGTAGACCTGATGTACAGGGAGGAGAGATAGGAAGAGAAAAGGTGATTAGGCAAGACTATAGAACTGGGAGCCTAAGGCAGCAAGGCCCCAACGAATCCCCATCTAATGACCATACGCTACTAGATCTAGGAACATGAAGATTCTTGTCTATTGAAAATCCCCTCTTGCTCCCTGGTTAAGTATCACAAAGTAGAAAGAAGGATGAGGGTTTTTCGAGCAGTGGACTTGAAATCGCAGAAATCGCAGAAATGGTGGTCAATGAACCTGGGAGTCAAGCAAAAAAACAAATAGATTCTATTCTATCATCTATGCTGTGCAGCCACATAGCGTACGGACAATCTCAGTGATACACAGTCGCCGACTCTAAGGCAAGTTGATGACAATCTTCTTGGCTGAAACACCCTTTCGTAGAATATCAATTCCCTCTTGCACCTTCTCCAGTCCACCTTCAATCACGATGGCATCTGGCTTTGCTTGGAATTTGCCCGCCGCCAGTGCCTCAGGAATGTATTTTCGCCAGACTGCATTACCCACATCAAGAGCTGTAAAGCCCACATCAATACAAATGACTGTGAGCTAGTTAGTAAACCGTTAAACTTTCATGGTTAAATGCATCTTACCGAAGACCACTTTCACATTCTCGGGGAATGTGCCAGCCTGAGGTTGCATGACTGGAAGTGTCCCTCCTCCCAGTCTTCCAAGTATCTCTCCGCAAGTGGTTTGTGTCTCTTTAGTGCTGATGGCATCCACAACAAGATCTCCGTCTCGAAGAACTCCAAATAACTTCTCTGAGACATCGGAGTCACGATAATCGAATACGTGAGATGCCCCAAGTGATCTCATCAGATCATGGTTCGCGGTGCTAGCTGTAGTGACAACTTCAAGACCGGCAGCAATCGCAAGTTGGATCAAAGAGCATCCAACAGACGAGCTTCCTCCCCAGATCAGAACTCTCTGTCCTGTCGAGGTTGGGTTCAAAGATGGAAGTGGAAGTTTGAGATGAACAAATAGAGCAGTAGCAGCAGTCGAGATAGAGACGGGGAGTACTGCTGCATTCTCCAGTGGCAGGGAATCAGGAATCGCCGAGACAAAGATCTCTCGTGTAGTTGAGTAGAGCTGGAACCCATTATTAGAGGGCCTAGCAGTAGCGAGACCATCGAGGTGGCTGAAAAAAAATTAGCAAAGCTATTGTTAAATTATCATTCGGATTATTGAGTCACATACCCAAGCACTCTTTGTCCTATCTTGAAGCGTGTCACGTTAGAGCCCAGCTGAGCAACTGTTCCAGCAACGTCCAATCCAAGAATGGTCGGGTACTTGATGTGGGGTGGTAAGGCGAAATCTTGGCTCTTTGAGGAACAGGATATCAGATCGCTTATTTCGAGCATGGCAATAGATGGGCATTAGGACCATACCATCCAATCAGCCGGGTTGACTGCGGCGTACGAAACTTTGATCACTACTTCATCCTCTGATGGATTCGGAGTTGGCCCGGCTCCCACTACAAGAGGATTTGCCTTCTCGGCCTGTAGCCAGGCTGCGCGGTTTGTAAAAGTCATGGTGAAGATGTAAAAAAATGTTGACCTGGTAGGATGAATGATAATCTGAACAAAGGAGATATGAAGACGACAAGTCCAGCTTTAAATAAACCTGAGGCTGAGGCATATTTTAGGCGGACAGTTGAAAAGAAGTATAACTGGCATTCCATATTAGGGAATCGTCTGCGAGGCGCTCCTGTGACCTGAAATCAAGGCTGCCATTGGCTGGCTCATTTAGTTTGTATCTTAGCTCCGCTTCTATTCTCTTATCTCCGCTACCACTCTACATATCGAACATCTAGAATCCTCGGAAACGTCAAATGATTAACACGACAGCCGTAGTCCTTACCATAATAGACGATGAATGTTTGCCCCGTTTCACCTAATATTTCTGCCTAATCATTAACAGCCACGGCTAGTACATCTTCGGTAGGAGAGACAATTCAAGTCATGCCGTGCAGTTAAGCCGCATAGTATTCACACGTAAGATGGCGCCTACCAGTCGAAGTCATCAGATCAGAGCTTTAGAGTGCTTAACACTAAATGATACACCGACCAAAATTATACCGGCCGAGTTAATACATATTCAAGCATATCTGTCAAAACATTGAAGGTTGTACTTCCTTCAACCCGGTTATAACGGCCCACTGTTTGAAAACTGAAAAGATCATCAAATTTCAACTCTAACAGCGCTATTAATGTCCATGGATATGAAGTGATTTCCGAATACTTGATGCTGAGCATTGGCGCACTAGACTGACTGCATTGCCACTAGAGCTGGGGCAAAGTTAGAGGTTCAGGAGAACTCAAGGCACGGAGATAGCTCTAGTACTTTAGCCAAAGCGTAGAATTATGGACAGGGAGGATTTAAATTGCGAAAACTATTCTCTATGCCAAAATTAAATTTCATGTTGCGATAATCTAGGAAAGCCAGTCTAAGCTCCATTCCATGTTTAACTATGCCTTGCTGCCTGAAAAATTAGGTGCCAACAATTCGCTCACCTCCGACGCCGAGACGCCGAGGAACCCACGACCTTCTCCTTCAACTATCAACATCACCACCTCACACCAGACCATGGCACCCCTAGCTCGGGTTCAAATACCCCTGGTGGCCCCTCTCAGGCCATCTCATCACGCATATACACCATTGCGCCCCATTGCCCTAGCATGCCACCATGCCTCTTCATTCTCAACCTCCGCGGCTTCGCACGCCGCTAAACAACAGCCCCGAGCCCGCGTACAAGCGACCAAATCAATCACACCAGTCTCGCCAACGCCAACGCTAGAGAATCTCTCCCAAAGCCATATCAATGCGCCTATCAGCACCTTCCCCGCAATCATCAACATCCCCGACCCGCTCCCCACCTCCGCGCCGACCCCCGAAAAGTTAAAGCGCCTTGTCGCCGTCGGCCGCGCCTACTTGACTTTCTACAAGACCGGTCTGAAAAATGTGTATCACAATTACCGCGCGTCTCTTCCATTGCGCCGCGAGCTCGGTCTTCCCGCATACCTACCTGTCTCGCCGCCGCGCACCACCAAATTCGAATCCCTGCTCATTGAGACGCCTGAAACAAAGCTGGGCCGCGGGCGGTTCCAGCTGGTTCGGAGATCTGCCCGTGATGTGCAGCGCATGATTCCATTTACGCTGATCCTGATCATCTGCGGCGAATTCACGCCGCTGATTGTGCCTATCTTCGGTAACGCGATTACTCCAGCTACATGTCGTGTTCCGGGGCAGGTGACCAAGGAGCGTGAAGCGGGATCAAAGCGAAAGGTTCTGGCGCAGCAGGCGTTGGCTGCGGCGACTGGGGAGGCAGTACCAGTGACCGGCAGCGACGCAGAGCGAGCCCAGCTTCTAGAATTGACAACGATATCCTCTGCTCAGCAGGCGAGTGCGCAAAAGGTGTTGCAGGCATGTGCGATGTTCGGACTCGTGAAAAAGCACGATCGGTTCTTGGGCACAATGCTTGCAGGGCCGGTATATAGGCCTAGGCTATTGCGGCACCTGCATTACCTCAATATCGATGATCGGATGATTCTCGATGCGGGAGTGGATGCCCTCAGTGCCGAGGAAGTTCGGATTGCGGTTGAAGAGCGTGGTGCGGGTGATGTGTCGGCGATGCTGAATGGTGCCAAGGCCGAGGCCGTGGAGCGCGAGTGGTTGAAGAAGTGGTTGAGTGATAGAAGGGAGGTAAAGGAGTAGGGGATTTCAGGGTTGAGTAATGAATTCCAGATACTCTTGGCAGTGTCAGGAATGGAGAATCGAGAATCGCAAGAAGATTGCGTCTTGGTTTGTATATTACCACATAGAGTCGAACACCTGCGAGAGAATAGGGTGTTCTTGTATCATATTAGAATAAAATACCTATCTTCCCTTTTGCTTCTCCATCAACTTGACACATACGACTGTTGTTCATCGCCTGGCATGCTTGTGGTTTCAAAGTTTGGAAATTTCCCCAACCATATATCATATCAAAAATGGCGAGCTGACTATGCCCATCAAGCCGCGCCTCCAGTATATAGTTATCCAAGCGAAATCGAAAACTGGAAATGAAATATTGAATGCTAACTATGTATCTCCCAGGCCTCAAGCCTCATACCACTTGCAATAAACCCTGGGGTAAGCTCCCCCTACATACGGAACAGACTCACAGATCGGGGGATCATTGTTACCCTTAAAATCACCAGTACATGCAGTCACCCCCTCCCACAATCAAGGGATCCAGCCTTCTTGTGGTCTCCCGTATACTTGCAATCCATTTTCTTAGCAAACCCACCAAGATCCTTAAGGTTGAATGACGAGGGATACCAGGATCGCGTGAGATCGCCGCTCTTTTCCTGAATGGATCCAACGGAGTCTTTACACCATTTGGGTGTGGTGCCGACCTTTGGTATTTAAACGCTCCAGGAAGCCTGGTCTATGCTGCCGTCGTTCTGGAAGGTGATGCCAATGTACAGCTCGCCCAGTGGTTTGCCGGTTTCGGTGGCCACGAGGGGAGGTCTTGTTGAAGTGGCCGTTGAGTGGGTGGGTATAGTTTATACCGTGCCAACGCACTCTGCGCTGTTTCCCGTGGTTTCTGCACGGTGTGCGGATTTGCCGCAGACGACGTCTCCATTGCTTTGGGTACTGGTGATGGGACCGACGCTGGCTTTTGTGTCTAACGGTGGTAACGTAGTCCAGGCGCAGGGTTGAGTTTGCATGCCGGTGGTTGAGCTCATCATTTGGAATTCACCTACATGTCCTTGGCAGTAACAGTTGCATTCCTCTCTAGTTGGGCATTGATGGTAACATCTCAGACCAGAAGTGGTAGTACTGGTACTTTCAGTAGAGGAGGCTGTATGCTCGCCGGTCTTGGTACTAGTAATACCTGGCTCAGTGGTCGTTGCCTGGACAGTGGTGAGTGTGGTCCTGGTGGCACTCGAACTCATTTCTTCGAAGGCTTCGGAGATCTCATTCATATCGGCTGCATCAGCCGCCATGATGGATGATGCCAAACTTCTGAGTACGGCAGTATCAGGCTCCTCCCAGGCGTGAACAAACGCAGTATCATCAGGTCTTTCCACGGACACCTAGAGCAGGAACTTGTAGGAAGATCACTGTGCCATCAAGGGGCTATGGCAACAAAAATACTAGTCATCAAAGAGTGCATCGCAAGGGGCGAGAAGAATCACCCGATATGTGCCTCTCGGACAGAAACGAGCGTCCGATCAATTTCATGGAATTTGACTACCCAGACAGATTCCTATGAAAAGTCCGAGGTCCCTTGATAAAAAATTTGTGATATTTCCCATCAGTTCCAGTTCGTTTACTCTCGAGGCTCTTTCTATTATATGCTTCCAACATACCTATTGCCATCTATATTGCTGCCTTTCCCTTGACTTAGCTAGATCCGCAATGATGATTCTATCATCCAGGTGGCCGTCTTTGCTATGCAGTATCATCTTGTTTTTGGGTTGCTTGAGACCTGTGATAGGAGCTGCTGATACCCAGACTTCGAAGGTATTCAAAATCCTAACAAGAACCGACGGTATGGGTGGCGAATGCGATGATAGACTGGCTCAAGTGAACGAATTGATCCCCAAGGTTCGGGCACTGGTTGATGCTTCAATCAGTGCTATCAGCACTATTGTCGGCGAAACGCCCCTGCATTTGGATTTCTCAGTAAAAGTAAACGGGCTGAGCGAGAAAGGATCCTTTTGCTTACCCGGCCGCTATTTGGTGTCAGTTTCGGTGGGAAGAATGCGATCAACAAGTTTCCGAGATTGGACGAGCATTCTAGAGAAAGCATGACAACTGTCAGAGGTCAGGAATCAAATATTCTATTTTTTGCTTTTCTCTCCGTCATGCGCAAAAGATCTCGGTTACCTCACGAATACACAAAGCCAGTTACTTACTGGGGCACAGGTAGTTTCCAGAAGCTTAAGAAATACATCGACAATGGGGGTGACCTCAACTGGCGGTTTGCCTATGGCGATACGTGGGCCGAGAGAGTCACCGAGTTGCAAACACGATGCAACCCGCTTCGTAAAAACACCCCAATCGGGCGAGTTGGTAGGTAAAGTCTTTTCTCTTTGAGATTACTTACTTTCACTAACTGGGTATTAAGATGGGCTGAATGGTGGTTTTGGTGAAAGTGTGATCTATTTCTAGTGTAATTGCGATACGGGCGCTTGGACATCGAGGGAAAGGACCCAACACACGAAATTTATTGTGAAACAAGAGACTTTAACAATGAAGATGCTTTCTATAACAGAAGCTCGAAGTCTATAGCAATCTAGCCGTCGATAACATACAACAACTACAAGCCAACGACCTGAGATAAGGCGCAGATGGGAACATGTGCCGAACGTGTACCCATCCCATGTCAAGTCCTGCAAGATATTCCAGTAGAAGGTATACTCCAGAGTGGAGAAGGACCATTTCCAATGCAAACATAGTAGCGAGAGCGATCTGCGCTACTGACTATCAAATGGCACAAGACTACATACAACCTTCGTCTGGCCGTTCCATATGAGCTTGGAAGTCAGTATACGAAGAATACAATATACAGACGAGCGTTCAGACGAAATAAGACTCCGTTCAGCGATTATTCATTTTACAATTTATCGAATACTACATTCAGCTGATATCTAATCACTCCAAACCGATAAATTCTCATAAAAAGGATAATCGTAAAGAATCATTTCATTATAGTACGCATTCTGGACAAAAGTATATGCAAAAGAAAAGAAAAGAAAGGACGACCCTATTACCAAAGACCACCTCGAGCACAAAATACAAGCTCAAAAGAGATGGATCCAAAAGAAGAATGAAGAAAAGGCAGAGGAAAAAAGAAGGAAAAGAAGAGACAAAAGGGCTTGTTAACGCACTCCAAAACACCCTCGTTTTTCCGACTTTCACAAAAACAGCCATCATGGCCCAACAACGATAAGACAGAGGGTATATCAAACCAGTAGTAGATCCGCTCGCTCAAACTCAGATTCCAAAAGAAGAAAATCAACTAAATCAACTAACCCGGGCCATGTCAAGGTGAGGCTAGACGACACACAACGCCAACTCCCATTTTCAAAGCTGAAGATAGCACCACGCTTGACTTCACCCCTGCGTTGTCGCAGTAGCAGCAGCAGCAGCAGCAGAAGTAGTAGGCACAGCTCCATTCCCAGAAGCCGCAGCCTGCGCCTTATTCCGAACCTGCTTCGCCCAACGGAGACCACAACTATTACATAGGTCGCGATTACCACTCGGACCGCGGCGCCACTCAGGTGTATTCTTCGTGCTACACATAGCACAAGCCTTCTCAACCGAAATAGTGCTCTGTTTGCGCTTGCGCTTCTTCCGGCGTGCAAGGAGACGCTGCAATTCATCCGCCAATACGCGGTTTTGCTTCTCCAGCTCGCGCAGTTCAATCTGCCAGCTGGAGCCGCGGGTGGGGTTGAGCTCTGTGAAGAAGGTAGCCGGGGCGTCTGAGGGGGAGATACTGCGGTTGCCGGTTGGTAGACCGTTGAGGCCGATGAGAGTGGAGAGGAAGGGCATGCGCTGACCGAGAGCGCCGTATTGGCTGGGTGGATTGGGGTCTGAGGTTGTGAGAGTTGTTGTCTTGGATGAGCCGGGGACGTTTGCGAGTTCTTCGTCTTCGGCGGCGGAGGCAGCGGCTGATGAAGGCGGGAATGCGCGGGCGAGGCGGATTTGGGCGACGAGGAATGAAGGACGGGCGTTGTGGGAGTCGCCGCAGTAGAGGGTTGTGTGGGCGGAGAGGTAGTGACCCTTCTTATGGCGCATCTGGTGGCGGAATGAGGGTGGTTCGCCGGATTTACTACTGCCGTCGTCGTGGCCTTGACCGTTGGCTGCTGCGTCGAGGGCATCGGTGATAGCGTTGGGGTCATTATCAGGATCCATGAGCTCGTGCATGCTTTTGCCGATCAGGTCGTCGGGGGAGCGGCCTAGTACAGGCTTCACCTTTGATGTGACGAACAGGATCACACCAGACAGGGAGACCTTAGCCCAGATATCATTCTCGGCCAGCGCAGCCTTGGACCCAAGCTGGGCGACCTGTTCTAGTGAATAGACGGCTCGGGGGCGGCCAGTCATGACCATATACTTTCGTCCCTGGGACGGATCGATGTGCCAGGCGCCGTGGCTCTCGAACCACATGTAACCCTTGTACTTCTGTCGAATACGATACACGACGCTGACAGGTGCTGGTGTGGTGCTGGCTCGCAAGTCACGAATCACCGGTCCGATATCGCTTGGATGGCAGATAGTTGATAGCGTCTTGCCCACCAGCTCGACCGGGTCGTACTCCAAGATACGCTTGCACGAGGGTGATATATAGAGGAATTCACAATTGAACGACATCACATGGATCACATCGTCGGTGTTTTCAACCAAGATACGATCTAAGTAGTGTCGTGATACACCGGAGCCTGGAACACCTACAGCGTTGAGAATAGCAGTAACCTCGTCGTGACCAAACTGTGTAGCCAGGTCCGGTCGTAACCTGTACGCCTCAGCAGGCGGGACCACGTATTGCGGTAATTGGTCACGCTGGTAGTTAATGCTATATGTACCGTCTAAAGAAGGGTTAATGAATAGATCGATAAAAATAGGTAACCCAATCAACCTACCTGGATTCCTTGCCTGGACGGCATCAGGCTTCTCAACGAGATCAACCTGGAAGCCAACATAGAATCGATAATCTTCCGAATTCCATTGAATTGGAATCATTGTAATGAGATTCATAAACGGCTGGCCACCCTTGCGGTAGTTGATGATACTGGCCTGGATCTCGCTTCGATCGTGGATCGTGGATCGCAGGCGATGTACAGTCTGTCCGTCAACAAAGGCACGCTTTGCACCGGGAATGATCTGACCATCAGGGCCTTGTAGGAAACGACAATTACGGCCGACAATCTCGGCTTTAGTATAGCCAGTCAACCGTTCGAATGCATCAGAGACATAAACAATGGGATGATCCTCCCGCGTGATATCACACAGCACAAAGGCACAAGATAAGTCCACTGCGCCGATATTGATCTTAGGATTAGGTCTCATCGCCACTCGGCTCTAGAGAACCGTTAGATTCGAGAGTTCATTACAAGAGAGGGAAAAATGCATATCACTCACGAGAACACCTAGAATGTCAAATCCACTGCTCGAGTAGATGCCCGTATGCTCTGTACTCGCTGCATCGGGCGTCGACAGGCCTGGCGATAAGTCATCTGAGACCAAGACCGGCGTCAGCTCTTTTTCTATCGGCAAACATGCCACGCATCAGGCTACACTATAAGATGGCAACTCACCTTTGACTGCGGCAATGGCCTTCTTCGGTTGGATTGCTACCGGCTGTGTTCCTCGATAGGGGGCCAGGCCAGTCGGCTGCGTCTGTCCGTACGATGAGAACTGCTGGGACTCTTGAACGGGCCGCAAATTCAACTGCTGCGAGCGATCGCTAGCTCGTGAAAAGTCCGAGTCCTCGAAAGTCTCCGTAGAAGTTGTCGTTGTGTTGGTGGCGTGGCCGTTATAAGGGTCTCTCCGTGCTTGCTGGAGCGGGGGCGCTTGTTGCTGTGGCATGTACTGGCCTGCCTGAGACATGGACTGATGAAATGAGAAGGCTGATTGAAGCTGCGAGTCGTCCATCGATGGAACCAGACTCATGGTGGTCGCCGGATAGGTAGTCGGGATATCGAAGGCGAACGCGCCGCTGGAGTCGAGGCCCATGGTCATGGACACGCCCGTTGTGGGCGCGTCGTAGGCCAGCATCACATTGGAAAGGCGGCCTTCCAGTTCACCTTGAGCTCTCGGGTTCTGATCGAAGGACTGGAGGGTCGAGTCGAAGTCTTGAGGCAACATATCGGCGAAGGGGTAGCTGGCGACATGGCTGTTCGGGTAGCCCATCAGGGAGGGGTCGGAGAGGGACGACCGCAGGTGTGACGGCACACCCTCCTGCGCGTCCGGGGAGTCGTCATCGCGGGTAGCGGCAGAGTATTCGAGGTCGAAGTTGTTCATAGGGTTGGCCATGACCTGAAGTCCTGGACACTACGAAGAAAACAAAGCAGGCCTCGGCCTACGTGGGGTCCAGAATGCAAAGCCCAGACGAGTTCCAGAGCCTCGGGAAAGAGGGACCAGCGGCTTGGAATCCAGTAATCACGGGCGACGGCGACTCCACTATTTTCGAGCTTCGTCGCGGATGAAAGATCGCAACGGGGTGAGAGTTGGAAGAGTGTAGATTATAGACGAAGCGAGATTGATGCTCTGTCGACTTTTCTTCTGCTGCTGCTGGGGGACGTTAAGAAGGAAAGAAATGGGCCCTCACACGCTCACCCCCGTTTTCTCTCTCCTCTTTTCTCAAAAGTACAGACACCCGATGTCATTGTGGGCCCGCTGATGGGCGTCTGACAGCCAATGAAGTGGCGATGAACCGAGGGTCAACGGGTCTGGGGAAGTCCATTTTTTGTGGGAATCTTCAAGGGATGGACAATGAGGTCAGATCGTACCTCCATAGGATCGATTAGCTTTTGATATCTTCTTGAATCTTGGTAGCATCCCCATCTTTCCACTTTCCTGTTTTCATCTCTCATTGACAATCAAAGGCGATTGTATGAATTCATGAAGCTGTGGAATGGGCGCTGTCAAGTTGGGTGGCGCGGGTGGGAATTGATCCATCACAAAAGAGGCAAGTGACAAATGACAAATTGCAGTTGGAAGGCTGGGCCGTGGCTCAGGGACCCGTCGATTGGCGCATGGACTCGCTCGCATTCGTGTTCAGAAGAAGTACGAGTGTACCAGAGTAGTCCAGATTGACAGGTCCCGTGGGAAAGACCAGTAAGAAAGTATATGTCCGTGTCAACCTGTCAACTTTGTCAGTCAATCTATCAATGGAACTAGGGGGGCAAGGGAGAAGTTTCTCTTGTAACCAAAGATTCTACCAGAGAAGATGAGAAGTATATAGAGAGATAAGAAGACAAAGAATAGTTAAAGAGAGAGGAATCGCCTGTTGAGACAACACGCGACTTTTCGCGCGGCAGCAGAGTCAGGTAAACGCCCCAAAGCTTCGGTCAAGTCAGAACTTCTCAGCTTTCCTCCTTTCCTTCCTTCTCCCTTGTCTTCGCCCACCACATTCCCCTCCTTTTCGTACTTTCGTACTTTTCTTCTTTTTCCTAACACTCCCGGGATCATCCCGTGTCCTTCATTGTGTAACATTTTATACATCTCATCCTCCGACCGCCTTTCCAGCCGACCGCGTGTCATCGTGGTCGGCCACGCGATGGCAGACAAGATCTCGATCACCATCTGCGGCGACGGCGGCTGTGGTATGTTCCTGCAACCTTCTCTAACCTTTTTCTCTCATGCCGGGATCATCACACGCATATGATCTGTTGTCGGTGTTGTGGGAAACGTGCGATCGAAATCTGATCGGATCGAGGTGTTAGGCAAATCATCCATCACCTTACGGCTGGTCCGTAGTCAATGGATTCATGAGTAACTCTTCCCTGATCTTCATCTACATGCATTCAAAACATGATTGAATACGTCGCTAACACCCATCGCCCGTCTTAGATATGACCCAACTATTGGTATTTAACCCTCCCTTGATACAATTGCATCTTGACTCCGACCGATATATTCGCAATCGCTGTCCCAACAGTTCCTCTGATACGCTCATTGCTAGAGGACTCGTACTCGGTGACCCGCACCGTCGACGGACTACCGTACTTCCTTTCAATCACCGATACCGCCGGCCAAGAAGAATATCGTGGACTATGGACCGCATCGACGGTCAAATCAGACGCGTTTCTGCTTGTCTACGACATTACAAACCCATCCAGTCTGCAAACACTCGACTACTTCATGGACATGATCAATCTGGAAGCTGAGCAACGCGTGGAGGATAACGACCGACTTCGCAAGGAGCTAAAGAATAAAGGCGTGGAGACGGATGAGCTGGTCGGGCTGCCACCGCCTGTGAAGATCGTAGCTGGTAACAAGTGCGATCTGAAGGATGGGCGTGCAGTCACGGCTCGCGAGGGACTGGAGTACGCGCGCAAGCATGGCTGTGGGTTTATGGAAACGAGTGCGCGGGAGATGGTGAATATCGAGGAGACGTTTGCCCGTACGTACTATCCGTGCATTGGCACTCTGGTTGCAGAGGAGCTCTAGTCAGTGCTAATCATATCTCAGTGCTGGTACGTCGTGTCATTGAAGCACGCCGTATCCATCAGCAGGGCACGTCACCGAACCGCCGCCCACCATCGCGCACAGGCCAGTCCATGCACACAACGGCCTTGCCTCCGACGACTGCTGATGCCGGCGAGGGAGGAACAGGCAAGACTCGAAGCCGACGTAGTGGGTTCTTCAGTCTGGGCATCAGTCGGAAATCGAGGGAGCCTTCGAGCCCGATCGATAGGTGCAGGCGTCGGGTTTCGCGGGCAGTGATCAATGAGAAAGAGGTAGACAAGGATGAGGAGGAAATTGAGCCACGGGGCTGCTTGTTTCGACGACTGTACTGCTGTCGGGGATGCTGAAAGCTTGCGAGGTTGTAGATACGTCGTAAATTTTTTTTTTTTTTTTAAAAAAAAATATATACCCTTTGTTTCTCTCGTTCTGGCCTCTGATTTCATTCAGCGCATCCAAAACGTTTCCATGTTGTCAATATGACTGACTTGTCAATTACATTTCCAATGGCACACATATTCATTCGTATCTTACTAACCTGAACCCGCAAATGTGTTTATTTGTTCCAACCTCCCATCCCACCGCAAACATGGTTCTCGAGCGGAGAGCAATGGCCCCGGAACACCACGCCGAGTTCAGCAACAATGTATCAAACCCTGATAGTGACCTGGGCCGGGGAAAGTCGCGTCCACGGTCGGTTAAGCGGCAGGATTTCAGGTATGACGGTATATCACTGACAGCCGAAAAAGAGGATGGAGTTTCATGCGGATACAGGGCGTAGTTGATGACACTAGCCTAGCCCTGGACGGATCGCCATGTAAAGGCTATCAATATCCTATCCAGTGAGGATCGAGATTAACGGACAACATGACAACGTCTGCAGGGTTCAAGGGTCTGGATCGTGCATGAACTACAGTACTGGACTACAGTCCCAACTTACAGTACATACTCGCTGTAGTGTTTACTCCGTTATTCGACAGCGTCCCGTTCGGGCAGTTCTGCCTAGTTGGGCAATCAGTTGTGGGTTAAAAAGTGCGATGAGGTCATCGTTAGGTGGAATCGGGTTCGATAGGGGCGGTAGTGTGGAATAATTGGTTGAATAGATTAGAGTAAGAGTATTCTGCGAATAGTATCTAACGGTGGAACTCTTTTTTGCTAGTGGGAATAGTGTCAGACAGTGCATCCTCTCTGTAATGCTCCGGAAAGCCACCATCTCAAGCATCTAGAAGATCTTCATTCTAGAAGCACATACAAGAACGGGGCTAGCTAGTCGCAACAAATGCGGCACGCCTCGCATCTTCGGAGTCCGTCTCCCGAGCACGAGGTATCCAGATATGGACTATCCTTCCTACATGGTCGACAGGCCCCATTACAACCGAGAACTTGTTCCGTATACTACTCTCCATCTTCTTCAACTCGGCAGATCGGCGCAGCTTAAAGCCCCAATGCCGCGGATCAGTATCATCTCTTTTCCGCATTATCCACCCTCCTACCAGGCTATTAGGCTACCCACATTTCGAGAGTTCCAAGTTCCGAAAACCTGCCTTAATCAGATATCAGATATTAATACTCCGTTTTATCAAGCGCCAGAGGCAAAAGGGCCCAGAAGGTTAGCACGGGGCTGCAAGCTGCGTAACCAGTGCGAAGCTTATCACTTATTTTGCGGGGACTCGTCATACGCCACAATGATCAATCCCAGGAAAATTGGAAAATAAGTCGAAAAAGGTAATAATGAAAAACCTGTAAATCGCATAGTAATCAATGCTCCCTACATACATACATAAGCTGTATTACAGGGATTGTATGTACAACACACTGCACGTTATAGTAGTGTAAGTGTCCAGTGTACACATGGTAAAAACTAAAGTCCGATTTATTCACTCTCAACCCGGAAACGAGTGCGAGCCGAGACCGATCGAGGCTGTGGCCAGTGGTCACGTCATGGACTCTGGTAAGGTTGCGGCCTAGGAATTTCAATTACTGCACCACTGCGGTGGGCGCAGGGCTTCCGTCGTGTTCATTGGGCTCGGTCGGCGGTCATGAATCACTGGGCGTTTAATGGATTCGCGGATACCGAGTTGGTAAGAGACTACTAATGAACCATTAGTACCTAGTAGTACTTTCGTTGTTGGGGAACTATTGTCCGAGTGTCTACGAACTAATTACTAAAGGCTACAGTGGACTGGGGAGGGGAATTAGATTGGTTGTGAGGAGGTGATCGGCGCTTGGATGGACGAGTTCGTCTTTGTCATGTTGGATGTGGTTTGGTTTTGGATGGTCTGGATGCTCATTGCATGGTCATAGACTACTAATGTTACTCGGGGATTGGCATTTGGCAGGCATAACGTTAGGATGTGAGAACGTGCAATCGTTGAGTGCTTGCTTATGAGGTATGAGGGGTAAGGTAGAGCGTAATAAACGAGCAGGTGGTTATTCGGATACATACTTCGTATCAAAGTATTGTCCGAGTACGATGAGTTAAATTTCGAGTCGCTCCAGGATCAGATAGGGGTAAATAGCAGGGATAAAGCCATAAATATAGTCATAAATATCGTTAGTTGACGGCTCAAGAAAATTAAGGCCAAGCAGGCAGCTCTCTTAATAAGTTAACGGGGATACGGTGATACGGATACGGCGTACGCGATACGGCCGTTAAAAAGGCTGTCGGGGATCAAGGGACGTGCATGACAATGACCACGGAGTGCGGACTGCGGACTGCGGACTAGTGCTACGGACTACGGACGAACTGTGTCAGGCTGTCAGCATCTGATTCATCGGCCTGTCTGAGACGCCGACCGAATGAATGTCGATCAATCATTGGCGAAACTGGGTTAAGTTAATCTTTGTTCTTGATCTTTTCGATTATTCCTCCATTCAGCAGTAATCATGCGTGCCGCGCCCGAAAACACTATTCAAAACCGACCCGAACTAGTGTGTCAATAAAGAAACTCTGCCCACGAGAGTTAATGAGAAGAAATATGTCATAAGGAGATCATGCATAATGTCTAGATGAAACAGAATGCCTCTCGTCATCGTACTAAACAAGAATACATAATGCGTGGTTTTTTTGCGCTCGTTGCCCCAGTCGGCAGGGCCTTGCCGAGTTGGTGCACGCTTTATACACGGATTGTTATGCACTACGCCAAGACTTCCAGGCACGGGGCTTCTAGATCAGATGGCATGAGTTATACTGTGTATACATTGTATAATTAGTTGAAAGTTATGCCAGAGATCAACATGAATATATAGAAGTTAAAGGACTCGAAAGGGAATACGAAAAGAGAACAACAAGCCACATCATACCTGTATCGGTGGCACGATCGATCAAGATAATATCATTACCGGTTTTCGCTGAGCCGTTATGAAGCATTTCTTATAGTACGAGTTAGTAGTACAGCAGCAGCGGCACATAAGCTTTAGTTCTGAATCTACCCTATGAAGTAATATGGAACAAGTACACTATAAAGGGTAAGAAAGGAAAAATCTGTCTGTTCTTCTTATTCTGGACCTGGCACCGTTTGAGTGGCCGGAAGTACAGTCCTCCCGGGATATACGTCAGGGCCGTTCAGAAGTCTCCGAGGGCCGATGGAAGCTCCGTCCTCCGAGCTAACGAACTCTCTGGTAAGAGCGAAATGCCGAGTCTTCCAGACTCCACCTGGATAGAGTAATCAGGAGAAGAAAGGAAGAAAAAGGAAGGGAAAAATAAAAAAAAAATAAAAAAAAACCGGGCCTTGTGATTATCTTGGAGTGGAGTCTTGCAGAGAGATGTTCTGATTCGATCCGATCGGTTTCTTTCGTAAGGGCTTAATGTGGCTCTTTTTTCTCTGACTCTCGTTATGTACGGAAGTAAGCTGGGTTGCCCTATTGATTATGCTCTCATCTTCCCGTGCTCGGTAATCTGGTAATCTTGGTAATCCCCGTTACGGAGTCTGGTACAGTATGTACCGTTTCGACCTTTCTTAAAATCCCTCGAAAACTGGCATCCCCAAGAAAATAAAAAAGAAATCCCAAATCCCAAATAATCATTAAATCCATTTTTATTTCCGTTTTGATTTCTCGATTCAAATCCAAAGAAGACTAAAAAAGGGCCCTCCCCTCCCTTCAGACGCCCTTTCCGACCACGACCAGCCTTAAAACATCAACCTTCACCTACCACGTACTACTACTATCACTACTACGACCCATTCGCATGACTAGTATATGACCAGCGGTCCAAGACGATCCCTGATTATTACTTCACTCTGCTCTCAAACCTTGTCTACCTACTTATTCCCCAAAGTCAATTATTGTTGGATGGGCCCGTCCCTCGACATCGTCATTAGATCATTGACTGGCTGACGTCGATCATTCGCTACCCTCCTGGCCGGATCTGGAAGTATAGCTCGATCTAGTACGAAAGAGACCGAAAAAGACAAAGTCACCACTACCACACCACTCAACTCTCCTCTTGAATTGCTCTATTCATCTGCTTCATACTTCTCTTCCCCTCATACTCTATACTTCCGCCCTTTCATTCAACCCTCTTCCACCACACATACACACCATGGCTGCCCGACAATCAACACCATCCTCCGATCACTCGCACTCAGATGGCGTCCGCAAGCGCGTATGCAAAGCTTGCGATCGTTGTCGTCTAAAGAAATCCAAGGTATGTACCATACATTAAAAAAAATAAGGCATGGCAAATCGAAACAGCCAGACTGACCGGGCCCCAAGTGCGATGGAAGCAGCCCATGTTCGCGCTGTCGAGCAGACAATGCCATCTGTGTCTTCGGAGAGCGAAAGAAGGCCCACGATAAAGTGTACCCCAAGGGGTGAGCAAATAGCACACTATAACAAATCCAAACCAAGAAACCCAATCGCTAACCCATTCCTCCCATTCCAGATACGTTGAGATGCTCGAGCAGCAACAAGTCTGGCTCGTCCACGGCCTCCAAGAACTATACCGCCGCAGCACCGAAGGCGAAGGCTGGCCAGGCGACCTCCTCAAGCCCGAACCAAACGGTCACCCCCTCACCCACGATCTCCTCACCCGCCTCGGCGCCTTAGACCACTCCAAGGGCGAACGCTTTGAAGAAAACCCCGAAGTAATGCAACACGACCTCTGGCGCAACGGCATGACCCGCCAGGATTCCACCGATGGCTCAACAGATAGTCCACACAGCCCCGTCGCACGCTCCCGTTTCTCTTCAGACGCCTTCTCCTCGCACTCGCAGCAAACCATGCCGCCCACACCACCGACCTACAGTCCCAGCAGCCGCACCGCGCCTATGCAACAACAGATCAAGGTCGAGCCGACGATGAGCACCGCGCCCACGCCGCAGTCGCAATACGCATTGTCCATGCAGGGTGTTGTGAATCCGCTTGCGCTGCAGGGCGCGCCGCAGTGGCCTGGGAATAATGGTGGATTCAACCCGTTTGATGAGATGGATTTGATGGGTTCGGCCGATTATACGAATTTCAACTTTGAGGATCCGATTCCTTCGCCTATGTTTCATCGCCAGATGCCTATGAATTGTGTGCCGAGCGGGGATTATGATGATTTCAAGGAGTTTTTGAATCCGAATCCTACGGAGATTACTTCGATTTAAGTGAAGCAGCAGCAGCAACGGCGACAGCTCTTCATCTTCAAAAAACCTAACGCCGTATGACGTGATGCATGTATACTATACATGTTTTCTTTGGTTTTCTTTTTTTGAGATTTTCGTGTATGGGGCTATTATCCCTCGTACACTTTCTATTTGGTGGATTGGTCTTGAGCAATTGCGATCCTAATCATCCTGTACAGTGCTGGGCTCGGGAGGGGATTCTGGTTTTTGTGGTTCTGGGTTTGGTTTTCTTCTTTTTCAAACTGGAGTTTGAGTTAAAATGGGGTTATCGCGGCGTTTTGATCTATTCTTTTCTTCTTTACACTTCTTGTCTGGTTTTATCTGACGAATCCATTGGATTTCTATCTCTCTTCAAATTCTCATCTCTACGACAATTACAGTCTAATTCTTCACAGCCTTGTGATATCACATTCTTTTTCGAGTATCTCCAAAGACCCTGATCCAGATCTAGACCCGGCCTATTACAGATCCCAACCTCGGAATTATCAGGGTATCATAACTATCTAGCATGGGAACTGGAATTATGGAATTAAACACTCGGTACAGACCTACCCTACTACACTGTTACCAGTTTACTTTACAACTACACACTGTCTGGACTCTGTACAGTGCAACGCCGGAGCTACGTGCCGACCAAAATGGGTTCCAGCTCCACTTGAACTGACTAATGCGGCTTCTGGAATGATTCATGCCCCGTCATGTCTATGATCATCTGTCATCGGTCCGAGAATTTTTAGGGATGACGGATTGTGGATTATGGATAGATTATGGATCCGAGATCATCGATTATAAATTACCGACTACCGATTACACATCACACATCACAAGCCACGCCCGTAACAGAACCCTATTCCAATTTCCCGCAGTGTATGTACGAAGTACACGTTTTGGGTGGTGGCTCATCTCTTGGTATTCTTTGAATAGTGAAAACACGATTACATGTTCTCAAATATTATTCTGGTTTCTCTGATTTCTCAACGGTCTACTATACGACTCAGGGAGATATTACGACAACATGGAGACAACTCCCCTAATCAACGAGGCTGGACCGAGTCCAGTACAGTATGAGTATGCGCTGGCTAAGCCGTCAGCTGAAGCTCGGACATAAGCCTCGAGCGCGACGGGAACAGTGGCCCTTAAGTCCATCATCCATTCCTACGGTATTATTACCCACGTAAGTAACTAGTATACGAGGATCATGCAATTTGAGTTTTTTCCCCCTCTAAATTTCGATCGGTGAGCTCTGACTTAACTCCATGCACCTACTGCAACGAGTAGTCAGCTCGTACAGTACGTCCACACTGTCCACGGGGGTACTTTGTAAGGAATTAGCCTACATTATGTACGCACCTAGCCTCGCAAACTTTGTCTGTAGTATTTCCTGTTTGGGAGATGGCTGTCGTATACAGACTTCTGCATTATCTTATCTGGTCGTATATTACGTTGCTGTGAGCAGTCAGCTTTTTTGCTTGATTTCGTTAGATTAGGCCGACAGTTGCGGACTTGGGATTTCATTGCTTCATGCAAATTCAGCAGCTTGAGTAAGCGGAATTTGAATCGCGCTGTGGATCTCCGACCCAGGGGGGTCGGCCACTATATAGACGCCGGACGGCGGCCAATACCAATGCCGCCCACTATTGACAATGTGCGGCGACTATGGTATATGGTCTCCGTACATTTGTACAGTATGTACGGCTTTACACTCAGTCCGGCTCCACACTCCTCGTCTCGTTTTTTCTTTTGTTCTTCTTCACGTTCTACCAGATTTCCTCTTACGTGAGCGAGCTGGTTGCCCGAATGGGAGAGTTTTTCGAACTCTCATGTCCCCACTCGCCCATCGTGCATCCACCGGATGAAAGTCGCCGAGAAGCCAACTTACCGTATTGGGACAAATGCTCCGCGGCGGGCTAACGGGTTAAAGCCTTACGTGAGGTTGACAAGATAGATATATGAAAGGTAGACTACGGTGCCACGAACTATGTTTATATAGTATTGACTGGCTGAGGAGGATCGAGTTTGTTGGTTCGGTTGCTGAAGATGGAAGTATGTAGCTAGCTCTTGGCTGCAGTAGAGTATACATAGACTGTATGTGGTGTAATCGTAGACCCTGTCTTGTCATTACAGTGTGTATGGATGTACCTCGTACTCTGTATGCACGAGGCTCAATACCGATCGTGGTTCGCAACTTACTGAGCAATCCTGCTTGGCGGCCAAGCACTTAAGATTTCAATATTAGGCACAATATTAGGCTGAGCCGCGGACGGATTAACTACAAGGGAAACCTTATGTGGATACACGACATTCGGCTGTTTACTGTACATTATGTGTTTACTGTGGCTGCGCGTTTGCTTTATGCAGATCATTTGAGGCAGTTATTCGTGTCTCCTCTATAGACTATGTATAGTGTACTCCGTATGGAGCTGAGTATCCACACTAGTGACTATGACACTGTAATTGTATACAAAATCCCACTTTCAACGAAATAGTTCCCTCAATAAACATAGTTACCCCATCCCCGTTGCTAGTTCGGGGTCATAGACCCAATAATAAAACGGGAGTATCAACCATCACTTACGTATACCTTTCCAGCCTCGTTTGAAGTGTGGACGTCTTGGCTCTAAATTCAGGGGTAGCACCGCCCCCGATGTCTCCTATTTTGGCCACATTTGACTTCGTCCAAGGCTGGCTGTGCTAGGCATCTGAATACCTTAAAGGCGGGAGTCCAGAGTCTAGTCCAGACAAAGACCAGACCAGACCAGACCAGGCAATGATTCCAAATGCCTGATCGCCGTTGGCCAGGAACTCTGTTGCTAGTGGGCCAAGTCCGGGGTAGAAGAGCATTCGGCATCCGGAACCCCGTTTTGCCCGACGCCGTCTCGTCGGATGCTGGCGTGGCCGGTGAAAGATGCAGACGAGAGTAACCCGATCGAGGGTTATCGTATTTTATCATGTCTCATGTATCATGTATGGGATGAGGGATCACCCCCCCACCATGGGTCGCTGGTCGCATGGTCGCATGGTGATGTGATCTGAATCGCTGATCGGCGAGGCACTGGCATGCCAAGACATAGTTAGTTGAACAGTTTAGTTTTCTCATGTGGCCAGGAGAAATTGAGGGTCTCCGGAGGCTGAAAAGTTGCTCCGTTTTCCGCTTATGCAACTTGAATGCCTTGGTGCCTCAGGATTCACATCAATGCCTGAGGAAACCCATTTATGCCTGATCCATTTATTGTGGCCTTATAAATAAGGTGTCTAGGCTGGGGCAAAAGAACCCGCCTGACTCAATGGAACTAACCAGGTTGAGTACAGTTTCAGGAGTCAGGACAGCTTAAAAAGCTAGCTTCAATACGGAATAGTATTGGCCATATGGCTCGTACCTCAGGCTAAGAAAGCAATAAAAAACCCGTCACGGAAGAATTCCCATCTCTCATATAGACAGGCTCTTAGCCCTCTTTAGGCTAAACGTCTCCTCGAGCATGGGATTTAACCCCCGCTCAGCAATTCCGTGCTGATTGCGGGGTTCCAACGTCATGCCAGACCCAACCATCCCACAAATTCTCCGGCTCCCCTCCAAACATAAAGTATTTCAATATTCACCCTCTACCTTTACAATTGAATCAGTAAAAAATCCTCCCTTGTAACAACACCCCCCGGGCATCCTGTACATACCCACTTGCGCCATGTCTGCCCCCGAACAGGCCGAATTCACCTTCCTGCCACTTGGCGCCGTCATTCAAGAATTCCGCGTCGGCGGCCACAACATCGTGCTTGGATTCCCCACACAGGACCAATATGTCAAGTACAACACCGCGCATTACGGCGCGACTATTGGCCGTGTGGCCAACCGTATCAAGAACGGTGTGATCGATAACCTGAATGGTGAGAAGATCCAGTTGGCCCAGAACAACGGGCCGAATGCCCTGCACGGTGGCCCTACGGGCTGGGGTAAGCGTGTCTTCGATGGCCCGCATACTGTTCAGCGCCATGGTCGCGACGCCTTGCTGTTCAAGTACCTCTCCAAGCACGGCGAGGAGGGATACCCGGGCACTGTCGAGGTGCGCGTGTGGTACACGGCCAGCAAGGAGGGAGAGGCAATCACCGTGTTGACAGCCGAGTACGAGGTTGAGTTTGTTGGTGACGAAGCCGAGGAGACGGTCGTCAACATCACAAACCACAGGTTTGTAACCCTTTTCTCCGGAAAAACATTACCAGAGACACCCCCACCCCCCGCAATATCTACACTCCTAGTTATTACAAAGCTAACACTTACCATCCAGCTACTTCAACCTCGGTGACGGTCCCACCATCACCGGAACAACTGCCCAACTCGCCACAGCAGACTATCTCCCCCTGGACAACACCGGTATTCCCACGGGACCCATCGCCAAATTCCCCGAGGACGTAACAAACCCCTTCGTCCTCGCCGCGACGGGCCCCCACATCGACGACGTCTTCATCATGGAAACCGACTCGACCAAGATCCCCCTGGACACGCGCAGCCTGCCCCTGCGCCGTCTCGCGCAGTTCAACCACCGCAGCACCGGCCTGCACCTGGAGGTGCACAGCACCGAGCCAGCCTTCCAGTTCTACACGGGCAAGTACATCGATGTCCCCTCGATTGATGGTCGGCCAGCGCAGACCGAGGGGTCGGGCTTCTGCGTTGAACCCAGTCGGTACGTCAATGCGATTAATGAGCCTGAGTGGCGGAATCAGGTGCTTTTGAAGAAGGGGGAGGTGTTTGGTTGTAAGACTGTGTATAAGGCGTGGAAGGAGTGAGTGTGATGAGGAGGAGCTCTGGCATAGGGAGGGAGGTAACTGTTCGTTCTACTATGTTAGTGAGAATCTTGGATGCCGAGCTTGAGCCGAGAGATCGCCGACTCGTATGATGGGAAAACTCAATAAAAGACAAAGTTTTAAGTTTCCAATGCCGGCGAGATATTCTTTCGTAAGAAACAGCCTATTCTGGCAAGATGTCACTTCTTCTTCTCTCTGTCTGTTTCTCGCATGGATACCATTACCCACTACTGCTGCATGAAGTCATGAAAACTTCACGCCGTACTTTACCTCAGATCTAGACCTAGACACCTTGCCACCTTACCTACCGCATGGAGACTTGGCTTGATTTGTCTGTCTTAATGTCTTTAACCTCGGCACCCGGCGAGTGTGGGCGAATCCCGCTGTGCCGAGCCGAGTCACTGTTATCTCCGTGCCAGCAAGCCGATCCGCGGATCTTTTCGTTTCGGCAGCCCGCGCTGCGAGACTCGGCGGGTATACACTCAAATTCGGATGAGAAGGGAATTGATCACTAGTCACTGGAAACAACATACAGTAGGAAGGAGTTATCTTTTTGGTAAACTATACACATAAATTAAATAGTAGTTCATCATATATAGATCAGAATTTCTTTCAGAGATACACTGCCTTTCTTTCCATTGTGCTTTGCTCTATGCCATACATCATAATACAATCATCGAAATTTTCCTCTACTGAAATCATGCCGAGGTCCCCAGTGCTGTGAATCCTCGAATCCCAACGATGCATACTATAACCTGTTATTCCCTTCTACTGTACAGTAGTTTTCGAAACCAGTTATACCTCGGCACTCTTGCGACGTCACTCTCGGAAAATAAATCCGAAATACGCTAACTTTCTCCAGCTTACCGCTCTATAAGTTCGGCAAAACAATATTAGTAATAGCCTTACATGACGGGTGAGTTATTGTAATAATACCGTAATGTTTTATGGAACCACTGTTTGACTTCAGAGTATCTTAGTTAGAACGAAAGGTATCCTTAGATACGCAACAATGAAGCCAAGTTGGATTGCAGTTGGAACACGTGACGAGGTCAGCGTCGGTAGACACGTGGTAGCAGGCCGACATGTAAGGATTGTCTAGTGAAGGAAGAGATCCGACGTCTCGGGGATGAGATGAATCTCGGGAGAGAGGGAAAGAGAGATTGATTCAATTGATCTCAACTACATACACAAGATCGCAATACTGATAGTTTAGATGAAAACATAAGGAAGGGCAACTATTGCGGACCAAGGAGGTTCGCAATAAGTAAACATGAAATGATGGGGAAAGCAGTTATCGCATCCGATATTGTTGGAAGAAGCAATGTCAACGGATAGAGCGTTAAGGGAAAGTTCCGTCGGCGAGAGGGCTCACCGGTTGACGGATGTGAATCTGTTGAAGATTGATATGCAGGGACGGGTTCCCTTCTGCAGAAAAAAAGGGTGCCTAATGAATCAAGCAGCAACAGCCTAAGGCAACATGTACCTTATAGGCTGCACTATAGAAATACGTTCTAATACCTAGGTACTTCGGTAGCCTATACGCTACGCGATCTATCTTAATTCCCTCTTCGTCTAGCGTACTTAAGACTAGAATCGAACGAATAAATAGATCTGGCCCTATGTAACGGGCCAGAGCCCGATGTTGTTCACGTGTGTCACGAGAAAGCCTCTATACTTAGACACTCAGGAGGCCTTGTGTTTACTTTTCCTCAAGCTTTCGATAGACAGATTGTCGGCCACACCCAATTGAATCAAGTTCGGTCTGAGCCCTTCACACCCTAATTCTCTTAGATCTATTTAGTTATCTAAATAGGAAGTAGGAAGAAGGAAGAGCCTAGTAGTGCGACCCAGGATGACATCGTAACAGTGACCTGCTCGGGGGTGAATTACGTTATCCGTAGTTGATTAAGAATCTTCTGGCAGATGATTTGGGTTCTTGAGCCAAAGAGATATAACAGCAAAGGCCTGTACTAGCTATGAATGACCAAGGATGTACTAGCCAATGGTAGCAACGGATTTAAAGGGTAATACAGGGCTGACAATGATAAAAGTGTGGATTCTGATGAACTGAACTATCGAACTTCATGGGAGTTGGAATACGGTCCGATCTCCATGAAATTATCAATGACTCAGGGGTTACTAGCCCGAGAGAGTCTAGATATAGCAAGATTACGTGTAAAACTGTAAATTAAAGAGGGATTTACAGTTCTCATCCAGCCACAGTTGTAGCTGGCGAATCAATACAATGCGGCAATGCCAATATCCATTCCCTGGCAAAACCTAACTACCTCCCGCTCACCGCTGACTGATATTGCGGACAGAACTAGGGCGGTGGACTGCATGTGGGTCCTTGAGGTAGCTCGGAATTCCATGCTCCGTTTCGGAGTTCCGGAGTTCCTTGTGTCACTGGCGTGCACGCGGGATACCAACCTACCCTACCAACCCCGTCTATCTTTTTCCATTATCCCTAGGTTCTCCGCCAATATTGATGGCATCGTACATCTGAAGTCGATGATGAAAAACAGAAAGCAGCCTCAGCCGCGCAAAAAAGCTTGCCAGGGTTGTACGACCGCCAAGGTTCGGTGCGACCTTGAGAAGCCGAGCTGCTCGCGGTGCCGGGCACGTGGTAAGCAATGTCGGTATTGTTGGGGCTCGGTCTGCTCGGATGGTCTGGGTCTAGGTGACCCCGCGACGTTGGGTAACAGAAGCCCCCTTGATGAGAGCCTCAGCTTTCAGCCAATCCTTACGGGGGATTCTACGGCCTTTGCCACTGCAGAATTCCTAAGCCCCATCTCTGGTCAGGCATCCGAGATACTACCCATTGGTCCTGAGCCTGAAGCAACGCCCACAGTGGACACTGGCTTGGACTTTGACAATATTGATCTTGTGCCAATGACAGACGCAGAAGAGATCCGAGATCGCTGGTTGCGCACTTACCTATTTTCTGCCACGGGAGAGGTGCCTAAGCTGTTTAGCCTCTTCACTGTCCAATTTGTTACCTGTGTGCTTCGTTCATATCCCGGCCGTCTCATTGAGAATCATGGCCTTCCACCGTTTATTCATCCACTGCAACTCAGCAATAAACCGATGCCTGGAACGATGGCCAATTGTATTTCTCTGGTGCGCATGTGGATGAACAGAGTCGCCGGAAGCGAGGGGATGATATTAAGTACCGTCAAACAGGAGATGGAGACAATATCTCGTGGGGTAATTTATGTCTCCTATTGTTCTATTCTCCCTTCGAAAATATGTTACTGACCACAGAGTAGGATGCGATAGGTGATCTCGAAATTGTATGCGCTTTCCAGGCATATCTCATCTATTTAATCACAGCCTACTTCTTCCCGATCGGTAATACGTCTCTAGTCGATGACTCGAGTTTGATAACCATACAAAACTTGGCATTTCGCACCGCAAAGGCAGGTTTTACCTGCAAAGCGGAGTTGTCACACATGGCCCCGACTTGGGAATCTTGGATTATTGCCTCGTCCAAGCGACGTACTTTACTCACGATGTATCTCTTCACAAATGTGTACAATTTCGACAAGGGTATCCCGAATTTTTTATCCAAAGAATTGGGCAATACACTCGCTCCAGAGAGCAAGGTATTGTGGGAGGCATCTGACCGGCTTTCTTGGACAAAGGAGTACAATCGCTACCTCTCAAAGTGGGAAGATGGACTGCTGCAGATTTCGGAGCTATGGCAGTCGCCGGAGACGGGCTCGGAGGCAAAAAGAAAGCGCATTGAGCGATGGTTGCAAGCAACAGATGAGTTTGGAATGATGCTCTTCGCGGTTTGTGCACATATCCATGGTTGTTAACCGTCCTGAGTGTGTTGGAGACAGACATGTTTGTCCTATGCTTTGTACATCAAAAGGTTATGCTATTGAAGCTGACAAGCTATCAGGATTCGCTTAATAAACTGTATGATATAAAGAAGAACGACTTTTGGGATCTCAGTTCGACCAAGCGTAGTCGTGAAGTAAGGCCTTGTCCATCGGGCCCGAATATCGTCTGCCTCAGAGGTGGGAGTCAAGTCAATTTCTCAGAAGTAAAGCTCGTTCTTTTTGGGAATCCCTCTGGGAGATTGTCCCTGGGACTGCTGGATCGGCGGACACCAGATGGTGTTGTCAACACGCGACATACTAGGAGCATCAGCATCTGACAAGAGGAAATGGCGTTTGTAATGCTGCTGAAGCAGGGAGTGAATAAACATGCACATCTAGATATTCAAAGCGTCCGAGTTCTGTTCCTAAGCCTCCCTGTGCTGGGCGCGTGTCAGGTTGCACCAATGCTGAAGCCGTCGTGTCATAGACGCAGTTTCGGACTGTCAATCTACACCACGAGCATCCGGAATTTTTTAGACTGCGCCGGGCTTTGGCCTCCGCGCAACTGCTGCGGGCTTTCTTGCGCAGAGGACGAGGTTTCTTTCTGGGCATGGTTGGCGTGGCCATGCTCGCGATCTCGCACCGTCAATAAGTTATTTACCTGATGAGTGAATTGCAAACTCACGAAGGCATATCTGGACAGTTCTCGGTAGATATCCTAACTGGACTCCGATCGCCACGGAGCGCCTTTATCCTAGCGCCACCAAATCGGGGGCAGGCTCGGAGCTCCGACATGACCCCGACGATCAGACATATGATATCGAACGTAAATCGAACGTACTGCGTAGATTCTGGGGGATGGATATACATTTGTTGTTCAGGACGTAGTACTATGATTTGCAGTACTAGGCTATGATAGTTCTTGTATCGAATATTTAACTGCCCAAATCATTGTTTGGCGGCTTGGCCCTAGGCAGTTTCTGAGCAGCGTGCTACTGTGCCACCTTAGAAACGTGCTTTGTGCGGAATTCCGGCATCCATAGGAAGCGGCAAACTGCTCGGAGTAGCCACTGGCTACTGTACGCTCTGTCCACAAGTATTTAATGCGATCGACGCACTCAGAGAGAGCGGGTATAGCAAACTTCGACCATGGAGAGTCTGAACATTTTGGTCCGTGACAGCCTATTCGGTCGGCTGCTGAACTATGCGTCGAAGGGCCGATTTTTTTCCTATAATGGATCTAAAACCCTTGAAGATGAAGACCTCCCAAGCCCAGACTCCCAGCGCTGGATCATAGTAGGCTTTGTTGGTCCCGATGATCCAGATATCCCTCGAAACTGGCCCACGCTGGCAAGGACGGTCGCTGGACTCAATGTATTGCTCTTGAACTTCAGTTTCTATGCAGCATCAGCACTCTTTACGCCAAGTATCTTGGGAATCGGAGAAGCATTCGGAGCTACCACTGCTGAGGGCACACTGGGACTCTCGCTCTTTGTTATTGCATACGGAATTGGGCCTCTTATTGTATGTCTGCGCTTCAAGTAGACCACAGGTACAAGGAATGTACTAATCATGCATGTTTCCAGCTTTCTCCTCTGTCAAACCTGTCGACCATCGGGCGTTCGCCGGTATATGTGCTTAGCTGCCTTGTGTTCTGCTTGCTCAACATCGGAACGGCTCGGGCAAAAAACCTACAAACTGTTCTGGTACTTCGCTTTTTGGGGGGCTTCATCGGAAGCACGCCCATCAGCGTCGGTGGCGCCTCGCTCATGGAAATATACAGGCCATCTGAGATTCCCTATGCAATTGCATTGTACGCAGTTAGCGGAGTTTGCGGGCCTATTCTGGGACCGGTATGTCTGTCTACGTGCATCTAGACTTCCACAGCTTTTACTAATTTTGATAACACAGCTCCTTGGAACCCTTGTAATGTTCGTCATCGGTTTTTTGAATTGCTGAGTATTATCTGACATGAATAATCATCGTACAGAAAGCGTTGGAAAACCTGGAGAGCAACGCTCTGGCTCCTTTCCGGCATCACTGCCTTCACAACCATATCTACTTTCTTCTTTCTACCTGAGACGCTGTCCTCGAATATCCTTCTACGACGAGCAAAGCGCCTTCGCGAGCAGACGGGCAATCCTGCCTACCAGAGTGAAGCTGAAATCCAATCACCAAGCGAAAATCTCGCTCTACGCATTGTTAAGGACATGGGCAACGATATCAAACTTGCCTGTCTGGACCCAGTCATTCTATTTGTCAACGTGCACACAATGCTAGTTTACGGTGTCCTGTACCTTTGGTTTGAGTTCTTCCCGTTCGGTAAGTTAAGCTCTCCTGGAAGCGTTTTGCGCACGTTATACTGACAGAGTGATCGTATAGTCTTTAACGGCATTTATCATTTCACCGCAATTCAGCAAGGCCGTGAGCTTTCCTGGGCTGACTTTGTACGAAGACTGGGCTACTAACATTTCTCTCCAGTTGCCTTCTTCGGTATCCTCGTTGGAGCATCGGTTTCGGTCGTTGCATACGTTCTGTGGTTATACTTTTCCTACCAGCCACGAGTGGCAAATGCAAATGTCGTTGTCGAGCCAGAGGCTCGCCTGGTCCCTGGACAAATAGGGGCCGTTTGCATTCCAATTTCCCTGTTCGTCTTTGCATGGACATCCCGAGCAAGGTAAGCTAGCCACTTAAGTCAATGGATTCTAGAGAGGATTTTAACCCGCTGCCAACAGCGTACACTGGATCGTTCCAATTATCGGAACAGCATTCTTTGCACCGGGCTTCTACCTCACCTTTCAATCCGTCCTCAATTACCTAGGCGAATCATATCCGCGCTATGCGGCAAGCGTATTTGCCGGTAACACTTTCTTCCGAAGTTCGTTTGGAGGGGCGCTCCCACTAGCTGCACCACGCATGCTAAATGCACTTGGAATTGGATGGGCCTCGAGCATACTGGGGTTCATCTCCGTTGCTATGGTACCCTTACCTTTTATTTTACAACGAGTGAGTTTGCTGCTAGGACTGCGTTCTGTTGTATTAAATTAGGTATAGAATTATTTGCTAATTTGCATAATATAGTATGGCAAGAGACTGCGTTCTTGGAGCCAATTTGCGAACTAAGCAACACATCTCAAGGCCTTTCTCCATATTGGCTATACTGGCTTCACACTAGAGGCCATAATGTCAACTGCGCTTGCTTCATATCTCTTCGACATTAGGATATAGAACGTTGGCACGGCCTGGTCGGGAAGATCATCTCGGCCGACTCGCCGGTTGATGCCTCTCTCTTCGAGACTCTGAAACCGTCAGCGTCCACCAGTCTCTGCTAGATTTAATATTCCATCAGGACTCTATCCATTTTTTCCTTTCCGTACAATTACCTCCTTGGATTTACCGGTAATTGAATTTTATTACAATGAAAGATTTGTTTGTCCCACTGCCAGCTCCGGTGATTGGAAATAGTACTTGTACATCATGCTCTAGCTCTCAATTCAATGTCTAGTAGGCAACGTCTCTTATACTGCAATTGAATAGCACTTTGAAGAGCTGTCGACAACACTACAAACCCTAAAACAGCAGAGGAATCTTTCTGTGCGAGGGAAAAGACCACAGTGATTTTGGACAGCTTCTTTCTCGGCTGGATCAGCTCATTGTTTGGGATCCGTCAAGAGCTTAGTGGTTCATCCTTCTCCCTTACATTATGTACATGATCAATTGGCGGAAGAGATTAATTAGTTCGCACGAACTCCAGGCTCGCTAGTCTGGAAATCAGGATCCTCCTCAATGCTTACACCGGCATCCTCCAGTAAATGAGGGAACCATCTTAGCATTCTGTCGCGAAAGATCTCGTACCCGGCTCCCTTCCGTAGAACCTTCATGTTCTCTGCATCGAAATTTATGCCACCACGCCTGTACGCCTGCCATTTCTGTAGACCGTAATCCACCACCAAGTCTACCGCGTCAATCACCCTCGGCTCAATATCTTCAATCCGGAATCGTTGTCCCTGGCCGGTCAGATTGGCCGAAGTTCCGAACGTTAACATGCCCTCGGGGTCCTCATCGCAAAGGCGACCGAGTTCCCGTAGAAATGGACCTTCGGGAACTGCGATACTGACCGTATCACCCTTGGTGACCTGGGCTAGCGTAGCGGGATCGAGGGTTGCCAAACGCGGGTGAAGGTTTTCGGTATCGTATTTGGCAATGATCCCCACAATCATCGCCATATCTTCTGTCAGGACCCGTGTCATCTCAAACTTGGCCTCGGAGAGCACATGGATTTCGCGGTGTTGTTTATATGTCCCGATGATGCCTATGTTGTGGCCTTCCCGACGGTCTTTGGCTGAGAAAATCCGCTGGATTCCAGCCTGTGTGCTAGTCAAGAGTGCGTAGCCGACATCGGTTGGAATAATGACAACACCACCACGTTTAAGAGTATTATAGGTCTCTTTAGCGTCGCGAGGGACGTTGGGGGCGGTACCTAGCTTGGGTATGTAACGGGGAGCCATTGAAGGTTGATGAAGATTTGTAATTTAATGCTGGTCAAAGTAGGAATATATAAAGCCAAGCGACTCCGAAGTCGAATCCGGATTTCCGCGGAGTGGCGAGTCACCTTGGAAGTCAGATTCGGAATTCCGATCCTAATTGTCTTACGGACTTTTGCATACACATAAACCTATAAAGTACATTAAATTCAACCATGATTGAGTTTTGGCAAACTACACAATCACAAGCTCGATCAAGCCAAACTGAATACTACAAAAAGCGATGGCTGTCTACATAACCGACCACTCCACTTCTGTCCTCAAAACCCACAGTTGGCGCACAGCGTCCAATTCTGCCGCCTACCTCCTACCGCATATAACTCCGACGTCCAAAATCCTAGACATCGGGTGTGGTCCCGGCTCAATCAGTGTTGATTTCGCCCGCTGTGCAAATCATGGTCATGTCATAGGGATCGAAAATGTCCCTGATCCGCTCGACCAGGCTCGACACCTGGCCGCGTCGCAAGGCGTGACTAACGTCGATTTCCGGCTGGGCGATATCCACGCTCTCGAGTTCCCGGATAATACCTTCGATATTGTTCATGTGCATCAGGTGCTGCAACATATTGCCGATCCTGTCAAAGCGTTATGCGAGATGAGGCGTGTTGTGAAACAGGGTGGAATTGTCGCAGCAAGGGAATCTGCGTCTATGACCTGGTATCCAGAGAATCCCGGGATCGGCAACTGGCTCGAAATTACTCAACGAATGGGAAAGGCGAAAGGCGGGAATCCGCATCCTGGACGGTATATTCATATCTGGGCGAAAAAGGCTGGATTTGACCTGGCGAATATCAGGAAGAGCGCCGGGTCCTGGTGCTTTAGTACTCCGGAGGAGAGACAGTATTGGGGTGTATCGATGGCGGAAAGGGTGCTGTTTTCGGGCTTGGCGAAGACGGCTGTCGAGGAAGGGTATGCGACAAAGGAGGAATTAGAAAGAATTTCCAAGGGATGGAGGGAATTTGTCGAGGATGAACAGGCTTGGTTTGGGCTGTTGCATGGGGAATTATTATGCTGGAAGTAATTAAATGGCCCGTCCTACGTCGTGCCTAGCCTCTCCGTCCGAGCCTAACACGTGTCACACCCAGATTCACCAACATATACGAGGTGGTACGTTTTGCAGTCTGATAGATTATGCAGATAATAATCTCGTAAATCAACATTTTGCTTTCTAGCACGTTGCCGTGTAGTCTTTTTGACCAACCGTTGGCGATAATAGCTCTCATAATGCTAGAGGTTCTAACTATAATCTGGAACTTGTTGTAGAGAAATACAGCTATACTATCGAGGTACGAGCTAGGTTTCTCATATAGATAATCCAGGGCTTCAAGCATCAAGGGTGGCACAGTTCGTTCTCGACCTATTCGGGTTTGAGGGGCGTAATTGCTTCCAAATTGTCGTAGGTTTCTGCGGATACTAATGCTAGTCAGCTTGTTATATTCAGCCTGTTTCGCTATTTTAGATGTGGTGAAGGACTGGCTCTCGATTGAATTACGAATTCAAACGAGCTTTGTAAGAGAGAGTCTTGGAGCCATATCGCCTTGAAGTGATAGGGGCTAGGCTGGTGCGATGCGTTGACAAGTTGCACTGTACTGTAGAGAGTCGAAGGTGGCCACAGAGGTATGTAGCGGGTGTATGAGCAGTTTCGTGTAAAATACAACCCTCGCTGTCCGATAATTGTATTGTAAAATACACAATCTACTATAGAAAGCGGTCTGAAATTGAGACCGGGAAGACCTGATCCAATCAGAGCTCACATGTGACGGATTTATTTTCCGGCAATGATGTCGCAAGAGTGAGGAGATTTGACTGATTTCGAAAACCACTGTATAACGTGATTCCAACCTGAGATAGACCAAAAGCTCCATACCTTAATTCACCAACAGGGCATACATTCTGTAGATCTATCGCGATATACCCGAGCCCCTCCAATAATCAATCCCAAATCCACTCTTCCTACTACTTCATACAATAGTACACTGTACAGTAATGCTAGTAGTAGATAGTAGGAAACACTACTACTGTTTGAACAGACTATCCGACCCATTCTCGTGCCCCAAACCCAACTCAACTCAATTAGAAGTTAGAACCAATTTGTTGTCCAGCACTATTCAAACTCAAAAGAAAAAAAAATAAAATAAATTCACGCAACCCACCCCAGACGGGCCGACTTATCCAGATCCCCTGCACGAATGCCCCCACCCAGCGGGGCCCTTCGAGAAGCCTTCCAAGTTCCCCCTTCCACTCAACTTCTCGAGTCCCAAAGGATGCTGACTGTACGGAATATGTTCAGTATAGTATGGAATCACGCGTGGCTGGGCCCCATACATACCGATTTCCTGGGAGTCGGCAATGCGGCTACATAGATCCACTTATGCAAACTCTGCCCGAGACTCGAGTCAGGACTTTAGTTCTCCACTTTCACTCCCAGAAGAATCGGAACTCGGGATGCAGGGCGTTGGCACCCTTGGCCCTGGATGCAGGTTCCTGTTTGGATGAGCGGCGGAATTCTATTTTCCTGCCATACTACTGCGTACCGTATGCATACTGAATGCTTCGTGTTTTGGTTTAGTACAGTAATTATCATGCCCGTTTGCCGTCTAGATCGGAATCGGGAGTGAAGGTTGATTCTCGTGGAGAGGACTGGCTAAGTCGTTTTAGGTCTGGATCGGGCCACCTACGTAGGTGATCATGTGGTGGGAGTGTATGGTTTTCCTCTTTGGTTGGAGTGTGCGGGTTTTTCTTTGTTCTCCTTAGTGAGTGGAATTGTTCGTATGTCTCTGGACTTTGGTTTGGGTACAGAGCTTTTGTAGTAGGGATACGTTGGCTTGTTGACTTTTGTAGCTGTTTACACATTCTGGTATGGAACTATCTCCAATGAAACGATATCATTATAGACGCGGTATAGTTGCAGTTTTAGACATTTTATTTAGAATTATATATTATTACCCCATGGTATCGATGTAGCCTGTCTGGTTCTACAGGTTGTCAAGGAACACTGGAGGGTACTATGAAACAATTCTTCCATTTAGTACATTTGATGCTGGTCACTAGATTTATCTGCGGCCAGCGCCGTGGACACTTCGACATCATTCAAGCAGATTAAATCTTCATCAACTTCCGAATTCTCGACATTTTTGGCTGGTAATAAACTCCATCGTACTATTTAGACACTCTTTTGGGTGACTATACTGTCCTGATTAGAGTAGGATAAATGTGCTTTGCATATACACATCAAGATATATGCTGCCGTCGATATCGTCGATGCTGAAGTAACTTATTAGAGCGCACCATAAGAGCAATTTTGGTTTAATCACTGACTGAATCCCATGTCATTGTTCAAATAAAATCCTAGTCGGCATCCATAGTGTCGGCATCCATAGTGTCGGCATCAATGATAGCATTCTGATCTTCCTCGGCCTTAATCACCTCGTTTTCAGGGACTGGTATGCGGAAATGGTGGACGGTGGGCTCAGAAAGAGATAAAACGTTGAAACAGAGAAAGACAGAAAGAACGCGAACATGAAAAATAAAAGGAGCTCCTCCATGTCAAGGTATTCAATTTCAAGTCGTGGTTTGCTGCTTTGATAGATGCCTCCGGCCACTTAGCCAACCATCAGGCCGGATAGTTGACCTAAAAGTTGATATTTAGAGGTCAAATGGTAAGAGGTTTGATACTGGTGCAGGTGGCTCAAAGTCAAAAACAATATAGTAATTTCAATCGAGAATCTTCTTCTTGCTTTTTCTTTAGTTTTAAATGCTCATGCAAAGATAGCCGGATGATGGTACCCGGAAAATCTATTACATCTGGCAATATAAAGACCCGACTTTCTGTTTTTTTCTAAAAAAAAAACGACAAGAGGGAGCACATTCCAGGTGAATCATCAAGCCTTTCCTCCCATCAAATGTCATCAAAGGCTCGGCTCAGCGAGCCGGGTACATGTACCCGGCGGGAGTGGGGTTCACCAAGCACCAGGTCAATATGCTATCTGTTTTTTGTTGCACAGCCTTCACATAGGAGCTGCGACACACAAGTTGCTCCCTACTACTAGATTTCTTCGAGAGATTTTTTGTCTCGATACCGAGGTTACGTTAGAACATGTAAGGCGTTTATTGAAGGCGGCTATGTCAGACTTTACTGTTGGTGTGGCCCTGCAAGTTATATCGCGACAGGATGAAAGATTGTAAAGTAAGAGTTTGAATAAAGATTTATACTAAGCCAAACAAGCTTGAACAAACAACTAATGACGGTAGCTTCTGACTAGCAGCTCAAGTCACCACTTAGCTATTACAAGAGTAGCGCAGAATATCAACCCCGAACCCGGTACCCCGAGACATCATTTCATATGTCGAATTCATTTTCCGGCCTCAACTTCTCCGGCCATATCTCCCATAGTATCAAAGCGCCAGTCAAATACATTCTCTGCCAAATTTCCCATTGTGGCGCCTGGTCGCTCAATCCAAGCAGATTTGATCCCAATTTTCTTTGCGGGGTGATGATCGTGGAACTGACTCTGAGCAGTTTGAAGGACCTGAGAAGGTTCGACATCGAAAGTTGATTTCACCGTCTTCAGCATGTATTCAAAATTGCGAAGATCCGGCTTGTATGAGCCCACATCTTGAGCAGTGATGATCAGATCGAATGGGAAGCCTTCGAGACTGCCTGCGTTGGACTTTGCGAAAGATTCACGATCGACATTCGATAGAACCACCAGCTTGTAATGCTTTGAAAGACGCTTGAGAGCATCCACCGTATCAGGGAAAGCGGGCCAATTGCCGATTGACTCTCCGAATTGCTTGCTTTCCTCTTGAGAAGGAATCTCCAAACCCAAACGCTTGGCGAGTTCGGGGTGGATTGTTGTCAACAATTGATGGTATGGCATTTCGGGAGTCTTGGTCTGTTGTTCACGCTCCAGCTCATGGTAGAGTGTAAGGAGATGCTTGCGTGTGAACTGAGCTTGGTTCTTGTCCAGAGTAGGTTGGAATGCACCAAGGATGCCCCCTTCCCAGTCGATCAAAGTGCCGTAGACGTCGAAGGACAGCACACGGAAGTCTGAGAGTTGCGCCATTGTCAAGTCTTGTTTGAACTTTCTATCGTATAACTGATGAAAGATGGATATGTAGATAGAAAGTAGATGGAATGTGGTGAAGAATGCGTGCTCACAAATATATGACCTGTTCGGGTACTGAGACCCGGGTTCCTAGGTCGTAGCCAGCTAAACCTACCATCAAGCTCACAAGGCTGTGTTGAGCGTATGCTCTCGCAATCACCGGAAGTTTCCATGGAATTAGGTTCTTTCTTGATATCTCTCTCCGTATCAGTAGCTCTTGTGTACACTGCTGCAATTATACAAGGAGAGCACTACCAAGGCTCACATAAACGTAAACCATTTACTAGCTCGTTTTCCTTCTATCATGGACATGGTTAGTCACCGATGTCTGGTAGTTTACGGAACGACTCTTTGATCTAGCTCACAGATATTATAAGGGAATTGATTGTGATAAGCCAGTAAATGATACAGTTTACCAAGTCCGAGGTTAAAGTAAGATTCAATCAAGTAATATGTTACCTAGACATAGTTAATCTTTCTATCTCAACCTTAAGAGCCATCTTAATCTGCTCCATCATGCCAGACTCCAAGACTCCCTCTTTCTGTAAAAAGCTCAAGGGCATTTTGCCATTTCTGCCTGTCACAACGCTCGCTTTGATAGCTGCGCTGCAGGCACTAGCGCTCTGGCTGAAGATCATACTTTCAATCTCAAAGTCCCCAGCTTGGCGTGAAGTAGAACTTGTCCCGACATTTGAAAACTCAAAAGCACTCATTTTTAGGCGGCTGAGCTTTTCTTTCATCCAATGATGCTGCTCTGGCATAAAACTTCCAATGCTAACTCGACATGGTCTCCTCTTTTCGCTAATCCCTTATCGCTTACCGTGTTGCTTACGTCATTTATGCCTGAGGCTAAAACATCCATGCACCGGTCTCTCATCTGCCGTCTTCGCTGCGATTCATCTACTTGCATATAAGGATTTCATTCGAGCGGGGTGCAAGGCGTCTTTCGATACGATGCCCGAGCCTGGTTTTAAGATACGCAAAGGCAGACAAAGAAGACCCCACGTACCTGAGGCGCTGCGAAAGAGAACGGCACAGGCGTAAGTTGACGCCATACACTTCAGACGACAATCGAGACGGAGTCTCCTCAGTGCTAATTATTTGCGATGCAGATGTTTGCCTTGTCGTCAGCACAAAGAAAAATGTACTTTGGCCCCTTTCCATAGTTGACCCTCGTCATTTTACATAGATTGACACTTCTCACAAGGCGGAGGCGGCAATCCGTGTACTCGATGCCACGAGCGCCAAAGAACATGCGGCTTCGAGAGTGCAGACCGCCGACAAGTGCCAAGACTGCGACATGATTCATCAGAGTGAGTCTATCCATTGGATGTCCTAGTGTTTCATCAGAGGAAATGGGCCACTCATTTTCGTGCTAGGGAGGGAGAGCCTTCAGAACAACATCCCAGAGAGCTTCAAATGAAGCGAATTATTACGCACTTTTTAGGTGATGTCTCATTTGAAACGAGTTCCCTCCAGCAGATTGCAGATGCTCTGGACCAGGGCCGAGGACAGGAGCAATCAGATCATGATTCAAACGATAATGTTCTGGGAAATCATTACTCTGTTGATCTGCTTTCCACCAGCATCATGCGTATGTTCAATATCTGGGTATTGACGTGTCTCGACTGACCTAACTTCAAAGATTATTCGGGAGAGTTGTCACATTGGAACTTCTCCAAAATGCTTGAGCGACGGCTACGAACGCTTGGGGACCAGACACGACAAGACGGGGTATGTTGGTGAACTCTCCCCAATGCGCAGACACGAAGCCCATTCTAAGAATTGGCTCACTAACATAAATCTCCAGAGCTCTGCCCACACAACGGGGTTTTTTCGAGCTACCGACCTGCATTCGGCTTGCTCTAGCGTCGCACTCGCCAAGTCCTATCTTCCCCCGAAACCTATTGCGGAATTCCTAGCAAATGCCTTTATGAAATACAGTCAAACGAACTACTTCTACTTCGACGAAGCGACTTTCCGTGAAAAATTGGACTTCTACTACAGCACTACAGATCCACCTTCGATCAATGATGCTGGTTGGATATGTACTCTTCTCATGATTTTCGCCATTGGCACGCAGTTTGCCCACATGCAGTCAAACTCAACGCCTGGTGGCGTCACCTCTGCTATTGAGAGTACTCCTGATGACCAAATCGGACTGGAGCTTTATCGGTTTGCGTGTCGACTCATCCCGGATCTCATTACGGTGGCCAGTGTGGAGACTGTCCAGGCGTTCTTGCTTATGGGAGTGTATACCTTGCCGATCGACACAGCAGGCTTGGCATATGTATACTTTGGGCTAGCAATCAAGATGGCAATTCAAAATGGCATGCATCGCAAGCTACCCGAAGGCAATCTGGCCCCAGAGATTGCTGAGGTGCGAAATCGCCTTTGGTGGTCTGCATACTCTCTGGAACGGTAGGGATCTCCCAAGCCTTCATGAAGTGCAAAAAGTCTTATCTCTTGAACAGCCGAATCGGCATTCTACACGGTCGCCCTATGTCTATATCTCCTACTGAGATTGATGCCCCAATGCCTTTCGACCTGCCCGCTCTGCGGCCGAAAGACAAAATGACAAATCTCCCGAACTTCATCGCTGCAATTGTCTTGACAGACCACTTAGCGAAAGCTGCCGAAGCGATGAGTTCTCTTCGAACTTGTCCAAAAGCCAGAAAAAAGCATTTCCTGCGACACCTTGCTGCCACGCGCGATCGACTCAGCTCATGGTGGGATAGCCTTGCTACCGAGATCTACTGCCGAGATCTCGCCGCTACTGGGCCACTCTTCCGCTGCAATGTTCATCTTGAAATCTATTATAACACGACCTTGATATACATGGGCCGCCCCTTCATTATATCGCAAGTATCCTCTGGATTACTTGACTCGGCAGATGGCGCTACCCCTCACGAAGTCCCTGATATTGTCAATATTCTTCGCCGCGACTCACTTCATGCGGCACTCAGGGTTGTTGAAATTTGTCAGCTGTTGCAAGACACTGTTGGCCTAGCGCGTGTCTCGTACACTGAGTTCAACGGATGTCGTGTTGCCTTGTTGGCGCTGATTGCCCACAGCGTCAACGGGCCTTCGAGCAGCATATCCAAAACTTTAAATCAGGGCATGGCGCTTATCCGCCAGATTTGCACAGGGCTAGAATCCGCGCAATCTGAAATCGCTGTCATCGAAGCGCTCGAGCAAGCCAGGCAACGGCTGCACAATCATTCAGTGGCAGAGCAGAGTGGGTCAACAGAGTCTGCAACAGGGTATAACCAGTTCAGAGAATGGACAAAGCTCTGGCGAGGTGATCCATTGGAGGGAGGTGGTGCTGATGCTTTGAATGGACTGGACATGTCGTTCGAACAGCGCTCTCCAAACACGGTCCCTTCCTTTGATGGATTTTTCTCATCTTTCCCTAATGAGCTCAGTGAATTCACTGCCATTCCGGGATTAGATTTCAGTATGTCACTGGGCCAGGAGTGGCTGCACGAGCCGCAACCTGAAGACTCAGAATGGCTGATGAACCCACCACTCTGATGAAACAAGAGTTCAGGGCTAAAGGTTGCACTGAGACATACAATACGCCTGTTGAGATTCCTGCCGAAAGTTCAAGAATGAGGCCGAGTTGGCGATGATTTATGGTTTCATAATTGATAGAGAAGAAAAGAACAAAGGACGAACAACTCAAATTATGATGATATTGAGTGTTGCTCATCAGAAACAAACGCCATCAACCATTCTTCCGATCATCATGAAGGTCAATGAAACTTGGGCATGCCGTAGACTCTCATGGAAAGCACTTATATACCTCACATACTTAGGTCGTGCATGTCTGCCTACCTAATTCTATGCAAGGTGTTGACAACATTTTTGAGAAAGTAGATCTGAATTGCGTCCAAGGTAATGAAAAATTCCCACACTATAGCAACACCCTTTTCAAGAAAAAATGCTAATCTGAAAGAGGCGGTCAATTTATTTAGAACAGAGTCAACGAGAAACACATCATATAAATAAGAAAAGAAGAACAAAACATCGAGAATCGCAAACTGTAACACTCAAACTCGTCGTAAGAAAGCAGTATAGTGTAGCTCTGTCTCACACCATACGATAACAGATAGAAACCATCCAAGACATCCAAGATATCCCTTAGCACTGAACTTGTCCATTAGCAAGGGTCCAAACCGGGCCAGACACAGCATCAGGATCCGGGACGGTATTGAGATTGGGATCCTTAAAGGCCTGCGGAACAAGTGCTCCCGCATGGGGGTTATTGCCGAGAGCAGTAATCTTTGCAGCATTAATATTGACGTTGTTCGGGCTTGCCAAGTCAAACTGCAGCGTCACACCAGCGGGAAGATTGAAATCGGAGTAGAGCGTGCATGTACGGTGACCGGACGCCACAGACTCAGGAGTAGAGAATTTCCAGACGTAGTTCGCGCAAGTGCCTCGCCGGTTCAAGCATTCCTGGATACAGTCGCATTTGCTCCGAACTTGCGGGAAGGTCAGGTCGACTTCAGTCACGACTCCGGTGACATCGAACCCGCGGGTGTAGCGGACACAGCCTCTGTCTTGGGTATTGAGGCCTCGGCAGATGCGAGAAAGTCCCGAGTCTGAGTCGTGGTTATTGTCCTTGTCGACGGGAATTGCAGCGGCACCAACGGCGAGAAGGGAGGCGAAGAGAGGACCAGTGAGGCGCATTTTATTCGATAGGGAAGTAGTTGTAAGTAAGATGTCAGGGTAGGATTAGAAAAGTAGAATTGTCAACAATGTGGTCGAGCACAACGATAGCTTAAAGATATTGAACTGGAGATGATATTGCCGCTAGAGTTATTCTTGTAGCATAATACACCGACGTGTAACGCAACCTTTATACCTTGAAAGGGTAACAGAGCAAGAAATGATTGGCTAAAAATAAACTTGGCTTTCCGAAGGATCTATCAGCATTAATCTTGTGACAGTCTGGATATAGAAAATGCACGGAGGCTTAGCTGATGCTTGATTTAGGCCATCAGCCTTATCCCAAAGTTTAAGTCAATGGTTGCAGAGCTCTACTCAAAATGATGACATGGCTGAAAAGTTTAGCATAGCACTCCAGACCTCTGATCAGATCACTTTTTTGGCAACATTGTACTATTTATGCCTTGGTGGCTTTCTTCGTCTATCAGCTTACTAGTCACTAGTCACTACTGCTAGCTACCGGATACATCATCCACGCCATCGAGGCATCTTCGTATATGATTAAAATCGGCGATAACATTTCCGGAACTCAAAATATTGTGCTTTTCAATGGTACGTAAGCCGCAGCATGCTTTCTGAACCATGGCTGTTGGTATATGTCAATCACTGTCGTTGACTCAGTGGCTGACATCATTCCATGTTCAACGAATCACGGGTGGTCTCGTTTTCGTTTACAAGTTTATTTATGTCTCGACCGACTACCTAATCTGGAGACTCTGGTATTTCCCGAAAGGTCTCCGAAGGATAACAGTATGGATAGCAAAGAAGGCGAACATGGTGCCGAATCCCACCGTTAAGTCCATTCTGCAACTTCTGTACCCGCCATAAGCCGATCGCTTAACCAGAAGATAGTTTTACCGTCACCTAGATTACGTTACTGTTTTCAAGAATCATCAGGGCTACCTAGAAAACTAGCAAGGGCGGTGGTAGACTTGCCCGATCAGAAGCGCCTCGCTAACTGGCTATTTATATCGCTGATGTCAAAAGTTTTAAATCCAAAGTGAATTTATTTCAAATCAATCTACAGTCGTGAACTCCACAAAGTTCGATGACGGGACCATTATAACTGGCCTTCCATCATTATCAGCCGGGTCAACGACATGGGCATTCAGCCAACAAGCTAATTTTACTACCGTCTTTGCATGTTCTTCACGATCACCCCAAGTCCACCAGTCAATGCAGCCACCCCAGTACTGATATCGATAGGTGTCGCCGACCACTGTATCGGGATGCAAATCGCGATAGCTTAAAACAAAACTTTCCCCTGGTCGGAGGCAGCAGAAGAACATAGAATCCGTGACGTTGACCTCAACATCGGGTTCATCTACAATTATTCAACCCTCATTCCGCTCATCGTCAAAATAAGTTTTCCACTGTGGAGAGTCCTCGTCCAAAGGATCGTAATCGTGGCAGCGGCGTTGTAGTCGAAAATTATCACTCCGGAAAGGGCAATTATGTATGATGATTGGCTTTGCATGGACATTGATAGCCTCGTGATCCTCATTTGTCAGACCATCATAGGTGATCTTCACTGTGATAAAAACTTTTTCCGATTTAGAGATTTTCGATGGACCTTCTAGAAATACATGTACAAGGAGTTCCAGGGCTAGAAAAAGAGTGTGTTTGTATTAGCCAGAAGAAAGACACAAGAATCAAGTTGAAAAGCTTTCTCACATTCGTGCCGATTTCTCTACCGGAGGGTCGTCGTAAGGCTGAGAGTCCGAAATGTCTTCCTGCTCTACGCAGGTTATAGAACAACAGGCTCCCCGTGGGATAACAACACGGGGCAACTCTGGTTCAACCCCAACTTGTTGATCCCAATTGTCGCGCAAAGTTCCCCAAGCCCACAATGCATATTCAGCCCCAGGCCAGAATAGCTCATATCTCTCGCCCGCAACCATATTGTCCAAGTATGGAAGAGGGTGACTTATGTTCCAATGGACAGTTTGACCAGGAAGAACTTCTTCCATCTGAGTTTCATATCCTGCAAGCTTGACGGTTTTCGGAGGTGACGACTGGGGCTTTCCCTCAACCCCTTTTTAGACCGTCTGGCGTGTATTGAAAGAGCATGAAGCCAGAAGGACCCCATCCATCCCGCCGAGAATTCCAGCGGAAGATGCAAGGCTTGCTATAGTCATCCTCTGATCGGCGAATAGTGATGATAACCCCCTCTCGGGTTATCAAGAGCTATAACTGCACTGGGCTGAATCTCCATGGATGGCCTAGGCGTTTTTGGACTTGGAAATTGTGAGGTTTGAGATGGGGTGAATCTCACGGTCTATCATGGTCAAAGAATCTGATGTTTGATTTAAGTTCAGGATCCATGGCAGGTTGAAATAGAGTTCAGGGAGAAATAGGAAAGGTAAGGTCAATTAGGGGAGTGAAGAGAGGTTGGCAGAGGAAAACGGGAGAGGTCGAATTAATAACTATTAGTGTAGCGTGGAGGCCACAGCAGCACCCTTTCTCGGTGATCTTAAAAATCTGGCAGGTGTACGAAATTGGATCACATCTATAAAGAGAATGTGGCAAAATGTAAGTTTTGATTTATGAGCTATGTCCTAAGAAAAAACGATATCCCACTAGGAAGCTCTGAGTGAGCCAGTATATCACACCACAATCGGCTGTCTTTCTCCTTCCTCCGCACGCTTAATCTGCCGCAAAGATAACCAAAATGTCCCTTGCCCTAGAGCAAATAACGCATCATCGACAGTCACAAACCCACCCATGTGGCTCATGTATTGATTACTTCACTACTTCCGGAGAAGCTCCAAGATCATATTCTCAGTCATGAGTTGAAATAGATCCTCAAAAAAAACCAGATCTATCAATTCCGTCAAGCCTCACTACGAGAGGTCTTACTATGAGAAGCCCCATTACGAGATGTCTTAGTACAAGATTTCATATTTCGAGAAGTCCTATTATGGGAGGCCCTTTACGAGAAGTGTTGTGGAAACCGCCATTGACATTGTATACAGACACCGCAATGAAACTTCTCGCAGTGAGACTTCTCCCATCATTGATCTTAAAAATGATGATTCCTCTACTTCTAGTGATGAGAGTTATTCGAGAAACAAAATAGACGGCTAGTGGTTACGAATGCACAATCCTCAAGTTCATTATCGGGTCCAGCATGAATTCATACAATGTTGTTGTATCGATGGATGCTATCAGTTCGTCGAGAGACCAGTCGAGGTATAAGAAAGCGATACCACTTCTAATTATGCATATTATGAGAGGTCATTAATTTCCTCTCTCCATCATTACTTCCATAATAGGCATAGTACTGTTTTTCCCATCCGAAATGGAGTTGGTCCCCCCAAAATGGAGTCGGCCTCGTCCGCGTCCCTTTCCAGTTAGGGCAGGCCAGTATACACACCTTGGTACCTGAGAGTGCCATCACGACGTCAATATCGCATCAACATGGCATCAATATTCCATCAACATCACGTCAAAACAGCCGCAGGGGTCACTTGGCGCACTGTATCAAAATCCCCCTCTTCTCCCCCCGAAATCTTCTTTTCTTCCTCAACTCACCAACACTCCCATCTTCACTCTCATCTTCATCCTTACCCACGCCCATATTCTTACCACTTTGATTGTTCCATTCTTATCTCTCTTCTATTCTTACCCCTGTCTGTTCCATTCTTACAGTGGCGACCGTATTTGCCTTCCATGTCGGGAAACATAGAAACACTCTTTCAAGCCCTAATCACATGGTGCACTAAACCTAAGAAGGATATCCGTATTTAGTCACTGGAAGACGCGCGCTGCGGCACGCTGTAAGCCCTGAAACGATGTGGAAGTGGAAGCAGGTAAGCTTTAGATATGCAAACTCTGTTTAGTTTTCGTAGCTGGATAGCTCAAAATGCTTTTAGAGAATAGACCCGTGAGGGCACCTTAAATCAAAATGCAAACCAGAACCACTTTTAAGGGGCGTCTGTATTTAGTAACCAAAATCAACAATGAACTGATCTTTTTCCATTCTGGACAACCCATCCACATATTTATCCAGAGTAGCTTGAAACAAATCATATGTAAATCAGGGATTGACTTCATCAGTTCTGGCGTAAAAACCGGCGTGGATGTGGTTCGGAAAAGCGGCAGATTATCAACTATCATTTCGATTGTTAATTGCCTCAGTCCATGGTAGTTGGCTCTCGTCGAATACACCTCCTCTATAATGTCCGCAAAGGGCAGTGTAAGTCTTGTAAGTCTTCACATTAGATACGTGGAAGATGCATCACCGTAAACCCGGCATAGCAAGCACTATGGAAGTATTTTGACCTCGGACAAATAACAAGCTTATGGGCAGTGAAAACCTTATCCTTGCAAATAATGGTCAAATCGCTGTAATCTAAGCAGAGATGCAAACTATGTCCTTTTTAGTTATCAGACTTTATCTTGTACTACTGTAGACCGTACATGGTCTGCTTCTCACCTTGCGATCAGCCCAAGAATGGTATCTTGGTCCCCCCTGCCTTGGGGCTCCGGCGGTGAAGGACTGACCCCGCAAGGGTACGGCTCCCCATATTCGGGCTTGGGTAAGTACGAAGTCATACTCTTTTTCTTCTTCTTCATGGCCAGGACTAGATGATATCGTCGGGGTATATTCAGAATCAGAAGAGCGTTGAGCAGAGTTGCGAAGCTAAAAAAGACCAAGATAAGTAGTAGAGGTCGGTTTTGCTCTATGCTTAGAAAGATGCAGTTTGATTCATTGCAGCCTAACCCCGCTCCTATATATCAATCGGCAACAATGATCAAATATATAGTAGACCAATTTAAAGAAGACCCCCAAGAAGTACGTAGCAAAATCATACAAGCAATGATCGAGGGCGTATATCAAATGAACAGGAAGTATAAAGCACGGACACTAGGGTCGAGGAGTCGGCTGTTAGGGTTATAGAGGACAGAGCCAGTAAACCAGGCCAAAAAACACCAACACTAGACCAAGTTAATGAAATCTTAAACGGCAATCAGCAGAGGGAATCAGCAGAGGGCGTAGAATAAGAAGAAAGCGAATCAGAGGAAGGCAGTGGATCAGAATAGCGAATAAGAAGTCATAATTTGGCCAACAACAGCCAAAAAAGTAACGCTTTCAGAACGGGGGTATCCTCGCAGGCAGAGAATCACTTTCTCTCACTTCCTTCGTTTCAGGGCACTCGTGATAGAGTGGAAACTTAATTTTCATACAAACGCAAAGTATAGGGTCAGCTACAATGAAACAACGTGCTACTTCAAGAATAGAGCTAATTCATTGACTCTTAGGAGCTCAAATAGCTAATAAGATTAAATCCTCTTGCTCAATTGAATTAATTTTGTTCGAAATCATGGACATCTTTTGCGTAGGCCCGGAGTTGGTCACTCGGTCACACACATCGCTGGCTTACCAAATACATTAGTTCAAATATTTGAAAGCACTTGAGGAGGCCTAAAATTGAAATATTTGAAGTGTTCAGGCCAGAATGAGGCATCTATAGTCTTCAACATTCGAAAACGTCTTCATACGACCATGAGCGCTAATATAACTGGTCCCAGTACTTAATGTACAATTTGCCATCGCTACTTGCAATGCGCTCCGCACTAATGGATACATATTCTTCTCCCAGCTGACCATGAAGGGTGGGCACCTTTCCTTCACCGTCCAAGCGGAAATCGATGTTCCTGAAGCCAGAGCTACCTTTCTTATTCCATTTCAAATGACCTAGCGAAACGAAGAAACAGATCCAGTTAGCTCACGTTGCCTCCAGTTTGGGAATACAGGGTATAAGGCGTGTTTACCCCAAGAATTTGTTGCTAAGCATTTGTCCAGATCGAGTTCGGCGGTGCGGAAATGAGGGCCTTGAGCGTCGCTGAAAACCTCGACCTGAAGTACACTTCCTTCCATTCGGACCCTCTCGGCCTCGCGAAGAAAATGTCTAGGGTAGTGCACACACTCCAATTTGCCCTCGCTGTTTTTGACCCGCTCGGCCAAGTTGATCTTTCTCTCATACGATTCCCATCCGTTACTGCGCAGCTTAGCCCGCAGGATGGGCACACCATCTTCAATTTTAAAAGAGGCATCTGTGGCAAGTTTGGAGAACCCCTTACTGTCCCACTCGAAATTGGCTGACAAAAAAGAGTCCAATTAGCTTAGATTGTCTTAGTAGGGACGGGAAATACTTAACGTATGACGTACAATTATTGTTTCCCAGGTAATTATCTAGATCGAGGGAAGATTCATGCCTGTCACCCTCTTGGTTCTTGATTCTGGCAGTGAGGATATGTCCGTCAATGAGTTTAAGCATAGCATCGTTAGGGAAGGACAAGTCAGGTTTCTCCGACTGGACATTGAATGCGCCATCCTCGATTGTAATCCGGTCAAGTCTGAGGGGTATCAATGGATGACCATCTGGAAACTCCAGCATTTCAGCTTGCATCGTTGGCACCTCACCTTCCCAGCGGAAATGGGCAATATTGCAATATTCGTCGTAGCCACTGCTGTCCCATTTGAGAGCGCCTGCCAAAACAAAAGAGACAGGCATAAATTTAATTTTCATTCAATTTGAAACGAAGCAATTGATCAAGTATCCCTTACCATCGTGCCATCCTATATACTTGTTCAAGTTGAGTCTGATGACCTGGCCGAAATGGTCGTCGTCCCTAAGCTCGACGTAGAGAGTGTGGAATGAAATGTAAACGGCGCCGACCTCGCTAGGCGTGAAGCCCATTTTGTGTGTGGACTGGGGTTCGGATTAAAATTGTGAACAGTATGTGGAATGGCAGTTATCTAATGAAAGAAGAATGGGAGGGGGAGAGAGTGTGTACTTATAGTGAATTCGCCTTCACGGGAGATTTAGCTGATCCTGCCCTTTTCTACACTTAAGCGAACAGTGGCGCCCTCCTGGTGAGCTGAAAGCGATCAGTGACGCAAATTTCAGGGCAATGCTGAATCTAAGGTTCCACTATATCTGCAGATCTGAACCCAGGACAGCGGGTTGCAGATGCGGAGTGGAGCGGCTGAAGAAGATCTGTCTTTCGTATCCAATCGAAAGGGTGCCGGGTCAACTAAGGGAGAGAACTATCGTTTAGTATTTAAGTGCTCGGGTACAGGGGCGGCCGCTTTCGCCTTCCATGTCGGAAACACAAAGGGGGTGTTTCAACCCTAATCATTATGATGTGATACCCCAATCCAGATATGGGTAGCATGTAATCAATCCGTTTTATAGCTGACCATGTATTAACTGGATGTAAAGGTATACTCTATAAGTCAGGATAGAGGCCTGTCAATCAGGTAGGAGAAACGGGGCCAAGTCAATAGTGTGAGATAGTCAAAGACTGTTTCTTGAGGATCGTAAAACCTCTTCAGCATGGGTCAATTTATATACAGTCTCATTGCTCAAACAGGAAGGAGATGTATCCTTGGTAGGGAAATGGGAGCGGGGTGAAACCCGAGGCTTGTGTAACCTCTGTCAAGGGTGTTCCCTGCAGGAGTTCGTACACGTACTGATGCCGAAGCCCCAGCGAACCTCCACAGAAAGTCTGCCGGCTTATCAGGTCCGGGAAGCCTGAGGCACCAACACTTGGGAATAACCTCATGCTAGGTATATCATAACACTGGAAGACGCACGCGTCGCACGCATCGGCCCCGAAACAATGAAAGGTAAGGCGGAGACAAGACGCAAAAGAAGATATGTTGAATTTATATTAGCGTCTAAGGCACTTGAGGAGCTCCCAGGGATGACTAATTCATACTCTTGAAAGATATAAAGATCTGTCACCTGGTAAACGACCATTGGCCTCTGATTATGCACATATAGGGCTTAATCTAGAGAAGCGATAAGCCAGACACCTCGGTGTTCGGATATCTGATTATGGACGAATTCGATAATTACAATCATTAGAAGAACGCAGCGTAAACATTATGTTAAGATGATAGGAGCGGACGCAAAAGTTGAGTAAGCCGTAGCAAGAAAAAGAACAGACCTCCCACGCTAGGCTCAGTGGCAATAGTCTAAAAAGCCGTCTTTATAAAATGTCAAATAACATGCATAGCCCGAAGCAATGAGAGACCAGAATCTTGCAGAAATCTGCAGATATAACCCTACAACCCTAACGCCACGACATACTAGTCCGGGGAAGGCAATGAAGTGGAGCCTCAGGAAGCAAATCGGAGAAGTGCGTGGCAAGACAGTCTATATATGTTTTTCTACCTGTTTTTTGCCACGTCTCGCGCATACGTACATCCATGTTTGCTAATACCCTTCTCTCACTTCGTTCGTTTCAGGGCATTTGTTTCCTGTTTTGACGGTAATAAGGCGAGCCGCACAAAACCTGAATACGGTGTATGATCATGTATTATACAGGTTCATAACTAACCATTCCCCCCACTTGTCTCTCCCCGCAGATCCCGCATTCCTCCCACCACACGTGAGCATTTAAGACGTATGTCATTAACTGCAGATCCTGTTTGAATATAACAGCCACGAATACCAGAAACCGTATAAGTCTGCTGACCCTTCTATTACGAAGGTAGTTCTTAAGCGTACCCAAAGGCTTGTCTAGACCACGACTTAGCTAGGCTTTATGACGCAATACAAACCCTCTAAAGAGCAAAAGAAATAATCGGAGTAAAGTGCGTACGGTGCCATTTTATTCTGGGCCATTGGAAGAGAGTAGGGGTGGCGAATTTGGCGACCGTGGCTTGGTAACCGTAGCTCAACGAGCTGGATGACTTTGGAAGTGATTTGTCGGACCTAGGAGTGGGTCAAGTCCTATAAACGTGATTTGATGTAGCACATACGACATTACCACGGAGTACAGTATCCTTTTGCATGATATATTTCCTAGCAGTACCGTGGCGCCGTCGGGGCGTTAGGCTGTCTAGTTTTACCGTATGCAATCAGCAATACTTGCTTAGCTCTTTGCGCTACCCTTAAGCTTATCATTATGGGCACACTGATCTTTGATTTAAGTCCTGAACGAACCGCTTTAATGCTGAGTTGACGTTATCTTGTAGTCTGAAACTCTTGTCCGATGCATTTTCATTTTTTCTTGTTTGTGTCGGGGTCTAATAGGTCGCAAATTAATACGATTAGATAAGAACCTAGTTTCCGAATAGGTAGGGTGCCTCGGGAAGCAATCTGCCTGTCCTAGTTTCTGTCACTCAATCGAAGATAAACCGGCTACAAAATTATGTGCTTCCTTGTTTTCCAAAAATTCCTTTCCTTTCTAGATCCAGTACAGTTATTAGATTATTAACCTCTATTTTGCACATAAGTAGGGTTTAGAGAAGCTAAGACTTTAGAAATACTGAATTTACGCAAAGTATTCAATGCACAAGAATTGAACTTATCTAAACCTACTCATGAAATCACGCTAGGTAATACCTACTCTTGATGAAATTAAGGCGTAGATATGCCCTTAGCACGCAGTGTAGGCGCTACGATGTTTCGATCACGAGTGGCCTTGTGACTACGTGTCTAAGGGATATGATCGGAGAACTAGTCAGAGGTTCAGTGGAATACTTGGTTAGTGGTTGGTCGGACCATTGGTAGGTAGGTAGTTAAGAGGATATCTAGAAGAGAGGAATGGGCTAAGTTACGGTATTGGTATAATTAGGACAGTCTAGTAGTCAGCTGGAAAAGGTATTAGTCATGAACCAAGGGTGGATAACTATACAACGCTAATATTGTTATTGTTATTAAGGTTAACCTTAGCGGAAGATCTATAGTGGCGAGAACATTCGATAACGAGAGTAAATTTACAAAACTGTGTACCTCGGTTTGAAATATCTAAGATTTGAGTTCTTTTCCGGGCGTGGACTACTCTATTACGCAATAAAGCTGTTGAACCGTACAATTTTGCTAGTTATGTTGAGGTCAAGGTAATGTTCTAGACACTAGTTCGGATGGATCTAGGTCCGATAGCGAATACTTAAGGCTGGTCGTGGTCTCAATTTCTCACATGCTGTAACTTCTGCTAAGGTATCTACCTAGGTCAAATCCAATTTCCACTTTCTCTACCTGGCAAAATGCATTTAAACTCTATCCTGATTGCAAGCGCTTTTGCTTGTCTTGCTATATCATTGCCATTTGAAAGTGAAGATCTTTCCGGAAGACAATCAGGCTCTAGCTCTCAATGCTTCTGTTGCAGTGGCTATATTGTCAAAAATATTGCAGGAACTCAGTGCTCCGTTCATGAACGTAAGCAGATACCACCTAGAGGCTGGATAGTTATCTTTCTGACTTGTCGCTCCTTTCAGATAACACTTGTCCGATAGATAGCTCTTGTAATCCCGATCAAAGGCCACTCAATTGTGCCAAAGGCGCTATTATTTGGCCACCAAATACGGTAAGGGCAATTATTTCCCTATTCAAATTCTATTATTCTATTAATGTACTAAAAAAACTCAACACACCTCTAGGGACCTGCCTCCGTCGTTTGTAAATCGTGATATATGGACCCAGCGACGGAAGATGTTGCTTAAAATGTGTTTGCCTAAAAGTGGTTATAATTGCCAAAACTACAGTACACATTATCTACTTGCAGCTTTCGTATATTCCAGTTCTATGAGCCGAATTTTCCGTCATGTACAAGCGGATGTGCCTTCAAGCATCTGGCCCTAGGGTATGACTAACGTCCTCTACAACTAACTAACGTAATCCACGGCCGAGCGGATACCAAAAACACTATACCAAATGTGATAAATTTCGTGCTCCAAAGCATTTACGATCACGTACGAACCCTTCGATCGACACAACTGCATCATCAGCACACGCCCACGTTCGATCAGATTCCTATCGAGATCCGTTGGATCCCCGCACACGTGGGCGTGCCCGGCAATGAGACCGCTGACGTTGAAGCAAAGTTAGCGGCGACGGGAGGGGGAGTGGAGAACGGAGCGGATCAACCCTACCCCGAGGGGTCCGCCGGTCGAGTCCTTCTAGCAGCGACCGCAAAGCGTCGAGTGCGGCGGCGCATTAAAGAGAGATGGGCACAAGAGTGGGCAAAGGAGCGAACTGGCAAGCCGAATCAGCGGTTAGTCAAAGCTCCAGACAAGAAGGTGCTTCGGCTATTCGAATCGCTGTCGAAACCGTACACCTCAGTGCTGATTCAGATGCGGTCAATGCGCATTGCGCTGAATCACTTCTTATTCAAAATCAAGGCGGCCGACTCAGATGAGTGCTACTGCAGCGAGGGGTCTCAGACACCGAGACATATCCTCATGCAGTGCCCGTTGTACGCTGATCTGAGGAAGACCTTCCTTGACAAGATCCGGATGACCGATCTTGGGGATTCGACGGATTATGATGCAATCGTATCACACTCGCAGGCCACCCGCTACGTGGCCGAATTCATGCTTCAAACAGGCCTCCTGGGACAGTTCCGGCACGTTGAAATCGAGCCAGAGCCGCCGAATGGAGGCAACGAAAACGATCTACCAGGATGATCTGGTAACGGCACAGGGGGTGAAGACGCTGGGTAGGAGGAACGCCAAACCCACGGCCAACCGAGAGGTCGTGGAAGAATACATCCAACATCAACAACGAACGCCACTAATCGAGAACGAAGCAGGAGGATGATGCGGACACCGGAGAGGGAAAGCAGGGATGGGGATGCAGAGGAAGCAGCAGACGAATGTGAGGGCGGATTGAGAGATATATAGTGGGATTGAGGGCTCTGAGGGCGTTTTGATACTGTTTTGGACTGATTTTTGGGCTGATTTACTTGGCAATACGCCGTTTTCCTTTGTATTTACTGTTTCATGCGCGGGTCTGGCGTTCGGATCACTCTTGCTTCCGCCGGAGGGAGCGCCTGCATAGCCATTACGCCACTAGTTAGGTTGCAACAGGTTAATAGAGTGTTGATTGATTGATTGATTGATTGATTGAAATGTGATAAATTACAACTTCATTTCTTAACAACCAGATGAATTTATAATTTATCAACAATGTGATAGCTACGGTGTACTTGGAAATGGGCCAATTAGGCCAACAGAATCAAAAAAGGAAGGGTTGATATTGAATTGATTGATTGAAGAGAAACATGATATGAGGGCGCTCATAAGGGTTGAAATACCCATGAGCTTACAGTATAACGAGGATCCTCGGATGTTACAAATCCGGGATGCCTAATAGCAACAAATTTGTGTTGGGCAGACATACTTTATCGTTATCTCATGCATGTAGGTAGTTGTCACACTGTAGTACAGTTTGATACTTTCCTGCGTACTACCATACAACCCTGGAACAAATCCTCTGATACGGAATTAGCCGTATGAGGTTTAGCGCATCAGGTGGTTTAAAACTGTATCTATTTGTTTCCAGATATAGAAGGCAATAACGGGCGGCACTCTACCACACACTTTCATTCTTATCCTCTGCCACTTGTCTTGTCTCTCATGGAGGCCAAGGTAAGTGCGTAGCAGGTGGATTTTTCTTTGTTTTTCCGTCTTTTCCTCTGATCTTTCATCATTTCTTGCCATCTTTGTTTCCTCTTCTCTTCTCTACACAGTTAGTCCAACGGTGAGTCTTTCCTTTGTCTTTCCTTCTTGTTCTCGTTCTTGTTCGTCTCTTTTTCTCATCTTCTTTCTTCATCATTTCCTGCCATGTATCGCTTCATCTTCATCTTCTTCTTCATCATCATCATCTTCTCATCTCATCCTCTTCCATCGAGACACAGGTGAGTCCGTAGCAGGTGGGTTTTTCTTTGTCTTTTTCTTTGTCTTTTTTTCTTCTTTTCTTCTTCTTCTGCTTTTGTCTTTTTGCTTTCTTCGTTTTTTTTAATCTATCTTGACATTTATTCTTTCGCGATTTACCCCAGCGACGAGTTCCAACCTTGACGTGGTGCTGGGGCTCAGTAGTCCCAGTCTTGACTTTGGTCGGACAAGGGATGAAGCCAAGAGGAACTCACTCCCCCATCTTGTTTCCCCTTCTCCCTTCTCTGTTTTCATTTTCTTTGTTTCTTCTCTTGTCACTCTTTTCTGTCTGTCCATGTTCGGGGTGGAGAAGTTGGGTGTTGCTTCGGCCGGGTCTTGTTCAGAGTTCGATGTTGCATCTTGTTTCTCTGTCCTGTCCTGTTTGACGGTTGACTTGTGAGAGTACTGTAGAGTAGATCTTGAAAATGCAAATCTTTTTGTCTCGGGAATTTCTTTCCATTGGTCTTTGTAGATGGAATCTCCAATGTCTCGGTAGAACTCGAGTATATGCGTAGACTCGGATCATCATGGAGGACTTGGCCGTCGCGACGGGCGTTGCGCATGAGGGCATGAAGAACGCGAACAAAGGTATGCAAATGAGGTCGAGGGATATCGAGAACAATCGCCCCGACATTCCAAAGAGGAACGAATACTCAGCGAATGGACTACATTAAAGCGCTCTTTTCAGAATGATCGTCGTCAGAATAGCATTTTACAGTCATATATACAAACCAAATCCATCCGATCCTCATCTTCCACCTTACAACTCAACCTGCACGGCAATCATATTCTCCGACAAAAACCCCGTCACAAACAACCAAGCCTTCTTCATCCCATCCTCCGGCTCAACAGGAACCAAAACCGCGGCACTAGCACTCCTAATCCTCTTCCCATCATCCTCAAACAACAACCTCTTCTCCCAGGCCTCCTCCCCACCAGACCCAGACCCAGGCTTCGCATACCAAACCTGCACCGCCTCCAACGCATCCGGATCCCGGCCCGTCTGCGGGAGATAAAAGCCCTGCGAAACACCCGCAACGACAAACCCGCTCGCATCATGCTTAGCACTCGCATACGGATCGACGTAGTAACTCGGGTTATCAGTCACAGTGTTGAAGACGATGGTGTCATGGACGGAAAGTGTGTTATTCTCGTGTCGCGTTGCAAGGTATAATTCACCGCCGATAGCGCTGGTAATAACAATTTCGACATCAGAGCGGGCATGTCCGAGACCGTTGTTATTCCATAGTCCGCTGTAAGCGACTGACGCCGTTAGCGAGGACGTTGCGTCTGCGACGTTTTCTAGCTCGTGCAGCTGGACGTGGATGATATTCGACCATTTCGCGGATGGCCAGACATCTTCGACTAGGCGGAGGAATCCGCTGCGGTAGAAATGGTCGTTTGTTACGTAGAGCGAGTTCGGGCTGTGGGCGTAGATGTCGTTGGGGGTTTGGATGAGGGGGTGTCTGATTGAGCGGACGTGTTGAGCGGTGGAAGAGTGGAGGATATGGTGGAAGAGCTCGATTTGAGATCGTGCTGCTGGGATATCTGGTGTGTTGGAAGTGGAAGTAAAGTCCGGGTTTGGCAGGTGGTTGACAGCGAAGATGTAGACTGCAGATGGATTTTGGGGATCTTCGATGACGTCGATGCCATGGGTGACGAAGGGGCCGTTGAAGTTTTCCAGCTCTAGATGGGTGGACTTGAAGGTCTGGTATTGATTGATAGAGCCTGTCAGTATATTTCTCTGCTGTAGTCGGATCTGATCTCTGGACCTCGGCATCGTAAAGACGATAATGATAATCCCTGTCACATACCTTCGGATCAACAACATGAATAGATCCCCGACCAGCAGCTGCTTTAGTGTCCAAATGGCCCAGACCGGGGAACCAGCCGAAGCGGGTATCTTTCAGATCCTCGCATGCCGCGAACAGCAGATTGGCGGGGCGATAGTGGTGCAAATCTTCGCAATGAATTGTATCCTCAATGACGATGGGACCCTGGCTTGCGCCCAGTACAGTCAGATTGGGCGTTAGGAAAGGACCACCGATTTTGATCATATGGACAACAGCCGGTGCCAGTGTGGCTACCAGAATGGCAAATAGGCCTAGAAAGGCCGAACTTAGGAGTCCCATTGCGGCGTGGATGTTGTCGTAGCCAGACTAAGGGAGAGAGAAGTACCTAGACTGGAAGACGGTAGTTAGTAGTTAGTGAAAAGTCGTACAACGAAGGAAGGAGGAGGGGAAATAGCTACTCCATGCCAAAGCGTGGGGAAGGTTTGGGTAGGTTCCATTCCCCTCTCGAATGTGAAGAGCCTGGCCGACTCGATAAAAAATGCCTCGGTCTTATTTCCACACTGTTGTGTTACAGCAACATCGTCATTGGTGGCTACTCTTGGGCCGTGGGGGTAGAATACTGTGGTAGTGCAGTAATAATGTGGAGTCAGAGCGGGTCTGAAGCCCCAACCGAGTCAGAACTTAAAAGTGGATGAGTTGGGTAAGAACTATGGATTGGCCTGTTACAAAAGTCAAAGTACATGAAAAAGAGCAAAGAATGCATTGGACTATCTGGAGCAAAGTGTCAAGGTAGCGGAGATGATCTTTTCAGGGGTCTTGCACCCGGGGCAGCGTGAACTTGTCAAGGTGGCGCCCCTGCGGAAGAATGGTTGGACAGTGGAAAAAGCTAACGATCAAGTAAGAAAAGTGATTCGAACAGTCAAATTCAAAAAGAAGATCTGGAAAAAAAAATAAAGTCATTATCGACGCTGGCCATGGCAGAAGTGGCCCAACGTGGGTTTGTGTTTAGGCAAAGAAATAAGAATTAATGGCAAGAAAAAAGAAACAAAAGACCAAATCCGAAACTTTCCACCTTGCAATTTGCCGAGTCCATATCGTGTCATAAAAAGTCAGGCAGCAAGCCTGTGGTACAAAGATGCGAGCGAGCTGTCTAGTGAATAGACTGCTTGGCCTCCAGGAACTCCTGATCGCTAGCATCGAGGACGTCATACTCCTCATCGGTCAGGAAGCCAGCGTCAGTGGAGACGTCATCCAAAGTGAGGCTCTCGACATCTTCCAGGACATCTGCCTCCGAAGCAGTCGATTCGATCGCAGCCCGATCGGTCGATACGATATCTTCATGGAGGCTAGACTCGGGAGACTCCTTCTCCAGTTTGGGGAAGATCATGCCACTACCGACAGTTTCGGTGCTAGCAGCGGAGGACTCGGACTCGGCGGGCTCCTCAACGACCTTCTTGACCGGCTCAACGACCGAGGGGGTGGGAGAGACGACACCCTGCACCTGAATATCGCACCACAATCGGTGGCCAATAGGGACACCGTTGGGAAGCTTGAGACGCCAGTACGAGATGGCGGTGCCCTCACGGCGAGGGGTGCGAAGGGTCACGGTGAAATCGGCGCTCTGTCCGGGACCCAGAGGGGTAGTGAGCTTGTTGCTCTCCATAGCACAGCGGATAGACTCAACGCTCGATGGGTGGCTAGAGTCCACGTTGAACATGGTGTCTCCGCCGACGAAGCGGACATCACTACCAGCCGGCCAGGCAAGAGGGCCAGGGTTGAAGAGAGTCCACGTCTGGCGGAAGATAGTGTTTGGAGGCAGCTTGGTGCCATCGGCGATCGCATCGCGAACAAAGTAAGCCTTGTAGCTGCTCGAGTCTTCCTCCTTGATAGCCTCGGGTGCCTCGACAGCGGGGACCGGGTGGTAGGGAGCAGGCCAAGCTGGCTCAGGCTTGGTGGCCTCCACCTCTACGGGAGACTGCTCGACAATGACAGGCTTCTTCTCCTCGACGTTCTCATGCAGAGGAGCCGGGGTGTCGACGGGGACACGAGGCTGGTCACCCAGAGAAACGTGGCCAGTGGAATTCTCATCCTCGGTGATAGTGCTAACAGTGACGGTGCGCACGGGGGTCTTGAACTTGATCAAGGGGTGGGTGCGGTTGTGCTGGTGACTGGGGTGGGCCTCGCAGCTCGCGCAGAAGTCAACGTCGTCACAGACGGCACACTTGTAGCGAACGCCGGTAATATAGCTCTGAGCAGGCTTGTCATTGCACAGCGGGCCATCACAGAAGATGCCAAAGTGGACCTCAGAGTCACGAGGCAGATCACCAATAGCTTCGTAGATAGGGGCGAAGCGGTGTCCAGGGTGGTCCTGGTCGGCCTTCTGGACGCAAGAGGCGCAGTAGTCCCAGTCAGGGCAAGACAGGCACTTGTGGCGGGTGCCGACGATACGCTAGAAGTAGTCAGCATGTGTTCCGCCAGAAGACAAATATATGGCTTGGGTAAGAAGAGTATTTACCTTCTCACATCCATCACAAATGGCAGCGTGCTTGAACTGGCGACCGGGGAGACAGCGAGACATGATCAAGTTCTTCAGGCAGAAGTTGCGGTCCGAGCCAAGCGAGAAGGTGTGGGCAGGGTGGTGGCCGTGCTTGTTGCGCAGCAAGCAACGAAGGCAAAGGTCGTAGTCCTCGCAGTCATTGCATCGCACCAGGTTGCTCTCATCGACTTCTGTATTTGATATTAGCCCTGTTCATAATGGCCGTTAATAGAAGAGCCTATATTAGAACATACCACGACAGCATCCATTGCACATAGGGTTTTCATCACCCGGAACACTGCCCTGGGCGGCGACATCAGACCGGGCAGCAAAGCCAGGAATGAGAGCGGCCTCCATCTCCGAAACGCGTTCAGTGGTGGGAGCCGTGGGAGCCTTGTAACCTGGGCAGTGCTTTGGTAGCTGGAGATTGATCGGTTTCTCCTCCTCCTGCTGCTGCTGCTGCTGCTGCTGCACAGGAGCAACTGATTCGGTGAGTTCGGGAGTCTCCTGAGCTTGAGTATCCTGGGCCTGAGCCTGAGCCTCACTCTGAAGTTGACGAGGGGGAATGGTCTCGGTCGTGCTGTTGGTCACGATGCCGTTCACCACCATTCTCTTAATCAGCCAGTGGCCATCGCTACGGCACGAAGCACCCGCCTCGATGCACTGCGGGCACACATCGTAGTCGCCGTATTCGCAGATACTGCAGTGATAGTGCTCGTTGGCAATAGATCGACCACAGTTGTTGCAGTCAATACAAAACATGCCGTTGGGGGAGCTGTGAGAGATGACAGGGAAGCGAATCTTGTCGTCGGCTTCAAAGTCGCGGTAGCGAGGAGGCTGCATGGTTGTCTGCGTCGACTGAGGCTGGAAGGCGTCGATTTCGATAGAGGTGGTCGCCAGCTCAGATGTGGCGGGAAGGGTCTCGGGGTGAGCCATAGGGATCGGTGAGCTGAGAACAGTCTCAAGGTAGCTGTATCGAGGAGGGCTCTGAGAGGATGGCTCAGGGATAGAGAAGTCTGAAGGCCCTGGTGCCAAGGAAGCGACCACAGTGGCCTTGATACGCAGCTTGGACTTGGCTTTGGCGGCGCGGTAGAGTTGTTTGTAGACGGAGGGGTTCGATTCGTCTAGAAAGATGTAGTTACCAGCGCTGTCGGAATAACGTTCGAAGATGACGTTGACATTTGCCGGAACGCCGAGAAGCAAGCGGAGCTAACCCCAAGAGATCAGTTAGTCAACATGCAACCGCAATCGGCCAAGTATTTGGGATGTGAGGCCATATATTATCAATACGGATCCAGTGAGTGTTACAACCACCGTCGAGTCATCGATCATGGGGATCACCAAGCGGATCATTGGGATAAGGGAACCCGGGACGGACTGGAGGTCCGGTCGGAGCTTGAGTGGAGACAAGATAGCTTACCTTCTGGGGCAGAACCTGAGCCTGGAGGTCCTTCAGAGGTAGCTTAAAGCGGCGGTTGCTGTCGTTGTAAAAGACCTTAATGGAGACTTGATGGTCGGGGCCTGGGTGTGATGGGAGGGCTGGTGTAGCCATGATGCAAGAGATGGGGGAGGAGGATGTGGAGGCGGAGGTACAAGGCACTAGGCACTAGCAGAGAGATAAGGAATACGGATACAGCTTAGGGAAAACAGAGTTCAGTACGAGATAAAGGGGACCAAGAGTGGGAGAAAACGCGGTCGGCGAAGAGGATGATGAAGGGAAGTTGAAAATACGAAAGGAAAGTGAAGAGTCAGAAGTAGAAGGATGGCGAGTGAACAGCACGGTTGAGGGAGAACCACAGATCCGAGCAGGCAGAAGAGCGTTGTATGATGGGGGGAAGAAGGTCAGCTGCTCAGCTGCCAGTGGGCGGTGTAAGATTAGGTAAGTGTCAGGTGGGGTCACGCCTATACACGACGGTACAGATTATGGAGACGTACTGTTCATGGCAACAGAGTAGTACATAGTACATGCATGCTGAAACCTTGGAGAAGAGGTTCTTAATAATCATTGGGCAGATTATTGGGAGATTACTGGGGCAAGTAGTCACGAAGTAAATAAACACCTGGAAGAGGATCTGATTTAGATACAGTCCCCATCATCCCCCACCGGCTTTATTGCTACCAACTACGTCATCATATACTTAGAAGACTACATGGACAATAACACGAGTATTCTGCAACGTATGGAATACTTTTTTGTTGGTAAGTAAATGAGGTCATGCAAGTTGCAGCAGGGCCTAGATCATGCAAAGTGATCGCAGAGAGATCAGAGAGGGGAAAGAGGAGCTGGGCGGGTTTTGCGGGGATATGAGAAATGAGGGGAGAACGCTCAAATGCATCCGAATGATAATCCAAGTCTAACGACCGTCGCCAAGACATACAAAAAAGAAGAACATGTCAAAAAACAAGAGAAAAGGCCAAAAAAAAGAGGTAGAAAATGACGAAGAAGGAGGGAAATTAGGGCGAAAAGGGGATGGAGAAGCACCATAGAAAAGAGGAGAAAGGAAAACAAAAAGGAACAAGGAAAAGAAGAAGGGACCATGCTCCTTGAGGGGAAGAAAGGACGGGCGTCATGTCATCCAGCAGCGAACTGAAACCACTGCAGGTCAGTCCAATCACTGCGGTCCATAATACATGCCTCCCCCGGCCCCAGGCGGTTGTGGATAGTAATACGTGGTACCCGGAGGCGTCATCATGCCTCCCATCCCCACAACTCCTCCAGGCCCCTGCCCCGGGCCTTGACCTCCGTAATTACCGCCAGGGTACATCTGGTTGGCATCATAGAAGTACACCGTGCCACCCGATTCATGAGCCACGGTACCAGGCTGAGAGGGTTGTTCTCCCGATGACTGGGTAACAACATACGGCATGGGCTGTTGAGAAGGAGGAAAATTAGGCATTGAAACACCCGGTCCCATCGGTCCATTGTACGGGGGATACTCAGGACCAGATCCAGGATAATACATGGCACCAGGAGGGTAGCCTGGGTAATATCCCGGCGGTTGATAACCGTATGGTTGGAAGGGCTGGGCGTGAATCGCCCGCTCGGGAATCTGTGAAAGCGGAGTTCCTGAGGCCTGGCTGGGCGGACCCTGCGTCATCTGGTCTTGACCGGGGCCAGCAACAGGAATAGGAACCTGGTGGTGGAATGGCTGTTCCTGCTGAGGTTGAGGCGGGTTGAATGGGAAGCTGGCGGGGCTCTCGATATCGGCCACCGATACAGTCTTTTGAGGGCGTGGTTGATGCATGGGGATAGGTGCCGGGCGGCTTTCACGATAAGCAAAGTGTGGGAATTGCATGGGCGGCATAGGTCCTAATGGCATTCCAGCTCCAGGTCCGGTGGGCGGCATGCCAACGGGAGGACGTTGCGGAGGTGGCAGGCGAACGACGGGTTTACTGGCATCGGGAACAACCATGGCAGGCCGTGAGTACACCGAGCCTGCCGGTGACGGGTAGCCATCTTGGGAGACGGACATTCCAAGCGAGGATCTTCTGCTGACGCTGAGAACGCTGGGGGTGTAGGAGTTGTAATAGCTAGGTCGTCGGCCAGGGTAGAAACCACCGCCTCGACCCCGACCTCGGTAGCCCTGCTGGTTCGGTCGCAATGCACGGGGAATAAAGATGAAGGAACGCTCAGTAGATGGGAAAATGTAACGAGGAGGCTGGCCAGGAAGCGAGATTCGCACCGGTTTGTCACGGCGCAAGGGAGGACGATGTTGAGGGAGACGAGTATGCTGCTTTTTGGGCACCGCCGGGAACTGCTTGGGTTGTGGCATACCCGGTAGGAAGACAACAACCGGCACATTGCCGATCAAGGTAGTGCTGGAGAACGAACGATTCGGAGGCTCAGATCGAGGGGCGGTCGGGACATTCGCAACCGATGGATATGGTCCAGCTGCGGTAGACACCGGCTTAGGTGCTGGGTTCTCACCAGCAACTGTCTCGTGGAGGTCATGTGTCCATTGTCCTTCGCTTGCGTCGGGCTTGGAGGTAGAGTTTCTAGAGATATATCAGCAAATGTCACAGGATATTCGTAGCTCGGGTTAACCCGTACTTGCGAGAGTTCCCATCTACAATGAGCCCGACAGGCCTCGACTTTCCCTTGTTGAAGGGACGGTGGTTGTTCGGTCCCGCCTCTGACGTCCGCTTGTCGTGCAAGAAGAAACTTCCCCGAGTGGGCACAAAGGCCGGGTTTTGCTCTCGCTCCTTCACGTATTTCTCATGCTCCCGGCGTTTCCTTGCGGCCAAGGTCTCGCGCTTGGGTTCCGTGGGCGGAGCAGACGGTGTTCGGCCCGTTTGAAGGTCTCGCTGTTCCTCCATCTGGTCGAAACTGATCTCATCACCATCGTCAGACAACTTGAGTCCATTCAACATTGCTTCCGTGTCGGAGACTGTCATCTTCAGTGCTGGTTTTCTAGGTAATGCCGAGCTGTGTCGTTCAGTCTGACCCGGGTTCCGGCCGTTGACCTTTCCGTCGTTGAGCTTGTCCGTATCCAGCGTGGTCGAAGCTTCCTCGTCGCTTTCGCTAACTTCTCCATCGGCGTCTTCGTCTTCCTGGTGACTGTCGACTGAACCCTCGCTCAAAGAGTCATCGTCCATCTCTCCAACTTGTGAGCCCTCATCCTCGCCCTCATCGTCCCGTCTCTTCCTACGACTTGCTCCGATGTGGCGTCGAGCGGGAGCCATAGTTTTGGATATTGGTGATTTCTTGTAGAAGCCGTAGATCAGCCCTACTGGCGCAGGTTTGGCGTTAGAGCCAGCCAACCAGGAAGGGGTGGGCAAGGTGGAAGTGCGGCGAAGTGTAGTGGGCGTAGCGGCAAGGATGATAGATCAGATGACGGAATCAGAAGGAAGAAGAAGGATATGGTTCAAGAAGTACCTCACCAGGATGATGAAGTGAAGAGAATGAGAAGAGCAAGGGGGATGAGAGAAGGAGATGCAGGCCGTACAAGATGCGAAGCAGATATTCCACGAAAGGGCATGACATCGCAAAGAGACGTCACCCCCAATCGGGCTAGCTTAGGGCGGTGAGGGGGTTTCTGCCCGACCAATCTAGATCTACATGTTTCATCTTACTTTTCAGACATAACAAAGCTGTTTTGTTTCTTCATAACTATCTCAGAATGAACTAGTATGTGATCTCTCTTTCTCGAAACCTAAAAGGAACACACCATATGGTTCATGCAGGTTGGTGTGCCCGTTCCCGAAAGAAAATGCAGTGTGGATCGTGAATTTACTAGCGCATGCGACACCCTTGATTGATAACGCTTAAGACGCATACAACAACGAATCATTCCAATTCGTACACAAAACACAAAACATAAATTCTTTTTTCACCGAGGGGTATCTGCGAGTCCGACCACTAACCCTGAGGGGCTTGTATGGATATCGATGCCACGTCAACATAACTGTACACCGCATAGCAGATCGTTGCTTAACAGAGTCTCTACAACAAAACCATCTCAAGACGCCTGCAGAAGAGCTGCAATAATGAACCAGCAAAAATACATAATGAGAACACTTTCCGAAAGCCCAACTTGCATTATGTGGCAAACCACTAACAAAAAACGCGGAACACGCTGGTCACACATTTAGTCAAAGGTGACCTTCTTACCCTGGGCTTCGACAATGGCACCACTGAGTCGTTGCACAGTCTCTTTGGAGTACCGTGACTCGTCAATGGATGGCCGCCTTTGCTTGCGAACTCGGGGCTGTTGCTCCGCCGGCTCAGCACCCTCCTCAGTAATTGCTGGTTGACCATTCTTCTTTCCTTCGCCATCCTTGCCAAAGCGCTTCTTGTATCGTGTTTGCGCATCCTCAGCAAACTCCATTCTCATCCGGCGGCCCAGGAGCTGGTTCACCCAGATTCGACGTTGGTACTTGGACTTCTTCTGGACCTTCTTCTTTGGCTTCTTGCTCTCTTCGTCTGAGTCAGAGCTGTCGTTGGACTCCTCTTCCTCTTCTTCATCCTCCTCCTTCTCCGTCACAAAGCCTCTCACCGCTGCTTCTGCGGAGGCAATTTCTTCGAACTCCACCCAAGCATACCCCTTGCATTTGCCTGTGTCCTGGAAGGTCGCCATATGCACATTGTCCACGGTTCCACACCTAGCGAAATGCTCCTCGAGAGATTCCTTCGTAACGTCGAAGCTCAGGTTGCCCACGAAAATGCGGCGGGAAGGAGGATGGCCGGGCTTGGCCGAGGCAGCACCGTTAGCCTGCTCTGCAGTCTTCTCGGGCCGACCTTCGAAGCTGTTCGCATTCTTGATCAGCACTCGGCGACCTGTAAGCAGTTGCTCGCTGAGAGCAATTGCCTCCTCCAGAGCCTTTTTGGTGGAAAAATCAACGTAGGCAAAGCCCTTGTTCTGAGGACGCCCAAACTTCTCGGGACCCTTGGGCATGTGCACTCGTGTAATCGTATCATTGTCAAAGGAGCAACCGTCGATGAAGAATTGGCGCAGGTCGTCCTTGGTAGTGTTGAAGGACAAATTGCCGATCCAGACTCCAAACTCAGAGCGCTTCTCCGGGTCTTTAGATTCGGCCTTCTCAGTCTTAGGCTTCTCAGTATCCTTCTCGGTATCTTTGGCCTCTCCGTCGGTCGTCTTTCCCTTCTTTGCCTTTCGTAGGGCTTTCTTCGATGGCGGCTCCGGCGCAGAAATATCGATCTCAAGTTCGGGGCCGTCTTGCAGCTTGCGCTTCTTATGGCTGGGATCGGCGACTTCGGTCATGGTGACGGTTGGGATGAAATTCGCACCAGTGGATATCTAAAAAAAAATTCTTCGAGGTTTGTGAACGGTTCGAAAAAAAAATTGCGGACTCAAGACTTGACAGAGATCTCCGGGTCGCCGCTAAGCAAATTTTTACGGCGGCCGGGAGATACTAATTGCGCAAGCCTGACATCCGTGCTTAGCGCGCCTTGTAACTTGCCCCGGCCTTTCTCTTCCCTTCAAACCCCAGCAATCTCATATCCTCCCGACGGTCTCCTTCTTGCCATCGAGGCTCCAATTCCGCCATGGCCGACGAAACAACCGACTCCAAGCCTCTCTCGGAGACTCTGCCCGACGCTCCAGAAGCTACCCCTGCTAAGCAGTCGGTGCACTCTTTCAAGTACGACATCTTGACAGCGTTGGGTGAAACGTCAGGCTAACTGTGTTCTCTAGAAAGAAATATGCCAAGTTGAAAATGAAGTTCACCAAGCAAGAACTAGAAAGTGAGGCTCTGATCCGAGAAGAGCTCCGCATCGAAGACCTCTCCAAGCGCATCCAAGAACAGAACGAGTAAGCTACGCCTCGTTTCGATCTATTGCAACGAATTGAGTCGCGTGCTAATCCAGCTGCAGCCAATTGCTTGAAATCCTCCTCGAGTTCAATGAAAGTCTCCATGTGCCCCCGTCTCTACGCTACGACTTAAGCATGCCCGATGACGCCCCTTTCCTTCCACCCGCTGAACAAGAGATCGCGCCCCTGATCAATGACGCGAAACTCGCCAGAACAGCACTGAAGGAAGCCAAATCTGAATTAGCCAACGGCACCTTTTCGACAAGTGCTTATCGACAGGTGGAAGAGAGCGTCAAGCGGAACAAGGAGTTTGCTCCGGCGATGCAGTACCAAAAACTGATCCAAATTCCTCACACTGCCGCCAGCACTCCAGATCAAGAACAAGGATCCAATGGTGTCAAACGCACACTCGGATATCTCACACCCGAGCGTGAAACCGAGTACTACCTAGCACTAGACGCCAAGCTGGGAGACGAGACAGCCATAGCGCAACTCGCGCGTATTCCCGATCCGCCCACATTTGCCGAGCGAGAGCGAGAGGCTGTACTGCGAAACCCCGCGTCGGTGTACAACTGGCTGCGACGCAATCAACCACAGGCCCTGCAGGAGCATGAGGTCGCGTCGGAGAAGTCTACGTCACGCCCGTCTAACGCGCGCTCCTCGAAGCGGGCGCCTGCCCAGCGCAAGGAAGAGGAAAACCTCGACGAGGATGGGATGGAAATGGAGCCTACACCGAAGAACAAGCGCAAGCGTGATGAGGATGCCGGGTACAGACCCAAGGGGGGCAACAACCGTTCGAAGAAAAAGAAGGATGAGCCTGCTGCTGCTAACAACCGCAGTGCCAAGAAGGCTTGAGAGGAAGCATCGGCTTCATAGCAATCTCTCTCTGGCTCTTTTCAATCTTCTTTTGATGTATTAATATGGCATTTGCATTGGGTTTTTCTGCTGGCCTTGGAATATGATATGAATTTAAAAAGATATGAGTGTTTCAGTCCATTCAGTCCAGATGACAGGCCCATTTCCAATCTAATATTCAACATAGCTTCGAGGTATTTTCTTCTTCATCCAGTACATTACTTGGTCTATTAAAGGGGAATAGTTAATCAATGTACAAACTTATTCAAAGTTGCAATTCCAAGTTTAGTATATACTTGGGGCTCATAGTGGAGACGGTCACGTGAATACAAGAAAGTCTCGGACCTTATCCAACACCTTCAAATCCTCTCAACAACACATTTTCCTTCCAATCCACACATAACCCTACACGATGGGTATCATAATTCTACCTCCGGTAGTGGAGGATATCGTTCCACACCATGACGAATCTGACGATTCCATGTCCGTCGACTCAGACGAAGACGTTGAAATGAGCGGCGTGCGGGCACCAAAGCGGGCCCGCATAGGAAATCAGATCGTGTCGACCGGCGTCGTCACACCAGGAGAAGTGGTCACAGATGATCCGCAATGGATGAGGTTAGTGGTTCCCAGGTCCTGTGCGGAGGTTCCTCACAGCTTTTCAAGCTTGTCTCAGTCCTTCTGAGCTAGATTCTTGAACCCGTCGATCTAGTAATAAATTCTACAACAGAACTAACCTACTCGCAGAGGTCATGGCACATACATGACCCCCCTCTCGACCTCAATTATCGCCACTGTCGCCGGTACAGTCCACAAAACCAATAAGCTCCTTTCCGTCCACCCCCTCCGCGCCCGCTACACACCCGAAATCGGTGATCTGGTCATTGGCCGCATCGTCGAAGTCCAGTCCAAGCGGTGGAAGGTCGATGTCGCCGCTCCACTACTCGCCCAGCTCCCCCTCTCCGCCATCAACTTGCCCGGTGGTATCCTTCGTCGACGAACGAGCTCCGACGAACTACAGATCCGTACCTTCTTCAGCGAGGGCGACCTGGTCGTTGCTGAAGTGCAGAGCGTACACCAAGACGGCTCGGCGTCGCTTCACACTCGGTCGTTGAAGTACGGTAAGCTGCGCAATGGCGTCTTCCTCGCTGTGACGGGAACTGGTGGTAGCGGGGCGTCTAGCTCTACCACGAAGGGTGGCGTTGGTGATGGGTCCTTGCGGCCTGGCGCTGGTAGTGGAATGGGTGGTGTTGTGCGATCACGGCGACAGGTGTGGACGGTTAACACGCATAATGGTGGCGGCGAGGTGGATGTTATTCTTGGAGTCAATGGGTACATCTGGATCTCGAAGCATGCCGATGGTGCGGCTGCGGCCTCGTCAACTACGGAGAATGTTTCTATTACTCGCATGGAAGAGATGGTGTCCACGTCGATCTACTCCAGCCAAAACGATGTGATCCCACCGCAGACCCGCCGGGAAATTGCCCGGCTAGCACAGTGTATCCAGGTTCTTGTACAAGGAGGTGTGCGGGTGGATGAGGAGACGGTGATGGGTGCGTACGAGGCTAGTTTGCAGGTGGATCTGGAGGTGGGCGATGATGAGGATGAGGATGAGGAGACGAAGCATGAAGGACGGGAATACTTGGAGGGTGCTAAATCACGGCGCATCTTGGAGTTGGTCTTTCAACATGTCAAGTAGGACGTGGTTGATGATTCGATTGATTCCATGATGTCCTCGTCGATTGTATGATTACGGCGGAGTTGGTGATACCCCCTCAAAAAGAAGTTCGACTGAATACGAGTAGTCTATGAAGATGTAAAAGATCCGAATCAGATAATGCTTGCCATATTTCATGCGATTCATACAGTATTGTTCTTCACTATGATAGGGTAACTAATTTCCTTGGAACCTGGTCATTTATAGTTTCGGCTTGTGGTTTTCCCCGCATTGACCGTCATTTACACTCGACAACTGGTGAACCGAGTTTTAACCTGGTTAAATTGTATCGAGTATAGTAAAGTATTGTAAACCCTTGTAAATCTTCGTAAACCTGGGAAACTCTCCAGTCAATTAATCATCTCGTCCATTATTGGCAGTCGCCTGTCTGCAGGAGGTTTCGCCTTGGGCATGTCCCTTTGGCTTTCCTGTCGTTTTTTTCTCTTCCCTTTCTTCCTCCCTTCACCTTCCCTCATCTCTCGAGATCACCCCATGTTTCTCCTGCAAGACGATGTACTATCTTACCCTTTCCATCGCCAGATTCCGCTTCGCCATAGCTCCATTCCAATAGGGTAATTTCGCCACCTGATTATATCCTCTTTTTACCTTTACTCTTTTACTACTCTCGAGCTTGAGGCTCACGTTCTTGTCCATCTTTTACTCTCACGCACTTCTTAACCCTCACCCGTAACGACCTCTTACCTCTCTCTCTTTCATCATGCCCGACCTTCGTCGCCAAATCTTCGAGAGCGGCAAGACCGTCTCGCGGAAGGCTGCTTCTCGTGAGGCCTCCCGCACCAATTCCCGCGCAAGCTCCAAGCAGACCTCCCGCCAGTCCTCACGTAATGCGAGTCGTCAAGCGTCCGATGAAGAGGACTCGGGATTCCTCTCCGATGATACTGCTCTGAGGTAAGTCCTATCGATACTCTTTGTTCATCTCCAATGAGCCCTCATTTGTGTCTCACTTTTTCTTTTTCTTTGTGCATTTCAAGTCCATCCCTCATGGTCCCACCCGTGGCGGGATGATGTCACCAAATATTTTTTCTTGCTTATCGGAGTAGCACTAACCCCTCCTAATCTATAGCATCGGCTCTCTCGACGACGAGAATCCCGAGACTGAAAATGTCGACTGGCCGCAGGAGCTGGCCGATCGCATGGCCGAGATCCTCGATCGCAAGCGTAGCAGCGTGCAGGGCCGCGAGGAGGCACTGTCGGCATTCTGCCGCCTAACCAAGTACCACTATGCAGAGGAGGAGACTCGCCCGTATATCACCGATCTGCTGAGTGCTTTCGCGAAGAGTATTCGCAGCGAGTCCAGTACCCGCGAGACGACCCTGGCTCTTCGTGCCATTGAGCTGCTTGTGATTACCTCGTGTGACGATAAGGTCTATGAGAATACCGAGTCACTGCTCACCCGCTGCATCCGTGACTCGACCTCCAATGCGGTCAAGGCGGCAGCAATCTATTGTCTCGGCGCTTGTACGAATTTCGGCGGTGCGGGCGAGGAAGGGATCCTCGAGCAGATGACATTCCTCCTGGATATCATTGCTTCGGACGGGCAGTCCATTGAAGCTGCTGATGACCCCACCAGTGTCACCGCCGCCCTGCATGTATGGGGCTTCCTCCTGTCTGAGGTAGACGACTTTGAAAGTGAGAGCGAAGAGGCAGTGCAAATCTTCATGGACCAGCTCGACAGTGGCGACTCTGGTGTTCAGATCGCTGCGGGTGAGAACATCGCCCTTCTCTACGAGAAGAGCTACACCCCTCAAGAGGATGACGATGACGAGGATAGCGAGGAAGAAGACGAGACCGACGAGCATGCCATTAACGATCTCGCCGGCGGACCCAAGTTAATCAAACGCTACAACGCATACCACAATACCCCCGAGTTGGAGCGTCAGCTCTCCAACCTAGCAACCATCCACTCAAAGCGCATCAGCAAGCGCGAGAAGAAGTCCCTGCACGGCAACTTCGCCTCAATCCTAACCACGGTCGAGAACCCCCGTCGCGGTCCGCGATACAACATGGCCATCGACCAAGACACCAATCGACACTACGGCAGTACCCTGACAGTCAAGATCGGCCGCCACGGTATCATGAGTATTGACCGGTGGTGGAAGTGGGTGCGACTGCAGTCGCTGCGAAGGATCTTGCAGGGTGGTTTCGCCGAGCATTATTATCAGGGCAATAGGGCTGTTCTGGATAATTTGCCGGTGATGATGCGTATGGCTGAGGCTAGCGGGTCTGGTGATCGTCAGTCGGCGAGGAAGGCGGCAAGGGTGCGCAATTCGAAGCGTTGGGCTGCGCATTCTGATGGAGATGAGGAGATGGAGGAGTAGTGAGTGTTGGATTATTGGGTTTAGATGTTTTGTTTTGTGGGGGGTGGAGAGTTTTGTTCTTTGGGTTTTTTTGGATTATTGGTTTATGAATTCGCGTGTTTATCTCTACTCTGCACTAGGAAATCATACAGTGTTACATACAGTGACCTCGATATAAGAGACTTTTGGCTCGATCCTGTTTTTATGTATGTCTGCTTTGTTGTGATTGGTGCTTAAGTCGGGATATTTGTTGTGGAGAAGGCAGTATATGATGCGATGCAATGACATGAATAAATGAGTGCCTTCCTATCTGGGCGAGTCTAGGTTGTGCTTTAAATAGAAGGATCAAGGCTTACTTTCCGATCGGCGCTATATGTAAAGTAAGTCGAAATTGAATGCGAAATCATCGCGTTGTTTGCCTCCTCGTAGTTGAAATAGTGTCATTCTCTTGTGACGAGGAAATATATTTTGACAGACAGCTCTCACATCCACCTCTAATCTTAACACTATGATAAGATCAGAGTCAAAATATTTCACAATCATCTGAAAAAACAAGTCATGGTCGAAAATAGAATTCACTCGAGAACATTACAGTAGTACAGTGATTTAACCTCCCATCGACGCATCATCTATCCACCCATCTAACCGCACGGCACGGGACAGGCTCAAGGTTATGGGCGCAATAGAAATCTCCAGTACGAGGGAGTATAAACCAAAGCGCTCTTCCGAAAACCAATCAGCAGCTCTATTAGTGTAGTGGTCTAGCACGTGAGATTTTGATTACATCCTATCTTCTCGGATAGCGATTGCATCTCAATCTTCTCAAGTCCCAGGTTCGAACCCTGGATGGAGCTGATTTCTATTCTTTTTCGTTTTCTTTTTGGTGAACACACATTAACCCCACAATACTCCTAGGACCACACTACTCTGATCTGGTCTATCAGTCTTGCTTGAATTACTTTTTATTTTACTCTCTATTCGCACCCGCCATCCTCATTCTTCAGTGGGTACATAGTTTCTCTGGTACGACCTCGTCCGAGATGAAGCTATACAAGCGATGACAACGTCCAAGTCGCTCCTTTCGTGTAGTTGGTTATCACGTGGGATTTTGATTAATTGTCCTTTTCTAAGTCTTCCCAAAACGCAAGTTCGAATCTTGCAAGGAGCTTGGTTTGTTTTTGGTTCATCCATTTCAACGCATGGCATGGAAGGAAGGAAGAGATGGGTGTTGGGAAATGAAATAATAATAAAAACTGTAATTTAAATAGGCAGATGGTAATAATATGTATAGTCCGTGTGTATTACCAAGTTTAATAAGAAGGTTGATTGATTATGATTGTCTCTGTTGATGAAGGATAAATGAGAGACAAGTGAAATCCACATAGTCTGGAGGTATAGAAGAAGTTTGCCTGCCGTTCTCTATGGTCTTTCCTCCGAGTATAAATTCTAGATTGTATGCATGACTAGATCACAAGCAGGACGTTAGAGAACCCTTCATTCGTTAGTCTAAAATCCAGGCTACTATGGCAAACTTTCAATTGAATATCATACCAGGAGTGATTGATCAAGTGGAGAGATATATTCTATAGAACCATCACTATACTCTAGAATGAACCCAGGAGAGAACTCTCCTTGCATCCCCCCCCCCAAAATTGGAATGCAAAAAGAGACATCCAAGATCCAAGATCCAGGTTCCTGTACACTTCCAAGCTGTACAAGCCATCCCCTCTTCCTCCTTCTCATCGAGAATAACCAAAATGTCCAAAAATCCAGCAGAGGGATAAAATAACCCAAAAACACACCCACCCCACCATCTCAACACTATCATCCATCATCATCATCATCATCATCATCAATTCTCAAAAACTGGCACAACGCCCGACCAACTCCCCCTAGCCCTCTCATCCCAATACCCATCCTTCCCCCCCTTCAACCGCCACACAACCTCCCCATCCGAATCCTCACTCACCCGTGTAAACCACCTCGGCGTCCAATTCTCCCCCGCAGCTTCCATATCGCGTCTGCGCGCACGCTGACCCTCCTCAAGCTGGACCTTGACTTCCTCCGCGCGATCCAAGTCGCCTTCTTCCAAGGCACGCTGGTCAGGACGGAGTCTCGAGTCTGTCTCGGGCAAACGGCCCTCTTCGATGGAAGTAATCTCGTTTAGGGCCGCGGCGAAGGCTGTTAGGCCGTAGTGCTTTGGTGCGCTCGGGACTAAAGGTCCAGCAGTCCAGATGGGTTTACCGGAGGGACTGCCGTCGCGGGTGAGTGTTAACGAGGCTGGCCATGTTCCCGTTAGACCGAGGGCGATGGGTTGATTGTACGAATCGACGGCGCGGGTGGTGACTTCTTCGCTGCGACCGGAGAACATGCCGCCGGCCTTGAAGGTGGAGATGGAGCGATGACCGGTGGATTCGTTGGCGACTGCTAGTTCGCCGACGGGTTCGACGTATTTCTCGCCCGCGATGATGTTGCGCAGGAAGGAGGTTGCGGGTGTCCAGCTGAAGCGCTCGCCGGTGGAGTGGAGGGTGATCCGGACGCGGCCTTCGGTCGTGATCTCGGCGGATTTGCCCCAGAATTTCTGGCTGGGCATCGGGGATTGTGCGAGACTCCATTCGCGGCTGTCGGCTTGGTAGGCTAGTTGGACGGGGCGGTGGGAGACCTTTTCTGCGATGAAGCGGAAGCCTTGGTCTTCGCGGATGAGCTCGTAGGTTTCGCCGAGCATGGGGTTGAAGGGTTTGCGGATGGAACGTTCGCGGACGCGGTTGCTGGAGAGCGAGGACAGGGCGAAGGCGGTTACGTACATGAGACGTTCGACGGGGTCGGAGGCTTGGGCTGCTTGGTCGAGGAGCGAGGAGTATTCCAGGATCTCTGCTGCGCGCTGGAGCAAAGATAGAGGTTCGTTTGCAGATACGGGCATGGATATCGTGGACAAGTCCTTGCCGACATTCTTGCGTAAGAATCCAATCAAACTGGGAGGGAGGACTGTTGGTGCTGCAATGTTCTGACGACGACGAATCTTGTCAAGAGGCAATGGAGTGAGAGACTTTGGACGAGCTGGGAACAAGGGAGAGGCGCTGCTGGTGTCGTGCGGAGTCGTAGCCTCGGTCTCATCTTCACTGTCTGAAGGTGCATCATCTTCTACATTCTCAGCAGCGTCCTCTGCATCTTCGCCGTCGCTATCTTGGATAGTCAAAAGTGGAGACGTAGCACCTCCATCCGTCGCATCAAAGAATTCCTGCGAGATATCCGATTCCATACTCTTTCGAGGAATAATGGCAGACCTTGGCGGGTGTCGGCGCTGCTTACTCTCAGCAATCAGTGCCGAGAACTCCGACACCGCATGATCAAGATCACGTAGCACAGCCATCAGATTTTCATGAATCTCATCCATGCCATCAGCATGACTAGCAATGCTTGCAGGTCTACCGGTTCCGTCTGGCTTAGGCACAACCAGCTGGGACGAGCTGGAATTGGTTTGCTCTGGACCGGGCGGCCGTTTCGAATTATTCCCACTGGTCTTGCGCTTCCAGAATGACCGCTTAGGATCCGAACTGGACGCATCCTGCGCCGCAGCAGGGCCGGGACTCGGGGAACGGCCACGGCTCCGTGGCTCTATGGGCGACGGAGCAGGAGACACAATATACTTGGGATCGGTATCCCGAGCTAGACGGCGCACCGCATCTCGCGAGCCGGAAACCTGGCTGACCAACTTCTCGACCTGAGCCCACTTAGCTTCTTCCGCCGGTGAGGGATGTCCCGGCGTAGTCAAACGAAGCTGCGGCGCTCCCCCAATAACGGAGAGTTCATTCGGGTTGGAATCCTTAGACGAAGCCTTTTCCAACGCGCGCTTCCAGGACGAAAAGTCTTGATCATTACTCGCACGGAGATGCCAAATCTCGGTGCCCGAATCAATAGAAATCTCACGCGATTTCTCATTGGTAGCTACCGCTGCCAGCGACAACGGAATAGCACCGCGCAGAGCAGACGAGTTCGGATCATGGTAATAAGACAGCGTAGACGATGTAAAATCTAACGAGAAGAACCGACGCGCCCAGCCCTGGTGTCTCTTCCGCCGACGCTTCTGCAACAATCCCGTATGCACCGACGAGTCCGACACTTGCGCGCTCAGCGTGGACTTGCTATTTCCACGTCGGCGCGTTCGAGGCTGGGGTAGGGAATCCGACGAGCCACCGGCATGAGAGCGAGCGATAGACGGCGGCGCAGAACCATGCGGTTGTAGGCCCGTCGGGTAGGTCAACAGCACGAGAGTGACGGTCTTGGAGATCTGTTTGGAAAAGGTATTGTCGAAGACGAGCGCGTAATTGCCCGCCTCGCTAGCCGGCACATCGTACGTGCCCTGAGAAATCCGATCCGCCTCACACTTGCCAATCCACTTGATCGACTTGAGACCAATGGCGGTCAGCTTCTCGATGACGGTGGACTGTTGGTTCCGGGAGGCGCCCGCGTTGGCGGCGGTTGCGGGCAGGTTCTCGGTCGAGTCGGTGCTGTGGGAATCGGAGGCGGGCAGATAGGAGCTCAGACTGGACTGGCCAGGGTGCTTGAAGATTCCAAAGTTTACCGACTTCTTGTGCGGTTGAATACTCCAGGAGATGGTGTGGTTGGCGCTGACGTTGATCCATCGTACGAAGTACGACTGTTTTGGAGGAGAGGACTGGATTAGCTTGCGCGGACTGGGAATAGGATTCGAGGAGGGCGCATTGCGATTGCTTCTTACCTTGCTATGGATCTCCAGCTCCTCCATTGCCGCCATGATTGCACAGGTAGAAGAAAGGTGTTTTCTTTGGCAAGACGATCTCCAGGACAAGGAACAGCCGTCGCGGCCCGGTGGAGTTGCGGCTGAGGGGGAACAAGGTGGGCGGACAAAACAGGGCTGGACACGACAGGACAGGACACCGCGCTCCGCAATGCCAAACAAGAATGACTATGCTAGCAACTAAATACAAAAAGACAAGGAGATTTATTCACATAAGCCGGACAGGATGTAAATAGAACAATAGGACAACATCGAGATCAGCGAATTCAACAGGCACATCGGGGCTCGGCGGAACGGTTCAAATGGGCCAGTCCCGAGGCCAATCGATGCTTCACATGTACTCTGTAAAGTATAATCTGTATAGTATACTGTATATATTTGTGTAATCTGAATGTATTATTACTCCTGTAAGATCGTCGTGCTTATGCTTCCCCGGTAGGGATCCATGGGATGCCCCGCGCTAGTTTCTGCCCTACAACCAGTGATCAACTGCCGAATATTGGTTATCTACGAGAGATTTCATCATGTTCTGCTCCACATATACTATGTAGGTAGTACATAGATATGAGCAGTTTTATTATACACTATATACTAATTAAACTCCTAAGCACTGTATACTCCTCTATCCTCTCAATTACTCGGCAAATATCCCACGCGAAATGCTGTATTTGGTAAAGCTTCCTAGTGGTTACAGAAATGCCCAGTGCTCCCCCCCCCCAAACGACCAGAAGGTGTATCAGATTAAAGGCAGAAGAGGAAAAAGAAAAGAAACGGGGGCCAAACGATGAAGAGAGGCAAAGGAACACAGCCAAAAGATCAAACGAAAAAAGAAAATGCTAATATGCCCGCCCATCTGGTGTTTTGTTTCTTTCCTCGAAGCGCTTTTTCCATAAAGAACACAACCCCCCAAACATACAGAGGGGGCGTTGAAAAAAAAATTGAAATTGAAATGGTACACTGTACAGGCGGCCTTGTCCTCGATTACCTCCGGTTGCGTTGCATGTTGCCGAACATTAACTTGAACCCATTGCAGAGAGCCTGCATGTCTGGGTAAGGGTTCTTCTGCAACTCGTAGCCCTGGGGGATCACCTTGACGGGCCAGTTCTGGAGACGCGAGTGTTCGCCCGCCTTGAAGCAAAGGAAGAAATAACCGGGGTATTTGGGGTTGATACAGAACGCATAAGCCGAGCGACGAGGGTTGGCCTTGGTATAAGTCTCGAGCCATTGGTCTGAAAAGCGGAAAATGTGTGATTAGTATGGGATCAATCCGAAGTGCATGCAAATAGAGAACAAAATACTCACCAGTCTCGGCCTTGCTGACCTCCTTGTACTTCTCGTTCAGCATCATCTCATCCACCTTCTTGGCCATCGCCTTGACGTGGTTGACAATGAGATCGTCAAGATCACTGTAGCTGTACTTGCCACCCACGCGCAACACACGACCGACGGAGAACTCGTTGTCCTTGTCCAGCTCAAGCACATCGATATGCTGATACACACCGTGTGCCACCTTCCAGGTAACTGCCAAGTGATCGTGACCACGGGACGAAGGACGGATGACCACATCACCACGGCTGCGAGAACCCAAATACTCCTCCGCCTGGGTGGAGTTGAAAGGCTTGAAGAGTGGGTGCTTGATCACACGCATGGCCTGACCACCCTGCTGCTCCTTCTCTTGCATGGACTCTCGGTCCTTGCGCTCCTGCACTTCATCCCAATCCCCGAAGCCATGATCAGGGACGTTGCGAACGGGATTGCTGACCTGGTCCTCGCGCAGAGACACATTGCAAGTGAAACCCTTGCGGTTCAGGAACATAATCTTGGCGGGCACCGTCTGGTGTGGCGTGTAGACATTTCGTACCTGAAGGTCATAGGGCAATCCGAGTTCGGTCTCTGCGACCAGCGCATCGATTCCACAGTCCAGCTTCGCATCGATATGGTCCTCAAATACCCGCTTAAGTGCAATTGGGACCACCATACCGGCCTTGAGAGACTCCGGCGTCTCGCCAGTTAGCATGGTAAAGACATCGTCGGTGCTCAGGAAGACGAATTGCTTGCGAAGCTCCTCGTAAGGCTGTTGCAATTCCGCACGGATCGTCTCGAGGGTGGCACGCTTGCGCTGGTTGAGGTTCTTCTCCAGCTGCTCGGCATACTCTTCCAGGATCAAATCGTTGACACGGTCTTGTTGGTCCTCACGGAATAGTTTGCGCACAATGGCACCGGCGCCATTTTCATCGGTCTCGGCCTTGATATCCTCCTCATCGAGCTCGAGAGCATCAGCGGCCATCTTGCGGGCGATATCGTAGTCTTCAGGATGCACACGGGTGTTGTCCAGCGGATCCGCATCCGGATCCACACTCTCGAAATCAAGGAAGAGGAAACTGGCGCAGTTGCTCCATACTTGAGGGGACATGGCGGGGTACTGTACGTTGAAACCCAACAGCTCCTGACGGTTGTTGACAACGCCCCCGTTCATGTTAACAATCTTCAGCAGATGCGCAGCCTTTCGCTGACCAAGACCACAGACGTAGGGAACAAGGTTCGCGGTCAAGGGATCATTGACGGCGTCATTTAGATCCACGCCGACCAAGTTGACCATGTCGACCAAAGCAGTCTCGAGCTGTCTGATCAGCAGCTCCTGAGATACCAGCTGCTGACCAGGCTTGAATTGGATAGAGACAATGTCGCGGCCCAAGGAGGCATACTCCTTGAGAGGGCTCTGCAGATACCGACCAAGAGCCACACAGTAATGGGTCAAAGGCCCGAAGCCGGGGTTGTCATTCATGGCGCGAAGACTGTTGTGGTACAAACGAGCGACCTCATCGTTGACAATGACCGTCTCAAGGCGATCGCTTACTTCTTCGTCGCGATCATCGGTGTAGGGGGCTCCACGAACATCCTTCAAGTCAACGAAATCGGTCAGAGTCTTGTAAAGACGCCGAGTTTCCGGTGTCATACCGGAGACACCGATAACATCAGGCTTGCGGCGGTCGATCAAATCCAAGAGAGCAGGGATGTCCGCGCCATCCTTGATGCCACGGGATTGATCTCCCACGGACAGATCCATGAATTTTCCATTCTCAAGAACACGACCGTCCTCTTCAATGTAGGCCCAGTGAATGGGGTCTCGGCCGATGACGCCAGTTCCAATGGACAGGGTGAGAGCCCGTGGTACTGTGCCCAGAACCATTCCCTTTGGCTTGTAAGGGGCCTGGTCCAGTCGCTGCGAGAAGGCATCGCGGCACTCCTTGGCTACATGGTTCTCACACTCCTGTCGAATGTTCTCCTTGACACTGCGATTGATCAAACGCTCCAATTTGCCCAGTGCCAGATCGAGCACGTCACGACGGAGACGGTTCCATGAATCCGCAACTTCGGAGTAGTTATCGGACTCGATATCGGCGTACATGCGTTGTTTGAACTGGTCAAAGTTCTCGAAGCGAACCTTCACTTCCACGAGGTTTTCTTCTTCAGCCTTGAGCATTCGTAGGAACATCTCAGGGCGTCGAGCGATGTCGCTGAGTTGCTGGTTCCGCAAGTATTTGAATTCGTAGTATGGGTGTTGCTCGTCGATTCGGCGCAAACCCTTTTCAGTGCGGAAACAGTCGACAACACCATTCATGTAGTATGCCTGGCGGATGACCTTGCGCATCTTGGGGCTCACCACGAGTTCCTCGGCAAACATAGACTTGGCAGCCTTGAGAACCTGATCGGCGTTGGAGAAGTCGGTATCCACAAACTGATCAGCCAGCTCTTCTGGTCGCTCACTGGGGTCCTCGGTGTATTGTCGGCGGCCCTCCTTGGACGCATTTTGGGCAAATGCATCGGCAGTGAGACCGAAAGCACGAACTAGGTTATATGCCTTTCCATTCCGCACTCGTTCGAAGAAAGTTTTGCTGGTGGCCTTGCGTCGCTGGGTTTCTCCGTTGGCCTCGCCGTTGACGGAAGAAAGATCACGAAGTTGAGAAGCATATTGGAAGTGAATGTAGTCTTGCACATCCTGAAGCTCCTCCATGGATGTTGCCGCGGTCAATAGGTCCTCCACAATGGTGTCATTAACGTTGAACAGGTTTTGCAGACTGTCGTAAGACTTCTGAATGGTGTTGCGCTTGTCGACCAATGCACGGAACTTGAGGTCGTATTCGAAGATGTCCCACAAATCGGTCATGTTCAGGAGTTTCTCCGCACGGATGTTGTACTGTGCAGACTCGTCGTCCGGATTGGCCCCATTGAGCGGCTCCTTGACCGCATGGATCATGTAGTCCTTGCGATGCTGGAAAATGAAAGGAACTTCGTAATCATCTGTGATCAGGAACTCGAGCATCTTGGCCACTGACCGCTGGAACGGCTCACGCAACTCCGGCTCGATGCGCTTCTTGAGCAACATTAGTTGGGAGATCCACAAGGCCTCCTCACGGAACTGGTCCTCTGTCAATGTCACATGGCGATACGGTTCGCGAGCAATCTGGTGGCGTTCGGGCTCATCACGAAGGCGAATCTGGTTGTCGTCCTCAGTCAACATCTTCTCCGCCAACTGGGACGGCTCGAAGATGTCCTTCAAATCGAGATGGCGGTCCTCGTCATGCTTCTCTTCATCTTCTTGCTCTTCGATGTCCAAAGCAAATCTGTAGTCCTCGCCATCACCGAAGGCCGCGCGCAGATCTTCCACCGCATTCTCATCCAGACCCGCTGCCTCGGTGGCTCCGAGGCCCGGAACGGTGGCTCGGACGGGGGCTGCAACTTCAAGATCGTCGCGCTCACGCTGAGCCTCCTCGTCGGAAAATGTGTCCTCCTCAATGAAGTCATCCATCTCATCGTGCCGGCGACCACCGCGGTGGCTGGGTCGGCTATATTGGGGTGCCGCTTCCTCCTCCTCGTCGGAATTGAACATGTCATCGATACCTTGGGACGGTCCGCGGTTATCACGATCTCGACCACGCTTGAGACGCTTGAATTTGGACTGCTGTATGCGCGAAATCATTGTTAGCAAAAATGTCCATCATTGTAGAAGGCCTCTCGCCTCGGCGGACAGCCGCCAGTCCATCACCGAAGATGACCCAATTGGGGAAGAGGATTTCAGGTCTCATACATCAGATGTTGTGCCCCGGCTCAGGCCCGGGACATGCTCGCCAATCAGTTCCAGATCTTCCTCATCGAGATGTTCCTCTTCGCGAGCACGTGGCCGTTTCTTCTCTGACCTGCGCCTGGTGCGCTCTTCGATCTCTTCATCCTCGTCGACGATAAAGCCTTCGCGGACCTAGGATTGTTCACCACGAGTCAGTTGCGCCCAGATTAATTGGCCAAAAGACGTATGCGATACTTACGGCGCGCGCAGCATCTTCATCGTCGTCTTCATCTTCGTCCTCTTCGCTCGAGTCATCATAGTGGCGTTCATTGCTCGGTCCATCTCGGCGATCCTCATCATAGTCTCCGGAGACCTCCTCGTCATTCTCCTCATCATCCAGCATGGCCTCACCCTCGACCAGGTCGCGGAGACTCATCGTGGCTGATCGGAAAGGTCCTTCCGCTCGGCGGAGAGTAGGGAACTAGGCCTGCGGAGAGAGAAAGGAGAGATTGCAATGGGTAGCAGACTTAGCACCCAGCAGTGCCTGAATCAGGAGAAAGAAAATAGGTGAAGGTTGGAGGAGAGAGAGAGAGAGTCGAGCAAGAGAAGAAAGGACCGAACCTCAATCACGACGGCGAGGGAGGACGCGGTGGCGGTGATTGGCCAGTGAGAGCTGCCTGGTGTGGCTAGTGAGGCTAAACTTAAAAGGGAAAGTAAATGTGGCGGATGCAGGGAGACCACGTGATGGGCATCAACTATGGCCTCAAAGAACAGGCATCCAGGAATCTTTCGCTCCCGACTGTGAACTGGTCAACTTGTAAGAGCTCAACTTTCAATATTCAGTCACTAATTTACTGGCAGATATCAACATCACTATATCCAGAATATCCTTTTTCAAGAGATAAGGAATAAATGAAACCTCAAATCAAAGCAGAATCTTCAGCGAGGCATTTTCCTCCAGAGTTCTACGGGTAAAGAAGTAGTGGAGAAGCAGCAGCACCTGTGTTTCAGTAGAAGTAGTAGAAACAGAAGACCATCACCACCTTTTGACTCTGTCTAATAGTTTTGTCTCCCCCTAATATTCGACGCCCAACACCTCCTCACCTCTTCACCACCCCCTAATCTCTTTCTTTTTGCCGCCGGCCCGTCACCCTCTGGTGTTTGTTGGTCCAGTCGATGCGCCCGCAAGGTCCAATCAGCGCCGCCAAGCACACATCGCAAGGTGATATCGGGTTCCCCGCCGCTTAGCTTCGCGCTTCTTTCTTCTCCCATCAGCGTTCTCGCCCGGCCCTGGTCTTGTCTCTTGTCGGCTGTTTCGTCGCTTCTTCCCCCTTTTCTCATTTCTCGATCTCTCCTTCGAAATCCGTACTGTTCCAGACTCCTAAACCCCCGCGGCAACGAACCCCCCCCCCTCTCAGCGCCATGGCGGATCAGTTTAAGGCCCGGACGTTGAAACGAAAGAACGTCAAAGGCCTCGCCCTCAATGCGGCCCCCAAGGCGACTTCCAACACTTCCGATGGTGATGCCCAGGTCCCAGGCGCCATTGGAAATGTCGACAGTGACCGCACAGATACCCTAGAGATTGGGCTGGAATTCCGGTTGGATCTGCGGAGTGAGGACTTGGTGACGCTGAAGGAGCTCGGTGCTGGTAATGGCGGTACTGTCTCCAAAGTAATGCACGCGTCGACAAAAGTTGTGATGGCTCGAAAGGTTGGCAGTCCCGTTCATCGCTATATATGGCTTTGTTGAAGCCCCGTACTAACTACCGTCTCTCCAGGTCATCCGTGTCGACGCCAAAGAGAACGTGCGGAAACAGATTCTACGAGAACTGCGGGTTGGGCACGAATGTAATTCGCCTAATATTGTGACCTTCTACGGCGCCTTCCAGAATGAGGCCGGAGATATTGTCATGTGTATGGAATATATGGATTGCGGGTAGGTCGGAGAAGATTGACAATGGGAAGGAGAGGAACCTGAATGACTGACATGATACACACCTGCTTAGATCCCTTGATCGCATCTCCAAGGATTTCGGCCCCATCCGAGTGGATGTCCTGGGTAAGATCACCGAGTCGGTACTTGCTGGTCTTGTCTACCTATATGAAACCCACCGCATTATGCATCGTGATATCAAACCATCCAACGTCGTGGTCAACTCGCGCGGTCAAATCAAGCTTTGCGATTTCGGCGTTGCAAGCGAGACGGCCGTCAATTCTATCGCCGATACCTTTGTCGGTACTTCAACTTACATGGCCCCTGAGCGTATTCAGGGAGGTGCCTATACGGTCCGCTCGGATGTGTGGAGTGTGGGTTTGACAGTTATGGAGTTGGCCGTCGGAAGGTTCCCCTTTGATACTTCCGACTCCGCCGCAGGAGACCGGGCCAGCGCCGGTCCCATGGGTATATTGGATCTGCTCCAGCAGATTGTTCACGAGTCTGCCCCGAAGTTGCCTAAGAGCGATGCTTTCCCACCCATTCTACATGACTTTGTCGGCAAGTGTCTGTTGAAGAAGCCAGAGGAACGACCAACACCACGAGAGCTCTACGTACGTTCAAGAAGCCATTCCAAAAGTGTTTCTTGGGTCCTTTCGAACTAACATCTTTCCCCAATGCAGGACAAGGATGCCTTCTTGCAAGCAGCCAAGCGCACCCCGGTAGACCTACAAGAATGGGCCATCAGCATGATGGAGCGACACAACCGCAAGTCCTACCTGGCACCCCCAGCTCCGAAGTCGCTCAAGGATACCACCAACTCCATATCACATTCCTCGTCATCACCGGCACCCATAGCCTCCCCTCCTGCGCCAACTCCCAAACCCGCCCCGATCAGCAAATCCTCGCGAACCCCGCAACTGCAATCACACCCGCAAGCGCAATCGCCATACCACCCCTCTTCAGGCGATATCCCCCTGAACATCGCCAACGACTTCCCAACTCCGAACCGCCACTACGCCTCCCAGGCCCAGGCCCAGTCCCAGGCTCAATACTCCTACTACCCTACCTCCACCTCCACCTCCAACTCCCGTTCCACGCAGTCTCCCCCTCCCCCATCCCTGGAGCACCTCTCCCTCGAAACAAAGGACGACGAAGCCCGATACGGCCGTCGCCCAATGCGCCACCTTGGCGATCCCATTTCCGCCGTCGAAGCTCCATCCCGCCCGTTCATGAGCCCGCGCTCTGTAAGCTCGCACAACGCCAAGTCTCGCACAAACTTGACCCCAAATGCCCTGCCTATCCGATCTGTTCCTCCACCAACACAAGCACCTCCCCCTCCACCCGTTTCGGCGGGTGGAAGTTGGCGCGGTTACTCTGGTCAGACACCTTCATCTTGAGATGGGGGATAGTTCGGAATGAGAAAATGATGTTGACATGAAACGAAGATTTTCTCCTTGAATGGTGATGATTTGATCAGAATGGGGTTTGCATATGCACATGATTTTTGCTGGGCCTTCTCATTGGCTATTTCCCTCTGATGTCCCGAGACAAGATTTTGTCTAGTCTGTCTGGACATTTCCACCTTCTGGTCTGTAGCGAATCTGTTTGATCTTCTGATCCCTGGAAATTGGGCATGGAATCGCAAAGCTTAGCACATTCCCACCCCCTTCCCTCCCCACCCCTCTACATTTGAACTTCATATCATTCTTTTTTCTTACCATTTTCATTGCCTGTGCGTTTCCTTCTTTTCTACTTCTATTCCCCCCTACCGTGGACCATTTTTCTTGACTCTTTTCCCCTTCTTCAATGAATTCATTTGATCCGGCAACGACACCTTCCCTTTCTTTACTTATTTCATCATCTTTTCTTGCTATTTTCTTTTCTTGCTCAGATATGTTCCTGCATGAAACCGGCGTACATAAGTGCAAGTTGTTGATGATATTACAATACAAATTTCATTTCCTTGATTCTAAGATAGAACTGTTTATTCTCCTGTTAATGTTGTTGATACAGTACAGGAGGCTGCTATAAGTTCCAGCACTTTGCTGTGCTGTTCATTGCAGAATAGTCAGACTAGCATACTCGTCGCCGGATGATGGTGGAATAATCATGTGGTGCTGTATAATGAATGTCCATGGCTGGTAAAAACTGTAAACTTGCATAGAACAGGGATGATAGTCTACATCCAAGTAACCACACGCCAAAAATTCGCCAAAAGTCAACCTGAATAAAGCTCCCCACATCCATGAATCGAACCGCCAACCTTGTCCCCCCTATATACTTCACCTCGTTACTGCCTCGCCCATCCCTGGACACCGAAGAACATCGCCCTCCCACCCCAGTACTACCACACCTAATATACAGCCCCCTTTACACACTTTAACACTGTTGAAAAGGCCATTCAAATATTAGAATAATACAATGCAATAGTACCAAGTAGATCTCTATATTATGAAGGGAATGTTACTAAAAAGCATCTCCAAAAAAAAGAACTCCCCCACCTAGGGGTGTGCCCGGCCGTCCGTGGAGCTCGAAGCGTCAACACTGGCACATTCTCTTTCTTCTGCTTCTTCTTCTTCTTCTTCTTCTTCTTCTTCTTCTTTCGTTTGCTCAGTCCTCCAGGGCACACCAATGGTTCACCAATTTATGGTGGATACCAACTAGGCCATCGGAGGGGGGAGTTGATTGCTTAACCTAAAACATGGTCATAACCCCTGTTATTGCCTACTTGGGATTCTGATTCCCAGTAACGAATATCTACCAGCTGCTCACCTCGGGCTAGATCAGATAGGGACATGGCTATGAGCTAAATCTACATCTTTGCTTGTGTACCTTCAAACTTACTAAGGTAGAAGCCATCTACAAAGCTCAAACAGGTCATCAAACGTAAGATATTGAATGCGCGAATGAGAAGGTTTTCATATAGATACAAACGCAAATAAATGCAACCCGATAATCCCTGACCTGGGTGAACCGAAGCATCTCACAGGAACAACAGAGCCCAGAGCAAAATAAAAAAGTGATATCGAGACCCAGGAAGAACAAGTCAAGTTGAAAACAGTATAATCACATCACACTTGACGCCTAACCAGCCATAACAATAAAATAGCAATGGAAGGGAGGTACCAGGTGTTGAAGAAAAGAGACACACGCCGGACACCCTATAACCCCCAACCGGAAACACAAACACAACACGGGTCAAATCATCAATTGCACCTCTCACTCATTTTATAACTACTTCTGGCCCGGCAAGAGGACTCGGACCCGGTGCCGGGGCAAGATTTCCTGCATGGCCCTGTGGGCTTGGGGCAGGTGCAATATCCAGCATCGACATCATGGAGCTCTTCCCACCTCGTGAGGACGAACCGCCACGACCTGATGCACCGCCACCACGTCCACCACGGCCTTCGTGGGATGTCGAGGCCGATGTGCCAGCGCGGTCGGTGTGTTTATCCGAGGCGTCGACTTTCTTCGAGCCTCGACCGCGACGCGATATACCTCCACGTGAACCAGGACCGCGCAATGGCAGGCCAGTTTCCTGAGAGATGGGGACTGCAGCGGCGATTGGGACGTGGGGATGGGAAGCGAGGGAGCGAGCTCGGGCTGTTCCCCGACCACGGCCACGGCCTCGTTTGATTGTACCGTCCGCACTGGAGAATGTTAGTACAAGGACCCAATCTGCAAATAGACATAGTAGAGAAGAAATGAAGCACGTACCGTTCCACCTGGACCTTTTCACCCTCCGGCACAAGCGGGCCGCTATACACAAAGAACCCGTCTTTGCTAGCGGCAGCCTGTTCCTGCCATGCCATTTCACTGTCGTCGACGAAGGGATCGTCACGATCATACTCCTCAACCTTCTTTCGGCGCTTCTTCTTGCCCTCGCTGGCTTCGGACTGGACGCCGTTGGTGCCGGTGCCCGCACCGCCCATGGAAATATCGCCATCAAGGTCGCTGTCACGATCGACATCAAGACTCAGATCCTCATCTGCGCTCTCGCCGGCCGAGATGCCCTTGAGACTCTTATCACTACGCTCGAGGGCCGCACCCTCAGCGGCCACGCGCGCGAGACGGTCCTTGTGCGCGGCCAAGCGCGGGTGCAGGGCTGCAAAGCCATATTGCTCTTCCGCAAGCTGCGCAAAGTTGACTATTTGGTTGCCCTTTTGCAAAGGCACATGCACAATAATATTCGGCGCGCTGCGCGTATCAGATTTGGACGATTCGTCAACCCCACCGAAGAGCGCATTTGTAATCAGCCCTGATCCTTGCGGGATCTTGGGTGCTTCTTTAGCTGCGCGGGCGGGTTTGGGAGAAGGCGCCTTGGAAGAAGGTGCAGTGGCCGGAGCTTTTTCTTTCTTCGCTGATGGTGCTGGCTCCTTTGAGTCAATTTCCATAGCATCTGGCTGCTGGGGTGGACGTTGAGGTGTAGCAGCCTGAGCTGGAGAATCGGCAGGCCGTTGAGGCTGGGTATGGCTTTGCGCTTGCGGCTGCTGTTGTAGGGCTGGTGGCGAGAGCTCGAGTTTGGGTGGTTGTGACTGTGCTGGGCGCTGTTCACTATATGGAGTATAGTGAGGGGTCGTATGTGGTAGCTGTTGAGGAGTGTGAACAGCTCCGTGAGAGGGGGAGGCGGGGATCGGCGACGGAGCTAGCGCATGATGTGTAGGTGTATGCGCCATTGGAGGCGGCGCCGGTGAGGAGACGGCCGAGACATGACCAGAGGAAGAGCGAGGCAGCTGAGAGTATGCGGGTTGCGTTTGTGAAGGGGGGTCAATGATGCTGGAGATCGCTGGCGAAGCGCTGGCGCGGTAACTGTGTCGCGGCGACAGTGTCTGCGGAGGGCTATAAGCTGGCGCTGGCGAGGGATTGTCAAAGGCCGAGCGAATAGGGTCGAAATTACGACCACTAGTACGAGGAGGAGCTGGTGCTGCTGCCGGTGCCGGCGCTGGGGGTGCCTGGGTGGGCTGGAGGGGTGGAGGTTGAGATTGTGGTCGCGACGGGTAGTCTTGTGTCACGGTATACCGAGGGTCCGCGGGAGAAGGGCGCGGGCTGAGCTTGTAGGAAGTCGAAGGGGTGGGTTGAGGAGGCGTGGGAGCAGCTTGTGGAGGAGGACTGGGATTGGCAGGAGGAGCTGGAGCAGCTGGAGGAGTGGGTGTAGGAGGAGTTGGAGCTTTAGGAGGAGCAGCTGCGGGCGTGGGCGTTGGCGTGGGAGCAGCATCAGCAGCAGCAGGAGCAGTGGCAGCAGCCGCCGTGGCTTCGTCACCCGACTGCTCCAGCTTGGGCTTCTTCCTCGAAGCAGCTGCGGCGGACGACTTTTCCCGGGGACGACGAGGAGCTCGAGTAGGTTTTTCTTTTTCTTTTTCTTTTTCTTTTTCTTTTTCTTTCTCCTTGTCCTCCTTCTTCTTGGTTCGTCTATCGGGAGTATTAGTGGCTGACGTGGTGGTATTATTAGAGTCGTCATCCTTCTTGCGACGCGACCGTCTGGCGACAGAGGCACGTCGGGACCCAACCATCTCGTCAACGGGGCCTTCTTCTTTTGACACGCCCGAATCCCTAGTGGACATGGTGGTGAAAAAAGAGAAATTGATATACAACTGAATTAACTGAGTTGATGAATTCCTCAGTTAAAACATTCGTATCGAGGTGAAGTTAAAGGTGGATGGTGAGGTGGTGGATGGGCTGGTTGGCGGATTGCCAAGTTGGTATCACCAGAGTACGAAAAGTCGGGGGAATCGAGAAAATGGGAAAATCCCGATGGATCAACCGAATGGGGGGAAAAGAAGAATGGGTTGTGGATGCGGAGACAGGAACACGAAAATAGAACCCGTTGAGATAAGCAGATGATTCGGGCCGAGACAAGAAGATGGAGAGATTGATGGAAATGGAAGGGAGGGGGAGTGAGAAGAGGAGAGAAGATGAAGGAGAAGAAGGAAAGAGGAAGGGATTGAGGAAGGAAGAGAAGAAGAAGGAAGAAGGAAAAAAGGAAAAGGGTAAAAAGAAGGGCAGAGGAAAGGGGAAAAAGAACAAGGAGCAAAGTCAAGTTGGATTGGACTGGACTGGGAGTAATTCCGGGTTGATATCCTGCGGGGGGAAATACTAAGGTTATTGACTGATTGTATTGAGAATAGATTCGATATAAGAAGAAAGGGACTACTGATAGTGATGTAGAAAGAGACTATAAGAAGTGTGTTCGAAGTATACATGAAGTATAACCCCATCCCCATCTTGTCCTAGCCAACACATCCCATCAATTCTCCGCCAGACTGGATTCTGATGCAGCTCCCGTCCCATGTCTCCGATGCGCGCGGATCTGGCGTTAGTGGAGTTGGGCTGGCGCATTTGAATTTACTCCTGCAGTTCCCTGGTAGTATGACCATGTACTGACCAGTTTTGTTAGGTAGACCCCATGACAAGGTATTTTTGATAGATAGCACTTTGCCTATTCATGATCTACTCTACATTATAGTCTATACATGAAAGCCATCTAATATGATTCCCTTTCTCTGCTCGTATCATGTCTGCTGACGAGGAAGATCAAGGCCATTTGTACGGGTGGCCCTAACAAGACCAAACAATCCTTGTCAAATGACTCTACCACTCAGAATCAGTCTGACATATTGAATGTCACACAAATGACAAATTATCATCTCCATCTGACTTTTTCCTTACTGATTATTCTACTATTTTTATTATATTTGCAAGGATACTTGATGGTCTTCCCTCCCAACTATGCAAGCCCACTTTTGCAGTAAACCACTTCCTATTTAGGACTAGCACTCCCGTCCATCTACCACTAACCCTTTTCGGTTAGACTCTGCAACTGCGTTTTAGCCTTTTGAGCCGCAGGCGGGAATTGATAGGGACACAACAGCTTTTTACTACTGGCACAACAATTATGTAATACCCGCATCACATAATCAATTTTGCCAAGAATCTTTACCATACATTACCGCAGCAACTGCATTACTTACCACTATAGCAACTACATTCTATCAACTGCTACTACTATAAGAGCTTCTCTTTCACTGATTCCATTTCATATTATTTACATAGCCTATTATACCCTGCATGAACGAATTGTATGGCCAATTTCTCCGCAATTCGAGCACTTTGATGGCACTTTCTTTTTGATAACCCTTTGATCTGATGTGTTGTTGTCTTGGTTTTGTTTCCTTTGTGGCAGTGATAATATAGGCTCAAGTATTGGCAGATACTCTGATACCTCATTATCATAATCGATTCGCCAGAATTGATGAATATCGCTTAATGGAATTGGCTGATGTGTTGATAATAAGCTAGCGATTCGGTGAGCACATGGAAGGCCCATTGTCCTAGTGAATATATTAGTACAGTTAGATAGTGGTGCTTCAGGGGTAGCTCTCTTAGCTATATAAGCTTGATTAGAGATTAAGGATATTGAATATCGGGATGTTCTCTTTGTAATATTCGAATAGAGAAAGTGTGAGCAGAAATTTAGCGTTTTAATCCGATCTTCTGCAAGATCAGACGAAAGGTTATAATGTTGAGCTTCTAATGCATTGTTAATTCGTTCAAAAACAAAGAGTATATCACCTGTTGATCCCCCTATATACTTTTTTAAAATAGCATGAGAGCCTTCTACTCGTGAGGTTGCCCAATTTCCAAAATGAAGATATTGCCCTACCCACGCCCTAATAAACATCTCTTTATAGGTTAGCCAGGTATTTTTTACATATCGAAGAGCAGCAGGGGCAATTTGACTAAAATTAGTCTCAAACTTAGCTAGTTGATCTTGATATTCAAAAGTAGTGGATGAATTAATAAGGCTTTTCCACGATTGTATAAAAGCTTCAAATTCGTCATTCGAAGAGAAATACTGCTTCGTCTTTGCAAGCACATTCTTATTTATATGCCAAACGCAAAGTAAGTGTGGACTTTTCGGATAAATCACTTTAATTGCACCTAATAGAGCAAGGTCTCTGTCAGTGCAAAGGACTGGGGGAAAGGGTAAAGGATTAAGCCACGCAAAAAAGGTTTGTAGAGTCCACTTATAACTCTCTTCCTGCTCATTTTGCATAAAGCAAAAAGCAATACTAAAAGATAAATTCGACGGTGAAAGGCCGATAATATGTAAAAGAGGCATCTTATATCGATTCGTCTTATAAGTGCAGTCTAATAAAAAGACCCTATTATACTGGTTAGCAAGTCTAATTGATTCAGGGTGAGCGAATATAAAGAAAAGGATATGGCCATCACTATCCTGCTTAAATTTGTATCTCCAATTTTTCTGTTGAAGCGTTTCTCTTAGAAATTCGAGCGGTGTATAATTTCCAAGCTTCTTGCGTCTTAAGTCTGTTTGAATATTATAGATATCTCTTGGTGTAATTAGGACAGTAGGATCTTTTCGTATTAGACCAAGGATATGCTGTGGCTTTGATCCGATATCAGAAAGAGACTGGATAGTCTGGTTTTGATCTTTAGTTAACTGTCGACGTCGTGCTATAGAATGACCAATCATATTATCATCAGCTTCATGGTTATGAGTAGAGTTTCTGACCTGGATCTCCCATTGACCACTGTTAAGCTTCTTCGCATAGAGACGAAAAGGGCATCCAATTCGCTTAGTGCTTGTTTTCCGGCGCTTTGCACCGTCTGGAGCATTGATTCTATCACAGTAAACACCGCCTCTATCACAACCAAAGGTGGTATTCCTGCTTGGATTTGATGATATAGTAGTGATCGCGTAGCCATGAGATAGTGCATGCTGCTGTATAGAAGCAATTAGCTGCTCTCTAGTCTCAAAGACCTCTTCATTCGGTGGCTCCATTATTGAATGAAGAAGCAGATGAAGAAGCAGATGAAGAAGCAGATGAAGAAGCAGATGAAGAAGCAGATGAAGAAGCAGATGAAGAATGAATCGAAAGTGAGACTCAGTAGAAGAAAGTGAGACTCAGTAGAAGAAAGAGAGGCTCTTATAGTAGTAGTTGATAGAATGTAGTTGCTATAGTGGTAAGTAATGCAGTTGCTGCGGTAATGTATGGTAAAGATTCTTGGCAAAATTGATTATGTGATGCGGGTATTACATAATTGTTGTGCCAGTAGTAAAAAGCTGTTGTGTCCCTATCAATTCCCGCCGCAGGCCCCGCGCTGACATAACTTCCTCTTTTTCTCTCCGACCTTTCCCCCAAACACGATGGCATTCAGAGGCGAGCGTTTCGTCGTCGACTTGGACGATGACACAATCACGATTCCAAGTGACCCCGTCCCTTCCCCCTTCTCTCTGATCGGTGAGATTCGGGAACGAGAGCCTACTGCCGCCACACCGCCAGCTCCAGCACCGCCCTCATCTGCGTCTTCGACCGGGTTCCCCGCGCACCGCCGCCGCAATAAGACTCCCTCCTTTAAAGAGCGAAGAGCCGAGCAGAAAGCAACAGCCAGCGCTACTCCTGCTTCGTTGAATACTCCACCGACGATTCAGGATGACAAGCGTGCGATCGGAGAGGAGAACAAGCGCCATTTGGCGTCCATGTCGGAAGCACAGATTCAGCGGGAACGGGAAGAGCTGATGAAATCGATGGACCCGGGTCTGCTGGAACGATTCTTGCGGCGAGCTCGAATTGATGATGATGAAAAGCCTAGCTCTGAGACAGCTGAGGCTACATCTACGTCCACACCTGCACCTGCACCTGCACCAGCAACCGCGCCGACAGCATCAAACCCCAAGAAATCCGTCTCCTTCGACATCCCACTCCCACCGGCACCCTCAGCCCCGGAACGAAAGGCATCTTCTCCAAAAATCTCCACAACCCTAAAATCACCGGCCAACGATGACCGTCCACCCACTCACCTCCCCAAAGACCTCCGACCCGCCTCCGAAAAACCCCCCATCATGGACCCCTCCGTCATCGAAAACTTCCACTTCCCCCGTCCAACCCAACCAATGCCAGTCCTAGACCCATCCTCTCCCGATTTCCTCACAGACCTCCAATCCCACTACTTCCCTGAAATGACCACCGACCCCGCAGCCCTGTCCTGGCTACGCCCACCATCCAGCGACCCCGAAGACCCCGACTCGATCTCCCCGTATCATCCCGCCAGCAGTGCGAGCTCAATGTCACCTTCTGAGATTCGCTTCTCTCTACGTGGGACAATCCTCGGGCCATCGACCTCGTTGGCTCTGCCTACCACGCTGGGATTGCACCACCACGGCAATGATCCGCAGGCAGCCGGGTATACGATCCCAGAGCTAGCGATCTTATCGCGATCAACGTTCGCGGCACAGCGGTGCATTGCGTGGCAAGTACTTGGCCGGATTTTATTCCGGCTAGGCAAGGGAGAGTTTGGGGAACGCGGAGGTCAGTTATCCGAGGGCTTGTGGTTTGTGATTGAGAAGGAGGGAGTGGTGGGGGGAATGTTGGCTGAAGCAGAGGGTGTTTCTGGACAAGATCGGATCCGTGGCAAGGGAGAGAGTGGGAAGGAGGGAGATGAGAAAGATGATACCGAAGAAGAGAAGAAGGCAGGTGAACAGGATCAGGATCGTCCTGCATTGCCTGTTGCATCTGGCATTGGGCGACATGCCAGTGCAGCAGCGTGGGCGATGGAAAGCGTTTGGTTATGGCAAAAGGGTGGTGGTGGAGATCGGGGACTCTTGAAACCTGGTCAGACTCGACCCCGGTAGTTGATTTACATCTCGGCTTGACATATACGAGTCAATATCATGATATAAGCATTGTCTGCATAGCTCATTTTTGATGCTTACAAAATATGGGTCTCTCTGTATACGGCCTCTTTCATGATGATCTCTTGAGAGAATACCACGACGCTAGCCGTTAAATGGTCTTCTATCCAACGGCCACGCGACTTGACACCGCTTGTTTGTGGAGCTATACTATCCAAGGACTACCTATGCAAGCAACGGGCACCGCATAAGAACAGACTAGTATATAGCAAGAGGGTAAAGTTGCATGCATTATCATGGATATCGTATCATACAAAAACACGCCTGTAACCAGACCAGCACAAAATCCATCACAAGAAGAATAATCACCAACCGTAATCACATCACATCAAATCGATCCATTCATAACCAGCAAAACACCTCAATTCAAGCAGCATCGACTCCATCCCCGTGATCCTCACTCTGCACCCCCCAAATCTGCCACCTCGCCTCCTCGATGAAATCCCTCCTCAACCACAGACCCGACGTCTGATTCTGGGCTTGCACTTGCTCTTCTCCAGCAGATATCTCCCGCTCATCACCAGCCTGCACACGATCCAGCCAATCAAACAAAAGACGAAGTTGCCAAACCCGATCACGGACTTCATCCGGGTCCGCGCCCCGACCACGCGCAGCCTGGACAATATTACGCACAGTCTGGGTCAAAGCGAGTCTAGTATCAACAGCCGACGTGCGCAGCCAGGGCGGCGCAGTGATAAGTTGCTTGTTGATTCGTGTTGAGGGCGTTGGGAAGGATGACGGTAGAACGAGAGAGCGTTCACGGATGTCCAATCCCTGCAGAGATGGGAGGGCAAATATCCAGTCCCAGGGTGACTGGGAGGGAGTTGCGGCTGTGGCCAGTGAGCCGGAGAGTAAGGTTGTGTGGTTGGGGTATGTTGAGGGCGGGAGGCCCTTGGCTGGATTTGCGGCTGCGGCTGCAGAGGAGGCCGGGAGGATATCTTGTGCTTCGCTGAGGCCGGTGAGTGTTGAGGCGAAAATGGAGGTGGATGTACTTGAGGGACTGTAGGTGGCTTTGCGGCGGAGGTAGACGGATGGGTCGCCTTGGCGGAATTTGTCGCGGAGGGCGTCGTCTTGGCTGAAGTCTAGCACAAGAGGCCAGTGGTCTGGGCCGCGGACTTCGATGCGGGTTATTTCGCTTGGATCAGGGAGGAGGCAGGGTGCGGTGAGGGTGCGTGTGGCACCGCCGTCTGAGGTAATGGTGATGGGGATAGAGATGGGTCGGCGGGTATCGAGATCTCGAGGCACCAGGCACCGTGGCTCTGCGGCGAGGACCCAGAGGTGACGGAAGGCTTGGAGGTGGCATTTGTTGTCGAGGACGCTGGTGGGGAAGATGGGATAGAAGGCGCAGAGGAGCGCCGCTACGCCCAAGTCGGATGTACCCAGGGTATAGCTGCCGCCGCCGAGGAAAAGCATGCCGATAGCCATGTGTGCGGCCATGTGGCTACCGTAGGGTGTATCAGGGTCGACTCGCCCATGGAGAGCGCGCAGTCGCCGGAACAAAGCCAGATCACCGGTGCCGGCCATGACAGCCGCCGCAGACAAAGACACGATATCTTGACAGTTCCTAACCGAATTACGTGCAAGCCTGGCATCATAGTTGAGCACTGGGAGACGCGAGATGCGAATGAACTGGTCCAGGTAGAACAGTAGTAAATCGCGGGCTTGATGGTTGCCCGAGCCGGCATAGCGAAGACCTAGAGCAAAGCAGAGACCGGCGATGATGTTGAAGAAAGGCATGTCCTCACTCCGTAATTGAGACACCCCTCCAAGTCGGGCTCGTCGTTGATACACTTTTGGTAGACTGGCATTGATCCACTTGCTGTCGGGCTTGATGCTATCCCACATGATGAGATGGCGTGCCAAAGTACGCAAAAGGAAGAGATCAGGGCGGACATAGTCGAAGCGAACGGTAGTATCGGGGATATCAATCTTCTGGGCCAGAACCTGATCGTTAGTTTTCATGAAGATGATGGCCAGCGCAATTGTTGCACCGGCGGTGGCGCGATCCAACACATGGGCGAGATCAACATGCTTGGTGCCCACGGCGATTGATAACAGGCGCTCAACAATGTGCATGTCCCGCATGCCTCGTAAGTCCTTGCCCTTGGCGAGATTGATAATTCCCAGCGCAAATCCAGCAGCCAGGCGGTATCCTTCATCTCGCAAGTCTTCCTGGGATCCGGACTGCTCATCCTGTTCAGTGTTCTCGATCTCCGATAGCATCACTTCGCTCATACGTCGGTGCTGAGAGCCACAGTAGAGCAAGCCAATTCCCATAATACCCGCAGTTTGAGTGAGAGACGACAAATTAAGCTCGGCAGCACCCATTGGTAGCATTCTTGAGACATGAACTGAAAGAAGGCGAGTGATCAAGGTGTCCATGGTGCCCAGGTACGAGGCAGAAAGACCGAGCAGGAGGCCAATAGAGGTCATGGTATGCTTGGGAGTCAAGTACTTGAAAGCAACCCATTTGGCCAGATTCTTGAGGTGGCCATTCAGACCGAGAGCAAGCAAGAACCCGGCATGCCGGTTGGTGAGCTCTCCAGGCTTGTTGAACAGGATCCATGAGGTGTCAATTCCCTTGGATGCCTTGGAGATAGCCAACCCAGTAGATACACCGTTGTGGAAGAAGGCCCAGCAGACCTTTTCTTCGGTGAACGCGCTCCTTTCGGCACTCACGGTGACGTTAGATGGCTTCATCACGCACTGTAAAGAGAATGACGGAATAGGAAGCTTTTCAGTCAGCAACGGTAGGCGGCCGCTGAAATATAGCATGCCGCGGCCTGCAGGAGTTGACAAAGTGCGGAATGAGACAAGCTGCACAATTTCCTTCTGAGCCTCAAGAAGTTCCGAATCTGTCCACTCAGGCTCGGGTACACAGTCTGCCACGGGGGCTCTAGACTGATTCAAGAGTCGACCTGCCTCTACGTAGCGCCTATCTTCACGGAAGACGAGCCTAGTCACAGAGAACCGGTCAGCCTCCGCGGAAGCCTCAAAGGCGTGGTTGGCATCGATTTCCAATGATGAACTGCTGATGTTGTGGAAATCACGGAGGGCGTCATGAGAAACCACGGGTTGCTGAGGTACTGCGAATGATTTGGCCTGCACTGGGTTCATCGACATGTACAGATCTTCTCGATCAATGAGCTCTAGAAGCGTGGCGTTCCAAGAGGTTGATGCCTCATTTTGACAGTGCATCACGGCTTCATACAACGGGGCGCTAACGCCTTCCGGGAAGGTATCGATAATGCTCTTGGTCAATCCCCAGCGATGAAGGAGCTGAATCTTTTCCAAAGGTGTCGACACACGATGAACGTCAGAGAGGAAGCCAGTCAAAGCCAGTGATCTGGGAGTGACATTGAAACACTCTTTCCAAAGTCGGCCCTTTCTAGGGGTCCGGTCCGAAGCGTTGACAACGTCAAGGAGTGTGAGGAATGGCGACGGTCCTTGGCGTGTAGCTTCGATGAGGAAAGAAAAGATTGACGGAGGTGGGAATGGTTCAGCAGGGAAATTGAGCTGAGTGATACGGGTATCTTCAAACTGCCAACGTTCCATACTGGCCATCTCGGTGCCATAATAGGAATCTTCACTCCAGTTCCAGGACTGCCAGCCTAACCAACCACCCAGTTGTGCAAGGATAGGGGCAAGCAGGCCCAACGGCTGTTGAGACTCCTCAGTGTCGGATGTGGAAAGCTTCTGCTCCTCTCGTAGAAGATGAAGGCCGACCAGGATGGTACCCAATGCTGTGCATCTTGTGTTCTCGGCAAAGGCCCCAGAAATTGGCAAATATCCGTCACGGCCAGTGGCTCTTGCACCCAAGGGACTCTGTAGGAATTCCCGACTCAGAGACATGCATCGAAGGAGGTAAGAGTTGTGGCGATAAGTTGACCGGCTTGCATTTGGCTGTTCATTCTTTGGCGTACGGGTTGCTTCCCGGGCTGCCATGTCTGCGATTGCATCTTGTTCAACGATCCAGCCCCATGCACTGCTGTTCATCCATGGGGCGACGACCCCGGATGATCCAGACTCCAGATCAAGCATGGCTTCCCAGCTCTCCAAGTCAATATAGCTGCCGCTGCTTGACCGTAGGAGGCCCTTTTTTCGGCGCGTCCGTCTGGCTGGAGTCTGAGGTTGAGACTGTTTGATGAAGGGCACTGCTAGAGAGAATAGGACTATGACCATAGCAGTCCATTCAAGATCATTTTCAACTTCCTCTCTCCCCTGAAGCCACTTGATGACCTCCCACCAAGCTACCAGCATGCCATCTCCTGCTTTCTCGGTGTCACGAAGAACGAACTTGCAGACGTTGAGGATTTTCTTGACGAGCTCATTACGAGGTTCCATCCGGATTTGAAGTCTATGACGCTGCTTTTCCGTATCAATCAAGTCGACCTTTCCTCGGGAGCAGCTATGGTCAAATGCATTGAAAACGAGATCGGGATCTGCCATGACTCGATTGACGCCGCTTTCTCTCGAGCGATTCACAAGTTTGCTGGCAGACACCCCATGGGGTTCAAACAGCTGTAATGGGCAAGGGATATCGATCTTGGTTGGACTGCCCCATAGAGTCTGCAGAGACAGCTCCCGCTGGCCATTCTCTAGGACAGTCAATGTGAGAATTCGCGAGGTCTCACCATCGGTGACACTGCATGCATCCCAAACGTTAGGAATATGCTGGATACCAGTTGCGTGAACTAGTAACGGACGCCTCTTTTCTGTTCTAGTCTTTTTGGCCATCTTTCGACTTTTGGATGTAGCCACTCGCTCTGCTCTCAAATTCACAATGCTCATGTTTTGTGAGTCTTGATCCACAATGCAGATTGCCACTGATCTGACATTTCCATTCTGCGTGCTGGTATAGTCTGATGAGGACAGCGTACATACTCTCAGATGGCGGGACGATACGTGCTGAATTGATCCGCGGAAACTGCCAGAGAACATAGCTGAGAAACTCTCTACCTTGGACAATAGGAGCTCTTCCGGCAAGCCCGAAGCTGATTCACGAAGGGCAATGTTCTCGAATCCTTCAGACAAACCACCGCTGTTAAGCTCTTCCAGCAGCCTGTCCACTGGAGCATCCACAAAACTTCCTGCGGTGCTGTAGATAGACCCTGCTGCTGGAGGGAGGGATGCACGAGGGTTAAAACCGAAGCTTCCTCTGGCGCTAGCGGCTCCGATAGACTGTCGGAGTCCACCATGATGAGGCGCGGCGTTTGACTGGCTGCCTGTAGCAAGGTCGGAGAATGTAATGCGGTCCTGACTGGTGGCAAGATCTGTTCGTGCAAGCAAAGAGCTGACTCGTCTAGATGTTTTGAGAGGCACACCGACGTCTCCGAAATCTTGGGCAACTCTTGAGACCAAGTCGTCCTCAGCATCATTCTTGTTCTCAGGTTGCTGAGACGAGGCCCAATTTTCGGTCCACGGTCCGAAGCTCTCGCGGCCGGCAGGCGGACGAGCAGCGGGCGTGGTGGCACCAGTGGTCATTCCAAAGTGCGAGCTTCGTCTTTTGGAACGAGTGCCTTCAGTGTGCCGGCGGGCCTTATCCTGAGCAGATCCGTCAATTTCATCTTCTCTGTATCTCGCAGTCCAAACGGTGTATAGTCCAGTATTGGTGTTCATTGTAAGAACTAATATCAATGGGCCAGTTGTCTCTTGTTGCCCCTGACTTGACAGCTCGTCCTTGGGAGAAATGTACACAATCTCATCTGCAGGATCTAGAACATCCAAGCCCGATGGTCGTCGCCGTGTGGCGCTGCTGATACTGCTCTGGAAGCCCCGCGAGGCTGCCGATGTCACCACCAAGCCCATCTCTGAATGAGGGTCGATGAGCGAAAAGACTCGGGGAAGATCTGAGGTGGCACTGGGATTGGGACCCCATGTGGAGCTCTGAAGCGAGGGAAGTTTTAATGACTGTCGTTTTCCTTTGCTGGGGAGTGGCCGTGGTACTCCAGAAGACTGCGATGCGCCAGGGTCGAATAACGAGGCACCGGTCATGAAGGAGTTGGGAGGTGCAGTTAAGTTTAGAGGCCTAGGCGGCTCGTCGGGTATTTTTCTCTGAAAGAGCAAGCCCCGAGGAGTCGCAAACACAGATTCGACCTCAAATGGTAGAGGAATTGTATGGCTATTCCCTGCGAGGAAGAAGATATGTGCCTGTGACTTGAGGACCACGACCAAAGCTCGAGATAGCTTCTCGTTGGGCTGCTGCGGAGCGACCACAGCGACCCGAGCATCCCCATGCAAGTCCAATGTTGATCCCGAACTTGCCAGAGTCGATTTGCCTCCATTTCGCTTGTTTTGTCCTCCTGCCCGCGCAGTCGTTGTTGTGCCGGTCGTGCGATAACGATTTGAAGCCGTGGTGGTTGCACTTTCATGCACAGAGCGCTTGACATATCCCGCAGCGAACTGAGTGAATAGAGCATGTCGAATATCCTCTTTCTCCGGGTCCAGTCGAAATATTCGTTTTACCACGCCCGCACGAGACCATACCACGCAATGCTTTGTCCAAACCAGCTCGTCATCCACCGGACCTGTCGAGCCATTTTCGTCCACACATGTCGTCCATTTGTATTGGTCTTCCGAAGGGTCTGGGGGTAGGATTCCTTCCGTGACGAGGTATGAAACGGCCGAAGGCTCGTGTAGGCCCAGCGAGCGAGTGGTGGCCATAGTGGGCTGAATAGTAGCTTAGAAGCTAAGATTGTTGTAGTGCGCCTTCACAGATAGTCTTCCCACGGCGCAAGCTGCTGAAAAAGCTGCACCCATGTTCGAATCCGAATTTATTCCAAAGCGCGCAGCCAGTACGGCATGTCGAACGGTTGTGGTGTTGGAGACTGGGAAGACGCGCAGGAACGCGGAGAGATCGACCCGGCCGACTTTCTTTTGCCTCTGACCAAAACAACTTAACTTTGACATCTCCTCCACTCAACCACTACCACCACTACTCTCTCCCAGCACAACCTCTGCTCAATCTTACAGATCTTTGCGACAAATCTAGACTAACTAGGTCGAGCTATCGAGACCGCTCTCGTCAATTAATATTGTCGTGCCGACCGGCGCGCTTGTGCCTAGAGGTCTCACTCGCACACCGTCAGATCGTTTGCGCCATGCCTTCTTTCCCCGTTGACCCGCTTGTGCGGCCCAGAGAAGATGATTTGCAGCTTTGGTATGCACCGCCCTCAAACTTTTTCCCGCTATGCCAGCTTCTTCAAGGCTAACGTGATTCCGACAAATCTTTAGCTACCGACTCCCCCATCGTATCCATGCGGCCAAAGCCTACCCCTTGCGGTCACCCAATGGCTCTTCGATCATCGTTTATGGCTACGAGACCGGCCTGAAGATTGTGTGGAGGGGAGGAAAGGAATTCTCAGCATTGAAGGAGGCCGCGCCCTCAACGCATGCGAAAAGCGCAAAGAACGATGGTGACGATGCGGTCATGATTATCGACTCCGACGAAGACGAGGCACCCGCGGCCCCTACATCCACAGAAGAGCCCAGCTATGACTTTGCTACGGAGGAATCTGAAGTCGACCCTGCATTCCCGTTCGAACCGATCTTGCGTCAGATTGACATCCCTTTGGGAAGCCGTGTTCTCGATGTGGCAGTCCCCCGTCTCCTTCCTGAGGAGGCACGCTCGCCTCTCGACCCGTTCCCGACAGTCGCAAAGGACACAATTTATGTGGCGGCAGTCTGCTCAGACCTTTCAACTCGGGTAGTAACTTTACCACTTGTCCCACCTCACCCAGCCCAGAAGGATTCCAAGAGCTGGAAAATTCAAAAAGTCACAGTCAACGGAGGCGTCACACACCAGGATATCCCGAGGGGTGTCTCTCTCACATTCACTTGCCAGGAGTCTGAGGACGAGCAAGCTCGCCGAAAGTCACGAAGCCGAGATGAATGCTCCGGTAAATGGGACCTTCTAGTTGCCACACACTCAGCAGAGGGATCAGGTGCCCTCTTGATCCATCGGATTCCTCTCCAAGAGGAGTCTTCTGGTCAGAGTGTGCTCTACCGGCTGGTAGAAGAGGACCTTGTTTCTCAACGGCGAACCTTGCCCTCACCGGCTCAGACCATTTCTTTCAATCCTTCTGCTTACCCTTCGGCTCGTCATTCGAATCTATTGGTGGCCTTCCACAGTGGTTGCGTGAAAGTATACTCGTGCTTTTCAGTCCAGAAGTCCTCTCCAAAGGGTGGGCGGCGGGGGTCAAATTCCCAGGATGAATACGAAAGTATTGACACCGAAGGCCGATGGCTGATCAGCCTGTACCCCGGCTTCGAGCAAGGGCCGACAGGCCTTATCCGCCGTAAGACCATCATCGATGCTGACTGGGTCCTCGGTGGACGAGCCGTCATGGTTCTACTGGCAGATGGCGAATGGGGAGTCTGGGATATCGAAGGTGCTGGCCCAGGAACGACCAAGGGCCCGCTGCACCGTCAGTCTAATGTACAAGGTGTGACTGGAGGCTCCTTGACTACATATGCGGTCAGTGGACGTATTGTAGCTCCCTTGACCAACACCCAGTCGGACGCGGAGCAGCGATCACGATTTGCCCCGATGACTCCCTCTACGAGACGAGTTCGTGAAGACACGCTGCTAAAGGGATCGATGACCGCCACCAGCCCATCACTTCGTGGCCAGATCTCTGTCTGCCAGACCAACGTCTCTCATGACCTGGCCGACGAATCGATTCTGCTACGACATGGCCAGCACAGTGCAGTGATTCCAAGCTTGCTTTCTCTCTGGCGTAACGCAGTCAAGGCAACTGGTACCTTTGACGCCTCAAATCGGTGCCGCGTGACCCCATTCCCGGTCGTGAACCTGATGGGAGAGAACTTCCAAGCAATTGGCCATCTACCTGCACCGGCCCGTCGCTCTCGAGCCGCCGAGCCTCAGAAATTCGACGTCCTCGTGGCTGCCGAGCACCAAATTGTGATTCTTGCCCCTCGGTTGGTCGAGTCTGAGGAGATCGTCCCCACAACTCAAGTCGCGAAACAAGAAGTTGATCTGGAATCAGACCAGATGAAGCTGCGCCGAGGTGAACTGGACGTGGAGGGTATGGGCCGTCTGTTGAACGGCATGGCCAACGGCACTGGGTCTCTACGCGTGGGTGCCAGCCCGGTGAAGCGAGCTCGCATCTTCACTTAATTTGGCAAGGGCATCGGACACACCATAGATGATACCCATGCACCAAGGAACGAAATATATTAACCTGTTCTATTATTCCTCAACCTAACTATTTCATCTTTCACATAGGAACCAGATACATCATTCGCGCTGTAAGGTGGAGCGCAAGGCGAGGACCATGCCTTGAAATTCGCTTCTTCGGAAGTGAATAAGCTCTGTATCGGATGCGATATATCAAACCACCATCTTCAACGAAGCTTCGTGCTTCACGCCACGGCACATCTTGTCCTCGCGATATACATGTTATGTTGCGGCACTCGTGTTTGATTTCCCGGGTTCACCTGCTCTTGCCCGATTACCTCCATGAACCACCGATCTGTCCTTGGACGATTACTCACATCGTGGGCGTGGTTGGTAGTGCGGTGAGACAGGCCGGGAGTTGGATGCAGTGTGGATTGGCATGGATGGGACATCATTTCAAACCTGTTCTTTGAGGCAAGGTTGCTCTAGGTAGATATAGGTTGAGGCTTCTCGCAACACCCTATCTCCCTTTCGGATGTGAATAAGAGAGTGTAAATCATTATTTTCCATAATACATGCTATTCTTTTGCAGTAAGGTTCTATAAGTTTGAAACTCCGATAGACTTTCAAACAATATCTTACCAGACATGAGCTTGAACCATAGACCAAGAAGAAACCTAGGCCATCAAGAATGGTAGTTCGAAAGACATTTAGGAAGATCTTCTGAAAAACAAGAAGTTGAAGCATATTTGGGGGTATGGCGTGTTGTGCGAGGAGCCCCAACCTTACCTATATCTAGTATCCGCTAGGTCTTTCAAGATAGCATATTCAGGCCTCTTTGTCGTGCTATATATGGACCTTACCTGTTCATGCGGCTCCAGGACTAGCGAACCGATAGTAATAACGACGACCTAAGAACCTACCTAGTTTCCCACAACCGGGTATCCCCATTCCAATCAGACTGTGCCCACCCATCAGTAACAGGAACTTTAACAAGATCATACGCAGTCAGCCAAGTCTCTGACCAAGGCAAGTCCTTTTCTCCGCACCACCGCTGAATCCGACCCAGTACCCAAGAAAAGATATAGTTGATAGGTTAGATGTTTGTCAAGAAACAGGCTCGACAGGACAGGGCAGGAAAGAGAGCTGTAGGCTCACCCAAAAGTTTTACGAAAAACTGCGCGAATCTCGTCTCTTTCATCCCTACTTCGTTCCCCAAAACCATCCGCCTTCCAAGGGTCTTCACCCAGCGCAAGTCCCGGAACAATTTCCCAAAGAACATGCACAAGAAAACCCCCAGGAACACGCCCCGAGGGATCCTGTCTCAACACCTCAGAGTCCAGTAATTAGGGCGTAAACCCCGAAACCCTCTCATCCTGACTAAGAGTCCGATACGCATAGAGCTCACGCGGCTCCCAAGTCCTCGCTTGCTCGGCGCGAGTAGCATGATCCTCAAACTCTGTACCAACGTAAGGGATCTGGAGATAAACCCGTAAGAATGCTTCGATTTTGGCTTTGGATGAAGGGCTGAGCTTTATGCAGCGTAGTTTGATAGTAGCCTAGCTTGGTATAGTCATTCTCGAAATTGCGTTGACCAATATACACTGACACTCTTTCTCGGCCCTACCGCTAAGGCCTTAGCGTCGCTACTGGGCGTCCCACGTTAATTGAATGTTGCGTTAGAATGCGCCGTTATATTACAGCGTCTTGCATCGTAAGAATACACGATGTGTATGAAAAAAAATTAGATGGAATCCCATGGAATTCCACGGAACATTTATACAGAGCATGGAGGAAACACCATCTGGCGCCTCAACCCACCCCCGCCTTCTTGCCCAGGTGACCATTCCCATACCTAAGGTTAAGAGCTTTACTCTACCTCTCCCCCGTACGTACAAAACTACAAAACTCATATTTCATGGCTTATGGTACATCATCGATTTTGCATTATGGAGTCCAGGATCCGCCTATCCAATCACGATTACTCTGTCGGATGGATATGCGCGTTGCCGGTGGAGACGGCCGCTGCGAAGCTGATGTTGGACGAAGAACATCCCCCCTTACCTCGTCAGCCAACAGATCAGAATACATATATTCTTGGACGCATCGGGGGACACAACATTGTCATTGCTAGCTTGCCGAGTGGAGCATATGGCAGCACGTCGGCTGCAACAGTTGGGACGCAGTTGTTGTCTAGTTTTCGCTCCATCCGCATTGGTCTACTAGTCGGCATCGGAGGAGGAGTACCAAGTGGCATTGCGGATATTCGACTAGGGGATATAGTAGTGAGCCAACCGACGGACACTTGTGGAGGCGTAATCCAATACGATCTTGGTAAAACGTTGAACGAAGGTAATTTCCAGCGGATCGGGATGCTCAACCGGCCACCTAAAACTATGTTAACTGCCCTAACTACCCTCCGAGCACATCACTACACGAAAGGTAGTAGAATATCTGAGTTCGTCTCCAATGTCCAAGCCAAAATGATGCCCCACAATGCAGAAATCTTCACGCGACCAATCCAAGAGGACCTTTTATTCCAAGCAGACTATGATCATGCCCAATCTGATTTGTGTGTCAATTGCGATCGATCTAAACTGCTTCGGCGGCCCACACGAGGCCATCAAGAACCAGTCATCCACTACGGACTTATTGGATCTGCTAATCAGGTGGTGAAGGATGGGAAGCGGCGGGATCAGCTAGCCCGGGAATTTGGCATATATTGTGTGGACATGGAAGCCGCGGGACTCATGAATGATTTTCCATGTCTGGTCATTCGGGGCATCTGTGATTATGCCGACTCACACAAAAGTAAAGAATGGCAAGGATATGCGGCAGCAGCGGCGGCAGCTTATGCGAAAGAGCTTCTCTTGATAGTCCCAATCGATCAAACCAACAGTATCCTAACCGCACGAGAAACTCTTGCAGACCGCGGTAAGAGACCAAGCCTTCAATATATAAGACTTCGAGAGTTACTTCGAATTTGCTACTGAATGTTCTTTATATATTTAGATGCTTGCTTCAACGTCCCGTTCAATATAACCGCTGTTCTAGTGATTGAGAATTTCCTAGGACGGCAGGACGAGCTAGATCAACTCTGGGAGTATTTACGACCCACGGATTTGCAATCACGAAAAGTCGCTATTCTCCATGGCCTTGGGGGAATAGGGAAGACACAACTGGCGATTCGTTTCGCGCGAGATCATAAACATGATTTCACTGCTATCTTTTGGCTAAGTGGCAAAGACCGAGGCACGCTTTTACAATCTCTAAGCTCAATCTTGCCCCTGTTACCCGGACAGTCCTTGAATAACGAGGAGGCGAATAAAAAGGAGATAGAACAACGGGCTATGAAAGTGTTACGGTGGCTAGCAATAGAGGGAAACTCACGCTGGCTAATCATTTTTGACAACATTGACCAATACTCCCCCTCCGGCACTGTTGGTGACGCATATGATATCGGAGAATTTTTCCCCGCCGCCGATCAGGGTTCTATTCTTATTACTACTCGCCTTCAAAGCTTGGCTGAGTTAGGGAAATCTTTCCCAATCAACAAACTTGAATCTAATGATGCAATCCAGCTGCTCTTGCAAAGCAGTCGCCTCTCAGCACGAAATACTACCCCAGGCCTTGAGAGCGATATAGGTACTTAAGCCTAATACAGACATTTGATTTATGATACTAACATACATAGATATTCTTGTTCTTACAGGTCGTCTAGACGGACTTCCATTAGCGATTGTCATCGCTGGGGCCTTTATGCGTGAAACTGGAATCAATACCACAGAGTATTTGGAGTATTACCAAGAATCATGGTCCGACCTACAGCTGCAGTCGAGTCCTATACGCCAGTATCAACAAGGCAACATGCTGCAGACATGGATGATCTCGTATTATGAGATCAAAAAGCGGGATACAGACGCAGCGAAGCTGCTATTGCTGCTTGCCCACTTTGATAATCGAGATCTCTGGTATGAATTGATACAGGGCTGTTGTTATAGTTCAGATGTCCCACTGTGGCTCAAGAGGATCACGGCAAGCGGCCTTGCATTTAATGTCAGTGTGAGAACTCTTCTCGAGTTCTCCCTTCTTGAGATGAAGCCACATAGGGGGGGGTTATTTGATGCATTCTGTGGTACAAAACTGGTGTCTTCACGTTGCCAGTTCGGACGAGAACATTAGTTCACTCCAGCTAAGGAAGATGGCACTCATAGCTGTCGGACACGCTATCCCTGAAGCAAGGGATAGAAATTATCCTGAACTTCAGCAACGGCTAATTCCGCATGCACGTCACGTCTGTCGTGGGGATTGGTTTAACTGTGATTTTGCGATTTGGGGAGCATTTCATGGTTTAGGAGAGCTATACTTCGAGCAGGGGAGTCTAAAAGAGGCAGAGGAGATGTTCCAGCGAGCGCTGTTAGGCAGGGAGAAGACCCTTAGTCCGGAACATACGTCCACTCTTGACACAGTCAACTGCCTCGGTAATCTCTACAAAGAGCAGGGGAAGCTCAGAGAGGCAGAAGAGATGTACCAGCGAGCACTTTTGGGTAGGGAGAAGGTCCTTGGTCCGAAACATACGTCTACTCTGGGCACAGTCAACAATATCGGCAATCTCTGCGTTGCGCAGGGGAAGCTAGACCGCGCAGCTGAGATGTACCAGCGAGCACTGTCGGGGAGGGAGAAGACTCTCGGTCCAGAATGTCCGTCCACTCTCAGCATATTCAACAACATTGGGAATCTATATAGAATTCAGGGAAAGCTAGAGCCGGCAGAGCAGATGTACCAGCGAGCATTGCTGGGCAGGGAGAATGCCCTCGGTCTTGAACACACGTCCACTCTTGGTACAGTCACTAACCTTGGCAACCTCTACAAGGATCAAGGAAAGCTACTGCTGGCAGAAGAGATGTACCGGCGAGCCCTGACAGGCAAAGAGAAGGTCCTCGGCTTAGAGCACATGTCTACACTCAACACTGTCGGCAACCTTGGGCTTCTCTACAAAGATCAAGGGAAGCTTAAAAAGGCAGAGGAGATGTACCAACGAGCACTGGCAGGGTTTAAGAAAACACTGGGCTCAGACCATAATAAGACACGGTGGGTTAGGGGCAAATTGGATGAGCTAAACATACAGATGGAACGTGGTGGATAGCCCTTTTATAGAAAATTTCGACTTTATTCTGAGCTTATTATAATGATGCGTTCGGTGAGTGATAGTGCATTTGACCGAGACTGAGACCCTTGATTCGAAAATAGATATATAGCAACTGAGTATTGGTCAAGACGAATTTATGAATATTTATATATGCCGTGCATGCTGAGAGTGAGTTGAGACTACTTAGTAGGCGGCGAAAGATCTACAAATCAAGCACCAGCGCTTCTTTTAGCCTGATGTGTGGTGATTAGCGACACTCTCGGGTTGCAAGTTTGTGTATTTTTACACCTCTAGTTACCGTATCATACGAGGCGCATTTTACGATACTGAATCCCCTAAGTGAACACGGCCCCTGCACTGAGCCCTCAATTTACTCCGGCTCGCTCAATAGATGATCTGTGCTAAGGTCTTGGCGGTGGGGCCGGGAAAGAGAGTCTCAGTGTGTACTCCGTACTGGTCAAGCCGATTTCGAGAATGACTGTAATTGGCCTTTTGACTGGTGGGTATCTTGGTTAAGGCGTGACTCGATTCTCCAGCGAGAGCCACTTGGGAAGGTGATAAGCTTGCCGGGGTCGTAGTGTCCTCGTAGAGATCTTCTGTCGAACCAGGATCTTGGGGTATTGCATTTTGACGAATGTTGCGAAAAGGCGAAAAGGCGAAAAGTCGGGGTAAGGAAACGATTTGGTGAGGTGAGGTAGTGACGGAAATAGCTTAATACCAAATCTGATACAAATATTGACATCAACAGGGTGCCACGTGGGTTATCGACATACAGTACAGTACTACCATGGATGGCTACGAGAATTCAGTCAGGAAGTAAAGTTTCAAAATTTCTATTTTCAGGCATCTATACAGGCCTGGGGAGGGTGTATGCAAAGAAGAATAAACGCACTATACACAAGACGTATAGCACAGCCACGCCAATGCGCAACCCAGCCTCCAGTCCATACAATCAACACCGACACCAGCACGAGAAGCAGAACCGGGATCAGTACCAGAACGAGCGTCAACAAGTACACTCTCTAGAAGCCCGTGGACCAAAGTTGACATTCTGCAGGTAAATCTAACCGCTGTACCCAACGGCCTCGAGTTCCTTGCGAACCGCATCTTCGGTCTGGATCTTCTTCATCTGCGTATCCTCCAGCTTCTCACCGCCAGCCAGACGCATCTTCAGCTCGTCGATGGCACGGATCTTCTTAAGGAGGCCACGGATCTTCTTGTCCTGGGCGGAGGGGTCCACAGCAGGTGCGGGGGCAGCAACAGGAGCAGGGGCAGCAGCAGGAGCAGGGGCAGCAGCAGGGGCTGGAGCAGGAGCAGCCTTGTTAGAGCCGTTCACTGGGGAGCCATTGTTCTTGCCACGGCCACGGTTGGGGCTAGGGCCGGTAGGGGCATTGGCCGGGGGAGTGTGGTCGCCGTCCTCGCGAGCCTTCTTGGCGGCCTCGCGCTTCTTCTTGTTCTTGGCGGCGGACTTGGAGAGTTTCTCGTTGTCTGCACCAGGAGGGAGGGCAACACCGCCGCCAGGCGCGGCACCTGGGGGCAGGTACTCCTCGACGGGCTCAGCGCCGGGAATCTCACGGCGGCGGGGCTTGCCGAAGCCGTTGACGCTGGCGGCACCAGCGCCGGGGAGACCCTCGCGGATGAACGCGGCACCACCCTGGTCTTCACGCTTGAAGGCAAGAGGAGTCAGTTGGCCGCGGGCACCGGGGGGACGATAGGCACCGGCGGGCTTGACGGGGGCCTTGCGGGTGGCCAAGTACGCGGTGGCGGAGGGGTGCGGTACGGGCAGCTTGGTGAAGGGGTCGCCCAGCGGGTGCTGGGTGATGCTTTGTGGACGCCAGCAGACATCGTAGAGCTCGGTCATCTCCTCGTTGTACACGAGGCTGCCGCTGACGTGCCAGATGCGGATACCGTTGTCGACACGCAGGCGAGGGCTGGTGGTCGCAGTCAGGATGAACTGGCCATCGGGGGACCAGTTGCACACGCTGGCGTTGGAGGCCTCCACGGTGGCAATCTTGTGGAAGTTTTTCTCCATATCATAGAGATCCATCTGACCTGCCAGGTTACCGAAACCGGCAACCAGGACGAAACGTCCGTGGGGCGAGAACAGAATGGTATTCCGCGGGCTCAGGGGGAAATTGTGCGTGGGCTTGCCACGCACGTTGAAGATGGTAGTCTTGGCGGGCATGTAGCCATAGACAACACCAAACTCCTTGGAGTTGGGGTTCCAACTCACATCATGAATGGGGCCATCTTTGTCTGTGGAAGCATTCTTGTTAGCTAATTTGCTCAAATTGGTAGGGATACAGTCCAAGAATATCACATACCGAGATCGACTCGAGAGTCAAAGGCGCCACTGGCACTGAGCAGGTACAGCGTAGTCTCACCGTAGTAGCTCTTACCAGTCTTATCGACCTCAGTCTGCGCAAGCACAATCAAAGTGGTACCGGAGGAGTTCCACTTCAACTGAACCTTGTCGCCCTTGAAGAAGTTCTTCTGCGAGACAGGAGCACCAAACTGAGGCACGATAAACACCTTGACGGCAGCGGGCTGGCCCTTACGCTCGGGAATGAAGACCGCGATGGACTGGGTCTGACCCGGCGAGAGGGCAAAGTCCGCCACCCCCTCCACACGCAGCTTATTCCACACCGACGACAGGTTATCACTCTGGTAGAACTGGACCTCGTTGGTCACAACGCGGGCACACAGCTTCTCATCGGGGGTGTATTGCAAGTTCCAGCCGGTCTGCGACTTCTGCACAAATTGTCCCACAACGGAGTGCTCGTCTCCAGCCTCAACCGCACGCCAGACCTTGAGGTTCTTCGTAGCATCGCCGTTGGCGTCCTTGGTGGGCCGTTGCCAGGTGATCACGTAGGTGCCGAGAGGGGAGAAGCCCAACTCGAACACGTTTTCGGCGAGGATGGTTGAGACGGTGTGGCCAACCGAGGCATCCACAATGGTGACCCTATCATCAAACTGGGTTAGATCAGATCAAAGGGAGAGAACTGAATAGGCATGCTTACTTTTCAGGCGACGCCCATGCGTAGTAACGGCCGCAAGGCGAGTAAGCACCGCAGCGGAGGTTTCCCTCGGGTCTAAACCGGGTAAAAACACGAGTCAGCCAGGCCATTCATCATTTCCTTCATGGAATACAGCTATGATCTTACCGCGCAAACCCAGGCAGAGGCTCATAAACGGGGGCAGCATCCATGATGCCAATCCCCTTGAGAGTTCGGTCTAGCGCCCAATCAGTATAATGCCCAACCAGAGATCCAAAGCCGCCATGTCACTCATCCACTCAACCAGTCTATCAACCGCGAGGAGCGGAAAGTATCAAATGGAAGAGGAGAAGGCGCAAGGCAAGCAGAGAGGGTAAACATACAAGCAAGCTGTGTGGGAGCCGCCATCTTGAAATCGACTTGCAGGATCGAGTTTTGAACCACGCAAAGACAGAGAAAATTCCGTTCCACTCAGGAAATCAAATACCCAGCTCAAAAAATCCGGTAAACGAGTAAAGAAACCCGTGTACACAGCTCAGAGCGGACGTTGAAAAAAAAAGCGGCGGGAACGACCTGGCTTGAAAATCAAATCACCCAGGCAGCGTTATCGGCGTACGTGTGACGAAAAAAAAGGCGAGGCGAACAGTAAAAACCGGCCTTTACAGCACGATCGATACAGCGACGACGGAATGTTATTCGGGGTGGTTGCTTGAGCGTGCAAGAATCGACTTTGTCGCGAAACTCAATTGCGCGGCGGCGAAGCAAGGCAAGTGGCGGAGTTTCGTGTAGCGGGTTAGGCAGGGCAAGAAAAAGACGTGGGTCGGAGTTTTTCTCTCTATCGGATTTGCTAGACAAGTCAATGCCAGCAGGTGGGCGTAGGGTTGGGAGATCCGAAGAGGGGAGGAGGAGGAGGAGGGGTGGGAGAGTGTGGAGGGAGGAGAAGAGGAGTTAAGGTGGTGGTTTTTGGGAGGAGTGGGGGATGAAAGGGTGGAAAGAGGTGAAAGAGATTGAAAATTCGGGTGTTGGCGCGGTTTTGGGGGGGCGTGGGCCCTTTTCGGAGGCGGCATGCCGTCATGTTGGTCTGCTGCGGGCTGGGCCGAAGGGCCTAGGCGATGGGTATAGATGGGTAGTGATTGAAGACTTCTATATATTGATGATAGTATTGATTATTTATGTCTTCTATTAAATTGTTTCTATTGAGAATGTGGGATGGAAATCATCTCAGATGTTATAGTGTACTTGACACGTGCCTATATCAAGGCAACGCCACCCAGAGTCTACCGCAATTTATACAGTACGTGATCATTGAATTAACAAGATACCTTGCATCAAAGAATCTTAATCACTATATGCTCCAAGTACTATGATTCCAATTTGATCATCTTGTCATACAGTCTTGACAGAGTACACATATCAAACCAACGCCACTCCCACTGGGTCCCCATCCACTGCACCGGACAAACACAAATCAAGCCACCACCTAGAAAAACACACAAGGAAACCAAAAAGTAATTGCTAAACTGCGCTGAAAAGTATCATATCACATACACATAAATCATATCCAACCCCCTTCACGTTCTCCAGTGCCAGTATCACTCAAGCCCGAGCCTAGTACCTCTCATAGAAATACATCCCACAAGTTTCACCAGCCATCAAATAGAGGCTAAGAAAAGAAGAGTGACAAAGACAAAGAAAAAACACAGAAAGTTTCAGTATTCCACCACATGGCATTTCTAAGGATCGAAAAGATCAAAGAAATCACCACTCGAGCTCTCTCTCAGTCTTCTACCTCAAGTCTCCAACGAATGGCTATTCTCGAACCGACCAAGGGTTTTCCACAAATATGGAGCCCCCTAATCACGAGTATCCAGTCCACTCGGGCTGCGATTCGGAGTAGCCAATCTCGGTGTGCGAACAGTAGTATCAACAACATCTTCATCAAAGGTCATCCCATTGACCATCCGCGCATCCTCAGGAACAGGCTCAGGTGTAATAGAACCCGCCAAACTAGACGATGCCATCGCACTATCCCCTCCATACTGCTGCTGCTGTTGCTGAATGTAACTAGCCAACGGGTTGGCACGGCCCACATTCGGGTTCACACCGGCACTCCCCATACTAGTTGGTCGGGCACCACCAGACGACATCCGATTCAGCCCAACAGGACGACTCGTGGGCCCAGAAATGGTACTATTAGCGCCCTCGCCAAACCCAACAAGACTGGCGTTACCCTCATCACTGACATTGCCCACACTATCGTGGTCGTCTGCGTCGACGTCCTCGCTCATTTTGTCTGCGGAGAATGCCTCGCTGCCCGATGCCCAGGTCGTATGGCCGATGCTACCGGTTGCACTGGCGCTGCCGACGGTGCTGCGCTCCTTAAGCGCGTGGCTATCGAAGTAGCCTGGGACATAGGAGGTTGGGATATGGCTGGCTGGGGAGGCACCGCCGGCGCGAGCGGTTGCGACACGCTCGAGACCGGCGAGGCGGGAGATGCGGTCTGCACGCTCGGCTTCGAGAGTAGTTGTGGAGGAGGTTGAGGCGGATGAGGATTGGTGGGCGTGGCCGCGGGAGTGTGGGAAGGGCGCGCCTTGGTGGCCGTCTTTGATGGCGGTTGTGGAGAGAGCTGAGAGGGAGGTTGTGCCGGAATTGGGGGTGCCACTGATGGATGGTTAGCTGTGATATTGATGCAGGGTTTGTAGCATGGAAGACATTCAAGAGGGATTGGATTTTCAAGGGAAGGGATTATTCTTACGGGCCCATGTCCGAGGGAGTGACGGGGTCAGAGGGGGGGAGGGGGAAGATTGATCAGAGTAGGCGTGGTCATCGTGGCGATTGACTCGGTCGTATCTTCTGTTCGATGTATCTGGAACTGTGCCTGAGGTTGAGTCAAATCTGACCACCGGGTGGGCACAAGAAGGAGTTATCGCAGAGCTTGCAGCGTGTTTCAAGGGAGCTTGTAGAAGAGGAGGAGATATGAAGAGGATTAAAAGAAGTGACCCAAAGTCCAAAAACGACGGAAATTGCGGGGAGCAAAAGGGACCCATTGGGCCATTTGCGGCGACGTCATGTCGGGCTGGGGAATGAGCCAATCAGCGCGGAGCTGGCGGGACTGCTGGAGTTGACGAGAAACCACGCAAACAAGGGCGATCATTAAGAGACCACTGACTACGAGATACAATCCCAGGATATGATAATGGGCAAGAAAATAGAAAATACAAACAGGCCCCTGTAATATAGCCAGTTCCATATAGATTCGTTCATTCATACAAGTAAATACAACCAAACCCCAGACTCCCGTAGGCCTAGGCCTAGGCCTTAAGTCCAAGCCCCCGGATCATTGACTAACCTTGCGGCTCTCATAATGTCCACGCAGATCATCCACCTCCTTCTGCAGCCGCGTCAGATCAGCCAAGATATCTTGAGCATTAGACGGCTGCGGTAGAGGGGCCTCCTCAACCCCCAGCACCTGCGATACCGGCCTGCCCTCGCCGCTACGGGAAGTAGAGTCTCGCGCGCGGCGCGGAGGTGGCGGGGGCGGTGGTGCTGCAGAAGCGAGCGAGCCGCCGGACAGTATACTGCCGTGTGAAGAGGCACGGCGATCGGGTGGGGGGAGGATTTGATCTGGTGGTTGTGGGGGGTGGTGAGAGGGAGTCTGGTGATAGGGAATGCCCGGGAGCAGGACGTGGCTCTGCTTCCCTCTCCCTGGACCTAGAGGAAGAGGGTGGTGGCATGCTGAGGCGCTTGCGATCTGATATAGACGAGGCCACAGAGCGGGTGGAGGGGCCTGGGCTGGGGGGTCCTGAGCTGTCGGTGCTCTCGGAATCACGCGACGACATGGTCAAACGGCTGCCGCTTGACTTGGACTGTATAGACTTGGACCGTCGCATCTGGCTATGTCGGCGACTAAGAGGGGGTGTGGGTGGACGTTTATGCTGGGAGTGTTGAGAGGCACTGCGCTGGACGGATTCGGCGGGATAGCTCGAGTGCGGTGCTCGTGCGCGCTGCTGGTCCTCGGAAGAAACCGAGAAGGAGAAGTAGTCTGCCCCTGTGGCCTGGCTTGTCGAGCTAGCATTGGGGGTGCCAGCCCGGCGAGTAGAGATCTGGCTCTCTGGGGACGAGGCATGGTATGAGAGGCGGTTAGTAGATCGAGGTGGTGAGGTGTGGGAAGACGAAGAAGCGGCATTGACTCTCGTGTTAGCTGTAGCATTCGTAGATGTGCTAATTCGTTTGCCGTGATGACTTCGCGGGGGAGGTGGTGGCTTCTTTTCTTTGTTGGCCCGACTTGGGGGTGATGTATTGGTGCCTGGTTCCGGTGGAGATCGAGATGTTTGTGTCTGGCCCCCATCCCGAGTCACCGGTGGTGGAACGATTTCTTGCAGTGTGCTTGAGCCCGAGCCCAGTCTAATCTCTGATCCTGACCGAATCGTCTGTGTAGTAGTAGGTACAAATGGCAAGTTGAACGATGGCGTGGCCGTCGACCCATCAGCGGATGGAGCTGGGTGTGGAGAAGACCCAAAGAATTCTCGCGGGCGATCATCAAGCGCCGAGCTCGTGGAGCTTCTCCGCTGAATATTTCCATCGTGGCCAGGCTCGTTGTCAGTGTCGCTCACGGAAGAGTCGGGATTGAACGGATCCGCGGTCTGCTCGTCTGATGATGTCGAGTCATCGGTCTCAAGTTCAAGCGACAACGAAGGTTTTTTGGGATAACCGTTGGGCAGCTGCGTAGGCACCGATGAAGCTGGTTTGGTGAAGATGTCGAGCGACACATTGTCAGGGATTGATGGTGATGTCGTGGCACCAGCGGAGCTACCTAATATTGTGACGACTCCATCAGCGTTTCGGATTGTCGATGGCAGTCAGATAGTACCGCGTGAGGAATGGGGAGCATGATGGGAGAATGGGGACATGGTCGTGCCTTATCGGGAAGTGGCGGATTGACTAGGGGAGAGAGGACATGGGGTATTGACTTACCGTCAGGATTTCTGGCGCGGAAAGGATTGAAACCAGCCATCGCGACAGAGAGGGCGTCTTCTCTCTCTCAGTCTCGTGGGAGAGAAGGTTGGAAGGAGGGGAGAGGATCCCCGCGCTTTCTTATCCATCCGCCCCCCCTCTCTCCGATGGCGTCCGGGAGCCCCGAGAGGCTGCAGTCGCGAATCCAATACTTCTATGTCCCTCAGGGCCAACGGTGATTACTTGAATTTTACCAGGATATTTGGCTTGAATAATTGATAAAACGAAAATGAAATGAGTTCTTGGTTTGACTGAGACAACCAGGGTCGTTTAGTATGGTACAATGAATGCTGTAAAAGAGCGCAAAGAAACAGAGAAGAAAACAACCAGAAGAATAAACAAGCCCCAGTCCAACCAGATAGAAAGAATCCCCCTCCCTCCGTGTGCCATATGAATAATCCCAGTAAGAATATAAAGATCGGGTAGAAAAGATCCGAAGAGAAAAAAAAAAGAAGACCCCTAAACCTCCACAAATTGCCCATGCAATAGATGCCATGCTTCTCCCATCCACGTAGAGTCTTCAGATCTCCGGTCGTGGCGTTTGATCAGCCTCATCACCGCTCATTATACACATGCCACGTCGCATCTTCCTCGAAGAATTTGTGAGCCAGCTTCTTCCCACTCTCTGTGGGCTGGCTGAACGCGATCTTATCTTTGGGGATCTCCATGCCGTAGATGAAATTGCTGACCACGCAATCCAAGAGATCCAAGGCAATACCCTTCCTTCGCGACGCGCCCGATGTCCAAATTCGTGAAACCCCAACAATCGCTGGGTGCACCTCATCCTTGACAGACACGGACGAGCCGTTCGCATGGCCATTGCTTTCGCCCTGAACCACCGGGCGCGCTTCCCAGATACGCTCCGTCAGACATAGTCCCACGCACCGGCTGTCCTTCATATGCAAAAACACTCGGTATCGATCGACCTTCTCCTCATTATTATCGGTGTGTAGGTGTTTCGGAGGCTCGGCCTGGCTCCAGAGTACCTCGTCCTCGATTTCCGGCGACGAAAGCTCCTTATTGACCACCTCGAGCACTTTTTTCGCTTGGTTCTTGGCGCTTGGCGTGGCCTTACGATCAACGATCACCACGTAACCCTCTTCAAAGCGCGTGGCCTCGTAGACCCAGCGTGAAGCATTGGCGCGCATGAAAGCCTTGCCTAGGTCGACGCCAGTCGAGTTCATTTCGTGGAATTTTTTATGCAGAGCCGCGTCCTCCGTGTTGGAGGGAATGTACTCCATCCCGCATGTCGCACAGGTCTTGCGCACCTCAGTACCTAGGTCGATTTGCATCTGGCGCAGCGCGGGCTGCTTTGGCGTTACTTTTTGCGGTTGCGGTGGTGGTGGTGGATGAGAATGGATCTGCTGTTGCTGCTGCTTTGGCGGGTCTACCGACGACCGCACACTGTTGGAGTTGACTTCCGTCAGAGGAGACCCCGCGGTAGCCTCCTTATGTTTGCGCTTGAGAAAAGCAAAGGTCGGCTTGCGAGTGTTGGCGGGGGGAGGGCTCAAACGCGGAGGTGGCGAGGACGGAGGAGTGGTGAGATCGTCGATATCGTCGAGGGTCCCTTCGGACAAGACCACCGAGTTGCGGCGCGAAGGACTAGACAAGACGGCGGCGGAGGACTCGCGAATCGCATATTGCAGGTTGGTTTCCGCCTCGTCCGACTCATCCTGGACGCGTCGTTTTTTCGCGGCCCGTTCATCGTCATACACGCGCCATGTCGGTCTTCCGTATGTTTTCATCAGGCCTCTGGAGAAAAGGGGGACGGGGTGTTAGTTGATGGCCGGGGTCGCGAGAATGGGGGGATCGCGTACCGCTTAAAAGAATTGGTGACTGTCCACGGCATCTCCCTGGAAGTCTGATCTTTGTGGAGGGGAGGGGAGAAGATGTTTATTTTCCAACGGGGGGGTTTTTGCCAGTTTACATAGGCGGATCGTCCGGTTCCACTGCACGCGTGGCGCTAACTGGTTTAGGTCATATTGTTTAGGTCAGGTTTGTGAGTTCCGTTCGGTCAGCCACTTACTCTGAGGTATCCCTTGCTGGGGGAGGAGGAGCAATGACTTAGAACCAGAGAAAAGCTGGATAGTTAGGATGATGGAGAAAGCAAAGATATGGAGAAAGCAGGGACAGGATAGTTTAATAATCGGAGCGATCAACAGGGAGCCACACGAGCTGTGATGGGGCGGTTAATAAGTTTAATAAGACACAAGAGTCGCCACCGGAACAAGGAGGATGAGAGGATGATGGTACCTACAGTAGCACGAGAGTTTTAAGCAAGTATACTCCACATGAGGATGAGCAATGCAAGATGATGAAAAGTGACGGAGTACTGGTGTCTTATTAAATGCTTTATGATTTGATTGAGTCAATAGTTGAGCCCCAACTGGCTGCCTGTCGTGTTCTTATTCAACTACACCCCTCCTCCACTAGGTCGTATTTATTTCTATGCTTTTCTGATCTTTAGAGTTGGAGTCATCGTTGGCAAAATGTCATGATCCTCCATAATTCTCCATAATTCTATATGGCTGTAAATTCCCGTCGCTCTGGTATGTTCGGTGGGACCTCCTTTCGCAGCCCCCCTTTCGTGCCCAGGAACCATCCACACTAGACGCTGATTTGTCCAGCTCGCTAATTTGTTCATTTGCATTTGGGTTCGTTTCACTCCAGCAATCAGCGAGCTTGGGGGAGAGTTATCCCAGCCTCAAGGATGTGGCCCCCTAACCAACAGGGCAACAAGCATCTCTTTGCTCGCCTACACCCTTGATAAAAGCCTTTTCTATATGAATACGACCGATGACAGAAATGCACGAAAAAAATTCCCCAAGAAGGTGATTATGAGGATCTGGCCCCAGATTCTAGTCCCTCGTCTTGGTCATATTCGAAGCCCATTCGATAGTTCGACGATTCAATGACCAAGGCTAGGCAGTGCCGTCTGACTGTCTGACTGGTTTCCACAAGGGGATGAGGCTAGCGGACGAAGCCAGGCAGACGAATCTATTATGCTATCAAGACGAACACAGCCAGGCTGCCAGAGAGGCCCAAGGAAACCTAAGAACGCCCCAGCCCAGCCAGTTGGTGTTGTGTTGGGCTATTCCCGCGTTGCATCGTGCAAGGAAGGGCCGTTGCATCTTCCAGCCCGCCAATGACAGCCCCCAAATTAACCAAACGTCATCACCAATCACCTTGACAACTCTCCCATCTAACTGAAAATCAGAAAGTATGGGGTCGAGGTCTGATCTCTAATCTTGAGAGATTGTCGCGAGACTCTGCTCCGGATGGCGCCTACTAATAAGTTTCTCACAGGAAGAAACCGGAGTTTTATTCGGGGAGGCGTCTCATGCCCGTCAGTGCTGATTGGATCCGGGGCTAGACACCTCTGGGCAAGGTCACAGATCCAGCACACTGATTGGTTTCAGCCTGGCCGTTGGCCGCTCGTTACGAAACTCTCCCTGTCAATCTCCCACACTCTCTTCTTGTTGTCGTCTCTGTTACGTGACGAGGGTCAGGAACTAAGAGGTTGGCGTACCCTCCATCGAACATGGTCATCGCTTGCCCCCCTTAACCCCCGGATCTCCGCGGTGGACTGGGGTTATGCTTGCACAGCATAAAGTTTCAGAAGCACGGGGGTACTGTAATCGGGTGGCGAATTTATGCACCCTACAGGGAGCTATGGGCGAGAAGTCAGAATGCAAATCCCCGGGCTGGCGGCCGCAGTTGAAGCACCGGAGTTTCATTGCTTCGTCAGACAGGATGATGACGAGCGAGATCGTCACATTGAAGAATCAAGGGCTATGACAGGCACCAGCTGCAAAGTGGGGGTTGAGCTCGATCCAGGAGGAAGATGATCCGGGTGTCAGCACTGCAGCGATATGCACTCCTTTGGACCGCTAGAAAGCACAGCAAGGCTGACCGATCGCTCGTATCACTTCAGAAGTTGGGGCCTTCCATCTGGATCTCACTTCCTCGATTCTAACGTCTTCGATGGGCCTCCTGCTTCCATCTGTGTCGAATGATGGGCATGGCGAGCAGGGTATGAAGGTCGAAGAAGAGAGCATTCCCTAATGTATCTGCAACTATCTGACTTCCGTGCAGATTATTGGTTACACATGGCGCATCACCAATCCTGAGCGGGATGCCACCGGCCGAGCAGGCCGAGGGAGGGCTGTCTTCTCTCGTAAAGCTGAAGAAAAGCAACCTCCTGAACAAGAGTAACTATGAAAGGACCAGCTGACTATATAGCTGAACTGGGGGCTGCTGCAGTGCTGCTAGAGTCTCTCCACCTCTTCTGCAACCTCTCACTCTCTCTCCGTGTCTTTTTCCGACACCTCCGACTTGAGTTAATCAATCCTCGTTTTCTGCAGTAGATTTGCAGTAGCGTGCAGGAATAAGCTCGGTGATCGGACTCCGACTAGATCCCTCAGTGAGGAGAGGATCTTCACCGAGGTCGGCTCGGCGTAGTCCCCGACAGTAAGATCATTGAGACAACGCCATTGACTAACAACCCCGTATAACTATAGTAGTTACATCGCTTGAAAGTCTCCGGTCGGGGATTATGGAGACTTTAGCGGAGTTATTTAAAGAAGAGGGGGCAGGCCTATCTCCTTGGCTTACTTGGTTTCGCCATATATACTTACTCACCTAATGATCAGTCCATGAACTTTCCTAAAGTCCCACATCTGAGGAGTCAAAAAATAGGTAAAGGCCAGATCGAAGGTTATCAGTTTCCCAATTGAAACGTCGTCCAAAGTTGCTCCAAAAAGTCGTTTCGGGGCCCGCTTTTGACCCGCGGATTGCGGAACCTCCGAGCAGCGCGGACCCTCCAAAAATCTCTTCGACAATTTCTCCAACCTTCATCCCATCATCCTCCCCCCAAACAATGTCGGATACCGCACAAGTGGCCGGAAAGCGAAAGCGTGCGAGTTAGTGACCCCTCCTTTTCGTACCTTTTGAGATTTTACCCATCTCCCTGCTTCGTTTGAATTGCTTCTACCCTTTTTCCCTCCCCAACATTTTCTTCCCCGCGACGAGGAGGATATCCTTGCACCATGGATTCCCTCCCCGCAGACGCTGCAGACTCGCACCAGCCAGTCTCGAAGGAAGACGAGGCCGAGTCTGTGCAACTGAACCCATCCAAACTCTTCCCCGCGGCCATTCCATTCCAGCCCGGCCAGCAACAGCACAACCAGCAGCAGCGGGAGCAGCACCAACAGCAGCCATCTCCTCATTCTTCTCCAAATGCCCGGAAGGCCCAGCCCGCAGGCGCAAGTGTGCAACCCGCTAACGACATACACTCGCCAGGGACTCAGTCGTGCCCGCCGCCCGAGCTGCCGCAACTCGTGGCCGAGCAGCATGCACCTATTCCGTCGCACGACAAGGACACTCAGCGTTTAATCGTCATTCTCTCAAATGCCAGTCTGGAGACCTACCGGGCCTCCAGTGGGCGTGCTGGAGCCAAGGATGAGAAGTATTCCCTGCTGAACAGTGATGAGCACATTGGTATCATGCGTAAGATGAACCGGGATATCAGCGAGGCTCGTCCGGATATCACTCACCAGGTATGGACTGCTCCGAGTGTCGCGTGATGCGGAGATCATATTTTTTTCGTATGCATCCTAACATGTAATCTTCCCTCCACTTCAGTGCCTTCTCACCCTCCTCGACTCCCCCGTCAACAAGGCTGGCCGCCTGCAAATCTTCATCCACACCGCCAAGGGTGTCCTGATCGAAGTCAACCCCTCCGTTCGCATTCCCCGTACATTCAAGCGTTTCGCCGGTCTCATGGTCCAACTGTTGCACCGCCTGTCCATTCGCTCCACCAATTCCCAAGAGAAGCTGCTCAAGGTCATCAAGAACCCTATTACCGACCACCTGCCCCCGAACTGCCGTAAGGTGACCATGAGTTTTGAGGCACCCGTTGTCCGCACCAAGGACTACATCGAGTCCCTTGGTCCCCGCGAGAGTATCGCCATCTTTGTCGGTGCCATGGCCAAGGGTCACGATGACTTTGCCGACTCCTTCAAGGACGATACCATCTCCATCAGCAACTACAGTCTCAGTGCCAGTGTGGCTTGCAGCAAGTTCTGCCACGCAGCCGAGGAGGTGTGGGATATTCTGTGAGCGAAGGCGAAAGGGGAAAACTAAATCGCGCAGCGTTACGCGCGCGTCCCTTAAGCCTGCCGTTCGCAGATTTTCCGGCATCATCTCCGCGTGCCCATGACCGCCACGAATTTCCTTGCGATGGGGACTGGACCACGAGCGGGTTCTGTTGAGTTGAGTGTTTTCGTGATTTGTCTTGACTTGGACCGACGGGCCGACAGGGAGACTCGATTCTAGGAGGAAGCAATTTCGACAAATACGACATGAAAAAGAAACAATACGCCTCTACTTTTGTTCTGTTGTTCTCTTGCATTTGCTGGCTGTCGTCCCTTTCTTTTGTCTTTGGACTATATTTTATTTCTACTTGCGTTTTTGACCGACCTATCGATTACCCCGTGAAGCATACCTCTCGACGGGACGGCCTAGCCAGCCATGTCGCATCATATATCATATCGAATTGTTCCTCTGGATCGGGGCTTCCCCTCTTGCCCTGGATTGAGTTACGGGGGGGGGGGCAACTTTGTCTGGATCACCGTTGCCATTGTCCTGCAATTCTTTTTCTTAATTCTTTTGATCAGAAAGAAAAGCATCGTGACACTGGAACGAAAATCCCACGACAAGACCAGAAAACCCCCCAACAAAAAGAAAAAAAAGAGACACTCGGACTGGATGGCATTTGGTTCCTTTTCGCCGCTCCAGTCCTGATCCAGAGCCCTCTCTTTCCCGCAGCGCAGCCCTTTCTCTTCGACTGTGGCGATGAGACCAGAAAAGTGAACAGCAAATAGCAAATATCGATCGGGAGCCCCTGTTGCTTGACAATGGCTTCTGAGATTAGGCACATATTGTGTTTGAATACAGTACTATTTTTGATATCCTTGTATATGAGTTGAATGCTGTTAGATGTAGAAGTGCTCACTTAAGCTGAGTAGTATCATTTTTGGTAGGATCTGGTAGCCTACTTTGGGACTTTTGTACGTATACCACCACTTGAGATAGTAGATGATAGTCGGTGTTTAGGAGAGCAATGTCCTCGACGTGGCATTGACTCAAGTGTCCGCCTCACTTTGACCTGACCCTGCACAAGGCCCACTCCAGTCTACAGTAGCACAGTCAGTCCTGCTAGCTAAAATCTGTACTGTACTGTACCTAAATATATAAAACCAACCAACACCACGAAACGCGACCCGACCGCTAATCGGAAGGGGTGTACGGAGTACGTTCTGCCTGGACCAATCACCCCATTTTTGCGACTCTATTCATATTCACTTAGTACAATGATACTATGGATGGATGGGAAGCTGTTCAGAACCAGCCTCATGGATTACTAGTTTTCTGCATATCTGCCCAGGGCGCGCGCATAGCTACAGCACAGTACTTTCTTCTCGCGCTAAACACGAATACAGTCAGAGTCTAGGACTCCATAGACCTTTAGATGCTTGGAGGTAGAGGGTTATTGGTGAGTCTACCGTCTCGCATAAGCGAGAGTTAATTCAGTAGATGCAGAGTCAACTACGGTACTCCGTACATGTATCTTCCTTCTACAGTCATCTACAATTATACACAATATGAAAATAGTAATAGCAATCTCCTTCCATTTAATATCCCCGTACAATCCTGCAGAATCAAGTCCAACACCAGCCCCCTCCAAATAATACATTGTAATCTGTAGTAGCAGTAGCAGAACAGTAGCGGTCAAGCCCTTCAACCCAATTCCGCCCTCCATCACCAAACCCGCCCTCTTTCAATGGCCAATGCACGTTTCCACCGTCTCCACTCGACAAACCCACCCAGACAGGTCTTCCGAATGTTATTATTTGTCCAGTCCAGCAAGAGAACACACACCCACTGCCCACTGTGTATATACCTGCCCACTCGTACTCATCCACGCATTCTGGTCGCCCCTCCGCCAAGCTCCACTGTCTGTCCCCGCGCTGACTTGGCCACCCTGGGTTCCGAGCGAGTGGCCCCGCTGGTGGTGTTGTCGGAATAGCGAACCTGCTAGGACTCTGTGGATAGGATAGAGCTTTGGCTCGGTATGTAATTTGATCTGATTTGATTGAATTGAGTGCTTGGGTTCTGGGCGGTATCTCACCTTGTTACTGTAGTTCAGGTGGTTGGGCGTGCATGACTACGTTATGCTGCCCATGTCGTTTTCCTGGATGAGCAACTTGCAGGGCCCTGGGATGAGGATCTACAACTTACAGTCTACGGAGTACACTTGAATGATGGGCTAAACATCAGGGTTTCTTCGGACAACAAGGCCCGAGCCTGGCCGCCGCCTCGCCTCACGCCTCGAAGGAGTCCTGACAGCCAGTCCGCGCCCGGGGCACGCGTTTCACCTGCTAGCTTTCCCGCAGATCGCTTGATCGGGTAGAAGGCCTAGTGATGATTTGATCTGTGTTGGCCATGAGTTAGCCACAGGAGTTACTATTGTAAGTACAGAACGCCTACCGTAATGTTGTTTGATCTTTGCTTCAGTCGGATGAAAAGCCGGTTACTTGGGGCTGGCTTCTTCCGAGGTCAGTGATTAGATCCACCATCCACTTCTTTCCCCCCTCCATAGGCATAGGATGATAGGATAGGCTTCCTCGTCGTGCATGACTGCTCGAGGGGCCAGGCCAGGGTCTCCACTACTCGTCGACTAAACTGCTGGGACCCGGTTAGGCTGATGACTTTGCCGTTCTCGGACAACTGCGGTGGACAGGCTTTTTGGGCACAAGGTGGATTCTTCTTTGACTGACAAGTTAAGCAGTCTGTTACTAACCAACTAATTAGGATAGATATTCTTTTTCCGGAAACTGGAGACAGACTACTATTTCTCCCCCTTTTTTTCCCCTTTCATTTGGCGAGTCGTGACTGGTTCTTAGCCAGACTAGCTTGATAATTGGGTGGTGTGTCATAGTTGCGGTCTTCCTATACAGTCCTACCTCTCCGTTCACCGTATATATTCACTCCCTGCTTTCGAGGTGCAGGGTTTTTTCTTTCTTCTTTCATCTACAGATCTTTTGCGCCTTGCAATCGTCTATCCAATCTTTATATTCTTCGCCAGCCTCTTTCTCCGTGCTTACTATTTTCGAGCACGTTGGCTTGAACTCTGTTCGAACCAACTATCCCGACATGCCCGTCTCCCATTTGACCCTGACCGTCTCACATCTCCCCACTTCCACCTCGTTCTTCCTCTCCTGCCTCCAGCCCCTGGGGTACCAGTTTATCGGCCGACATGATGACTATATTGGCTTTGGACAGAAGCAGGGAGAGCCTGCGGATTTCTGGATTACGGAGCAGAAGCCTGGGTATGTGAGCTTTTGATAGGGATTGCGGGGTTTATCCGAGAAAGCATATCAAGAGTATATCTTGCTAACATCAACCTTACCAGAGTTCTCCCCAGCGCAGCACATGTAGCATTCCCAGCGCCATCCAAAGATGCTGTCACCGCATTCTTCCACCAAGCTATCCAAGCCGGCGGCAAGTTCCATGGCGAGCCACGAACCCGCGACTCACAATCCGGTTACCACAGCGCTGCCGTGATAGACTTTGACGGAAACAGCATCGAAGCAGTCTACCGACCTGGCAGCACTGTCGTCGCATCAGAAGTCGGCGGCCCGACAATAGCCCTGCTGGAAAATCGCTCTGTGGTGTCCAAGGCTGTTAGCGTCGCAGCGAGATCAGAAACCAAGTCTCGTGCAATATCAAAAGCGCCAACGACCATTGAGAAAGCTGCTCCCGCTCCATCTGTTGTCTCGCAAAAGTCAACAGGATCGGCTCTCGCTTATGGTCCACCACCAGTCCAAAAGGTCGATGATGGCAGCAAAGCTGCCAAAACTATTATTGGTACACTCATCGGCGCCGCTGCTGGTGCTGCCGTAGCATATGCTATGGTGAAAGGTGACTCGCAGTCGACAACTTCCGAATCCAAAGAGGCACCTTCACCCCAATATCAGCAGCAACAATACCAACAACAATACGCACCCGACCTTCCACAGTTGATGGCCGCGCCCTCACAAATCTCAGAAGCGATATCGCAAGGACAACAAGTTCTCCGCGCCATCGAAGCCCCTCCTGCGCGCAGCGTCTATACTTCTGCCTCTGCTGCCCGCTCCACGATGTCCCGGGGTATCATGTCCAAGAATCCCTGGGCTAGCACCGTCTACGAAGCTACGGAGTACTACCAAGACGACCATGGCCGGCGCGCCTCTGACGGTGGCAGCGTCTTCTCTATTCCAGAGGGCATGCCACTCCGCGCAATCGAGTACCCACCCGCCAGCAGCGCCGCGCAGCAACGCTACCCATGCAACCCCAGCACCTTCATCAGCAGCTATGCAGCCGACAAGCCGCGCGCCGGCAGCGTCCACTCCGCCTCAACCATCAAGGCATCGGCCACCCAGCGTCGCCACAGTACAGACGACGGCTACTCAGAGCACAGCCGGCTCGTGTACCGCGCCGCATCCTCGCACAGCGTGCACACCGTGAAATCCCACTCCCACTCCAAGCACGACGCCGACGCACGCAGCACAGCCTCCTCAACCCGCTCAGCACGAAACATCCCCCTCCCTGCTGGTACATCCGGCTCAATCTACAGCGCGATGCCCAGCCAAACAGGAAAATCAACCACATCCGCCCGCAACATCCCCCTCCCCGCCGGCTCCTCTGCAAACTCCTTCTACAGCCCGGCGCCCAGCCAAGCGCCGAAATCGCACATCTCGGCGCGCCATGTGCTTCTCCCCGAGAGCGTGATTGACGTCGATGTGGATTCGAATGTTACGCCTGATGACTCGATTAGCCAGGTTGGGGGGAGTCGGTCCGGGCGGTCGAGTCATTCGCATCATTCGAGACATTCGAAGCATTCGAAGCATTCGAAGCATTCGCGTTCGCATTCGAAGGGGTCCAGACATTCGCATGCGCATTCGCATTCGTCGAAGTCGAGGTTTGAGGAGCCGGTTAGACCGGCTGATAGTGTGAGTCAGGTTTCGAGGTCGTCGCAGCGGACTGTTAAGGCTATTGGGTCTAGTCGGAGAGGGAGTGAGGTTGTTGTTTGAGTGATTGTGATGGTGGTAGGATGTATTTTGGGTGCATCCTTGGACCCTGCATATCTGGGCATGCCTTCTTTTTCATCTTCTCTTCTCTTCTCTTCTCTTCTCTTTTTGCTTCCTCCTTTTGATCAGTCTCTTGACCTTCTTTTCTTTTCATCCTTCTTGCCCTGCTACATGGCATCAAGATCTTGATACTTCCTTTCTTCGCTCTTTCTTCCTCCTTTGACACCTGTTTCAGATATTCAGCCTATACGACAGACGACGTGGGAGCTTCTTCCCCACTCTAATACTTTGCATGGAAATGGAAATTGCATATTGCATATATAGATCGCTACAAATTGAACTGCATTTACTTCTACCACAAAACAACTTCAAGTTGTATACATACATTGCATTCCTGGGTATCAGTATCATACACGGAAACATTAACCAGATCGGGCATCAGTCAGACGAGTCATACACCGACTCATACAGCTCCACCCTGGGACTCCTCGTCTCAACATTCACTCTCCCCCTCGCCCTCGACGCCCGTTCAGGTACTTCCGCCACGAACACACGCTCACGCCCTCTCTCCGTATGTGACGGTACAACCCTCACTCTCCCATGACTCTCCGGATGAGCCCTATGAAGGTGCTCTACAACCGGAGTCTCAAAATACTCCCTCCGCCTCTCACGACTCTCAAGATTCTCGGGATAAGGCATTTCAACAAAATGCTCCATAATAGGTATATCGAAAGGATCCCTCTGCCTCTCTCTCCCACTCTCCCTCCCCCTCTCAAACAGAAATGTTGGACTAGCCTCCACATCTGCCACATCCGGATGAGCATAGCTCTCCCGAGCCCGTATCCCCGGACCTCGGGCCCCGTACGATCTCGATGGACCGGGTACCATCACGCTCGGTCCGGGAAAATGCCGGTAATACCCCTCTGGATCAGCGAATCCCCTTCTTACGTCTTCATAGCCTTCGTCATCTAAACGGGTGTTCCCGTCTCGGTCTACGAAGACGAAGCCCCTGCTTTGTCGTTGGGGTCTTGTAAAGGAGTGCTCGCGCTCGCGCGGGCGAGAGCGTGAGCGTCGCCGTCTCCGGCGCGGTTCACGTGTGTATGTATGATGACTCGGTTCCTCCAGTCTATGCGACTCGCGAATCGTCGCCTCAATACTCTCGTGCCTTTGGGCTTCGTGTTCAACTTCCATCATCATTCGACGCGTTGGTCCAATTTGCGGCACCAGGGTTGATGGAGTCTGGAGTTTTATGCGCTCTTCTTGTTCCAGTTTTTGTTTCTGGTTTAGGTTTTGTGAGGCTGCTGGTCCTGTGCTAGTGGTGGGTTTGCCGTGGACTCCGTCTTCCCATTCAGCGAAGATCTCGTCGACGACTCTCTTTTCTTGTTCGCGGGTCATATCTCGGGATAGGATTTGTATGCTTGGGGGTTGAGGTCTGGCTGGCCACTTGGAGTACTCTTCAGACTCGTCATCGGAGGAGGAAACGGAGGATGAGGAGTATACTTTTTCAGGAGCGGGTCGTGGTGGGGGATATACGCGTGTTTGAGGACGGATCTCAGCTGGGATATGGTATACTGCTTGGGCGTGGCTGTATACAGCAGGCTTTGGTGGTGGAGGGTGAGTAGAATGATGGACCGTGTGAGCTGGTACCGGAACTCCATCGATGTTGTCTGCGTGGGAGCTGCTCGGACGATGATTTTCAGTTGATATTCTTAAGATACCACGTTTATCTCGGACAAATACTCGGCGAGGACTTTCGCTGTCTGAGGCCGCGGCTTTGCCCTTTTTCTTTCGGACGACGTACATCCGTGGCTCGCGGGAGACTACTTCGGGTGCCGATTTTGATGGTGTTGTCCGTGGGGGTGAATGGTGGATTCCTGGCGGGCTCGTCTTGTGAGATTTCTGACCAGGATGGGAACTGCTACCCCCAAGAGGAGGAGGTGGTGGTGGTGGAACTTGACTGGTATGGCGTGGACCTCTACCGGGGGGATATCCAGGGCCGCTGCCACCTCCTGCTCCTCCATGAAAGCCAGTCCCAAGAGGCCTACCAGGGCCGGAGAAACGGCCACCACCACTATCATCATCACCTCCTCCTGGTCCTCCTCCTCCTGGTCCTCCTCCCCATGGTGGTGGTGGTGGTGGTGCTGGCGGTCCACCCCCTCCAGGCCCAGGCCCAGGCCTTATAGGATCATGCATTGGAGCATCAGGAGACCATTCAGTTTTCAAGATAACATCGATACTCTTTGTCTCTTCAGAGAAAAAGCCAATCCTCTTCCTCTTAGCCGACAAGCCAGCCAACTTCAACTCCAAGTACGGATGTTGCCTCCCCAAATTCAGATTTTGATCTCGAAGCAAATTGTCCACAAGCATCCTCTGAACACTCGTCCTCAGTAGATCTTTGCAATCGTCCTGGATGGAACGCCGGAGCTTTGAACGCTTGGTAGTCTGGGCTAGGACTTTGAGGAAAAGTTCTTCGGTCGAGAGGGCCATTTGACTGCAGATCGCCCATCGCCACGAGGGCTGATTGGATTGGGGGTTGACTTGCAGATATGGGGGTCTGCCTTTGGTAAATGTCCAACCTAGGTATAGCGATGTCAATCTGGAGAGGTCGGGGAAAACGAAAGGTCGAATATATGGGTATGTCGATTGGCGGTCGTATGGACTGAAGTATGGATCTCGATAAAATGCTCCTTGGCCTCGATCATCGTCTTGTGGGTTTACACCTCGACTTCTATGTCGGCGTCCTGGTGGAAGTGGAGGTAGAGGTCCATGACTGCGAGTGAAGAAATACTCCCCAATCCTTTTAATCTCTTTGAACATATCCAGAATGATTGATTGAATCTCTTCGGACCGCTTGTCGCCCCTATGGAGAAGGGTTATATGTTAATTGACGAGTCTTCTTATTCAGGAACGGTCATGATCACGACAAATACTTACATCGTCGCCTCAAATGCAGTCAAAGCAATGTGAACCTCGAGTTTGTGAGACTCAATGTGTCTCTCCATATCATCGATATCCTTCTCCGTCAAAAAGAATTTCTGTCGGTCCTCTTCGCTTATTTCAACCTTGGCCCGTCCTCGGTGCATAGGCTCGATTCTGTTGAATGCCTCCCGAATCCTTGTATTGATGATATCAAAACGTTCAGCGGCACTTTTACTCGCATTCACCAAGTCGCGAAAGCAGGGTTTCTCCAGGATGTTCGGTGCTGGAGCCGTTGCGCCATCTGGAGCTTGACCAGCATCGAGGCCTCTTTCACCTTCACCACCTGCATTTCCACCTCTCGTTCCATCATTCGTCGGAACACCGCTTGCAGCCCCGGTATCATCCCCATCTTGAACTCTGAAATCCCTGTTGATCTGAATATCCTCCTTCGCCGCTCGCGCAATGACCAAATCGCGAATACTACCCAAAAGCTGCGAAGTCGCGCGAATCCTATTCTCAACATCCCTCAACCTCTCCGCAGCCGTCGCAACACGCGCAGTGAAACTTTGAATATTATCCGTGAGATTAGAGGCCGAATCGACGGTGATATTGAGCGTTCCTGATTTAGTCAGTAACTATGTGTAGCAGAACTCGATAGGGTTAAAGATTACCGACTATCGTGTTGAACCCGGCAACGTTCCCAGTGACGACACCTCCATTATTTCGGATACCGCCATTATTCACATTTCCCTGGTTGACATTCGACGTGCCTTTGGACGAGCTGGCGGGGGTGTGTGGAGGGGTTGGCGGGTCTGCCATGCGATCGATCTCGGTTGGACCCGAGGGAGGAAGCGATGACAAGACTCGCTTTCTCCCTCGTCCATCAAGATGTATTGAAGCTCAAGAGAAAGGCTATCATCGACTGAATAATCCAACAGAAGGATGAACTAACCATCGTTGTTTAGTGTTGATGATCCTGGATTGATCGTTACGAGTCGATGCGACCGAGTCACCGAGTGTACATACCCTGAGGCTCAGCTGGGACCCCTCGAAAAAAAGAAAAGAAAAGAAAAGAACATGAGCACCGTCATCGCATGCAGTTCCCTCGCATTCTCGTGCATTGTTGATCGCTCTAGACAGTCAACCCGGGTGCCAGATGGTGTTCTATTTGCATATATCACCGTGCAGATGACCGTCAGCCTTGCGCCACTAAGCCCGGGCGCCTATCAATCCTCGCTGATTCCTTCCTGACGATGCCAACCCCACTGCCCGGCAGATACCTGCGTCGCTAGCCCAACTTGGAGATTGGTTGGATTTGTTCTCGCTGAAGATGAGGGGTTGTTGGTGGGCTGAGGTGCAGACTGCCACGAGGTTCGGGCGGGATGGCGACCAATTGTATAGATGTTGTATGTCTGTTGGGTGCTGGTGCTGATAAACTCCTCCTTGAGGGGGTGCATACTGGCCTGCATTTGTCATATTGGGTACAGAATGCGGCTGAGAATGGCCCTCGATGCTCGAGAGGGGTAGCTTTCATAAGTATAGCTAGCTCTATCGGAGCCTGCTTGAATTTCTTTCTACTTGTAATCGTTGGTTTGTCACATAGCTGGCATTGACAGTACTGCTGTTACATCTCATTTCGATTTTCTATTACCATCAGCTAGCATGACTGATTCCAAGTCTGCGGAGCCCGTCAGAGAAGGGCTCGGGGATATCCTCTATGACCCAGAGGAGGGTGCCAATGTAGAGTAGGTCGTTCTAGCACCACTCTTGGTGAATGAATTTAACAAGGGTGTAGCGTCGTCTTCGTCCACGGCCTTTCAGGAGACAGAGTCGACACATGTAAGAACTTCGCAATGGAAAAAGAGAATAATAAGCACAAGACGCCTCTCTGCTGTGCTGGTACTTCCAATCACGCCCATTCTAATCAGGATGAAACAAAATAGGGACATGGAAAAACGACTTTCGCTCTCAATTCTGGCCCAAGACTCTCCTACCCACGGACTGTCCCACGGCACGAATTATGTCCTTTGGATATAACTCTGACTTTGCCTATTTCTACCCACCTGTCAATCCAAAGGGTATATCGACTGATTTGACAATCGACAACTACTCGGCGTCTTTGCTGCATGCTCTAGTTGGACTGCGCGGCAAGACCAACACGGTGGGTATTTGCTTATACACAATCTGGAACCTTTCTAACAAGCTCGTCTGTTATACTAGACCGACCGTCCCATCATATTCGTCGCACACAGTCTAGGCGGCCTGGTAGTAGCCAACGCCCTCTCCAAACCCCACGGCACCGACGAAGCCGCCAAAGAAATCGCCGATCGAACCATCGGCACCCTCTTCCTGGGAACTCCCTTCCACGGCTCCTCCATAGCCAAATACGGCAATTTCGCTGTCAACATACTGAAATACTTCATGCCCGCAGCTGGTCAGAACATCAAGGATCTTGAAGAACGCTCCGCCAAGCTCATCAGTATCAACGATGCGTTTGCCAAGTTCTTGAAAGAACGAGATCGCTCGCGGACAAAGCCCTTCCTTGAAGTGGCCTGTTTCTTCGAGGATGAGTCCTTGTATAACATCATGGGGAAGAAGATTGGGAAGGTTGTTCCCAAGGAGTCGGCGAGCTGGCTGGGTGTTGATGCGCTCTCGATTTCTCAGGATCATATTGCCATGTGCAAGTTTAGAGATGAGGATAGCGCGGATTATAAGAATGTGGTGGGGAAGTTGTGTCAGTGGATTAAGGATATTGGTAAAGATTTGAGTGGGGTTCATGGATTGGATGCAAAGGTGTGTTTTCTGCTTCTGATATTCAGATACCCTCCTTCCTGGTTGCTGACTTGGGAGTAGAGTATTACTGTGAATCAAGGGAATGTTGACAATCGCAATATTGTCAACAATGGGGGTAACGTTGCGGGAAACCTGTACGGTACTTCCAAGGATGCTAACAAGCTTATCGGGACTATTGTAAGTGCATCATACAGCTGTGAGGAACAATTACTGTCTCTGACAGCTTATAGAACTACAATGGTGTGAAGCCTCCTCCTGAATGAGAGTCTTTTGGTTATGGCTGTGCTTGTAGATGTGTCAATGATAGCTGTGGTCAGTCAAGAGCATGCTGAATTACGGGAAGCAAATACAACCTGAAATTAATCAAGTGATTCATTCATAATGTGTGTGTAAAATTTGTAATCTATGTTGGGTGGGTGGGTCATCAAACAACATGGTGGTGGAGATTTCAGACTCTGAGGCCCCGGATTTTAAGCTAATCGAAGCCACACCATTATCTGAATAGCCTCAAAACAGGGAGAAACACCGTCTGTGTTATGAAAGTAATATTATGCAATGAATTAATTAAAAAAAATCCCCGAAGGGCCCCAAACCCCGCGACGTGTCTCTTTCCTCTTAGGAGGGATTACGCCCACCTTACCACCTGTGCAAGGAGGATCTCCACGGCCAGGTAAAGTGCGAAGGGGATTCGAACCGACACCCTACAATTAGGGCATGCCAATAGAGCGTGTCTAAAGGACCCCATGCAGGAGCTTAACCGCCAGGGCACGGGTGGTTCTGGGTGATTGCTTAGTCCGTACATCCCCCTAAATTTTGTCCTGAAGGCGGCTTTTAGGCAGGCACTTGCCTTTTCTGGAAACTGGGGCCTAAAGATTTGTTTGACCCCGCTGGCCACTGTCTGCTTGGTACGTGAGGCTATTCAGACTTTCTATCTTGTCTCTTGTATACTGCATCCGTTCTTCGGTCTCCCTGCTTTTGAAACGTTTCTTTCCCTCGCGTACCCTCGGGTCATCCTTTTACATTTTGTATTCCTTTTGTCTACTCTATCTATTTCCTTCTTCCATCTGGCCCTCCATATACTTTCTATATGCCCTCGAACCGTCCCATAATATCCATGTTTATAATGGTACCTTTGTTTGGCCTGTTTGCATCTGGGGTTGTCCCCACATCTCGGTACGGTAACCAATGGACATCAGCAGGTCCGACCTCCTCTTCTGACATTACTACTAAAGCATCGAGCCTCCATGTTGAATCATGGAAAATGGACTGCTTGGATCTAATATGGAATCAAATAATCTAACGAATACCTTCAGTATCGATGGACACCCAGAACCCCAAAAAATTACCCGAATACCGGCCTCGGACGGTCGACCCGTTGATTTATTGCTTGCAGAGCATCGTTATCTTCACGACTTTGCACCTACAAAAACTGGACGACTTTTGAAGTTTCTTCAAGACTATAATTTACCCTGGGAGCTGGACCGAGCAATGGTTGCTGATAACCTCTCACGTTTGTACCTGGCATTGCCGCGAGGTACGGTTCTGGGCAGGGATGCCCAAGGGATGGGCTAGCTGCATACCTTGCGCCGTCGCTTGCTGACCCACCATAACAGAAGAAGAGATCTGACATGCTGGTGTGCTGCTGGGCAGAAGGTCAAGTAATGATACTATGGTTATCCACCTCACTCTATTAGACGAAGATCATGGAAGCCCAGAGCTGGTACGGATCATCATCGGTTGACTCCCAGGGATCTTCGGCTGTTGTGGAGCATCGCAGACGACTGCCGCCACTGGCTATGAAGGGACCAAGCTCCTTCGAGACTGCTCGATGGAAAGCCAATGGAATGGCTTCCAAGGGCCCATTCAAGAAAAACAGTCCCGAGCACGCGGATGCACCCTACCCACCCGTTGGTAGCGTGACCCAGGACGCGAAAATGCTCGACGCGATATAAGAATGTGATGGAGTCTCAATGGGCGCATTTCGCGCAACCCCTCTGGTGTCTGAACCAAACATACAATACTGGCGCCAGACGGACCTCGAAGGTGGCTTGACACTCTCGGTCGACAACAGCCCAGTGTCTGAAGCATGCAGTGCTCTACTATTCTTCTGGCCTTCGCGTCATGGGCGAGCCAAGTCGCTGCGAATGCACAGCCTATGCAAGAGCATGAGGTTTGTCACCTTATCAATAGGCGCGTTTTGGTGCGATCGAATGAAGCTAATCGTTTACCGCTACAGCCTGGATTGCTTCACAAGACACAAGCCAAGGAATCTTTCTCAGAACCCTTCTACCCATCACCATGGATGAATCCTCACGCTGAGGGCTGGGAGGCTGCGTACCAGAAAGCTCATGGCTTTGTCTCGCAGCTCACTATCTTGGAGAAGATCAACCTGACCACGGGTGTTGGGTAAGTCTCTCTTTTCGTTACGATGCGACTAGCAACTAACTCTATGAAGCTGGGAAAATGGACCTTGTGTAGGAAACACTGGATCTATTCCTCGTCTTGGATTCAAGGGCTTCTGTGCCCAGGATTCACCACAGGGTGTTCGGTTCGCAGACTATGCCTCCGCTTTCACGTCTAGCCAAATGGCTGCCGCAACATTTGACCGCTCGATTCTATACCAACGAGGCCGTGCCATGGCACAGGAACACAAAGGGAAAGGTATCACCATTCAGTTGGGGCCTGTTGCCGGTCCCTTGGGTCGCACTCCCGAGGGTGGCCGTAACTGGGAAGGATTCTCCCCGGATCCTGTTTTGACTGGTATCGCCATGGCTGAGACTATCAAGGGCATGCAGGACACCGGAGTCATTGCTTGCGCCAAACACTACATTGGCAATGAGCAGGAGCACTTCCGTCAAGTCGGTGAAGCTGCGGGTCACGGATATACCATCTCTGATTCTATTTCATCCAATATCAACGATCGTGCTATGCATGAGCTATACTTGTGGCCATTCGCTGATGCTGTTCGCGCTGGTGTGGGCTCTTTCATGTGCTCTTACTCCCAGATCAACAATTCCTATGGGTGCCAAAACAGTCAGACTCTTAACAAGCTCCTCAAGAGTGAATTGGGCTTCCAAGGCTTTGTCATGAGTGATTGGGGTGCCCACCACTCCGGAGTGTCATCGGCTCTGGCGGGACTCGATATGAGTATGCCCGGTGATACCCAATTTGATTCCGGCTTGAGCTTCTGGGGCTCTAACCTCACCGTTGCAATTTTGAACGGCACAGTTCCTGAATGGCGTTTGGATGACATGGCGATGCGTATCATGGCTGCATACTTCAAAGTTGGCCTTACCATCGAGGATCAACCCGATGTCAACTTCAATGCCTGGACCCATGACACTTATGGGTTCAAGTACGCTTATAGCAAGGAGGATTATGAGCAGGTTAACTGGCATGTCGATGTCCGTGCAGACCATAACAAGCTCATTCGCGAGACTGCTGCAAAGGGAACTGTCCTGTTGAAAAACAACTTTAATGCCCTTCCCCTTAAGCAGCCCAAGTTCGTTGCTGTTGTTGGCGAGGATGCTGGGCCGAATCCTAAGGGACCCAACGGCTGTGCAGACCGTGGATGTGATCAAGGCACTCTGGCCATGGGATGGGGGTCTGGGTCCACCGAGTTCCCTTATTTGGTTACTCCCGACTCTGCTATTCAGGCTAAGGTTCTCGAGTACGGTGGTCGTTACGAAAGCATCTTCGATAACTATGACGATAAGGCTATCTCCTCGCTTGTCTCGCAGCCAGACGCAACCTGTATTGTGTTTGGCAATGCCGACTCTGGCGAGGGGTACATTACCGTCGACAACAATTGGGGTGACCGCAACAATTTGACTCTCTGGCAAAATGCGGACCAAGTAATTCGCACAGTCAGCTCGCTGTGCAACAACACAATAGTTGTTTTACACTCTGTCGGTCCCGTGCTGTTGAACGACCTCTATGAGCACCCGAATATCACTGCTATCGTCTGGGCAGGCATGCCCGGTGAAGAATCTGGAAATGCCCTCGTGGACATCCTCTGGGGCAAAGTCAATCCTGCCGGTCGCTCTCCATTTACCTGGGCCAAAAGCCGAAAGGATTATGGCACCGACATCATGTACGAACCCAACAATGGCCAGGGAGCGCCTCAGCAGGATTTCACCGAGGGCATTTACCTCGACTACCGCCATTTCGACAAAGCCGGGATCGAGCCAATTTACGAATTCGGATATGGTCTTTCCTATACCACCTTCAAATACTCCGACTTACGAGTTGTGAAGAAGCATGTCCGACCATACAGCCCTACGACCGGTACAACCACCCAAGCACCTACGATCGGACAGCCACCCAGTGGAGATCTGAATACCTACAAGTTCCCTGCCGGCTTCAAGTACATCAGATCCTTCATCTATCCCTACCTCAACAGCACACTCTCCCTCCGCGCCGCCTCTGAAGACCCCGAATACGGCCGTACAGACTTCATACCACCCCATGCACGCGACGGCTCTCCTCAGCCTCTCAACCCCGCTGGAGATCAAGTCTCCAGTGGCGGTAACAGCATGCTCTACGAAGAGCTATACGAGATCACCGCAAAGATCACAAACACCGGCCACGTCGCCGGCGATGAAGTCGTCCAGCTATATGTCGATCTTGGGGGTGATAACCCGCCTCGCCAGCTGAGAGATTTCGATAGAATTCACCTGCTGCCTGGGCAGAGCTCGACTTTCCGGGCTACATTGACGCGTCGTGATCTGAGCAATTGGGATGTTAAGGCGCAGAATTGGCGTGTTTCGGACTCGCCGAAGAGAGTGTATGTTGGGCGTTCGAGTCGGGATTTGCCGCTGACTTCGCGGCTGGAGTAATGATTGTGGCTGGTAATGGATGTTCAATGTCAGAGTCGGAGAGTTGGAGCAGAATGATACGATACGATAATTGAAAAATGTATATTGCTCCATTGGCATACGTGGATGTTCCAGAGTCGAAATCCTTGCTTCAAAGTGTAGCCTGGTCTCGCCTTTTAACCACTATCTACCCCTGCTCCCTTTCCTCCAACTTGCACTCACAACTCCTCCCCTCTACTTTTCCGCTTCATTTGACCACTTCGTATTCACCACTTGCCTGACGCACTAGCCTTCTAATACGCTATATGCGCCCCTCAACCCGACGCCAAGATGTGGCCAAGGGTCCTCGAGCCAGCATCAGCAGCAATGCCATCTAGTAGCTAATCAGCTCATCGCCAAAAAAAAATTGGTTCGGCAAGGAAGATGTCCGAGTGTTCCGCTACTAGACCCTCGCGATATTTCAATTTCAGGTAGGACTCAACGAGGAGAGTTCAGCCACCCGAGGCTGCGGCACGGCTCACTAGTTAAGGTAGAAATGAACGCTTGGTACTTTTGAATCTTAATAAGAGTAGGTCTTGTATAATTCGTGGGGATGAGATAAGTCTACTATTAGGGATGGGCTTTCTATTGGCACTTTCACCGCGTGAGGTTTTTAGATTGACTTAATTCTCCTTAAAATCATATGTGGATTGTGTAGACACTGAGCCTGGTGGACCCCACGAATATACCACGATACGATGGGATAACCTCTGTTACCAGGGTTTTCAAGTTGCGAATCCAGGTCCTTCAATAAGCCGCGAAAGCTGTCCTATTTCCGAGAAGCCCGATATAGTGAGAACTCTCCGACGGAGCCTTCCCGATGGCATATAATTAGAAAGCTAAAGTATACGCAGCAGTGGAGGATCTCGTATCTTGGAACACGAGATAAAATGATAGGAACCATCGTGATTAGTGCAATCCTCAAACTAAACCTCGTATTATTTTAGCGCGACAGCCTCAAACGGGTAGCAGAATTGTAATCAACAAGACCATTCGATGAGGAGAGCTGTCAAAAATTCAAATTATAAATCAGCTTGATTGTGCTCATTGATTTTGAGCACTGTAATCTACATTTCCTCTCCATTCTTACTAGCAGTTCTCCGACACAGTCGCAAACCCATCATCATGTCTGCATCCGATGGTCTCGTCCCTATCATTATCAACCTGGCAGGACAAACCAGGATCAATGAAGTGGTCCTAGCTGATGAAAACATTGAATCCTTTGAAATTCTTGCTGCCAGCTTCTACCAAAGCCTGCGTCCCACTATTCCCGAGTTCTACCTGGAACAAGGAGAACGAACTATCACCAAGATGTGGGTGGATTGGAATCAATCAGGCGGCAACTTCCTCCCTATGGAGACCGAGATCAATGATGGAAATCTCCGCGCTGTCCTTCGATTGCTTGCTGTGCGACGAGGTGTCGATATGATCCGCGTGTGGCTTAATGAGATTGATTAAGCTTGTGTGAGTGTGATAATACATGCGCTATGGTGAAGCTCTCTGACCTTTTCGAACCTCCAGCATTTCCCCGCCTGAATGTGAGGTGATCAATGTCTGCGATATTTCTTGCATCGTCTCGAAAAGATTTACACTATGCTGGGCGTAGCAGAAGTAGTATACTATACGATTTGTTCAGATGGGATGCTATTATATCATGAATAGCCATTAATAAAGAGCCAATTGAGAAAAGTCGTTGCAGAAGAATTGAGTAAATCGCTGCTGGGTGTCTCAACCCTTAGTCTCAGATGCCAGTATTTACCTACTACGCGTATTTCACAATGTTCTCATTGAGCCGGACTAAATTGTTTTGTCGTGGAAATTTCGGTACTACTAATCTCATATTCATTGCATACATTCCTTCGACGTGTATCTGGTTTCTACAGGAATATTGCTATCCATCCCACAAAGCTAGATCTTACCCCTCTTCAACATTTCTTCAGATTTTCTGCGACAAAAGCACGTTTTGTCAGTCTCAGGGCCTCGAATACTGAAGGAGGACGTGAACTTACCGGAGTTGCAATGATCTGAAGTATAATAACCATTGATATAGCACTCCAACTCCCAGTTGTAATCCCATGAGCTGGAAATTATTAGTATCTGTTATCCCTAGCATTGGCTTCGGAGAGCATGATTACCAGACGCCTCTATAGCAGTCTCCCGACTTGTAACAAGAAAAGTCCCAGGCATCCCCATCACCAATGGTCGTAACTACATGAGCGTCGAAATATGGCTTGCTTCTGCACTTCACGGCGCCATCGTTATTGAAAACGTTGCACATTGTCCTCTTTTCGAGACTTGGGGCGGCGCTTGCCAGCAGAGGGAGGGCGAGGCAGAGGATTGCAGAAATGGTCTTCATATTGGCAGTCTGCAAAGATGTTGCGAATGATTTTTGAGGGGTATAGAATGCCTTGAGATTAGCTGGATTTTGAGCTCGTTATATACATATCTGGGTAATGACCAAGGTAGGATACACTAAACGGTAAAAATAGCAAATGTATACTCGCTTCTACTACATTTAGCCTGGGATGGTCCTGTTCACCTTCATTCTTCAGTCAATGATACGTTACTCCAAAAGAAGCCATTTGGACAGAAACTAGTATACGAGGTTACATTGGCTATTGGTAGCTTGAACGGGCAGGGCTAGATGAATCAGGCTAGCAAGTTCAGAGATACCTGAGATATATTGAAGGCAGAAGCCGACTATCCAAATGGCTCTGCAAAAAGAACAAGGCGATGTTACCGAATGACACTTCAAGCTGCTTAGCGGAGTCGACATGCCTAGCAGACTAACGGGCTATCTCGTATCTATACGAGGATGGCTGAAGCAAGACTACATTCAATCCAAGTAAAACACAACTTATGTATCAAATCCTTAGAGAACAAGCAGGACGCAAATAAGCAAGGGAATAATGATAGAAGTAGTTGACAGGCACATGGCACTAGGACAGGAGCAAGCGGGGAAGACTATTCTCTAACAAGGCCATATTCTCCGCACCTGGTGCTAAGCGGATCTAACCCGTTCCTTTCTATATTAAGAATTGCCAAGACGCCAAGAACGCCGTCTTATTGCTGCCAAGAGCGCTGAAAAAGTAGTTCTGTCGCAAACTTGTACGTAAATGTATATGACTGCAGCGTTAGAAAAAGCCTCAATAACCAGGGCTGGGAGAGGATGGCGGGGAAACTGAATCTGGAGAAGTAGCCGAGCCGCCTGTCTGTAGTTGGTGGTTGAGTCCTTAGTTAAAGCCCTGGCTCGTTCATCGTGACATACACCTAAATTGCTCCAAGATCTATCTCCTAAGAAATTGATCCCAGGAGTCGAGGATCCTACTGTTCTACAAATGGCTAACTCTCTCAAGAAGTAGCCTTGCAACTATCATGGCAAACTAAAAAGGAAACAAGACGAAAGACAAGACGAAAGAAAGTTACAGTCACCCATGACTGACTCGGTAGTTGGAGTACAAGGGTAGTCTAGCATTCGATTAGAAGAGGCTAACTAGAAACTATAGCCTTCAGCTCGTTTAATGAGTATGATAAATACCCTAATCTATGACTGCCTGTAGGTGTAGAACATTCAGCTTTGTAGAATGGCGAGGGCTCGATTGCTCATTTTCCGTCTTAGCTATGGGTGGAAGATTGGATATGCTTTAAGGCACTTAATTCGGCGTCAGTCCCATAAGTTTTCGAGTTTCTACATGTATAACTTGTTGACACGTAAACCCAACTCCTCCCACATACGACGGCTATTAGCGGGCGGGGGCATAACGATCTTATGTGCATAACTAGGACAATACAAACCTCACAGAAAGTTTTTAACAGCCAACTTGCTGTATTCTTTATTATCCCAGTGTGATATATCACTATTTATTGCCACTTTACACAAGAGCTTAAATAGACGTAATTTTTTGCCTATGCGTACTGTATGGGGGTAGGTGTCGATATGACTAAAGCAGTGCTTGGCATTTTTATGCAAATTCTGAGTGCCCACCATTGTGCGCCATACTATTCTGTACCCACCATGCGGATTGTTGCAGAATTTCCCAATCGCCGATCAGCCAACAAAGCACCCGAATGGCATCATTTTCTCCGAAGACTCACACCGCATAAGCTCCCGCGTTTGCATAACGCCACTAGACAGTTGAGAACACCTGTCACTGCAATACTGAGCCCAAGACAACTCCAACACCACCTTTCCATCTCCAAACGCCCCCGGCCAAAATGCCTATCATCAAGAACTTCACCCTACCGGCCTCTGCCAAGCTCCTCGAAGTCCCCGAGGGTCCCAAGGCTAAGCTCTTCCTTGCGTTCATCTCCGGAGATGACGCTATCACCAAGCAGCCATGGTGTCCCGACGTTCGCGCCGCACTGCCGCACATCGATGCCGCGTTCACTGCGCCCGATGCGCCGACTGTAGCTTACGTCTCTGTGGGAGAGAAATTACAGTGAGTGTTCAAATTTGCGATCTAAGAACATAGAAAACACAGCTTATCTCTATCTCTAGATGGAAAGATCTCAAGAACATCTACCGCACGCAGTGGAAGGTCAACAATGTCCCTGCGCTGGTGCGTTATCAGCTCGTTAAGGGAGAGGTCTCTGAGACCGGGCGGTTGATTGAGGCGGAGATTTTGGATAAGGCGAAGCTTCAAGCTTTCCTTGCTTGAGTGCATTCATTCACCATGATTATGTTTTATGTGATATGAGATAGAATTTTCGCCAATATCAGCTTTTGCACTACTGTATCCTTCGCGGTAGACAGATCGGTTCGTGAATCCAATGTGGTGACGGGCATGCACTGAGTATAGCCGTCTTTTTAATTCCCTTACAACATAAAAGACCTGACAGAAACATGTGCCGCCTTCTTTGCGTTGCTGGAATCTCAACCCGCCGAGGGCCGTAAAGTTGGTTCTGGGCCTGCGGTTCACTAGGGAGGGGGATCGCTGAAAGTCCATTTGGAGCCATCTTTCACCTTTTTCTCGGAATTCCGAGCTACCGAGCAGCTTGGAATGCCATGTCCGTCAATTTGATCTTTGTGTGAAGGAGGGCTCTCAGCCTCACCAATACAGTTATCTTTACTGTATGCATTTTGATGGTTTCACGTAGACCTTCTTGTCTCTTGCTTGTTTTATTGAATTATATATTAAAAGTACAAAGTAAAAAAAACACCCCGTCTTGAAAACACCAAACGCGTATATACATTCACACATGCCCCAACCCCCTATCTCATCCAATTCAGTTAACTGATCTACATCAATCAAGAGCTAGCAGCAAGTTCGCTCAGGATCTCATCAGCCGCCTTCTCAGCAACCATGTAGGTAGACACGGCCGTGAAAGTACCCGGGATCTTGGGGTAGACGGAGGCGTCAACCACACGAAGACCAGAGACACCACGGACACGGAACTTAGAGTCCAACACGGCCATGGGATCACCATCAGCACCAATTGGACAGGTGCACGAGGCGTGGTGGCCCCAAGCAGCATCCTTAACGTATGTCTCGACATCTTCCTTGGAAGTCACGGCAGCACCGGGGAGAACCTCGGTGACGTTAACGAGTTGACGCTTAAAGGCGTCACGGGCGAGCTCGATGGCTTCGTAGAGAGCGGTCAGATCGGCGTCGTAGTCGCCGACACCGGTGTCGAAGTAGTTGAAAGTGATCTTGGGCATGTCGAGGGGATCAGCGGACTGCAGGGCAACAGTACCGGCGGTGTTGCGGGGGTGAGCCTTCAGGATAGCCCAGGTGAACCAGTTGTGCTCGTCAGTGGCGTTGATGCTGTAGTCGGGGAAGTAGCCGCGGAAGTTGACGGGGCCACCGAAGCAGAAGATGTCGAAGCTGTCATCGGCTGTAACGGAGCTCTTGTACAGCATGGTGGCGGCGAGACCGGGGGAGGAGTAGATGCCGCGGTCGCCGAGGATGGGAGTCTCCCAGCGGTTGATGCAGGGGTCGGCCTCGTCGTGGATGCTGAAGGTGCAGCCGTTCAGGCAGGAGAAGTCCTCCTCGATTCTGCCCTGGACGGAGATTTCGTAGTGGTCCTGGAGGTTGGTGCCGACACCGGGGAGATCGGAGATGACCTTGATACCGAACTTGTTCAACTCGTCGGCGGGACCGATACCACTCAGCTTGAGGAGCTGGGGAGAGTTATAGACACCACCGGCAACGATGACCTCACGGGAAGCAGTGGCTGAGCCAGGGATACCAGCAGCGGCGGTCTTTGACAGGGGGCTAGCCTTGTAGAGATGCCGGCCATCGAGGAACTCGACACCAGTAGCACGGGGCGGGCTAACGGTCTCGTCGAACGTCACCTTGGTAACGTGGGTGTTCATGCGAACATCGAGAGGGTACTTCTTGGTGCCGTCAAGGTTCTTGGCATCTCGCACAGCGATAATGAATTCACGGGCACCGTTACGGTGGGCGTCGTCGGTCGAGATAGGAATTTGATAGTAGCCAGAGACGGTATCACGAGTGGTGGTATCAGCATTGGCATCGCCGGCCAGCAGGGTAGCAATGTTGATGACATTATCGGTCAAGTTACCAAGAGCAAAGGCACCACCGGTAAGCATGCTGAGGAGCTGGGGGTCCTCGAGGACAATGCTCAGAGGAGCAGTCTCGGTCTGGAGCCAGCCACCGTAACCGTGACCCTCCATGCCGGGGAGCAAGTAGTGGTTCCTCTCCAGCTTGGTGAAGTACTTGCGCATATTATCCGGCGACCAAGAGCTGTCACCAGTCAAGGTTGAGATGTATTCAAAGTCGGACTGGTGGGGGTAGACAGCGATCAAGGCATTGTGGGCAGTGCATCCTCCGAGGGTACCTAAAATAATAGACTATTAGAATCGTTTCAAAATTCATCGGGAGCATGATGCATACCAGTACGAGGGTAGAGAGTTCCCATCAACTTGGAGCCTTCAGGAGGACTCAGGCCAGTGTATAGCTCGCCACTGGGGGTTTCGTAGGTAGTCTTGTAATCGCGAGCCTGGCGCTCGTCATCGGCATAGTGATGAACAAAGAAGTTCCATGAAAGCTTCTCATCCTCGGAGGCTCTGGCCGAGTAGGCAGGGATGCTATAGTTGAATGTTTGACCCTGGTCATCACCAGCTTCAAGCAGCAGCGTCTTGTGGCCAGCCAGAGCAAGACGAGCAGCCAAAGGACCACCACCGGCACCAGAACCAACGACAACGTATTCGTAACCGGTTATATTAACAGCCTTAGCGAGGCCAGCAGTGGCGGCCAACAGGCCAAACAGATGCGGAAGAATCATATTCAAAATAAGGAATGACTAGGAGTGAGTGGTGAATCCAAGATGCCGGGATTCCTACCAAGCCTTTATATCAAGGTGGAATTTGATTCCCCCCTGAAACAGCATGGCTCTGATCGTCCATCGGTATTCGGTGCAATTCTGGCAATCTCTCTCCACTCTCGCTAAAGCCGTTGAAGACCGTTGAACTCCGTTGAAACTTCAGGTTATTATGCCGCGGCTGTGGAGAGAGACTTTCTGGCTCGTGGACTGTGGAGGAGGTCCCACTGTAGACAGGTCGCGTCTAGCCCGTTTCTAGCAGCAATGCCCGAACGATCGTCGATAGTTTAATTTGTACTCTGCAGGGTTCACCTGCCATCCCTGTTGATCTTCCAACGAGGATCCACTTTGGTTGTCAGTGATTGGTCCTTTCCAGAGCAGAGTGGTATGGGGTCAATATGACTGACAGGTCAGTGACCTGGTGATGCCAAGAAAGTTGCAAACAAGGTTTTTTCAGGGGCGTTTTCTGCTGGCCAGATTCTTTGATGTTTCTTAAAATGGGATAGTATTTGACGACACTGACTATTTTATTCTTAGCTTGATTCGGGTCTTTCTTCTTTAGGTGTTGATCGCTCTGTCGACTGCACTTTCCACTGCGGAGTGGGGTTCCCTAAGTGGGGAAACGACACGGTAAGAGCCTAAGAGGACCATATGTACACGACTCACGAGTGGCGACAGTAATAGATTTTCTTCATAAAAAGAATACATAAAGTTCTGTCTAATCCCGACTATGAGCTCGTTTTCTCGATCAGGTTCTTGCCAGTCAAAATACAATCAGCTTTCCTACATGAGAACCTCTCCCCAAATTATCCTCTTTAGATATTCCACAGACAATTAGAAGAGCACGTGCTTCATCAAAGGGCTTGAGGTTGACCAACTATATAGTCACTAGGGCGTACTCAAGCTCGTAAAATTCATTATCCACTGAATTGAGACTGTGCAGGTTCGTGGAGGGTCACGAACAAACAGGGCTATGTCGGTAGACATCGCGCTATCCAATTGATTCAAGCCGACTAAAGGGGGGCATATATTCGAGTGAGGCCAGGCTTGATGTGCTTCATAACTCATCTCCAGTGGTTTGTCCATCGGGTCATAAGACCACTAGGTAAACCACTGGTAAGGCGGGTTGCTAATTTTGAGTGAAAGCGAATTCGACCCGCGTTGATGATTTGTTTTGGGTTTCATTGTTCGACCATCTTGATACCGATCGTCCTTTAAATACAGATGCTACCAACTAGGTCGTAGAAGCAGTTATATGAGACCAGCCTAGGCATACGTAGATAAAAGCTGCCAAATGATATCAATTCTAGTGGCTCTCCAACACTGATACGAGACACACACAGCTAACTATCTCAATACTTCCACACAATATGCAAGAAATCCCCGCCTCGGCCTCATCCTCCTTTAGCTATGAGTTTGCGTGAACTACGCCATTAGATTATGGAAAGGGTACTTCCAGAAGACTTAACCCAATTTGATCCAAATACTTTTGCTCTTGACTTTCTTCAAACAAAGGCTAAGATTGTTTATATTATTATGATACTTCTGGGTCGAGGCTTCCCGCACGACACTCTATACTCTCAAATACGCTTCAACTTCCTGTCTTTCAGAAGGTCTTTCTAAATGTCTTTTGAACCATCATTCTTGACAGCATGATTCTTCCAAGTCCGCATACTGACACCCGGCCTACGAGGCCACCAGCAGGGGTCCGGGGAATTGACTGTCCCCAGTTTTCAGCCTTGTCAATGTTGCCTAGTACTAGAGCTCTGCCAAGCCGGATAATATGGCAAAATGTCAAGCAAACGCCAAGGCGTAGCGTGGAGAATCAAAAGCGAGGTTTTGGCTGCATTCACGATGTAACGGGCCATGAGGATAAAAGGTACGCCTGTCAGGGGCTTCGAAAATATGAAAACATTTGAACAGCTGAATTCCGCTGTCTCTTGTCTCTTCAAAGTGTGGCACTTGCCGGTATCCTACAATCGTTTTCTCGGGGGTATCAGAATGGTTCTTCTTCATCGGAGCTGGCCTCTTCTGGCCCTGCTGCAAACCCTCAGCGGCACTTGGGCAACCATCACTCCCAGGGTTGTGGAAGTGGACTTGATCTTTCCTCGCAATGACACCTCCTATTCCCCTAGTCCGGTTTTTCCTATCGTTTTCGCCATCCGGAACTCACGCCTCCTGATGAATGATTTCTCGCCACGAATCTATTGGAATGTTGAGCAGGTGAATACCGGTGTCGATCTCGATAAGAGATGGACCAGATCCAGCTCGATCGAAGTATCGAAGCGGAATTATACCAGCAGTGATCCCTTCTACATCTGTCAGAGGCTCAGTTATTTCAATGTCGAAGGATTATTCCGCTTTGCATTCGAATTTTCCATGACCAATTGCTCGGAAAATCCAGAGATGGGCAAGATGGTATTCCAAAGGCCTCATCAACGCAGTGTTTTTCTATCAAAAACGACACCTCGTCACCGGACTTTACTGCGGCAACTGAAGATGGCCCTTGCGACCAATCGCCAGCTCTGGGATTCAACATCACGGATCGTCTGAAGGTGCCGGCAATTTCCTTGTCGAGTGGCATGTTTCGCCTGGCCAAAGTTGCGTCTTCTCCAAGCTAGTCTTTTCACGATGCCCTCATTTTAACTAATTGGAGACTAATTTTGTTGTCTTTCATAGGCACAATACTCCGAGTATACACATAGTCGTTACCTTCTCTCCTCAATTAACGCTAGTCCATTAATGGGTTGGGTGGAGCCTACTAGCGCCTTGAAACGTTTCTTGCAGGAAGCCCAGCCAATTGTATTGGTTTGATTGATGGAGGGCATTCAGTCCAGCGCCTAAGAAACTGTAGCACAGGTTAAACGCTAGCTGAGCCCATGCACTGTAATCACGCATAAAAACAGGACGTGTTACAAAACAGCCCCCAACCTGAGAGCAAGACCAAAGTACCTAATGGAATTAATATTTGCCTTATATTAGCTCGATGGGACCCCTATATCCCTGGAAACTTGGCAAGTCCCTCATTAGCCATGTCGAGGACCATAGAAGTGCCATTGAAGAGCACACGAAGACACTCCACGGAATCTTCTCCGATGGTAAACAAGCCTCACATAATTCAGCACAATCCCATGATCTGGCGATCCTTGGAGGATTGGACGCCGTACGCGCCAGGAAGAACGATACCATTATTCGTTGCGGAGATGAAAAAGGGTCTGTCCATGTATTCTATCAGGCTCCTAAGTCAGATGCAGCTATAGACGGAATCAAAAGGTAGTGTACGCGAATTTCAAAGTGATACGATTATCTGTTCACGTTGATCAAGGAAAAATCCCAGAGCAGGGTCTACAGATACACTACCACGAGATTCGATTACTGCTTTGATCGAGGACAGTGACAGGCAGATATTGGAAGCGTGGTGCACGCGCAATATAATATCTGAGCTGAAACCTCCAGAAACGGCATTCTGTCAAAATTTTGTACTCGGATATATGGCCCCAGATACGCCGGCAGAATTAAAAGAAACAATCACGACCTTGGGCCAGAACACCTTGGTGTCCAAAGTGCCTTCCGACAACCGAATCCAACTACTCTTTGATCTCCCGCATCTTCTTAATGCCGAGAAAGCCTTGTCAACTTTTTATTCGCCCGACTCCCAAAATACGCAAGACCGGTTGCAGAAGCTTCGCGAATTCGAAAACAGAGGAAATAGTCTGGATTCAGAGCTGTTTGATTTCTGTATTCTGGACCATGTTCCTTCTCCAAACACCGGCATTGTTAGATGGGCTGTATATCGAATGGGATATGGATGCTATTTTTTCTCAAACGACGACGTTGTGTTGGCTGAAGATTCAGAAATGAAGCAAGAGGAAAGCTTTGTTGCACCATGGCGAAGAGTGATCGTCTGCAAAGGGCTGTCGGCAGTTACAAGTGCAGGAACCTCGATCGAATTAACCCTAATGTTGATGCCTCCCGCGCCTTCCACATCACCTTCTACGAAATCATCGTCCACAGGTTCCGTTCTTCAGAAAGGGAATTTTGAAAAACTGGCCCCATTTACAAACACCCTGGCGTGCCGTGGTTTCGCCGCAGCGCAATCACCACACTTGTCGTAACAGAGGACGGTTATGCGAGTGGGGAGAACGCTTTACGCCCAAAGTTATCATCCCAATGGGGAACGATACTCGTGTTATGTCCATCCGAAACACACAGGTGGTTTAACATTTATATAGAGCGCAACACCTTCCCCCAGCCACGGAAATCTGTTCTGGAAATTGGCCAAATCCAGGTTAGCGAGGTTGCGCTCATCAAAGAGGCGTACTCAATGCTCACGTCTCGATGGCTAAGTCTGTCTTATGGACAAGGTCGCAGATCTCCTTCGAGAAGATTTTATGGATCCGGAAAGATACATCAAGCTCATATTTGACGATGACCAACTATCTACATCCAAGAAGTATTCCTGGATTCTTGCGTGTATACAGGAATTCCGAAGTAGCATTATGGACAAGATCAGTCAATGGAGGCTCGGATCGAGCCTTTCCTCGATGACCACTCCCAGAGTTGAAAACTCTTGTCAACCAGATAGAAGGGTCATGCGGCACTCCCGAAGAAATCAAGCGTCAAATAGACGACACTGTTGAAACGGTCAAAGCTCGTCGGGACGGACTATTCAACGCAAGTGCTCTAAGTGAGACCCGAAACTCGAATCACTTGGGACAGAATGTAAAGCTTCTCACATATGTGAGCATTTTCTACCTTCCACTCGCATTTTGCGCCGCGGTATGGGCAATTCCGAATATCGATATGAGCGGCACAAAGACTGCCTTCAGTGTCACGGCTCTGGTCCTCGGTTTAGTGAACTTTATGGTCGTGGCCAACTTGAGAAACCTTTCTCGCTTCTTCGGAGGTATATACAAAGTTTGGAGAACTCAGGTTGTGCAACAGATGCAGAATGATCCCGAGGGCGATACGAATCAGATTGGCCGGAATTTGGAGAGCTCGTGGTCTGAGCGGGTAACAGGGCCATCGGAATGGTTGATTCTACGGTACCAGTTCATCAAGTTCTTTCGCCTGATCAAATCGTTTGTTCGCAGAAAGCAACCAAAGCGTGATGAAGGTTGTAAGTACCACATCCCGCCTTCCATTTACTCCGAAGATCGCCTTATTGACTTCACGGATAGCACTTTGGGGAGATATGGATCTTTAAGCCCAGTCCATACGTCCTAGAACCCTCGTCTAGCCACTCCTAGTTAGCACAGTAGATTAGAATATAGGCAGCGGAATTTGCATTTCAGACTCAGCATCAGAGATCTCTTAGTATAACCGAAGTGATATAACCGAAGTGATATAACCGAAGTGATGAACTTCATGGAAAATACGATTTGCTGCTTCTCAGGTCTACTTGACAGCCATAGATCAATGTGATGGTAGTTGGGATTTACAAGACATGAAAAGCCATTTCTATCCTTAATATGCCTCGCTCCTGGGCGATGATACCTTAAACTAAGAAAACTCTGGCCATATACTCCGCCCAAGCTATTCAGCGTACAAAACAGCAAAGCCTTTTATCTTACAAGATCATCTACACTCTACAAGAAAGATCTTCTTCACACAGAGACGGGCCTGCCTGGATTGTGCTAGTAATTGCTATCGACGACAAAGAAAGAAAATCGTAACGACCCCCCTCTGCCAGCCTGATCCAGCAAAAACCAAAACACCAAGTCCAACCATAACGATGCTCTCCAGATAATCTTTAATATCACTTCCTCGATTCAATCCCAATCCACCAAGCGTTCAATGTTCCAATGTCTCATTCCGACAAGTAAGAAAGCCATACTTCCACGGGTCATTCGCACGAAAGGGGTGTCTGTTGGGTAGAGCAGAAGATCCTCCCAGCGATTGTCACCAAGAAAGTATAGGTATGTTTTCGTGGATTTTCCGGTTCCTTTTTTGGTTCTTTCGAGTAGAAGACAAAAGCAAGGACGAATCGGAGAACAGGTCTCATAGAAGCCAAGACACCCCCAGAAGCCTCGAGGGGCAAGGAAAAAAAGAAGATGCCATATGCAGGAGGAGTTTTGGTCATAATGATCGTTGGAATATGCCATGTCCCAGTTAACTAACACACAGAGACGAGAGACACGCAAATATGGGGTTTAGACGTAGCAAAGCGGTGCGCGCGCATCACACACAAGGCAAGACACAGAAACATGAAACAGCGGCGAAGACGCAGGAAACGACGAAGACGAATTTGGAACCATCACAGAGTTTCTACGACCACGGTACGCCAGGCTTCGCGGATTTGAATCTAACGAAGTAATAAAAGGAAGATGCAGAGGCGACGAGGATTAGACTTGGGTCATGGTCGCGCGGAAGGAAGGAGGAGGGCAGATTTGTCGAATAATTGCCAATCAAATAGCGTACTTGCGAGTCCATTCGCGAGCCGTCGCCTCGTACCGAGGGCGGTCCGTCTTGTAGACATGCGCGATTTCGGGAACCAGCGGGTCATCCGGGTTGGGGTCTGTGAGCATCGAGCAGATCGAGAGTAGGACTAGAGGGATATAGTTAGCAACAAGGTTCAGTTCGTGTTTGTCGGGAGTGGCAAAATGGATTATTTTGGCAAATTAAAGTTTGACGCACCTTTAGAGATGGTGAGGGCAGGGCTCCATTGGTCCCTCAGGATGTCCAGACAGATACTGCCGTTGGAGTTGATGTTGGGGTGGTAGATGCGGGTGGTGAAGTTGACCTTGGGGGGCTTGAATGGGTAGTCGGTGGGGAAGTGGATGGTGAGGAAGAAGACACCTCCGGAGTATGGCGAGTCAGTCTAGAATATGACATATTAGTATAAATGATACAATCAATACAGATGACCGGTATCGCTGCATCTGGAGGCGTTGTAGAAGACATTGTGGAAGGACTTTGACGATACTGCACAGCCCCTCCAAGCCCCTCCGCAGCCCGCCGGTTCAGGTTCAATGAATGGAATGTATCGACTTACGGGACCCATGATAGTTGCTTGCCAGTGGAACTGTAAAAGCAAAGAAAAGTTGAATGTCAGTATATAATCAAAATCATACTCAAGTCCTCCCTCGAACGATCCGACGATATGCGGTCTTTTGGGGGGTCTTCTTTCAGCCCCGCGACACGATAAGGCTGCCCTTGGCACCGAGCGACCGAGAAGAACGAGGGGACGAAGAAAGCGAGGAAATCATACCAGATCATCTCCAACAGGGCCGGCGGAGCAGGAGGACGGGGGGTCCCTATAACAAACGAAAAATGTCAGTCTCTGTAGAGTCTCTCGCTCGTGTGATGCCCACACCGTAGAGGGGTACGGGGGGGTGTGTTGGGTGGGTGGTAGGCAGATCCTTACCGGCCGAGATCAGTGAGTTCCTTGTTAATGCGCTTAAGAGCCATGACTGACGATGGAGGTGTGGTATGAGAGGAAGGGAAGACTGCGAGGGAGAGAGCAAGGATGGTCAGGTCAGCGAGGGAAGGGCAGGTCGAGTTGGATCAGTCAGGCGTTTCCACGTACGGTTACGGCTTTTGTGTGGAAATGAAGAAGAGAAAGAAGAAGAAAGAGGGGGAAAAGTGGGCGGGCGGGTGTCTCATGGGTATTACCAATACACGCCACACCATGACACATCCCGCCAGTGCGTATTTTTGGCGAGGACCCCCGTACAGTAGGGCTGGTGGGCTGGTCTGAATGGTGTTGGTTTGGTCTGTATTCGGGTCTATTACGGAGGTAATCTACATTTTGTTTATGTCTGCTTTGATACTCGTCAGAAGTTGGGATTTTACAGAGATACAGATCTGCTTTATCATATGTTGGTCTTTGTGGTATTCAAAAAGTTGATGCCTCAGTTTTTCATTTTTCAGACCCTCGATGATGTCACGTGCGGGTGAGGCGCTGGCCTTGGCCTGATGGGGAAGGCATCCGCGCTCCGAGTTCTTCCTTGTCTGGGAAGATTCTATACAAGTTTATATGACCCTGAGTACAGGGAAGGAAAAGAATGCAAATAAGTGTAGTACAATATTATCCAACTCCCACCTCAAACAAAGGCCTGCTTGCCAGTGATGGCTCGGCCCAGAATCAGAGCTGTCAAGGAAAAAGCAAATAATTAGTTGTCGGCCCAAAAGCACCAGCCTCAAGATTGGGCATTCAAGGAATGGCAAACCACTTACCGTGAATGTCACTCTGACCCTCGTAGGTCTGCACCACAAATAGGTTGGCCACATGGCGACCAATGTGGTACTCATCGCTGGCAGCATTACCACCAAAGATTTCTTGGAGACTGTCAAGCGTAAAGAATTAGCATCTCGTTTCGAGACAAGGCAACGGAAGATAAATGATACAGGCAAAAAAAAGGAATGAAACATACATCCGTGAGTTGGCCAATGCCCGATCGCAGTTCTGACGCTTGATCATGGAGATCATCTCTGGCGTAGCCTTGCCAGCATCCTTGAGACGAGCCACTTGAACCGCAGCCAATGTGCCATAAGCAGCATCCGTCGCCGCATCAGCCAGCTTCTTCTGAACGAGCTGGTACTTAGCCAGCGGGTTACCCTTGAACTGCTTGCGCTCGAGACTGTACTCCCGAGCACGGGCAAGACAGTCCTCCAGGGCACCCATGCTGCCAAAAGCAATTCCCAGACGAGCGCTGTTCAGGCAGGTGAACGGTCCCGTCAGGCCCTCCACATCGGGGAACATATTCTCCGCCGGCACGGGGCAGTCATCCATCTGGATCATACCAGTGATGGACGCCCGCAAGGCGCTCTTATTCTTAATAGCGGGAGTCTCGAATGTACCCGGTGGGCAGCGCGAGCGCTCAACGATGAAACCCTTAATCTTTCCCGTCGTCTCCAGCTTGGCCCAGACCAGCGCCACGTCCGCGATGGGCGAGTTGGTGATCCAGGTCTTGCTGCCAGTCAGCAGATATGTGCCCTTCTGTGTCGGGTGCTCGCGGGCCACGGTTTCCATGGAGCCAGGGTCGGAGCCGTGATTTGGCTCCGTCAGGCCGAAGCAACCGGCGATCTTGCCCTTGGCCAAACCAGGGAGGAAGCGCTGCTTCTGCTCCTCCGTACCGAATTCGTAGATACCCGTCATTGCCAATGAGCTCTGCACCGACATGCCTGATCGGTATCCGGAGTCCACGCGCTCGACCTCCTTGGTGATCAGGCCTGAGGCCACAGTGCTCACGCCAGCACACTCGTATCCCTCGATTGAAGCGCCCAGAAGGCCGAGCTCGCCCATCTCCTCCAGAATCTTGCGGTCATAGTCTTCGTTGCGGTAGGCCTCTGTTCACATCGAGGTGTCTATTAGTTTCAATGCGCAACGAACGAACTCGACTTCTCAGTCAATTGATGGAACACTCACCTAGGATCCGGGGCATCAACCGTTCCTGGCAGTACTGTCGCGCAGTATCCTGAATAGCCAATTCCTCTGACGTATACAGCTCCTCCGCAGCGAGGGGGTCCTCCCAGTTAAACACTGCCGAGGAAGCATACCGACGACCCGCGACGGGACGGCCAGCCTGGAGCGAGCGCGCAGCTGCACGCAGAAGAGTGCGATTTATCATTTTCACAGAAACAAAAATATAACCAAAGACAAAATGAAAAGACGAGAGCAGAGAAAGTTGTCTGCAACGGGGTTATCAATCGGTTTGTTGCGGGGGAACTCAATCAAATATGCGCTAACCACCGGAGAACCTCGGCAATTCTGGGACCTGCAAATCACCGAGCCCCATGCGGCGTGGCAAGGTCTAGGGTCACTCACGCCGAGTCCAGTCGGGGGCGGGGATGGTATTACGCTAGGCGATTTGATCGATTGCCCCAGTTTGGTGTGCCTTGTTTCGGTGTCTGGTCCCCTGTTCGGACTTTCTCGGTGCTCGTGTGCTATTCTGTATGTACTCGGGAGACTCGGCATACCATACCAGGTGCTTTCACACCAGCACCCATGGGGTAAGTACATGCGAAGGGAGTTACAATCAGAATTGGAGCTGTTATTTTGTATTTCTAGTGTCTGTATTTGCCTATATATCCAACTAGACAATCATAGTTGTCTGGCATCGATACTAATCATTATGTACAAGGTGTAGTAGAAAAACATTATCCAAGAAGAGGCACAGCGCTTGCCAGCACATGGCTATACAGCTCCTCATTATGCTGGCATCTGGCTCTGTAGGAAATCAAACACGCCCGTGGGGAAATACTCTTCATCGAATCCCCACAGGTCTGCCATCATAGGGTCCATCGACCCTTCTGAAAGGCCGGGCTCATGCTTAGCCAACCCAATACCCGGATCGAACCCATTGCTACGTTCCGCAGATAGTGGTGCCACGCCCAGAAGCGGTGGAGGATGGTTCAAGATGGTATCTCGCTCACCCAGAATCTGAGCACCAGGAATGATGACCGGTTTGAACAGCGAGGATGTATCGGATTGGGGGGTTGGCCCGCCTGACTGCTGGGTGCCGTTCCGCTTCTCCCACTCTTCGAGGCCAGTGAGCATCTTTCGCAAACCGCGAGCAATGTGGTGGCTCAGATGACGCTCGCTGGCTCGCTGGCTACAGGATACCATGACCTCGACGATGCGCCCAACCAAAACCCGCACGTAGGGAATGTCAATAACCAGACCGGCTGAGGAAATAGACGTGCTTTGGCCCTGGCCGCACTGGGTGGAGCACGACTTGACAGCAATTTTCAGAAGAAATACCGCCGCAAAGGTAATCATGCTGTGGAGGTACAGCGGCACGCCGACCAGAGCGCGCTGAATGTCGCGCTCATCTAGAACCACTTGGAGGGTAGCGATCGCTGATTCAATAGCAATGTTGGCACGTTTCCTGCGCTCGGGCGACATGGCTTTCGAGGAGGTAGAAGAATGATATGTTCGAAGGGCGACCGAGTTCAATTGCAGTCGAGAAAAGTTATAATGCATGTAGACGGCTTTGTAGGGGTATGCACCAACATGTCGACTCCCAGCTGATGTTTAGTTAGCAATTGATCGACCCGGTTATCGAGGTAACTTACCAAGCCGCGGCAGCCATGCTGATTTCCAATCCCCCAGCTCCTGGTCATACTGGTCGATCTTTGGAAATTCACTCTCGGGGACCTCGAGCTCCACGTCGGGGCCAAATGCAAAGTATATACGGGTCAGGACTATGAACAGATCAACCTGGCTGTGCAGTCTGAGGTCTCCTTGGGATATCGTTGGTGATTGCGTGAATGTGTTGTGTTGAGTGATGGCGGGGTCTTCGTGGATGATGGGAGGTCGACCGTAAGCGATCGAGAAGTGGTGTTCAAGGGTCTTGGGATGGTTAGCAATCTAAAGCAGACTGTGGGTAAGATCGAGCAAGCATACATAGAGAAGGTACCATAATCTGGCTTGCTCCTTATGCTCAGGAGAGCCTTGTACAGCTTTGCGGAAGAATTGGTGTATATTACGCTCGGTCGCAATGCGAACAGCATATCCAGAGAGCTTCCAGCTCACGTCTGCAAGCCAGAAAGCCCCGATACACAGCGCCCGGATGTCATCCAGGGTATGGTGATGTCCAAGCATTGATTCAGATGCGAGTTTCGCAAACTCTGTGTAACAAGTGTCGAATGTCCGCTCCTTCGTAGGCATATGGAGTGCCGTCACGGCAAGAATAGCCGCAGAGAGCATAGAAGACGATCTTCGAGCGGATGTCAAGTCCTTGTGTGCCAGCAACGCTCCGTCCCAGAGGTACCTGTTGAGCACCTGATCGAAATGGTAGAACAGTTCCTCTGCCTCCTGTAGATCAACCACGCCGCGCGAGATGAAATCGGTCACCAAGGCCTGGTCCGGCACATAATCTTCGCTCGGCGAATTCTCGCGATTCTCACTCAACTGTGTCACCTCGTACAAACTTCCCATGGGAGCCGTCACGAGCGATGTCGCACTCGTCTCCTCACGATCAATCTTGTACTGCGGCTGTTGTTGAGAAAAGGCATAACTGGACGAACTGGATCCCGTCATCCTGCCTGCTGTGGTATCCGCCGAGTTGTTCTTGCTGTGATGCCCCAAAGCATGACCGGATTCATCCACCGATACTGTCGAATCCTTACGCCCCCGTTTCTTCGAAGGCGTCTCGATTGATCCGCCGCCAGCCTGGTAGTATGATAGTTCCGGAAGCTGTGACTTCCTAAGCAGGTCGGTCATTGCCAGCTCGATCATGGTCTTCCAACTAAATTTTTCCCAAAACGATTACATTAGCATTGTTATTCTTACGACTCCAACTTCTCGCAGGGCACGTTTCAGGAACACATTGGAAGTTAGGGCTGACTCACTCGGCCTCATCCTCCAACAACGTCTGGAGGCTCTTATTGACAACGCACTCCAGTCCCATGCGCCGACATCGCGAACATGTCGCCTCACCTGCCTTCATATCACAGCGAACCTTGTGCTTTTTGCATTCCGTGCATGCGCGTATCCTCCGGGAGATCTTCGGCACATGCGCCTGTCGTTGATCCTCCGGCGTAAAGCCCCCTTGCGGCGAGGGTGGCGAAGCATCGCCATTGGCCTCGAAATGAATGCGATTTCGCTTCATGCTGCGAAGTTGCACCTCATCCCGTAAAGCAGACTCCGGGGAAAGCAGAAAGGCGGGGTTGGGGGGCTCCGGTTCTCGACCGATTAGTTTCTAGCCTGAGGCAGAAAGGGGCCTACTTCGGCGCCGGTCACGTGTAGATGGTTGCGGAGTTGTTCCGTGGTCATGTGACTAGAGAAGCTAGTTCTGATTAGGTTTAAATGGCGGCGCGCGTTTGAGCGGCGAGCGCGTCACTCTCGTGGCTGGAAGCTCCGGTAGCTGGAGAACTCCGTTCTGCGCAACTCTCAACTTTGACTGGCATTTGCAAAACGATTCGCCAAAATGGGTATTAAAAGTGAGTAGGGCCATGATATCCTATTCTTGGAAGTGTGCTAACGGATCATAGATCTCTACCAAGTAATCTCCGAGAATGCCCCCGATGCGATCAAGACGGGGGAGATCAAAAACCACTTCGGCCGCAAGGTCGCAATTGTAAGTCGAATCTCAGAAACAGAAGTTTTTGGCACTCAACAATGACTAACTATATGAGTATCTGGAATTATAGGATGCGTACGTCTACAATCTACAATGCGACAGTCCGGCAAAGAAGACCACTAACCCAGCACAGATCCATGAGCATCTACAGTTTCCTGATCGCGGTCCGATCCGAAGGCCAACAGCTCATGAGCGAGTCTGGCGAAACAACTTCTCACCTGATGGGCATGTTCTACCGAACCCTGCGTATGGTCGACAACGGCATCAAGCCACTCTACGTCTTCGACGGAGCCCCGCCCAAGCTCAAGTCCGGCGAACTGGCCAAGCGAGGCGCACGCAAGGCGGAAGCAACCGAGGCGCACGAGGAAGCCAAGGAGACCGGTACCGCGGAGGAGGTTGAGAAATTCTCGCGGCGGACGGTGCGCGTGACGCGCGAGCACAACGCCGAGTGCAAGAAGCTGCTGAAGTTGATGGGCATTCCCTACATCGATGCGCCGACTGAGGCGGAGGCACAGTGCGCGGTGCTGGCGCGCGCGGGCAAAGTCTACGCCGCTGCGTCGGAGGATATGGATACCTTGTGTTTCGAGACGCCGATTTTGTTGCGTCACTTGACGTTTAGTGAGCAGCGGAAGGAGCCTATTCAGGAGATTCACTTGGATAAGGCGATGGAAGGGCTTAACATGGACCGCAAGCAGGTATGCTCTGAATACGGACCCGAAGACCGTTCCACACGAAATTCTTGTTCAAAGTGCTAATCCCCCCATTTAACCATTCTAGTTCATTGACCTCTGCATCCTCCTTGGCTGTGACTATCTCGAGCCCATCCCCAAGGTGGGCCCAAGCACCGCCCTCGCCCTGATCCGCGAACACGGCAGCCTCGAAAAGGTCACCGAGTTCATGAACAATGACCCGAAGAAGAAATACGTGATCCCCGAAGAATGGCCATACGAAGACGCGCGCGAGCTGTTCGCCAACCCAGACGTGCGTGACGCAAACGACCCAGAGTGCGACTTCAAGTGGGACGCGCCGGACGTGGAGGGTCTAGTGCAATACCTAGTAGGGGACAAGGGCTTCAACGAGGACCGTGTGCGTAACGGTGCCGCACGACTGACCAAGAACCTCAAGAGTGCGCAGCAGTCGCGGTTGGAGGGTTTCTTCAAGCCGGTCGCACGCACGGATGAGCAGAAGGCCTCTCTCAAGCGGAAGCAAGATGAGAAGCTGCAAGAACAAAAGAAGCGCAAGAAGGAAGAGTCCAAGGCTAAGAAGGATGCTAAGGCTAAGCCTCGTGGTGCGAATTAGTTTCGCAGCTCTCAGTTGACGTTTTGCGGTGGGGGCTGTGACGCGGGAATCGTCCCTCTTCGACAGGGATGTCTCAGCAGCGTTGCCTTCTTCCATGCGGATAAATTTTTGTTTTTCTCTCGCGATCTTCTACGAACTAGGCGTTGGCGTTATGAGGTCTGTCTATTTCTTTGATGGTGGCGTGTATTCTTATGATCTCGATCGTTGGGGTGGGCAGTGATTATGATTGTTCCATCCGGCTGCCCCGATCACCCAGACCACTCTGGTCCATGGCATGGAGTCTAGCATCTCATACCAGCGAAAAATGAAATATTTACCAGATAAACAGATGATCCATGTGATTTCTCATTCATCTACGTTTACCAGGTAGGTCTCTTTGCAGTTGTGCGTGTAGGATCAGAAGATCATGTCCTCGAGATGGTACAAGAGATACCCACCCTTTTGTACTGATCCTTACTCCCACAAGCCCTGGAATTGAACAAATACTGCTAGATATAGGAGATATGACTATTTCTTAATCTAATATCTTGATTCTGGTCACTTCCAGCCTTTGTGGTGGTTATCATGGTGGAGTTCAATGTGGTGCAGTTGTATAGATCGACCGGAGCTAAGCGAGATGGACCCGAGAATGGGCTGTGAACAAAAGACCAGTGATCTCAACACCAAATGTTGGAAACGATAAAAAATACTATGAAAGTGGATTGAAATCGATCATGGGCACATCATCATCCGTTTTAGAAGAATAGAAGAGCATTGTGTGGTGTGGGATCAGTTGTTCGACCAGCGAGTCCCTTGATTCGATGCGGGCGAGCAGCCAAATCGGGCATCGTGATCTCCCCCTCACTGCGTGCTTACGGGTCGATTTCGGGCCTTGATTCAGTGTTGGAACACGTAGGAAATTGGGGAATGGTATTAATCTAGCTATAAATGTTCATTTCGAGTAAATATATGTATGTTGGGGTATTGTTAGCTTGTAGAACGTAGAGCCGGCTGGTTGGTGCAAGGCCGACGCCAGATCAACCGATGGCCCGGGGCACGTAGTGGATGCGCGAGCAGGCTGAGAGCGCAGCGATCAGTGGAGTATAACGGTGATTAGACGTTGGGCTTTGCTTCTATTGGTTCAAGATCATTGATCTAATGATTTAAGGGGGGTGAAAGGCCAACTCGTAGTGATGCCCGGTTGTCCGTCGAAATATATATCGGGTTACCCCTCCGTGATAGCCTCGTTTGCCACACGGCTTTGTAACACGTAGACTTAATCCATGCAAACAGCAGCTAATAAATAGAACTATCACGTCATAATGTAATAACTACTGCTTAGAAATAGCTTAACTAACATCATCAAGTATCAAATATTTCTATAGTCGTGATCACGTTGCTAATAGTAAGTAGACATGGACGAAGATCACGGGGAACAATGCAAGCGGTCAGAAAGATGGGCAGCAGTTAGGGCTTCAGCAGGTCACAGCATCTCCGCAAGAGACCAACCACCACGATATCAGAACAAACCGCCCCCCATTCATGCAAAATCCCAGTCCGAAGTCACGACATCATCGAGTCACAACGGCGTACCATGGACCAAGAGGCCCAGGCTTTTTTTTTTCTCCCAGTTGGCGGGGGTGCCAACGCATGTGCCTCGTGACGGCTGCAGGTCCTCAAGGCACCAACACGCAAGGGAGGAAGCTTTTCACATCGGACGGTAGCATCTGCAATAGAAGTATATCATGACTGTAGATCCTTGGTGTACATATACTGGTAGTACAATCTAGCCTGGAAAGTTGATTTGATTATTGGTGGTCCACTTCAATCTCGACCGGACTAACCATCTCCTACGGTTGGGTACCTACTTATCTGGGCTTGATTTGGAGCAAGAAATTAGGTAGTAGTAACTGCCTTACTGCGGTTAGTTAACTGTTTCCAGCGGTTCTTCTTTTTAGGTTCACACAGGAGGAAGATCTGGATTCCATTGCCTTTCTCCCACCAGTGTTGCGTGAAGACGGAAAGGAGTTCCACGGGCTGGTCGATCCCCTCCGGTTCCAGTGGAATGTGTCCATGCCAGAATGAGCACTAGGGGGAGAAATAGGAAGAAGATGAAAGGCCCCTTGGCGATCATGGGGGGAATACCTAGGCGATCTACTTATCAGAGGGCATATAGAGTTGGTGCATCGTTCTGCAAAGTACGGAGATTAGGTTGCCAGATAGAGTGCGCGATTTCTGGTCGTTTGGAGATGGAGGAAACTGCCTCGACAAGATGAAGACAACGCGATTTGTACGGTGAGAAGCAGTGTAGATTAGAGGTTGCAGATTAAAGACTCGATCAGTTTAACTCGATCAGTTTAAAGGCGCGAGAATGGAGTGTTTCCCCCTCTCGTCTATTTCGTCTGCCCATCTGGGGGGAATGCGCGCCGCCAACCATTTTGCAAGGCGAGCGCCTGCAACAGGATAGTAAAGAAGTTAGAGGATGGAGCAGAGTCTAGAAAATAGAACTGTATGTAGATGCAAAGAAGTAGCATTTAGCCAAGCAATCAGGAACACTATCTATAGAGTATGAAATATCAGAACGCGACAAGAAAAAGGACCCGTGCGATCGTTGCGGCCCCGGGGGGATGTGGTGGGTGATCTTGTGTCAACACCAGCCGCCTATAAATCGCGGATGCCCCGCTGCTCTTCCCACCCTTCCGCTTGCTGCTTCTTCTTCCTCTTTTCCTTTCTCCCACTCCATCCAACTTCCCTTTTTCGACTTTCAAATCTTTCAGGTTTTCCTGATTATAACTCCTCTTCTCATCTTTCCAATCTAAATAACAAACAACACCTTTATCTCCCACCATGCCTCCCAAGAAGGCCACCAGCGTGACCAAGAAGGCCGCCGCCCCGGCCCACGCTTCCTACCGTGGTATGTTTCTTCTGATCCTGCACGCGTCCTCCATCGCGTAAAAATAAATTAGGCATCGCTTGTGTCGCGAACGTCTGCTGATTCCATTCATATAGATATGATCAAGGATGCCATTGTCAACGTGAGTAGATCACCGTCGCCGCCCGGCTTGTTGTGATCTCGGGTCGCGCGCCCGACCGTGACACGTCCGGTCTGAGGCTTGGATCCAGCCACCACATCCATAGGGATGGCCTTTATTTATTCTTTTGCATTGCTAACTGGCCTTTCCGTTAATAGCTGAAAGAGCGCAATGGTTCCAGGTACGTGCTTGTTGTTGTGGGCAACATCTCGTCGGCGCGCTGTTCCTGGGGGCTTCGGACCAGCGCGTGATGATTCCCACTTTTCTCATTCTTTTGTAACCATGTACTGACTTAACTGCCCCATTATAGCCGTCAGGCCATTAAGAAGTATGTGTCGTCGAACAACAAGATCAACGTCGCGTCTCAGGCCACTTTCGACGCCCAGTTCAACAAGGCCATCAAGGCTGGTGTTGAGAAGGGCGAGTTCACTCAGCCCAAGGGTAAGTGCCAATTGATCTCGGGTAATTCCCTGCGCGCATTGTTTGTGATAAGTTCACCGTCACTTCGTGTCAATGTCTTTATTTCTTTCAATAGCGCGCAGGGAGTTCATCGTCCTCATTCTCATGTTATGGTCATTTGCTGACGCGTCCTACCTTCAGGTCCCTCTGGTCCTGTGAAGCTGGCCAAGAAGGAGCCTGCTCCCAAGCCCGCCGCTAAGCCTGCTGCTAAGAAGGCCACCACTGCCAAGGTAAGCAATCTCCCCTCGTTGGCGCAAAGACATTCTCGTCGCCCATGTACTCACAGCCTTGATAGAAGCCTGCTGCTGCTAAGGCCACTGCCGCCAAGAAGACTGCTACTTCTGCTACCAAGAAGACCCCCGCCTCCAAGGCTGCCACCACTACCCCCAAGCCCGCTGCGGCTAAGAAGGCTACCGCCACCAAGAAGACCACTGCTGCCAAGCCCAAGGCCAACTCTGGTAAGGCCCGCAAGACCACGACCACTGCCGTATGTAGCCCTACTACCTGTCCGATCTCGCCACCAACCGTGACGCCGAACTTTCCCCGTTGATCTTCATATCACTAACTTTGGTCCCTACAGGCACCGGCGATCGTTGAGCAGCCCAAGGTCATCGGCAAGACCAAGTCTGGCCGAGTCACCAAGACCACAGCGGCGCCCAAGCCCGCGCCCAAGAAGCGTGCCACCCCCAAGAAATAGAGGATCCGCATCGCGTCTTTTTCCTGACTCGATGTAGTCCTCCCACTTCTCACGTGCGCTTTGTTTCCGGGAGGGCGATCTGATTCTCTATGATTTTTTCTCTTCCGCTGTAATTTCTTCTCCCCCTTTATCGACACCTCGATCTTGGTGGCTCGACTCTACCTCTGGCTCTGGCTATGATAGCTCTTGATGGTTCTGATGGTCTCTTTTTCTTCTTCTCTTTTGTCCTCCTCCCCTTTTTTTGTGCTCTTTTTTGTCTGGGAATATCTTTGTTATGATGGGCTTTGTCTTTTAACCTCCAAAGTCGAAGGGTTGGCGTCTTGCGGTGGGTTGTGTTCAATGGGGAAACCGTGTTTTTGGTTCGCTGTTCTTTTGTTGTGTTCTCCTCTGTTCTGCTCTTTTTTCAGTTCGGATTCTGGCGGAGACTGGTTGAATTGGAATCTTCTTTTGATCCGTGTGCTTGTGTGTTTTGCTTTTGTAGGGTGTGTGTTGTGCAGATATACACGCGATGGATGATGGTTATGAGGGAGTACAAGTAGTTAAGTACTGGTTTCTGGTTGGAATCATTCCGTAGTTAAACTATGAATCAAGCACATTCGTTTCAAGTTGTACTCTACATGGATTCGAATTCTTGTTGATGATGAATAGAGAGGGGTACATGGATGTGCCTTGATCTAGTTTCTGGGTTGGGATTACACTCGGTATAGGACTCTGAACGTTTTTTGTACAGTACATACTCCGTACTGTAGTTACTGTGGCTTGTGCTAAATCACCTGACTCATTTCAATGCCTAGGCAGACTAGATTAGAAGAAGGCTAGGCTCATCACCACTAGAGCTTGGCGGGTTTCACCTCGCGCTGTGATAAGAAACCCCTACACTGCGGCCTGCCATGCGTGGGAAACTGCGGATGTGTCACAGGGCTGTCGACTCCGTCTGCTTTATCTGGATGTTCGGGGTGGGAGGTTCTCATTATAGCGGGATATCCCCGTTGCTGTATGTGTGTTTCGATGATTTTGACTGCAGTCAATCTTTCGCTTGCCAACGAGCATATATGGTAGAGGGTAGTTATTTGTATGACGATAACTCATAGAAACACTGCTGTCCTTATGACTTCTCCGTGATCACTCCTCAATCCTCAGAAATAGCTTCATCTATCTGCTGCTGAATCACCACAGTACTAAGTACTGCATTATTCGGATGTTGAATGTGGGGGTCCCGAGTTATTTTTGGAATTGAAGTGCATAAGTTGAGTATAGTCAGGGGTAGGACTGACTACTGTATGTACAACTGTTCTGTAGACCTTAGAGGATATTCTAGAAGCACCCTGGAGATGAAGATAATAATAAGTATCGGAGATTAATGTCAAACTCAGCCTACTCCTAAAACAACTACAGTAGCTAGTTCACGTGCAGAGTTGTCAGGTGAACGAGCTAGACTTTGACCAGAACTTGAACTATTTTGGGCTGCCGTTGACTAAATAAGCCTGGTGGCGCACGTGATGGCGATGCAATTTAAGGCTGTCGGATCAATTTCGAGCGAGTTGAGGTTTCGAATATTGGGGATGATGTTTATGAACAGCTTTCTCATTTTGCTTTTTCTAACGTTTTTAGGGCCTCGGAGAAATTCGTCATTGCCTGGATCTAGTTATCAACTTGACATCTGCGTAGTCATCTAATGCTTTCCACCAAATAGGCACAGGATTGCCAATCACAGCTCGTCTCGAATTGCAGTGCTCCGTAAAGGATCAACTATTACTTGCCACAAAATTTCAATAGTTCAGAGGCTTTTACTCGGTAAGGATCCCTCGTAGAGTTTCGTCGCGAGTAAACTAAGTTGCTGCGCCACTCTTTGGGCCAGGTACGGTTTAGTTAAATTACCCTATTGACTAAAGTAGACACGGCTCTCCAGTCTCCAGAATTTGGCAACTACAGTATATTGGACGTAGCAAACCGTGAATAAACTCCAGAGTATTGTAGTCCTATGGATGGTTGCATGGGTGGTGTCTCTTCTCCAGTAAGAATGGAAAAGGTTGTGCTAGAATACGTCACTCAGAGAAACCTCCTTGCAGATGTTGGAGGGGCACACTCGATTGCCTCTAATTGCCCCCCCCCCTAAGGACCCCCCTAAGCCCAAAGATGTGCTCGCTGAGTTGTTCGGGGGCCCGAGGGTGGGTTCATTGCTCTATGCAATGTGCATAAAAAAGGCGAATCAGTGACGGGATCCCGTGCATGATCGAGGCAGTTGACTGCTTCTTGTTGGCTCGGTCGCGTCTATCCGGGTACAGGCTCGAAGAGAAACCTGATTTGGGATGCTATGAAGAGAATAATACAAGCTAGTAACTGGTAGTTATAAAGGGTGTTATAGATAAGAAACTGGTCCATATACTACTACTGGAGTAAGACTTTATGTTAGGCGCTTATCGAACCAAACTTAATATACAGTCAACCACCTTGTACTCCGTAGGCTTGTATCAGGATTCGTCAAATAACGTGCTCAGTAGTCAGTTTAATACGGAATACGGGAGAGTATTTCTTCTGTATCGATGCAGGAGCAAGCCAAGCTGAGCAGTGGAGAACGGAGACCCCGTTGTACGTGGTGTATCCGTACCCAGGTGCAACGTAATTACGACGGGTCCCCTGGGCCCCAGTTCTTTTCTCGCTCTCTTCCTCTCCCCGACAACCCTCAATCTCCCAATTACCCAAGCCACCGACTTCCCACCTTCAGCCCCAGCTCTTCAACAACAACAACAACAACAACACTTCCACCACCCACCCCCATCGACAATCTCTCCTCTTCAGTACACCAATTTCTCGCCTGTACTGTCTTCGCTCTTCCGAAACGCTCGAGCCTCTCCGTGAACCCGATCATGTTTATCCGTTGAAAACCTTCCATCTTGCCACGCCTTGGCTTGGCCGCCATCTCCGGCTTGGGATTATCTCTTCTTTCGACACAAGTCGTCCAACCTCACCTGGTTCCTCTGCCCCTTCCTCTCGTTCTGTTCCGCTGGCACGCGGTCTGGTTCTCAACCTTTCTACCCCTCCACCAATAAGGACCATTGCCGTCAGTTCGGGTTGCCGGCCCACGCAGAGCTCACGTCACCCCCGTGTCCCTAAGAATCATCTCGACGCTCTTGCACCGCCAGCACAAAGGCAATCATGCCGTCTTTCTCGAGCGACTCCTACCAGACAGCTACGGCGACCACTACAACGACCCATCCCCCTCGCTCGTTCGACTCTTCGCACCGCAAGTCTCATGACAAAAGCTCCGTTGGAAACACCTTTCTGTGGACCAACTGGCCTAACGGCGACACCAATCACGAAATCCACCAGAACGACCGCCCAGTGATCACCAATCTGAAGAACGGTAGCGCATATTCCCTGAATGGCACCCGGTCTAGCATCGGCTCCTATACGCGCGACCTGCCGCACTCCAAAGACGGCAGTATGAACTCGTTAGGCAATGGCTCGATCAGGGATCCCCGAGACTCTGGCCGGCCATCGGCCATGTTGGATCGGAAACCATCGGACGCTGGGCCTGGAGCGGGCTCTGCGATAGCCCCGGCTTCAAATCAACAGGTCAATGGCGGCACTACGAGCTGGAGCCACCGGTCCGCCCCGGCGAAGACGATGGTCAATGGCGACTCTCACCGCCCCTCTGCAGACGAACACTCTATCACAGATCGGGCTACTAGCCCATCGACCTCGTTGCTGCAGATTCCTAATTCTGATGACACAGGTCGTCACTCCCCAGACCCGGATCGTTTGACCCCGGGACCAAAACCCAGCCACCACCGCTACTCCTCCCCTCCCGCTCCCTCCTCTCCTGACACCACCCCCATGCCAGAATCACAGCAGTCTAGTATGCGCCATCGACATTCGCTACAAGTTCCAAGGGCCCCTAGTGGTCGACGGAACAGCCGAGACCAAGGCGATGATACTGCCTACGCTACCGGCCGACTTTCCCCCACCTCAGCCGGACCGCGCCGCACATCATTCAGCCTAATTCGACGCACAACAAGAACACAGTCAGAACCTGTGGATGAGACAGTACCAGACGAGGAAGCCGCACGCTGGGCGGAAGCTATCAAACAAAAACGAGCATCACGGCGACGGCGCGAGGACGATGATGACGATCGAGTGATTGTCGGAACCAAAGTTGACCAGAACCACGTCAACTATGTCACTGCATACAACATGTTGACGGGTATTCGGTTTACTGTCTCTCGAATCAATGCGAAGATGGACCGGGAATTGACCCCCGCAGACTTTGAAGCTAAACACAAGTTCTCCTTTGATATGTATGGCAATGCCCTTTGCACATTCTGTGATCCTATCCGTCGATTTGCATGACTGACTCCCAACAGCACCGGCAACGAACTGATCCCCTCCGCCAAATACGACTTCAAATTCAAGGACTATGCGCCATGGGTGTTCCGTCACCTGCGCGCAAAGTTCAACCTCGATCCCGCCGACTACCTGATGTCTCTCACCAGCAAGTATATCTTGTCCGAACTGGGCTCTCCTGGCAAGAGTGGCAGTTTCTTCTACTTCTCACGTGACTACAAGTACATCATCAAGACCATCCACCATTCCGAGCACAAGCTTCTGCGGAAGATCTTGCCACTGTACTACAAGCACGTGCAAGATAATCCCAACACCTTGATCTCGCAGTTCTACGGTCTGCACCGAGTTAAGATGGCATACGGCCGCAAGATTCACTTCGTCGTCATGAACAACCTCTTCCCGCCACACCGCGATATCCACCAAACGTTCGACCTGAAAGGCTCAACAATTGGCCGTGATTTGCAGGAGTCTGATCTGGAGAAAAATCCGCGGGCGACGATGAAGGATCTGAACTGGTTGCGAAGGAATCGTCATCTGCAGTGTGGACCCGAAAGGCGATTCGACTTTATCGAGCAATTGACCAAGGACGTGGAACTGCTCAAGAAGCTCAAGATCATGGACTATTCGCTACTTGTTGGTATCCATGACCTGGAGCGCGGCAACGAAGAGAAGCTCCGTGACAAGACGCTTCAAGTATTTCAACCAGGTGGCGATCGTGAAGAAGAGGCCAAGGGTAACATGCTGATGCGGACGCCGTCGAAACTCGAGAACGAACGCAAGGCCCGTGAACTACGCATGTTGATCAAGCGTGAGCGACCAGTACCCTTGGATAAAGCCGCGGCAAAGATGCCCGAAGAGGTTCTAGACTCGCGGAAAAAGAATCTGAAATTTTACTCTGACGACGGCGGGTTCCGCGCCACCCATGAGGATGGCACCTTTGGCGACGAGATTTACTACCTCGGCATCATTGACTGTCTTACGCACTACGGTATGGTCAAGAAGATCGAGAACTTTTTCAAGGGCCTTTCCCACGATCGGACGCAAATCTCCCCCATTCCGCCAGAGAGCTATGGAGATCGGTTCGTGAACTTTGTCAAGGGCATCACCATGTCAAAGGAAGAGGCCGAGCGGCGACGTGAGTCGCAGGCCTCTGCTGCGGCGTTGAACGAGAAGCGCCAGTCCCGGTCGTCCTCTGTCGAGCGCACAATGCAGGCAGCCGAGAAGGAGGCAGCGAAGGATGTGTCTGTTACTCACCCTCGCACCCTGGCCACAGTGTGGGATCCTGCAGATGCAGCCGGTCCAGGCCCAACCTCTACTCTACCCATCGTTGATGAAGCTGGCGAAGCTAGCAGCGTCGGCGGCCACAGCTCGCACAGCCGACAGGGCCGTCGCTTGTCTGATAAGGAACTTCCTCCTGTGCCAACAGACGAGCGCTTGCCAACCTCTACCAAGGGCAAGGAAATTGATCGGGGCGAAGACTACCTTGCGAACAAGCGCCAGCGGTAATCATCTTGTAATCATCTTCCCCGAGCGTTGTCCCTTGTCTCGTGAGGTGTCGGCGATCCTGTCCCGCAAGCGATGCATTCCATGTCTTTCCGTCTACCCATCTTGTTTTTGTTTTCCATTCAGCGAGATATCCCCATGTTGCTCGATAGACCTGTTGTGTTTTCCCCATTCCCGTCTTCAAAACCCGTCTCCTCTAGGGCTGCATGAGTCTTGTGCGGACTTTTATTCTCTCTACCTTGTTTCTGCTTGTCCATGCTCTCCTCTGCTCTGCTCTCTCGATTGATCTACCTGCAACCAGTGCGTTTCCATCGAAACCGCTGATGTTCACGAGTGACGACTGTATATTTCCTGTTGTTGAGCGTCTCTCATCCCCGTCTGTCTATCCCGTGTTATCCTTGTTATACGGTTTTCATCCTGCACCGAGTGGAGCGAAGCGATATAAAACAAGACACAAGATAAACTTGTTTCTTCGTTTTGTGGTATCTTCTGTCCACTTCGACTGTCCCCCTTGCCCGGGCACTTGCATTATCACCATATCTCTTGCTTTGACTCCAAGATTCATTCACCTCTGTACCACCAACGAAACCAACCCACTGTCATTGTCATGGATTGTGTCCGAACTAACCCGGCCCTTTCTATCCACCACGTTTCCTCTCTCTATATATCAGCCCACAGTCGCTGTCACGTCTTTCCTATCTCATTTTCCTTACTCTTGTCTTCTCTTGTCTTGTCTTGTTCTTTTCGAATTGCAATTCAGCATTTTCAAGTTTCAAGTCTCAACTTGACTCTCCCCGTCTTTCTCTTCCACTCTAGCCCCTCGAGGCGAAATCTCGCTGCTATTGCGGCCTTCTTTTTTCTTTCTTTTTCTTATCTAGTCTCGTCCATGGACTGCTACACATATGGATCCCATTTCTCTCCTTCATTTTTCTTCCTGTTTTTTCTCTCTTTTTCGAACCCTCCATTCTAAGTGGAAGGGGGGTTTCTTTTTCTTTTTCGTATTATTCTTTGCTTTATGTTATTCGTGAGAATCACTCCATACATACCATACCCCTGTACCAATCACCAATCACAATACCACTTTGTCATGGCTAGTTCTTGACTTTGTTTTTTGCTTGAATTAGCTTCTCCTCGTCCTTGTTTCTGTGGCTGCCCTTATTTCTGTTCCTGTTCTTGATGTTAAGCAAACCCGCTTAACACCAAAACACCCACCTTGGTTTTCCATATTTGTGCTCTAGAGAATTGTTCGTGGTGAGATGGCTGTGCTTGTTCTTGGTCCACTCGAGAGACAGAGAGAGATTGGTTTAGCATGATATTAGATTTGAACGTGGGTGCGTTTACGCTTCTTGGGGTTGTTTTTTGCTATTTCTTTTGGCCGATTTGTAATTGTGAATTGGTTGTAGTTGTGCACGAGTGTATGAGTTTGTAGCGGGGACTCGGAGTGTGTAGGGTGATTTGACTTGTTCACTGGAGATTGTCTCGGAGAGTTGCCAAGGTGGAATTCGAGTCATACTCGCGTGAATTTGTAGATGCAGTTCCATCTGAATCAAACATAAGCGATGAGATTGTATCAGCTTCGAGGTTATTCATATCCAAGGGCGTAAAGCCTGGTGAATCAACCTCCGAGATAATTTGTTCAAGTACAGCAAGAATGGAAGTAGAGTTTAACACATGAAGAGAACGTGATATCCATTTCCCTAGATTCGAATATTTTAAAGTCCATCCTAGAAAAAGAAGCAGCTGAGTAGACGAAAAGATGAACGCCAGTCGTCCCTCCATGAACAATCGCCCGCCCAGAAACAACGCAAAGAAGAAAAGGGATCTCAAAGTTGACCGTAGTCGAACCGAGCTAGAACCGATGAGACACCCATAGCAGATAGCGAACAAAGCAGAAAGAATTCAGAGTGAAAACATGAAAACCGAACCCTGCTAGCTTCGCCAAAAACAAACGCCCGCACGCAAAAACCCGCAAAGAATGTTGACCAGAAAGCGAAAACCAGAAGGATGAATGGGTGAGTGAGTCCGAGAGAAACAGGTGATGCGAGGGGATGGGGAGGCAACAACACAGTGAACTCTCGGTATTATGTCGTGACCGACAGCACTCACTCAGTCCGGCCCTGGGTGACCTTGGCCGCCTGGATGGCAGACATCTTCTGCAGCCAGCCCTGGGTAGGCTGAGGCTTCTTGACGGTGCGGAGGTCGTCAGTAGCGAAACCCGAGATACGCATATTGAAGTTGCGCTCCAGGACGAGCTGGATGTCGCGAATCTCGAGGGTCGAGGAGGGACGCAGCTTGGCCAAGCGGCAGGCCTGGGTGATCACGTCGTCGACGAAGTCATCGGCCATCTGGAGCATGAACTGTGGATGAAGGTAAGCCTTTGTTTCCTTTTGGAGTTGCTCTCACCTCAGGCTCGGCTGAGTGTCATTCTTACCTCCTCTGCATCGGGAGTCAGGTTCTCGCCCTCACCACCGCCGGTGACCTGGCGGACAAGGATGTCAAGCATCTTCTTGCTGAGAACATGCTGACCTTCTCCCTCGAGGACGTAACCGGGATGCTTCTGGATGGCTGGCTGGCCCATAACACCCATCTGGTTGTGACTAGGGCCACCAGAGAAGGTGGGGCGTGAGCCAGGCATGGGGACCGGTTCCGGGGTCGAGACGTTCAGATTCTTGGGGATGACCATGTTGATGCTGCGGTTGGGAGTGTCTGTTGAACGATTGGCCAGGTAGCCGGTAGGGTGAGTTTGCTGGTTGTTTGCGGCCTGGTTGACTTGTTGGTTTTGCTGCTGACCTTGATTGCTGGTGTTGTAGTTGGCAGCTTGCTGCATCGCCGCCTGTTGTGAGAGAGGCCGAGGAGGGCCTTGGTTCATCGGCTGTGGTGGTCCAGTTGGGGTGGGCGTGGATCCGTCCGGGTTGGGAGTTTGGCTAAAGCTCACTTGCGCTCCTGGTGTGCCCTGTTGCGATGGTGGTTGTGGTCGCTGGATTGGAGGTTGCGCATTGGAAGGTGCGGGTGTCGCACCTGCCGGGGATGCGGAGGGTACCTGCCCTGGTTGTGAGGTCGAGGGCGACATTACTTGCCCTGCCTGGTTACGAGCCGCATTTACAGCCGAGTTGATGGTGTGGGGAGCTGGGGTTGGAGCCTGGCCAGGCATCGCGTTTGTTGCGACACCGGCCTGGTTTGGAGGTGCGGCTTGCGGCGCAGGCACATTTGGTGCTGCTCCTACAGGAGCTGTAGGCTGCTGTGGTTGAGGTGCGCCTGTCATCTGTCCTTGTTGACTCATTGGCTGACCAGGTTGAGATTGTGCCTTGAAGCTTTCCTGCTGTTCCTTGAATTTAGTCAGGAAGTCACTACCTTCCCGGAAAAGCTTCTCGGCCGCTAGCTGGCGGTTCTTAAACTCCTGCATCTCTTCCTGTGTCATGTTGCCTTGACCCTGTCGCTGCGCAAACTGCTGGCGCAGGTCTGTGATTCGAGCCCGACCGACCTCCTGCTTCTGAAGCGCGATACCATATCGAAGACGAGCCTCGGGGATCCAGTTTTGGACCTGCTCTTGGGTCACGTTCGGAGGGAGGTAAAAGTTCAGCGCGCTGACTTTTGCTTGGATCTGGGGGAGTAGCTGGGTGAGGTTTTGAGGGTTGTTGGACTGGGTACGCTGAACCGGCTGACCCTGCTGGGGCTGGCCTTGTTGCTGTTGTTGCTGTTGCGCCGCGGCGGCGGCAGCTTGATGCTGCTGGAGCGCCTGCTGACGGTTCTGCTGGAACATCCGCATGCCCTTCATCAGGTTTTGTGATAGCTGCGATAGCTTGACATGCGCTGTCTGGTATTCATGGCTCTGTGGATCGCGGGTGTTGAGGGCCTCCCATAGGTTGCGCACCAGCTGCGTGTGCTGGGCCTTTTGCTGGTCATTCAGGTGGGGGAGCTTTTGGACTTGATCGGTTCGAATCAGGTTGGAATGCTGCTGTGGTTGCGCCATGGGCTGCTGCGGCGGCGCCTGCTGCTGCTGGCCTGGCTGGCCCTGAGCACCATCCATATTGACGACCACAGAGACGGGCTTGGAAAGCGGCACGAAGGTAGGCGAGATGGATCGTGGAAGGGAGGGCTGGTGCGGTTTGATCGGATTATTCGCCCGAGGGATGTAGACAGTCCGATAATATACCCTTTTTCACCGCACAAAAAGGTCGGACGAAGCCTAGATGATGGGGACTGACGGCAGGGTGGAATTTGGCCTGGAGAGATGAGGTCGGGAGGCAGTCTTGGCATCCGCCCGACTCATCCAATGTCGCGACGGTGCATTCGGTAGATACTCGTTTTCTCCTGAACGTTCCGTGACGGAACATGAATTACTACGCATGAAGATGAGACAATATGATTAGTTGCTTGCTATTAGCTCCAATTGGTAGGACACATGGCAAGAATTTGTTTGATTTTCCACCAGGTAGGGCCGCCAACCCTATACAAAATGTTTCCGTACTCAAAGACTGTACCAGAATCCGGCGGAAAGAAGCACCACAGTGCATGAACTAGTCAATCATGATGAGAATTACTACTTCTAAGTAAAAACGCTGCATTATAGTAGGCTGTGCACTAAATGATGTAGATGCAAGCTTATAGGGTTATTCCTCGGGGCAGCATTGTTGCATCTTGGTTCAGCTTAATACTTATTATCAACCGAGTGTGATTACTAGGGGATTTGTATTTGTAAATAGACCAAGAAAATACACCTTGGCAGAGAATGTTTGCATTGCATTCATCAAGAATATCATAAAGTCAAATCAGTATGCCTAGTACAAAGGCTGTTCGAGGTCATCATCGAACTCATCGACAGAGGGTATCTTATTTGGCACGCTGCTGGATAGCAGAACATCCAGGCCCCCAAACACTTGCACAAAGTAGTCCACAATCAAGTTCACGGAGACTAAGCTGGAATGGACGGGGCTCGTGTTTCTCAAGAAGGCCCGACGCTGTATTGGGGGGGGGGGGGGTCGATCATTCCCCTGGCCATCATCGAAGCGAGCTGGTGAACACAAGGGCGAGTGCAGCCAAGCCCCCATGTGGCAAGAGTGTTATGAGGAGAAGCTGGTGATTCTTTCTCTGGGAACTCCGAAACACGACAAGATCATTTGATCGGCATACATCCTCCTCTGGGATGGCCCCTAATCGACTTTGCCCATTCCATCTCCAGATGTTAGTATTCGGGGAGTGACTGATGGACCAGAGACTGGAAAGATTTTTTCAATGGAGAAAAATTAAGCTCCACTTCAGCCCATGAGTCGTCCAAGATCGCGGTCCATTCCCGTGACTCGAGCCTCTAGCGTGCGTTTCCTCCGCTCGAGTTCTCTGATTTCAGCCAATTCACGTTCAATGTCCTCATCGGTAACATCCGGAGTATTGGGCTGTGAGACTGGCGCAGGGGCATAGTCATCCTCATTATCTCCATAAGAGCGGCGCATCTGCTCCAGCTCGGCGGTACTGGCAGCAACACGATCTTCTAACTGCGCAATCGATTCGGCGATCATTTCATGGCGGTAGCGTAAGCTAGCAATTTTCTCCTGTGCACCCGCAACGGGACTATCAATCGGTTAGGGCGGGGTTTTTCGAATGTTGTACAGCAGACTTACTAGACATTGCATAGAATCTCTGCTCCGCGAAGCAAGACTTCAATGTTGACTTCTCCTCGTGGCCCCCGAGTGGATGTACCTGCCGACCGCTTGATTTCATCCATCATATCAGAGCCCAAGACTCGAGCGACGGCGGACTGGTTGCGGTTGTTCCGGGCGGAGTAGATACGACTGGCCATAGATTCGGTCTCGGGCTCTGCAGGGAATGTCGTCCCGCGCCGGGTGGCACGCCGCTGTGCGCCTTGAGCCTTTGTCGAAGGATCGACTTGGAACAGTGCTCTTTCATGGACCTCGGTATCGCGAATCAAGGCGGTGATGTCGTGCGAGCCTAGTAGCGCGTTCGTGAAGATGCGGGGCGGAGGGAATCTGGGTGAAATTGTTCTGTGAGCTAACGGACAGGGTTCTATTCAAAGGGCAGCAAGTACGGACGGTAGTTCAGAAATAGCCCTTGATGAAAGAGCAATCTGCTCTAAGTGGGAGTCAAGTAGCGGCATGGTGGTGTGATGATGATGATGATGATGATGTTGTTGTTGTTGTTGTTGTAATCGCCAGTCGCCGTAGTCCCGTAGTCCCGCGGGCTGTTTTGGCTCTGTTGACGGAGCTCCGTTTCTGCCTCAGGCACAAAGACGATGCGCCAACGATGGCAACAAACCGCTTGGATTGATGACGCTTTCAACAAATCCCGGTATCTTGTTCCTTTTGCGGTAGTTCAACTTCTAGCTATTCTTAACTTGCTCAAGCAGTGCTGCTATTCCATATTCTTCAACACTGCTGTTCGCTAGGACCCCGTCGGAGAAGTTGCCAGTTGCCATTCCACTCTGCTGTAAGCTTCCCCTGACTAAGCACTCCTCTGGTGTCTTGCGCCCGTCCTCGTCTCTTGACATCACATCACCCATCCACTTCATCAATCAGCCGCCCTGCCTGTTTTACCCCCATCATTTCCCTGTTCCTAGGAGTTCGGTCCGTCGAAACTTGCCCTTCTGCTTTTCATCGTCGTTTCGTGCTCTATACGACTCGTCCCCCCTACCTTCTCGAAGCTTCGGTGCTTGCTCAGCTGAGCTCTTAACAGCTTGGGAAAGATGCCTGCTGAGAGGCGTTCTCTACGATCAAACAACAAGTCCGATACCTCTTCATCTGCTAACGGTGAAAAGGCAAGCTCGAACTCCCAGAGCTCCAGTGCTAAAGACAAAGCCGCACCCACGACCCGTGCCGCCGCCAACAAGGCCAAGTCGGCCCCGGCAAAGAAAGGCGCCGCCAAGGGCGCATCGAATAACGGAATGGGGGAAGAAGATCAGTCCCACGTGAACGGATCGAAGTCGACAGAGAATGGAGTGAATGGTTCCGAGGATGTTGAGATGGGCGAGGATACGGCAGGTGCGCCTACATCCTCCTTCAACTCGAGTAAGGACCGGCATGGTAACGAGAAGATGACTGTTGTAGTGCCGCCGACCAAGGGCTCCAGATCATCCGGCAAGCCCGGTCAGGACAAGGAGGAGGACGTGACGATGGAGGGTGCAGAGGACGATGATGCGGAGAAGGCCGAGCCTGAGGTTGACCCAACGACCAAGGCTATCCAAGGTTGGTTCGACCCGTTCATGCTCCTCAATGAAGGGAGAGCACACTTTTTCCAAGTATACACTTGCTAATTGTGAATCCCCTACTTTTTTTTGCCGTGATTACAGACATCAAGACCAACTTCACCCTGCTCGAGCGAGCCGTCGCCCACTTCGATCCCCGATTTACCCTTCGCGTCCTACGGTCGATATCGTCGATGCGGAAATACATCACCCCCGAGGTCCTCGCCGAGGTGATTGTGGACACATACCAGGCTTCTGATCCGGCGGCTGTATTCCTGCTCGGTGCCATTAACCAGCCGAGTGCCTTTGAGAACGCCCCTGCGATGGAGGTGGACTCGGAGAAGGCCAAGGCTGCACCCAAGGAGGTTCTGCCCGAGGTTGACACATACCTGTCTATCTTGGTGCAGATCTATCTGTTTGATCAACGACAAATCCAGAAGGGTGCCAAGTTCTCGACCGAGCTGATCGAGCGCCTACGCACTGTTAACCGCCGGACATTGGACTCTCTTGCAGCTCGTGTGTACTTTTATTACTCTCTCTTCTTCGAGCAGATTGCTCCACTTCCCCCCTCGCCTGCAGCTACCGTGACTACCATCCGACAGCCATTGCTGGCTGCACTGAGGACTGCTGTCCTGCGGAAGGATGTTGACACTCAGGCCACTGTCATGACTCTGCTTCTCCGCAACTACCTGTCCACCTCCCACATCACCCAGGCTGATCTCTTGATCTCACACAACCGCTTCCCGGCTGCCGCATCCAACAACCAGATTGCCCGCTACCTATACTATCTTGGTCGGATCCGTGCCATTCAGCTGCAGTACACCGAGGCTCACAGCCACCTGATTGGTGCTACCCGCAAGTCTCCTACCAGCAATGTCGCTCGTGGTTTCTACCAGGCCTCTCATAAGCTCCTTGTGGTGGTTGAGCTGCTGATGGGCGATATTCCTGACCGCGCAGTCTTCCGCCAACCGGCTCTGGAGAAGGCTATGCACCCATACTTCCTGCTCGCCCAGGCTGTCAGCGTTGGAGACCTGGATGGTTTCTTGAACATTGTCAACACCCACAGTTCGACCTTCCGCAAGGATGGTACCTACACTCTGATCCTTCGCCTGCGCCAGAACGTGATCAAGACTGGTATCCGCATGATGTCGTTGTCCTACTCTCGTATCTCCCTACGGGACATCTGTCTCCGCCTGGGTCTGGATAGCGAGGAGTCGGCCGAGTACATTGTGGCTAAGGCTATCCGTGATGGTGTCATCGAGGCCACGTTGGATCACGAGCATGGCTACATGAAGAGTAAGGAGGTTGGTGACATCTATGCCACCCGGGAACCGGGCGAGGCGTTCCACGAGCGCATTCGCGCTTGTCTGGCTCTCCACGATGAGAGTGTCAAGGTATGTACCGTCTTTGACCCAGGTGTTGCTCTCACTTTATGATTGCTAATCCGGACCCTTTTTCTTCCCCATAGGCTATGCGATTCCCGATGAACCAGCACCGTCTGGAGCTGAAGAGTGCTCAGGATGCTCGCGAGCGGGAGCGGGAGCTTGCCAAGGAGATCCAGGAAGGAGACATGGACGATGAGGATGCTGGCGGCGATTTCGATGCCATCTAAAGCAGGTGTGGTCATTGGTAATTGATACAGCATTTCTTTCCTCGTCGCGCTGGCCCCATGCATGGGTCTCTACCTTCGTAGTGGCCTTTCTTCTACTTATGTGTTAATCGTGTGCGATCTCGCTCTTCTTATTTCTGGTGGATGTGTACGAGGGAGGGGAATGTGCGGGACCGAGACGGCCGGCGCGATATTTTCCGTGTCTTTTATACTGGAATTATTCTCTTTTTCATTTCCATAAGACCTTGTGTTTTGTCTGAGTTGTTCTTCTGCGGAGCATTTATGGTAGACCCGGATGGGGTGATTGTTCCTTATAGAAATATAGGAATATGTTTGGTGTTATTTCCGGAGAATACATAGTATCCGATCCGCTCCGCCCAGTTGCTTGCTGATTCTATGATGTTCAGTGTGTACATAATTGGGGAAGGACATACATCATCAGGAGTGAATCTTGCTTCGCATATACTGCTCTTTTTGCACTTGGACTTCTTTCATACGAGTCCAGACCATCTGAATGACTTATCTGTTTTGAAACTGATGAGGAGGTATATACTGACTCGACTAGCGCCATAAGAGACCAGGATTCTACCTTGATAGTGCCAGTCCCTTATCAAGTTATCGCTGGGGTCTCGGAGCTGCAAGTCGGGGCTCGTGGTCCGTGCTGTCCCGAGCTCGAAATCTTCCCGCCCGCAAGATTGTTTCCTGCGGACCTCATACCTGCCTCAATCGATTTCCACCTACATTCAGATCTCTTAGATCCTCTGTCATATTTATGTTTTATTCTTGAGCCTATTGATTCGACTTTTTATACGAGATCCCTCCCGCCCTGAGCATGCGGGCTCGCACCCTTTCGGCCGCCGGCCTGACCATCACGCGGACTTCCTCAACCTCCGTGTGCTCGCAATGCCTTCGCGATGACCTCCGTTTGACCCAGGCCCTCATCCAATCTCGCAAATATCACCCTAGTCGCCGACAAGATGTCTCCCCGTTCGGCGCCGCAGCCACCGCGGCCCAGGCTATCTTCAAGGGCCTGCCGAAAGCACCTCCAGGCGTCTCGGTCGACCCATTGCGAATCGTGGGCAAGGAATTGAAGTTTTTGAGTAGTAACATTCGCCAATTATTGGGATCGGGTCACCCAGCGTTAGACAGGGTGGCCAAATATTACACTCGCAGCGAGGGAAAGCATATGCGGCCATTGCTCGTTCTGCTCATGTCCCAAGCGACGGCTCTCGATCCTCGCAAAGACCTCACGAGGACTCCCAACACAAACCCCGTCGATATCTCTCTCAGTCCACTCGCCATCCTCGAGGATACAAACCCAGACACAGACCCTATCGTGCCCAAGTCCGCCGAGGCCCAAACCAGCTTTGATGGTGACGAGAACATCTTGCCGAACCAACGCCGGTTAGCTGAGATCACAGAACTTATCCATACTGCATCCCTCCTCCACGACGATGTCATTGATAATGCGGATTCCCGTCGCGGCAGCCCCTCGGCAAATATTGAGTTTGGAAATAAGATGGCGGTGTTGGCTGGTGATTTCCTTCTGGGCCGGGCGTCCGTGGCACTGGCTCGATTGCTGGATCCGCAAGTCATTGAGCTTATGGCAACTGTGATCAACAACTTGGTGCAGGGTGAGTTCATGCAGCTGAAGAACACTGCCAAGGACGAGGCCAAGCCTGAGTACACCAACAATACTGTGGAGTACTATCTACAGAAGACCTATTTGAAGACTGCTAGTCTGATTAGCAAGTCTTGCCGCTCTGCCGCAGTTCTGGGTTGCAGTGCCCCAGAGGTCGTTGAGGCTGCGTACGCCTATGGCCGCAATCTCGGCCTTGCATTCCAGTTGGTGGATGATATGTTGGATTATACTCTTACCGAGGCCGAGCTGGGCAAGCCTGCTGGTGCTGATTTGGAGTTGGGCCTGGCTACTGCTCCGCTATTGTTTGCGTGGAAGAGCAACCCTGAGTTGGGTCCTATGGTTGGCCGTAAGTTCTGTAGAGAAGGTGATGTTCAACGGGTAAGTAGTCTCGTCGTGTTTGCATGATTCGTGTTTCTTCAAAACATCTTGTACTAACTGCATCATAGGCTCGTGAGCTTGTCTACTACAGCAATGGCGTTGAGCAAACCCGTGCTCTGGCCCAGGACTATGCCGACAAGGCCGTGGCCGCCATCAGTGACTTCCCCGACAGCGATGCTAAGGCTGGACTGATCGAGATGGCCGAGAAGACCATGAAGCGACGGAAGTAACGAGGAAAATCTCTTGTACTATTGTAAACATATCTTTGCTTTTTCCGATTGTTGAAACCCCCTTTGTTCTGGTTACTTTCGACTTGAAAGTACCACGTGTATACCTACATTTTTTTTTTTAGATGCGCAGCTTTAGACCTAGATAGGAACGGCTGGGTATATTTGGAGTTCCAAATTATTCTGATCATTGATCTCATACTCTTGCAATTTGTATGGTAGTGGCTGCAGCTCTTTGAGTCTCCAAGTGTTCTGCAGGGCTGGCGTTCCTGACAGCTGGTCGGATCCTGCGGGGCAGGGCGGGTACCCTTTCGTCATGTTCATTCAGTACACTGTATTTACATTAAATACAGATATATTTGCCTGTTAAATACATATAATACACAAACCATACTGTAATAATAATGATCACCAGACCCCCAGCACCTCCGTCATCCCGGCGTGCGTGGGAAGCTGCAACTCCACTTCTTAACTGCTCTCCTCAGCCCGCGCGATCTGTTCTAGCGCCCCCTTCAACGCGCTCTTTTTTGCTTTTCTATTGGAGCCGGTCTCTCATTGTCTCTTGCAATCTTGCTCTCTCTTATCGGGACATCAGGATCCCTCGAATTATGGAGCTATTGGCCCTCCCGCATTGATCGATTATTCCCGATCGACCTGCTTCCCGATGGGTTCGCTCGGCAGCTTCCTCGTTGTATACGTCTTCGGGGGCCTCACATTCATCCCGCTGGTCCTTTCACTGATTGTCCTTTACGCCTATTTGACCCTTCCGAACGCCCCTTCTCCCGATCAGTCATACGAACCAGTCACCGATGTGCTTCGTCAGCCTACAGACGATGAGCATAGCTTGAAATCTGGTACTGACCAGCTAGCCGAGAAGTTCCATCGCTCTCATGATTCCGAAGTCGCTACGGGATACTTTGCTGTCTGTCGTGAATATGTCCCTGGTGGAGTAAATGGGAAGCCTCCGGAGAGGACGACGCCGGCGGGGGAGGTCGTTGCCGCCGAAAGCCCCAGTGTTTATCAGGCTATGTACCGGAGTTTGTTCGACAGGAAACAAGCGCCTAGTATTGAGCCGGCGAAGTCGAATGGGAAGAATATCAAACGCGCGCGGAATGTGTTTTATATTGTCCTTCGGTATGCATTCCTGGGTATCTGTGATTGTTTAGTATAATCGAGTGGAAGTACTGACGATGGTTGGCGCTGCCTCAAGACATGGTCATTTGATGCTTTACGATGACGTGAATCAAGTCGAAGTTCGCTACGTTATCTCCCTTGCTCATCACGATGTTACTATTCACAGCGGCGAAGGGGATATTCCAGAGGGCGAGCTATGGATTAAACGGAATGCCATCTGTCTCTCGCGGCGACTGGATTCGCTCGGAGACCTGGGTGGCCCGACGCCGCCTTTCTTTTTGTTTTCAGAAAACCTGTCGGAGAAGGAGGATTTCTATCTTGCAATGCTTCGCAACCAGTCAAAGCTTTGGGATTCCGCGGACAGGCCTCCAAAGCGTCAAGGGTTTGACGTGAAGAACATTGTCTCACTGGTTCAGCGTCTGCATTCTTCCGAGGAGCAATTGCAGACAAGATGGATCAATGCTTTCTTTGGTCGTCTGTTCCTTGCCTTGTACCGAACGCCTGAGCTGGAAGAGTTTGTGCGAAGCAAGATTGCCAAAAAGATTGCGCGCGTCAACAAGCCGAACTTTATTAGCAAGGTTGGCCTGCAGAGGATTGATATGGGCGAAGGTGCTCCGTTCATCACGAACCCCCGGTTGAAGGACCTGACCGTCGACGGTAATTGCTGTATCGAGGCAGATGTGCAATACTCGGGGAATTTCCGTGTGGAGATTTCGGCCACGGTGCGCATTGATCTGGGTCAACGGTTCAAAGCGAGAGAGGTGGATATCGTGCTGGCTGTGGTATTGAAGAAGCTGGAGGGTCATCTGCTGGTCCGGTTCAAGCCTCCTCCTAGCAATCGATTCTGGATGTCCTTTGAGACCATGCCGAAGATTGAGATGGACGTTCAGCCCATTGTGAGCTCCAAGCAGATAACCTTCAGCCCCATTCTGCGCACCATCGAGAGTAAGATCAGAGAAGTGGTGGCCGAAAGCATCGTTTTGCCGTTCTGGGACGACGTCCCGTTCATGGATACTCATGGCCAGGCTTTCCGCGGAGGCATCTGGCAGCGAGAGACCCCTGAACCCGAGACCCCGTTGGATATACCTGATGAATCGGGTGAGGCTCCAGCAACGCCGAAGAGCCTTCGTGGAGAAACCTTACTCGAAGCTCTCAAGTCCAAGGATGACCGAACAATGAGCATGTCTGCTCTCTATGAGTCCAATCCTGCCAACGCCACAATCAAATCTCGCAAGGGCCTGAAGCCATCGGCCTCGGACTTACCAAACGCATCAACCGCCGCTGCCACTAGTTTCGAGAGATCCGAGAGCATGCCATTGCCCCGTGCCATCCGATCCCAGACTTTTTCCCACGCCGCTGACCCGGTGGTTACAACAGACAATGCCAACCAAGTGGTGACGGAGCTTAAGGTTGACGAAAAGAACAGTGCCACCAGCGCCATGATTGAAATCTCAAAGCGCTCTCCACCTGCTTCTCCGAACCGGACACCAAGCAACTCTCCGCCGAGTGGAGGCATCATGATGCCTGAGAATGCAATCCACAGTCGTGGGTCCTCTATTGCAGATTCTATCGATGGTCTCAGCTTCCACAGCGACCATGTCATCCAAAGTCCATCCTCTGCCCGTTTTGACAACAATTCCTTGTCAGGACCGCGAAACTCTCGAGGAAGCTCTACTACCTCCCTTGGTCCCGACAAGCCCCGGCGGCGTAGCACCATCGAGACTTTGACCAAGTCACTTACTTCGAACATGAACTCGGACGAGAAGTCACTCGGAAACAAGACTCTCGGATCAGCAACTGCCGCTGCGAAGAAATGGAGTTGGAGTGTGTTTGGCAAAGGCGACATGACTTCTGACGAGCCATCTCGGACTCCGACGGGGGCCTTGAACGAGCCCATTGGCCGTGGACACCCTCATCCACCACCGGGAGCGCCTCTACCACGACCAGACAAGTACGCTCTGAAACGGAATTCAGGAACTCTGCCCAAACGCAAAGCCGTTGGAGTGCCATCACCTTTGCCCGAGAAGTCCAACACGAACGAAACTCGACCCGTTCCTCCTCCCCCTCTACCTCGCCGAAAATCCAGCACAAATGGTGCCCGGCCTGTCCCTCCTCCAGTACCACGCAGGAAACCCATTCCCCAGCATCTCCGCACCGATGATCCTGCCGGCGATTTGCTTGTTGTCCAAGCGCCGTATGATTCCGCACCAGACAGTCCAGCTACTGGTGAGCTGGAACTGGACGAGGCTTCGACTGGGCCGTCTATCCTGAAGAGCGAGACCTCTTCCAAAGCGGATACTTCTGAAGTAGAGCAGAAATGGGACGACGAGGATGGACAAGATCCCGTGGATCACTCGTTGTCTTCTACTCCGGAAAGTAGCAAGGCATTACCGACTATTGAGCCAGTTCAAGTGCAGTCTTCGTGATCGATGCGAGTCGTTTTACCAAGAGATGGAATTATACCTGGTCTGGGGGCGCAACTTGTATGGCTATGTGGTTTTTGAATTTTGAAATTGGCATTGAATGGGATACACTGTCACATATTATCTTAGACTTTCTCTTTTGAGTGTCTTGGTGGACATTCTGTCCTTTGGAACACGGTTGGAAATTATATCCTTTCAAGCGAAGGCAATGATGGCTTGTAGTTAGTTGTTGTAGTACGGTGGCAGTTCAAAAGTCGGAGTGTGGAAACCAGAGAAATGGACCAAGCAGACATTTTTCGATCATTCTTATTTGAAACCTCTTTCTAAATGTCTCTCTGATGATCTTTCTCGATTGCATAGATACTATTTCAGTGGTCTATCATTCAACTCGTGACTGCAAAGATGATTTTGAAAAATTGTCGGGGTTTCAAACTCATGGAATCGAATTGTATCCATCGACTTATAATGCTAAATTTATTTCCACCCTCCTAATCACGAGGCTTCAATTCTGTAGCAACACAGTTGCTATCCACGCAGTAACATTTGTGCTGCCTGTTGCGAGCAGAAGTGTATTACGCGGCGTCGTAGCCCACGAGCGGAGTGTATAGCGGAAGGGATGGAACCCGAGAGGCTTAGGCCTCGCCAAGACTGACAGGCGCCAGCTTTCCCCCCAACGTCATTGCTCTCCACGTGCAGTGGATTCTTACTACTCCCTCCTCCTACACTTACTCTCTCCGGTCGGCGCAACCTTCAATCTTGGACCCCCTACCTGCGCAGTCCGGACTCGGGATCTGCCCGTGAGCCACCACATATATTCCATTCTGGTTCCCCTGAGTCCGCATTCCGCATCCCTCTGCCACCATGAGTCGGTAAGGCGGGATAACCTCCCCCCCCCTCCTGCCACGCGCGAGATGAAGATGGATTAACCCCAATCGCGCAGGACCGAGGCCGATCTGGCCATTAATATCCGGAAGGCTACTAGCATTGGTGAGTTGGCTGGTTTTCCCCGGGGTGTGCCGGGTTGAGGGGTTCAGGAGAGAGTTCTGGATTGAGGCTAACTGTTCGGCTTGTGATAGAGGAAACGGCGCCTAAACGTATGTGTACCGTTGTGTTTTTGATTGGATATCGCGGCGATGGCGTTGCGAACGAGTTCGATGGTGACTGATACCCGTTGGTGGTTTAGGGAAGCATGTGCGGAGCTGCATTGTGTATACGTGGGACCACAAGTCGTCGGCGGCCTTTTGGGCGGGCATGAAAGTGTATGTGTTCTGGGTTGCGGATGGGATGAGATGTGCGCTAGAGTATGTGGCTGACTTGTGTGCTTTCTTGTTGTAGGCAGCCTGTCCTTGCCGATGAGGTCCAGACGTTCAAGGCGCTCATCACGATCCACAAGGTTCTTCAAGAAGGCCACCCCATCGTCGTGCGCGAGGCACAGCAGCATTCCAATTGGATCGATAGCTTGATGAGAGGTGTCGGAGGAGACGGAGTGCGAGGTATGGCGCGTTCCTCGAGGAGTGGCGTAGCTGGTCTGCGCCTGGAGGAGATGGGTGGACGGTGGACGTGAATGTTGACAATGCTGGGATAGGATACGCCCCCCTTATTCGCGAATACGTCTTCTTCCTCGAGTCGAAGCTGAACTTCCATCGCAATCACCCCGAATTCAATGGTACGCTGGCACTGGACGATTGGAGGTAGAAAGAGGAGCATAGGTTGACTGACTAGTACAGGCTTGTTCGAGTACGAGGAATACATCAGCTTGAAGACGATCAATGATCCGAATGAGGGGTATGCGCGGATTCTGGTTCCTGGGTTGATTGACAACTGACGAGGGTATAGATACGAGACTATTACCGACCTTATGACTCTGCAGGATCAGATTGATGGTTTCCAGAAGCTGATCTTCTCGCATTTCCAATCGGGTACTAACAATGAGTGCCGAATCTCCGCGCTGGTACCTCTTGTGCAGGAGAGCTATGGTATCTACAAGTTTATTACTAGCATGCTGCGCGCAATGCATACAAGTATGGTCACCCGATGCATGATTGGAAATGTTCGAAGAAGGCCTTGTTAACATTTGACTTGTAGCAACTGGCGACGACGAAGCCCTTGAGCCGCTCCGGGCCCGTTACGATGCCCAGCACCACCGTCTCGTTCGGTTCTACTACGAATGCTCCAACCTGCGCTACTTGACCAGCCTCATCACTATCCCGAAGCTGCCACAAGACCCTCCAAGCCTTCTTGGCGACGATGAGGATCGCCCAGCTCTACCAAAGCGTCCGACAAAGGAAGTTGAACATCAACCCTCGCCTCCACCCAAGGTGACCGCCGAGCCAGAGCCCATTAGCGACTTCTGGACCAACGAGGCCAGGCGCCAGCAAGAAGAATACGAGGCGGAGCAAGCCCGTCTGCAGCAGCAATGGAACGACCAGCAACAACAGCAGATGCTTGCTCAGCAGCAGGCTCAGCGTGACTTTGAGGAGCAGCAGCGTCTCCAAGCCGAGCAGCAACGTCTTGCACAAGAACAGCTTCTCCGGGATCAGTACTCGACACAGACGCAGGGCCGCCTCGCCGAACTGGAGCAGGAGAACCTGAATGCCCGTGCTCAGTACGAGCGCGATCAGCTCATGCTGCAACAGTACGACCGACGTGTCAAGGATCTGGAGGAGCAGATGAACCAGCTGAACTCTAACATGAACTTGCAGAGTGCCTCCAAGGACGAGCAGATTCGGGCTCTGCAGGAACAGGTGAACACTTGGCGAACCAAGTACGAGGCCCTGGCCAAGCTATACTCCCAGCTACGACAGGAGCACCTGGATCTTCTGCAGACCACTAAGAGCCTGAAGCTCAAGGCTGCGTCTGCGCAGGAGGCTATTGATCGTCGGGAGAAGCTAGAGCGCGAGCTCAAGACCAAGAACCTGGAACTGGCCGATATGATCCGGGAGCGTGACCGCGCTCTGCATGACAAAGACCGTGTCACTGGTACGAACAAGGATGAGCTGGAGAAGATCAAGCGGGAGCTTCGTATGGCTTTGGAGCGCGCTGAGAACGCTGAACGGTCAAAGGGCACAGAGATCTCCTCTATGTTGTCCAAGTACAACCGCGAGATGGCTGATTTGGAGGAGGCTCTTCGGGTAAGCATCTGCCATGTCCTTGTGTATGGGGGCTTTCTTGTGCTAACCAGTGTATAGAACAAAACTCGTGCGCTTGAGGACATCTCGGGCCGCAACAACGAGCGTTCAGAGGACCACGAACTAGCCCTCCTTGAGAAGGATGAGGAGATCGAGGTGTACAAGTCGGGCATGGAACAGGCACTGATGGAGCTCGAGGAGCTGAAGCTGGTAAGTAATATTCTGAGAATGAAAATGCCTTTGCGGTACTAACCAGTGATTGCCCTCCTGCAGAGCCAAGGTGATGTCGACCATGCTCTGGACAGCCAGATTGACACTGTGCTTCACGGCACTGTGGCCAAGATCAACGATATCATCGACTCTGTGCTGCAGACTGGTGTGCAGCGTGTGGATGATGCTCTTTATGAGCTCGATTCATCCATGCAAGCCGGTAACCAGAATGCCTCACCACCTTATGTGCTGTCACAGATCGAGAAGGCTTCCGCCTCTGCCACCGAGTTCTCGACTGCCTTCAACAACTTCATCGCCGATGGTCCCAACAGTCCCCATGCCGAGATCATTCGCACCGTGTCCGTTTTCTCTGGCTCCATTGCTGACACCCTGAGCAACACCAAGGGTCTGTCTCGATTTGCCAATGACGACAAGGGCTCCGATCAGCTGTTCAACGCGGCTCGCAAGTCCGCCCAGGCCACCGTGCGCTTCTTCCGGGGCCTCCAGTCTTTCCGTCTCGAGGGTATGGAGCCGCTGCAGAAGACTGATGTGGTCATCAACAACAATCTGGAGGTCCAGCGAGACCTGCAGGCCCTGTCGAAGATGGTCGAGTCCTTCCAGCCCAAGAGCAGCAAGATCGCCACCAACGGCGATCTGGGCGACCTGGTCGATCAGGAACTGCTCAAGGCTGCCGATGCCATCGACGCCGCTGCTCAACGCTTGGCCAAGCTCAAGAACAAGCCCCGTGACGGCTACTCCACGTATGAGCTGCGCATCAACGATGCCATTCTGGCAGCTGCCATCGCCGTGACCAACGCTATTGCCGAGCTCATCAAGGCCGCCACGGAGTCACAGCAAGAGATTGTTCGTGAGGGCCGCGGCAGCTCGACTCGTACTGCCTTCTACAAGAAAAACAACCGCTGGACTGAGGGTCTGATCTCCGCGGCCAAGGCTGTCGCCACGTCTACCAACACCCTGATTGAGACCGCTGACGGTGTCATCTCGGGCCGCAACTCTCCCGAACAGCTCATTGTCGCTTCCAACGATGTCGCCGCTAGTACCGCCCAGCTCGTTGCTGCCAGCCGTGTCAAGGCTACCTTCATGAGCAAGACTCAGGATCGCCTGGAAGGTGCCAGCAAGGCTGTTGGTGCCGCATGCCGCGCTTTGGTCCGGCAGGTGCAGGATATCATCAAGGAGAAGCACAGCGGCGATACCGACGCGGAGGATTACGCGAAGCTGAGCTCGCACGAGTTCAAGGTTCGCGAGATGGAGCAGCAGGTATGTGTCTTTCTTGTGTCTTTCGTTTTGTCCTTCTCGTCTCCTGCCTTTCCTCATCTCCTCTACCCTTCCATCGCCCTTACACCCTGTGTTTACAACATGTGCTAACCAATTGTTTCTCTTGCAGGTCGAAATCCTTCAACTCGAAAACAGCCTTGCCCGTGCCCGTACACGTCTCGGTGAGATGCGCAAGATCTCATACCAGGAGGAATAATCGCGTCTCGTCCCATTCCCCCTGCTCCTTTGCCATTTGTTTCCCGCGCTTGGGCTTTTCCTCTCCCCGACCGTGTATATCCTGGAATTCATCTTGGGGCATCCCTGTTCCCATCCTCCAACACTGTTCATTCTATTTGCCTGCCAGTATCTCTTGTTTCGAGTGATTAGCGAAAATGTACTCAGGTCCTTCTTGAACTCTAGTCTCCCCATGGCCCATACCCTGTCCCGTAACCTCCATCCAGTAACCCCCTTTCCCATAAGCTCGTAAGACACCCCCTATCCACACACGACTCATGTCCTCGTATCGCTGTCTCACCAACTCTGTCTCGCAAGTCCGATACCCACATCTAGACCCTTCACCCCCTGACCTCGCCGTCCACACGCTCATTCAGCCCCTTCTCGCCACGGTCGGCACCTCTCCAAGTTTATCCCAAACCACCCAATCCAATCCCCGAGCTCCAGCAGCAATTCCCAATCCCCGAACATCATCTCGTAAACCCCGACCCCAGCTGTCCATTCTTTGTTCCACGACAACCAATCGCACTCGACGCACAGATCCCGCGCTGTCAGACGGACCCTTGCTTCCGAGTGTCCCACGGACCGGGAATAAGCACGCGCGCCCTTGATGTGGCTGCATGGGCTGCATGAACCATGGTCTCCACTGGACTCCACCAACTCCACCAACCCGCAGATCGGCAGTCTTGGCATAACGTCCAACAAAGAAAGCTCTCGACGACGTAGAAAGCAAATGCAGTCCCATGCATCGTACAGGTGCTTTTTGTAACAAAGAAATTCCCAAATCCACATCATGTTGAGGAAACTGTAATACTGTTCAAAGACCGAGTATACACATCATACATTGCATACAAAGGAAATCCGAGTCCGCATCTACATGGGACATTAGTTCATACAAGCGGTCTAGACTTCGAGAACTCAAAAACATGGAACAAGTTTCAGAAACTCTACAGACGGAAAAGTATACATTGTAATCTCTAATTGCATTCGGATTCTATCCGGAACTATCTAAATCAAACCCGTTCTTAGTGTCGAATGCGAGCACCCCTTCCTGTGCAGGGTGAAATCCTCTAGACCAATCGACATGTCAGCTTCGCGTCCAGGACTGCTCACCCAGCCTCGGTACGTGACCACGGAAACGAAACGGAAACTCCCAAATAAATCAAGAAGAAGAATCGTAGAGCAGCCCGCGGAACGAAAATGGACAATGAGAAAACCATAGCGGCAATCAACAGCGCGGGCGAGAAACGACGCAAAACGAGCAGAACCGAAGGACAAAATCCATTTGTGATCCAAGCATTTTTTTTTTTTTTGGATTTTTTGAGTTTTTGGGTTGTCAGTAGTGTCTCCAATGCCTTGTGCCATGGTCTGAGGTGATTTGAAGGGACTAAGGATTGGTAGAAGGAGCTTGAGACTGTTGCTGAGTTTGAGGCAGGGTTTGAGGCTGTGACTGGGCCTGAGGCTGTACCTGGGCCTGAGTCTGAGGCTGAGGCTGAGGCAGCGACAAGATAAAATCGGCCCCAAAGATCTCAAGCAGGGAAAACTCCGTAAAGTCAAAGGTAATCGACCCATTTTGATCAAGCACCTGATGAAGTGGCCCGGGGATGCTGCGGTCATCCTGGGGATTGTTTGTCTGGATAGCCAATGCCGAATATTGAGCTGCTGGAAGCCAGTTGGAGTTGAACTTCGGGCAAAGAGCAAAACCTCGATCCAAGCAGTGCTTGACAATATCCTCCTCGGTGGCGACTTGAGGAATTGTCAGTGCGGCGAAGTTGGCAGGCCCCAGTTTAACGGCCCATCCAAGAGGTCGAGACTCCACGGCCCAACCACTCATTCGGATGTATTGATTGGGAGCTGGGAAACCAAACATATTCATTGCCACCGCCTGCACAAAGGTGGGCACGGATCGCTGAGGAAGCTCAAAGTTGTCCCGCAATGTGGTGTAGGCAAAAGCCATAACAATCCATTGGGGCTGATGAGGACTTTCATTCCAGAGTTTTCCGATGAATGATGACTTTGCTCTTTGCGGAACAGTGGGAAGCGCCGGCGAAATGTAGGCTAGCATTCCGTTAGAATGAATCAAAAAAGGCCAAAGTGAGGTTATGACTTACCACGAAAGACCAGATAGCCGTTGAGAGGTCGCATTCTCCGGGGCATTATTGTATTTTCAGGTGCCACTTCGCGTTGGCCTCCAAAGTGACTCAGAGGGAAGTTAACCATAATTGCCCGTGCAACTGGTTCTTCGAAATGCGGTCGGTTGGCACATAAATCAAGAAATGCGGTGGCGAAATTCGGAGGGATATGTGGGAGGTAATCACGGAAGAATTGGGTCTTGATGTCGACCAAAGTCGGATTGGGAACCGGTGCAGCCATCTCGAACTTGGGGTTTTGGCACGGAGGGCTTGAAGGGCGGGAGGGGTAAAGGAGAAAAAAAAGGAAGAAGGGTATGGCGGGAAGAAGATGGGATTGGGAGGAAAGGAAGAAGAGGAGATTTCGGAGTAGGGATGGGAGTATTTAACAAAGACTGGGGAGGTCTTTGTCCACTAGTGTCGTTTAAGAGAGCCAATCAGGACCGAGAATTCGGGCGTCCTGGCCAGAGTGGGCCTCGTAGGTGGGTGCCTTCCTGCTTGGGTCGGATGTCCTGGCCCACCGGATTCGGATGATTCTGCCGGTTTTCCACAATGAACGCGAGAACCGGGCGAATTTGTTAAAGAAAAATGGTCCCCCCCTGATTCAGAACACGAGAATAGAAAGAAACATTATCAATAGAAATAAAAATATTTAATATCGAGTATTTTCTAAATACTACATCTTGACTCGAATTTAAGCATATTGAGTTCGGGGCTGAATTAAAGTAGTGTAACGTGGTGCTCCACATGGCAATGGTCTGGAAAATGTGGGGGATCGACTTCAGCCCTATACGCTATGTTATGCACCACAAGACCCGCTAATTATTACATATCAATACCTTAATATTGTCAATTAATGTGTTCATCCCAAGTTCCAATTCAGCCCATGTTAAACTTGAAAAACTCGGACCATTTTATGACACAATAACCATCCCAAGTATACCGGCTCTACATCGGACCAAAACTGGCCCCGTTTTTCCATCCATTTTCCAGAACCGGGCCCTCCATACCGCCTTTCCGGCCAAGGACAAACCCCCAAAATTGTTTGCCATAGTAACCCAGGGCCCCCAAGGCAGCAACTTCCTATTTGGGTAATGTTTGCTCCTGGGCCCCACTCTCGGACCCACCCAAAAGGCCAAGCTTTGCGGAGATGTACCCGTCCATACCCACACACCTTAATTTCTATCCATCCCAATTCTCCAGTACCGACTCAATAACACAGGGCCCCCAAGGCAGCAGTCCTACGGCGGTATGAGTCATTCCATGGAGTTCCATAGAATCACGCAAACAATACGGCATGCCGAAGTACCCTGCCATGCCCGTACTGTAAATTTATGCTGGGATCGGATGAAACGATACCCATCCTCGATGTATTCATCCCAACCATGCCCAGTTTCATCCCAAAGTAGCCGTTGCCAGGCTGCTGCCTTGTCGTTGCCCGGGAGTGAGTTACAACAACAATAACAACAACAAGCGGTGGCCTTGGTGCCTCAAACTACGCGACTGGCCGGCAACAGGCATTCCATGCAGCCCAGCTCTACGAGATAGAATGGACAGATAGAATATGAATAGAAGCATTTGAGATGTATTGAGCATGAATATGGTATCTGGTAAACTAGTAAATGGCGTAGACGAATCCCCATTCACTCCCCCTGCGAAGGCGAGTTCCAATCGCTGGCCCAGATGAACGTAGGACAACGCCATTGTGTACCCTTCTCCTTCTCGCCGCTGGGACCGAGTGGCCGTGGGCAGATCCAGAATGCGCGGCCGCGGTTCATGCCGGGTTTCTTTGTAGTCAAGCTTACGCATGGTTCTTGGTGGCTGTCGCAGCGGGGGGCAGGTTTCTTCGTGAAGAGCTTGTTCCAGTCTTCTTTGCTGACGATGGGATCGATGAAGGTGTCTGGTTGGGACTTGCTGGGCGAGGAGTGTGTAGAACGGGTCGCTGCGGTAGGGGAATGGGTAGCGGCGGTGGGTTCGAAGGGCTGGGAGGTAGTTCCTGCGGTGTTAGTGATGGGTGTCGCGTTCGCACTCTTGTTCGTAGGCGATGATGTCCCGTCGTAGCTGGGTTGGTTGCTGTATTTTGGTGACTCTGTAAAGGGCTTGCTGGAGGTGGTGCTCTCGACGGGCTTGGGCTTGAAGAAGCCTTTGAGTGTCTTCTGGCCTGCTGCAGCGGTGGATGCAGATGGTGTAGCCGAGGACTTGGAGCGTTTCACGGATGTCGCTGGCACCGGCTGTGATCTTTTGCGAGACAGGGTATTCGAGGCTTGATTCTGGCTGGAGATCGATGGGTTGAGAGGCTTTTCGCCGGGGGTGGGAGATTGTAATGCAGTGGCTTCTGGGTCTAGAGCTGTGGGTGTGTTGTCGATAGCACTGGCCGTGGAGGACGCGCGTGAGAGACTGGGAGCTGGCTTGCGGGCGAACATGTCCTTGATGCTGCGGCGCTTGTCGACGTCGAACTCCGGTAGCAGGCGTCCTGACCCTGGTAGTATCCACTGCGACGAGTACTCCTTCTGACGCTCGCCATTCTTGAACGTCCCCGGTGGATTCATAACATCCCGAATGTGTACCATTTCCCCATCACGAGGTACGCTGTCCTTGAAGACGGCGTAAACAGGACAATGATCCGATCCCTAACCATCACAGAGTCAGCAAGTATCCGACAACAACACAAGCCTACAGACGTACCATCAAGCCTTCTTGGATATTCGAGTCTGCAAACCAGTCCTTCATGTCGAGACTGCACAGCACATAGTCGATACGCGCCCCAAAGTTTCCCGGTCGAGTGTTGAGTCTCGTGTCCCAGCAAGTATACATCCCAGCCCGGTCAGGATGGAAGGACCTGCATATGTCGTGCATCACAGGCTGCTCCCTGCCCTCCTCGCGAGATCCAACAACCTTCCCATCGTCCAGCAGCTGATTGAACATCCTTCGGGATTGCACAGAAATATACGCGTCCTCTGTTGATTGGTTCTTGCGAATGGCTTCCAGTGCATGCGCCGAGTCGATGGCCTGCTTGGCAATGTTGATGTCGCCCGTCACGAACACCCGCTTCCCCATCGCGACCAGGTTCCGGATTCGAGCATCAAGAGCATTCAGAAAGCCGAGGCGGAAAGTATCGCGGCTTTCGTCTCGATTGGCTGGACAATATACTCCAATGAGTACAAAGGCTGGGAATTCGAGTACGACGCTCCGTCCTTCGGAGTCCAGAATCGCTGGGTCAATGGGCTCGTCGCTGGGTCTACCCTCATCCTCTTCGCCATTCGAGCCAGAGTCTTCCGGGGCAGCGGCTGGTCTTCTCAGCTGTTCGAGAGTCGGGTATCCTCCAATCTGCTGGTCCTCTGGGAGATCGCGGAAAGGCACTGATGAATTGGGTGGGCATAGAACACCGAAGATGCCCTCTTCAGCACGGATTGGCGCACAGGTCGCATTGCGCGTGTATATCACGACTCCAGAGTATCCTGCTGGGCATTAGCTTTTGTCGGACAGCATTGCTAGAGGGCGACACTCGCCCTTCTTGACTCTGGGCAGACTGAAATAGCAATCCCATCCCGGGACCAGGACCATATCATCTCGGAGGTCTTTTCGTTGGATTTTGGTCTCCTGGAGAACCACGATATCCGATTCTAGGATATCGAACATGGACTATGATCTTGTAAGTGAGCTCATCCTGTGGACATGCATATGGAGAGCTAACCTCGTAGGCCCGAGTTCCTCTCCATGGCTCGTAGGAGAATGGGTTTCTTGGCGACTCATTTAGCGTTTGCATTGACTTCTCCACGAGAGCTCTACATACCGAATCCCGTTAACTGCGATAGATCGTCAGTACCAATATCACAACCAAGGCCCACTCCTTGGAGCCAGAGACAAGCCACTCACCGTTCCACGTCGTGATGCGAAACCCCATGGCCGGCGACTGGCACACAGCAACAGCGCATACCCTGGAGCTTCAGAAGCGAGACTAATCACCAAACCAGGCGCGTCGACACGAATACAAGCATCGTCTACAGCTCTACAAAGCTCGCTCAGCGTCTCTCGACTCAGAGTCACGTGAGGGTGGAGTGACATCAGGTTACATAAGCCGGGGGATCACGGGAGTCCACTAAAGCGGCTCGGATTTCAACGTACGACGTGCTTCGACTCCTCTCCCCTCCAGCCAAACCACCTGCAGCCCACCCACAACCACCACCATGTTCGCTCAGCGCAACATTGCCCGCTTTGCCCAGCGTGCCTCCCAGCAGGCTCGTGCGGTCGCCCAGCGCCGCTTCAACTCCGCCGAGGCCAAGCCCTCTTGGATCGTCGACAACGAGTTCAACCGTGAGCGTGCTGCCGTCAAGCACCACGCCGCCTCTACCAGCGGTGCGTAAAGACCCCCAATTGGACCTGTGGCCGGTGGAAAACTGTTTTTCCCGGGTCGGAATATTCGCAAGTGCTTCGTACTGACTCAATGGCTCTGCAGACCTGTGGCGCAAGCTGTCCATCTTGTATGTGTTTTTCTCGGCGGAGCGGCGGGCTCGAATTCTCCGCCTGTGACACGCATAGGACACTACTGACAATTTCCTATATAGCGCTGTTATCCCCTGCCTCATCGGCGGTGGCCTTAACGCCTACAACCTGTGGAACGAGCACTGGGAGCACTGGGACCACATGCCTCCTTTGGAGGAGCGCACCGAGTACCCCTACCAGAACATCCGCGTGAAGAACTTCCCCTGGGGTGACGGTGACAAGGTGAGTCTATCCCACATCCTGCCGACCGAGCTACTAAGTACACAATTGCTAACCACCGCTCTTTACAGACCATCTTGTAAGTTTCGACCCACACCTCCATGACACGCAAATTTCGGCCAGGGAGCATGCCACAATCCTCGTCAAGCTCGTGCTTGCACAACCACACATACACCTTTCCCCTTGCCATCATCCCACCAGATCGAGGACTATTGCTACCCCTCATGCAAGAATCACCGCTAACAACCCACACAGCTGGAACTCCGATGTCAACTACCACAACAAGGACAAGGCTACCTAAGCCAATCGCTCTCCAACCGACAACAACCCACCAAAAGCTCGCGTGCGAGCCTCAATGCGTGTTTGGGTGATCGTATCTTTGGTCTTGAGTGCACAGTTCAAATGTATATCTATCGCAGACTGTGTTCCGCGGAATTAGATTCCGCAACCTGGGGATGAAAGATCCGTGTGATGGAATGAAGTGAAGCTTGCCGTATTCTTTCTTTATCGTGCTTTTCCTATGTTGAGTGTATATCTGGATCGGAATTGACTGGTTTAGAGCTATGTACAAAGTGGTGGTGGTGCTGTGATGTAGATTTGTAGGGCCGTCGTGGGCGGGATATATATCCACATCCAAGTGTACAGTCCGGCTGTGCTGGTTACCGGGCCCTACGCAATGTTTTGACTTGTTGCGTCTTTCAATCGAACATGCATCCGACAAACACTCGCGTTATTTCTTATTGGGCATATCATTCATTGCATTTAGCTATCCAACCATGCTTCGCGCGCATCATAGCCCAAGTCCACACACTATTGGTACTCATATCACAAACTAATCATACAGACGACGATCAAATCTCCGCACCCCTCCGCTTCCTCAAGTCCAAATACTTTGCCGCATAATCATTAGCCAAGACTGGATCCCCCGTCAAATGCATCACAGTAGCCTTCTTAGCCATCATCTCCGTCTGGCCTAGAATATCCTCAATCTCCTCGTACGCATCATACGCGGAATCAATATACCCCAGCGCACGATTAACATACTCCTTCCTCGCCAACGTACGCTCCCCACCCTGCTTCGACGTCGACAATTCCCCCGCAATGCCCATATTCGCATCAACGAGCAGCGAATACGCCCGCGCCGTCAGCGCAGAATCCTCCGCCTCCAGGATCTGCGGCATAATGCTCTCGACTAGTTCGGCGGTGGCCTCGAATTCGCGTAGAGATAGGAGGACAGCTGCGAGAGTGCAGATGGCTTCCCACAGGTCGAACAGGACTTTTGATCTGTGTGCGATGCTTGCGGCGCGCATGGCGAGGGAGAAGCCGCGTTGGGGATGGCCGGATTTTTCGAGGATGCGGGCTTTTAAGCAGAGGAGTTTGATTTGGGAGTGGACGTCGAAGTTTTCGGGTTGCATGGTGTTGGCGGCTTGTTCGACCATGCGGAGGGCGCGGCCGGTGTCGCCTTGGCGGAGGGTGAATTCGATGGTGTGGAAGGCGAGGAGGAGGCGCATGTCGAAGTCGAGGAGTTGGATGGCTTGGAGTTGGGCGAGGATGTGTTCGACGGCTACCTTGTCGTCGCTTGGGACATGTTAGTAGTTGAATGATGGGGAATAGGGATATGGGGATATTTACCGATTGATTTGTCGTCGTAGTTGGAGGAGACCGGAATAGTAGGTCCAGGAGTTGTTGTATTTGAAGGCTCGTAGCCGTTCTGGCTCGACCTTGTTCATGCGAGCAAAAGCTTCCTTGTAATTGCCCTTTTGTGCCAGCTGTTGAAGTAAGATTAGCTCATGTATCTAGACTGGCATAGAGGCTCATGACTCACGATTTGGCAATTTCGGAATGTGAGCTTCACAAACTCCTCGTATGGATGGCCCTCCATGTAACATTCGCGGAAGACTTCTGTGTCCAGCCACGCGAGATGGGTGGCGCCTGTATCCAAGTGATTAGCTTCACATCCAGTGTTGCAAGAGTCCACGACACCATACCTATCCGTGCATACATGGCGCTTTGAAGCAGTATGTATGCGCCGGTGGGATTCGATAGGCCCTTGGTGACGTTGATATGGGATGCTCGAACAAATGATTCGACGATTGTGGCAAGGCTCTCTCCCTGGTAGTCGTCAGCATCCATGAACCGGCTCTGCAAAGGAGGACTGTCAAAGACCCACCTGTTGCATCTCCAGCTTCGCCTCGCTGAGGATTGTTGTGCTCATGAGCGACCACATTTCGGCATCCTTCGCCTTGGCCTTGAGAAACATAAGACCCTCTTTCTCGTTACCCAGCATCCCGCTATTCTGTACCTCCCGCATCTGCTCCGGGAAAGCCTTGCCAAAGTGGTACAGCCAGCTCATGCAGAAATTGAGGCAGTTCATATCATGAGACTCGCGAGCGATTGCGACGGCTTCTTGCACGGCAGAAATGGCTTCGCTGAAGCATTCAAAGTCCGCCTGGATGATGGCCAGGTTCAGAAGCGAAAATTGGTAGGCGCTGCGGTCGGAGTTGCTGTGCATGGTGTAGTCGAAATATCGGTGGAGGTTGTCGAATGCTGATGTGTAGTCGCCGGCCCTCCAGGCGTCGAGATATCTGTAATTGCTTAGCACGGGTTCGTTCTAGATATGGGACCGCATCAAGGTGTACTCACTCCAGATAGTACATGAGTACTGGAGCGTTTGAATCGGAGGTGATGATCCGCTTGAGTTGTGCTCTCATCTCCTCGGGAACTCTGCCGCCGAGTCCTACACCTCGTCAGTATCTAGATCAATTCATATCCAGGCTAAACAAGGACGTACGTTGCAGCTCCCCAACCTGAAACTCAATCAGCCGTTCAGCATCCTTGACACTGACCACGCCCTCGTCCTCTTCATCGTCCTCGATACTGCCATACACGACATGCGAAAGGTATGCACTGGAATTGAAGCCATGCACATTGAGATTGATATCGACGGGGTCCTGCTTGTCCGAGGCATTCCTCCTCGCCCACATATTGTACGTAGGTAGCCGATACTTCACAAACCCAGTCCACAGCGTGACCGAATCATGGAATTGCAACCGCGTGTACTCCAGATACGCCCTGCGCACAAACGCACCCAGCGGCGAGCTCCGCGACAGCCGCATCCCCTCATTTTCCGGCGCAAGACCATGGTCTCGGTCCTGAATCAACTGCTCGCGTGTCTTTGTGAGCAACGAGGGTATCTCGTCATTGAAAAATACCTCAAGTGCATCCAGCGAGTCCAGTGACCAGATCTTCTTGAGAAACAAATCCCACAATGATCGGCCCGGTACAGACGACTCATGGCCCGACAGGACCTCTTCGATCTCGGTGATGCGCGGTAAGTAGTGTTTCTCCCATTGCTTATCGGCGGGATCTAAAGGGAATAGGCCCGCGGTCAGGAAAGAAAGCACATCGATGGCGGATGAGTTGGGCACGAGTCCATCGGTGTAAACTGTTATCAGGCACAGCAGAGAGATCCTCCACGGTGTCAGATAGCGCGTCATTCTGACGAGAAATGGCCCATTTTCCGGGTCCTATTCAGCTGTTTTTGAGTTCTCGAATGCCTCACGACTGTGGTGCCAGGGCGCGTTTTGGACTGAATGTTGATAAGTGCCCGATAACTGCCTGAGGCTACGAGGCCGCGATCGGCGATGCCCCGCCAAAAAATACATCCCGCGATATGACGCATTGCTTCTACTTTTTTCTCTTTGGAACTCCCAATTGACTCGATTCACCATGGCGGAAGCTGTAACAACCTTTGACCTGCAAGGTGCTCTCCCCCTTGTTGCTAGGGGCAAGGTTCGCGACCTGTACGAGGTCGACGAGAAGACTTTGCTCTTCGTTGCGAGCGATCGCATCTCCGCCTACGATGTGATCATGGAGAATGTACGAGGCTAAGATGACCCTGCTACCACCATGTTACAATTGTTAATGTTTCGAAAAATGAATAGGGCGTCCCTAACAAAGGTGTCTTGCTCACCCTCTGCACCAAGACCTGGTTCCAGATTCTCTCGGAGGCTATTCCTACTCTCCGCACCCACTTCATCACCCTCGACCTTCCTCCCCAGATCCCCGAGTCTCTTCGTCCCACTCTGCAGAACCGGAGTATGCAGGTGCGCAAGCTCCGCATTCTTCCCATCGAGGCTATCGTCCGCGGATACATCACCGGCTCTGCCTGGAAGGAGTACCAGAAGTCCGGCACCGTGCATGGCATCAAGGTTGCCCCGGGTCTGAAGGAGAGCGAGGCCTTCCCCGATGGACCCATCTACACCCCCAGCACGAAGGCGGAGCTGGGCGAGCATGATGAGAACATCCACCCCGACCAGGGTATGTCTGCATGGATTGAGTATCAGTTATCTTTTTCGGAAGTATGGCTAACCACGGACTATGCACAGCTACTGCTATCGTCGGCGAGCCTTACGCTTCTATTATTGCTTCGCTCGCTGTGGAGCTGTACAAGGCTGCCCACGCCTACGCTCTTGAGCGAGGCGTCATCATCGCCGATACCAAGTTTGAATTTGGTGTTGACGAGGAGACGAACGAGGTTGTTTTGGCTGATGAGGTCTTGACACCCGATTCGTCCCGCTTCTGGCCTAAGGACTCGTATGTGGTTGGCCAGGGTCAGTCCAGCTTCGACAAGCAGTACCTGCGTGACTGGCTGGTCTCGCAGGGTCTGAAGGGCAAGGAGGGTGTTCGCATGAGCGACGAGGTTGTCCAGAAGACTGCTGAGAAGTACAAGGAGGCTTGGGAGAAGATTACTGGTGGTAACTGAGCTGGGATTTGGGTCTTAGTATATGTCTTGGAGTTGTGCCACTTGAAAGAGGGTATGATCCTGTGTATGTCTTTACGAATCGGTATTGTGGACGAAAGAATGAAAAAGGAATTATAAATGTTCAATGGTTGATACATGTTCGAATATCCCGAACACAGAACGAAATAATATACAAGGGAGTTTTCATCAGACAATTTACTCATCCCATTCCGACTTCAACCCCTTCAACCCCTTTTCTTTCGTCGAAGAGCTCTTCTGCCGAACCTCCTCCGTGGGCACCTTCTTACCCGTCCACCCAGACCTCACACCCTCATCAATAGGCAACGCATCCGCACCACAAATCCTCCTCTCCTCCTCAATATCAGCCTCACCCATCCCATTCGTCGCCCAGACCTTATGAATGCGCAGATCAAACGGTCCCTCAATACGATCCGTCAAACCAATTCCAATACTCTTCACCCGCGAGCGAAGCAGACACGTCTGCGGCTCCATCACGTATCCGTGATTCGTCCGGACAAACGAGTTAAATGGCAACATGACAGTCTCCCAGCCCGTCGTACCGGCAGTTGTGACGCTAGAAGAAGAGGAGATGATGGTTGATTCGGGCGGGAAGTCGGATAGAGCATCGGGGATACCCTGTGGATACAGCGTTTCCTCGACATCGGCGTTTTCGGAGGATCTGGAGCGCAGGGCTTGTTGCATTGGTGTTTGGCCGTGGACGCGGTGGTGGCGGGTGTACAGTCTGTGTTGGTGGATATCTGTTTCCACGATGGAGTCCGTCTGGATATTCACGGTATACCGACGACCGTCGGACTTGATGCGGAGGGCTAGGTAAGCGTAGGGATCAACGTCCCAGAAAAGACGACCGAAGAGCCAAAAGCCGCGATCTCGGTTGCGGAATGCGGCGTATCCTATTCAACCCCCCGTTTAATCAGCATTCTCGTTTCCCTCGTCCGAAGCACGACGGAAACATACCAGTCCTTTCAACGCGCCAGTTCGCCGGGAGCTTGGTGGAGATACTTCCATGGAAGCGCGCATGTGCAGGGGTATTCGACGCAGGCTCCGCAGGTTCAAAGTCCAAGCTCGCCGTGCTGAATCCGCCGACTACACGGTCGGCCATCGTCTTGCAGCCCTCGACTTCGGATGCATCTTCAAAGTTCAAGAGGACGTAGGGCTTGGTCGGGGTATGAAGGGCTTCGGTGTTCCAAGCTGGAGATTGTAGGCATTGCGCGGTTAGTTTGGTGGTTGTATCGATCGGAGAGAGAGCGAGCGCGACACGAACCTATCTTTGAGAGGCGGCTGAATTCTTCGGCGCTTCGCTTGAAGAAGCCGCCCTGGGCAGCCAGACTCCGTGTTGGGATCATTGCTTATCTGTGTGGGCTATGATCTTGAGTAGGGTGGTTTGGGGGCAGGGAATAGCTGGAGGTGTCTTGGCGATGATTTTTGGATGATGTCGGCGTCCCGAGGTGGCGTGAAGAGTTGCGCGCCGATCTGCCGCGATAAGATAAGAGGCTGGGCTTTTCATTGGAGCTTGTATACAACCTCATGTACTGTGTTGTGTTGTTAGTATATTTGTGTATTTGGGAATTGGCCCGATATTCAAGCTTGTAGAGGCTCAGAAAATGGGTTGAGAAAGGAACTACAATAAGGACCAGAAAACAGTTTGGGGAGCCCAGTAGAAAAGGCACTAGCCCAGTATCTAGAAAGACATCAGGGAGAGAACCTTGATGCTTTCCAGTCTGATAGACTCAGACCGTATCCTATGGTGATCCATGGTATGATCAAGTCCAAACAATTTATTTAGTGGTATACAGCTCTGGGCCCAATAAGCCCAAAAGCCTGCAAAGTAGACCCAGGAACAGCAAGTCACGTCGATCGAAATAGGGTTCAAGGAGTAAACCTAGTACAGTGATGACTATAGTTCACATCTTGGCATTCATTTGTCTCATACTTTCATACTTAGCTAATTATAAGGAGGCCTTCTGCCCATTTAATGTCCTGTAATCCGAATGTACCACTCCGATTGCAAAAATCCCCTTCCCGAGTGTGTGCTGGACATTCGGTGCCGCCATTGGGCGTCGGCACCAAGAAAAAAGGCGGCTTAAGCTTCAGTAATGTCGGCGGCTGGACAGACTTGAATTTCCGCACCAGAACTAGGAGAAGGTTCCCGTCAAAGCTTCTGCGTCGTTCTTGATCGTGAGCCCATTCTCTCATAAGACTTGGCTGGCAGCATGGATTATCTACAACCAACAATCCCATCCAAACCCATCTATAACTTACGCAGCCTGAACGTCATGATAGCTTGAATGAACTGGATAGAACCATCATCAGCCAGGTTACAGGAACATCAGAGTCAATCTTCTGCCCTGTACAACGGCTATATTTCAAAGTTCCGTACGATCATGTTATGCAAGACCCATGGGAAGCTGATGTCGCGCCAAAGTATCCAAGCTCCTGGTCCACGATCCGAAGCTTCTGCCTGAAGGTTCAGAGTCACCAGGCACAAATATGATACTATCATGACTCTAGTCCGGCTCTTAAGTACCTGTTAGGGTTTGGTTCTGAGTCAAAGCTCTGTAGCTCTGGTAGTTGACCCCCAGATAGAGCCATGGTTGATTCTGGCATTCCCAAGCTTTGCACCCCAGAATGAGGCTTAGTAGCAACTCCAGTGGGATACGGGGACTCAATCTGTTGCGGAGAAGAGATTGCAACTTCTCTGCACTGGAAACTGGGAGAATATCTCCTCTTGCTGGGCGTTGTAGGGCTTTCTCTTTTCAACTACTTCGTCTCGTGTTCATACATTCATCCTTCGCTGTGATTGCCATACAAAACATAGCTATACCCGGTCTTCTATACTATTCTACACACACACATCCACACACACTCTCTCTATTCAACTGGGATATATACTTCCACAATGACTGTCCAGCTTGTTGTTCCCAATCCCGAGCCCAAGTGCCCTCGCGGGGATCGCCTGCAAGAGGAGCCATCGGCCAAGAATGCCCAGGGCTTGTTCCCTCCCGAGGCTTGCATTTTTGTTGGCAAGTAAGTTATGGATCTATGTGATGATACTCCAGGTTGATATGCTCACAACCATTCCAGTTTGTCTACCAAGGTTCCAACCGAGACCCTGGCAGAAGACCTAAAGTCGGTATTCACCCGGTTCGGTGCTTGCCATGTCAAGATCAAGCAAGATAAAAAGAAGGGATTGCCCGGTGCTTTTATACAGTTTGAAGTAAGTTTCCATTCTGATGCCTTTTCTTTTGTCCCTGTCCTTTTTGTCTAACATGGTATCTTTTCTATAGCGCGTGGAAGACGCTAGTGCAGCCCTTGCTAGCGAAGAATCGACCATTCTCCATGATCGAATACTCAGAATTGAAAGAGCCAAAGGGCGCAGTAAGCAAATTTTTCTTCTCAGTCTGATCGCAGGAACTGAGCTGATGACCCGTCATAGGAACTGCCTGTCTTGGGCTTCGCTCACTTCAACCAATTACGGCTCGAGACGTATTGGGTGCTTTGGAAGGTCGTGGCTCGCTTGAAGTCTATACCATCGAACCACAACAGGCGGGATATCAGACTTGGACTGATATCGCCAAGGTGACCTTTGCCTTTGTCGATGACTGTAGAGACGCAATCAAGGTACGTCGTAATTATTTCTTGCCCTCTCAGCTTCTGCCTTCTTCCACTGCTGCCTCTGGCTTCGAATGTTTGCCCTCACCCTCTGCTGCCTTTCCCATTTGCTGCCTCTGGCTTCTGTTTGTTTGCTCTCCCCTTCCCTCCTCTCCTCTCCACTTCGATTTAATCTTCCCCTCTTCCCTTCCTTCCTCTTCTTCTCTCTCTCCTTCCTTCCTTCCTCTTCCACTACTCTTCCCCTCCACAATTCTTACTCCATCCTCACCATTGCTCACACCTCACTAGTACTTTCAAAAGGACGAGAAGTACTTCCTCCACCTCCTCGACATGGACGGCAGCCCACTTCTCCAGGGCCCCGTTCAGGGTCCTGGCTCTCGTCCTCGCCCCTACAATGGGCACTTCTCTCTCCCCGCGGCAACTTCCAGCCGCGTAACAACAACCGCCAGCACCGCAACGGTAATGGCAACTACCACCGCAACAACAACCGCGGTGGCTTCCCAAGAGTTCATCACTCTCAGATGAACGGTGAGAACATGGCTCCCCGTGGTGGTTACATGCCCACCCCACCCAACATGATGAATGCCATGCCCATCAACAATGATATCTACCCTCCGTTTTTCCAACCTCCACCTCCATTCCAACCTCACCCTCATGGTCCAAATGGTTATTCTTTGCCTCCGCCTCAATTCATCGTTGGCCCTCACCCTGTCCACATGGGTCCTCATCAACACATTGATACCGTTGGTCCTCCTCCTCCGCTGCCCAGTGGCGGCCACTACATGATTCACGGCCAGCCTATTTGGAGCTCAAGTCCACCAATTCCTCCATACTTTCCGCCTCACATGTACCCCCAAGAGCATGGCTACTTCGGCCCTCAGCCCGGCATGAACGGTCCTCCCAACGGGTACTTTGGCCCTGTTGACAATTACGGCCCTGTCCCTGTCGGCGCTGCTGGCCCCATGCCTTATGTCGAGCCCTGGCCTGGACATGCACGATCCTCTTATTCACCACCCACCGTTAATGAGAAAGGATCAAATGGCCATTTCCCCCGCAACACACCGGCACCAATGCAGCCGCACAACGTGCATGCCAGTTTCACCCCAAGGGAGAAGGTTGTCGTCGACCAGTCTTCTGAGGAAACCGTGGGAGGGTGCCCATTGAACCCCAAGACCCCCGAGAAGGCCCCTCGTCTCATCCGTGTCTATCACGATGATGATGATGATGATGACGACGACGAATACCCCAAGACTGGCTCTGAGAAAGCATCCAGCATCAATGCCGTCGTGGTTTCCGTGCATGAGATCACCGACAATGATTCCGCCACCGAGGCCGAATGCCGCTCCCGTTCTCGATCCCGCTCGCTGTCTCAAGATCAGCGTCGGACTCGCTCCCAATCTTCTGACTCTCGATCACGTTCCCGATCCCAGTCACTGTCTGGATCGCGCTCCCGTTCCGTCTCTGCCTCTGGCATTCGACAGAGCTTGTCTCCCTTCTCGCGTTCTCCTGCCCACTCGCGTTCTTCATCTAGTGATTCGCAGAAGAGCAAGAAGAGTGTAAGATGGAGCGAGAACCTGGTCATGGACGGCTCCAAGCCTCCCAGCCGCAGCAACTCTACCAGCAGTACCACATCCAGCCGCACCTGCGCATCTCCCACGCAGAAGCCTGTGGGTACTATTTCTCCTACCAAAAGTGCCATGAAATCCAGCCGCACTAGCACATCTCCCACGCAGATGCACGTGGATACCGTTTCTCCTACCAACAAAACCATTACATCCAGCCGCATCTGCACATCTCCCACGCAGAAGCCTGTGGATACTTTTTCTCCCACCAAAAAGAAAATCGAAGAGTACGTTCGGAGTGAGGCTCATGGCAAAGGACTCAGTGAGGTAGAATTGCAGGAAGTGATCGAGTCCCTGATGGAGGAACAGGCAGCCAAGGCCAAAGAGCAAGAAGAACAGGCTCTGATGGCTGCGACTGATGAATACCAGCCCATGACTGGTACTGATCCTGGTGGCTCACCGAATGGATCTGTGGCCCAGAAGAAGTCCGTTTAAGTCTACCCAGACTTTGATGACTACTCGATCTGGTGCCTCAACAACAATAATTATGATGATGATAAAATGACCGTCACGACCGATTTACTTTTCTTCTGATTCTTGTTTTCTTTACTTTTGTCTTTTCTCTTCTCGTTTCTTCGTTTTTTTTTTTCTTGTGCTTTTTCCCTTGGTTCGTGGTGGCTGAGAGTCTGGGATTCTTTTCGTCGAAAGAGACTATGTTTTTTCTTTTTCTTTTATTTATTTATTTTTATTTTTTTTAAGTGGTTTGATTTGATCTGCTTGGCTGTTCGATAAAGACCTGTCAAGGTCAATGTTCCCTAGCCTTGAGTAGAATGAACTCTCATTCCCAATATTCTTCGAATATCCTTGTAGTGTTGTAGTGTTGCTTGATGGAACTCGCCTCCAAACAACAACGCCTATAAACAAAAACAACTACCTACTTCCTGCATAAGCTACCTATAAATCCTCTCTACTCACCATCCTCCTTTCAGCTTCCCTTCTTTCCCCATCCCTTTTCCTGTCTATATACCGTCCAAGCAAAATGCCCTTGTGACATCTTCCAACATCATATATCATACCCTCCTCTCCAGTGGACATGTCTTCCACTGTTTTGGACACTCCTTTCAGAGCCATTAGCCGAAAGATATTCCAAACGGCTGGCGACCTTGTTCGAACGTGATGCGCTAGAAGAGCCCTAGAAGGTGATTCGGAACTGTGGCGAGGACACCACACGCCTTGATCTCTATCAGTATATCTAGCGGGCCTGTCTTCCGCCTGTTCTCATACTCACTTCAATCAGAAGATTATCGAGGAGGCTGGCGATCTTGTTTGGAGTGTGATCCACGAGGATGAACTTTGAAAGGTCATTCGACACTATGACGAATAAACTACACGCGTTGATCTATATCAGAACATCAAGCAGAGGACCAAAGGAAGTTTGCACGCGTTTGATGTATCCACAAAAACACGCACCACTCTTACCCAGACCTATGCCTATACTCGGCCCGAGTCGAAAAATGGCTATCAGCGCTCTCTTCTGGACTCAATCCGCGACATACATAATATAAACGGCAGAAACCTCTCCATGCAAGACTCATTGCAGGGGTGGTTACGAGGCCATCATTGCTGGAAAGAGCAATAAGGCCTTGGCATGTTCCTAGGACTTATGTCTCGCTATGATTCCGCACAGAAAAAATCGGGGATGTCCCTGGTGATGCCCTTCTTTGGTGGTGGTGGTCAGGCACCATATATCCCCTTAGATCTTATCACTGGAGATGGTCGAGCATGAACGAACGATGCTTCCATGGTCCCGGCCTAGACTGGACTGGACTTGATGTGGGTTTGGGCAGATTTCTACTCGCGCACAGCGATTCGGAATCTGTGAGTCGCCAATCCTTTACTGGAACCGCTCAGGCAAGGTTTGTTATCGCTTTCTCTATGGTCTACCTTTGGACATCCTACAAGGGAGAAAGTCGATTGTTGATATTGGTATACTACCGTGTTTGTATGCCAGAATCTCCGTAAGACGGACATGCAATGGCCTTTGCTAAGGAGCTCGAGGAAAGAGGTAAAGCCATCTCCGTTCTCCAGATACAAGTCCCTCGCTGATTAATTCTCTAATCCAGCATGTGAAAGAAAGCTCATCAAATTCCTTCGGTGATCTCCGGCGAAACTTCGGGGACAACGAACAGCAAAAATGTCCAAATCATCTTGACGCACCCTAGTTACATGGTGTCTGTGCTACCAAGAAAGATGGTTCGAAAGAATATTTAGAAAGGCCATTCGAAAAAGAGTGATTGAAGCATATCTAGGTTGTCCGTTTCTGTTTCTCTGGTTTCTAGACTCAAACTTTTGAACAACCATAATGATATTCTAATTAGAAGAGATTAATACCGTGACTACACTAAACCAGACAAACTGGTGTATCGTCAAACTAGCAAAAGTGTATCGTCACTTTAGCAATTCTCGAAAATATACTTGTAGTCCTTCTTTCTAGAAACGTACATGTACACGTACACATAGCCATTGATCATGGCCCAGATTCAACCTTCGGCCAACTACCGTACTTATGCATGGGGTGTCGTACTATATGCAGAATACTCTAGACATTTTCAAACAGATCATTCTGCATGAAACCCGGCTGACGTTGACCTTCAATAAATTCCTAGCTAGCGTATTTCCGGGAGCACCAGTGTCTAATATCAAGGCGCTAGTGGGTGAAAGATCAGCTAGGTTATCTGATGCACCGCTATCCCTCGAAAAATCCTGAACTTTGAAAATTGAGTACATACAGTACTGTCTTAACTAGTTGCATGCTTATACTCTATACTAAGTGCAAGTTGGATGAAGTCCGCTGGTAGATCAGGAGAGGGTGGAGACTCGACATCTCCACCGGGGCATACTTGTTTCGAATATCACCCTGAAACATCTTTATTCTGGGTCTGGTCTAGACTGGATAAAGGCTTTCAATATGTAGATGTTCCCCTGACTACGAATCAATTCATTTATTTTGAATGTTTGACGCCGATTAAGGTATTATCCCCGGTGCCATGTAGATAGGGGCGAAGTAGTTGATTGAAGGTGTCTATGCTCGAGGCCATGTCAAATGCAGGTATAAATACCCAACCAGTCGACTGATCCCATCATTCATCCACCAGAGAGCTCAATCTCAATTGTACAGTACAGCTATCCACCAAAATGCGTTTCACCAGCCTCCTCGCCCTGGTGGCAACCCCCGTCCTCCTCGTCACCGCAACCCTCTACCCGGCAACGTCCAACACAAAGGGCTACAAACCCAAAAGCCTGAACTGCAGCGGTAAACCACCCACAACAATCCTTCCCCAAACCACCCCATATAACCCATTCTAACCCTTTCCCCCTTCTCTGCCACAGCCTCCAAAGTCTCAACAGCAATCCAAGCCGCCGAATGCTCCCACAACACCCGCGTCTCGGGAACCCAAACATTCGCGATCTTCCAAACAGACCACCAATACGACTCTTCCAACGGCGCTCCATACGGAACATGTAGCGCATACACGTGCACTGCGCCTACATTCTCTGAACTGGAGGCTGACGACGATTACTGGGCGTTTTATTGGGGGGATGAAGACCAGGGACAGAGTAGTGGGGTTGGTACGGGGTGTATCAAGGATCCGAGTAGTGGGGAGTGTGGGTGTGAGGATTCGGATGGGGTGTTTGTTGTTGGGAGTGATAGTTGTACCTAGAAGGATTGGTGGAGGAGGAGGTTTTTGGTGAGGTGATGGGGAAGGGGATGTGGATGGGATATATAAGTATGAGAGTGGTAGATTTGATATCGAAGGATATGAAACAGAAAAGACTCGTCAAGATCCTGCGATACTATGTCTTTATGCCCATGCAAATCCAATATTATACAGCTGCACCCACCCAAGAAACAAAAAAACTAGATCACAGCATATACACCAAGATACCAGATCAGATTCAATTGGATTTAATCCCGGTCCAAACAACGCCAGGATATGGATATGGATATAGATATGAACGTAAACAAAAACCAATAGAAAACAACAACAAAACACGCCTCAAACGAAACTGTAAACTGTATATACAAGACGAAGTAAGTCAAGAGACTCAAGACCGAAAACCCAAAATGCATCTCAATGCGAGTAAAGACGTGATGAACATGCAAGAACCTTGAATCAAATGAAATGAATGGTGGATACCCCCAATGCTAAGGCGAGACAAGACAAAATGGACAATGACAATGACACGAACACGGCAGGCAAGGACAGACCAGGCCAGGCTAGACCTGGATTCCATGGAATGAAAAGCTCAGATGGTGGCGCGAAAGACCAGACCAGACCAGACAAGACAGCTGAATTTGATTCAATTCGTAAACATGCGTTCGTCGTAACCCGATGATAATGCTTGTTTGGTAATAGGAAAATGGATATGCATGGGAGCTGTGGAAGCATGGACATTGACATGGTTGAAGGACCAATGGCCATGGTGTGTAGAGATAGAAGAATGATGGGAGAGGAGAAATAAGAGATGCCGGGGGGATGAAGAAGGAGAGAAATGATAATTGAAATCCGCAGCACAGCTTCCATGCAAATCCCGAATTCAGTGCGGTCTTAAGCACGCACGCGTCTCGCATCGAAATAGCCCAAGTTCACCGCAGTGTCATTAACACCCACAAACGGCGCCGCATCTTCGAGAAGTTCCCACGGCCGAATGGGATACGGACCGACAATACGCCCCCGATTCTGGAGACGCAGTCGATTCGCCATGCAATTCGAATTCTCGGAAAGTCCGCCATACAAACTCGAAGCCGTGGGCTGGGAGGAAGCGCCACCAGCAGGGAAATTGGCTGACGTCGGGGTTGGCGTGGATGCCGAGGCTGCGGGAGATGGGGCAGATGCGGACTGGAGGATGGCAGACGGATGAGAATCTGACATAGGACCGAGTAGGTAGAGGAAACGCGAGTCATTCTGGAGGGGTACAAAGGGTGGGCACTTCTCCTTCAGGAAGCGGGCGCAGTGATGACGGATCTCGTCAGGGAAGATATCGATGAGCGAGGCGGCCACGTCTAACGCATGCGTCTGCAGCAGGATCCCGGGGCAGGGACGGTAGTCTTCGACAGTGCCTTGGCGGGGGAAGTAGTCGGCGCCGGGGAAGAAGCGGAGCACATCGCCTGGAAGGCGGGACAATGCAATGCAGAAGATCGAGATCAGAAGGCGGGATTGCTCGTGCGAGGATCCGATTTTCAGCGTGGGAGAAGGCTGAATGAACGAGGCACGATGGATTACCACCATCCGCAGCAGGGCTGAGAACCAGAAGGCTAGGGATCGCTCGAAGGTGGTGCGTCCTTGACTAGTCGATGTGGCATTGCCGTTCTCACCAGAATTGTTGAGAGTGGACTGCAGGTTGATAATTTTGTGCAAGAGGGTATCCATCTTCTCCACGAGGAGCAGCGCAATGGATGGCGTCCCAGAGTTGGGAATACTGCTCGCAAGCTCTTCGATAACAGTAAGATACAACTTTGCATTCTCCAGAGAGGTCATACTCTGCGGTGTCACCGGCTCTTCAAGGAGCGGGATAGCAAAGAGCTCCTTTTCGGCCCGTTCACGAATCTGTCGCACCGCATCCGGACTCATCAAAGCCACCAGGTCAACCCAGTGAAGCTTTTGCGCACGCGAATCGGCCACGACTGTCTTGAACATCGCATCCACAAGGTTGGTTCGATCCTCGTTTGCAGAGTCGGCGTGGAAAAGCACCTGGAGCTTCAGCTGGCAGAGCGGAAGCGAAAAGTCGTCGGTGGTAATTGCAAGCTTCTCGACTTCCGAAATGACCGAAACGTTCTCTTTCTGCGAATCCACCCCAAGCAAGAGGTCGAGCGCTTTCTGGAAAACGACCGTCGCGGCCGAGGACTGGTTGTCAATCCTTTGCAGACAGTATTTACTTGTGCAATCAGGGTTCCGCACAAGCAGTTCCCGCATTAGCGTGACCATAGACGTCTCCAGGTTGATGTACTTGAGAGCTGGCTTTTCATCACCAGACTTGAGGCAGGCAGCGGCATCACATACAATCCCGAGAGCTTCCTCGGTGTTCCTGGAGATGAATTCTTGCTGGGCTAGCTGGAAGCGGTAGGAAACGAGATCGAGATATCTGGCATCCTCGTCGTGGGCCACGAGAAGCCCGACTAGATCGGCGGGCAGGTCGGCAGCGTTGGGGATTGAGTTTGCGGAGTTGGACAGTCTCTTTGCAAGTGACAAGAATGATCGAATGGTCACGCATCCAACACCGATGAGTGGCGGGAGAATGTGAAGTAGTATCGAGCGATCGGATGATCTGAGGTGGCTGCAGACCCAACGGGCCAGAATCACATCGAAATGCTTGGGCTGGAAGGACCGCAACTGCGCCAGGTACCTACAAGTATCATTGGCCGATAGCTTCATCTTGCCTTCGCCAGATTCCAGATGTTTCGTCAGCATGTTGAAGATAGTGTCTAGAGTGGGCTCATCCATAACATTCCCCAAGAGCAACAGCTGATCCAGCTTTTCGCGGAAGAGAGGATCCGCCTCGCCGAAGCTATCCGGGATGTGGTCCGAAACAGGCGAGCAAGCAGCGACAACCGACTTGTTCTCCATGCGCGAGAGATCCTGGCGAAGAATAGCAACAGTGTTCAGCTCGTTTGGAATGCGAAGACCAAGCTCGATAAGCGAAAACATCAGATCCAGACTGGGCGTGCCGAACCGTTTGATGCCGGCATATGCATCGATCAATTTGCGGAAAAGGTCCATCGTGGCACCAATGACGGACAACGAGTCAAAGTGACAATTTGTGGTATCCGCAACGGATGCCAGAACGGTGCTATCGTCGGAGCTCGAGGCAACCTTCAGCACATCCGCCAGCATTGAGATATCACCAAGTGTCTCGAGGATATCACGAACGTTGTAGAACTCTTCAGGCGTGAGTGCAGATACTGATTGGTCAAGTGCACCTGGAAGCATGGCTCGTAATGTAGCGTTCGCACGGGTATACTCGGCAACACTGCGTCGAAGCCATTGCGCAATCTCAGCCTTCACAGCCCATGTCAGATCCGACGGTAGCGAACTGAGCGACGTATCTAACAACATTGTCGAACGGAAGAGGGCGGGAAGGCGATGACTGATTAATATTTTGATATTAGCAACCATCTCGTCTTCGTCCGAGACGGAGAATCCAGTGCGCGCCATCAATGTTTTGCGTAGATTGCCAACGTGTTCAGGTAGACGGCCAACAGGAAGTTGTGCGATGAGTCCAATGTCACCAGTGGTTTCCGTAGCTGTCTTGCTGCCACTGGGCTGATAATTTGTCACTCCCTTTGCCATCAGCCACTGAAGGTACCGGCCAACCGAGAATGTCTGTGACCTGACAAGCTCGGAGATGGCATGGTAGACGTTGTCCATATTAAGTTTCTTATTGATCCCGGCATGTGTAAGGAAGGAAAGAATATGCTCGTCAACATCTACACCGGACGACTTCCACTTCCGCAATAGACGGACGCCGACGTAAACTCGGCAGATGCCATAACGGAACGGCGTTGCAAGCCACTCTAGCAATTTTGAAACGAGAACAGCCCGATCGTCAACAGCGTCCAGGCAAGCAGAAGAGATGGCGACAATATCGTGCGCGGAGCGAATAGAATCAAGGAGGCGGATAATGCGTTGATGGGGGGAACGCTGAGCTGATTGTTTAGTGTGTCGAGGTCGCTGAACTCGGGCGTTGCGTTCCGCAATACTTTGAAACAGAGCCCGATCAACTTTATTGGTCAGGTTGAGGCATGAGGAGACTTGATCTTTATACGTGTCCCAAGTATTTGGCAGAATCATGGATGAGGTATGTTCATGAACCAGCTTTTTGATGAAACGAGAGAGGCGATCAATGAGAGGTTGCAGGGGATCTAGTTTGGCGACATTGGCCTGTCGTAGCTTTTCAAGCAGAAGTTCTGCTAATCGTCGTCCACGTCGCCGATACCGCATGAGGTTGTTCCAATATATACCAAGCATCAACAGCCAGACAGGCACAGTAGCCAGAGAAGCGGCTTCGAAAGAGGACAGGAACCATTCCAGGAAGTGATCGTGGTCGAGGAGGTTTTCGAAGAAGAGACGAGCAGTGAGTCCCACGGCGTATGTCATCTTGGCTTTCCAGTCATTTGATTTCGGCGCACTGAAAACCCCTTCGACGAATTGTTGAACGTTGGTCGTCCATTCACGAACCCACTTCGCTTCTAGACCCACTGCCAAAGCACCGCTGGTGCCTTTGCGTTTAAAGGCGCGAATTTCGTTGGCACCGACACACTTTGCAAGCCAAACGGCTCGAGCAACCGGGATCCATTTACCCAGGCACTGATCCAGCAGCACCTTACCACGGATACCATGGGGGATGGTTCGGCTCAATCGGCGCAGAGGTACGGCCGAGTTGGCGAGGTCGCGAAGCCATGCTTCTCGCTTGTTATCAGTCAAGGTGACTCGTGGCGGTGGTTTGAAAGTTGATGGTGCATGGACGGCATTGTGGTTCTGGCGTTTCTCAAGGGCCGCAGTGAAGACAGAGGAAAGCATTTGCAGGCCGGTGCGGTGCTTGAGTTGCGCATATAAAGCCGGGCGGGCGGTGTTCGACTCGTTTTGAGAGACCTGAGTACGATCATAATAACCTTGTTTCGCTGTCTGCTCGTTAAGTATATCTTCCGGGTGATTTCCTGTCCACGGGGCGAAACCGGCGACTTCTAGATATGGTTGTTAGCAATCTACCGTGGCAGCATTCGAAAGAATAACGCATATAATATCAACCGACTTACTATCTCCCTTGATGATTGGAGCCGCAGAAGGCGTCTCAATACGATATGGTGTTGTGGAAACTTTTTTGACTGGGGATGGATCACGAGAACTCGAATCTGTATTGCGCTGATGCTCCGGCGGAGCATTAGTCCACGGTTGAGCAGGGAACGGAGGCGGCGACGGTGGCTTTGATGCTGACGCGCCATCTCGTCGGTTCTCGCTACCAGGAACCTCCGACATCACAGCCTGGAAGGACCAGAGCGGTCGACCGCGCCATGATAGCTGCGGCCGCGAACCGGCACTACCAGGTGTGCTCCGCGGTTCCGCACTATTCGCTGTCGAGCCGGCATCTCCCAGACTCGATCCACTTGAAACATCCAGCCTCGGTCGTTTTGGTGGGGGCTCTCGATCGTGCGACTCGAATCCGCTGGCAGTCAAGTCGACCACGGGTGTTTGGCGGATGGGCGGCTGGGGCGGTTGCGCCTGTAACTGCAACTGCGATATGGAGTGTTGCGAGGAGACCGAGGGCGGATCATACTGGCCGGCCATTTGAGCCAGGTCAACCCGTCCGGGGCCTCCATTGAGGCCGCGCATCGGGTAACCCCAGGGTTGGCCGGCAGAAGAATGGGGTTTCATCTTAGGCTCATGGTGTACAGCGTCGGTTGAAAGGTATCATTTGTATGGATCGGAAGGGGGCCACAACGACGGAAGGGTTTGAAATCGGCAATTTATACACGATGCGAATATATAAAATGCTCAATGACGGGATTCGGACAGGATGTTCTTCACGACATTGATCGAGAGTGAATAGATTGGGATGGTTCGGGCAACGGGGCGAACCAGGCGGAGATGTTGGCAAACAGGCGAATGAACGATCTGGGGGCGGAGTGGAGGGAACCGAATGGGGAGTCGAGGGTCAATGGAGTAAAAGAAGACCAAAGCAATCGATAATTGTGGAGTGATCGAGGTATGAGGAGGAGTCAAGGTTCACGAGATCGGAGGAGAGGGAACGGCGCTATCGGGGGGAGGATGTTTAACTGTTTATGGAGGAAGAGAGAGATGGAGATAACGTAAGTCACGAGTCCGTCCGTCTGGCTCCGTCCACTGTCCATGTCCAGTCCACCGCGGGATCCACCTCGGGATCGACGGACGGAATAGACTGCGATGCGGATGGGGTTACAAGTATTACTTTACAGTATATGCATGAGATGATGGAGTTATCACGACTACTAACTTATTCTAAGGCTAGTAGTATGGTCTGATGGACCCTGTTTCATTTTGATCAGACCTCCTCTTCTTTACATCAGCCAACTCTATGGCATGTTGGAATTGTATTCCACGGTAATTCCCCCACTCCACCCTTCCTTTCTCGGCTATATCCCATTTCATGATTGATGGAATCAGGGAAATAAGAACATTCCCGCAAAAGCCCTCTGACTCCCGTGCTACAACCTCCAAAGTCGGTCCCCTTTCCCCTTTTTAGACCGAGTCATTGCCGAATTACCGCGCCTGTGGGCAGCCCCAGTCAACTAGTGAGTGGATAATGTGTATCAATTTTGGGTATCCTTTTACGGAACTACTACTCAATTCTCTCGTCCGGAAAATACAGTCAGACGGCACGGCGGTCACCGCAGTGGGTTTCGTGGCACTCCAGGCCGACGGCAGCTGAAGAACAAAGGAGGACTTATCAAGTTATCCCCCAGAGAGTTTAACATGTATTCCACTTATTGCTTTTTTTTCTTTTCTTTTTTTACTTTTGACTTTGTAGATACTGTTGCCAGATAGGTATTTGAATATTTGAAAATCCGGGTTGAAGGGTAACAGAGGGTGACACAACCTAAATTCCTTCTTCCACTCGTTCTTACCCGACACCCGACGGGGGATATGATTCACCGTAGGACAAATATGATAACTTAACAAGGATACTATTCATACTCCTTGTCTAGTCTCATCCATGTCGTATTCTGATCCATGATGATTAACTGCTAAAAGTAGAAAAGAAGAACCCATTACATATGATCAACACTAGAGCCCAAAGTCCCTCCGTTAAGCGGACATACCCAAACCCCGTCGCATCTCCCTTCCTGAACTGGCCTGTAACTCCCATGATGGAACTATAGAACTTTGAATAGTCCTCTTAGGCCAGTCAAGACAACAGTTATAAACTAATAATAACAAGATTCGGGAATTGCCTTCCACTTTCTCGGGGCCAGCTACTCCATAGAGTCCATACTCTAACTAACAAGCACAGGTCCGAATCTCGCTATTTGACCGTCCTACTGTCCTACCATAAGGTTATTTCCGTTCCACCTACTTCGTAATGTCCATGCACTCATCTCCTCCCATCAGCTCGCCATCTCCATGCCAAATCATGACACCCAGGTTTTTTCTCCCATGCGCAACCCGGACTCAGCCCCGTTCTATCGATCAAACTACAGATGGACTCCAACCCGCGGCTATTAGGGATTCCTCCCGGTCGCTGAGACTCCTTTTGGTCCGTGGGTTTCTCGGCGATTATTACATTGTCCTCGGCTTACGCCTTCCCCCTAATGCAACTGCAGTTTTCCCCCCCAGTTACCGGGGGGCGCTCTCGCTTATCACTGAGCTGGGTTTTGATTTGACTCTTAGGGAGCGAATCAATCACTAACAAGTACTGTACAACTTCTCGAGGTCATTCCCCATGCGCGTCCACATTCCGTTACCCGTATCGGCCCACCATCCGTGGCTCCCACACGTGATAAACGACTCCGTTACTGGACGGGGATCGCGTTTTCGTGTTTTTATCCGCGGTCTCTGTGGCACCATCCCAGCCTTCCATGATCCATCGGAAATTCCCACCGGGCGGGAGACTACCGTCGGAGATGCCGGGTCGGTTGGCGATGCGGTCGCAACTCGCATGCAGCGTGCCGTGTCATCTTGGCGATGCCGAATATGCAAGGAGGGAGGATCAGAGCACACTTGCAGACAGACTGATGATACATCGTCATCTGCTGGAGGATCTGAGTTGGCTGTCACTACTCCTCCGTGTTGACCCTTTGATCATCTGTACGGTGCTGCTTTAGCGCGATGAGATAGACGGACATATCGTGCATTGATCCGCGATCTACATGCCATGGCTGGCTCAAGGCACAGGGAAATCGAGTTCCGCGCTCACCGACTCTCCCGTGCAATGTGAGATCGTCCCCAGATTCGAGCGGATCACTATCCGTGGGACCTATGGACTTGTAGATTCGATTTCGTAACACGGACTGTACATGGATCAGTACACTCTACATAGCATACTATACAGTACCTCGTAGATAACATACTGTAGCACTAGATTATCACATATCGAATATCTCCAGCTTTGATTCTTCCCACTTCCTATCTCTGTATCTCCATTCCTATCTTTCCCTCCCCACGATTCCGTTCTTCGGAGTTCCCCATGCGTCGAGTCTAGCCCAAGCGGGCAACCGGTCTTGGCATTTGGGGGTTGCCGCCTCAGGACCTTCTCCTTCCCCCATATTCACCACCATCAGTCCCACAGCTAAAATCATGGCGTCAAACAAGGATATGCGGCGCGCGGATCTCGGTGAGTTAATCTGCTGATTTCTCTCTCTCTCTCTATCCATCTGGCTAACCTGGAATGACGCCGCAGCAATTCCCTACGTCGACCCGCCCAAGAGTGCCAATGATGGCGACATGTCCAGTACGCGACCACACCCAACACTCCAGGCGAGATCCTGGAGTCTGCGCAAATACAAGCGGTTATGATGTTCTGACGGAAATCTGTGATAGGCACCATGTCGAGCACGATGCCCATGGCTGCGGTAGGTGGATGCGATTCCGTGCTCTTGGAGACCCTTTTTAGCTAACATGCGATTGAATCTAGATGTTCATGCGGAACAGGTGAGCCTTGAACGCCCAATTGACCACCACAGAAACCTCTTGTTAACGACCAATGCGATGCAGAATGATTGGCTGGTATGTAGCGAGCTCCAAGTGGCCGGTTCCTGATCCCGCTAACGACACCTCTTTCCACAGGGTCTCCTTCGTCTTCTCCCTTCAGACCTGGCTCGCCGAGTCCTCCGAGCAGAAGAAGACTGCTGCCACCCCGGCCTACATGTCCGTCTTCATGTCTTGTACGTGCCAATTCACCTCCTTTTCCCTGTCGAGTCTGTCTGTTAGATCCAAGCTAATCTTGCGGTCCTCCTCTAGTGATGGCGCTGGTCGTTGTACGTCCATGGAATAATCTACGCCCCCATCGTCCTCCCACCAGTCTTCTAACCATTCCTTGCAGACCTACTTCCCCATGTTCCTGCCTCCGCAGGTTGCCAAGGGCACAGCTGCTGCTCCCCCGGCTCCCTCGCCTTCGCCCTAAACTTCCTAATCTCTTGTGATACCTTTTGCTACCAATACAACGAGCCTAATACCTCTACATCTTGTTCTACGTGTGGACGAACTTTTCACTGGACTGGAGATACGGGCATGCCTTGGCCTTGAAACTCGGTTTGCCTGATTGTGGCACACGTGCACACTCGTTGGCTCGTTTTGTACCGATATTCGAGTGGATCTTCTTCTTGTAATATTATTTTAGGACAATTTATGCACGATGGCCATCATTGTATCGTTCCAAACACTGTCCATACCCATTCTCTGTGCAAATACTCCTGGTAGTGCTGCAGATGGTAAGATCGAGAAGGACTCGGGAACCTTCTCTAGCTTCGGGAGTGTCAACATTCTACACTCTTGTCCACCATCTCGCACAACGCTTTTCTGTAATTCTTCAAACCTATGGGCTCCGTATACTCTTTGCTTTTTTTCATTATTCTATAAATAGTCAACTTGCCCTGCCAATCGTAAACTACTTGAATCATTGTTCGAGTCACAGAAACGCGGAGGGGTCGCTTAGTCACACACCGCCTTCCCCCCACAGGCCTCAAAAGGGTTTGCCGCTCTCTTCCTTCTCATTCTTCTCCGACCTTCAACCAGTTCACTCCGACTCTTCACTCTTCACTCTCCACACGCTTCGATCGCTCATCTTTTCAGAGATATTGAATCTCACCCCTTCGCTCTATTTTTCACAAACCCGCTTTTAAACCGTCAAGGTCAGAACGCCGAGTTTATGTCCATCGAAAACCTCAAGTCCTTCGGTGAGTCGCCACCCTTCCCCCCTCTCTTGTGGGCGCATGAGCACGTCCCAAACACCACTCGCAGACAGACAGACCAGACCGGTCTTCCACCACAGTATACATTTGTCGCCAGAAATGGGTCTTTGAATGTTGTCTGTGGTGTTGGGCTGCTCGGTCAGAGGGGTCTGGGTCTCATGGCTCAGCCTCACTGCTGAGCGTTGCGGCGGGGTAGAGATTTAGTATTGGACCAAGACTGACATGTTATCTTTTTACCTCACAGACCCCTTCGCCGAAGCTGACGAAGACGCCGGCGAGACTAAACAGTCTCAGAACTACATCCATATACGGATTCAGCGTATGTCGCACAATCCTACCCCGCGGTCGCTGATCGTCACGGTGGGCGCGTCGGTGCCAAGACGGAGCCCGTCAAGTGTGATAGCCCTTTTCTGAGCCACATGCTAACTTTGATATATAGAGCGCAATGGTCGTAAGACTCTGACTACTGTTCAGGGTCTTCCCAAGAAGTTTGACCAGAAGAAGATCTTGAAGGTCATCAAGAAGAAATTCGGTATGTTGCTTTCCTCCCTTTTTCTGCATGCTGCTGCTGGCCGGTCACTTGAAACAAACGCTAACAATCGCCCAGCTTGCAATGGCACCATCGTCGCTGACACTGAGATGGGTGAGGTGATTCAGCTTCAGGGAGATCAGCGTAAGGATGTCCAGGAGTTCTTGACCGACAAGAAGGAAGGCCTCGAGCTGGATGCTAAGACCATCAAGGTATGTCTTTTGTCTTTGTTCCCTTCTCCCAGGTACAAGTCCACATCTCTGACTCTCTCCCTCCAGGTCCATGGGTTCTAATCCCGTTACCTTGCCTTGTTCCGGTCCCTTCTTCCCAGTCTATGTTGCCCTGTGAGCGGTGGGAATAGGAAGCACGCCACGTGTCCCCTTAACCGCCGGCCGTGCTCCAAGCCGGCCCAATCCATTTGGTCAAATCTCTTGCTTTCTGTCCCCCCACCACTTTGTGCCTGGCGTATTAGACGTGGGCCACGTCGAAGCTATGACACGCTTTCCCCCGCTTTCCACCCCCTGATGGTCCTCGGCGATACGTTTTCAGCATGATCGACAGGGTTAAGCGTGTTCATTTCCTTTCGACTTTATTCTTATCCAAGAACGGGATTATGACGGAACGAGGCGTTGGTAGATACCCATATCTGCATAGACAGACGATGCTTTTTTTCATTTTATTCGATGTTATTTTCATTCATCACTCTGCGTGTGTGCTTGTCATTTTCTTCTTTCCTTTCCTTTGCTGTTCAGGAGCGACAGTTTTCCCTTGTTACTGGTTCGGTCGGATTCTCGAATGCTTCGTTGGATCTAGACTTGGACTAAGTGACTAGGAACTGTTCGAGGAGAAACCAGTCATTTTGAATACGGGGTGCGTCCTCTTATGCTGTTTGGGCTCGATTTGTCGGTCTCTACCGTCTTTCCCTATTCTTCCTACTGTTTCTCGCTCTTTTCATGCATACATACGCATGTCTACCAGTATTGTCTTTTGGAAATGAGGAAACATGAACTGCTCATTGAACTTTGTGTGCCACAATCTTCAGAATTTGTAGCGTAATACGTAAAGTACTCAAGCTCGCACACAGTCGAGTTTGATCCTCCGAAAGGTTCTTTCTATCTTACAGGTATGAATACGGTTCGCGAGGAATTGGAATAATGGGATTTGATCTATCAAAGACCGATGAATGACACAAAAAAGAGCTAGTCCAGCTGGACACAGAAGGGTAATGTGGGTGCAAAGAAGTTGGTTAACGAGGCTCGTTCAAAGACAGAGCCAGAAGAATATACAAAAATCCAACCCAGCACATTTGTAGCGATTCCGCTCAAAAGTAATGGATCCATTTGATGTAAGGCAAGTAAAAATGGGGATCAGAAGAGTAGCAATGTTAAGCAGCGTAACTCCGAAAGGTAGGAAGAAAGAAGAAGAAGACAGGGGATGGGATCGGAGGGCGGAGGAGGTTAGGAGAAAGGGAAAGGGGGAAGTAAGACACCCAAGGTGTGAACAAGGCTATAGTTCGCCGACGCCGGCTCGAGCATCTGCGACTCGCATGCGTAGGAAGATTGCAACGGCCCAGTCCCATAGTTTGCGGGTGATCACAAAGACGGGGACTTCGGGTTCGTTTTCACGGGTGAGATGGAGTTGGAGGAGGAGGGAGGACATGCTGAGGAAACTGGCTACTGAGACGACGAGTAGAGAGGCTGCTGTTTCTCGTTTTATTGTTGCGTGGTTTTGTGTGGCGTGGTAGACGAATGTGAGGGTCTATTTTGGAGAAAGAGGGTTAGTTATACAGCTTGGGGTTTTCTTGGGGGTGTCGGGTTCGGTTATGGGTCTGATATTGCGACATACGGTTGTAATGGAGATCCAGGCGGGTAGGAGCAGTCGTGGATCAGAGGATGCGCCGGAAAGATAGAGAACCCAAGAAGTGATATATGCGATTAACCCGTTCGTTGTTAAAAGCCGGATTACAACGGCAGGTGGGGTGTAATTCAAAAGCCTTGAAGAAGAGAGGAGGTCAGTAAGTAATTGACATGAAGTGAAAAGGGCGTATAGACAGCTCGAGCGAGCGCCTCGAGAAAGAGTAGGATATCACTCACCATCGAGACATCATACAATCAGCAAAGAAATAAGAAAGATATGCGGATGCACAGCACTATCAATCAAAAAAGTTAGCCAACGTCTCCAATCATGAGTCCAGAACAAGACAAAGACATCCTACATACCCACATAATTGCCAGCGCAACCTCCGTAACCCGAAACCTCCTCTCAACATCCCACTCCTGTCCCACACTCCCAACAATGGCCGCCGCCCATCCCTCCCGTCCCATCCCCGGCCTGATATGCAACAGCTCAGCCAAAAAGGTAAACGCACATCGCAGCCCCCACCACGCCGCAGGCAGCGTGCTCAGCGCCCGGCATACCAGCAGCGGGATGTACCACCTGCGGTCAACACCCAAGATGACCGCTACTCGCGGATGCAGCGGTGAGGACGTAGTCTGGCCAGCATCAGCATCACTGCCGAGTGGGGTTTGGGATGTATCGGAGGTCGGGGAGGGCGGGGCGACGACGGCCGGTGTTGATAGAGACGCCACTTCTTTGAGGAATTGGCCCTGCAGTGAGGGCACGAGGGGTCGGAGGAGCTCTGGGGGAATGGGAGTCCGCGCGAGATTTAGGTCTGGCGGGCTGGTTGCGTGGGCGGGGGTGAGTATGGTGGTGGTGAGCCATTACGGAGAGGAGCCAGCCTTCAGATCTGGTCGCGGCATATGCGGCCGCCGCGCAGAGTCGTTGGGAATGGTGTATTGGGAGTGAATATTGGTAAAAGGAGTGAGTTGGTTCGTTTCAAAGTAAGTCGCGTGTCGAGTTGGCCGAGTCCCCTAATCGGTGGATGATTTCGGGATAGAGACGTAATGTGGAATGCCGGTTTGAGGAGAGTACAAGGACAAATCCGCACAATTTGTGAGTTTCAGAGGTTATCACCAGCGACCTTTTCGTTAACACCTGAACGAGGAGTGGAGAGTGTGCGTGTGGCGTTTCAGCTGGAACCCTCACTCATCGAGAGCTTCCCATAATCATCAGCCCGCGAAATCGCGGAGACAGACACGTGACCATCCGCGGATTTTCCTTGGATTCTCCTTCTCGGGTTCATTGCGATCAAGAAATCCACTTCCGACCCCCGCGTCGCAGCTCGCAATGGCGTCTTCACTGCGTCTTCCTGCGGGCAGCATATTCCCCAATGCCCGCCCTACCTCCCTGATCGCCCAGTCCTTCGCCTCCGGCTCGACGCAGCAGCAGTCCCGGTCCTTTTCGGCGGCGGCGCAACGATGGGCCTACCGAACGCAAAACTTCAAGCCCAGCAGCCCGGCACAGCCTTCGATGAAGTCTCGCGCAAAGGATGTGATGAAGAGCCAATTGCCGAATGATATTGGTCTGCTGCCGGGTACCTTTGTTAAGCCGATGTGGAGGGACCTGCCCTCGATCTTCCAGGATCCGCGGGATCGGTTCCGGATGGAATGGACTTGGATTAAGAGTGTCTTCCAGGGTTATGCCAGGTTGGTTTTCATGGACAATGCTTCTCGCTGTCTCGCCCATTGTTGAGACTAGGGAGTCAGACATCGGGACAAGCACATGGACTTGAAATGTATCGTTCGCTAACCTGGACAATAGTCTGTTGATATACTGCAAGAAGGACCTCAACAACATTCCCTTTATTGCAAACCAATTGCAGAAGCCCCATATCGGATCCATCGCCCTTCCCTTCTTCAAGATCTTCCACAGCGTGGACCGAAAGTCAATCGCCAAGTCCCTGTACACGCAGATGTACACCAACCTTGCCGAGTAAGTACGCACCGTCTCCACGATCGAGATCACCTGTTCTAACATGACAACTCCAGGGGAAACACTACCGAACTGCGCCGCATCTGCTGCGACAAGCTCGCCACCAAACTAATCGGCCAAGTCCAAAGCCGCCCCGCAAACGAAAAGGTGACCTGGACACTAGTCGGCAACAAGTTCAGCGGCGCACGCGTCATGACAGACCGCGCCGTCAAGATTCCCGACATGCCCAACTCCGGAATTCGCCAAGTCGTCGTGCGCCTATCTTCCAGACAATCCATGACCAAGACCGTCACCGGACGCAACGCCTCGAACGAGGTCGTCCCCGCCGCCAAGGAGCAGGACTGCTTGGAGTACGTCGTTATCCAGCAGCTCATCTGGCACGGCAAGCACTCCGACTGGCAGATCTGGGGTACTACCAACGAGACCGATATGAAGACCCTGAACACTGATCCTGCTTTTGCCCCGGGTCTGTCTGCCCTGGACCGTCTTGAGGCCATGAAGAACATGGGGCCCGGCGGCCGTCTTTAAATCGGGTAACACGTTGCAGGAGTACCTCCTGATGTAAAAACACAAAACGCCTATTATTATTTTTCTTCAACTTGTGTTAACGGTTTCGATTGTCCTCATTCCCATCTCCTGGAGCCCCTGTCGTGTTTCCCTATTGGAGTGGAATCGGCAACCTTTTGTTCGCGGTCTGACGTTGCCCGGGGCGTTTTTTTGTGTCCAGTTTATGAATTTGTCATATCTAGCCAGTCATATAGAGCATCTACCAATTCATGTATTATAGTCATATTAAGTCCGGAGGTTCCAGAGTATTACTACTCGTAAGCCGATTAGACCTGTAAACTTAGCTACTAATCTTAAGCGAGCGACAGTAAGAAGGAAGGGTCATCATGGATTCGAGTTGATGAAAGACACTAAGCAAGTCCTACGGACGTAGGAAGACACCGGTGGATATGTACAGGGGAAAGAAAGCAAGGTGATAGCGTGTGTAGAACAAAGTTGAGCTCAATCCGGCATACGCACAGAATGGACGACAGAGGCTATTCCGGGAGAAGAGAAGCAGAATAATAAAGGAAGTGGAAAAAGTGCGGATGAGTCGAACAAAACATGATTGGGAATCAAATAGGGAAGAAGATCGAGTATGACGACCAGGGATCCTGAAACAAGAGACAAGGAAAGGGTGTGAACTCGAATTCGCTCTTGAGCGTATCACAGCGCGAGTAGAGACCGATGACCGCGAGGAAAGGTTCGTATGACAATTCGATGGACATGAGGCGAATCACTCAGTCATCATCGAAGATCTGGAAGGTGTTGTTGAGAATGGTCTCAATCACGCGGACTTGCCAGCCAGCATCGGCGATGTTGCCGCCCGAGTTAGCGCCCATCAGAGTCGGTCTATCGTGATGTTAGAAATACTGAAATGTGACGAATGAGAGTGCTGGTTACTTACCCGAAGCAGATGGCCAGGTTACCGGCGTTCATGCGGTTCGAGGTGTAGTGCTCCTGGACCTTGTTCAGGTGCTGCAAAACTATTAGTAGGGTTCTTTGTTTTCGTGAGACATCAGTAGTGATTTACCAGGATGACAGCCCGCAGAGTAGCGTAGTGGGCGTCCGGAAGGCTGTTGATGAGAGCGTGGCACGAGTCACGGCGCTGAGTATCATCCTCAATACCTGCAAAGTCATCTTGTCAGTTTCAACGTGAGAAAACACCAAATAGATCAAAACTTACGAGCAGCATCAATGAACTGATTGTAAAACTGCGAGGTGAACAGCGGCTCAGGCAAGTCCCGGAAGAACTGCTTGACCAGGCCTGCAACACTATTGACATCGTGGTAGAAATCCTCCGGGCTGGTGAAGTCAACCTTGGAGGCATCTAGATATACGATCGATTAGCACGGAGATCACTGAGGAAATGATACCAGTTAGACTGACCGTTATCAAAGACCGCCTTCATATGGTTGATGTGATTAGCGCTGCCGGAGAGTCGGTAGATACCCTCAGTCTCGAGACCAAACAGCTCCACGGCCTGGAAGCACTGGTAGACGATGAAGGGAACCGCGGTGCCATCGCGAGTGTACAGGTCATTCAAGGAAACGCCAAACACCGGCTTCAGCGGTGGCAGGCTGGCCTGCAGAGTAGCCCGGTCCATTGGAGGTGGACCGGCCATCAGCGGAGCAGAGCCACCCTTCATTGGCGCTGGCGGGTGAACAGGTGCAAGGGCGGGTTCGTGAGCAGGTGGTCCAGAGACAGGATATGGAGGCTGTGAGGGAAGTGCCGAGATAGGCTCCCCCTGTGTAGGGTAGGGAAGTGGCTGGAAGCGATCTGTGCTACTCGGGGCGGGTTGAGGAGATGGAGAAGCGACGTTGTGTTGAGAAAAGGTTTGGGGCAGAGTAGATTGTCGTTTGGCTTGGGTGCTGCTCTGAGACGGGGTTGCTGCGGCTGGTACTGCGGCTGCGCCAGCGCCTAGGGTTGGATGGCGCTCATACTTGACCTCTGGCCCACTGATGGCACCCGGACTCCCCTCGTGGCTGAGAATAAAGTCATGGAAGTCCTTCTGGTTGTCGACCTGACGCACTACCTCGGCCAAACTCTTAGGGACAATCGCTCCATTCTCCGTCTTCATGGGGCTGACACAGAGACCCTGGCCAAGCAGCAGCTTCTCGCTGAAGGTAGCTGCAATTCATTAGCTTCTTCTGCTGTCAACAACGATAGATAAGTGCTCCATGAGAGCCTCCCAACTTACCAAACTTTTGCTGTTGCAGGGTCAACCCCGAGTCACACTCAGCAATTAACTGCTGGAGGTTATGCACTGCCTGTGGCCGGTGTGTAGACACCAATTCCTGGCGCGCCGCCTGGGCCGCCGTGACCTTGGCAGCATAGTCACTATCAGCATTTTGGACCTTGCGCAATAGATCCTCTTCATGCTGAGCCGCCGACTTGTGACCCTTCAAGCCAAACTTTCCGCCTGTCTTATCACCCGTCCGAACGCGATCATACTGCTCTGCCAATGACTCGTATTTGGCCTTTGCCTTTTCAGCCTGAGCTTCGGCATCAATGACCTTTTTCTCCGCAGCCAATCCAGTCTGCTTCCACTGCTTGCGACCACGTTCAATATTGGTCGATAGCTCGTGCAGGTCGTCGGCCATCTGCTGGAGAGAGACGGAAAATTGCAGGCCATGGTCGGCCATGCGCTCTTGCAAGTGGTGGATATCTTTATAGCTGGAGCTGTAAGTGCCCTGTCGGTTCTCGGTGCGTTGCGCGGCGTCATTAACGGCGCGAGACAGCTTCCGCAACCCCTGAGCATGCTCCTCTTCAAGGGAGCCTCGTTTCTTCAAGAAGGATGAGAAATCCTATATGAGCGCAGCATTAGCGCATCCATGTTTTGTCCGAAGAGGAGGGGGATTTGGTTTTTATCAACAATGACGTACCCTGGCAGAGGCCACGCTCTGCTTCAATCGAGCTAGGAGAGTGGTGATACCGATCTGCATGCGAAAAGCACACCGTTAGCACAAGGGGCAATACTCTTGATTGCTATGCGACTGATGTCGCTTGCTCCTGGTTGCCATTGGCACTTACCTCGGAGTATATCACTTTGTCCAGACGCGCTTTGAGCTCATCGGAGATGGCTGCCTGTGGCGGATGCGACAGGTCGACTGCCGCCGTGCCGGAGGAGCGACCGGCACTCGATGGAGGCGCATCGGATAGCGCAGGGAGCGCAGTTGGTTCAGGAAGGGCCGTGTCGGACATGATTGACACTGAGCTCTCTTCAGTCAAGGGGAGGATGCAGAGTATGGAGGAGGGGAGGGAAATTCACAAGCCACAAAGCCACCCACAGGCTGGGGCTATTATTATCAACTGACACCGGAAACCGATTGCTTGGCAGTGGGGATGGGGGATTGAGGGCGATCAATGAGGTCAGTCGTCACGCTTGTTGCGGCGGGACCGGAATGGAATGTTGGAGCCTGCTTTTTGGTGTCTGTGGCTGTCCCTGTATGGCCTGTATGGCCCTTTTTCTCTTGTTTTCTCAAGGGTTTCCAAGATCATGCGGGGATGAATCAGTTCTATAAGTTTGGCGGTGATGTTTCTTCAGGAACGTCGGGCACCGACTTGCCCAGCTGTTCCTGGTCGGAGAGACGGAAGACATAATTCCGACCCCAGCCACAATCCGATGATCCCGCAATTGTACCTGGTTCATAATAGGGGAACTAGGCGGAGATTTCTCCATAGTGGCCAAGGATGCTGCTTTTCTAGAAAATTGCTTAGATTTCGCATCAGGCAACCTTAATCGAATGAGTATGCAATTTTACGAATTATTCTACGCAAAGTGCTATCCACAGGAAGACAAGTTTTCGAGCACGCTTATGTAGTACGCTCTTATGATTGACTACCTTCGGCATACCTGCATCGCACTCGCATCTAACGCTCCTCCTAGCAAATGGAAAAAATCCCCAGTATTGGTCACAGCTTGGACGACCTTGGGATTGGATGAGCAGGACAAGGACCAGCTATGGTAACATATAATCTTCTAGTTCAGTTCTTGGTCCTTCAAATAGTTAGTGAGACACTCGAGCCTAGCTCACATATAAATCCCGAGGGGGAATTTCAATTACAAGATACCTGATATGGCTCAGTTCCTGCGTGCTTTTCTACTAAACGAGGCTCTCGGATGATCTTCCAACGCCGCGGCTGAATTCTTCGGGCACGGTTTGAAAGGATGGACAAACAGGCGCACGCCAACCATGTTGGCCGCGACAAACACGATCCATCTCCCTTAGCACGGCTTGGGATATCGGAGAAAGCATGGCTGGCCACAAACAACGAAGAATGGCCTCGAGCCATAGCTCCGGTGAGATTGTTATCTGCCAAATAAGGTTCGCGTAGTTCCAGAGCCATGCGAGGTTGGCGGTGCAATTCGTAATCCATACTAGGGTACTCTTTGAGGATTGAATTAACTAGGCGGATGCAACATGATATTTGGTACCCTGTTGAAATCAATATTGTGAGGATGAGGCTCCAGTGTCCGGCCATATTTCTTGTTGTCTCCGTTATGGAACGCGAAAGGGAAATTGATCTTTGTAAGGAACAAGACACGGATTGGTGATCAGATCAGCCAAATAGGAGAGCTGAAAACTGAAAATTCCGGGATGAAAGCGAACCCTTCAAGGTCATCAAGCTTGTCGAGGCCGCATTTGAAGCCAGATGAAGACATGCCATGTAAATTTCTTTCTATGAGAAGACTTCTCCCCAAATTAGATTTCAATAGATTAGTTCCAGTTCCTAGAATTAGAGACGGAGATCTCCGTCTACCTGGCCCCAAAATTTCCCTGTCTGCGCAAGGCATCTTCCATGGCTATTCGATCCTGTACCAAATCCATAGATCGACTTAGCCTTCAGCCTCGTGAAGCGGAGCCAACATAATGCATTCCCAGTGGGTGGGAGCGGTCCACCAAGATATTCTAGAGCTATGAGTCTTATATTTGACATCACTATGTAATAATGCATTCCTACAGGTTCTCGAGTTACTCTTGTGGGGTACACACAAGACCCATGGGGCCGACCCCACGGTCTGACCCGCCGTAGGCCATACCCAGAATTCTTAGCCCAACTGCAGCGGCTCTCAATCTAAATCTATATTGAGTCGATGTTTTGAGGTTGCAACCGTAGATAGCTTGGGACGGCCGATAAATACGATAACTCGAGCCTGATCCCAAACGCAGATATCCATGTTTTATCCTTCCGGCCCACATCGCGTGCATTCATCTCAGCCGCATTGGGGCGATAGCCTTTGTTTCAAGAGTAGACCCTGACTTATCCAATACCCTTGAACACGTTGAAATCTTTCATCCGGGCATAAAAAAAGATCTTGCTGGTTATAATATCAACTAGGAATCATGCCTAATACAGGGTCCTGAGGCTCAAACGCCACTGGCGTGAGAGATAGTAATAAAGCAGAAAGCGGTGAGATTCTTATTCGTATGAGCCTATTGGATGCAAATTTCCTTAGACAATGGCGCAGGGGAAGTGGGGAGGGGAAGGGGCTGTACGAAGAGTAAGAGAGGGCGAAGCTCGTCATTGTAGTTAGTACCCGGCCCCCATGTTGTGGATAGTGCCGATCTCCTTGGCTCATGCCCTAGTCCGCTCCTTATGGAGTAAATCGAATCGTGACTTCAGGTCTGTATGGGGCTGAAAAATACATAGATGGAAACTCACCAAGATATGGGTTTTTTCCATGTGTCAGTGGTGAGCCGGTTGGATTCATTGGAGGGGGCCAGAAGAGAAGTAGTAGTATGTTCTCGATATTGAACAATTCAACGGGTCTCCAAGGCTGTAGGCCACAAAGCTATAAAGACTTGCTCCTTGCCATAGATAGAGCAATTTATCAAAACAATTCATCCTTCCATTTTAAAGGATCAACTGAAACCCAAAGTATTTAGGCTTCAAAGCCCTCGGTTGTACAATTGATTCAATTCAAGGCTCTTCTTTCCATCATGCGGAACACATTTTTCTTTTCACTGCTCGGTAAGCTTTATTCATTTCTCTCCTGTACCACAGCTGACAAGTGCCAAAAGCCGTGGGAGCCTTCGGTCTTCCAAGTTTGCCGGATTACATCGCAGCGGAGCAGAAAGACCTGTGGGTCTGTGATGACATGAACAAAAAGGGCTGGGACAAGCTCCATATGGACGAATGGGTAGAACAATTGTAAGTGGGCCCTTGCGACATTCCAAAAAATTTATCTAACATTTCACCAGTGCAGCAGCCTGGCCACACAGTCTAGGTGGCAAAGAAGCAGACAAGTCCAAGCCCTACATGCGATATGTCGCAGATCAGGCCCGGAACTACGGCTCAATCGACTGTGTAGTCGGAGTCACTTATTCTTGCGACATTGAGGCCAATCGTGATGACTGCCGAGCAAATGGCAATGGAATGACTCCCGTTGCATACTTCCACTTGATGGCAATGAAGCGCTTCTCCTATTTTGCGCAATCCCTCGGTGATGCTATCGATAGCGCTGGTTCAACCGTGATCGGCAATGCAGCAAGTATCGCAGCCAAGTTTACCGACCACGATATCAGCCAGGATGACCCCAGCTCGGCGTTCGGCATTGCTGGTGGTGTCTTTGGAGTTCTTGGTGGTATCCCCGGAATCGGAGCTGCTGCGGGAGGTCTTGGAGGTGTGCTCAGTCTCGAAAGCACCATTATGGCTCCGTCACAAAGTGCGGCGGCTTCAATCGTTCAGGACGAGGTGCACAACATCGCCAAGCTGCAATCTAGTCTGACGAAGATCAAAGATAACGCCAGAGATGGCGTCTGGAAGTGGGCCAACCACATTATCAGCGATCCATTGACGGAGAAGCCTCTTGATGAACCGTATGGCTGGAGGAAATTGCTCAAGGGGGGTGGTTTCGCAAACAACATTCAACAGAATTGGAGAAAGAACTTCAAAAACCTGCACAGTATCACCAAGCAGTTCAATGTGTTTGCCATTTGCGGTAGCTGGCAGTTGGATCAGATCTTCGTTGTCAAAGCGAATAATATCAATGGAGATCTTACCAAGGACTATTCCAGCGCCAAGCTGGACGAGTTTGATGGTGTCTGCGAGGGTGGTGACTGTTACTTCTTCGTCAGGGCTCAATCTTTCAAGAATCTCCTCGATGGAAAGTGGCAGACTGTCAAAGGTCTGAAGAGCTTGAAGGACTACGGCCTGAAGCCTATCGACATGGCGAAAGGTGCCGAATGGTACAAGAAGGTGAAAGGCGATGATAAACCGGTCGACGCTAAGACTCTCCTGAATAACCTACGAAATCAGAAGGAGTCTGCGGGTAAGCTATTTGTGAGCTTGCCTTTTATCGACTATGACGAGATCCCATCCACCAGCAAGATCTATCATGAGGGCTATGGGGCCCCGAGTGACCACTCGCACTTCATTTCGACTCTGGCAGCTCACATTCACTCTGTTAAAAACTGGCCATACGACGACGATCTTTCTACTAAATAGAGGATTATTTATCGGGGATATAGACCATGTGGACATCGAGCATTAGGCTTAGATAGTTATATGTCATCAACTTAGTCAATACTTCCATCAATGTCATCAGCAAACTCTAGTAATATGTATCAAGTCATGCCAAATCAGTGCGGGTCGGACCAGTATCGATCAAGATGGGCAGAGTGATGTATGATGCCCTTTCACTCCTTGATCCGCAGTGGATAGTAACGACACCATGCTGATTCAAATCCTCAACCCTTCCACAGTCAATGTACCTTGAGCAATTGGAGGAAAGACCGAAGTGTTTTTGCCAGAAATGTGTACCCGACGAGCTTCACCGGCCGAAAATTCCATGTCAATTGGTGTCAACGACGGCGTGGAAAAAATAAGGTAGGAAGGACAGGCATGGTAGGGCAAAACATCCCGAATAGGCTCTAGAATATGGATGTCCCTTTCTCAGACGGTGTTCGTAGTATTATTCCCAGAGGTGTTGGGTCGGAGCTACTTCAGAAGTCCGTTATCCTATACTGCATGGAGTATTGTAGCGTTGTGATAAATTTAGCAAGGCCGGGGAATGTTCCGCTGACTCATCGGATGTTACAACCTAACTAAGGTAGGTTAGCTGGTTTCATCCAGTCTTAACCTCAGGAATGATCGCAATGTTATGAAATCATCCTTAAACCCCAGATAATTCTTCTTACAATCTCTAGCCTTAGGGAATATCACTCGTTACCAAGGGGGATCAAAAAGGGACAGCCGACAGACATCATCACCCTTCTCTTTCCCCGACTAAGCCCAAACACTCGTTTAACTTCTGGCTCTGTACAGTCCCACTCAAAGCCGCCCCTGATTGATATCAATTTCGTCTGGAACGAGCTACGAAAACCGCGATTCGCGTGATAATCGACAAATTAACCGGTTCTATCACCCCGCAAAGAGCTTATCGAGACCAAGACGATGTTCTCAAAACGTGAAGGCGAAAAGCCCACCAGCGATGCCATCACCATCGGCGTACCCGCTGCGATATGCGGCGTGTAAGTAACACCAACCCAAAACCACATCCATACTGATATTTGCAGGATTTTCCTCTGCGCCGCCATTGTCCTTGGAACTCTATATTACCGACGCTATAAAAAGGATCAGCGCGAAAATCAAGAGGACGCGCAGTGGAACAAACGCGAAGATTGGGATATTGAATCCGACGAGCGACCGGGCGGTCATCCTGGCAACTCCCGTTTCCCCAGGCGCGGTGGTTCACCGGGACCAATGTCTGGATTGAGGGACAACAACTCGTCATACGAATTGTCTACGATGAATACTTGGGCGGATAATCATGGGCGGCGGAATTAGGTCTGGAATACTTTGATTGGCAATGAAGGGTATTTTTCTCTGTCTTTTCTAGTGCTGGCCACGTTGAATCAATCCACGCTCGGCTTTGGCGTGGAGGAGAGCCCATATCGATACGAGTGTGTGATTGATTATGGACACGGTTGATATCATTTGTCCTTTGATACATCATTCACGAATATGGAATCCTATTCTACAGTCTTCATACTTGTACAAACTTTAAGATGAGAACACTAAAGAGCTGCAATTCTCGGCAATTTCATTTAAAACTTGAATAAAGCTTATTACTATATTTACTGATAATAAGATTATACCTCTTAAACCTTCCCGAAGATCTGGATCTGTTATACATATTCCCAAAGAAGGAGAAATCCCCGACATGCATCTGAAAAGAGGAGAAAAGCTGGAGAAAAGGAGCTGATCGCCTCATCATGTTATGAGGGGACCCACCTAATCTGGCCGAGGTTGCCGGTTAAAGGCCCCCCGATGGACCTTGCTTTATAATTCATGCAGATACTCGAGAGAATTCCATTTAAACTACTTCCCTCTTCTCTATCTAGGTTCGTCGAGTATTCTTAATTTATCAAATCTATCAATATCCATCCTGTCAGTCTCTATGATCGAGGGCAAAGCCAATCTTGTAACTAACTATTAACCACCAGCCACCATGTCTGAGATCAACGTCGCCGCCTCGCTTTACCCCAAGCCGGAGAAATTTGACGAGGTTCGATACTTTTTTCACGTCAATAAACGATAAGAATACAATCTAATTCTTTCCTTCGTGGTATAGGTTGCCGCACTTGTCGCCGAGGTCGTCAAGAAAGTGCAAGAAAACGAACCCGGTACCCTAATCTACTACGCGATCAAAGTCCAGGACAAGAACGAGATTGTGATTATTGAGAGGTTAGTCCATCAACATCAAATATTCTCTCGTTCATATCAAATCCATTAGCCCTCCCTTCTACCCTCATCCGTTTCTGTTCTAATCCTAACCCATTGGGACCCCCTCCTTTCCTCCCGTCGTGCCTCGGCATAATGTCATCCCGCTCGACGAATCTACAGACCGTCCTAACTCACCATCGCTTCTACTACAGGTACAAGGATCAAGCTGCTGTCAAGGCACACTCAAAGAGCGCCTACTTCCGCGAATTTTTCACTAAATTAGCCCCGTTGATGGCGAAGCCTGCAGAGATTCGGGCGGGCGCATTCTTGAATGGTCAGCGGGGAGTGTCCCGGTTGTAAGAGATAGGGGACGGAAAGACTGCTTGTTTACGAGACTATGAGCCAGAGCCTGTGCTTTGCCGTTTGTTGTTTGAAGTGGATGGATCAGATTTCTATTATATCTTTGTTGTAGCAAAATAGAGAGTGATGCTGTATGATGGAGTAAATATTTCCACCAATCTACCAATCAGGGTCTCATGCTACCACGCAAGTATACTTCTCTACTACTCGCTCCCCATGCTATTACTCCATCCACCTGTCTATCTCAAGCATTATCAGATAGACGAAGAGCATCCCCAGAATAATGAAATACTATACTAGTCTCGTCCGTGCGGGATATATAAATAGGCTTGACAGGAAGTCGGTTCATGCATGGGCGCAACAACCAACGAAGGATTCAGCCTATCACACCCTCTTTGGGGTCCAAGCCGGAGTGGTGCAGGCGCCCTAGAACTGCCCGTGATTGAATAGGTATGCGATTGGTGCAGGGGGGATATCTGGGACGGAGCCGTGGTAGCCAACGGATGAAATATTGGTAGGGTTCAGCGTAGCGCTAATCTGGGGGGATCAGATATAGAATGTACAGTATGTACACCCTTAGATAGTACAGAGGAGTAACTATAGGGGTGGTTGGGATGTCTTGGGGGCTGAGAGGTTTGTTTTCATGATATTGCTAATATATTGAGGAAGTTGGTTGGTTATCGATTGCTTTGCTAGAGAAGATACTCCATTTCATCGTTTAATGCTATCATGTCACTGGTCGTCTTTACAGCGAATGGCCGTGTTCAGCCCGAGATCAATATGGAGGTGGAGACCCGCGACTCCATTCAAACGATCCAACGATCCCGCAGCTTGTCGCTTTCTCTAAACTTGGCTGGCTAAGGGCCTGTCCTTAGTCTACTATCTAACTCCGTACAGTAGTACCTACAGCCCTACTACTCTTAGCTACTTTCTTCTCCTCTTTTTTTTCTCTCTCCAACCTTCAATCCCTTCACCACCTCTTTAGGAATTTCCAACTTCTTCAATCTCCAGGCTTTCGGGTGAGTCTCAGCCCCTCCTTTCCTTCAATCCGATCTTCCCTTGTGTCTCCACTCCCTACCCTCCTCCCCCTCTTTCTTTTTGCCCCTAGCTCCAAACTCCAATTGCAACTGCTGTCCCCGTCTCCTGAAGCTCACTTCGGTTAGGAACTCAACCTCCGACCACCCCATCTCTCTCTCTCTCGCCCTTTCGATCCATCCACCACCTCCCTAGCGCCTTGGGGGTTCTCCTTCCCGTTATCGATTGTCATTCGGACCGAGCGCCCGCCCCTTATCGCCCCTTTTTCTTGTTTCTCGGTGTACATAACAATAACTTCGCACAACCATGGCGACGGGTCCGGCTACTCAATCGCTCAAGGTGAGCTTGGCTCGTGATAGTTCGGGGAAACGATGAACTGCGCCCAGCTAACTTGAGAACTCAACAGTGCGTGGTGACTGGTGATGGTGCTGTCGGCAAAGTCAGTATTGACACAACTCCCCCGGGGGCTATCATGATCCTCCCCGACCTTCCAACTGCTATCACTTCTTCCCTCCAATCGATACACATTCGCAGCGAACATAGTGGAAACCCTCATTGACACGCGATTCTCGATGCTCTACAGACATGTCTTCTCATCTCGTATACAACGAATGCCTTCCCGGGAGAATACATCCCGACCGTGTCCGTCTCTCTCCTCACCCCCCTCTCTCTCCTCATCCATCAATGGAGATTCCCCTCCCATCCGGAAGGTCCGTACCCTTACTGATGTCCGCCCTGCAGCTTTGACAACTACACGGCTAGTGTGATGGTCGACGGCCGGCCGATCAGCTTGGGACTCTGGGATACCGCTGGACAAGAAGATTACGACCGCCTCAGACCGCTATCTTACCCGCAAACCGACGTCTTCCTGATCTGTTTCTCCATCGTCAGCCCGCCATCTTTCGATAACGTGAAAGCCAAGGTGCGATACGCCTCCTACATCGCCCATATGCGCAGCTTGTTCTCTCCTTCAACCGCTCGGCGCCTGGAGCGAACATCTACAGAGACGCATTGCTCTCAACCCAGCGAATCATACCACTAACTTGTCTTTCTCTACAGTGGTTCCCCGAAATCGAACACCATGCACCCAGCGTCCCCATTATCCTGGTCGGCACCAAGCTCGACCTGCGCGACGACCGCGCAACAACTGAAGCCCTGCGCGCCCGAAAGATGGAGCCTGTCTCGTACGAGCAGGCCTTGGCCGTGGCCAAGGAGATTCGCGCACACAAGTACCTCGAATGCTCGGCCTTGACCCAGCGCAACTTGAAGAGCGTCTTTGACGAGGCCATCCGGTAAGCGACAACCCGTTCCGTTCCACCTTACATATCACGATTCGCTCCCAGGAGTTATCAGTCGCCCGAACAGAGTGATATAAACACAGAACTAATCATTCTCTTTCCTCACAGGGCCGTTCTCAACCCCCGCCCCCTCGCAAAGTCCGGGAGGAGGAACAAATGCATGATCTTGTAGAGGTGCTGTTGTGCATGGGGTCATCACCCTCTTTTTTGCGTATGCTATAATGAAATAATACTATAGTTAATACGGCGTCCGAGTAGCCAGAGGCTTTTCTTTGGGGCCTTGCTTGATTGATGAAATCCATTGACTCGTTTTTTTCTCCTTTTCTTGAAATTGTGGTTTTGTTTTTGTTTTCCTTGTTTTCCTTGTTGCGGTCGTTACTTCATATCATATTCATCGGGAGGGAGGAACTGTTGTACTGTGATCCAGAGGTATGGATGGGTATGGGTATATCCTAGGTAGCCCTGGGTTATGTCTGGCTGGAATGTCGCGCGCCTTGTTATGGGTTGTCTGGTCTTGTTTATATTCATATAGAGCTAGGTAGTTTGTGAATTCCGCGTCTATCCTGCTTGCTCATTTTTCTATTTGCATTACATGGATACCTAAGGCTCGACGCATACTCTCTTGTCTACCACATGCGCGCTTTCGAAACAATCATAGTAGACTCCAGTTCGGAATGAGTGTTTCATGCTTATGTGCTCATAATATCGCATTCACTATGCACAGAAGACAAGCAAGTGGTACCTTCTAAATCATAAAAAAAACCACAACAAAAAACAGACTTTTCCAGCCCGCAACCCAAGATGTAGAGACAAAAACAAAAACAAAAGACCATGTTCGGACCGATCCCGTCAGAGTCTCAATCACACTCGCAATCACCCAACAGGTGATATGATCTAAATCCGACCCCGACGACTGGGGTGCATACCAGCGAATCGGTCATCCTCGGCAGGCACATCAACGGCATTAGCGCCCGAAGCCGCGGCACCGAAACGGGCGGGCTTAACCTCCTTGTCGTGCTTCTTCTTGTCCTTCTTGGTATCCTTTGCGTTGCGCTGGCGCTCCTCATTGAGCTTCTCGTTCTTAGCTTGGATCTTGGCCTTGCGGTGCTCGGAGTTGGATCCACCGCCGCCGGCACTGTGTGATTTATCTTGTTAGTCGGAATGTTTCCTGAAACTGGACGGATAATAGAAAGAAGGAATAGAATAGGGTAGGGTAGGGTAAGGTAGGGTGTGGGAACAACTCACGTCAACTCAACGTTCATCCGGCGAGGCGGGTACTTGCCGTCGTCGAACATGGAGTGGTGGTACAACTTGAGGCAGGTCTTCATGCGGTCGTAGTTGTCGAACTCGATGAAGGCGAAACCGCGGCACTTGGTGGGTGCTTCTTTCTTGGTTGCGACGCGGATTTCGGCGGGAGGGTTCTTCTCGAAGTGCTTGGCGAGGGACTCGTTGGTTGCGGAGTACGGCAAGTTTCCTGCAGCGCATTGATTATTAGCATATCGTTGCTCCTCGTTCATGGTTCATGCATGTAGAGCAATTGAGCCTGGAGTTATCAACGTACCGACGAAACAAATGAAACGAGAGTTCTTCTTCTGGGCCTCCTCGCCCTCAGCAGTCTCATTAGAAGTCCCAGCCTCATTCTCTTCCCCATTCGTAGCAGCCTCCTCCTCAGCAGCGACCTTCTTCTTGTCGTGCTTGGCTCTCTTAGCAGCCTTCTTTGCGGCTCTAGCCTCATCGTCCAGATCAGCCTTATCAGAACTGCGCTTCTCCTTCTGTTCCCTCTTCTCCTTCTTCTCGGCCTTCTTGTGCTCCCGCTTCTCCTTCTTCTCTTGAGGAGTGACCTCGGAAACAGCCTCAACCTCCTTCTCGGCCCTGCGCTTCTCCTTCTTTTCCTTCTTTTCCTTCTTGTCCTTCTTCTCCTTCTTCATCTTCTTTCCCTCGGGAGCGACCTCGTCGACCGGGGTGTCCTCGGCGAGCTTGCGCTTCTTGTCGCCCATTGTAATAATTGGTGGGAATAGAGGAGATTGGTTGGTTGTGTGATTGACTAAGGCTTGTTTTCAGCCTAAATGATCTTCTGTGAAAGTGTGGTGTAAACAAAAATTGAGTTATCGCAAATTGATGGAAAGCTCCGCTCCGAAAAAATCGGGCGGAGACGAGGGAGAAATTTGGTTTCTGCCGGTGGTCTCCGGGGCGGTGAGGGCCTATCGCCCTCTTGCCTGATTGGGTAATCTGTTGTTTAGGGAGAAGATCTGCCGATATTCTCCACTCTTACGGACCGTAGACTTGAATATGTTACAGTATACATCCACATCATATCCTTGAGAAAATGTTTGGAGTCCTCAATATGGAAAACTCCTGGAGGAATAGTCCGTCATGGAAGTTTCCTCTGTTTGCATTCACAAGCTGTACCTGTATAAAAACCCTCTGGCGTTCTCCAGATATTGATTACTTTCCCAATCTCCGAGTCGGCTTCATCAAAGATCTTTCTACCATCTGCTGTCTGAGGCCTTCTATCATTCTCTTTGTTCATAGATGACTCTCTCCTAAGCTTGGCTGTATCGACCTACCTTCGTGTAATGCCAAAGCGTAAAAAGGCAGTGAGCATGAACTCGAGATTGGCACACCCTGAATATTACCCTATTGGGTATGTTGGGTCCTCGAGGTATGTTGTTAGGATTACCTACTTTGTATACGCAGTATATGCTGCGCCAAAACCGACAAGCCTGGAGTTATCTAATACTATTGACCTCTTTCCAAGGGCCCTCCTCTCACTCCATTTGATCATCATAACCCCGGTTTCGATGCGGACCCTTCATAAGGAATTCAACTATCCGAGTTAGGTCCGGAGGGTAAACAGCAACTGGATTTGTTTGTCGCGCACGTTGGCGAGTGCTCACCGTCTTCGTGAATAAGTATACTTGAGCTCAACGAGACTTAGGAAATTAATTATGTTCTGCATTTCAGTCTTCCGGAATCAATGCTTTTCCAGCCTTCCACTGCAAGACTTGGTTAAATATGGCAGTTTCTTTGGTCGAAATCCCGTTCACACGGTGATGCGAAACCCACCATCACATCCAGAGATCGCCGTTGTATTTCATGGTGCAGAAGAGACCAACGCGGCATCTTCTCAATGGCACACCAATTCTACAATTTGGCATTCGGACGTCTCCTATGAGAATCAGCCTCCAGGTACGACATTCCTCTACCATTTACAGGGTCCCCCCTGTGGCGGCGATACGCTTTTCGTGAACCAAGGTGCTGCCTTTCGACGGCTATCTCCTGCCTTTCAACAATTTCTCAGACCATTGAGAGCAGTGCACTCAGGTACGTCTGTACCGCTTAATATCAACGGTCACAGTATATCTAATTTTATATACACACGATTGATCAGGGCTGGAGCAAGCCCAGGACAGCCAAGCGCGAGGGTTCAGTTGCCGCAGGGACCCAATACAGACTGCGCTTCTAATTGTTCGGACTCGTCCTGTCACTGGAGAGGAGGCCCTCTATGTCAATCCGCTATGTAGGATCATCAGGGTCGAAACTTGGTTCAATGAATATACCAATCACTTGGAACATTTTAGTCACCCGCTACATTCTGGGCTTGAAGACGGAGGAGTCTCAAGTGATTCTTGGGTTTCTTTTTAACCATATCACTAGTTCGCCGAACATTCAATGCCGCGTGACATGGGAACAGGGAACCACCATTGTCTATGATGTATGAGCCCTTTCTACCCATCAAACTCATTCTTCCTTGCCCTCGTTGAAGGTATTTGCCTATCACTGACTGCAACTTCTCAGGACCGCGTCACCGCACACACGGGGATTTTCGACTTTGCAGATGGTCAACTCCGTCATTTGGCCCGTCTGACCCCTCAGGCCGAAGTGCCATTTCACCTTTTATCTTCCTCAATAAATGAGTGATGGTAACTTGGCTGATCGAAATTGGTGTACATTGTCAAGTAAAGTTGAAATCACTCTAACGCCCTGCCATATGGAATGTTTTATCAAGAAAAATCATGCGAACAAATCAGAACATCAAGATCTGCACCTTCTTCTTCGAGGCACCGTATCGGTCACGCAGCTCCGGTCGAGTCAGTAGCTGCAACAGCGGCAAATGTGTCTCCTTCATGTCGAAGATGCCGCGCTGCTTCTGGTCGATGTGTGATCCGTCAATCACAATGCGCTCGAGCTCGTCCAGATTGAGCGAACCTAAGGAGGAATTAAAATTAGTAAATTCAGTCAAGCCGATGGTAGTTGTAGATGCATACCACACGCGATCAAATCAGATATCCTAGCCGGGGTACCAGCCCCGATTCCAGTCCTAAAACCCAGTTAGTTTAAGCCGTACCACACGAACGGAAATCTGGAAGATTGTACCGTGCACGTTCGAGGAATTGCTTCGCCTCTTCCAACTTGATGTGCTTGGCAAACAATTTACCGACAATTGCTTCCTTCGTCTGGAAAACTCGAAGTGCCCTGTGAGACCAGACTGTCAGCACCAATGAATGAAGACAAGGTATAATACGTGTATGTCAATATCTCATACCTAACAACATCCGCAGCTCTAAGCGCAGCAGCAGAAACAACCAATGTATGAGGTGTACCCTTCTTCTCTGACGCCTTCGACAGGTCGGCACTCTTCGGGCTGAATTTCTTGAGGAAATCGGGGAGCTTATCCAGAGTTCTAGAGTCCGGAAACGATGTGGTATCGAGGAAAGCGGAATCTGCACCAGTCAGTAAGCCAAAGAGTCAATCAAAACTAATTCCCAAGACTTGATACACACCCGGAACCGAAAGATCACTCAATTCCACAGCAGAAAGCTCCTTATCGTGCTTTTGCGCTCGCTGAGCAAAGTAATCGGCCAACAGCCCACCATCCATCTTGCCAATAGACTCGTCGACACCGCCCTTGCGATCTTGCGACTTCCCATCCTGCTCAGGTTGCTGCTTGTTTTTCTTGTTCTTCTTGCGCTTCTTCTTGTTCGATTCATCTCCGCCGGCGGCAGAAGCTCCTGCAGGCGCAGTTTCGGGGTTGTCTTGCTTGGTCGATTCCTCGGCCTGGCGCTTGCGCTTCTTGTCGAGCTTGGCCGAAAGGCCTTTCGGGGCTTCTCCTTCGGTCATATTTTCTGATGAGCCTGTTTCTCCGTGATCAAGAGATTTTCCAGCTCGATTGGCAGCTTCAAGATGTTCAAGTCGATCGTCGCAAAAAAAAGTCCCGATGAATGCGGCTGATTAAGCAGAGCTTATCGATAAGATGGAGCCAATCAGATGTGGGCCCGCATTGTTATTGCAAGGCGCGCTCCTTCAACTCCGCGGTTCTCCAGCCAGCAACGTCTTTCCTCGAGATCCGCCTCCCTTGCAGATCTATCGTGGATTGAACAAATATCCGAAGCCTCGAGATTGCATGGTCTAGTAGTTGTCCTTTTTAAACCGCGGAGATGTCGACTCCAAACCCGCGCAACCGCCGATCAATGGGCAACTCGGGAGTTGAGACGAATACTCCCTCTGGCGAGACCACATTGACTGGAGTAAGATAATAGCCTGTGCAAACCATATATGACCTTGCTGACTGGTAATTGCAGCTTCAGCGTCTTCCAAGTCATACGCGCTACCCTCTTACACCCAGTCGTCTTGTTACAACATCGACACCGTCTGCCCAAAGATCAGCTTCCCGATTCACGCCTCGGGCAAGAGCTTCCATGGCACCATCAACTCCATATGGACTTCGCGCTCGACAGCAACGTGCCGCAAACACACCTGACCGGGATCGTCGACGAAGTGGACGAGTCCAGCGCGAGACTACATTTGACATCCTAAGGAACCTTGGAAGAAGTATGCGCCATTCAATAGCGTGACAGCATTGATTATTATTGTTGAGCTAACGAATTTCGTGAAACCAGCGCTGGCACCAGTTTCTAAACCGATTCAATCCTCGCCCCAAGAGGAAGTCAAGCCCGCGGAGGAGTCGATAGACGAGATCGAAGAACTGGACAACGAGCCCGAGCTGGAGCGACCACGGCTTTCTCTTCCTATGCAAGAAAGCACAGGTAGCGAGGAAGGCAGTCTAGACATATCACCACCCCGCCCGTCCATCGCTCTGGACGAGGATGATTACACTATGGAGTTTCCTCGAAGAGATTTGGCCATCCGAGATCAAGAAATCATTTCAAGAATGGCCCGGGACGTACGAATGAGTGATAACTTTGAGGAGACCCAATTAGGGAGCGACTCCGATGCAGGAGAGGAAACGGGTATCCTAGGTGATGACGGGTTTGAGGATGATACGATGATCAGCGGGGGGGCATTTGACCGAGGGTAAGTTTTACAGAAGGAATTCGTCGTTTCTCTATGTTACAGATGGGGGCTAATATTTCAAAAATAGGGGAGAGACCGAGGAGTTGCGCGGGTTCGATTTCGACTTCGACTTCCCATCTCCAAATGCAATCGAAATGAACGATGGGCCGATGGGCGAGGAGACCGGCGAATTTGAGCTGAATCCAGGCGACATCCAGCCAGCTCCTGGCACACCATCCGACGCTGGCGATGATGGAGCTGGTGGCATTGATTTTGGGCTTGACTTCCCACCAGTAGCATCTCCAAGCCAGAGCCCTGGGATCATTGGGGGTGGCCTCCGAGATGAGGGTCTCCCCACACAGGGAAAGGGAAAAAGCTTTCCCGTCATGGTATCCCTGTCCCAAATCTACCTGCCGGGGTGGTCAAGAAGCTGGCCAGCCAGTTCGCCCGTACTGGAGCTGGTTCCAAGACGAAAATCAATAAAGCCACGCTGGCTGCCATTGAGCAGGCGTCCTCATGGTACTTTGAACAAGTCAGCCAGGATTTGGCGGCGTATTCAAAGCACGCCGGGCGCAAGACCATCGACGAAAGTGATGTGACCACCCTTATGAAAAGGTATAGACTTGTCACACCAATCCCAACATCTTGGATCTCGCTAACTTTCCCAGGCAACGTCACATCAATAGCTCGACAACTGTATTCTCCCTGGCTCAGAAGCATCTACCCAAGGAGCTTCAACAGGATATGAGGCTGGCCATGCCTCCATGAATGCCTTGAAAATCAATCACAGAAATACTCATACAAACCCGGAAACGCCCATGGAATATGCAAGGAGAAGATGACAATTCGCAACCTATGACCAGTTACGGTTCTGGCGCACCCGACGCAGAGCATCATTGGGCTTCTTGCGTACCACCATCCACAGCATGATGGAAGTGGCAAGGGACAATCCGTACCTGTGACGCCATAAGCGAGTGCTCAAGCAGACAAGCATGGACTCTTCATCCGAATGAGCTTGACTTACCAAGTGAAGATGTACTGGGCGTGGTTGTTTCTCAAGTTGACTTCCGCGGCACGACCAAGAGGCCGTCCCTTTGCGATGCGATCATACGTCTCCAGCAGATCCGGTACTGAGAAGCGATCAGCTGCATGTCACAATAGTTTGAGGACCATATATATCTTACCCATAGTCTCTTCAATCCACACAGGCTGACTGCCTCCCAACTCAGCCATCTGCTCGATATCGGGGAAGTAGAACTTGCCCTCCTCGGGTTTATTCTCTGGCGTGAACATATTCTTCTTCCATGGCTCGCGTAGCAATCCTTCCACCGTAATTTCTTCCTGTGGCAACCCCTCCGGTCGGTCCTTCTGGTTCATCAACTTCCGAGAGATCCAGCCCCGGTTGACCAGCACCGTGCTTTGACCATCTCCACGTTCAAGAGGCGTCACAACCAGGAATCCATCTTCGCCCTCATTCATGCGAGGTCCAACCAGCATCTCCTTGTCGTGACGGTAATGACCAGTAGCGTAGACACGGCGGTAATCAAATTCGGAGATCGCATCGGGGTCAATTCGAGGCGGCAGCGGAAGCGGAGGCCTAATCAGACGGTCCTCAAACTTGGCGATCATCTTTGTCTTCCGGTCCAAGCGCTGAACTTGCCATGTGCCCAGGCCGAAGGCGATGATTGGGATCAGAGCTGTATACAGAAGATCATAAGTTAGCGTCGCCTCAATGCGACATTCAAAGACAACCCACCAAGAATAATCAAGCCGGGTCCATGCTTCTGGTTGACCCGTACGAGTTTTGCTGGATGATCGACGTTCAACAGACTCTCGGTCAACTGGCGCGATTTCGAGAATTGACGCTTCTGCTGTTGCCGGCATCTCGTGCAGATGGAGTCCACCTTCCATGCAGGTGCGCTGTTTCGCGCCCCGCGGATTGGAAGGGACCAAGCTGCTGGAGCAGTCCGCTGAAGGACTGATAATAATGACCGCATGGTAAACTCCAGAGTTGTACCCGGAGTGTAATTTAGAATCGGCGTAGTCGAGAAACGAGAAGAAAGTCAGCGGCGGCCGCGAATTTGGAACGGCGCGGCAGCGGAGGCGGTCACGCCCTCCGGCTTCCCCGAGCTTGTCTCCGCAGTACATCTGGCTACACTGCACCAAGCTTCAACAACATAACACCACACCGCTTCAACTATTCTGTGATATGCAATCATGACGATATTCTTTGAGGGATCACTACAGGAGGGTATTGCTCTCGCCGTGAGAGAGGCAAAGGCGGTAGTATGCTTCGTTCGAGGTCGGTCTCTCCCCGCATCTTGAGGTTCCAGCCACATCTAATCGTGTTTGGATTGCAGATGATGCCCAGTTGAGTTCGACTTGGGAGCAAGAGTACTTTTCAGACAATGAGGTAAGTCCACGATCGAATGAATATTGAGACTCGCTACTTATCCGTGCTGACAACGCCTCTTAGGTTGCGCAAGCCCTTGGAGGCAAATCGGTCTCGTTGCGCCTGACAGCTGGGACCCAGGAAGCCGGGTTCCTGAGCTCATTCTGTCCAGTCGCCGAGTTTCCCGCTCTGATTGTTATCAAGTATGTTCTTCGTGACGTTTGAAGGCTATTCACTGCACAACGCCCTGAGCTAATTGCCCTCACCCATAGGAATGGCAAGCTAGAGGAGTACCTGCTGCCAGGCGTGTCGAAGGACGAGTTTAAGGGTCGAATTCTCGCAGTTCTGGGACGACAACAGACTCCTAGTACAACTCCTGCTCAGCAGCCACAAGCCAGCACGTTTGCCGTGGATAGCAACTCGTCTTATTCACCCCCGAATACTACACCATCCGCCGCCATTAGTACTCCAGCCCACAGACGGCCATCGCAAAGCACCAATCCTCTTCCCAGCACTGCTACACACAATTCACAAGAGAGCGCAAAGTCGAAGAAGCCACTAGCCAGACATGAATCGGCAAAGCCCCAGCCAGGGAGACAAGATCACGGGAAGAAACCAGCGCCGGTCCCAGAGAATAAAGCCACAGCATCTCAGCCAACCAAGCCAACCATCCGCAAACCCCCCGCGCCTACTGTGGAGGATGAGGAGCCAAAACCTCGACCGCCCGCCCCCAAGGGACCTCCTAGTCAGTATCGACTCCAAGTGCGTTTATTCGACGGCCGTTCCATTCGATCCAGCTTCACGCCCACTCAAACAATACGCAATGACGTACGTCCATGGCTAGACGAGCAAATGACCGACGACAAACGCCCATACAACCTCAAACACGTCCTCACTCCATTACCCAGCCGCACGCTCTCCGTGGCCGAAGAATCCCAGGCCCTCCAAGATCTCGGCCTTGGCTCAACCGCAAACCTGGTCATGATCCCTGTCGCGTCTTACACAGAGGCCTACACAGCCGCGGCGGCCAATAGCTTACCGGCGCGTGGTATTTCTGCGGTCTATAACATGGTTTCCTCCGTTGCAAGCTCAGCTACCAGTTTCGTGGGCTCGTTCATTGGGTATGGCACCAGTGCGCCGGAGAGTAGTACACAGGCCCCATCATCGCCTAGTCCGCCACCTCCGGAGACTACCCGACGGCGACGAACGAGTGGTTTGAACATTCGGACGCTACATGACCAGCGGGATGAACGTGATGACAACCAGTTTTACAATGGAAACCAAGTGAGTGATCCATGCTGAACAGCTTGCGTTTGACATTTACTAATTCATATGGTTACAGTTGAATTTCGAGCCGCGAAACCAGGATCGCAAGGATAATTGAGTTTGAGGAATTGGAACGGGTTGTATGAGAGGCTCGACAGGGGAGTTTGTATTCAGCAAGCGATCGTTCTCGTGTTTCTGGGCTTTTCTCTTTGCATAGGCGTTTCGGCGAACAATATGAATAGCTACATTATGAGCAGAGGTCGATTTCTCGAACTTCAGTAGAGTAAATGTCGGTAGTTCAAATAACTACGCACATCCGCATAGGCCTCCCTGTCAAGTTTCATCATTGAAAACTACGTAAATACGATAGTAGTGAACATAAATCTTCGAGTTCTTCGTTTATTCCATGTTCTGCTCCCGAGTGGACAATTCCTGCCATCAGCTCGAAGGAGACAGACCACGGATAATGATTTGATTCAATAACGAGGAGAGATGGTATAGAATACAGGTGCGATATCAAAGTCGCAATGCAAGATGAATTACGTCAAAGAGCCATTCCAAAAGAGAACAGGCTCATGTAGTTTAAAAATAGGAAATGAGGAAAGGAAGATAGCGCAGCGAATTCAAGACCCCGTTCAGCCATTTCCAAAAGAAACGAGCTTAGTAGGGCTTGGCGGCAGCCTGGCAAGCCTTCTGTAGCATTTGTTAGCAATCCAATTCAATCCAATCCATCGTCAAAATAAACATCCTGTGTCCTAGGTGGACGGGAGGGAATTCTCAAAAACGTACCAGCTGATCCATGTACCAACCACAGATAGACATATCACCCTTGTTCTCGTCCATGCACCGGCGGAAGTTACGGATATCAGTCTCGCAGGCAGGGTTCTCCCACGACTGCTGGGTGGCATTTCCCGACCACAGACCGTTGTCCATAGCCTGGTTCTGAGCGGGAGCAGCCTGCTCGGCGGGAGCGGCGTGGGAGCTGGAGCCCCAGCCCAGAGCGTTGGTGATACCGGTAGCGGCGACGTGACCGGCAGCGACACCACTATAGACACGAAATAAAGCAACCGTTAGCGAGGAGTCTTTGAAGGACCGCAGTTGGGGGGAAAAAGGGCCAACCCCGGATTATCTCGGATATCGGTCATCCCGAGACTCGGGTTCGGGTTCGACTTCGGAGAAGCAACTTACGCAGCGGTAGAAGCAACCTGGCTCAAGAAACCACCACCAGAGCTCTGCACAGGAGCAGCCTGCTGCATGGGAGGAGCACCCTGGTGGGGATAGGCGGCGGTCGAGTGAGGCGCCGACTGCTGGGGAGCAGGAGCGGGACGGGCAGGGGCCGCGGTAGGGCGAGTAGGGGCGCTACGCGCGGGGGTAGGGGCGGCACGGCGTTGTTGGCGAGGCATTTTGATATGTGTGAGGGGGTGTTTGTGAGAGTGACGGGTGTGTGGTATCTGGAGTTTCTTCAGGAAGGAAGAGGGAGGAATTGAGTAGATTAAAAGTATGGGGTGGAGACACTCCTCGGAAGAAGCCAGAATAATATTGGCTGAGTCAGTCGGGGCCAACAGGCAAACTCCGATGAAATCTGCTGAGTGCTGATTGGTTGTTCCTGGCGGTGTGGCAATGTGGTCACGTGGATCGGTGTTTATGGCTGTGTCGGAGTAGAAGCCGTCGTGGACCGAGATCGTGCAGTAACTCCGTGGACAACAAGTATGAGTCAAGTCCAATGTCTCTACTTGGTATTAGACTACTATTAGAAGATTTGGAACATTACCAGCACCATTGCAAGGTAAGCTCTTGCATCCCTAACATAAACCCTCCTCAACAGGCAAGGCTTTAGGCCAGGCGTAACCACTACGTTGAAGAGTTATGATATGAATGGTGTCGTTATACTCAATCAGATTCAAAGCTTGATTTCTATAGCTCAACTAGACGCTCACGTCAACACTTCCAGACCAAATATCACATTCCACAAAGCAATGTGAAAGAAGCAACAAACAAAACAAGCCTCCGAATCAGCACCGAGCCAAGACAACCTCGAGGGTAAAAGAGCAACAACATTAGTATGTATACATAATAAGAATGATGATGCGAATGCGAAGGTAAGGTTAATAATACAGGTATGGAGGAAAGGCGCGCTGCTGAATATCATATCAAAGGGGGATATCGACGAGAATGAGAAAAATGATAAGATGCGAATGCATCCGAGGGAATTGAGCAAACATGAATAATTAAAGGTGTGTGCAGCGTCGCCGGGAAAAGAAAAAGAATGTGTGTTATATCAGCGTCTTTGATGAGTTATGCGGGCAATGCGTTCGGATAGGTCATGAAACACCGGGCTAGCCGTGTGATCGTCGTACTCATGTTGATCCTGGAAAAGGGATCAATGCAGCTTACGAGCTGCTTTGGCCGTTGGCTTCAGCCTTTTCGGTAGACACAGCCTTTGCGGTGGCGTCCTGCACGGTGTCGACCTTGGCTTTGGTGCTCCGGTCTTCATGAGTGGGCGTCGGTGCCTGCACGACCGGTTCAAGGATGTCAACCTTGGCTTCGGGTTCTTCTTGCTCATGAGTAGGCGTGTGCGGGTGGACGACAGGAGTCGCGGTTTCAGAGCTAGCCTCGGTGTCTTCTTGTTCATCGGTAGCCAGTAGCTGGTCCTTGGCAGCTTCCTCACTGCCATCAGCGACCTCCGCATTGGCCTCTTCATATATACTAATATCAGAGTCAACAGAGCCGCGCCTTTGCAACGCTTCATCGGCAGAGTCATCAATGCCCTCCCGATCGAGGTGCGGGAGTTCAGGTGTCATGGGCTTGACCACATCATGGTCCCGAAAGGGAGTTTCAGGAGGAATAGGTTGGGCGATATGAGGGATCTCCGACCTTGGAGACACATCCACGGGGTTCAACTCCACTACGGCGTTGTCCTCCGGGTGGAGGTAGTGGTCGTTCTCATTTGGTCCGGAGACGTTGATGCTGGGCTCTGAGGTTTCCGGCTCTGTTTGAGACTCAACAGGCGCGGTAACCAGTGGAACAATACCACCCGCGATGCGAGACCAGAACATGCGCTCTCGTAAACGGACTGTTTCCTCCCATATCTCCTTCTCCTCATCGGCATCACCTGCGCGAAGATGACCGTCAAGGATCAGGCGAAGATAGCCCGTAAACTCACAGCATGAGCGAACTCGTTCCAGACATGGGATGCACAGAGAGTATCGCTGGGCTGTCTCGCTGTCTGAGGTTCGGAAACGGTGAGTGCGCTCGTTCTCCGGGTTGAGTCTGCGTTCACCACAGACAGAGCAAGGGAATTCGAATTTCTTGTTCGCGGGGGGGATAGGCTCCACAACAAGCGTGCCTTCGCAAATACCGCTCAAAACGGTACGTCGGGTAAGCCATGAAATGCCGGGAGCAAGGTCGAGTCGCAGGGTCGGCTCAATATCCTCCATGAGCACCCGCTTGTAGAAACGTGTCTCCTTCAGAGGGATATGCGAGCCAGTCTGTGAGGAAAGGCTTCCATTCGGGGAATTTGTCATCCCCTTGGTAGGCGAGGAAGTGGTCGAGGCGGATCCGCCAGTCGCAAAGTTTGCCAGACTCATGACATTAAGGCCTGCATAGGATCCGCTGCCCGCGCGACTTGGCGGCTTCGAGCTCCGAGGAAGCGTCATCAACTCCCGGAAATCTTCGTAGGCCTGCAGATCGGTCCTGCACACCAAACGAATCATCTCAGGGAAGTTGCAAGTGGGTCCAGGTATCAACTCTTCCGGGTTACAAGCGGGTGCAGCATTCTCAAACTCAATTTCTTGCTTAGAAGACCCTGGCAATTGTGGCGGGCCGGCCGGAGATGGGGGCGCGGTGGAGACATTTGTGCGGATATCCAAGTCGTCTTTGGCGAGGTGCATGCCTTGAATGACCGACTTGAGCTCCGCTAATTGATCCTGATGCGAGGCGAGAAGCGATTCAGTGTCTTTGATCTGTGAGCGCAATTGCTCGTTCTTCTTCTCGACTGCTTCGCGCTCAATCTTGGCTGCGGCAACCATCTAGGAATTGTCAGTTCTAGCTCCTCCGGGAAATCGCAAAATTTCGCATGTACAACAGAAAACGCACCTTGTTCGCTTCTTGGAAGAGATCGGCAGTGAGAGTCTCCAGCTCCTGTTCAATCGTCTTCTTCGCCTTTTCCGCTGTCGAACGCCGGGCACACTCCTCTGCAAGAAGACCTCTTAGCCGCATAAGCTCGATATCGGCATCAGCTTTCTTAACGTAGACCTTCTCGGCAATGTCCCGTCGGTATTTCTCATTCTGAAACTCCAAAGCCTGGATTTTTCCCAGTGCCGCCTCTAGCTCTTGTCGCGTGGCAGCCAAATTATCATCCAACGTAGTCTGGTTGTTGATTGCCTGTATCAGCTTCACACTCAAGGCGGCTACTTCATTGCTCAGATCGGGGTGATGCGATGAGGATGATGAAGATGAACCTTCCGAGGGAATGACCAATCGCGGGTCCTGCAAGGTATTGAAATTGGTTTCCTCGAACTTGGAGTGCTGCTGCGTCGCTGCGTCGGAGAGATTGGTGGTAGACTTGGCTTTGGTCACGGTCCTATCGGGGGAAAGACCCCGATGCTCGGAGGACAGAGACCGCTTATGGGCGTGGCGCGGAATCATGGTCGAGGACGGCGGAAGCAATTTACTATGATGGTATGTCTGAAACGCAATTAAACTAGCATGCCATGTCAGCAGTCTATTCGGATTTCATCTCCTATTCCTCCGCACAACTTACTCGGCCATGATGAGTGACGTAAACGGCGTTGAAAGAATGTAGGTTGCGATGACCGGCGTCTTTCTCGTCAATTGTCACCACAATCGATATCAAACCCAGAGGCACTCTGGAATATACCGGGTCTCCGAAGCCATTCACTGACTGGAGGCAAAGGATTGGAAGGTAGAAGCAACCCCCGCAAGCGTTACGGGTTGGAAAGGTTTCGAGAGGCCCGGACAACGGCGGTCAACGGGGAAGAGTCAGAGGAGGACGAAAAGGACCGACAGAAAGGATTGTATAGAAAAAGAATCGACGAGTTCAAGACTCCGGTGGGTGTTATCTCCACCGATGGCGAGCAAGAGGCGAAGAAGAGATCGGGGGGTCACAGAGTGAGGCGAACCAGGGCGCTTAGTCATGCTATCACACCGGAAGCAGGTGATCGGCCCGCGCGCGTGCAGAGTGACGAATCGACGATGTTTTGGAGGACAAAGTGGATATAAGGATCGAGATTGATAAATAACGGAGAATTTGAATATAACTACAAACTCATATCTCGCAAAATCCGATAGTTGTTCAAGAATTACTTTGATGTTCTTCCAGTTTACCATGCTCAGGCAAAGTCCGACCAGCGGTTTTGGCCACCCGCGAACCTAAGAGACTAAGGTTCTGCCTGATCGATACTAGCATGGGCATAAACTAGTTCTGCGTACTCCGTATTCCATCTCAACTAAACCCGAACCTGACAGCCGATCTCGCGCACTGTTTCTCGATCCCTGGCTGGTCGGGTAATTAGGAACGATCTGGTTTTTTAGGTCATGCTAGTCCATCTCGCCATCCTGCAATTATCTGAACTTTTGCCCCCCTCTCGTCTCGCGGAGGCGCAGCACATGGATGAAAATCCCGAGTGCTTTGCTCGGCAAACCAGTTTGATTAGTGTAAATAACTAAATGCTTACCTCGGACGCGACTCGTGTCAGCCCCCCAATCGGGTTAAAGTCTACACCGGGGTGTTTCAGCTCGCAAGTTAATTAGATCCAGTGGCTGGAAAGCATACCCACCACTCTGTTCAGTTCCGAGCTTCTTGATTATTCTGAATTCGACAAATCTGGCATATCAATGCTTTTGATGAAATTGTGGAAATATTAATACATCCATATTGTTGGCACAGTTATAGCGAGGTCTGAAAACATATATATTTGAGCTAACATGACCTGTGCTCAGCAGAGTCCAGAGTATATTACTGAAGCTAATAGGCAAACTAGACATGTTACAAAGGGGCTGGATACAGTTGCAAAACAGCTTCTACCCTAATTCATAGATTTCCTCTCCAAAATATACAAAAACATGATAACTATGTGATGAATACTTAAAGCCATGTATAGTATCATGTGCTGTCTACATTGGATCTTGGATGACACCCCCGCGTGGCGGCCTCAGGCGGAACAAGTGGGGTTACCAATTCAATCTTCGCCCAAGCCTTAACTTCCACTCCGGTAAACCAACCACCTATTACTTCATACTTCCAGCACCAATCCACGTGCCCTAACAGATATCATGGCGGACGCAGAGCTTGAAGAGGTTAGTATCCTCCCCATGACCAGCATACCCCATCCTCTAACAAGGAAATAGATCAGGCGAGCTCGCATGGCGCAGCTCCAGCAGCAGCAGCAGGGCCAGCGCGGAGGAGGTCCTAGTCAAGAAGGTGGCCAGGAAGACAGGAGGTGAGTTATCGGTCCCAAATCTTTACTAAACTTGGACGAGACTAATAAATGATTGCAATATAGGCAAGCTGAATGTAGGTGACCACATCTCGCCCACGGACTGTCCACATCCCGCAAGACCCGAGTAGCGGAAGCTCCTTGAGACCCTTCGCTCTGCTGCAGCCCATCCCCCGATATTATCGACGCCTATGAACCAAACGACGAACTAATACCCCCATTCTTACAGCCGACCGCCGCGCCGCGATCATGAGCCAGATCCTCGACCCCGCCGCTGCCGATCGCCTCGGCCGCATCCGCCTCGTCAAGGAATCGCGTGCCGTCGATATCGAGAACCGACTCATGATGCTAGCCCAGACCGGCCAAATCCGCCAAAAGGTGACCGAGGAGCAGCTGAAGGAGCTCCTGAACGCCGTTGCCGAGAATCAGCGCAAGGAAGAGGAGGAACACAAGATTGTGATTACCCGGCGCAAAGGCGGTTGGGATGATGATGATGATTTGCTCGATCTGTAAAGGAGACGAGTGAGTGTCATGATTCGCGCTTAGCCCTGGCCATTTTTATGTTTGATTTTTTCTTGGGATGATTCCCTGCTTTTCCTATCGCATTCTGGATTCCCCTTCTCAGGGATCCTCAAAATATACTTCAGGCGTTCATGGTCTGGTACCTCGTCTCAGACGAGTTGATATTTCTTTGAAAGATTGTTGTTCCATTTTGCATTTGGGGAGGATATTGTTTACAGACAGACAAAACTATAATCGTACACATTCTCCACGAGACCGAAAGACCCTCAGCTTCAACTCGACATCTGCTGCTGTTGCAGTCTCTCCTTCTCCCGCTTCTCCTGTTGCCGAATCATTTTCCGAATTTCTCTCAGATCTGGCGGCCGCTCGATATTCAATTCAGCCCGAAGCTCATCCACATCCTTCTCCAACACCTCCTCCCAATAAACATTAATCAACTCTTTACTGCCCAGCCCACTGCGCACCGCCCACGGCAAATGCAGCGACAAAAAGCGCTCCTTCTCCGCAGGCTTCATCCGTATAAACGCGAACAAACTCAAGCCCGTCATGGGCAGGAGTGTATTCAAAAACTCCAGCGCCTTCAGCGCAAGTTCGCCCTCCACAAAGATTGGCAGCCCTGTTACCGCGTGGTAGAAGTCGTGACACTCGCGGTACCGCTGCATAACGTAGGCGCACTCTTCGTCATCGATATATTGCACGTTGTCTCGTGTATCGGGGGATACGCCCTCCCGGTCGAGCCACGTAGCGTATGTGCGGCCGACGGAGTTCTCGGGGAGACCGCGGAGGTAGGACATTTGGAGAGTTTCGGAGGTGATGCGGGGTCGATCGCGGAGGATGCGTCGGCCGGTGGGATCGGAGAGCATTGCATCTCGGAGACGGTAAATAAAGTATGGGGTTGCGGTGGCTTCGCCGAGGGCTGCAATCAAGTCTGGAGCGGGGGATTAGTTTGATCTGATTATTTGTAGTTCTAGTTGACTAGAAGCTGGAGAGGCCAATGACGCTGATACGACCGTGAAGCTTGTCATGGTCAGCTCTACGGGTGTGGGCATACCTGCTCTTCGAGGGTTAATCAAAGACCCAATTGCTGAACCAACAGCTAAAGCACCACGCTCGATAGTAGTCAATGGGACATGGCCGGGATAATTTGGCTGTGGCCGGTTGAGGATGGAGAAGGGTCGCAAAGAGCTCGCGGTACTTGGTGACCGGGAAGAAGCCAAAGCCCGAAGCTTGCAAGCCCCGCGCCTCCCCAAGACCGACATGATGTATTCTTAGGCTCGATATACAACCAAATAACATTCGGTTACAGAGCCATGGAGTGGTCTGATATCCGGGAAGAGGGCGCCACTGGATGCTGTGGGCTACCGTAGTTATCGATAAATTCACTTATCGCTTATCGATAAGAGATAAGTGCTCCACAATCACAGCCCTCACTTGTTGATTGGCATCTGTGTGAGAAGTCAAGAATTCGGAATCAAGTTTGTTCACACATCATGGATATTTCCTTTCAACAATAGATCCTTCACATTAGCATAAAATATTGACTCAATCTAGCTTGCTCTTGGTTTGTCTCACCTTCACCCTGCCCTCGCTACATATGCTAACCTGCACAAGATTCATCACGTCCCTTGATAAAAAGCGATTACCCATTCAAGATGTCACGACCAGAGTGGTGGCCCGGTGAGAACCACGAAGCCTTCACAAAATGGGCCATGGACCGCGGAGTTGAGGCCTTTGGCGTCGCTCCGGCCCGTTTTCCAGGTCGAGGGCTGGGAATGATAGCGACTCGAAAAATCAAGGTAAGAACCTCAACCCTCGCCAATCAAGGACACCATATGAATACAAAAGCTGATATACATCACCACCCGAAGAAAGGAGAAGCTGTTGTCCAAGTGCCAGCCAGCACAATCCTAACAATGGACAACATCCCCTCCTCCTTCAAGGTCCAATTCCCCGAAGGCACTGCCGTGCACACCATCCTGGCAGCATACTTCACCCACGGAAGTGAGGAAGAGTTGGCTGAATACGAACTATGGCGCAAAGCCTGGCCTACCCGTCAAGACTTCGAAGATAGCCTGCCAATACTATGGCCCAAAGTGCTTGGTGGTCTTCCATGGCCTGACACTGACACTGACAGCGAGTCTTCAAACCAGCCGAATTTCCTCCCTCCCTGCATCTCAGGGACTTGGAACTCGGTTGACAAGGGGAATCCCGTCAAGAAGTATGAGAGTGAACACCGAAATCTTCTTCTGGGCCAGGAAATTCGGCTGCGCAAGGCCTGGGCGGATGTCACTGCTGCACTGCCTGATACTGATTGGCGGTCTTTCTCGTATCATTGGCTTATTCTTAATACGAGAAGTTTCTATTGGGTTGGTGCGGGTCAGGAGCCGCCTGAGGATCGAAATGATGCTATGGCTATGTTGCCTTTTGCGGATTACTTCAATCATTCGGATGTCGAGGTATGCTATTCTTTATTCCTCCTTTTATCTTGCTGGTTCTTTAGAAGGGGCTTCGATTGACTTGGTAACTAGTGTGACGTCAAATTTGATGAAGATGGGTACACCCTGTGCGCCACTGAAGACTATGAGGAAGGGGATGAGGTGTATATGAGCTATGGTGGACATCCAAATGATTTCCTACTGGCAGAATGTAAGACAGCAACATATGGCTCGGTGATTCGAACGCTAACCCGAATATCCAGATGGCTTCTTCCTGGAAAAGAACGACTACGACTGCATTTACCTCGACGACATCATCTTCCGTGATCTGAACACCGCCGAGAAGCAAGAAGAACTGTGGTTGAACCAATACTACGGGTAAGTGTATTTGGTATATTCAAGTCTGGTATATTCAAGTCCCCGCTAATTATTTCGCCAGTAACTACCAATTGATTTCCCAAGGGGTCTGCTACCGCACCGAAGTTGCGGCAGCTCTAGTGTACATGAATGAAGAGGATTGGAGGAACCACGTTCTCGAGGGTTCGACCGAGTGTGTAGATGAGAAGGTGTCGGAAGCCATCATCAAGGGATGGGTTCGGACTTATGCTGCCGAGGCGGATGCAGCTATGAACTCGTTGCGGACGGCAATGCAATCCAATGCCGTGGTGCAAGCTCATCGCCAGAAGGCGGAGACGTTGTTGCAGCGATGGGGCCAGATCAAAGAGATCTGCGAGAGTGCCTTGGAGGCCATTGACCTGTGATAAGGAAACTTTTTAACTCTCCAAGCCGCAATGAAAAGGATATGTTTACGAAGAAAAAAAAATGCCGTGAGGGCATGACAATCAAAGCAGTTCTGATGCCTTAATCGTCCTTGCCCTTGTCACCGGAGAGAATGACATTTTCGAAGTCGATTGGAACCGCGCTGGCTTCCCGATGATTGATAATAAACATCCTGCTCAGCACCAGCTGCTGGATCATGTAGTTCAGCACGCATTTCATGCCTAGCTCTTCGCCACGCTTCACAATCCACCCGTTCAGGAAATCAATCTCTGTATTTCGCTGGTAATGTAGATCGTTACGTATCGAACTGGTATCTTCAGGACGGTTCGAGGCAACATTAAGGACCATTCGGCGCAAACGCTCTGGCGAAAATCGATCTTCAACTCCTGGAATGCCACGCAGCTCAGGGAGAGCACAGATCACACTGGAGATCTCCAAGAGAAGCAATCGCATGGTGCGAGAGACTGGGAAGTTGTACAAGAGCTCGCGGTTCTTGCAATCGTGGATTGCTCCAAGCGGGCTGAGAACGCAGCCAACGGCTAGTCTCTCCAGCTGGTATTGCAAAAGGCCGGCGGGAGTATCGGCAGTGGCGACGAGAGATGGGGTGAGGGTCAAAAGACGTAGCAGGTACTTTGTTGTAGGAGCCCAGTGTGTGTCCTTCTCGGCCTGGATGAGCGGAGTCTGGCCAGTGACTACCGGACTGAGGGTCAATGAGCCGACATTCACGTGGCCGACCTTGTAAGAGTCTTGCTTCTTCAGACCGTGGGTGAGTACGCCTTGCATGTAGTTCGGCCGACTCTTCTCGTCCGGGAAGATCTCCTTGTTGAGTTTCTCGATAATTCCCAAGCCATTCTGAATAAAAAGGATAGTCGAATCGGGACTCAGACGGTGACGGACTCCTCTGATAACTTTTTCAGTCATATAAGCCTTGCAGCAGACAATCAAGCATTCAATATGCCCTTCCTCCTCGGGCACAGCTTCCTCGTTCTCGATAATATCGGGATTCTCGCTGGCTTCGAGATACTCCTCTTTCGAAGGTATCCTGTGCCACACTCTATCATGCAAAACCTCCACATCGAAGCCTGTCCTGTTATCATCGAGACCGTTGTAGTTGACAGCCAAACTCCGCTTTTTCCGCCGGAACGCATGATAGAACGAGGCCTGGTGCATAAGAAGGGTGATTGGAGGCGGAGTTTGCCGCGATGCAAGCGAGTGTGCAATGAATGTTCCTGCATTTCCAAGACCGATTATGTGCACTCGCCCGGTCAGACTCGGCGTTTTAGTCTCGCGAGAAATGTCCTCGACATCTTGCACCCATGTTGACATGTATTTCGTTGTAGGTCCTCCGCTAGGTCGTACTCGACATTGAATGCAAATATCTATCACACCGCTCCGCCATAGCGGGCGGCGCCCGAATATTTGTAGCACCACTTTGAAGGTGTTTCGGGGAAGACGTCTCCCCGATCGACGAATCAGATAATGATGGGAGGAGGTTCTGTCCGGAGAGAACAAGGTCGCACGGGAATTCGAGGATCGCCGATTGTTTAAATTGACATTTTGCGTTTTTTGTCGTCCGAATGAGCCCTGAGCTCCTCACATAAACCAGGTAGCTGTGTTCGTCTCGCGCCGAGGAAATATTGAACTGCAACAGCGCCATTGCGCGAATGATCGGACCCGCTGATATACACCGCCCGATATACCGCCTCATATATATCGGTCCTAATTTTTCTTGCGGCACTTTTTATCAACTCCAACAACGACGACACCATGGACACGGCAAATTTACTACCGCTGCTGGAGCAGCTGGATGACGATGTGGATGACCTGGAGGATGCCCTGCAGCCTTTGCTGGGCAGCTCCTTGAACAAAATGTCGAAGAACATGCCCATATTCGACAAGGCCAAAATCCACGTGCTGACAACCTATACCCTCGAATCATTAATCTTCTGTACGCTTGACTTTCGAAACTCGCATGAATAACATCTGCTGACATTTTTACAGCTTATCTACGACTCCAGGGAGTGGACGCAAAGCAGCACCCGGTCTTCCGGGAAATCACGCGCGTTAGGCAATACTTCGATAAGATGAAGGCGCTGGAAGAACCCGAGGAACCTGAGCAGCGCACCATGGTCCTCGACAAGGCAGCTGCAGGGCGGTTCATTAAGCACGGCCTGGTGAGCCATATTTCTCTGGAAACTACAGATACAACAGACCACTAACAGACTCGAACAGGCTGGGAATGATAAGATCGATCTGGAGCGAGCAGAACGGGAAGCCAAAGAGCGGGCGCGGGCTCAACTCAAAGCCGCAATGCTTGCGAAGAAGGCTGCGTCTACAGCAGTGCAGGATTCACCAGCCCAGTCTGAGAGTGTCTATAGCGCTGTGCCCTCAACTGCCCAACCCAGTGCGGAGGCTGACGATTCTGACGATTCTGACGAAGAGATGGAAGCGGATGAACCCGCCAAGGACTTCAAAACAGGCGAAGAGTTCATTGAATTCGAAACGAAGAAGAAAAAGAAGAAGTCCAAGGAAGACAAGGCTAAACAACGCAATGAGAGTGGCAAGAAGCATGGTCGCAAGGCTACCAAGGCAGAGCGCAGACAAGAGAAGAAGGATAGGCGGCGGAAGAAGGAGGAGAGTCGCAAGGCCAGAGAGGCCAAATAACTTCTCACAGGCTATATGCATTCAATGCGTTTCGTTGCGGGACCGACCAGCCTGCTTTACAAAATCCTACCGTGTATATCACGAAGTTCATAGATACCCAGTTACCATGGAATTCCAAAAAGATTCAAAAGACCTTAATCTGCACCGCACCGACTGACTGGAACTGTAAGTGTGCGCCTTGTAGCTAGTTCCACCAGCTGTGTTGTCTATTATCAAGTTCCAAGCGCCTAGATCTACTCATCTACAAGTTGCTATAGCCATCACGGACTAACACCATTCCTAGAACATGATAAATAGCGCTCACTAGAGATAAAAATTTTGGTAGTAACGTTAATAGTGGTAAAGTTATGATACAAATGAGCACATCCATTCTCCAGCCCGAATTCTCGCAAAGACATAAAGAGAAAGCACGCCCAAAACTCCAAATGCGAACCAATACGTAGAATGAAGAGGACCCGGAGATCCTTTGCCAATGAGCTAGAAGCTAGTTATCATCAGATTGCTCGATCTAAAGCATGAGTTTATTGCTTGGCAAGCTGATGGAAATGCCGAATCTGATCCTCAATATTCGTATTCTGGGGTCTGGGAACACCTCCTGGTCCAATAGCCGGACCCGGTGGCGCAGACACTCCAGGAGGAAGGCTACCATCAGGACCAGCGCCCATAGCCATACGCTTGCGGCGCGCTTCCTCTTCAGGATCTGGCGCGAGCGAGGCATCAAAGACATCGCTGCGCTGGCTGGCAAGTCGCTTGAGGTTGTTGACGACGTCGACAGTGGACAAATTGGTCGTGGCGCTGCGGGAGTCGGCCTTCGCACGCTGCTCCTTCCATCGAGGATCAAGCAGCTCGACACGCATGTGGTGCTCCAATTCGGCGACGGGAATCTGCGTGTGGCAGTTCGGGCAAAGTGCGGTAGCTCCTGCGGCTTGTTGGCGCCGGGCCTGGGCACGAGGCACGTAGTCCGAGCGAATGCGCATGGGAGGTTGACCTGGTACAGGCACGGGCGACTCTGTGCGGGCTTGCGGTACCTCTGGTTGTGCGGGGTATTGCCTGCCATAGTCCACAGCGGGTGGCGGATATGGGGCTGCTGCTTGAGCCGGGTATGGAGAGACAGAAGGTGGTGGGACGGGAAAGGAAGGTTCGGGTTGGGCTGGGTAGGCATTATAATAGGTCGGGTTGTCGAGGTCGGTGGGCATGGCCTCTTCGATGCGCAGCGGGTTAAGGGACATGGCGGCTTTTTGCTCCAAGGAGGCGGATTGCAAGTCGTTGAGAGAAGTCGGCGGTGGCAGGTCTGCTTGGTCGTCGCTTTCCGTGAACAAGACCGTCTCGACCACTACAAAGTCGTGCCAATCGATCTGAGCATACTCGATGCGTTCCTGTTCTTCCAGTTCCTCTTTCTCTTGCTTCTGCTGCTCCTGGTATTTGACCCATTCTGCCCGTTGATTGGCGCGTTCCAAAATATGATATTTGTTCTTCACGGTGTGTTCAAGCTCGGCGATCCGCTTTTGCTGGGTGGTAGCTTCGTCAATCCCCTCGGGTCGCAACAAGATGGTGTATTGATCGACTAGGCGTGTGAAAAATTGGTACAGAGAGTGCTGAGGGCGGAGGAAGTCAAATTGGAAATTCCGAGCCTCGCGTTGCGATAATGCAGTCATGAAAGACTTTCCTCGTTTGGCGACATATAGCGCTGTGAGCTTGACCACTTCCAGATCCTGCGCATTGATGATAGGCATGCGCGCGGAGAAATGGAACGCGGGGGGCTCTGGAGGCCCCTTGGGCTTCTCGGGCTCGGTAGCTGCAACAGCTTCACCAGGTCGTCCGGCTGAGACTGCGGTTCCACGGCCCTCCTTGATCTCGGTGAGGCGCCACTGGTAGAAAGGCTCGTAGGCGTCGCCGGCGTTTAGGAAGGAGAATTTGGGGTTGTTCTTTTCCTTTTCACGGACACGATCTAAGATAGAAAGTTTCAGAGTTAGTTCGCGATTCGTCTGATGTGTAAGAGGGGATGTTCTCACCTTCAAAGACGGATCCGTTACGAGCGACATAGCCCGCGGTCTTTTCGACAATGGCTGGAAAACATGGTTAGCAGCAGTCTCTCGCGTGAGGAGGAGGTGACGAACCTCGAATATCTTTAGGAGGAAGCACCAAGCCCTCCGGAGACTTGTTCATGTCCTCTGGAAGGGGAGTGTTTCCATTCGACGACTCCATGGCTGGTTCTTGAAGTTACGATTAGAGAGAGAGCACCTTTTCCCGACCTCCAGACTGAATGAGGTGCTGACTACGCCACTGCACCAGCCACGCTAACTTCCACCCTCACTAGCCACAGCTCTGGCCCCGTAATGTGGCTGTGCAATGCACCCGCGTGCGGCGAGTTTTGTGTACATCCAGCGCGGCTTTGTTGCTCCGCTTTCAATTAGTCTTGTATACTTTGAGGGGTTGAGAAGCAGCAGAAGGAGGTAATCGGCGTAATTAATGCTTCCCATAGAAATGAGAAATGTATGGAGTAAAATCTATCTCATCAAATAGTTCGTATAAATACATACATCCAATGGGCCGACGCCAGCCTCGGGTCTTGGGGCTGAAATCTAAGGGGCCGTTTAGCGCTCTCACGTTCTGGTTTGTCTCTCGTTGCCCGCTCCGCTCGTCGATCTGGCCTCAAGACGGACCTCTGCACGCTTCCGTCCATTCTTCTCGACACTCTCTTCATCATCTTTTTCTTTTCTTTTTTTTCTTGCCCTGTGATGGGGACTTTTCTTCTCACTATCTACGATCATTAATCTCGATCCCACCAGTACCGTTGTGGTGAAGAGCTGCGCGCTGTTGAAAGCTCCGATATCTGCGGCTTTCAATAGCTATTGCGCCCTCTGGATTCGATTCCTCTAATTTTGCAACCCATTCACGACCCCACTAGGTTTATATCTTCTTTTCTTTTCGTCCCATTTCCGCCGTTCGACTCTCGATTGTTCCGCTCATCCCGTACGACCGTCCTCCGTCACGCATCCGCGGACAACAATCAACCATAATGGGCCAGAAATCGAAGGATACACTGGCCGTGCGGCCGCAGAGTCGCGGCCGGCGCTCTCGCAGTCGCTCGCCAAACCCCAAGGCCCCAAAGACCCCAAAGATTGTCAGCTATGCCTCAGACGGTGTACGGGACAATAATATTCTCAACCTCCCCGCCTCCGACTACAAACTGCTGGTGCTGGTGACGCTGATTGCGGCCGCTGTCCGCTTGTTCCGCATCTACCAGCCCAGCAGTGTTGTGTTCGATGAAGTCCAGTATGTTCCGTCGCCAAATCATTTCCATTGGCAAGAGGTGAAGGCTAACCCTCTGTGTCTCTCCTTAGTTTCGGTGGTTTCGCGAGCAAGTACATCAAGGGAAAGTTCTTTATGGATGTCCACCCGCCACTTGCCAAACTGTTGATCACGCTGGCGGGCTGGCTGGCTGGCTTCAATGGAGACTTTGATTTCAAGGATATCGGCAAGGACTATCTCGAGCCTGGCGTGCCCTACGTGGCAATGCGAATGCTTCCCGCTGTTCTCGGTGTTCTCACGGTCTCGCTGATGTTTTTGACTCTCAAGGCGACTGGATGCCGAACTTCAACTGCTGTTATGGGTGCTGGCCTTGTCATTTTCGGTGGGTTCCAGAGGCGGCACCATATTCACTCCCTAAACATCACTGACTGAAAGTATAGATAACGCCCTGACCACTCAATCTCGCCTGATCTTGTTGGACTCGCCCCTGATTTTCTTCACTGCCCTGACTGCATTGACCTTCAGCTGCTTCACAAACCAGCAGGAATTGGGACCTAATGCAGCTTTCAAGGGCCCATGGTGGTTCTGGCTCGCCGCAACTGGTGTTTCCCTTGGCGCTACTCTCAGCGTTAAGTGGGTTGGCCTTTTCACCATGGCCTGGGTTGGGTCTCTTACAGTCCTCCAGCTCTGGGTCGTGCTCGGCGACTCCAAGACAGTGACTCCGGTATGTTCCTGACATAACTGATATGTTGATCATAATTGCAATGCTAACATTGATGAATCCAGCGACTCTGGTTCAAGCACTTCTTCTCCCGCGTCTTCTGCCTGATTGTCATTCCTCTGGGTTTCTACATGGCCATGTTCGGTATCCACTTCCTCTGCTTGGTCAACCCTGGAGAGGGTGATGGCTTCATGTCGTCGGAATTCCAGGCTACCTTGAACTCCAAGTCCATGCAGGACGTGCCCGCGGACGTTTCCTTCGGCTCCCGTGTCAGCATTCGTCACCACAACACCCAAGGTGGTTACCTGCACTCGCACAACCACATGTACCCCACCGGTAGCAAGCAGCAGCAGATTACTCTTTATCCCCACAAGGATGAGAACAACGTGTTCATCATGGAGAATCAGACTCAGCCCCTGGGTCCTTATGGTGAGATCGAGGGCGCGTATGCCTGGGACAACTCCTCCGTGAGCTTCATCGAGGATGGAGCCGTTGTCCGCCTCTACCATGAGATTACCCACCGACGTGTCCATTCTCACGATGAGCGCCCGCCTGTGACCGAGGCCGACTGGCAATTCGAGGTCTCCGCCTACGGATACGAAGGTTTCCCCGGTGATGCTAATGACCTGTTCAAGATTGAGATTGTGAAGTCTATGTCTGATGGTGCCGAAGCCAAGAAGCGCGTCCGCACCATCCAGACCAAGTTCAAGCTTGTGCACGTCATGACTGGCTGTGTCTTGTTCTCCCACAAGGTCAAGCTTCCTGACTGGGGCTTCGAGCAGCAAGAGGTTACCTGCGCTCGTGGCGGTACCCTGCCAAACAGCATCTGGTATATTGAGTCCAACACCCACCCCATGATGCCTGTGGACGCTGAGAAGGTCAACTACCGCAACCCCGGCTTCTTGGGCAAGTTCTGGGAGCTGCAGAAGGTGATGTGGACCACCAACGCTGGCTTGGTTGAGTCTCACGCCTGGGACTCTCGTCCTCCTTCGTGGCCCACCCTTCTCCGGGGTATCAACTTCTGGGGCAAGGACAACCGCCAGATCTACCTTTTGGGTAACCCACTTATCTGGTGGTCTTCGACTGCTGCCATTGGTATTTACTTCCTCTTCAAGGCCATTGCGGTTATCCGCTGGCAGCGCAGCTGCAATGACTACCGCCACGTCTCGTTCAAGCGCTTCGACTATGAAGTCGGCACCAGCGTTCTTGGATGGTTCTTCCACTACTTCCCATTTTTCCTCATGGCTCGTCAGCTGTTCCTGCATCACTATCTACCAGCTCTCTACTTCGCCATCATGGTGCTCTGCCAAGAGTTCGACTTTATCACCAACCGCATTAAGAGCCTTGGATTGGCAACGAAGCCTGCAATTGGCAAGGTTTTGATGGCAGGATTCCTGGTCCTCAGCATTGCAGTTTTCACGCTTTACTCTCCTTTGATTTACGGCAACCCCTGGACCCAGAGTGCCTGCCAGAAGGTTAAGCTTCTGGATGGCTGGGATTTCGACTGCAACACCTTCCACACCGACGTAAGTGTACCAGAGTGGAGGCCTCCACGACGAGGATATTAGAATTAAATCGACGATCAACTTGGCTGACACGAACTTTCACCAACAGCTGAGCCAATATGTTACCGATGTGAACAACTTCATGAACACCGTTCCGACCGAGCAAGCCCAGATTCACAAGCCCGGGGACCACCAGCAGCAGCAGGCACAAGTACCTGCTGCTGAGATCCCCCAGCAACAACAGCCAGAAGAGCAGGCCGCGGTCACTCAGCCCAAGCTCTCCGGCTCCGTCGCCCGTGTTGAGTACCGCGACCAGCATGGAAATGTCCTTCCCGAGGATGTTGTCGCTTCTCTTCGCTCCGAGGGCAAGGTCAAATTCGAGACCCGATACGAGTCTCGCTCCAAGCTTGAGCACGCACAGGAGATCCCCATCGTGGATGGCCAGCTTGCACCCCCTCACCCGGACGTCCAGGGCCAGAACCCCGAGACTGGCTCCGGAAAGCCCGAGGACTCGATCCCACCCGAGAGCCCTGCCTCAGTGGTCGAAGGCAATGTCCGTTCTGAGGAGAGCACTGGCTCCCCCGAGGCTAAGCCTGCCAGTGAAGGCTATGACGCTACTAAATAAGCGACTCGTCTGAGGCTGGGCTGGGGGGTGGTAAAAGAGGGGATGAGAAAACCCTACACCATGTATCATGAAACCTGAAACCTTATAGCTATTTTTTCTCTTCGTCGTGATTAGTTGCTTTAGAGTGCTGCACAACATGAATTGTGATATGAGCGTTTCTATAGTTGCCGTGGTCCAATTACCTTTCCAGTAATGTAGCTTAGCTCTTGTAATGGTGGCTTCGGGCCAGAGTGGATCCCGAGAGTTCCCGAAAAGCTCGACCATCCTGATCACATCAGGCCATTATCAGACACACAAGATATATGTACGAAGAGAATGAGACAGGGTTTGACAAGTGAAATGAAGAGACCGGTTCCCAATTGACTCTTTATCTGAACAACGGATACTATGCACAAATCTTCGGTAATCGCAATGGCAAGTCCACCCACAACTCTCCCCCTTCGTCACCACAATCGTAGTATACAGCCGCCGGCTACTTACGTAGAAGTAACCATTCGCTCTCGCACCATCTTTTAAAGGGCTTCGCAGAAGCCGTTTAGTAGTCCCACTCCTCCTTGCCGTACTTGTTGAACTTCTCGTGGAGGTCCTATAAGAAAGCACGAAATGGTCAGCAACTCTGCAAAGCACATGTCTGGGCCAATTTGCCGAAATTCAATTTCAATTCCACGCGGCACATTTGCAAATGCTGGAGGGATGGCGCATGGGCCCGCGAGGGGATAATGGTGGCATACCTCGGGGAGGGTGACGTTGGGAACAATGACGGTGTTCATGGCGCTGGGGGCAGCGCGGAGGGGCTGGTTCTTATCGCCGTGGGGGTGGTACTGGTACTTGTAGACCTTGCCATCGGACTCTCCGTGCCAGGGCATGGCAGACTCGCCGATGCGGACGTTGCTCTCGGAGGTGACGGAGGTGGGCTTGCTGCCGAAGTACCTGATATCGCAAAAGACCGCCAATTAGCTAATTGCACTTTCAATGGCCGGCCAGCTTCGAGTTCCAAAACACAGCTCCTTGCTCTGCCAGAACTTTCGCGAAATGCGGTAATCACGTCACAAGCACGGCTGTCGGGTAATAGATGTGGGAGGGGGTTATTCACCAGCCAGCGAGCAGGAAAGCACCGGACATGACACCGAGCAGAACCTGAACACATAGGTATTAGAATGGAAGGTCGAATGGAGATCAATGGCAGCTCGAAAGGCGTACGTAGAGCTCAGGGTCCTTCTTGGGGGCCTTGTCGAGGTTGGCCTCCTCGACCTTGGAGGACATGAAGCGGCGCGGGGGAGCGCGGAAGATGGGCTGGCGAGCCAGAGCCCGGCGGGAAGCCATAGCAGCGATCGAAGACATTGTTGCAGCGGGTCGTGCGTGGAGGTTGGAATTCGCGGAGAACTGGAGACGGGGTTGGTGGGAGAGAATCGTGAGCATCGAATGATGTTGCCGGGTCATGTGACTATCCGCTCCTCGCTCGGCTGACTCATCCACCGCTTCAAGCAATTTGCGGATGCGCGACGGGCCTTGCGTTTCTGTGGTTCTGACTTCTGGTTTGCTGCTCACCCGTGTTGCTCTCGCTTGGGCAGACCTCTGCTACAGTTGTTTCTGTGGGCTGTGATGTAATTGGCCTCCGTCAACTTGTCTTGGATTCACGGATTTTGCCTTGGGTTCTCCGTCAATGCTAGAGGTGGGTGTGCGGCCCATATTGCGATTTCCCGATCAGGGGCTCGACCTACAACCCCAGATTTCGAGCTCCAGACGCGTGGAATTGACTGTCGAAGCACAATGGAGCTGGTTGCTAATATATATTCTAGGATCTTGAATAACTCGTCCAGTCTCTCCTCAGAACTAGTGTTCTACTCGTCGCTCCTTTTATCCCAGCTATCCCGCTCCTTGAAATCACCACCGATTTATCCTGAAGCTTTACGGCCCAGCTCGATTTCGTCGCACTGCTGCTACCCCCTATCCAGGACAACTTGCCGGAACAACTATGATAGCACGCACTACCTCCTAGCCCAGTCAAATACATTCGCTACTCAATCATGGCGAACTCCGCAAACCGCCCCAATACCCGTGATTCGAACCGATCCTCCGCACAACATGTCTTGGGAATCCCTCGGCCTCCCTCTGTGGGAGGGATCTCATCCCGAGTCACAGATGTTGCCTCTGAAGATGGGGAGAATGCTCCGTCCTATACATCGCCACCACCCTCGCTCCAACCGCGTACCTCTGTCTCTAGACGTGCTCCGCCCCCTACCCGCAACTCGATAGCTTCGTCAAGCCAAAGACCCGGGAGCTCGGGGAGCCGACTGAGTAGGACGCACATTCCGTCCTTAACAGCTCAGGCGTTTTTCCGGCCGATGAGCTCGCAGCGCCTGCAGGCACACCGGGGAGGACGACCAATGACTAAGGGGACGGTATCTTCGACTGATGATTGGAATGACCAAACGAGCCAAAATCGGCAGAGTTTAATCTCGAACAGTACGATTCCACAAGGATCGGTCCCTCATGTCGAGATGGAAGTCCCACCATCACGGGGCACAGAGTTCACAGATCCCATCATACCCGATCGAAACACATCCAATGCCAGCCCAACAGGAAATACTACAGTTCGGAGTCTGGGGGAAAGTGTCAGGCTCCTCCGGGATCGAGATCAACAGGATAAGCCTCGCCCTGGTCATTTGAATCTCGGTGCGAACTATACTGGACATCATACCCAAGATTTGCCGCCAAAGTCACCGTTGTCTTTCTTGTCTTTGCAGAACAAGGGCTCCTCACATAACAACCATCATAGCAATCATGATGTCCGAGGTCATGAGCGACTTTCATCTGCTGGCTCGTCTCCGGGCCCAATGGATGTGAAGAAGGAGTTGCCAAGGGCTAATCTGGGCAAGAACTGGGAGTACTTCGTTGGTAATACTCTATTCTGTTTCGGTGGCCGATTCCTCAACTCGAGGGACAAGCCTATCAACATTGCAACAGGCTTCCTGGTGGTTGTTCCATCGGCTTTGTTCTTTGCATTCTCTGCTCCTTGGCTATGGCAAAATGTCTCCCCAGCCATTCCCATTCTATTCGCCTATGTCTTCTATATTTGCTTCTCCTCCTTTGTGCATGCCTCTGTGGTCGATCCTGGTATTATGCCTCGAAATGTCCACCCGATGCCTCCTATGGATTCCTCCAACGATCCGTTGTCCGTTGGCCCGCCCACGAATGACTGGGTCATGGTCAAACTCGCCACGTCCGATGTTGCTGCCATGGACGTACCTGTCAAGTACTGCAAGACCTGTGCCATCTGGCGGCCTCCTCGCTGCTACCACTGTCGTGTCTGCGACAATTGTGTCGAGACACTTGACCACCACTGTGTCTGGCTGAACAACTGCGTAGGCCGGCGCAACTATCGCTACTTCTTTGCCTTTGTGAGCTCGTGTACGATTCTCTCCCTATTTTTGATTAGTGCCAGTCTCGCGCACATTCTACTTTATATGGATCGCGAAGGGATTTCGTTTGGTGCCTCCATCTCCAAGTGGCGCGTACCGTGGGCCATGGTGATCTACGGCATCATTGCGGTGCCATACCCGACCTCCTTGTGGGCGTACCACCTGTTCCTGGTTGGCCGTGGCGAGACCACGAGAGAGTATCTCAACTCCCACAAGTTCCAAAAGCAGGACCGTCACCGGCCATTCACCCAAGGCAGTGTCCTGACCAACTGGATCGCTGTTCTGGGTCGACCTCGCCCACCTACCTACATGCAATTCAAGCGTCCCTACGAAGAAGGAGACCAGCGCTACGCCATGCAAAAGCGCAAGTATCTCCCTCGCGATGTCGAGTCTCAGACGGGAATTGAGATGCAAAATGTCGGCCCTCATCGGCAGGACTAATACCTGCACCACAAACCCTTTCAGTCAACCGAAAAAAGTGTTTATTGCATTGTTGCCTCAATTCCTGTGCTAATGACCCGTGAACACGACGATATGATTTTTGATTTCTGGGCACTTTAAAGTCCATTTTTACTAATTTCGGGAATATTCCCATATATAGTTTTCTAATTGTTCACCATACCCTTCGAGCTATGTTTCTTTTATGTTTTGATTACATTTGGCGGGCTCAACTGCCCTGCTACCCTTGACATTCTCTGAGATTTCCTATTTTTCTTCTTCGTGTCATGATGACCGTCTTACGCAGGCTAAACATAGCCATGCTCTCTCAACTACCATTTTCTTTTTAACACCCTCCTTGTGTTGCTTTTGCTCGGGTCTCTTGTCCAAGATGATCCTCTTCGCATGCTCAGGGCGCTTATTACATGCCGCTTTAAAGACTCTTCTGGATTTTTCACTGAAGAACTACAATTCCAACCTTTTCTCTGGGCTTCTTTCCTTTTTTCCCCATTCTCATATCGATTCATACATGTTCCTTGAAATCTTTAGAACTGGTTGAATAGGATTGGACTCTGCATAGCCCAAGAGCAATAAATCGCGCGTAGAATTCATCCTGCGGGGGATGAGAGTTGAGGGAGTTATGGCATTCCACATTCACGCACTCGAATTGTCTTGTTATCTACGAGCCCCTTTCTCTCCTTCTCATATTACATCTCTCTAATCAGAATTAACATTATTTCTTATTGTACTCGTGCTGGTTGAAATCAAAGTCGAGTGTTGATGTGGCACGCGTCAGACATCCGCATCGCCCTAAATTGATACGAAGCGCGCGGCTGATTCTCTTCCAACTTTCACCCACCCCTGATTAAACCAGGACGCCCCCCGATCTCCTCGCCCACGGCGCCCATTTCGAGGAATTACAGTCCTCTGTGTCCTGTGGAACTGGGTATTTCCGGATATCGGCACCTCTTTCCCAACATGGCGCGCCGAAACTCCAAAGTTTCCGCGTCCGCGACTCCCGCAATCGCTGACCTTCCTACCAACGACCAGCCCGACGACACAATGAGCCTCGACGTACCCGAACAACTCCTGACGCCAGAGAATAGCCGCTCGGAGACTTCTAGCAACAATGAAAACGCGTTGGTCGAGGAGAAATCCGCGCCCCGCCGGAGGTCAACACGTGTAGCACGCGCATCGTTGCAGGCTACCGAGACGCTGGAGGCTACAGCTGTTGAGAACGAGGACGCTGCTGCCTCAACGAGCCAGGCCTATGTCGACAGCATTGCCCAGGCTAAGCGGACTCGTTCCTCGTTGCGCCACAGTATTGCTGTGATGGAATCCTCCCTGCAAAACGGCACTCTCCCCGAAGACGATACTATCATGACCGACAGCCATCCAATGGCCCCCGACACCCCTGTTTCGAAGTCTTCACAGGAACCACAAATTGAAGATACGGCTACTTCGCTCCAGCAGCGCAATTTGCGAAAGCGAGTGGAAAAGGCCTTGGCCGAGGATACAGCGACACCCAAGGCTAAAGAAATCCCCAAGAGCGATTCTCGCAGTTCTGTGCGCCGCTCAACTCGCCTGAGTATTGTGGATAAAGCATCTGATCTGTTAGATCGTGCCAACAGCGTTTTGGGCAAGCGCTCACGAGACTTGAATGAGAAGGGCAAGGAAGTCGGTCGACGTGCTAGTCTTCGGCTTCGAACCGTTGCACCAGTCAAGGAGGATGCACCTGCCCCAGCACTTGAGCCTGCTGCGAAGAAACGCCGTGTCTCAGAAAGCGATCTGTTCAAATTGCGCGAGAAAGAAGCGAAGACTCCTTCAGAAGAGCCGGCTGCGCCAGCTCCCCCGCCTCGGTATAAGCCTAAGCGGTGGTTAAGTCACGGCTTGTACACGGGGCAAGAACCCTCTGACTCGCCTCCCAAGCAGCGTCGCAGCAAAAATTCTGCAAAGACCACCACTGGCCCCTCTCAGCGCCGGCTTCTTCCCATGCCCATGTTCACTGGGTCCCGCATGGTCAGCAATGGCCGAGACTACGTACTCCCATTTGATATTTTCTCGCCGCTCCCACCAGGTCAACCAAAACCGGATGAATGGCGGAAGACAAACAAGAGTGAGTTGCTACTGGCTCTAGAATTGAACAGAATTGATAAAATCTGACCGGTACATCAGACGTTTTTGTTGGAGATGCTGCTAGCGAATGGAAAGCCAACAAAAAGCTGGAACTGTCTACTTGCATGTGCGAGGAGGATACCGGCTGCGACGAGAACTGTCAGAACCGCTACATGTTTTACGAGTGCGACAGCGGCAACTGCAGACTCGGTCCGGAGTGTGGAAACCGGAATTTCAACGAGCTCAAGCACAGAACTAAGGCTGGAGGCAAGTACAATATTGGTGTTGAGGTGATCAAGACCGCCGATCGTGGGTATGGTGTCCGAAGCAATCGTACCTTTGAACCCAACCAGATTATTGTCGAGTATACTGGAGAGATTATCACGCAGTTTGAGTGTGAAAGGAGGATGCGATCTGTTTACAAGAACAACGAAGTGAGTTTTCTAACCGTGGCACTTTTCTAGCTCGATATTGACGTGGACTTTGCAGTGCTATTACCTGATGTATTTTGATCAAAACATGATCATTGACGCGACTCGGGGCTCTATTGCTCGCTTCGTCAACCACTCTTGTGAGCCAAATTGTCGGATGGAGAAGTGGACTGTCGCTGGCAAGCCACGCATGGCACTCTTCGCCGGTGATCGTGGTATCATGACTGGTGAGGAGCTGAGCTACGATTACAACTTTGAGTAAGTTTCATCTATATCATCTAGGTTCAAATTAGGGTCGTCACTCACAGATTGATCAGTCCTTACTCCAATAAGAATGTTCAGCAGTGTCGCTGTGGGTCGGATAACTGCCGAGGCATTCTTGGTCCGCGACCAAAGGATAAGGATCAACGAGCCAAGCTGGAGGAGAAGACCCAGGCTGCCGAGAAGGGCAGCAAGAAGGTTATTGGTAAAAAGAGAAAGCTAGCAGCTGCAGAGAGCACAATCTCGCAGAAAGGGAAGAAGCGCAAGCTGCTCAACCCCAAGTCGATCAAGGCCGGGGTCAAGAAGGTGGTGGCCAAGGCCACTGCTCGCGGGAAGGCGGCTGCCAAAAAGACGACCAAAGCTTCGGCAACCTCTAGTCGAGGAAAAGCCGCAAAGGACGTTAAATTGCCTAAGGTTAAGGCCGCGTCAAGAATTAAGGCCGCGGTCCGCAATGGACCCCGTGCGAAGGCGAAGGCGGCCAAGACGGCCAAAGCCACAGCTGCCTCGTCAGTGAAGGGGACACCCCCGCTCAAGCGGCCGTCCCCCGAGACCAAGAAAAAGATTCTTGCGCGTGCTAAGGGCACCGGCCGCCCATCTCCCAAGAAGTCCCCTGCCAAGGCCAAGAAGACTGAGGTGCAGTCTCCTCGTAAGCCTGCTGGAAGAAAAGCGCCAACAAAGAGCCCAGTGAAGGCTCGGATGCCCGTTTCCAAGGCCAGAAAGTCTACCACAACTTCTGGTCCCAAGGTGAAGAGGACATTTGGGGGCAGCGTGAAAAAGGTCGCGAAAAGCGTTGTTCGCACTGTGAGGGGGAAGAAGAACTAAAGCCATTCTTTAGTACCCTTCAGTCATGTCCTGCGATGGCTGCATGATGATATTGAAATATTGGCCTCTGTTCATGTCCACGCTTATAAAAACGATGTCCCAATGCTTGAGGCTTCGGCGCAACCAGTCTTCTGGTGCACTCGCCGTCTATTGGTCTGATGTTTCTATTGGTCTGATCTCCCGATCGGGTGCCTTTTCTTCTGATATCCTGATTCAGTACTTTTTGGTCTTAAGTCCAGGCTTCAGATGAAAGGCAATATCTTGTCAGACTCAACTGTATAGTCTGACAGCCAGAGTTTTTCCCTTTATATGCTTTGTACACCATAATGTTTACCATTGCCTTTTGGTAATGTACCCCTTCTTTTCTTCCCTTTCTCTTGACCTTTAGCTAATTCCCCTTTTGGCGTTTTGTTTCTCGGTGCCCGAAATGGCGTTCTGTTTGCCTGTCCTGTGGTTCTCGTCTTCCATATTCTATCTGCAACTGAATTGACATTATGTTTCTTTCTTTCTTCTTTTTCTTGCTTTCATTGCAATGTTCTCTTGTTTCCATGGTATTATATGCGACCATGCCTATAAGAACGACACTTTTGGTTTTGCTTTGCTTCTGGCTCGTCGTTGGGATGGGTGAGGCTGGCTGGGGGCTAGCTATATACCTGGTGGCAGTTGAGGATGGATGATGCTGGTGAGATTAGGCATTGGTTAAGTTGGGCGTTGTGTGTAGGTAAAACCTATTTGGGGTAGGTTATTTTGGAAAAATTCAACATCTTTGACCTGGTGAACACCGGTCTATACATGATTCTTTTTCTGCACGGTGTGCACGGTGTGCACGCCTTTACCTACTGGCTAATGTATACGGAAAAGTATGGATGACCTAATTTACTTTCAATGTCTTGATCTTCTACGTCCGTCATAGATCTCTCATAGGGATACCAGCAAGTTCGCAGACCTCCCTGTGACCGGGTAGACACAAAGATTTTTCTTCATCTCGTTCCGCTGCTGAATCCACTTTTCGATGAATCCACCACTTCATACGTGAGGAAGTAGGGGAAGGGCTTATCAACACCCAGCACGTCAATACAAAGGAAAACTTGGCATTCTATCTATATGGATATTGCTGGGCATGAAATGAGAACTATGCCCGCATTGTTTGTTTCTTTTTTTTGCGCAAAACAATTCTTTACATTAACCCAAGGTAGTGAGATTCTCATTCATTTTCGCAAAGATCTCTCATTTAGAATATATATTAGAACCTTCTATTACTCTCAGTAGTTCTGTTATGATATCTAGCTCATCGCAGAAAGGTTGGTTGCGAAGTTCTCTTCAGAGACGACAGACCAAAGAGCCCAAAACCCCAAAAGGCCGCTGCAAACACTATCCTTCGGGATAGAGCCAACATGGATCTCAAGAAATACGAAAAGTGGAATAGGATTGTAGAAGAAACCAGTAAACAAGGAAAAGAACAGCCGGAGATGAATATAAAGACACACAACACATGGGGGCATCTCCTGGACCTGGTCGCAGACATTTACACAACTCTGGGTATGCTGTTCGATATCTAGACCGAGAAATTGACGGAGGATGGCTATGGTGCCAGTGTCTATAAATCGCCGAGGAGACACCTCGAAGGGTGGGATTTCCAGCAAGTGACGACCGGGGGCGGACCTCCTGCCCCAAGCGGCCGTGCTCCATGACATCGGGTTTGGATGTGTCGATCTTGTTAGGGCTATTAACGCCATCACCCTCTTCAGCGTGGGTGGCTTACTCGGTTCCTATGGAAAGGTGCGCGATATGGGAAATGAAATATGCACTGTAATGAGTACGTAATGATTATTCGCGGCAGATCCAGGCAGTGATTCGGAATAAGACCTGCTCGTTATGTCTCTCCTCGCTGGTTGTTTCTTCGGAAACGATGCTGCTGCATCACAGCCCGTAAAATAAATGAACCGACTAGAATAGATGAAGTCTAGATTACAAAAATATTACTATGATCCTTGTACGTAACAGGCAAGGGAGTTGCGCACCCTTATTTTCCGGACCTAACTTACCGTAGCACTGAATTCCTCACTTTGGCGCCGCGCGTTAGCTTGAGTGCTCGTCGAGTCTCGATTCGTCCATCGCACTATGTTTATATTGCTGGTTGGTTCTAATAGAATCGACCTACGGTGGGAATGGCGGAATGAAGTATCGAATAATGGCCAGACTAATGATGAAATCGGTCTATGCTGGCTACAAAAGATATTCAATCCGTACACGAATTCGCATGTACAAGAAATATTTTGGCTGTTAGTCCTTGACTGGCATAGTAGACATCTAACAACTTCCTCCCATCATCCCTGACGGGTCTTCAGAGCTGCTCAATGCGAGTGAAGGGTTATCTACGCATCTCTTGGGATCGTACAAGTTCGAGACAGTCTAAGACTGGACAATTTTTGGATGGGCGCCCGTTGTGCCCGGATATAACGAGCCTGACCAGTCTTCAGTATGTATATAGATGCATAGTACCGATCCAACGCCGTGAGCGGGAGGACGAGCTTGAATCCCGGGTCCTTGATATGACCAGCATGGAAGTTTTTCTAAGGGAAAAGCTCCAAGAAGCTGATGCCAGAGCTCGCCAGCTGACCATCAGGGAACTTGATCTACAGCAAAGAAATATCTCAATAGACGAGAGGATGAGGGCACCTCCTTCAAAGCCATTCATGCTAATCGACCTCGTCTATCAGCCGCCGAGGTCTGGCATCAGCTCCCGAGCTTTTCCGTTAGAAGCAGTTTCATACTGGTCATATCAAGGGCCCGGCATTTAACCTCTTCTTCCTGCTCACAGCGTTGGATCAGTATCATGAGGATGTGAATACCTAGTCAGGCAAGTGCATACACACTGCCAAGGTTGTACTTCGTGGCAAGCCGGAAATCAGCTTGTAATGGAGCTTCATCTGTTTTGAAGTGATTCATTTATAGGTGTTTATTCTGGATCCAAATGATGAGAGAAGGAGATCTGCAACTCCATAGGCATTAGAGAATTTGTGTCTTAAAGATTGGAAAGCAATTCACATACTTGGTACACCTGTACCGTGACGTGTGATTTTATGACCGTCTTCTCGAACTGAGTAAAGTCCAGGTCCATGGAAATAGTTCGCTCGTGGCGGCGAACATCTTGTTGAACTTGTCGACTAACTCCGAGGCTCGGCAGCGTTCCCAAATACCGTTGTCTTCTGTTGCAAGAGGAATCTCACCCTGCCTCTTTCTTATGTCGCAAATTGAGAAGGGGCTTCTGCTTTTCCCACTCTCTTGGAGCAAACCACACCCATTGGCGTAGTGGCTATTGGCTTCGTTGTTCGTGCGTGTCGGTATTATTGTCAACTCTTGATATACCCTACTCCATCAGGCGGCGGGAGTGTGATTGCCGAGGTGCCGGGTGTACAAGCTCTCAGCGGCCAGGCTAGGCTTCTTCAAACCCATGTCATTGTCACGGACACGGGGCTTCTGAACGCAAGATTTATCAGGTGGAACAGGCTGATGGAGAGTAGATAGCCCATACATCACGCTTCCAGGTCAGAAGATCTAAAATCCCCAGCTATTTTTCTCTGCTTCGGGCCAGGGAATTCTGTCCTTCTGATGTTCACTTCTAGCAAGCGTCGTTGCCTGCTTTCCGAACCGACTCGTGGCAGTCGAACTCGTCTGTATATATGCACTATTTTCACATGTTCCTCGATGTAATATTTGCTGGTAGAGGCCGTCGTCATACATTGAGGGACTGTGACAGGTTTATTAAGATAGAGCATTCCCAAGGATCCTATCAGCGCTTCTATTAGAACAACAATAATTAGTATCGGAAACATTGCGCAGATGAGGCTACATACTGAATCTGGTACTCTTCACTGTTGAAACTGTAGGCGCAGGGTGGTCAGAAATTTCCTGTTCTTAGGCCCAGGAGCTGACATTGGGAAAGGCACTTCGATCACGATACCGCCGGAAGTTCGCACGCGTGGAACCGTTCTATCTCGTAGGCCAGTTGAGGCTCTTCCTACTTGGATGGTCTCCACAACAATTGCGAGCAACCAGAGCACACGAGACAGTGAGGGTGTATTGTGTCCGGCTACTGACTTCCCTTCTGAATTCGAGCTCACGCCTGGGCCGGGAAGACCGGGACTCTCTAGACTTCTTGCGGTCTCTCGTAGCTCGTAGCTGTTGAATTCCACCAGCAGAGATGGACGGACAAGTTGTTGGAAGATTTGGAGCCTTTGTGTACCGCGAAGGCCATTGATCGTGCGTGATAAATGTACCTTTCGTTAGAAATCACTCTCTTTGCCCATTCTCAGACAGCATGGTGCTATACTCAGAGTGTCGAAAGAATTCTGCCTGCCATAGAAAAATTCCTGTATTTGGTAAGAACTGTTAGCAACAAAATGACTGTTGACCTGGAATGCCTTTGCAACTAAAAGAACGGCTTACTAAGAATACTTCGCGAGGTCTCTCGCGTATACAGTCAACACAGCTGACCAGACCCGCCACTTGAAGTGATAAGCGAGGTCTTCGAATACGTAGAAACACAAGGACACAGTGAAGACTTATATAGCTTATCACTCTCGCCCTGAAGGTTGCAACCTCGAAGATGATGCCAGACCGCGAGCATCTGGGGTAAAGCTGCAGGCCGAGTGATCAAAGCCGGTATTGTCGACGAACTCCATGGGCTGATGTGGCCAGTCCCTGAGTTCGAAAAAATTCAGTCATCACTTCGACTCGAGAGACCAAGAGAATAGGGAAAAGCAGTACCGTTTAATGGATTGATTCCACCCTCGATGGCATCATAGGCCCAGGCTTCCAGAGAGTAGCAATCCCGCCAAATCCAAACTGGTATCACTGCTGCGCTCCAGATCATGCAAGCCCATGACAGCCATTGCTACTTTGTGTCCATTCACGGGCAGGCTCAGTGTTGAGACAGTTGCATCTGCACATGAGGAATTTCAATCAGACATTCGGCGAATGCGACAGCATCGCGGATAAGGTCATGAGAGGGCAGTGTGCGGATCTCGCAGACCATGCATGGATCACGTTCGGCGAGAAGGGACGCGAAAGTAGATTCTCGTCAAACTCTTGCAGGCAGATTACCAGGGGGTGGCAGGTTCTGTGCTCCCGTTGATCAGTCTGCAGCACTATGGTCCACCCACTCGAAGGTTGTATACGATGATGTACTCAGGGTCTCGATATATAAATATAGCCGGGAAGAAGGGTAGGCTGGGTCAGGTAGTGACAAGAGACTCAGGTGAGAGTGAGGGACTGAGAAATGGAAGAAGGAAGGAAGAAAGGAAAGAAGGATAGTAGGGGGATTTTATACACAACCAAACTCTCCACTAGCTTTGTTTATGTCTTTGCATCTGGTCGTGAGAAATCTCCCGGCCAATTGGACAAAGCCCACGATTGCCTCTTCATGTTAGCTGCATGATTACGCTGAAACTGCAATTACCTTACGATAGACTGTGTAGCTACCTGAAAATTACCCGAGAAGATATGGACACAAAACATAATCATGATCAATTGTAAACTCCAACTCATACGCCATCCAGCCCGCAAAAGAGAAACCAAATAGATACATCACTAATCAACAGACAAGAAACATCCAGACGGGTAGATTGATATCCACGCATTTCATTGTACACGAGTAGAAAAAAGATAGAAGCATCTGTCTATCAGGAAATAGAGAAACTATGAAGCCTCAGACGCTGGTGCAGGGTCAGCCTTGGGCTCTGACTCTGGCTCTGGTTCGTCCTTCTTCTCCTCAGCCGCATCCTGAGTCCCGGACGTGGGCTCTTCTTCCGTTGGTGCAGATTCTGCAGCAGGGGCCGTCTCTGGTTCAGCTGGAGAAGCTGCTTCCGGAATCGGGGTTGGTAATGGTGCCAGCGGCTCCTCTGGTTGAGGTTCTGACAGAGGTATGGCTTCGGGCACCGCGGGCTCGGAGACTTCAGGTGCAGCCGCTTCAGGCACAGAAGGTTCCGCCGTCTGAACTGGGGCGGACTCGGGCTCAGGCTTAGCTTCAGGCTCGGTCTCGACGGGTGAAGCTGGCGAAGGTGAAGGTTCTTTGACAGGGAGCTGGGCTGCCGCAGGCTCCTCCGCGGGAGGCGCATCTCCCATCTCCACGTCCTCCTTGACCTCTGCTGGGGCGGAGACAGTCTCGAGAGCAGCTGGAGCCTGGTGGGATTCTGTGATATCGGGGCCAGAAGCCGGCTCAATTGTGGGGTTCGGCTCTTCAACTGGGGGGTGCGCTGTTTCATCGATTACTGGCTCAGGCTGTGCAGCTGGAACTTCATCAATTGGCTGCTCCGGTTCTGCCTGCTTGGGAGGTTCTGATGGCGTTTCTTCGGGCTTTTCAGGGCTGGCAGATGCGGGAGCCGGGACACTCTCTTCAGTAGGCTGCGGTGTTGGTTCCGGCTTGACCTCGACCGGCGTAGCATCGGCAAGCTCTTGAGTAGCCTCCTGTCCGATAGTAGGCTCTGGAGCTTGTGATTCTTCCTTTGGAGTTGGTTCAGCTGTTGATAGAGCTGCGGGTGTAACGGGTTCTGTTGGAGCGGGTGTCTCTAGTGATGTATTCTGACCAGGTTGTTCACTGGGTGCTTCGGTTTCTTCACCAGGGGTGGGCGTTACAGAGGCAGGGATGGACGTGGAAATCTCAGCATCTGTTTTGAAGGTCTCCGCCTGCACTGCAGGTGCGATTGGTGGTTGTGGGAGTGGTTCTTGACTAGCAATCGCTGGCTCTGAAACGGAGGGTTGTATATCAGGGAGAGCGTCGGCCATTTCGACATCCTTCGATTGCTCCGCAGGGGTCTCCGCTGCAGGCTGCTCCACAAGCTCAGTGCTCGGCGGGGCCTGGGGTGTCTCTGGGGTCTTTGCATCCATCATGGACTCATCACCCTCGTCGCTCTCGTCTCCTTCTTCACCATCATCCTCATCTTCTTCTTGACCGGACTGATCCACAGACATCCGCGAGGGATCCTCTCCCTCCTTGACACCCGCAACGGCCCCGTCAACAGGAGTAACGCCGTGCACTGTCGCAGCGTCGGCTCCCTCACCCGGTGCAAACATGACTTTCTTCTTCCGGCCCTTGCCAATACCCTTACCCTTGCGCTTGGGAGGGGGTGGTCGGCGCTTGGGAGGTGTCATAACGGCTGCAGAGCCAGCCTCGGCAACAACCACACCCTCTGCATTGACGACACCAACGCCCTCCACGACGGTTCCTGGAGCCGGGGTCTCCGCCGTCACAGGGACTTCACTTTGCTCAGCAATAGTCTGGACATCACCGGTGATCTCTCCCTCAATACGATGACCCTCCGGCACCCAAACCTCATAAATAGAGATGCCGCCATTCTCGGGATCAGTCCGCTTAATCTTCGTCTTCCTCATAGGACCCGGTATCGCGCCACCCTCATTTCCATACAGCGAAGTCAGTCCTGGCCGTCTCTTCGCCAGGAATTCCACCTCCGCAGGCTCCAAATGCTTAGGCAGGGTCGTCCACTTGCGGCTCGTGAAGCTGCGGTCCGCCAAATGAGACGCTGCACCCTGGTCCTCCCCGTCTGTGCCTTCCTCCTTCTCCTTCTCAACTGCACGGCCAGTTGGACGGATGTAGATACAGCCTGCGCGCGGCGCGCAAAAGTGCACGACTCATGGCGGGTAGGAGCTGGCTGTCTCGTGGCATGGGCAACTCTGGGAGCGCATTATTTCCACCGGGGCCTTCACCCAGCTCGGAGTCTTCGCCTTTGGGGGCCTGGGAGACGGTGTGTGGCTGGCGCGACCAGCGGCGGACGGGAAGGCCTTCAAAGACATCGTGGTCGATTTGGCCGGTTCGGGAACGATTAGAGGTGTCGAGGTGTCGCCCTGAGCGCGAGGCTCTGAACTGTATCGACGTTTAGTAAGATTGGTCATTTCAATTGGATGGGGTTGCGGATCTCAATTATCCACGGGCTTGAAATGGTTCGTCGGGAATGGACAGGATAGGGACGGGGATGGCCATGTAGCGATGGACGTACAGTAGATGGCATGTTGAGCAGCCCTACAATTCCGGATGTACTTCCAGAGCCGGAAAGATTGTGCTCGTAGAGCGAATAACTACCAACACAATGACGCGATAATGTGGAGAGCTGTGTAGTAGATGAGCGGAGCGCAGCGTAGCGTTCGTTCCTCCCGTCGCGTTGCTTAACGGATGGCACAGACTGTCCGCCCCCATCAGAGAGTCACGTGATGACATCCTACAGACTGCATGAAGGAGAGTTGTACAACTGGCTGCTATACTAATGCTGGAGATTACAAGCATTGAAGAAATTGAGTGGGAGATTTTCTATTTGGGTACTCGAGAGAGAATGGATTTGCCCACAATGGCTGCGCCCGCACTATAAATACAGAGAAAAAGGATCCGGTTCAACTTTGCTGGCCGTGACAGGTATGTCGACTTACTTCCCAACGCGATAAGATGATTGCAGTGCCTTCAGTCGCTTTCAATAGATTCCTCCAAGATCAGTTGAGGATATTTAGTCCCAGCTGTTGAAGTGTTACTAGCTGTAAAGCATGTAGATGGGCAATAGTCCTGCTGCAGTAGATTATACATACCCAGTATCCTTCTGGCGGACAATATCTCCCTTGTCTCCTGTCTCCTTGCCCTGTATCATGGCGTTAGCTGGGCAAATAGGCTTTCCATGACGGACTCCATGGCTTACAGTCTTCTGGCCCTCCACCACCAGCTTGTCCAACTGATAGAACTGGCTGATAACCGTTTGCCTCTGCAAGAGAAATTAGCCTCTTTGATCTGAAGCATCACAGGGGCCATTGTGAGGTCTGGATGGGACGAAATCCTTGGACGTCGGGTGTAGCGCACGTCTTGAGCGGCCTATCACCAGTCCACCAAAGAACCCCTCCTAATGATCCCCAACACAATGGATTCAGCCACTAACCTTCAACAAACGCAGGCTCTTCAGACCATCCTGAATCAACTCCTGTATCCGACGCTCCTCCGTCTCATTCTTGTGCTCGCGGAACGAGTCTCTCGTCTTGCGGCGGGCGTAGTCGCGGAAGTTGAAGTTGGAGAACTGGGAGGATTGGCGCATCAAAGAGCGGAACTGTAGGACAACAGACACCGTGTTAGCTACCTGCAAAACGTACAGATAAAGATCCCAGAGGTTGATGTGGGCATGATAGCCCTAGAGATAGCCAATATGTCGGCCGGACAGCACATACCAAAGACCGCGCCTGGAAGGCGGTATCACGTTGCAAGGTGGCCACAGACATGGTGATGGACGAGCAGGAAAGTCGATAATTGAAAGACTTGAAACGTTGAATTGAGAAGCCTCGATTGAGACTCGTGGGTTAAGAGGTGAAGTGCGCAATGGCGGGCATAAACTGTGTCAACGGAGGTGGCGGTTCAAGACTCCGGCGCAGTGACAAAGCGCTCTGGAATAGACGAGGGGGTTTGAGCGACACCGATAATGATCAGATCAATATCTGATAAGCAGTAGATCCAAGATCGAGATCGAAGGACACAAGTGGCGAAGAGCAGCGAGAGTTAGGTTCCCCGGACGAAGCGCAGGGCGGGAAATTCTTTTGCGTTCGGAGGTGCCAATGACGGAGTTACCGGGGCCGAGCTTCTGCTCCACGGTTCTCCTGCTTCAATCGCGGTTCTCCCCCAAAACAACTGTATCGACGCGTTAGCATATACAGTCTTCCAGATCAGACTGGTGTGTTTCACTACCTCTCTCCGGCATATCATGGCCCAGATCCCCACGCCACCGCCGTCACGTCCAGGCTCGAAAGCCTCCGACCCTGTGCCAAAGTCCGCGGAGGCTTCGTCGGAGTTGTTGCAGTCGTTGGATGTCCTGCTGGAACAGTATTTGCACCTGCTGGATCGACAGCAGAAGTTGCAGTCAGGACTGGCGAAGCAGTTATCTTCGGTATGACCCTTTATGTTCCGGAGAGGGCTTGGACCCGATATGGCATGATGCTAATCCTTCGGGTAGGGCTTTCTTTCCCTGGCCCATGCGAATTACACCTGTCCTCCCGGTCGGCGATACGGTGCAGATTATTACGATGAGCGGATGAAAGCTACTCGCAAGATGTGAGTAGTATATATGGATATACAGGCAATTGGATTAGCGCTAATGCGTTATGATTGAACAGATCTATTCATGCTGGATCTGAGGTGGACGATGAAGACACAACGGAGGAGCAGGATGGAGCAGACAGCTGTCACCCGGAAAAATTCGAATATATATTCAACCTAGAGAAGGCTGACAACCGTCCCGCCGAAGAGAACACCGACGACAAAGACGCCAAGGACGAACCATATACAAAAGCCACAGAGACCGAGGTATCAACAAACGACAGCGAACCCTACACTCCAGCATCTCAAGATCCCACCGGGGAGCCTCCAGTACCTGAAAAGACCAAGAGCGTCCGCAAGAAGTTCCACTCCGACGATCCTATCTACTGGTACGGCATCCTAGTGCCGCCGTCGCTGCGCACCGCCCAAAAGTCCTTTACCGAAGCTATACAAAGCCAAGTGCCCGACCTGGCGGGCACAATCGTGGAAATGCGCGCGTTGGAACAGAAGATTACTCAAGTTCGGGCCAAGCTTGGGGTCGACACTTCCCAGGAGACCAGGTTTGAGAAGTAGAAAGGGACGGGGACTCAATATCGGTATTGAACTGCGATGGTTATGAAAAGGCGACCATTGGAGCTTCTCTATCCTATATATTTCGTACATGTACTTCGTAGCGGTGCGTTAGTTGCATGAGCTACACCCAGCCCCTCGCAGTCAGGATCAAGCAGTCTCAACTTCGGGCAGCTTTGAAATCCTGTGTGACCCGCTTGAGGCGTCGTTGAAGAAATCCTGTCAAGCCCAAGGGTTCCACGGAGTCCACGTTGGCACGAACGGTGGGCTGCCTCCATGAAATGAAATCCGCAGTGGGTTAAATAATGTCTAGTTAACTGTCGCTAAAGTACGAAATGATTGATACTGCGTCATTGAAGATATTTATGTAATTACTGTCTATAAAAAGAAAACTCTCCGTTCTAGACATGGACTTCCACCCCCTTTTTGTATAAATTGAGATTGTCCTCCGTCCTCGGTATTCCATATGAGGATAGTAGTGCCGTCTGTTGCATACTAGCACTTGTACTAGTCCAACTGTCCTACTGGAATTGCCGGGTAAAACTAGGCGGCCGTTAGCCAGTTTTCCATTCTTCCATGTTTCCATGTTTCAGTCCCGACTCTTTCCCGAAGCGACCAGCTCCGACGCCAACCAGGAGAGTTTAGGCGTGGCGTTGGAGGTTCAAAGGTTGAAAGAGTTGCTCTTCTAGAGTACAGTACCGAAGCATCAAGATCTTAAAAAGAAGACTGTCGACCGGCAAGAACATCACAATAACATTCCCCGACCGTAGTGCCTGAATCAACCAGAAATCAGCCGACCAACCTAACAGTATTAGTATTTATCCTGTCAGAAGTAAACCGATCCCCGGTTTAGCTTTACTTAAGTGTTTACAGTACGGAGTAGAAACGGAGCAGACCAACTTTAAGCGAGGCCGCCCCCTCAACATGAGACGTAGCGTCGGAGACTAACGCCTGGAACACACCCCACTGGTGCAACACCCTCGAGATCGCTCAAGACTTATTCGCCGGTGACAGCTGTGCTCGGCCCCATTGGCACTCGTCTGATTCGGTCCAGGGTCTCGTTCCTTTTCTGATCCATTCACACCCGGTGTTTACAGTGGCTGGGCCCTCGCTCCAAAAGTTCTCGTTCCTGAGAGCTATCTCATCTCGTCCCTGGTGAAGCCATCTGAAACTAACCCCTGGGACGGGGTATCGAAAATGCACCCATCAGAATGCGAGATTGAGGAAGGAAGAGGGCTGGGAAAGATTGATCAGAAGTGTTTTGAAACGTTCACACATTGGATTGAGGGTGATTTTGATTTCTATGGTATAAGTAGGGACCCTGGGGTATGTTTATTATTTTTGTTATTGATACGAGAAGAAGACGGGACTCGGACCAAGTTACCAGCAGAATTAATATCGCCAGATATTAAATTAATCATGGGCCGAGCCAACATACGGAGTACTATTACTATGGTAGTACTGGAGTAGTATTAAGTAGACCCCCACAAGTGTGTAGCGGCGGAGTTGCGGCGGCGCCTCGTAGGAAATTGAAGGAATTTAATCGATTAATCTAATTGAGGGCCAAACTAGACGAGTTATGTGTGTCAGGCTGGAGCCATTTCTGCTTGCTTTTCGCAGGTACGAAGCTCGCTAGGGTGATTTGGATCATTTGATGGGCTTGAGAATGACTCTGGGGGAATCTACTGGGTCTACACGACTGGGTCTGCGACTCTACTGAATTTACTGGTTCCTCGCCTCTCTTTCCTTCTCTTCTCCTCTTCTTCCCTCTCCCTGCGCGTCGCTCTCTTTTCCTTCGAGGAGCTTGAGGCTCTTCCCTATCCTGGCTCGGTGCTTTGCTGTAAGTTTGTGATATCAACTGTACCCCCTAGAAACTTCCATACTGGCCCGGCAATCTCGACATCTTGACATCTCCCGAGTCCCTTGCGAGTCTCCACGGATTGTGTCCACTGGACTCACAGAGCATAATGATTGACACGCTTCCCCAGGCTCCTGCTTAAAACATCCCTAGTTTGATACTAGCGACTCTGTTTTGTTCCTCTCGTTCCATCGTGTTACAGTCTTCCATTGTTGACTTGTGGTAAGCCTTTCATCCAACGTCGAGGGGAATACAGCGATGCCTGGTTGACTACCCATCGAACGATCCTAACTTTGATAACAGAGGCATTGAATGCCCTTCCATTCTTTTGTGCTTTTGATTGCCAGCCTGGACCCGTGGTTCTGCCTATTCGCATTCGATTGGCATTCCGACAAGGCATTCGCTGCTGAGCCTCCGCTGTGTTGATATACGGCAGCCCCATTCTCTCGTTTCGCATCTTCGCATCTACCTTCTTTTCTTCCTCGATCAGGGTATCGAGTCGTTCGACTTTCTCACTGCATTTACTATCGTGCATTATCAGCATCATCAGGAGAACTCTTTTCGCGCTTTTTCTTTCGGCCTCAAAAGATCTTTTTGCGTTTTACTTCATGCCACGGAAAGCCCTAGTTTCGCATCTGAACTCTTCCCTTCGACATATCCGAGCATAATTTCAACTCGCATTATCGACTAGACCAGAGAGCATCAAGACCAATGAGTTCAAGACCTCCCCAAAGTGGTGGGCCTAGTCCCACCCCCTCGAAAGGACCTGATCGCCAAGGATCCGTGAAGAGAGCAAGACAGCTGCTGGAAGCCGGTGTTCGTCCAACTCCAGTACCGGCGCCGATGCCCAGACCTCCTCCTCCCTCAGGTCGACCATCGCCCGCTGCAAGAAATCTCGCCCACCAGACCCAATGGCCTCTTCCTGATTCGGGTCTTCCTCCTCGTCCCTTGCAGCCTCAGCCTCTGAATCCGCAGCATCCACGGTACCTAATGCCCCGTGGCCCTCCGCCGTTCCGGCCACCACGACCCAGCGAAGTTCCCTCGCAAGTTCCCTCTCCTTCGATTTACTCTGTACGCAGTGGTGTAGACTCGGAGACAAATTCGGTTTATCCCATGCTGCATGCCCGCTCTTTCTCCCACCCCAAACCGCTCTTCGTGCAACACCCACAGCACGCACGCTCATTTACGCATGACGGACCTGTGAGCCCAACTAGTACTGTGGACTTGACCCCTCGCATCTCCATTGCCACAGATGAGCTATTCCACCGCCAATCGACTGCTTCTGGCTCGTCTTCGGCTCCCGATGTGCCGCCAATTCCCCTTCCTGAACCGCCTTACCCGCATGATAGCTCTCGTCAACGTGCTGCAGGTCTTGCACCCCCACCAAGCGTTCGCAAATCCGCAGTGTCTCCAATCCCCGAGGAGTTCCCAAACCCCCGTCAGACTCTAGGCTCGCTAGCTTCTAGCCGCGTCATTCCATCCAGCTGGGGATCTGGTCCACCCGAGTCTGAAATCCTAGGCGCGTATCTCGATAATGAGTCGGAAGACGAGGACAGCCACCATACCCATCAAGAAGCAGATGTCACACTCGTCCGGAATGCCAGTCTCGGCAAGCGCGGCAAGCCCACCATGCGAACAATCATGAAGTCGAATCCCAACTCCGAGATAGACCCCATCCCCGACGTGCCCTCCTCCAACCCCAAAGATGAGTATCAGCGGCAACATGCAGCCGCCGAGACAGCTGGCGGGCTTGCAATCGGCACTGCAATCAGTCAGGTTCTTCATGCTCCAAGCACGGGGCGCCGGACATCTGTCTCAACAGGATCGGATGAGTCCTGCGTGGACCCTGAGAAACCACGCTTCGCACAGCAACACGATCACCCGGTATACAATTCGGCTTTGGAGAAGGAGCTTGAGGTTCTGCCCAAGGCTGCCCCGACCATGAGTGATAAGCGACCCGGTGGCAAGAAGCCTCCTCGTCTGGACATGAACGCTGTCCGCGATGCCGAGGCGCGCGGCAGTTTGTCCAGCTTGTCTGATTTGATTCGACGCGCCACCAAGCTAGCTTCTAATCTCGACCGGGGGAAGACTGCTAGTCGGTGTGATATGCTAGGACAAGATGCTGACCTTAAGGCTGCATTGGGTAAGTCTATACGAATGCACCGCACGGATTCAATGATGGACGCTGACTCTCTTTCTCTCTCCAGGTGAGCCAGGCCGCCGACGCGGGTCCGGTTCTATATCCGATATCCTCACATCTTTCCCTCGACCAGGCTTTCAAACGCCGGAGGGCCGCAGCTCATGGCCCGTATTCTTCGGTCGATCTGGTCTGCGCAACGTGGAGCCCCTCCACTCCAATGACGAGGATCCAAATGCCAAACGACCTGCGCGGAAGTGCTGCGGCATGCCACGTAAATGGTTCGTCCTGCTATGCATCCTCCTCTTTATCATCGTGGTGCTCGCCATTCTGCTCCCAGTTTTCCTCGTCGCGATACCGAAGCAAAATCACAGCAACACAAATTCCTGCGCAACCACAAACCCTTGCCAAAACGGCGGTGTGAGTGTGTCCAGTGGCTCAGAGTGCTCGTGTGTGTGCTCGAACGGATACACGGGCTCACAGTGCACCGTGTCTGGAGACAGTAGCTGTGTTACCTCTGAGGTGGAGAATGGCACGATTAGCAAGAACGCTACGATGGGTAGTGGCCTGCCAAATGTGTTCAGTGCATCGTCGAGTAAATTCAATATCACCCTGGACTCGGTGACCATCATGGCGTTGTTCAGCATGAACAACGTCTCCTGCAAGACGGAGAATGCGCTCGTCACGTTTGACGTCCCGACTAGCAGCAGCAAAACCCGCCGCGCCGTCTCTCTGCCTGTGGACCTACCTGAATCCGCAGACGAGGAGGCTGCCCCATCATCTGCACTCGACTCGACCACGCCCACTCCAGTCCTGGGCCCGCGGTCAGTGGCTACCTCGAACGGAATCCTCTACGACAACGCCGCCGCGGCCAGTGCGACCAGTACCGGATCTACGGCGAAGGCCACGACCACGTCCATCCCAGCCTCGTCAAATAGTACCACTCCCAGCACCAGCGCCAGTACCAGCACCAGCGTGCCGACGGAAGTTGTCGAATTCTCACAGGTCGCAGTCCTGTATATCCTAGAAAAGACCGGATCCCTTACATCGGCGATGTGGTCCGAGGGCCAGATCCAGACGTACCTAAGCGACTCGTATGTCAACGCGACACATCCGACGCTGCAGTTGATGGGCTCGTATGGACTGGACTTTGAGAAGAAGACTATTACGCTGCGCAATGGGACGGTGGTTAGCTGAGGAGTCTGAGTTGGGTTGCTTGACGGTCGACAAGATGGGATTTGGATAAACTTGGACTCGGCAACTTGTATAGTGTAGGATTTGATTACATAGCGCTCAGGCTTAGGCTCGGGTTCGGACTCGGATATACATCTCGCTGATGGACCCGTCCTTGGTGTACATAACGTTTTTTAATGCGACGGAGTCAGGCGCCAAGGCTGATTCTGGGGTCCAGCCGAATCTTTGCAAGTTGTCCACCGTCTGATCCGAGTATGGATGTACAATACATCTACAGTATGTACGGAGTACAGAGTGCACATTCCTAGGGTGCATCTCCGTATCTCCACGGATATGCTCACCACCTCCACAATAACGTTCCTTACTCCAAATCGAATCTTCTACAGTATCTGCGTGTATTACCAAGCTTTCCCCGATTGTCATCATAATCATTGCCAAGTATCATACCCAGCCAAGCGGCCACTAGTCCCCTTTGGGCGATGTAAATCACGACATTCAGCGCGGAGGTTGCGTGATAGTGTCACGTGATATCAGCGGCACTTTTTTTTTCATCGATCACGTTATTTCGGCAGTCGAGCTGACAGTAATAAGTTTCGTATGGAATTTAATACAGATACAGGAGGTACAGATCTGTATATCATCAATTGTTAGGTTCATTGATTATTTGCAATTGATGCTTCCCCTTATCCCCCTGAATTGTTTCTGTTCAGGGATCTATGAAGATGGACTCCGCTCGGAGGGAGGAGGAAATGCCGCCCCCTGAAAATCTCCGCCATAAACGAGTACGGGAGTACGTAGGTAGGTGATGTATACTTACTATTCAAGTATGGGGGGTTGACTAACTAGGGGATAGAGTAGTTATGAGATTGATATAGAATATTGTAATATACGATAGGTGTTGAGTATGATTAAGGCTGTTTCAATTGTCTATAATTATCTACTGTATGATGAAACTTGGACTACGCCAAATAGCAATGCTTGCATCTTCGTACAAGTTAGAATTCAATTCGAAACATCGACCTCCTTGGTCATGAAATTTGATAGTCGTCGTGGTGCCCTGGGTTTCCGGGCAGCGGGCCTTCTGGCTGGATGAGATGGACCCGGCCAAGACTCTGGTTGCTCCACCGTTGACGACTGTTGGTCAATGTTGGTCCAGGGCCTGGATGGGATCATCGGGGAGAAGAGGGTACGTACACTACGTATGTGTATGACTGTATGTATTGAGAAGGTGGGGTGGAATGCGTGGAAGCTTCTCTACGGTGTCGTGCTCACTGTACCACTGTCAAGGGCCCTGGCTTGGACCCGTGTTCTTCTTCTTAATTGTGTCTCATTCTTGTTCCTTGTTCCTGTTTCTTCTTCTCTTCTTCTCTTTCTCTCTCATCCTCCTCTTCTCTTCCATCTTTCTTCTTCCTCCCGTGTTTCTCTCTGGGTTGTATACTATTCTTTCGGGGAAAGATCTAAAAGTCCTTTACTCGTTTTTGAATCATTTTCGATTCTCAATTCCCCTCCTCATTCTCCAATTCCCCCTCTATCCTTCTATACAAACATCATGGCCAACGCTCCTCACGGTGGTGTCCTCAAGGACCTGCTCGCCCGCGATGCTCCCCGTCACGACGAACTCGCCGCCGAGGCTGAGACTCTCCCCGCCATCGTCCTCACCGAGCGCCAGCTGTGCGATCTCGAGCTGATCATGAACGGTGGTTTCTCTCCTCTGGAGGGTAAGTTGCCAAGTCCAATTGCGCAATTCGCCAATGTTTTACCCCTCCATTCTTTGCTTTTGTCTCTGCCTGCTGTTTGCCTACGTGGAATGAGCCCTCTCTTTTTTTTTTTGGAGCAGCGCGGGCGGAGATTGAACGGAGGGGTAAAAAGTGTAAAATGTAAATTGCTAACGCCGATCTCGCGCAGGTTTCATGAACCAGGCCGACTATGACCGGTATGTCTTTTTGCCGCCCACCCCACCCCACCCTCCCTACTCCAACACGATGATGCGATTGGAATGGCATTGGAGCCATTGTCTTATTTCCACGTCGAATAATTGTCTAATATTACATTCAGTGTCTGCCAGGACTGCCGTCTCGCTGATGGCAATGTCTTCTCCATGCCCATTACCCTCGATGTCACCCAGCAGATTGTCGACGACAACAAGCTCAAGGCCGGTGCCCGCATTACTCTGCGCGATTTCCGTGATGACCGCAACCTGGCCATCCTAACCATTGACGACATCTACCGCCCCGACAAGTGAGTTTCAAAGTTTCCACCCGTTGTCATACTTTTGCCTATCAACGCCAATCGCCAATGCCAATGCCATTGCCTCTCGCCAATGTCGGGGATTTCGTCGGGGTTGTTGGTTGTTGCTTTTTCCTCGGAGGTCCGCTGCCGATCCCCGCAAATACCCTGGCACAATCTGCAACGTCCGGCGTGCAGAAAGATTATCATGGGGACCACAAGACGGATCTTCGGTCTTTGATGGACAGGGGTGATGTTACTGTCGCTCTTTCTCTGCTTCTACATTGGCGACTGGCAATTGGTACTGGCATTGGCATTGAGCAGCGTTCTCGGTCGCATGCCTCGATTTCCTTACGCAATGAGGGTGCCGACGGGCGGCTCGTGCTTCTTAGTGGGTCTGGACGCTGACGTATTCTTTTCCCCCTGATTTAGGAAGAAGGAGGGTGAGCTTGTCTTCGGTGGTGACGAGGAGCACCCCGCTATCGTCTACCTGAACCAGACTATTAAGGAGCTGTACGTTGGTGGCAAGGTCGAGGCTGTTAACAAGCTGAACCACTACGACTATGTCGGTCTGCGCTGTAAGTTTTACTTCCGCCTCAATTGGTCCGGAATGCCTGCCAAGATCACAGCTGGATACTAATATACACTTGATAGACACCCCCGCTGAGCTGCGCGTCCACTTCGACAAGCTGGGCTGGTCCCGCGTCGTCGCTTTCCAGACCCGTAACCCCATGCACCGTGCTCACCGTGAGCTGACCGTCCGCGCGGCTCGCTCCCGCCAGGCCAATGTCCTGATCCACCCCGTCGTCGGTCTGACCAAGCCCGGTGACATTGACCACTTCACCCGTGTCCGCGCCTACGAGGCCCTGCTCCCCCGCTACCCCAACGGCATGGCCGTTCTGGGTCTGCTCGGCCTGGCCATGCGTATGGGTGGTCCCCGTGAGGCCATCTGGCACGCTATCATCCGTAAGAACCACGGTGCCACTCACTTCATTGTCGGCCGTGACCACGCCGGTCCGGGTAAGAACTCCAAGGGTGTCGACTTCTACGGCCCCTACGATGCCCAGCACGCCGTCGAGAAGTACAAGGATGAGCTCGGTATCGAGGTCGTCGAGTTCCAGATGGTCACCTACCTGCCCGACACCGACGAGTACCGCCCCGTCGACCAGGTCCCCGAGGGTGTCAAGACCCTGAACATCTCCGGTACCGAGCTGCGCCGCCGTCTGCGCACCGGCGCCCACATCCCCGAGTGGTTCTCCTACCCCGAGGTTGTCAAGATCCTGCGCGAGTCCAACCCCCCTCGCAACGCCCAGGGTTTCACCATCTTCCTTACCGGTTACATGAACTCCGGCAAGGACGCCATTGCCCGTGCTCTCCAGGTCACCCTGAACCAGCAGGGCGGTCGCTCCGTCTCCCTGCTGCTGGGTGACACTGTCCGCCACGAGCTCTCCTCCGAGCTGGGCTTCACCCGCGAGGACCGCCACACCAACATCCAGCGCATTGCCTTTGTCGCCTCCGAGCTGACCCGCGCCGGTGCCGCCGTCATCGCCGCCCCTATCGCCCCCTACGAGCACTCCCGGCAATACGCCCGTGACGCCGTCTCCCAGGCCGGCAACTTCTTCCTCGTCCACGTCGCCACTCCTCTTGAGCACTGCGAGAAGACCGATAAGCGCGGTATCTACGCCCGTGCTCGCCGCGGCGAGATCAAGGGCTTCACTGGTGTCGATGACCCCTATGAGGCTCCTGAGAACGCTGACCTCGTTGTCGATTGCTCCAAGCAGTCTGTTCGCAGCATCGTGCACGAGATCATCCTTGTGCTTGAGAGCGAGGGTTTCTTCGAGAAGGCCCAGTAAATAATTGGACTGGCATGGCATGGCATTGTGTCTTGCTGGATGATTGATTGATGGATCTTGTGATTTCTTTTCTTTACGTTTTTCTTTTGTATTCCCTTGGAGCTACATTTCCCCATAGAAGATGTCTATTTTGCTTTTTAATTGCAACTGGATTCCCCTAAATTAGACTTTACAATCGCATTTTTGACTGCAAATTGGTGTCTTGATTGTAGATGTTGACTACTCGAGCAGTAAATTTTGTATGATTTGATATCGAGCAGCTTCTAACGGGCGATGTCGATTGATTGAGAAAAGACAACGATCGTCGAGCTCGGCTACACACGGGACGGTGTTAAGCGCTATGATTAATAACAGTAAGTCGATCTACAGTAACTAGATCATGATGCTCTGTACTGTACTGAAGAAACATTTTGTGGTAACAATATAGTCACACGTGACCTTGAAATCGCAACCCCACGTTATCTTGGCAAGTGCCCTGCAAACAGTGCAAACAGGAAAGGTCAAGGTCCTCGAGCAATTCATCTATGAGCCTCTCGACACTCCATCCAGCAAACCAACAATGCTACCCCCTCGCGCCGCCCTCGGGCGAATACCAGGTCACTTACGACCGGTGCTTCCTCTGCGAACACCTGGTCCAAAGGTCCGCCTCCAACCATTCACTCACCGCAGCAGACTGCTTCTCTCCCCTCCGCCCGGCCGCCCTCAACTACCCTTCCTATCACCATTGACACCGATTCGCTCTCTCCCACCGCTCTCCATCCACCTGCGCCAGCACTTCGGGCGCTTGATCTCCACTGAAAGTCGCGCACACTTTAAGAAGCGTCTTTCCCGTGGCTTGAAGATTGGTCTCTCTTTTTATGCTATTCTCGTCCTCTTCCAGATCATCAAGCTAGGTTTATACCAGGAAGATATCGAGCATGAATGGCCTACGCCGGCGGAATGGTCTTGGAAAAGTCGTTGGTGTTTGCGCTCTGCCCAGGCTATCATGCATCCCGAGCATATTGGTAAGCTGATGACCAATTGGCCCATGGTCGCTGGTTATCTGCGCGAGCTGCTGGAGCGTCTGGAGAATACCGATGGGGAAGGCAAGGGAATCGTTGAACAGGAAGAGGGTGGCCTTCTCGTTGAAGGAGTTGGAAAAACCGGTCTGGATGTCTCTGCGAAGAGCGAGCACTGGCGCCGTGGCTATTTCCAGGCTCTTATGGGCGCGGCCAAGGCTGCGGAGAACCTGGATGGTTGGCTGACGGATCGGAAGCAGAAGATTTCTGCGCCGGCGGAGTATGTCGTTGGTCCGTCGAACCCGCGGCCTAAGCCGATGCCTGCGGGCCAGAAGAAGGTGCCGCAGGAGGAGGATTGTGAGGCTGCGTCTCCGCCGCCGGAGACCTTTTATATGAAGGTCCTCACTACGAAGGGCTTTGATACAAGGCAGAAGCTGGATGCTGCGCTTGCGTATGCGGATTGGCTTGATTATAAGGGTCTGGGTCGTACTGCGGGTGATATGTACACGTGGGCGCTGGATATTGCCGCAGGTGGACTCGAGGGTGATGCCAATAAGGTGGTAGATCTTGAGACAGGCATTCTGAAGAATAACGGTTCTGATCTGCCTTCTGAAAACATCCTTCGCGTCTCGACTGCGCTGGCTGTTCACAACGCCCGCCAGGGTAACCTGCCCACTGCGCTCTCCCTCTTTACATCCGTCCTCAAGGCACGACGCAGTCTCCCTACTACCCCATTCTTCAATCACACTTCCCCCCTCTCTCTCCCCTCACAAACACACGCTTCCAACGACCCAATCACCGGCTTCGTCACATCTCTCAAAAAAATCTTCAACCCACCCGAATACCCACCTGCCCTCCCATCAGGAAACACACCCCCCCTCCGCACCCCATCTTCCACCTGTGACGAAGCAGGCCTAATGACCTATATCGGCGAAATCCTCTACGCATCCTCATCCCGCGACCACGGCCTCGCCTGGACCCGCGACGCTGTCGAAATCGCCGAGTCAACCATGCTCCAACTCACCAGTCCCGAGGACAAACCCGCGCGCGCACGTTGCGCGCAGTGTCTCAAAGTTGGTCTCGAGAATTGGAAGGCCATGGTGTCAACACGTGTAGCACAGGCGAAGAAGGAGCAAGCTGAGGGTAAGGGTGCTGGCAAGTCTAAGTCCTGGTTTGGTAGTCGTGGATCGTCCCAGAGTGCCAAGGTTGAGGAGGTGAAGAGGTGGGAGGCGGAGGAGGCACTGCTGGAGGATCGGATAAGGAGGCTTTTCCCTGTGCTTGTGGGGGAGTCGGGGTTGGATTCGTTGTCGCCGAATAGTTCGTTGTTTGTGTGAGGTGTTTTCTAGTATTTGCATTGCATTCTGTGCCATTGGGTGGGATTTTGGATGTGGGCGTTTTCTTAGGTTGTATATCCCTGGTGTTGTATATAGTGTTGTGAATTGTATCAATATGATGTGTGGGTTGATTGCATATGACATCTTGTGCTTATTATATGGATTTGTGAAAGGTCGAGTCCCTTATTACGGGTTGTAGTGTTGCTCTAGTCGTGCTAGGGATCTATATAACTAGCCCTGAGAGGTTGAGGTTTGTATAAAGCTCTAGTATATGTAAGTCTAGCACTCTCGTTCTACAACTTGTCGAATGATGTCTCCTCATCTCTGAACTCCGGGCAAACCAGATTAGGAAGATATAAGATGTTCTAGGAGGGAGAAAAACATTTCCATCGTTATCTTCATATTTGCAGCAAGAAAGAGCATAGTGAACTCTAGATCTCAAACCTAGTATACACAGGCCCACCAATCCTTCATACATCTATACACACGTCTATACAAACCCTAAACCTTCACCTCCTCCCCCCTCCCCCCTTCTCATCCCCATCCATACTCCGATTCCCCAAAAATCCCGCACAAACAACCCCCTTCCCAACCGCACAAACAACCAACGGTACCCCCCTACCCACCCCCCTTCCCAAACCCGCACCAACAAAACACCCAGCAACCAACATAACCAAAAACCCCACCCTCCGATTCCTCCCCCGATTTTTTCTTCTAACTAACCCCGGATCACTAACAACATCCACAAATGCCGCCGTCGCCATCGCAGTCGTTATCTCTGTCATCCCTAACGACCGCGCCATAGCGACTTGCGCGCCACTCGAGAACGCGAGACATCCTATTACGATTCGAGCTGTGAGGCCATCGCGGGTTATTGGGTAGGTTTGTTGGATTGCGACGGCGGCGAAGATGAGAAGTGTTTGGATTAGATTGGTGAGGAGGAGGAAGCCGCGGATGCGGATCCCTAGGGCGTTGCCTGTTTGGCCGAGGATTAGGGCGCCGGCGACGAAGAGGGTGAGGCTTGTTGTTATGTTTGGGAAGCTGTAGCTTAAAGATTGGGATTGGGATTGAGGGGGGTTTGGGGATGTTAGGCCTATGGCGAGGAAGATGGCGTTGCCTGTTTGGTTTGAGGCGAAGCAGGTGTAGTCCGGCCAGGTTGAGGCGTCTTGGATGCCGGTTAGGAAGGTGAGGAGGAGTAGTTGGGTTTCTAGGAGGAGGTCTTCGCGGATTGGTTCTTTGAGGAAGGTTTCCAGGGGGGAGGGTTTGTGTTTTTGGTGGAGGGTTTCTGGTTTGGGGGTGGAGGTGATGGTGGTGGGTGTGGACATGGTAAGATAGGTATGGATGGATAGATGGTTCTAGGGAGGGAATGTTGTTAGTATAGTGTTTTTAGAGGGTTGTATAAGAGTGTTGATAGTGGTTGGACATCGTTAGACCTACTATTCTATAGGAGGATGGCCGTGAGTATACAGTTTGATAAGTAGCGTTTCCCCCTTCAGGGCTTCTTAGAAAAGATATCGAAGAGTGTGTATTATTTCAGGGCGTGGGATAAATATTTGAGATCAAGCAAATGGGAAGAGGTGTATAGAACTGAAGTAGATGCGACGAATTGCTTAATCAATAAATCGAAGGTCATAAGAGGAAACACTATTCAAGTCAGTTCAAACATAGCCCAGCCCGCGGCATTGAAAGCTTATATACTCCTCCACCTCTTACCATTGCCTGCTCTCTACTTACAGCTGTAGATCACCCGGACATTCCAGGCTGACGTATATCCAAAGAATCCCCGAGAATGCGGGATTCCCTTGCCCACGGAGATGGGTGAGATCGCCCACGAGGATGAATACAGGCAAGCTGGTTAGAATGTCATTTAGTCGGTTTACTATACTTTATTATGTGATATAGTAGGATAAGAGTCATACCAAGACGGGAGGCGTCTTAAAAGGTACTGCTAATATTGTCTTTCCCATCGTTCTGGGGGGTCTAATTAGACTTTCGGAGGGAGGTATGCTTTGTTATAGTTTTGCCCTTGCTTCCGGTGGTGGCGCTGATTATGGGGATTTGGAAGAGTCGATTGATTGTATGGCGTGTAGAGCTGCTAGGTAATTTTCTGGATTTCAAAAGATCGTAATACATTGGTCTGAAGGGACTCGTCAGGTGTTGAATTCATCCTATCGATCTACTACTATACACCCAATCACTGTGTATAACGTCTTGGCGAAGAAGCCATATAAGAACTTGGCAAATTTGAAAATTAGTTTCTAGCTTTCAAGTATTCAATCAGGACCCTATACCCAATGATATTCCAATTTAATGATTGTACACAATGTACAATGGCTAGTGTTAGGGTATCGAGTATCGCTTACACGTGATGTTGAGTGGGCAAATCCACGGCTTGATTGTGTTCCTCGCGGGTCCAACCTTAAATCAACAGATCCAGTATAAGTCTAGTAGTGGTCCAATCCAAACTGGTCTTACACTCCACCCATGAAATAGGCTCCAAAGGCTGGCCTGCTACGGTGCCTGGCCCCTGAAACGCTTTGAATCTCCCTGAGTCAGAGCCGCAGAGCCTCCTCTGCTGCCTGCAGCGGGGGCGATGAAAGTTCCAGCAACAAAACCTCCAGCAGCTCTGTCTTTGTCCTGGCACCTGCCCTGGATAGAAATGGAATAGGATGTCTGATCAAAGTCCGCCAAAGCTAAAGTTGGTACTAGCCTCGTATCAGCTGTAAAAGCATACAAACAACCCAAATCTGGTTGTATGCTCGTCACCGTTGCGCGACAGCCTCAATATCTGAACCTGACAACAAACTTCCACTTTACACTTCCACGCTACACTTCCACTCTACACTTCCACTCTACACTTCCACTCTACACTTCCACTCTACACTTCCACTCTACACTTCCACTCTACACTTCCACTCTACACTTCCACTCTACACTTCCACTCTACACTTCCACTCTACACTTCCACTCTACACTTCCACCGCGACTCTCATTTCCCCTTTCTTTCTCAGTCTACCTCAAGACCTTCCTCCCCCTCTTACTACGACCGTCTCCAGCATCTCCTTCCTCTGATCTCCCATCCATGTATTTTCCAACGATTTGATTTCGTCCCCTGCGATCTCCCAAGATTCAATCGTCATGCCGACCAGACACTTTCAGAGGGATCTGAATGAAGCCACCACCCTTGGCCAATTTCCGCACATCACTCGCGTCAGGGCTGGCGAAGGCGACGGATCAATCTCATTCACTTACACCGACACTGGAGCTGGCGATACATTTCATTTTGAAGCCATCGTTCCTGGTACGTTCCATGTTCCACCAAGCTCGGGACTGGTGGGTCTTCATCTACTAACCAGCCGCAGATCCCCATGATTACCCCTCAACCCACACTTTCTTTGTCTACTCCACTTCCGACAATGTCCCTTCCGAAATCACCAGGGCCGTCGATGAAATCGTCCCTCGGTTTGAAGGCTCATCGATCAATGATGTGCTGTCGACCTTGGACTGCGTCGTCTCCGACGTGATCCAGGGCTGCACCCCTCAGTCTTCCGAAGATGTGGACGACATTGCCATGTCTAGTGGTCAGGAGTTCGGTGACGACATTGAACTCTCCGATTGGACAGATGATGAGGATAGCTTCTTCGCGTCGACCGAAAACCCTGACAAGGTGCTCGAGAAAGTCCGCCGTGACTTGCGGGCTGCGAAGCTCGCGGGATTCAAGGTGGGATATCATGGCAATCCAGCGGGCTTGATCATCGTGTCATTGGCCATGCGTATCGCCAAAATGGGAATCTCGGAAGAAGCCATGAGCGCATGGAATGTGCGCCCGGCCGAATATTTGGTCCTCTTGATCCGCTACAGCCGATACCAGACCATGGAAGACCTTTACGTGAGCGGCGATTCAAAGATTCAGATGCGAGTTGGACTGTGCGATTCCTACAAGCCCTCCTTTGCCAGCACCACTAAAGCCTTCCAGGAGAATTTCACCCCTCGTGACCAAAGCCGACAGTCAAAGGTGGAAGACCAGGACCCGGGGCCGACCCTTCGAGGATTGTTCATCGGGACAGCCCTGGATAAGCTGCTTAATGAGCAATATCTTCATATCGTGAGGCTCCGATTGAAACATGGCTTTTCATGGACCGGCGCAGAGACATTCTTTCATGCTGGTCAAGGGAAATTTATCGGCCCTGATGACGCCAGCTCGCCAGAATTTGCCCTGCAGGATACCTGGATCACGCCTGCTCCGGGTTTCATGCAAACAGATCCTGTGGCCGACATGAATCTGACTCCGTCCGATATCTCATTCCCTCTTCTAACCAAGCTGTTTCTGCTACGTCACTTCGTCAAGTGCACCGAGTTCTGTCTCGTCTGTCACTGCAAAACCAACGATAGCTTCGAAGCGCTGAAGCCCTACGTGTGCTCGAACGGACTTTGCCTGTTTCAATATATGACCCTGGGCATTGGACCTAGTCTGGAATACGAGATTCGCACACAGCCGTATGTCGTTGATATGCTAGTCAGCTTGGCCTACGCAAGAGCCAAGTCTGGCCGTCTAACAGACTTCCCGATTGGACTCGGCCTCCATGTTCCGAATATGGCGCTACTCGACGCTGAATCTACTGATCCGTATGGTCCCCATAATGTTGTGACTTTGAGCACTCCTCATGACGACTGGAAGCCTTCAACATCCTATGAGGCTAAGTTATCTGGGGCCACAATGGAACTCTCGCACAAATTTGTCCCCAAAGTCAAGGTTGGCACCTGGATAGTCATCCTCCACCCGGAGACACCTGTGGCAGCAAAAGAAAAGACACAAGCTCCCTGGCATTGCCGGGTGCAGCGGGTTGGGGAGACCTCTGGACACATCACTCTATCCCCTCCTCTCGTTCGCGGCGTGCAGCTGTCAGAAAAGGAGGTCCTCAACAGATATCCGGTCTCGGCACCGATACGCTATGTCATTTACGACACGAACTTTGATGTACTCTCGGAAGATAGAAGACGGAGGACTATAATCATGCTCCTTGCGACCCTTCCCAATGTCGATTCGATGTTAGCTTTCCTGGGCGACCACGAATCTGGCAAGCTGCTTTCTTCATGGCATGAAATGATCACCCCGGCTGCATTGGATCTGCTGCGATGGATCGTCGCCTCCAATCGTTCGTGCATCTTGCAAGATGGTAGGCATGCAGATCACCTGGTATCCGCAATGGACGGATATCTTCAATTCCGGCTGGTTCAAGGAGCGCCCGACAAAGAGCAACGCTTCATGGAGGCTGTCAATCGGCATGCCCTGCGCACAAAACCTGCATGGCCCACAATTTTTGCCTGGCATGGGAGTCCAGTGCATAATTGGCATAGCATTCTCCGAGAAGGTCTGCACTTCAAGGCAATTGCAAATGGGCGATCCTTTGGAGACGGGGTGTATCTGTCGAGTCACCACGGGACATCGTTCCACTACGGAGGTTACAACGCAGGTGGCAGCTGGTCTCAAAGCAAGCTGAAAATCCAGTCCATGATATCCTTGAATGAGATTGTCAACAATCCAGCGGAATTTGTGTCAACCAATCCGCATTACGTGGTCAATCAGCTTGACTGGATTCAGCCTCGATACCTCTTCGTGCAAGTGGGAGACACGTCCACCTTGCTCGAGACCTCTAGGGGAACTGTGCCATCTGCAGTTTATGAACAGGATCCCGCACATCAAGTCTACGGTCCAGAAAACAAAGTTGTGCAGATACCCATCTCCGCTTTCAGCAGCAAGCGCCGACAGGGGTTGACGGCCTCGCCGCGCAAACCAAAACCGACCAGGAAGAAGAAAAGAAATTCCAAGGGCTCTCCAATTCCAATGGAATTCGACCAGTTTGATGATACAGCGAGCATTTGCACTGACATTGAAGATCTCACGATCCTTCTGTCTGACACTGAGAAAGAGCCGGATCAAGTTTCTTCGAAGAAGAAGAAAGTCGACACTGTCCCCAAGACCGACTTCATTCCTGGCACTTTGAGAGAGGCATCTTTGCCTCTAATGTCACCACCCGCTTACGCGACTACCCCGGCTACTTCCCTTCTCCAACGGAATCTCCGGGCAACCCTGAAGATCCAGGAAAACGAGCCACTTCATGAGCTGGGTTGGTACGTGGATCCATCTCTGATTAAAACGGTCTACCAGTGGATCGTGGAACTGCACACCTTCGATCCAAGCATTCCCCTCACCCAGGATCTCAAGGCTGCCAATCTCACCAGTGTTATTCTCGAGCTTCGTTTCCCACCGCAATTTCCGATGGATCCTCCATTTGTCCGCGTTATCCGCCCTCGGTTCCTCGAATTTGCTGCAGGTGGTGGCGGCCACGTCACGGCTGGAGGAGCTATCTGCATGGAACTGCTCACCAACTCGGGTTGGTCGGCAGTGACTACGATGGAAAGTCTTTTGCTGCAGGTGCGCCTCGCGATCAGCACCAAGGATCATCCGGCACGATTGGCACCACATGGTCGTAATTATGATTACTCTGTTGGGGAGGCTGTTGCGGCTTATACTCGAGCTTGCAGGACGCATGGATGGGCGATACCGAAGGATATGCAAGCACTTTCGTGGTGATGATGAGTTTTGAGAAGAAAATGGTGGCAGTTCACGCGGCAGCTAAATATTGTTATCCAGCCGCTTGCTTTGTTTTCGTCAGCCTTTTTTTCGTTCTGATCTTTATTCCTAGTCTGGGCCTCTGGGCCTGTTTCTAGCTTTGACGTTTTAGATACTTACACCATCAGGATATGAGATAGTTCAAAATGTAATGACAATCTATTCATTATGATTAAGTACAGGTTAGATCTTCTAAAGTCATATAAACCCCCCCCCCCCATCTCTATCACCAACAATAATCCATCTAATACCCTCCCTTACATCCCATCCTACTCCGCAGCAATCGCAGCATCCCAACACGCCTTAATCCTACTCCAATACTGCTCCGAATGCAACCTCATATGCCCAACATGCGGCGACCCCTCAAATAATTCAGTCTCAACACCCCGATACCCCAACCTCTTAACACCAGCAACATTCTCCTCCAAATCCTCATACCCAATAATCTCATCCTCCTTCGAATACAAATACAACCTCCAACTATCCCGACTAGTAACCCCCTCCTCATTCATAATCCGATTCGCCCACACCCCCGACGGCTCCGACCCCCTCACCCTCTCCAATAGATAATTCCCCCACAAAAACACCCACCAAAGCGCCTGCGTCACGATAAACGGCCACGGAAACATCTTCGCCGTTCCCACCGCCATAGCCCGAGACCACCGGCCTACCTGTGCGGAGAATACCAGCCCGCCGGGCGTGGAGTCGCAGACGAGTAGCTTGTGTGGGAGGGTTTTGTCTTTCCCGTGGCGCTCTTGGTATGCGACCATCGCTGCGGCGATGAAGATTCCGCCTGTGTTGGACATGGCGTGCATCAGGACACGTTCTTTGGGACTGTTGCCGCCGTCGCCGGTTGGTGTGGGGAAGACGGTGTCGATTATGGGCATCATTGCGCTGACGCGCTCGGGGAGGGGTTGGTTGGAGGCTTGGAGGGTTTTGGAGATTGCGACTAGGATTCGGGTTGAAGGGTAGAGGTCGGCGAAGCCGTCGGCGTATTTGGAGACATGTTTGGGCATGCCGTCGCCCCAGCCGAAGATTATGATTGTTGTTGGGTGGGAGAGCGGTGGGGGGTTGGTGTTTGTGGCATTGCGAAGGTAGATGCGATCTGATAGAGGGGTGAAGCCTGGGAATGGGATTGGTTTGGGTGGCATTTTAATGAAGCTGTGAGCTGTATAGCTTCTTCTTTGGATGTGCGCAAGTGATATAGAGGGCTTTTCGTGGCGTGACGCGTGTGGATGTCTAATGTTGTCTTGTTTCGTCTCTAGAAAAAAGCAACGTTGATGTTAATTATCGCTGTTCTAGGCTCCCTTTAGGGTTCTTATAAGAATGAAAGATGTTTCCGCTGAACCCCGGGTACGAGAAGGAAAAAAGTCCCTCTTTGGCAGTGCACTCCGTCGGCCTTGTTGGGAGATCTTGGTAGCTCCGTAGATAATTTTCTGAGCCAATGTCTTTGCAGTGAGTGGGGTCGTTGGGAAGTAGATGGACGCGTTGGCAAATCATGAGTCAGGATGGTACCTCGGCTTTTGCCTTTTTGGAATGAGATTAGATGATTAGAGATTGGGATCCACTTGGTGATTCCCTGGATAAACCAGTACAGTACATATTGGTGGTGTTGTAGTGTGATTGTATGGGCTGTTTGTACAAATTATGCAGAATTAGGAAATTTGAATGAGACTTGTAGCCAGTATATCTAATTGCTTAGGGTAGTTATTCAGGTAAAAAGGATCTTTAACTTGATAATCGCATGTGCGGAAAATGTCGATCGGGCACCGCAAGAATTCAACGGCGGGGGTATCCCGACGGAAGGTTTGATATTGAACTTTCCCTAACAAGAGATATGTACATTAAACTGACTTTCTTGATTGACTTGAATCATACTTTATCCGAATTTATCTAGGTTAGTTAGGTCAACGATCTACAAGTTACAACAAAACATATAGATATAGATGGCAATCTTCAGACCTCACAAACCCCGCTTCATTTCTATCGGATGATAGTTGTGGAAATGATGAGGGTAAAATGAAAATGACAGCTTCCTACACTCCTAAGGAAGTGTTCTGAATACGAGATCGGTGGCTAGAATGGGGTCGATTGCAGCCCTGAATATGGAACCGGATGAAATGGACCCCAGATGCCGATCTTCCTCGGTATGACGTGAGCTTACTGACGAGCAGCTTCGTATTTCAGAATCCAATGGAGTACAGTCTTCTTGAGAGTTGAAATAAACAGAATGGAACATCGAAAACGCCACTGGGATACTCTGTACAAGCGGAATCGATCTCGTAAAATCCGCCCTGACTGAAGAGAAAGATAATTCAAACTAAATTTGGCATGCTTTAGCTCATTGAATTCCAGAACCGTATAGTATTGTAGTATTTGCCGTGTTGCTCATAAAGTATATAATTTTTCTTTGCTATCGAATGCACGAGTCGCTGTAGATTATTTGAATCTAGAATCAAACTATATTTCCCAAGATGACCATTCATTATCCAATATTCATATGTTTCATGTCAAGTGTTCATCACAAGAAATGCCGGACCCATTCAAAGCATACCAGCAATAGCTATCACGGCAGCAGCCCCGAGAGGCGCAGCAGTAACCATCGCCTTAGCCGGAGCAGCCGCACCACCAGACGGAGTCTGCGTCGCCTGAGAAGCAGTAAACGACGCAATACCACCCGTAACAAGAATCCCCGCGGTCGCCAACTGCCTCGTAGGCAAATTCTTGTTCTTCGAAGAAGTCGAAGTCGAAATGCCCCTACCATCAACAGTACCACTAGCCTTGAAGCTCATACTGCAAGACGCAGACTCAGTGTAAGACTTCAAATCGCACTTCCACTCCCGGGTCACGGTGACAGCATTTTTTCCGGTAGAAGAAGCGGTGTAAACACCCGTAAAACTGGCGGTGGCGGGACCTTGGATGATGGTCCAGGGATCCTTGATATTGCAGCTGAGTGTGTTTGCGCCGGGCAGGCACTTGATTTGGTATGTTGTGGCGAGCGCGTTGATTCCGGCGACGCTGGCGGCGGTGCTTTCGTAGCGGGGGATGGTTATGTCCCAGTCTGGGTAGACGATGCCTTTGGTTGTGCTGCTGCTGTCGGCGGCGGCGACTAGCGTGGCGAGGGCTGAAGCTAGAAAGACGGAGGGGCGCATGATGTGAAGATGTAGATGTAGATGTTTTGGTGAGGTAGGAGAGGTTTAACGGTAGTGAATTTGATTACGCAGCAAATTGATTGAGATTTTGACCAGAAGAACTGCTAGCACCCAAGTGACAAATTTCAGGGAATTATTGCTTCGTTAAAAGTTCAAGCCGCATAAAGATTGTTTCGTTGCAGCCTTGCGTAAGACCCTCAGACCCCTGTTATCCATGGAGCTGGCGAACCAAAAGTGAAGCTTTCACTCTGGCCAAGACACCAAGCCGCTAATTTTTCCTGGGCTATCAGTCTGATTGGAGGTAAGCCAGGAAACCAAGCCAATAGTAATCCTAGAAGCGGGGAAGCGCACAGGGAACTAAAGAAGACCTTGGCTATGAGCCCAAAATGAGGAGTAGGAACAAGAGCTTGGCTACGCCGTGGCCCTTAGTGTTGCCAGCAATGGCTGCCCTCTCCGCATGGGGTTCGTTAGGTTGCCTGACTCGTGTACGGACAGAAGAACAGTCGCGGAATTATTTGCTGGCGCGATAACTTGTGAATCTGCTATTGAGGTATAGCAGTCCCGAGTCTCGGATTCGACATTCATTGTAGAAAACGATCAGTCACGCATCGAGCCTCGCCTCGCTAAAAGTTCTGTTCTCATCGTCGGGTCCGGAGCTTGTGTCCCTAGCATGGACCCTGCAAGACAGACTTGGTGGATCTCGAAGCCAGGCAGGCTTATCCGGCAAATGCTAACTCCACTCGTCAGTAGCCGCGAAAAACGGCCATACAAGATCAAATATGGAAGCAAGAGGAGGACGAGCGAGCTTTGAATTGAGGAGTTGGAAATGTGTGCTTCTCATGGGAGAGGAAATCGCCAAATTCATTGGATGGAAGGTCGGTGAGCTGCGAAAATTCAGGGACGAAGCGGCTCTCAAACCAAGTGTGGGGGCCAAATTATGGTCTGTGGATACCACGAGGAAGTTGTTTAAGTACATACCGTATCATTGAAGCTAGTTCATTTTTTGAATGATTGTAGACAAACTTATATTACAAACGGGTATCTTTAAATTCTATGCGTCGCTAATGGTTTATGATAGATCTTGAGATCCCGGCGCTTTCATCAGATGTGACCCTCTCGTCGCATGTGGCCGGCTGATCGAGTATGGCTGATCCGTGAAACTGGGATCATCTGCAAACACAGTTTCATCAACAACCTCTTCTTCGGGCGCAGGAATCGGAACCGGGTCAGAAACCTCCTCCGACCGGTAAGTATACACATAACCTCGTTCGAAATGTATATCCTCTGGCTTGATGTTGGGATGTTGAACATCAGGCCATGTCGCGTAAACCACGCTCTCGCCTCGCAGAATGTGCTTGATATTGAGCATTGTGCTATACACCACACCCCAGCTAGCTGCACGCTCCATTTGAATTCCACCCTCGTGCCCACTTTGATCAGTTCCCTTAGATGGCAATCCAGCAGATCGGTATGTTCCTGTCAAAGAGGGAAACGGCGCAAAACACTTGAGCAGGCCGCTCTTACACATGCGACCAAGTTCTAGATCAATCTGGTCCCCAGTCTGGAGCTGACCCTCGAAGCCGGACGGGTTCACTGATAAGGCGGCGAGGACACGCTGGGCACCGCGGTAGCTCATGGCATATGCTGGGGTGCAGGCGGCATCTTCCATAGTGCATACAAGTCGTGTGTCATCGGGTCTTATATTCTCTGGAGGGCCACGGTAATAAGTTGGGAGATGAGTCGATTTTAGAAGCGTGGGGTCGCCTGGAATCATGTAAAAAGGTAGTTCGTTCTTGCATGAGGCACCACAATGGCCGAGCCAAAGGATGTCCCATTCATCTCCGTAAGGAGAATCTGTGTGATTTTGAGTTGTGCCTTGAAGTGTTCGGACAGCGTGGGCAAAGGTTTGTAGCTGGAGTTTGATTGATATATCCCAATCGACATCGTCTTCGAGTATAAGGGCGGTACGAAGTCCTTGTTGGACGATTCTGGTAGAGTGTTAGCCGAAAACCAAAATCCGTCTTTATAAATTCGTCACATACTTTTGAGCTGCATTGAGATGCGCTCGGAGACAGGCATACTCCGTGGCAGAATGCTCTTGGTTCCAGTTCTGGAAGGTGTTAGCGATCAGATCGAGCCACAGGATTTAGAAATTACAAACATATGGATAGGTTTTGGGGTTTATCTCATCTGCATTCACTCCGTCGATAAAGTCAATCACAAACCCGGTCAGTGATGAGCCCAGGACTAATTGATCGCGCTTGTCTGTCCGACTCAGGATGTTGATAGCCAAAACCTTACTAAACTATACATTTGTTAGTTAAGACGAAACAGCGATGAATGTATCTCGACCCATGTACCCCTAGTGTAGCATTCATAATATCTTGAATACTGTCCTGGAACTGGTGTTCCTTCAAGGCCTCCTGCTCTTGTATCCTCTGTTCATCAGAGACCTTTTGTCCATTCCAGGACTCTTGATCTGCCTGCAATCGCGGGTCATGAAACCTCAGCCATGTCAAAGCACATGTGACAAGGCCTATAATTGGTATGATCCATCGTATAGACCGCGTTTGGTAAGCTACTTGAAAACCCATGTTGGCTATTTGTAAACTGGGGTACGGCGGACTACCCAAGCATGCCGAAACTCGAGAGTAACAAAGTGAGAAATCTGGCACTGCGTCCCTTTAAACAAGGGACAGCAGATTGGCCCCATTTTATCAGCCGTCTCCAATAGAAAAGCATAAAGCTTCGCCTCAGTTGGTCTGACGGGGCCAAAAGAGTGATGTGCGGCCGGGTGGAGACCATCGTGGAAGGAGTACACTGTACTCCGTACCGAGGATCGTTTCAATACAGTAGTTAAAGGGAGCGAGACTCATTATCGTTTCAGCGGTAGTAAAGTACTTTTATTTTCCAACTAGGAATTGAGACCAAGTCTGTTTTCATGTTTGTGTCTGGATAGATGCTGGGTTATGTTTTGTCCAGGGAGGGCCCCCACGCCTGCGGCTGAGGATAGAACGGGGGCCATGCAAGCGAATTAGAGTAACTTGAATGAAATTTGACCGGCAGAATCCTGAAATTGACCAAGTCCAATCACTAGTTACCGTAGCGATTGTTTGATGATTAATAGATCAGCCAGGGACCCTGAACTTCCTAATTAGGTAGGTGAAGGTACTACTATCCAGAGGCCTGGGACGTCAATCTTAGCCGGAGGGCGGTCCTGAAAGCGGTCACGTTCTACATATGCACTGCGCGATAACCTATTATGGGGTGTTTCGCCCCCAATATTCAAGACAGACAGCGGTGGCCAATAATAATGGAGGATAATGCGATCCCTGATTGGGCTCAGTTCTGAGCTGTGGTGGACGGCGGCCAATAAGCGCAGTTTAGAATAGTATACATCGAATCATGCAAGAACTGAGAATGGCGGCCAAAAAGCGCAACTTTAGAAAAAAAGGTAATACACAGAGTCATGCAAGAACTTTAAACTTAGCTAGAAGAACTAGATAGCTAACTGACTTATTACTGCCTACAATAGGAGGACTTCTAAATCAGTATATAGTAATACGGTCGCAAGAAACCTGTCTACGCGACAAACACTTATTGATATTATTGGCAGGACTGGTTACTAAGGAACTTTTTGTGACAGCTAAAGGTAGGACAGAAGATTTACACTATGTACAGTACTAGGGTCACTAAAGCTTAAAGTTTAGCTTCTCTAGGAGCGAGTGATCTAGAAGAGAAGCAGAAGGACTAGTGTTCAAGGCCTCTATTCACATGGTTAGTACGGTATGCCTAAGATAGTAAGATAGTGGAGCTCTGGGCGGTCATAATGACCCATTGCCAGATTACGCCTATTGGCCGTTGTAGTGGTGCTAATCATGGAACTGATCAAGTCGACTGATCTTTGCTTCAGTCGCATATTTTGAGGGTCATCATGCTGCCTCAGGCATCCGAGCTACAGTACCAGTCTCTGTCGTCTCCATCTATCCTTTTCCCTCTCTCTACACTCCTCACACACACTTCGACGCTCGAGTGGTCAAAATTCGACTCAAAAACATATCAAGAAATACACATGATTTTCCCACAGTGAAGACTGATAGTCATCCAATCCATGAAACCTCAGGAGCCTTTTATGACCACGATTCCAGGGACGAGTCCGACGACTGGGGCTACGGCGCTAGCGTCTTCATAACCGAACAGGGGCCAAAATTCACCCAATTAGCAGCGGCTACTAAATTCTCGCTAGCACGTAACTGGTTTAACGAGATTGAAGCCTGGTTCGAGGCTCACGGTGTAGCCAGTCAGAAGCGCGTCCTGACATCTGTTCAGGGACAAAACTGACTAGCAGAGCCTCAGTCGCGTTTCCGACCATACCGAGCGCGACACCATCTGTGTTAGGACAGTGCAATTGCAATTTCCCCCACTTTTAGACCGGAGAGCCCTCCGATCGGTCAAATTTAGCACAAGAATGCGCTATGGCCTGGCACATAAAAACATGGCTCGCCCCTATCGGTCCCCGGGCCTTGTAAACATTGCCTCCCCGGGTTGTGCGAGACGGAGAACCCTTGAACATGCGCGGGGTTAACTGGAAGGCGACCATTGCGGTCGCTCTGCTGACTAGCAGCGCGTCTGCTATCGACCTCAATGTGAACAATGAGGGTGAGTCTCTCAGATTGTGACCCAATTGCCCACCCGAATCAAATCTGACGTCAGACAGCATCCGTCAAAAATGCTGCGAGTCTAGTTGGGAAGAACATCATCTCGGACTACAACGACAGGGATTCAAAGAACATCCCCGGCAAATTCGATGGCACCTGGTTTGAGGGTGGTGTTATGTTTGACGCTCTGATCCGTTACTGGTACTATACTGGTGATGCCTCCTACAACAATGCTGTGAGCGACGGGATGTACTGGCAAATGGGAGATGACAACTTCTTCCCTTCGAATTACAGCCAGATTCTCGGAAACGATGACCAAATTTTCTGGGCTCTTGCCGCCATGACCGCGGCTGAGCTGGACTACCCTCAGCGATCCTTGCAGCCGTCTTGGATCACACTGGCGGAGAACGTGTTCAACGCCCAAATTAGTCGCTGGGATGAGGATAGTTGTAATGGTGGCTTGCGCTGGCAGATCTGGCCTTACCTGGCTGGTTATACCACCAAGAACGCTATCTCCAATGGTGGTCTATTTGAACTCGCTGCTCGTCTAGCCTTGTTCTCCAAGAATCAGACCTACTCAGACTGGGCAGAGAAGATTTGGGACTGGAGTGCCTCCACCCCGCTGCTGAACAATGTCACCTGGACTATTCAGGATGCGACCACTTGTGAGACAGATTGCACCGACCATAGCAGTTTCCAGTGGTCTTTCAACTACGGAGTCTACATGGCCGGCGCTGCCTACATGTATAACTTGGTGAGTCAGGGATTTGCGACACTCTCTGAAACCTACAGAATATTAGTAGCGAGCTTGAAAGATCACCAGCTAACAGCCACCTAGACAGACGGCAATACGAAGTGGAAGTCAGGTCTCAACGGTCTCCTAAACACAACCTCCATGTTCTTCCCTTCTCACGGATATAACAGCGACGATGGCACGGTCATGGTCGAAGTCACTTGCGAGCCCATCCAAAAGTGCGACAGGAACCAGGATATCTTGAAGGGCACATTCGTCCAGGACCTTGCCCAGATTACCGTTGTTGCCCCTTATACCTCGTCGAAGATTCTGCCTTTGCTGCGGGGTTCCGCGACCGCTGCTGCGATGACCTGCACTGGGGGCTCGTCAAAGAGTATTTGCAGCGCTCGCTGGTACGAGAAGGAGTTTGATGAAACCGGAGGTATCGAAGCTCAAGTGTCTGCCCTCTGTCTCTTCACGTCCAACCTGGTCACATTCAACTCCCATGCTCCCGCGACACAAGCCACTGCCTCGAACAGCACGGTTACGACCAGTGGAAATGGGACCACCACGAGCTCAGGTGCTGCTGGGGCTACCACGAGCTCAGGTGCTGCTGGGGCTACCACGACCAAGAGCAGTGCCGCAAATGTGCTCGCAAGCAGCTCTGTCGGCATCACCGCTGCTGTTTTTGCAGCTCTTCTCGCTCTTTTCTAAGCCGTTGCTTTCACTCAAGTGATCAAGGGTTCAATTTTCATTTCCTGTCTGTATTATTAGTTGAAACGGGCCCGGCAGGTGTCCCCATATATACCCGGATATCAGTCAGAAGCAAAGCCATATTTAAGAACCCATTTAAACACAAATGAGAACATCGGAGATCATGTAATGCCAAGTCTATCCCCTCAACACAATGGATAACGACAGCACCAAGGGATTCTAGTTTCCCCGGATGCTCCGCATGAAGTCATGCAATTATCGTGCTTTAGGAGTATGTATCTGCAAGTGACAACTATCAGATGGAGCTCGGCGATGATAATGGCATCAATTGGCTGGGTATCGCCGACCCCGACCAGCGGTCCAGCACTAGTCAAGTGTACTCCATGGGGGCGGATCGATTTTTTCCGGGGTGTGGGTTAGAACCCGAGCATTCGCCTGGAGCACGATGAGCTGTGAGGTCAAGAGTTTGGGGTAAATGACTACTGTATGTAGACTATCAGGTATTTGGAATCCATGAAAGATTTGTGCAAGGCGGTTCCATCACAGTCAATGGATCAATGCATTCGAGACGATGTTCTCGTTGTCTCGTAGCTTTCTCGGTGTGAATCTTTATGCACCAACGGAATTTCGCTTTGGATTTCGGGCTGGGAAACGGAGGAACGCCGGATGAATGGAGCCATCAGACACTAAATTATGGCGGTCTTAAGCTTTCTACTATCATTGGATTGATACCCCTTTGGACTTTAAGAATCCTTCCAACTCGCTACGTTTACCTTCGCTGGTGTTTCCCCACCGGATGCACTTTCGAGATCAGGCCATATAGAGTGGCATTACACTGACTGCTTGATAAGACAATGCAGCGAAATGATAGAAAACCTAACAAAACAGACCTTGATTTGTTGACAGCGACATGTCAAGAAGCAGAACTGCAAGAGTCGTGTAGGCGGACTTAACAAAATTAGCCGGGTATTCGGCGCTCTGTTGAATATAAGCTTAGGCTTGGCCCTAACCATGGCAGGAAGGTCGTGGCAAAGCGTGGCCTTGACAACTTTAATTACTCCGACCAGCGCTGGGGCTAGTGGCTTGTGGCTTGCGCCCGAGATCCCGGAGGCCTAGGCAACCTTCCAGAAAGAAGCCGACCATCGTGGTCTTGCATATCTGCCACAAGTTCGTCCACGATTCCCGAGAGTCTGGCCACAAAGCCCTGGACAGAAATGGGTTTAGCGCCCGAGTCACGCAAAGTTATCATGCCGGAGAGGCGTGACCCTGAGCAAATATCGGGTGGATCTCGGTTTGCCAGACCCCTTGGTCATGGAAGTTCTCCGTCATGTACACCGGTGAGAAAGCCCACATGAACACTATCTGTTACATAGGCAGATTTGGTCAGATTTGAGAGAGATAGCAATTTCTGGGAGTTGGCCCACGGCTCCACTGTGACCCAGTCGTGTCTGTAGGGAGGGAGATAGGAGAAACATCTTATTCGAGTGAGTCGTGGGAATGTGGCGAGAAAGGGTTGAGATCGTTGTCATTAATGCTGGTATCAATAATCCCTGGTCTCTCCAGTAGCACTGGAATAGCACTAGTAGTCTGTTCCACAGGAAATCCCAGTATTTCCCCATGTTGTTGCGCGAAAAAAACCGGTCGATGTACCCCGAACATGGCGACTTCTCCCCGCGCCCGGTGGGTATACCCTCAAAAATCAAGATCCAATAAGGCTTGACGGTCAGGTTAAGCTCTGGGGCTTGCGATGCTTGCCATGTTTCCGTGTTTCGTCGGACCGCGCTGGGGTCAATGACTGATCGACAGCGATTGCTTAGATTTTACCGTGAGTGGCCAAAATCGCCGTGTTCGGTGATGACAGCCAATCACAGACCCGGCATGTTATCGCCTCTTCGGGGCCTCGTGGGACGATTTCCTGGACTTGCGTGGATCTTGTCTGGATTTGTGGTGACCCATTACCCCAAATCCATTACCTAACAGCTGCCTGATTGCTCAATCCCCCGCGTTGTTCGGGGATGCATGGAGATGGAACAGGACTCGGGCGGAAGGTGAGATTCGAGTTGGCCCGTTGTCATACCGAACTCGGCTTATTTGTTTCCACGCCTGTCCTCGCTTTTTTTTTGAAGGTCTCAGATCGTCTTTTTCAAACTTTTCGATCTGCACTGCACTGCACTCACACGTCTGCAGAGCATCCCCCTGACAACATGGACGAAAAATACATCGACGATGATGCCCAGCTGGCTCAGATGGGCCACAAGTCTGAGCTGAAGCGGCACTTCTCATTGCTGTATGTATATCATTTTCGGATGTGTCGGAGGGCTCGTCGCAAGGCTGACCTTTTTGATGTTTTCGTTAGGTCGATGCTGGGTCTTGCTTTCGCCATTCTCAACGTATGTATTGACCCGCGGTTGATCTATGCACATGAGTTGACAACTGACAATATCGTTTGACAGTCATGGACCGCGCTATCAGCCAGTCTGTCTCTCAGTCTACCCTCCGGAGGTAGCGCCAGTGTTGTTTGGGGTAACGTGCTCCTGGATCTGAAGGAGTTACTACAACCATACTGACTTTGCCCATATAGGCCTGGTGACTGCTGGTATTTGCAATTTGTGCATGGCCGCTTCTCTTGCCGAGTTCCTTTCAGCCTATCCTACGTGAGTCTCGAAGCTACTGTTCCCTGACTTGTACCCTGAACATGACTAACTGTGACAATAGTGCTGGAGGCCAATACCACTGGGTTGCTGGTAAGTCGAAACACCCATTTAGATTGATAAGCTGATGCATTACTCACACTGAATTTATTTCCATAGTTAGTAAGTATTCGCCTTTAAGAACCGATCATGGACCGAGCGGGAACTAACCGAATTGCAGTTTCTTGGGAGCGTTGGATGCCAATTCTATCCTGGATCACGGGATGGGTTAACTGCTCTGGCTGGGTTGCCCTGGTGGCTACCGGAGGCTTGCTCGGCAGCCAGCTGGTTCTGGGAGTCATTTCACTGATGAACCCGGTAAGTCCCTTGCATTCTCATTCATTAGGTCAGTGTCTAACTGCTTTCATTATCAGGACTACGAGGCCCAGCGCTGGCACCAGTTCTTGATTTATGTTGCCTACAATCTCGCCGGTTTCGCGATCAACGGTCTCATGAACAGAATCCTCCCTCACTTCAACAAGGCTGCCTGTGAGTTCTACTTGGCACTGTTCTTTTCTAGCTCCCAACTAATATTTTGTCAGTTATCTGGTCGCTTACTGGATTTGCCGTTATTTGCATTACTGTTCTCGCGTGTGCTGCGCCGAACTATAACTCGGGAGAGTAGGTCTTGGCACAAAAATGAGTCTTGCTAGAACCATAAGCTAAACATAGCAGCTTCGTCTTCCGCGAGTTCCTAAACGAGACTGGCTGGCCTGATGGTATTGCCTGGTTGCTCGGAGTGAGTTTCTTCGATCCTATCCGTGTTTTGTCGTGCTAACAAATCAACAGCTGCTGCAAGGTGGTCTTGGTGTGACTGGTTTCGTAAGTGTTTTCCCTAGAGACCTGTCATTCGACAGTAAAACTAACAGAGTCTAGGATGGCGTCGCCCATATGATTGAGGAAATCCCCAACCCTTCGGTGGAAGGTCCCAAGATTATGATTGCCTGTGTTGGTATTGGTACCGTGACTGGAACTATCTTCCTCGTCGTTCTGCTCTTCGTCGCGGGCAACATCAACGATATTATCGAGTCTTCGGCCGGTCCTCTCCTGGCTATCCTGAAGAACGCCACCCAAAACAACGCTGGTGCTATCTGCCTGTTGATGTAAGTGATCGGGTCCTGAGGAAGTTCCAATTCCGGTACTGACCATCATTGAAGCTTCCCTCTCGTCTGCATGCTGTTTGCGACAACCGCTATCATGACGACTAGTAGTCGTATGTGCTACGCATTTGCCCGAGATGGCGGCCTTCCATTCTCGCGCTTCTTCTCAAAGGTGCACCCCAAGTTGAAGGTGCCTTTGAACTCGCTCATCCTCAACCTGGCTCTTGTTATCGTTTTTGGCCTCATTTTCCTGGGCTCCAGCAGGTAAGAATCGGACATGTTCCATATATCGTGAATGCAAACTAATACAAGACAGTGCCTTCAATGCCATTGTGTCTTCGTCCGTCGTCTTGCTGGACCTTGCCTATGGTATTCCCATCGCCATCAACTGCATCCGTGGACGCAACACCCTTCCCGAGCGGGCCTTTGTTCTTCCCAACTGGTTTGGCTGGATTTTGAACATTGTAAGAGCGTATCTGTTTTACTGTCCCTATGTGATGTACTGACATTTCTAGATCTCGCTCGTGTACGTCGCCTTGACGACCATTCTTTTCCTCTTCCCCCCGATCTTCCTGCTACAGGCAGCAACATGAGTATGTGGTCCATCCCGTTCACAATTGTCACAATCCCTACTAACCAATAATCAGACTACTGTGTTGCCGCCTTCGGCATTGTCTTCGTCATTTCGACCATTACCTGGATCGTCGATGGCCGTAAGAACTATGTCGGACCCCGAATCGAGGTGGAAGTGCTCTCTGGACAGGCTGGTGAAAATGCGGATCACGCACCAATCCCCATGGTCGAACAGAAGGCTTAGATGCCTTCAGTACCTTATGTAGCAAGTAATATTAGCGAATGGGATATTTACCCGGTGTCTTTTAGCCGTGAAATCGCGCTTCTGAATATGTGCCAAGAGTTATATACTCCGAGCATGACACGTGATAGTCATGTATTACGTATTACGTCATGGATAATTCCTGCCTGAGGTTTTGACTTCCCAACAATCCACAGCAGATCTCGGACTCCGCTCAACTTGCAATGGGCTGATTTTGACACAAGCTTGAACAAAAGTTTCCGTTGACTCAAGCGCTTTCCTACCGTGATTCGTGATATTGCCGTATTGGCGAGGCTCAATCGGCGCGTAGCACACCGCGGGGGTCAACACCTCGGACCAAATTGAACTTCCCCACCATTGAACGACAGAGCGCGGCAACATCATCTAATCAATGCGACAATGTTTCAAGTTCCGTCCTTCAAATCTTTCAAGCTCTTCTCCTGGGGTGAGAAGCAAGCTATTGATATCCCGCCCGTCAAGACCCATGACCTTGAGAACGCTCAGGAGAAGAATGCAAGGGCGCTGAAGCACTTGCTGAAGCTCAACCATGCCAACCATGCCATTCTATGGAATAATCGAAAGTTCCATAACCACGCCCCTCATGTGAGACCTGTCCTATTTTTTTTTTTCATAGCATTGTGTTAGCTGATCATGCTGACTGACTTGTTTACTAGCTTCTCGGCGCTGCGTATCTCCAGGGTGCGGATGCTGAGGATTTAACCCGGCTCTATGAATCAGAGTCCAAATTGCTGGAAGAGTGGGACGACTCACCTGCCGAAGTAACAGATGAGGACTGGAGGGATCATTTGGGACGACGAGAGTATGTTTACAAGCTCCGTTGGTCAGGCACTTGCTAATACTAGAATGAACAGATATCAGAAGGCTTTTGTGGACTTTTTCGAAGATGAAATGAGTTCGGCTTGGCTACGACTGGAAACAAGTCGTAGCAGAGTATCTATTTTCAGGCGACGAGCCTATCTTCAATTCCATCATGGCTGACCGTATGTCTATCCTATTACTCTTGTGAGATGTACCACGATACTCACTTCTATCATCAGTCGGCCATCCGTTGATCCACCTCGCCTATGCGTATGAAATGTCCAGCCGTGAGGTTGCAATGGAAGCGCTCGGAATGACTTCGATCTGCTACAACAACATACACAAGTATCTGGAAAATCCCGTACTATCACAAGCCGAAGCATCCTACCATTCGACATCACTATTCGAAATCATCGACAACGTCCGATCCGACAAGAAGCTCGATGGACTCTTCGTCACTCCAGGTGACCACAACCTCGAGAAGCTCTTCGAGAGTCATGAAGCCCTTCTTCTCGACCACTGGAACGCGTGGAATATCGAAAATCCAGTCGAGCAGTTCCGCGAGAGCCAGGAGCTCGCGACTGCACTATTTGCCGCCACGCATAAAAACTCAACTGAAAATTACGACTTTTTCTTCGTCCATATACTGACAACCAGTCACGCTGTGCGTGTGCTTTTGCCTTTAATCCCGGCCAAATTCCAAATTCCTCTCGTTCGCCAATGGTGGCTTGTCACATTAGCGATTTTCATCGCCCAAATGCGCCCAGAGATAAACATGGATACGATTCGTGGCTACGACCTGAAGGGAAGGGATTGGACCTGGACTGCGAAGCAAGCTGTTAAGGGAGAACAATCGACCGAATCGCACTACCCCAAGGCTCTTAGAGCGCTGCAGGAAAGTGCATCCACTTGGACCGACAATGATGGCTTTTACTTGAAGGCGGCTGTCAAGTTTGCTGAAGAGTTCAATGGATGGGGTGGCTTTGTTTAATACTGACAGAATAGCAATCATATACAACTGCACTGAACGCAACTCTAAAATACTCCGCTGCATCCATCAATTTTATCACAAGGAAAAATCCGGTCATCAGAGCTTCTCGAGATGAAAATCCCCGCGCGGACATTGAATAATATCTCATAATGCGATCTGTTTCTGTGTCTCCTCCCTCGCAAAGCTCTCCCATCGCTCCCACGAAAGACTGTAGTCAATAGTATCCCTCCACAGATCCTCATGATCACTTCTAGGAGGTAAATCCTTCCCATTCCCAGTTTTCGCCCTGAGCTTCCCCCTTAATAAATCGCATATGCCAGGGCACAACACCAATCTTTTCAAACCCCATCTTCTCCGCAAGTCTAGCACTCGCGATATTCATCGTACTAGTCCGCCAATGAACCCTTCGCAAGCCAAGCCCTCCATTCTCAGAGGCCTCCAGACTATACTGCAAAGCCAGCCCGACGGCATTCTTTGCGATGTGCGTACGCTGGTATGGTGGTAAAATGATTATGAAACCGATTTCAGTGCATAGATGGGTATCCGATGTTCGCACTAGACTGATAGTGCCGGCTAGTTCGCCTTCAGGGTCATCTGGAGAAGGAGGGCGAGTTTTGTCGATTATGGCGAATGCGAATGATGTGGGGTTTGAAAATGAGAGAAGCTGCGTTTGTGATTGGGAGTAGAATTCGGCTTTGAGTGCTTCTTCTAAATCCCAGGGTCCCATTGGCATGTGTGTGTATAGTTCGGGGTGGGAGGATGAGAGACGGAAGAAGGTGCGAGTGTGATGGTCTGGGTTGAACGGGACGAGTTTGACGCGGTCGTTGGAGATCTCGCGAATGGGAAACAGGAAGATAGATGATTGGGCCATTCTGTGTTAGAAACCTAGCTCTTGGAGGTTGGATATTGATGCTCGAGTCGCTGGTTTTGAGGCGACGGGTTTTTAGCCGATTATCGGTTGCTTCGTATTCTGCTTGGCTCGTATTAGACCCTTTTGAGTGTTCGCCTCCGATATACGGCACTTACCATTTTCTGGGAGTTTGAGGATGAATGAAGGTGTTGGTCAGTGAGCGATGGGCCAAAGCAAATAGTTTATGTTCAAAATAGCTCATGCGAAGTACATATGTATAAGGTATGGCTAAGCTGCCGTGAATATGGAGATGTCTCCACCGATGTACACCAATGAAGAAATGTTTAATATAGCAAGTATATGCTTGAAATTCACTCTTTTCTATGTTCTCGAGATTCAAGATAACTAACGATTTGTTTCCATAACAGCCGTCATTGCTTCACTTTTTTATCAGCAAATGTCTAGGAATCCCTGACTTCTCAATGTTCTGGAGCTTCAACTATGGAACTTCCCGTAAGTGAGTATTCAGGACTGAAACGCTGCCTATTTAATAGTACTGGCTCTGGTATTCAATTGCTATGGTTTGCCAATCAGGCGTGCTGTGCTATAGTTCCTATTGTATGTGCACGTTATGATGATTTTGTCCCAGCTGGTCATCGACCCCGCTCGATCTCGGGTGTCTCTCTGTAAAATACGTTACAGCCCCGTAATCTGATTCAAATGTTCCCAACGAGTTCTTGGAAGCCCACCAATACGCATAGCAGGCCATTGGAGTACGTCAGAGTGCCCCACGAGTTACTAGCGAGAACTTTCCTCTACTCGCCGATTCACCCATAACCTCTCTATATCTGATCAACCGTCTCTCATTCTTCCAATTTGACCATCCGGAATTCGACATGAGTCAGCAAATCCAACCATCAATCGAATCCATATTCGAGAACAACAAGAAATGGGTATCAACCAAAAAGGATGAAGACCCGGCTTTCTTTGAGAAGCTCGCGGCGGGGCAGACACCAGACTACCTGTAGGTCCCAACCTAGCGTCCAATCTGCGTCAGGACATGAGCCCTGCAGTCCAATTACTGATAACAACTAGATACATTGGCTGTAGTGATAGTCGGGTCCCCGCCAACGAGATTATGGGCCTTGAGGCCGGCCAGGTCTTCGTTCACCGCAACATTGCCAATCTCGTGCCCAACATCGACCTCAATGTTATGTCGGTAGTCAATTATGCGGTGCGCCACCTGGGTGTAAAACATATCATTGTCTGCGGCCACTACAATTGCGGAGGGGTCAAAGCTGCACTGACACCGACCGACCTGGGCTTGCTCAATCCCTGGCTGCGAAACATCCGAGACGTGTACCGCCTTCATGAGAAGGAGTTGGATAAGATCCAGGACGAGACCAAGAGGTACAACCGACTGGTCGAGCTCAACGTGATTGAGTCGTGCAGGAATGTTATCAAGACTGCTGCTGTTCAACAAAGTTATCGTGACAAAAAGTACCCGATCGTTCATGGCTTTGTATTCGATCTACGTGACGGTCTGCTTAGGGACCTCCACATTGATTTTGAGAGCATGCTAGAGGACGTGATGAAGATCTACCACTTGTCTCCGGACTCTGCTCACTCGGAGACTTCTGGTGGAGCTTGATGCATGGCAGAAAGCACTACCAACCCACTGCAAAAGACACGTGGAAGCAAAAGCAGGAGTTTGTGGTGCGCGAGAATTCTTCAAGTTTCAGGAAAGCAAGAAATTGTGGTATATTGAACAGTACATCGAAGCGAGACAAACACGATAGCGAATTAGTGAAACATTCTCTGGTATTCTCATGGTTCCTCTGCAGCTTCGTTCAATGAAAGCGCCCTCCCAATCGTCGGATCATACACGATTCCATGTAAATCCAAATGTCCTCGCCTCGTCGCATCGGCCACTTCCGAGATATTCCGCAAAGAGCGCAACTGCTCCAGTATATTCAATTCGACGAAGGCGCTGTCTCGTTCGATCATGGGTAGTCGGTCGATATCGTGACGGTGTTTCGCGTGGAGGGAATCGAGCTTGCTGTCAAACTTTCAGCTCCAAATCCGTGATTAAATGGCTCAAAAGCTAGACAGACTTACCTCGACCACGGGCCTGGCAAGCCATTTCTCGATGATGCTTTCACAATACCGCATCCATAATGGCCACACACGACGATGTGCTTGACCTGAAGGTCAACAACTGCATGTTTTACCGAAGTCTCGCAGGATAGGTCTCCATCAATAATCATGTTGCCCAGATTCCGATGCTCAAGCATCTCGTCAGGGAGGAAGTTCAGGATCGTCGTTTCTTTGCAGTCGCTATCCGAGCAACCTATCCAGAGGATCTGTTTCTCCGACTGTCGCGGGCGCGGTATGAAGTTTGCATCGATCGTTCTCGTCGCATAAGTCGTGTTCCGTCGGTTGTCTACCGCTTCCGTAGGGAGAGGGTTCAGAGCAGCATCGTTAAACATTCGGATAGGCATCTTGATTCTTGGGCTCACACAAACGAAGCGCCGGCTAGTGTTGAAAACTTGACGGTAAAACATTTATGATGGAAGGAAAACTCTGGGATGCCCCTGCAGTATATACGGCCGGAGCAGATGCTGTTTCGGCTTGGTGGGCAACTTCAGAACGGCGAATGCCGGGGCACAAGTTTCATCGTGAAAGTCCGTATTTAATGGTAAACCGATGAAAGGGGGACTCACCCGGACTTCAAGAACGATGATTATTGTGGGGTTGATTGGGGCATTTACTTCCGGATGTGATGCTGACAACTCTCATTGGGAGGTTTGATTCCATGTTTAGATCCCAATGGTCGCTCAGATTGGGCAAACCTTCTACATCCGCGTCTAGTTCGTCGTTGTTTGACCCGCTCTAAAGTCATTTACTGTGCAGGAGTGCGCATCGTTGACGTTCACGGCCGAGAAATTTCCGTATTCCCTGATAGAGCCAATCATATCCTATTGTCGGATCCGACAGCAGGTTGTGGGGCTTCCCGTATCGTTGCCGACGCCGAGGTCAGGAATAAGCATAGCAACTGCTAGAAACCAAAGACCGATTTCAATGATAAAACGAAAGTGTCGCCGATTTTGTCAGGTATGTACTGTTATTCTCTCATAGTTAATATTTCCACATGATAGGGGGCTTGTCGAGCGAGTATTCCTTGAAATTTCCTATTCTGCTCAAGTGCCAGCTCATTCTCATACATCGAAAGTAAACTCAATCAACCTTGAGTTGCAACGAACATTGCATCATAAGAACATACCGTCCCTGCACATCAACTTCGGAAAGACAGAATACTTGGTGACACTCAACTAGAGGTGTTGTACCAACCACCCGGCATGTATTCAAGTCAAAGAACTAACAATTATCACAGCCATCATGATCATCACGCGCGGCTTCTCACTGACAAACTTTGTCATCGCCAGCTCGGCCCTCTGCTTCCAAGTCTGTGTCCTGTACCCATGGCATCATAAGCTTGAGGATGAATTCAAAGAGCTCAAAATCGAACACCTACGCTTGCTTAAGGAAAATGAAGAATCTCGGTTGAAAGAACTAAAAGTTATCAGAGAGCACCTAGGGAACTTCTACCGCAAGGTGGAGTAGGTCTTGACCTTGCCTGCTCCGATGATGCTGGTACATGTTCATTCCTCTCTTCTTCTCCTTAGAATATACATGGCGATGCGATAGATCGGAGACAGAATATACCCCGCTGGGAATTCGCTTTGCGTTGAAGCTGCGTACCTGATTTTAAGGATCTCTTTGCCAATTTTGGTGACTTGAATGCCAAGTGTGTCGTGTCATAAATGAGGCTTCACAATCGATCGAGAATCGAGTCCATAACTACCTATGACTCAATCGTATGAGCTTGAATGTGAAGCTCAGATTCTCATCCACTGGCCCTCATCAGACAAAGTAATCTCGCGAGTTGCATAGTTGAATTTCAGATCTTGGATCCATCTACGCTCCGTTATTGTACTAGTATTTCGAATCTCCCATTATAGGTGTATGATTATCCCTCCAACACACTCAAGTCACGTGTAACGTTTGGCACTACGTAGGCTGATTTGCCGTTCTACGAGGAAATCCATTCTGCAACAAAGACAAACTTGAGTTGATAATGACTTCGCATCTACGCAGGTAGTTGCATATTCATTACTATTCATGGGAACCAAGCTGTCTACCCAATCTTGTCAATATTCCAAACTGTATTAATAAAGATACTCCGACGGACGCCAGCGCATCGAGTACTGATATATCCGTCTCACATAAAGCGATCATCGTCTTTGGCCGGAAGGCGAGGTTTGGCATCAAACGATTCAACCCCGCATTCAAGCCAGTCATAAAGTATGGTAAACGCCCGGCGTTCCAATACTTTCCCAAGCGCCGCGAAGATCACGCAGTCCTTCTTGCAAGGCCGGAAATGCGCCTTGGAAACATGATAGTGTGACCTCTTGCTCCGCAAATCGCTGTAACAGTTGCTCATAGTCTGCCTGCTCTCGAGACAGCGCTAGTTGCATCTGTTTGTTCGTTTCCTCAAGATCCTGCTTTTCACGTAGAAGCCCGGAGATGATCGCTTCCAAGGAGCGACAGTGTTGTATCGCTCTTACGGCCTGCGCTTGAGCTTCGGGCTGACTTCCGCCTAACGCCTGGATTGCCTCGACTAGCCCATTGAAAGTATTGTGTATATCTTGTTGCTCAGCATTTGCTTGCTGGCTGGCATCCTGTTCATTTCAACTTAGCCTTGAACGCCGCTACGGAGAAAAGCTGGGCTTGTTACCTCCAAGAATGTAGAAATACGTTGTAATGACTCCATATTGCAGTAAACGTGGATATTGGAGGCAAAGAGATATATCCGATTAGGACTTGCGTATATCGTGGGGGCAGAGTACTGGCTGTGAATACGGCAATGTAGGGGCAGCACCGAGTATTTAATAGGTCAAGGCTTGAGTGATCACATTATCATGTTGGGAGGTTGGTTACGCAAAGGAAGACTACCTATTTCTTAAAATGAATGTCCGTGTCGGTGTCGTGTCGTCAACCAGATTTCCCGCGTTTCCCACAAAATGAACTCTCCCGGGTCCGGGATATGGCCGATTTCCGAAACTTACGCTAAATGCATCAACCTGGCTGTGAGCCTGTGACCCCCTGCGTCAATTGGGCCAGGATCTCCCAGGCTTCCACGGACCCGTGTATCATCAGGCATATGTCAGAATTGAGTTACCAATGGAGTTGATCTTTCAGAAGTTGGAAGCTTGAAGAGCACCGAGGTCTGATATGATAGGGTGGTCTTATCCTCTGAAACCTTCAACAACATAGATTATTCTAATCGGTCAAGACATCTCCGACTGGAATTGAATCAGAGAACATGTTCGGGATTAGGCAGGGATATTCCAGGTATTGAGAGACTTCTCAAAGAACTGCGCTCGAGAGTTGCTTTCTACGGCCCATAGGAGCGGGGTCTTGGTCGCAACCAGGGGGCTGCCTGCAGCCCACGTGATCTGTGTCCCTGGTTTGCACCGTTTGCGATCCAAACCAACAGGATCATCACGCACCTTGGAGCTCATCAAAGCTCGCACCTTCCGAACCCCGGAGATTAAAAGCGTCGCCTCTGCTTTGAAGCTGGAACAAAGTGGACATGTCCACAGCATCGACACTGCAAGATGCAGATGTTTCCCTTTACCTGCACGCCGAGCTTCTACCAAATATCCGCCAAATCACCCTCTACGTGTCGCTTCCCCAAACCCCAGCATTAGAAGGAATCCGGCCACAGATTCAGCTGTCAGAATCATGCAAATCTGTCACTGTCTCGTTATCTGAGCCATTTCATCATGTGGCAGAAACCGTCAAACTGCCGGCACGCGTCACTGACGCGACGAGGCGAGTCTTGAATATCAACACAGCTGCCTCTGACCACCGAAAGCCCGCCAGCCCTGGTTATGAATATTCAGTCAGAATGCATATTGACCCCAGTGACCCGGTGCTGGCACCACGAGATGAACTAATCGATGACTATGTTCCCTGGACCGCAGCAGATATGTCATCTTCGACACGCATCCGATGTCGTGGATGTGGCACAGCATTTTTGAAAGAGTCAGGCCCTCACTCCGTGGAATTAAATGATCAATCTCTCCTACCGGGATGGCTCTGGAAGGATCTCCCGAGCGGCAATTGGGCAGAAATGATGGACTTTTGGCATTGCCACAAGCCTGATCCCCATGAAGATAATCCCAAGTCTGAAGCCACGGCAGCACTAAAGTTAGAAGATCAGAGTGCCCAGATCAAGGGATATGGAGCTTCTAGCCGTGTAGAAGCAATCTCAGGGACTGTTCTTATCGATGTGGCCACGTTCTTGCTTTCGGACGAGGATTGCGTGAGCCTTAAAAAGGTGAGCTTTCTGCATGTTCCAGCTGCTAATTAGCCCTCACCCTCATCTTGTTTGATCATCGATATACCCACTCTGCTTTAAATCTACCCTGTTATCCTTCGCTTTTCCCAATGTGGGCAACCAGAAGGAGACCATTTCTTGACCATGTTGTGGCCTCCGATACTATTGCCCAAGATCAACGACCGTGCATGCTCACCTTTGACTTGGGTGGTAAGTGGTTCAGCTCATGTCACAAAACAGCTGCGGACAGTTATCCTCTCTCGTCAGATGGATTTCGCCCTCGGTTGTTAGCGATCGTGTGTTGTTCTAACTGCCGCCTTGGCCGATTGGCTCCTTCATGCGCCCTCTTCGTTCTCAGTGACGGTCCTGGCTTCTTGAGCCTTTTACTGAGGAGTGGGGCTGTCATGATTATAAAGAGGCACATACCATACCACATTGCACGTGCTTTCTTCATATTACTTAATAAAATTGAATTTGAAGCTGAACCATCAATCAAATTGGACTGGTATCAGTCACTGTCTATCTTCTTGTCTAGACTCTATGAACATAAATGCTGACAGTGGCGTCTTGCAGGGTAATGAAGAAGAGGCCACAACTTCCACCCCGGAAGGCTCCTTCGAGAGAACTTTGGAATGCGCGACGTGTAACTCGATCATTGGCATGGAAGACCCATCAGCGCGCGGCTGGCGACTCCTCAAGGCCAACGTCTCTTTGAACGCCAAAATCCTAAATTCCGGATCAGACGGAGAACACTGGCAGAGCCATCCTACACAAATGATCGTTGCTGCACAACTGCTCGAGCTGATCGAGCGAGAAAGCGCCAGGCGTTTCGTGGTCCACTTCGGGCAAAAGAGCGGGTTATTGGTATGTTAAAGTGTCCGCATTGAAGGAAGAATTAGCGACTAATTCTCGGGCTTTAGCTTTGGGTTTTCAATCCAGATCTCCGATATTCCAACTCCAGCTTGGACCATAACGTCAACACCCAACAAGCTATGAAAGTATTCTTCCAGGAGACGCGAGAAATCGACAAATTGCTCGCTCCCGAGATTGGAAACCCGTCACCTTTGTCTGTGGAAGAACTCGAACTGCCTTCGATGGTGTACGAAGCGTTGTTTGAAGCCCTGCACGGTAGTAATCAGATGCTACCTCCGACGGCAAGACAGTTCAATGAATGGCAGGTTGGGTTGCTCAGTCGATTCAGCCGAACTCAAGCAACCTGAAGAAAGACAGCCATCCGTCGTTGACACGTATGCAACAACCCACTGTATACGAATATTACGATATTTCCTGCTCAGCATCAATGACAAGGGGTTTCTCTATCTGTCTACGTCTCATCACGGAATCGCTCTCCTGCAATCTGGGAATCAGGACTGTATATTTTGGGTCGGATATATCGTGATTATCCAAGCAGTCATGGGTTTAAAATCATTCAAGGTTCCCATACTATCCAGTCTAGCCTTCAAACGGGGTCTCGAAAGGTGGCTCCGCTTGTGGTGTGAGACGGGCGATGTGACGTCTCTGACCATCCTCCCAATCGAAGACGGCCGAGTGGCAGGCCACGCGGTTCTAGACAAGTCAGCTATCTCAATCTTCAACCTCAAAGAAAGGGCCAATTCACTCACATCCCAAACAACAACTGTGCCAGCCTTCCAGCGAATACGAGCCTGAAGATCTTGCGACAGCGCAATGTGGTCGTACAAGAACTTCAGGAGGTAATCAGACTCCTCCTTCTTATACCCAACAATGTAGCGAGTAACTTCCACAATTGTCAGTCCATCAGTCTCACCTATACAATGAAACGACGTTACTCACACTGCGGGTTCACATAAAGCGCCTTCTCCCCTGTGACCGGATGCGTCCTGACAATAGGATGCTCAGATGTAATAGGATCACGACGGGCAATACCACCCCCATTCAGGCTAGCATTGACCTGCTCGACGCCCGAGTGCACCGCCTTCAGGCCGTGCAATCTCTTCTGGAATTCGGGTGATAGCCGCTTATACGCCTGCACCATGTCGGCGAATAGTGTGTCGCCACCGGTTGAAGGCCCGTCCAGCACATACAGGAAGGTTGTGCCCGGGGGCTGCTTCTCAAAGGTCACGTCGGAGTGCCAGGTGATCGTGTTTGTGCGCTGCTCGAGGAACTTGGCGCCGGTGCGGTCGTCGGCGCCGCGGAAGACGAGGTGGATTTCTGGGAAGCCCTTGGGTGCACCGGAGGTCTGGTGGATGTGGTGACGGCCGAAGTAGCCGGCGTATTCGACGGCATCTTGGATAGGGAGGGAAGCGAAGTCTTGATCACGGAAGGCTGGAGATGGCGTGGGAGTGGTTAGTTTTTTGGTGTTTAATTGGGGTTGAAGTGATGTTTGTTGGATGTATCAAGCCACCTACCGACAACACGTCGCTGGGCGACGTACAATGCAAGCTGGTCCTTGCCGGCCTTGGAGAGCTTGCTCAATTGCACGCCATGGATCTCGGAGCCAATGAATGGGGTGATGTCGTCTACTTCAGCCTGGCCTTTGGGGAGCAGGTCTGGGAATGTGGCATCGGCATCCTTGCCATGGTCATAGTGTTCGAATTGCTCCAAAGGTGGATATCTGGTATGGATATGTCAGTCATTTTCCATGAATCTGTATGTTTCACACTACCTTTCAGTCTCATTGTCCCAGACAGGCAAATAGTTAGGGAATGATGCCGGCGGCAGCTTGTCTGTGCCCTTCAACTCGGCCTCCTTCTCGTACTTGTATCCAATCAAATTCTCCTTGTTGTGCCCTGCATCAGTCTTGAAGGGCACCGAGAAGGTTGGAGCGCGGAGAGCGACCGTCTCTGTGAGTGACGGAGCCATTGTATAATCAGTCAAGCAGGACAGGTTTTCGGTCTTCTTGACGCTTTTCGAGTACTGACGAGCTTAGACTTGAAAAGCCGTACCCAAGTAATGACAATCTAGGGTATACTAGTATTGTCTCTTAGAAAAATCTACGATCACGACAAGCATCATCTCTATATATTTGGTCCCGGCACCGTGACTCCGGGTTTACAAATTGCGCAATGAGTGCGGGGTTGCTCTTTTCGTCCGATAGATACATGATCACCCAAATGGCCTTGTTGTGACCAGAGTCTGGTTTGAAAGGAGATTTCGGAGGTCTCGGATATCGGGCTGTCGGCAGGAAGACGTTAACATTGGCTGTTGACGAGTGTCTGTGTGGTGTAGAGCATCGTTATGGAGGTTGTGAATGGCGTGATGATAGGCGGAATGTCGCTTATCTGATTATGTACGACGACCAAGACAAGTTCTTAGAATGCGCGACATGGAAGTACGAAAGTATAATCGTATTGCGTGGTCTCTGAAAAGGACTGTTACTGAGTATTTCCTGTCGACTGGTAGGTAGTGTCTAAGTAAGTTGGCACTGTGTTGGTTTGTTAGTTTCAACGTTTGCTACCCCTCGGATGGCGTGATACGCAACTGTCTTTGCGCAACTTGAGCGACATCCGCACATTCGCATTCACCAACTTGATTAGGATACCCGAATGTAAGAAAAAGTACCGACAGAACTGGATTCAAATCCTGGGCGAAGATTTTAGCGCTTGACATTGATCTAGAGATCAAAGAAGGGTCTACAGTAGTATTCTTGCTGACCGAGCATTCTTATAGGTCTCCCCTAGCCAATGAACATAGGCACATTTGTTCACAGAGAGGTCCCTGGTCATAAAGTTCACGGGGGTTAATAGTATCGATCAAAAGTCGCAGCCCTATTTCAACGTGCTCAACATTTGAGTGAATTTGAAGTCAATCATCAATTATTAGGTGCTCGTCAAACGGTGGAGGCACAGTGGGGCCGAGCTAAATCATAGTTATTGCGGGCTGGTCCTTTAGTCCCCCCACGACTCGTCCAACCTAACGTCACTTTATCACGTCTTGCGTGATTCGGGCAAGATCAAAGATCACTGCGAGGTTGCTCGGCTCTTTGAGTCTCGACCTTTCACTGGCCCTGCTATGTCTCCCAGAGTGGCTTTTATCTTGGAAAAATTGGACCCCGGCGCCATTCGCCCCGTATGCCTCGCGTCACGGCATCAGTCCGAAGCGAGTGCCGACGGCCATTTGATGTCCCTTGTTCGCAGGACTTCCCTTGTGCAGTGGCTAGGCAACGCCACAGGCACCATTGATTGCTAAATCTTCTGATTGAGACCAGCCGCTGGGTACATTGCTATTTTCTTTGCCGGGGGCTACGAAATCCTGCAGTAGATCTAGCCGAGCCATGGCATATCCCCCTCAGTGGGTCATCGCAGAGATAGCGACGATTTTGTCTGCTACAAAATGGCGTGCTAGAGAGCTGCGATGGCTTCTTCGTTAAGATTTTCGCCTTTATAACAGCTAGTCCGCATCTACAAGGACAACTGTGAATGCAGATCTTAGACCTGATCCAAAGTCTTCTTCAAGATGACAATTGAGGAGACAAAGAACGTGGGGCCGGGCCCCAACGATTATGACGTGAAGGCTGTGCCTCAAGTCACCGCGACGAGCGATTCAGAATCGTCCTCATCGCTTGGCGGCCGTCGAGGACAGATCAAGCCCGTTGACTGTGCTTTTGACACAACGGAGGACCCGAGGTACTACAAGCCTATCCCGGAGTATGAAGGTGCTCATCGCTGGGATCCGGACTTTGAATGGACAGAGGACGAAGAAAAGGCAGTTGTCAAGAAGGTATGATTTACCATCTGCTTATCAGGGTCACACCCCGAGATCAATGTACTGATCTCAACTTTTCAGATTGATTGGCGCATCTGCACATTTGCCTGTGTGACGTTTTTTGCTCTACAGCTGGACCGCGGCAATGTCGTTCAAGCCACGTCTGATAACATGCTGGGTGACCTTGGCATGAACACCAATGACTATAACACTGGCCAGACTATCTTCCTGCTTTGCTTCCTATTTGCGGAGCTGCCTTCGCAGTTAATATCCAAGTGGCTCGGACCCGACCGTTGGATTCCAGTTCAGATGGTTTCATGGAGTTTGGTTGCCGCTTGCCAGGCATTTGTCAAGAACCGCTCCACCTATTTCGTTACTCGTGCTTTGCTAGGTCTGCTAGAGGGTGGATTGTACGTTTACTCAGCATCATTCCCTCCAAGAAGACCCAACCAGGAACTAACAAGGTCACAGCATTCCCGATACAATCCTCTTCCTCTCTTTCTGGTACAAGTCTAAGGAGCTGCCAATCCGCCTGAGCTACTTCTGGGTTGCTTATCAAGGAACAACAATCGTCAGCGCTTTCCTGGCTTTTGGCTTCCTGCACATCCGGCAAGCAGATGGCACAGGAGGCTGGCGATATCTGTTTGCCTTTGAAGGTTTGATCACCGGTATCATCGGCATTATCGCCGCGTTCTGGATGCCTCCCTCGCCAACCCAGACCGCTGGCAGGTTCCGTGGTAAGGAGGGCTGGTTCAATGAGCGCGAGGAGAAGATCATGGTCAACCGTATTCTCCGGGATGACCCCAGCAAAGGAGGTATGCACAACCGCCAGGCTGTCACGCCCCGCATGCTGTGGCATGCCCTCAAGGACTACGACATGTGGGTCATCTATATTCTCGGCCTTACATGGATGATCGCAAATACTCCGTCCGCGAGTTACATCAGTCTGCAGCTCAAGTCGTTGGGATTCAGTACCTTCCACACCAATTTGCTCACCATTCCTGCCGCGGTTATCTTCATCTGTAACTTGCTGCTGTGGACCTGGCTCTCGGAGCGCTTCAATCAGAGACTACTGCTTGGTGTTGGCTCCGAAATCTGGGCCATTGTCCTACTCATCGCCCTGGAAGTTCTGCCGGCGCATGTCAGTCCCTGGACACGATGGACTCTGTTGACACTGCTCCTCGGCATGCCATATGTGCATGCGATCCTCGTGGCGATTACATCTCGCAATGCTGGTACCGTTCGGACACGAACTGTCGCTACTGCGTTGTACAACATGATGGTTCAAGTCAGCAACATCATTGGCAACAATGTGAGTGTTTATCCGGAGAACGGGAATACATAGGAGATTGGACTAATCGAGTGCTATAGATTTACCGTGAACATGACAAGCCATACTACCGCACCGGCAACAAGGTGCTTATTGCCCTTGCTTCATGGAGTTTGGTGATGTTTATCATCGCGAAGTTCTACTATGTGTGGCGGAACAAGTATGTTTATGGCTCCTCGTTTGCTCTTTCATTTCATCAGATCCTAACAATGACTAAATAGGAAAAATGCTGCCATTTGGGACAACATGACAAGCGAAGAAAGAGAGCGCTATGTCGTCGAGAACAAGGATCTTGGAAATAAGAGGTAATTTGACTCTTGACCCTTTCCCCGATAGTTGAGAGCATCATGACTTACTTACCTTCCGCAGAGTCGACTTCCGCTTCTTACATTAGAAAATTAAGATAAACCTTGGCCTTATGGCTTAAAAGAGACCGAGATACAATTGCAGCTTTAGATATAGACTTATCAGAGTATCAGCAATAGAAAACACCCATCGAGCCAGGCAAAACTTAGTCTCTTGTTATTCAAATCATGATTTCCGATAATCCCTTCAATATCTATGCTGGAGGCTCCTAAAGGCTTTCATTTATTCACCAATCACATATTCGCACCCTTCGTCTCCAATCCATACTTCATGCACCTTCCCAGCTGGGACATCGATTCGTGCGCCAGGTCCGAATGTCTCTTTCTTGACTTCGCCATTATGCAGATTTACATTTTCTTCCGGATAAGTGACTGTAAATGTGCCCCGGCGGATCAAATGTGTCGTGAGACCTCCATGACTATGAGGCGAGTAGTATCCACCTCTAATATGGTAAGTAAGCCTGTCAAAAAGAGGGGAAAGTGTGACAAACCTCCCGTCTGACCATGTGTAGACATGTCGAAACCCCCAGTCTCTCACAAGACGCTCACTTTCGGCACGGGTGCCGATGGGGTACTTTTCTGCCATCGTAGAAGGTTTCACAGAGGTTGCGGTAAGGTATTTTGACCACCGTTATGTTGGCCTGGCATGCTCAGGCATGCGATGGGGGTGGAGGAATGATGTCACTGGGCGACGACAACCCCTCATCACGTGGCACAATGTATACAATTGGATGAGATCGGATAAAGGTACATAAAAAAAAGTACGAACGAGTGGTTCCAGAAGCAATGATTTGCATAGGCCGTGTTCGATCGCGCTAAATCCTATATGCCGGGATACTTCTGCACTTTCCCCTCTTTTTGGCAGGCTTACTTACCATATTAGAGGTGGATACTACTCGCCTCGTAGTCATGGAGGTCTCACGACACATTTGATCCGCCGGGGCACATTTAACGCCACCAAACGCCTTGGAGAGAACAAGCTCTGCCGTGGGAAAGCTCATTGTCCCAGTCTGCCAAGGGGGAAGAAGCATGGTCCCTTCATGCGCAAGGAGTGTGGCATACCAAAATTGTCTTATTCAGTGTTTTGTAATCATTCAGTGTTTTGTAATCAGAAGTACATAAAAAAGCCGCAGTCAAGAGGCAAGTCATCAGTCGTTAAGTGCATCCCAACGCTCATGATAGCAGTGGAAAGCAGCGCAATCTCGCCCTGTTTGCGAAACAATATACAGTGGGCTCAGTACGCATCCTGGCTGATGTTTGAAGGCCATTGAAACCTGATCCCATCCACCACGTGCCTCTTCAGTGGGGAGCTTCGATCGTATACACGAGAACTCCGAAAAAAGAGAGCCGAAACGCCATATGGACGCCGCGCTAACGCCACCAAACGCCTTGAAGAGAGGAAGCTCTGCCGTGGGAAAGCTCCTTGTCTCCCAGCCTGCCATGGGGGAAGAAGCATGGTCCCTTCATGCACAAGGAGTGTGGCATATATGGCAACTCTTGCCGGGAATGACCCAGACTTCTTGACCCTTCGTAGCGCAATTTGGACACCGTACGCCAGGCATCTAAAACACATGTTAGACGCCATAGACCTTCAAAAGTACAGAGCAAGAAGCAAAGAAGTGACTTGGCTTGGGTGAACGGACCTTGTTAACGACGGAGAAGTTTGAGCACGCCGAGGCGACACATTGAGAAGACTCAGTCATCTTGTTTCGAAGAGGGGTGATAAAAATCAATAGAGTTTCTTTGTGTCGGTACTTGCCCCAAGAGAAACAGTGACAGGACGTCGAGATTGAAATTTTGTTGTTAATGTGTCAAGGCAACTGGAGATTGACTTCAGGGATGGAGCTGGTGTGGATTCAACTTTACAGCCGGACAGACAAGCCCTTTTAAGACACCAAGGCACGGCGACAGAAAGGGGAAGAAGACAGAGACTCGGTTCACGCCCCGCGATCGCGACCAGAAAAATCTTATCGGGTAATTACTTTGAACAAAAACTATAATAATAAAAAAAACTCAGATCAGCTCTGGTTCGCGCACATCGCGTCGATGGTGGACTCGGAAGTTCCCGTTGATGGGTAGACCAGGTCTTGCGATGTGGGAAGCTTTCTCCTTTCTCAACGATCGACCAGTCAAAAGCAATCAAAAGTAGTTGATGACTCCCATTCTCATGGACGATAGATTGACCTTGCGCAGGGATTCAGGGCCGATGCACACAGGGCTATCGTCCTGGTTTCGCCACACAGGCTGTCAGCAACCAATCACAGCTGTATCATCGGCTCCTCCCGAGCAGTCCGGGCTTAGGGTGTTCAATCTGCGATTGTTTGTCCTGCAACCATCGACGTGATAGATTTCCCATGCCGTGGTGCATGATCTTCCTTCCTCATCGCGGCCGGAGAACGCCAGAAAAAGCTTGGTGCTTGCGACATCGGACGGTAGGATCCCCTCGTTTCGCCGGATTTCAAATCCTGAAACTGAGTCCAGACTGCCCAGCGATAGACCAGAATGAATCCGAACCGGTCCAAGACCACCAAAAAAGTTGACGTATCGCCCCTGCAACCCCAGAGCAGATCGCCAAATGGATCACGCTCGGTCCCTCGGAGCGCCCAGTCTAGAGTAGCGCCTTAGCGCCTATCGATGATTTGCCCGTTGGGTTCTGACAGGGGCCCAATCACTTACGATAGCTCACAAGCCTTCGATAGAGGCCGATTATTGGTCCATCGGCCAATGGTGTGTGTCCTGGTTCGCCCACTTTTTGCTAATTACCCCGCCACCGGCCAATAGTCGCTGTTTATGCATGCCAATTCCAGCTGTCAACAGCAAGTGCTGCTGCGTGAACCCCTCCTCCACAGACAAAGAGAACTTGATTATGATCTACAGGACTGCAGATGCGCAACCTGGAAATTGCGGCACTGCTTGTTCTATTGACTCGACTGACGAGCTGATTATTGTTATCGAACCAGTCTAGCACGTATCGTGCGTGCGATAGTGGACTTGGACCCCTTTAGGGGGATGCACATCCTCTCTGCGCTCGCTCCAACCTCATCATGCTACAGTCATCGGAGCATTTATCGATCACCTTTACGGAGTACAGGATGTACACTTGTTCTCTATTTCTTCACTGGCGCTGTTGATCAATCTGATGCATTTCTGCTTGGCATGTTGATCTCCCCTCCCAACTGGCTCCAGGATTGCTTAGGTGGGGCCTAAAGTTGGTGCTCGCGACACATACTGCCTGCGTTAGACTAGATCATGTCTCCAGAGCGCATATATCTACCGAGCTCTCGCACCAACGTGCAAGGTCTCAAAGTGGCTAATGGGGCCCACTTATCACTCACAGCCAGGGGGCTGGGGCAAAAGCAGATTTCGAAAGCTGCCCGCATGGCCACGCTACAGGAAAATGCTGCTGTGGTGGAATCTCGATGGCACGCATCATGCAGGATAACTTTCTTGTTTGCCTTTTGTACCAGAGATCGGGCATGCTACAGTACACTGTTGAACAGCTGCATCTGCATGGCTCATTCGAGGTCACACCAACCGCTTGCTGGCCCACGTTCTCGGCTCCTTGACACTTCCCACCCGTTATTGGGGCCATGCTAGCGACTTGAGCATTCCAAACACTGCGTATATGTTTCCTCTTCTATGAATGCGAGTGTCAATCGCGTGCTAGTACGAAAGCCCGGCAGAAACTTCCAGCGCATCACAAAGCTAAGACCGACATCAGTTGCGCATAACGCATGACCAGGACCCTGAATGGGTCTATTGCAAATAACCGGGTCCGTATGGAACGCCTACACTTCGCCTCAATTTCCCTTGACTGACGAACTGTGCGGGCCTCTACGTGATGTACCATGTGTTCCACTGCATTGCGCAACAGGCCATTAACCTTGCAGGTGGGCCAGGTCCAGCATGACCTCACAGATACAACGCGGATAAAGAGCCTCCTTGCTTCAAAAAGAATTACGAATAGGACACCGTCTAGAAAGAGGAACATTTGTCTGATCTCAGATGACTCGAAACCTCAGCATTAGGGTGGTTTGCCTCGGGCCCTCACATACCTCTAATACGACGTGAGGCTCATGCACAACGGCACTGTATGGAGAGCTATTAGGACAGGCTCAAATCCCGAGTGGTTAGAGGACTAGTGATATCACCCCGTACAGCCACGATATTTGATGTTCCTTGTAGCACCACATTGCCAGGACCGGTCGGGAAACCGGTCCTTGATTCCCGCTTTGTACGCATGCAATACCTGTACCAAATATCACCATCTTCTTCATACTTCTCTCCAGCCTGCGATAAAACTGCGATAACTAAATCTCGATCTCGCAGGATGTGATATGAGTAGAATTCCTTGCAGAATGATGGTAATGATCTTAAATGTTGTGACATCGGACAAACATGCAATTTTCCTGTTATATGATGCAACGGCCATGTGTGAGCTGATTTTTCCAAGATCGGAATCAACGAATATAATGGTTACAGAAGTGAGAGAACTGTAGCCTCCAACCTTAGTTTGACTGATAGGGACGATTTTTCTGCCCCGCATGAAGTACCTAGCAAATTCTCATCAGGAAGTACGAGCTTTGCCTGATATCCAGTGAGTTGCATACTCCAGCTACAGATCCTTAGACTGGTACACCCGTCATTGGGGATTTTTGAATCGACCTACGAGCTTACCAGTGGCATGACCCACCAAGAGATGTACGTTTCCATATCAGATACAGTAATTCAAAGGAAGTTCCAAGATCAGAATAACCTAGCCGATCTGATTAAGTCCGAGACTAGTAAATTTCGTTGGAAGCAACCAACCAACAATCCTGCAGTGCTCGAGGTTCATTGTACATGCTCATGCATCTAGGAGCAATAGGTTGGGTATTGCTAGGGTATATCGCCACATATTGCTCTATGACAGAATATCTTTATGGATTATAAGGATATTCTTTATCGGAATATAATCAGCGCGTGAGATATAGACTACTCCACATCGGGTTCAATGCCTCTGCACGCTTCGTTCTAAATGAGGGAACCGTGAACCGCTCGGCTCCTCTGGATTACCGTATTGTCCTCGGGTTGACCTTAGGTTGAGTATGTTCAGTTTGCATGAGTATGAGTCTGATGTGGATAATGTGACCTTCTCTCGTGGCCAATAGAGCCTGGAATCATTCAAAGGTTGTCTTCCGATATACGGTGTTGCTACTAGATCTTCGCCCATAACCTTGGCACGCAAAGCAAAATCGTAGATTGGAATACCGATCATCGAATTGCCACATTCCAGTCCCGATCAAAGAAAGAGAAAGCGATTGAAGATTAGATACTACTAACCATGTGACACCCATTAGTCTGTCGAACGACGTTGTGCAACACGCAGCATGGATGCCTTAAACTCAGAACAGCTATAACACGCTCAAACCCCGAGCTCAGACGCGAGCACGATGCAATCGGAAATTTAGAAAGATGACCTATCATACCATCGCCACTACTCACGAAGCCTGCTTCGTGACACGGACCAACAGGAGTCCCCCATTCTTCTCCCCGGTACAATCGTATAGATGAACAAACCGATATCCTTCACGGAGTCGATCAAGCCGAATGCAAGCCCACGCAGCTAGTGAGTCACGACCGATCTCGTCGTCCTTGATTTTGAACCTGGATGCAGAGTGACGTAAGTTAGCATGGGCACCTACACTTTCGAGCAACGCGTTTCTTCGAGTTTCACGAGGGTGAAGAAACGGAACGGCGCTGCACGTCTAATTCCACGGTAACGATGCAGCTGCGGCCTGAAATGGAAATCCCGGGTAGACAAGTTTCTGCAGGCTCAAACCGTTGGGATTGAAGATAGGCAGGCAGTTTTTGGTGGGCCAGGGAAGAAAAAAGCAAAATGAAGTAGCGAGAGGTCTGCATGATACTGCACAGACATCTCCACTTTCATTTTGCAGAGATAACGCAATGATATGCGAGTGCAATGAGGGAAGCCAGACGGAATGGCAAAGTGGGGGGAAATATGAGTTCAGGATTCAGGAAGGAATGATGCTTAGAATATGGGAGAAAAGCGGGCAAGCACAACGAGTCTGAAAACAAGCAAAGCAATAGGGGGTACTAACCGAACGAAACTTAACTCCTCCACCACCCCTGTCACAGTTGGGAAGACTAGCTTCTGCCCCCTGAATTCGGGATTGACACCGGACGAGCTCTTGGTACAGCGGCGGAAGCTGCTCTTCTCAGAGTCAGAGCTAGCGTCATCACGACCAGCGGCGACGGGCCCGTCCGGCTCCTCGACGTGCAGTTGACAATTCACGTAGGGCTTGAACCCTTTCTCCTTATGCTCGCCAGGGGGCAATGATAAGTCCTGAGCAGCAAAGACCTCTAGCACTAGGTTTAGCGTTCGGCGGTGAATGAGATCTGTCTTAGGCTCAGAGCTTCGGTATCCATCTGGCTTCAATACCCAGCCTGACGTGCCGGTGAACATGCCATGGTTGAGCATCATTCCTTTGTCCAGGTTTTGCCAGTTCAGAGCTACGAGTTGTGCACCTCGACGCCAGCAGAAGGCTGGATCAAGGTTGGATGAATTCACCCGGAAGGCGAAGGGGTAAATGCGCATGAAAGATGAGCGGTTGTGCTCAAAGAGCCGTTCGCGATGATTCATGTGAGCATCGCGGCATGCCCGCTCGGAGAGGGAGAAGACATGACCTGGGAGCTTGGCCTCTGTCGATATGTTTAGAGTTGCTTGTAGCCGTGTTGTTGAGCTTTTATCTCTTACCTGGCTGGTCAAAATGATTGAAATGGAACGCTCTAGTGTAGATGGCCATCTTCGCTAAAGCTTCAAGAACCTTGATTGGCTTTGCAGGGTTTTGCTGTTGGGCTCCCACAGGTTGTGGTCCCGTAGGTTGCGGGGCAGATTCCTCGGGGGTAGTCGCCTCCGGTGTCTCGGGCTTTCCATCGGTTTTGGTCAAGGGCATGGACTTGGTTTTGATCAAGATCTTTCTCCTCAGATCAGCCAACTTCGGTAGCTTGTCAGCGGCCAAGTCAGGCGAAACCTCCACCAGAAGCCCTTTCCAGGCATCTCGCATGATATCTACCATGATTTGCTGTTGCTCTAAACAACAGTGCACCTCGAAGCTGACGATTACCGGCAAATCGCTAGTGACAAAGGCGCTGTCACGAATCGCATAGCAGATCTCGCGGAATGACGTCCCCTTGGTCAGCGTATGGCCGTGAAGGACCCGGGGCTCTACCAACGCTTCACTGCGGACCGCCTTCGCCTCAGGAGCGGTAGCCTTAGCAGGAGCGGCAGTCTTAGCAGGAGTTGGCTCGGGCTTCGTAGGCGATTTGCGGCGCAGAGCATCGTTCAATCTTGTCGAAACTGAGCGAGAGAGTCCCTTTGATTTCTGCTGTATAGCTTCGCTTCTGGACCTGGTCTTCTCTTTTGTTTTGGTACCTGAGGACCCGTCATTCTCAGAATCGCTGCTGCTACCGCTGCTTGTCTCACTGTCACTTGAGTCTGGGTCCTTTGGTTCTCCGTCCCAGACATCAATCTCAACAGAGCGGCATCCACGCAGAAGGACCTATATACTGGATGTGAGCTTGTCGCACCAACCGCATATGTCATCTGGAAGGACAGCGACGCCTCTAATTGCGATATTGGCGTGGTAGGTTAAGATATTCTACTTACAGATGTGTACGCACTTGCAGCAGCGTCGCTATAGAGCTGATTACCTGTCAAGTATGTGTTATGGCTTGAAGACACATAATAATCTGAGATGGGAGCAGACACATCCAGCTCCTTGAGGGGTGCTTGAGCGCAAGACGCGGCATCTTTCATGTACGCTTGAAAGGCGTCCACCGAGGCCAGAGATGCCGCAACTGGCTGTCCATTAGGCCCCGTCTCATTGTCAACGCTTTTCAGAAACTCATTCTTCGATGCCTCCGATGCAGTGATAGCTTTGTAGATCTTTTGAATGTGGGAGTCGACCGTCTCATGGAATTGGCCCACATGGTGCTCTTTCAGTTGCTGCAGCGTGAGATCCCGCGCTCGCTCGACGAGGCTGTCAACCTTCTTCATCTCGTAGTCTCGTAATGACTGCCTATCAGAGTGATCGACTCAAGAGTCGGAGATAAGGCGTCCTAAACAGGCTGTTATGCCCTGTTGCAAGGACGTTGTGGACTCGGGTTATGCCGATTGGATAGTGCAAGCCCCGCTTCACATACGCAATATGTAGTGCGACTTCGTTTCCAAAGAGTCGTAAAGGTAAAAATAGGCAGCGTGAGTCAAGAGAAAGAAGACTCAAAAGTAAACACACAAAGTGTGAGACGAGAAATTAAAGGAGTGGACACGTGCGGTGTCCTGACATGATCGACTCTCCACTCCGCGCCCGACGTGGCTCCATCGGTGAGATCTTGGCTTTTTAGCTAAGTTGGAGAGTTTTCGCTCTTCATTCCCTTTATAGCTTGCGGCCAATTCAACCTTTCTAAAATTCTCTAGTCTCTTCACTATTGAGTAACCTTCTACCGCGCTAGTTCCACTAGCTAGAACTGGAAGCTCCAACTTCAGTATGGGATCAGGCCAAGCTCATTGGTTCGAACGGCATCAGAACCCTTGATAAGCCGGTCATCGTGAGGTATTTGACGGGGTTTGAACGATGCTCAAGGTCTCATCTCGGGCTTATGTAACTTGACAATGCCTCTTAATGTCCGATATACGAAGATTTGGCCATTGCCAGTGACTAACTTGCTGAGAAATCAAGGCGGGACACATCGCCCCCACTTCCAGGTTGACCTTACTATAAGAAGCACCGAGGTCCTCGACTGAACAAAAGCTTGGAGATAATTCTTGAATACTACTCAAGCTCAATCAAAGCTCGATAAACAGGTATACTGCAAATCTTCAAGCAAACATCTTCAAAAATGGCCAACTCAGAGCCCGTCCACTTCTTCGACATCGTCTCCACACTTCCAGGTACGCCGGCTATACCCCACCTTCAGGTACTCCAATAAACATACTGACAGACAACCAATCTATCAGGAGCCCGGAAGTCCTGGTCCCCCAATACCATCAAGGTCCGCGCGGTCCTGAACTTCAAGGGTATTCCCTACACCCAAAGCTGGATCTCGTATCCCGATATTGCCCCGTTAACCAAGGGCCTCGAGCTCGGTCCCAATGAGTCCGGCATTCCCTACACCTTGCCCGCCATCATCCATAAGTCGTCGGTGACGTCAAACCCCCATGGTGCAATGATGGACTCTCTGCCGATTGTCTTGCACCTGGACAAGGCGTTCCCTTCATCACCGCTCTTCCCTAGTGGTGACGCCAGCTACGCACTGCTAATGGCCGTGAGCAAGATCGCGGGCGCACTGAGTCCGGCAATCCGCTCTCTGATTGTTCCAAGAGTGGCAGACTATATGGATCCGCGGGGCCAGGAGTATTTCATTGAGACTCGGTCGCAGTTCTTTGGAAAGCCATTGGCAGAGGTGCGACCGACCGATCAGGAGACCATCGATGAGTTGTGGAAGGAGGTAGAGACCGAGGCAGCGGCACTCGTCAATGTACTGAAGGGTCGCGAGGGCAAGAAAGGACCTTTCTTTGAGGGTGAGACTCCGGGATATGTAGATCTGTACCTGTCCGCTATTTTTGCCTTCTTCGAGCGCATTGACCGAGAGTCCTTTGATCGGCTGATGGCGATTGGTGACGGTGAATTCAAAGCTCTGTGGGATGCTTGTGAGCCCTGGATCGACGGTCAGGGTGAGGAGAAGGAATGGACAGTTTCTCAGACTGCTGCTTAGAAAGAACTGTGTACGTCCTCCGGTGCGGTACTCGCAGGCGGATTGGTATTGATTTGAAACCTTGCATAACCCCGGTATGAGAATAATGTAGACGAATATCATTTCAATATATATAGCACATTCGAGAAAACAGATCAAATCAATGTAATAATACATGTCGGACGCCTCCACAGGGCCTGCTTGATCCGATATCCACAGTCCTGGTCTGAAGGGCCATTTGCGCGAAAGCGCTCAGCCATTCGAAAAAAGGAACAAAGCAACGCTGTGCGGCTGACAAATCAACACCGGGTAGTTGTATTTTACAGACCACGCAGGAAGTTAGATTCCTTGATAGCCTTCCGTCGCGCTTCTCGGGCGCTCTTGGTAACCTCCTGGCGCTTATGGAGGCCGGCAGTGGCGTCGGAGAAGGCATCTTCCGAAGGTCCGTCACGGTTGTAGGATGCGGGTGTAATATCGTAAGAGTGGTGGTGGGCAGGGATCTTAGGGGCAAGCGGTCCGGTGCGAGCAGCCAATTTCTTCTCGTAGCGCTTTCGTTGCTTCTTGTTCAGAGCTGCAACAGGATAGACATGTTAGATACAGGGAGCTTCTTCTTAAATGGGTAAGAATACTTACTGCTCGGGTCAACACCACCCTTGTCGGTCTTCGACTGCTTGCTTGCATCCCCGAGAAGGTCCCAGAGCCAGTCTGGGTACTCCGAATCCTCCTTGGCAACAATATCCGGCTTGTTCTTGAAATAGTTCAGGCCATTCATCTTGGTACCGGCCGGGCAGCTACTCGGTGGGCGCTCGACGACGGGCTTGGTAGAACTAGCGGGTTTCGCATCGGTGTGAACGCCCTCTGGGGTACTCAAAGGCTGAGAAACACCGGGGGTAGCGGAGGAGATGGCGGAGGGAGTAGTGTTATCGCCGACCGTCGTCTGGCGGGGAGCAGAGGGAGGAGGAGTAGCAGCGACAGGTGGGTTGGCAGCCTTGTCACTGTAGAATCGGAATTGATTGCGCACAATGGGCAATTGGCGAGCGGCTGTTGATGCGGTCCATGACACGGCTTGCGTCTGTTGCAGCCGGGACAGCATGGTGGTTCGGCAACTTCTGCAGATCATCGCGGGTTCTCGACTGGATACAAATTCAGTAATTGTCTTTCAATCCTTCACTGGGCCCTCAAATGGAACAGTTGACTTTTAGTAGCGCCAGTTGCGTGGATTTGATGATGGGTGTTTCGCCGTCACGAAATCGCAGAAAACTGCGGCGCGGATTGGATGCCAAGCCGGAGATGGTCATGTGACCTTGAAATACTTAAAAGTCGTGCTTATTTCTATGCTTCTTGTCACGAGAGATTAAACAACTTTATTTGAACTCTCCTTGGCAAACAGTTAACAGTCTCAAAATCAGTCATTATTTCTCCAAATTGAGCTCCCCAACAAGTACCTCCTCAACAATGTAGTCACTCTGCATTTGTTTGTATCACGTGACTGTATCAACGTCGTCGGAACAATAGCAGCAGTGGAGACCGGAGAACGGAGATACTAACTAGTTAGTTAACTAAATTGCCAACTAACTAGGGGCTTTATTTAGAGCAATTCAGACTTGTTGATCTCCAATTGGTGCACAGTATGATTTGCTAAGCAGTATTTCCGACTAACATCTCATGCCTCAGGCGCCAATTCTCTGGATCTTCCAGGCATTCTATCTTCAGTGAGCAATCGTGTTGCTATTGCTACTCCAGAACTTGATAGATAATCAAAAACAGGAATTGGGTGTTTACACATTATTTGGCTCTTGAAGCTTACTGGAAGATAGGATTTCCTCATAAATTTCGACTTTTATTAGGGTCATGCAGACTCGCCAGCGGACACATATATATGTACGACCGCGAGTGAAAACACGATAAGTACAAATCAAAGAATGCTCATACAATGCATCTCTAGTCAAAATACTAATCCCGGACAAGAAAAAAAAGAAACAAACATCACGCAGCCGAAACAACACTGCCAAGTCACCGCCGGTTCTGCGAGGGGAATATTAAGTGGAACAGGCGCAGTAATGAACACACCAAAGAGAAAAAGAGAAAAAAGAAAAAACCAAGGAACAATCAATCAACAAAACTCATAGTGTGGTCATGAAGACAATCCACTGACATCCAGGAAATTACAGATATCCTCGCAAGCATCCTTCAGCGACTTTTGAGTCTTCCACTGCAGCTCTTGTTGAGACCGGTCAACGACCGCAACGCAAGAACCCACGTCACCCTCGCGGCGATCTGCGGCTTTCCGAGGAATTGGCTTGGAGATAACTGACTCCATGGTGGTGACAACATCCAAAACAGAGTTGCCGGATCCCGTGCCAAGGTTGAATGTGCGGAAGTTCTCGGCCAGCTTGCCCTCGTTTGCAGTGCTAAGCGCAGCAATGTGCCCCCGAGCGAGGTCAGTGACATGGATGAAATCCCGGATGGCCGTGCCATCAGTCGTGTCCCAGTCGGTTCCGAACATTTGAAGTTCAGCATATTGACCGGTCATCACTTTGACGACTACTGGGAGCAGATTGGTAGGTGCTTGTCGTGGGTCCTCTCCTAGAAGTCCAGACGAATCACATCCAACAGGGTTGAAATAACGGAGGACAACAATAGTCCACTCGGGATCCGATGCAGCAAGATCGGCAAGGATGGTCTCGCAGATCCATTTAGTGCGTCCATATGGGTTGGTGATTCCTGTGCACCCAGGCTGGAGAGTTTGCGTTTCCCCATTGCTGTCTATGTAGACCTCCTCTCTGTGCACACAGAGCTCCTCTTTCAAAGGCAGTCCCGAAGTTGCGAGGGTGCCATATACAGTGGCCGAAGAAGAGAAGATGAAAGTCTTGATACCAAAGTCTCCAAGCGTTGAAGCAAAATCGATCAAACCGCTGACGTTGTTTGCATAGTACTTCAGCGGATGTCTGATGCTCTCCTCAACAGCCTTGTATGCTGCAAAATGGATGACACCGGCAATCTTCGACTTTGGAGTTCCCCACCTCGATGCGAGACGGTACTCCTGGAGAAGATCCTTGAGGGCTGATGTATCCCGGTAATCATGCGCATGCAGCCGCAGTGATGGCATTTTTGATCCATGTGTGTCGTGGAATTTCTGAGCCAGAATTTTGATGCGGTCGAACACAACTTCGAACGAGTTGCTGAGATTGTCGATAACAATCACATTATAGCCAGACTTGAGAAGCTCCAGTGTGGTGTGACTTCCGATGAATCCCAGACCACCGGTGACAAGAATATATTGATTTTCTTGGGGAAGTCTTCGTAACAGCTCGTCAAGATTGTCGAACAAGACAGAAGACTCTGTGGCAGGAGTGTCCACCGAGCTTGGGGATTCACTCTCCACAGGAGTGCTTGCATTGGATCGCCGACGACTGTCCATTGCGATATGGAATGCGAACGGTGAATGTCTGGATGAAGTGACCAAGAAAAAAAAAACAAGATTTGAAGTTAACACCCTGCCACTCAAGCGAAGAAAGGCAGAGGAGTCAAGGAACAGGCTTTTTATAGACTATTTGAAACAATGACGGGAGATCCGCCCTGGACCCTCAGACGACCACAAAGCAAAATTTATACACCGGGGAATAGACCCTGCGTTGCCTTGTTGCCTGAGAGTGTGCTCGTTTAGTTCGATCTATTGTGTCATACCCTGGTCAACAAATGGGGAATCAGGGACGCCTCAGCGCCGGCAAAAATGGAAGAAATGAAGCTGAAGTAGCATAAGCCAGCCTGGAAAAGTTCACTAAGGGCCCAGAAGGAGGCGAACAAAGGAAGAATTCGCGATAGACCAAAGAACAGTCAGGCAGGATCCCCGTGGATAGTGGGCCAGGCATGCGGCTGGACCTTGGGATATGGCCCTCCAGGACCGAATAAATGTCCTAAGCGCCTCCACCGTGAAGGTACGTCTAGGACCCTCAGCTCGGGCTAATGGCCGTATCATACTAACAAATGGATTGCTCGCTACATCTCATATAATATCCTAACTGCATCTCATAGGGTCGAGACCCGCCCGGTCTATTTCGGGTCGGCGCAAAGACACTAAAGGCTAGGCTTGGTTAATTTTTTATTATTTCTTTTTTACTTTTTACTACTAAGACATACAACAACGGGTTACCAAGTGTAGGTTTTTGGCCTTATGCTAGTTGGAATATATGGTATCATAGCAATGACCTTGATGAATCCACTTCTCGTTATTTCAAACCACCGTTCCCCTTCGAATTGATTCTCCGTGCCCATTCCCCATTTATTTTGACTATGACTGCCATGACATCGGAAGAAAAGCACGTGAGCAGGCGAGGGTGCCTTAAGTCCAAATGGGCTCGAATTCTCTTGGCCGTACTCGTTTTCATCGTTCTTTGTGCTGCTATCATACCAGCCGTTGTTGTCACCACTCTTCGCAAGAAAAACAGTATGGGTCCAAAATCCAAAGTCTTCGTGCCACTCTACGTTTACCCTGCTCCTGGAGCGTGGACTCCGCTGGAAAATGTGTAGGTTCCATCCTTCCCATTCAGCCCAGCCCCTCCTTACGATCACTGCCTCGATCCTCAATCCAATGTTCGATCCCAAGCAGTCGGTAGTCCGCCACATACTGTACATGGCAAGGTTGATGTCGTGCCGTGCTGCTAGCCAACCCTGCCCCCCGCATGATGGCCCCCCTATCCATTGCTCTAAATCGAATCCAGTAATTCTTTTTGCAGAAAAAGGACGTCGTTTTGCTAAAACGCCACCAGGATCTCTGCCCATCCCGATGTCAATTTTACCGTCGTAATCAACCCGGGAAACGGCCCAGGGCCAAACTCCTTGCCCGACGCAAATTATACTCGCGAAATACCGGTCCTTGCATCTTACACAAATGTTCGGCTTCTGGGGTATGTCCACACTTCGTATGCACAGCGCAACATATCCTTAGTCCGCAAGGATATCGAAACATACGCCGCCTGGCCCACCGAATCATCCAACTCGGACTTGGCCGTTCGGGGAATATTTTTCGATGAAGCACCCCAGCAATACAGTGCCCAGTCCCTCACTTATTTGCAAAATCTGACCGACTTGGTCAAAGAGCTGAAAGGCTTTGGCTCCAATGGCTTTGTAAGTTGAAAAAATCTCCTAAAATCTGGTAGCTTAATCACTATTGCTCCGCTTTTGATGCCCCCCTTGCATCGCCCAATCGTTTATACGTACTTTGGATTCTCTATGCCATTCGCGTGGCATTCCCAGCAGACCCTGCTTTTTCTATTCTTTTAGGGTTTTCTTTTCCTCGGATTAGACAAGTTTGTCTTTGTTACCGCTTGCTACTTGAATCATTACCAAATTGCTTCATCCGGGCATATCAAGCGAGCTTCATGATTGCTAACGACTACTGTCAGGTGGTGCACAACCCTGGAGCTGTCCCAGACTCTCGTTACTTGGCATCGGCCGACTCAACCGTGGTCTTCGAAGGGACATACAACTCGTTCCAGGAGCGGCAGGGAGCTAACCTGTTCACGGATATCCCGGACAGCAACCGTACCCAGCTGTGCGCCGTTATCCACTCAGTCCCTGACACTGTGGAAGGGTCTGAGCTGCGCGGCTTGGTAAAAGAATCCCGTAAAGTGGTCGATGAGCTTTACATTACTCACCTCAGCACCGATTACTACGCTAGCTTTGGGTCAAAGTGGACTGAGTTTGTGGATCTAATGGCGGCGTGAGGCTCGCTCGGTGGTGACATGTACATATCATCGACATAATGACCCTGCGTAATGAGGTGTCGGATAACTTGCATTTGCATTTGGGCCCAGCCGCGCTTTCCCTCTACTTTGATGCACTTTAAAATTATATTTTTCATAGAACTGCCTTCTAGAGGCTTTGCAAGCTATTGCCCGCCAGTCCGCCACGATCCAAAATTTCACCGCCTCTTTTTACTTGTCTCCTTATTCAAACGACCGAGACTATCATCGGCTAAAATTGAAAAGCAAAGGCCAAAGCACGAATGAGAATTTACGGAGTAGATGGGTAACAAACATTCATAGCAGGAAAATTGGCAACAAGGAAAAAAAAAATAAAGCTCAGATGTAGTTAGCCTCGGTCGAGTGAAGTCGGGTACGTATTGTCGTAATTTTCATTCTGGAACCGTATCTGATACAACCATGGTTCCAAGTATAGTCCCAACATGGAACAAACCCGCTCATTGCTCAAAAGGGTCATGCCTATGGCGGTTTAGACCGTTAGAGTTTCACTATGGCCTCGGTATCAACTTGATCGCAATTCTCGGAGTTTTTGTCAGCACCGGCCATAAACATGGGTTGTTTAGGTACACCTGGTGCGAAAGATCAGGTCATGATGATGCAAGCCTGTATAACCCCAGTCGTTTTTCAGATTCGGGCATAAGAGAATCACCTTCCTTTATTGGAACTGGGCCTGGCAGGATTTATTCAACAAAGCAACTTTGGCTGATTTGGCCCCGGGTGTCATGCAAGATGTGCTGTACGGGCTGGGATGTCTTCAATGCTACAATGAGTTTCTCCGGGGAGATCCTAAAATAGTGACCTTCCTTTCTTTACGCCAGTCGTACCATGGGGTTGCAACATCACATATAAACTTGAACTGGCCATAGGATGCCTTAATTCGAGACTTTGCTAAGACATACATAACGTGATATCAGCATCTATCCTGAAATTAGCTCCTCTACTCGCGCTTTTCTTGGCAAGGAGAGGACTACTACAACCGATTGAACAGACTGAGACATCATCGTGATACATGACAAAGATTCCGCTCCGAGTCTCTTGCAGTGGAGACCAGAATGACGGGACAGCACCACGCTGCGATGAAACTGAGGTGCTGGACATCCCGGGCGAATTGAAAACAGATACCCTAGCATACGTGAGAAAATGGACAAAGTAAAAAACGACGATGTCGCAAAGAGTTACACCGGGCGCAACTTGTAAAAATTGATGTTACTGGGTCTGAGAATGGAGTATGGGGGCCAGCTAGTACAACACAGATTTCCTAGCAACTGGGTCTGTGACTGTACCATGTGTTTTTGCAAGATGAAACCCCTCCCAGCCGCACTCGATTCTGAGTTCACAATAATCCATTCAATTGGGAACATTTTGAATTTGTGACCCAGTCCATCCCCGACCCCTGGCAATGCGATCCACTATAGCGGAAGCCACGCCCTCGTGGCAGACACCAGGTACCTCGGACAGGAATGGTAACCCTGTTGAAAATCCTTGATGATTTTCGATCTATCTCTTGGCTGATCGAGCTACACGGCGCCAACCGGAATGCCGAATCCCGGTTAACCTTTTCAAGCTATCAAGTGGTCGATCGATCGTTGTTGAACTCTTCTAAGTACGAGCACATCACGAACTCCGTCGCATCCGGAGCGGCTACAGGGGTGGATACACTGGATAGAGATGCTGGCGCAAGCGGAGGTATGTGGCCCGCATAGCGCGAACTGGTCTACAAGAGCACAAAGCACAAAGCAAAAAGTGCATGGTGCATGTGCAGGAAATCGGGAGGCGTGGAAGTCAGGGACTCGCGACTCGCCATGCTTTCGTCCAAGGGGTATCTGCGGCCCCCTTTCAGCGACAACCTGGTAGAAAATGTGTCCATGTTACACTAAAACGTGGATGGCAGTCACGGTTCCAACTATAATTATCACCAACTGGAAAACCAACAAGATTGCGCCAGAAGTTCTCAGATTTGAAACCTCGCGAATGGCGACATATCCTGGGAATTACTATACATACAACCCGGGCGATCGAGATCGATCTTGGCCACTGTGCCAATTCATCTGGAACACCTTGGCAAAGCAGAAGAGTGGGTAAATCGAACTAGCCAATCATTTGACTCTTTCATCCGTGGTCTTTCACCCCGTTGTTCCACGAAGTATCACCACAACTCATTAGGTAGGAATCGGCCTTTCTGAAGCGGCGGCCACAGCAAAAGTGGAGTCTGTATGAAGTAGACTCACCGACGGAGAACCCCAACCTTCCACCATGGACCAATAAACACCAATAGCCATGGTTCGTCGTCAGGAACCGGGGAGATCCGCTCGGGAGCCACTCGGGAGCAACAGGAGGGTCCGATCTTAGCGCTCGCCTTCGTTGGTTGAAGTGACTGATTTTTTTCTTCAGACCCCACTCAGCCCCCATCGGACTCCCGGAGCATTGCTTTTTGCAGCTTTACGCTTGAAAAGTGGAATCATATTGATGGATCACATCTGAAGCACCCAGAGATTTTCGAGCCTTTAATCGCTCTAACCGAACCCAATCTTGCAACGACCTCCGTGTTGCCACTATTGCGGGCCAAACGATCGTACGGGTCGAGGTGAGAGACCCCATCACATATTCCTAAATCCTCTCAAGGATTTCCAGTTTAGTTCGGACTTTTAGCTCGGGTGAAAAATCTGACTATAACGCTGGGTGGAGATGGCCCGTGATAGCTTGGTACTTGGTACCTAGTGCTTCGCCACTGACGCCTATACTTGAGTGGCTGGGGCAGTTTGGCCCCTGCAGCTCGTGAAGCTTTGATGGTTGCTTCTCGTTGAGACAATTTGGTGTCACAAAATCGACATGCAAGGGCGAGAGATCAAAGTTAATATCCCGATCATCGAGAAATAGAATTTCTGATATATCCGATACCATTGGTCGGTGAGCGCTCGTGTTTCTTCAGATGCAGCGTAGAAGAAAGTGAGAGAGTAAGTGGCTGTTCCAAAAAGACGCCTCTCGGAGTTAATGTATTTTTGGTAGTAAGCGAGTTTTTGCAAATCGTGAAATTTTCGGGCGTATGTATTATGTATTGTACCGCTGTAATTTTCCCCTCCTTTCGTTCCAACTCGAGAAAGCAACCATACTGTGTATATTACGTGCTAGCATGGTCAATGCAGCACCCATTTGTCATTGGCACTGGCCACTTTTCTAATGCTTCCAGAGAGCATCTCCGCAAAACATAACCAATCACATCCATTGCACTTATGCCAGTCGTCGTCAGAGCCAAGACTGCCAAGACCAACAAACAGCACCGGATGAATTGCCGTATTGATCGGCGAGAATATTCGGATGGCAGCCGAGAGCACCTACCTTCACTACTCTACCAGACTTCCAAGACGCTATAGAGACTAACTAACAACCGAATCCCGAATTCAAGGAAGCGAAGGCCATGACAAGACCTTGGTCAAAGGACTTGTCCGTATTGCTGGCCTTGGCTACCGGAGTTACTCGGAAGTCGTCTTTTGTCTTTGTTGGGCGGCAATTCCACCACCGTCCTTCCGACTGAGAATTTACTAGCCCCCAATCCCGTCACCATGGAGAAGCTAGGCACGCCAACGGGAAAAGTTCGTTTATTGGACCCCATCAGCCACACATGGTGACTACTGACAAGAGCGAGACGCTAAATCCTAAATCGTGACTTGGGGCTGTGATGGCGGGTCGACGTGGCTAGCGCTCGATAATCTCCCCTTCGTTTAACAGTTAAGCGACGTAGAACGCGAAGCGTGGGGGTTTAGCAGTTCATGGCGCTATTGAGAGGCGCAAAGGCAATTGAGGCAGAATTGGGGAGCTGAAGATGGGCGGTATCCATCGTGATGGGCCTTGACATACGGGTATTTGGATTCACAAACTATGAGGAAAATGAAGTCATCGTGACTGTGGGTTACTTTTGGTAGAAGCGCTTGAGAGCCGAAACTTTTTGGTGGAAATTACCCGAGCAGGAAGTATTATATTGGTATATGCAATGCAGGTGATGTGATCAAGGTTCGAAAAAACAGATACAGGTAAAAAACCAAAACCGCGAGTCATGGACGTCATGGTTAGCAGTATTCCACCCAATTGTCCAGGTCCATGTTCTTGATAACGGTAAAACCGCGAGTCATGGACGTCATGGTTAGCAGTATTCCACCCAATTGTCCAGGTCCATGTTCTTGATAACGGTGGAGAAGTTGCCAGCGCTGGCGGCATTGCAAGCCGAGGACTTTTGAGAGGTCGTGACGGCTTGATTGTTGTTGGTGGTATCGCCCTTGGGGTATTCGATGTGGAAAACAGGCTTGCCGGCCTCGGTGAATGCCGCATAGGTATCGCACTCGGTATACTGAGCGCATTGCTCATTGACAGACCACTGCATGTTACTGAGGACGGAGTCGATGATGGCGCCGCCATTCTTGAGACCCACGGACAGGTTGCGGCTGTGAGCTTGACCGGCGAGCCAATTCACGTAGTTAATCGCGTCATCTTTGGTCAACTTGAGCCCGTTGGAGTTGTCGTAGGCGTCAATGTTGTCGGGGTCAACGCCATCGCAACCCTTGGTCACTGCCAGATCGAGGCGGGTTTGCATGATCTTGCGCACATTGTTGGAGTTTGTGTCGAGCCACTTCTCACCAGGCCAATCATCGAGATTGTTGCCCAGGTCCGCTGACGCGAAATCACTGGCATCAGAGCGCCACTTCTCATAGGTTCCAGCAGAGAAGTAGCAGATGACCTTGCGACCAAGACCCTGAAGCTTCGAGATCATGGTCTTGTCGTTGTCGAAAAGGTCAATGTCGTAGACGTCGGCGTCCACGGAGGTGTCATTGAGAGCATACAGGAGCTCAATCTGCCACTTGACACCCACTGCTGGCTGCCATTTCACCGTCCCATTGCCGCTGGTGGTTCCATTTCCACCGGTACCAGTGCCGCCACTTCCACTGCCTTCACCTTCGCCTTCGCCGCTGCCTCCATTGTTCAAGCCCACGCCCAGGCCAACGCCGAGTCCAACACCGAGTGCGACGATGATGAGGGCAACGAGAGAAGCGACAAAAATCTTCTTTTTGGCAGTCCAGGCTGCCCAGCCAGTCTTTGTTGTCATCTTATCCATGTTTGATGGGATCGCAAGGACGGGTCAAGTTGGAATCGGGAGGATGATTTCTCGGAGGTTCAAGAAATTCCGGTGCCAGTTTCAGCAGCAAGCTGGCATAATCAAAGGGGGGCCAAGCTTTAAGACAAGAGGTAGATCACTGGAGAAAGATAATATATATCAAACAAATCAAGTGAGTTTGTAGGCAATAGGCATCTTTCAGCTCAGAATAAAATAAAAGGGTCCTAAGGGAAATGGGCCCAGACCACAGGGTTCTGCGGCTGAGGGTGTGGCGATCTTTCCCAACTACTACGATAATAGCAATCGCAGGACCCCGGCTGTTACCATGTGGAGGCTGATCTGATACCTTAGCTGCCTGCGATGCTGCTTCAGGTACATCCAAGGACTCCTGAACTGTTGAACCAAAATGGTGAGCGACTACAAAGAAAGGGAAAAAGTGAAAGGGAAACTCGGGAGCCTAGTGATCAGCGCCAAGCTAACTGAGCCACATCTGCAGCTCTTTCGAAAAGTTTCAGTCAGAGCCAGTCAGAGGATGCGACCGTGTTCACACAGCCAGCAATGATCGGTGCTTCCTGGGGGGGGAGAGAAAGACAAAATTTCGGCCATTCACGGACCGGGTAGGGCAGGAAATAAGGTGGTGGAACCAGTGCTGATCTACCGAGGTTTGTCAACCGATCGTAGCGAGCCATTAATTGGGTAGTGAACTAGGCAACAAACACGAAAATTAGGTATACGAAGCGCCTAATTTCTCTATCAAACACCCTGTAACTATTTGCAGATCCTATGTTGTAAGTAGAGTATCATCGAGGAGGGCAAAGCAACAGGTCTCCTACGCGAGAACGGGTCACTACTGTAGGAGTGTCTGAAAGATCCAAAATTTAGGTACCACTACTCCGTACCTGTGCAATAATCGTATGAGAAAAAAGCACAAAAAAGCAAAAACCGACCATGGGTGCAAAATCTGCCCATAGCGCTAAAATAAGAACAGACACACCCAACCATCTAACTGTACCCCTGTCTGCCAAGCCACTTAGGGCCCAATGCCGCCGATGCCGGGCGAGACCCATCTACTTAGCATTAACAGGTCTTCACAGCCGACGAGGTTGAAATCGAGGCGCGAGGCTGCAGGCCAAGGGTAGGTTACACACAGAACGAACACTGTGAGCAGTCACTTCTCAGCCAGCCCTTTCAGGAACAAACGGTACACCCCGAAGCGCCCACCCTTGAATCGACAGGACAGCATTGGGCCGTCCCTGATCCCTGGAGGGGTCGATCGACAACCCGCAAACTTGCTGAAGAATCAGAATGATTAACATCGGCCGCTTCTTGCCGGGAAATCTAGAACCTTACCAATGACTCGCGTCCTTAGCGATGCATGCGCTGGCAAGCGCTGGAAGCTCCCAAGGCGGGTTTTCGATCCCGGTGGGACCATCACCATGGATTGATTCATTAGTCCATTATTTAGTTGATTTAGTCATTTTAGTTCCCGATCGGCCGATAAGTGACTAGTGGGGGAGGCAGGCTTGAGTAGTCTGATGAAGCCATCGCCGAAGCAGCTCGCCATTTTTGCAAAATACGACCCACTCAATAGATGTAATATTACAACTCGTACCGGACGGTTTCAAATATACTCCTACTGACGGTAATACCGCCCTGAGACCCCACCAACCAACCCGTCTCTAACAGCGCATATCACGCTAATTCCTGGGAAGCCTTGGTGATCAGTCGCATTGACAAGTTTGCTTAGAAACTACTGTACCTAGGACACTAGGGCATGGCAACAGATTGCCTTCAGTCCTGACTTGCCGGGCCAGAGCCCCGGACAGGGATTCCAATCATCTGAAGTGTGAAGTACACAAACCTTTCTCCATACTTCGTACAGTAGTGCCGCAACCTGCCTTGAAAGTGGAAAAAGTAACTACAGTACATTAGATTTTTTGACTCCTAGTCTATGACCCTATGACTCTAAGTATGTCAGGCATAAGGCTGGGGTCTTGACTTTTGCTGGCTCGCTTGCATTTGCCTCCTGCAATTTATGCCTCTCCACATCCACGTCTCCCCCTGCCCATTTTTAGCCTTCAAACGACCTAAATACAAGAAGGGGATAGTTAGCTTTGAAGTGGGTAGTAAGAACCAGAACGCAAGCTAAAGAGAAAAAGTAGCCAATTGGAATCTGTGCGTAAGTTTGATCCGTACTGTAGATAACCCAATCGCCTGATTCTCCCAGCGACAATCCCCCCCCGTGCGCCACACCCGCTGCTTGAGACGCCAGCTAGAACAATCTCGCTCTCTCAATACGGAGAAGCGGCATGTAAAAAGTCCCGGAGCTGGGACCGTCATACCGTGCCAAGAGAGACTATAGCCGCCTCCTACGGACAATTCACTCACGCCATTCCCCTTCCATTTCACGCGGATGAAATCTATTTCCAACTCTATGTCGCCATGCGGTGGTCACCTAGGCCATGCAAGTGTTGTAAGCATCTCGCCAAACTTCCCTCTCGTAGTGCTTTGGGCCAAGGGCCCCTGGCCCCCTGGTGAGTCCTCCCCCCGCCTCCACGCCTGCAGCGGCATAGTGCTCACCCTCGGAGACTTCGAAAGCCCAGCCCTAGGCATACTCTAGTGCTGCGAATATATCCGATCACCAATTAAATCCTCACGGGATGTTATCATTCTCCAGAATAATTCTCCTAGCCCGATCCAAGACGGTGGCATGTCGTCTCCATTCTCCTAGTTTGAGCCGCGTGAGGCTGTGGTGCGTCGATGACATTCGTATTAGTGATGTCTCATCCAGCCCGAAGCCAACCCGTTCGCCCACAGCCAAGGCTGATTCGTTGTACAAGCACGAAAAAGCTACCTCTTTAGGCCCAGATTCTCCGAATGAGTCCAGATGTTGCGCGTGGCCACAAATCTGACGAGAAGAGGGGAAGTCTTCGGCGTCGCCGTTAGTGGATGACGGGCAAACGGCCCAACTAGATGCTATACTAGCACATCATGATTCATGACAACTCAGAAGAAGCTAGTTCTGCCTTACGGATGTTAGCTTCACCGATCGGAGTAAACGGAGGCTCAACGTGAGCTCTTCGACCCGACCCGACTTGGTGAAAGACTCAGTACTAACCTTGTTGTTGATCCCGTGCCAATCTAGAACTGTCTACCAAACTCAATTAAAGATATATATAGTTAAATTTCGCTTGCTAACTTACCAAAGTTGAAGAAAAATTGGGTCGGAATTGACTTTGAGCTTAACAGTGTAGACATGACTGAAAACGATAGACTTCGTATAGTGTACAACATAACATACTTTGGACCTGCAGCGTCAGATTTTGTACCTGCTGACAACTGCTGACCGGGCAGACCGCCACTTCTACCACCTCCATGCCCGTCAGCAAACCCCGTGGGGTCTGAGTTTGCACCAAGCTTTGGAAGTCTATGCACGGCACCTCGTATTCGCGTGTGATTCTGAAGGGAGACGTAAGCTGCAAGGGTATTTACTTTTTCATAGATTTACTTTTTTCATATTGAAAAATAAATTTTATGAGCAAAAAGCAGGCTTGAATTAGATTACTCTCCATCACAAATTGGAACCATTATAGACAAGTCTAGAGCACAGTCATTCACAAAGTGTAACAGAAGCTCAAAACAGATAGAAATCAACGGGGAACATTTTTTCGATGGAAACCCGATGTAAACCTCAACTCTTTTCTTACAGAGTGATAGGAGTAGAGAGGGTGAAGGTGACGGGAGAACCGGAGAGCTTGACCCAGACAGTGGCGGGGTCGCTGCCAACCTTCTCAACGGTGAAGCCCTGGGTGTTGGAGGGAAGAGAGGGGAAGGTGACGGGAATGGTCTCACTGCAGGTGTTTCCATTGGCGGAGACAGTGACAGCAGTGATCTTTCCGCTGTTGGTGGTGTAGCTCAAGGAGTAGCCACAGGCATCACGGTTGTAGCGAGCCAGGAACTGAGCAGACATGTCGGCGTGCTTGAGAGTAACCAGAGGCCAGGTAACCAGGCGGACAAACTCCTGGACCTGAGTCTCAACCCAAGCCTGGAAGATGGAGTACTTGGCAGAGACACCATTGATGGTGATAGCAGCAACATCAGCGTTGCGCAGGTTGGCCTGGTGGAACATGTAACCATCGTGGTAAAGACCGAACAGATGACGCATGGTATCGGCCTTCTCAGTAGCAAGCAGGTCGTCGAAGGTACCACTGCCGGCAGAGGTGGCAATCCACTCGTTCAGAGTGCAAGTGGGGGTGTCACAGTTGTAGTAAATACGGGTAGCCCAGCGAGGGTTCACCTGCATACCAGCGAAGCCATCAGTGGAGACGACAGTGAAGTAGGGCCACATGGCATTCTTAGTGTTGAGAAGAGCGGGACGGGTATTGTCACCGACGCAGTTCTTGATACCGTTGTCCCACCAGGCCCGGAGGGCATCACCGTTATGAAGACCAGTGATGGCAGGGGGGATGATACCGTTGGCAGTGTAGTGGGTGGCCTGATCAAGACCGTTCTGCTTCAGCCAGGCCTGGTTGAAGCTGATCTCCTTGTAAATATCAGAGTAGGTAGCATTGTTCTGCTCCTCATGGGTGAAAGTGTGAGAGATATGACCGAAGCTATTGAGGTTGGCAGGAGTAGTCCACCAGAGCAAAAGAGGGTCGCGCTGAGTGCAGGCGGTCGTCCAGGTGTAGTTGGTGGGCTTGGTGGGCCACAGGTTGGTACCAGTACCCAGGGGCTTCTCAAACTCAAGAGCGGTGTCAGGGGGAGAGTCGTACTCAATGGCACCGTTGTTGCAGGCAATGTAGCCAGCATCGGTGTTTGAAGAATTCTCAATGTTGCCGTTTCCGTTGTGGCCGACTTCAGGGAAGTAGGAGCTGCCGGCGTTCATCTTGGCATTGATGGTCTTGACCCAGTCACGGATGTTATCCATGTCCTCATTGCGAATACGGAAAGTAGTGCCGCTGGGATAGTAGATATCAGACTCAAGGAACATATCATCGATCTGCGTGTTCAGGTTCACACGACGATATCCAGCGTAGAGACCACGGGTGATCCAAGTAATCCAGGCGTGTTGGAGGTAGTTAGAAGTGGCACTCCAGGTGGTGTCAAAGCCGATGAAGAAGGCCATCTGCTCACGTCCATCGAAGTTGTTGATGACAGCAGCGGTGTTATCGGTTGAGAATACGGAGTTGGCAGCAAAAGAAGCAATCTGCTTGGTGGATGTGGTGTTGCTGATAGTAGCCGGGTAATGCCACAGACCTTCAGTGCTCACACCAGCTCCAGTTCGCAGTCCAGAGGTGGGGAAGTCGCTAATATCGCTGAAGGAGATCAATTGTTCAACGCCGGTGTTACAGCATCCACCAACAGCTGTAGTACCATAGTTGGGGCCGGGGTACACATCATACTGAACCATACGAACACCGAACGAAAGTTGGTAAGCGTACAGCTGATTCCACTGATCAGTGGTCAAGGCACTCTGGAAGCCAGACGCACCATAGTCATAGCTGACTTCGGATGCAACGACAATACCACCGAAGTTTCCTCCGGTGCTAGTGTTCAGGGCGGGGAGAGCAACACCCGCTTGAGGAACAATCAGGGTGGTGAAAGGAATACCGTAGGCATTCAGACCGGAAGAAGCAACGCCAGCGGACGCAGTGTCTCTGGCAATGACCAGGATATTAGCAGCAACGGTGGCGTGGCTAATAGCAGTGGCGGAGGCACTCGCCGAGAGGGAGACCGCCGTGGAAGACATAGTTGGCGATATTACTGGGGTACTCGATGATACTGGAGTACTCGAAGACAAGGGAGTTGAAGATTGGATAGGGGTTGAAGAGCTAACTGGGGTTGAGCTTGCAGGTACTGACGAGCTGACAGGAGTCGAGGAGCTGACAGGAGTCGAGGAGCTGGCAGGAGCAGACGAACTAACTGGAGTCGAGCTAACTGGAGTCGAGCTAACTGGAGTCGAGCTAACTGGGGTCGAGCTAACTAAAGACGAGCTTGCCGGAGCAGATGAACTTCCAGGGGCTGAAGAAGAATCTACAGTGGAAGAACCAGCAGGGCTCGAAGAAGCAATTGGGCTCGAAGCGGGCGTCGAGGACAAACTTCCACCTGCAGGGGCACTAGTAGAAGTGGCGGAGCTGCCAGGAGTGGAGCTCGGCGAGTTGACGGGTGAGCTCGAAGAGCTAGAAGCAGAGGTCGAAGTGGCAAACGTCGATGGGAAGGAGGTACTGGTAGGCGAAACAGTCTCAACAGATGAAACAATGCCACTAGTTCCGGAAGACAAAGGAGAAGAAGTAGAAAGGGTCACAGTAATAGACAAAGAAGTAGTGGTAGTAGAGCCACCAACAATACTTGTGGTAGTGGTATGGGCAGTGGTGGTAGGGGCAGTAATAACAGGGGCAGTGGTAGTATGGGCAGTGGTAGTATGGGCAGTGGTAGTAGTGGTGTGAATAGCAGCAGTAGTAGTATGAGATTGCGAAGGACGAGGAGGCTCCCAAGAAATAACTTGAGGCTTATGATCAGGCCAAACACCCGGACGAGTGTCGCATGTTATAAGGCCATAGAAGCAGCCGATTTTGATGGCCCACACAGGAGCTTGCACCATGTTGATAATAACCAGGGGTACAGGTGTTTGTAAACGAGGGGAAAGAACGCACCATGCACGAATAACGATTGACAGATAAACTGGGGCGGGATGCAGAAAGGAGGAACTTGACTTGCATCTGAGTTCCAGAGTTGACCCATCAGGCTCCTTATGTAGTTATTTTAGAATTAGATAGACCGAGTCAGACTAGTCAAGACCTATCGGCTTGTCTGACTGAGGCCACGGACAGTTACGAAGGATAATCTCCACACAGATGTCGCCGTGCTCGGCACTTTCTATCAGGATTGCAGGTGGCGTGCGATGAAGTTGACGGTGAGATTGATAGGGCAGATCGAGATCCTTTCCTAAGGGAGTGGAATGTCGGCTCGGGTCAAACGGAACCTACATTTTGGAGGGGTCTATGACACTAGAGATGGCGAGATGAGGATAGCAAATTTTTCCTGCTCATTCTATTGGCTATGTTACAAAAGGTCAAGGCATTCTTGGTGGGGATGGACCTGCAGATGTTTGTGATATTCTCGCAACTGGGTGCATCTCAACCATGGGAAAAATAAAAAGAAAACAATAATAAGCGAGGAACGCCTAGATTAGCATGAAGTGATGGAGAAAAATAGACAAATTGAAGTTTTCCGGCTGAGACATCCCAAAGCCGTAGTCTATCTGGTAAACCCGCGCCCCCCCCCCCGAGAACAACACACATTGCCTCGGACTTCTTGCCATCCACAGTCCTTCTAATGCTAGGTCCCGATTTATTAGATCAGAAGGGCTTAAAGACCCACTTTGCCCCTGCCTAGTGCCCACTTTGGGGCTCACGAGAAGAAGAGAAGCAGATGGCCTTGGGTCCAGCCAGTGCGGGGTTTTGGATGCATCGACCAGGGTTCTAACAGGTCCAGAACTTAGCCTGGAGTCAGCCCAAGGGGCCAGGGGAAAGTCATGATAGAGGTGGGCGCCAGAATTTGCCCGTTATGTATAATGCTGTGGTATGGACTATCATTTCGTGGTAAAAGTCATGATAGAAGTGGAATCTAAATTGTACCTGGTGTGTACCATGGTATGGTACGGGCTGAATAGTGGGAGAGTCATGATGGAAGTGGGAACCAAACTGTGCCTGGTACGATATAATATGTTATGGTATGGTATGGCTTGTTCTGTAATTATACTCGGTGTTTTTCAAGTATTAAAAATTACCATTGTAAAATCGACCGCACCTTTCCAAATCGGGCAGAGTAGCTCAACCTCGCAAGTTCGGCTTTTCACTTGCTGGCACCGGCGCTAACGTTAGGTATTAAAGAATTAAATTAAATCAATTCAATTCAATTCACTAAAAAAAGATTATTCATATTTACTCTAAGCAAACTGAAGAGATGCCTCGTAGGGACCGAGTTTTCACCCTCCGGCCCCCAGCTGAGTGGATCAGTCAAGCCAACGCAGAAGCTATCGTGGAGAATGGGATATTCACGGTCCGTGTCTCTCGCCATGCGTCAATTTAGCTTTAGGGAGGGATTTTCTCCGTAGAGAATGTTCGGGAAAAGTGGTAGACCAATGTCTTGAGAAAATTCAGACGAGTCTGAAAAACTTCTGCGACAGAGCGAATCTTTGTTCACCGTATGATGAGACATAACCCAACGTCCATTGATCTACATAGATACCAGTCTTTGTAAAGTGCTACCAAGATACTCATCGCATGGAAGACCGGGGTCCCATTGCCACACACATGGCATTGGGGACTTGTTGGCTGCAGCTCCACGAATGACCCCACTGCGTGTCTCATCGTTCATCCTGGTGCATAACTTAGTCTTTTTTTGGGCGTGCATCAAACAGAACTTTTGGGTGGCTTGCTATTTTTGCCCATTAAGTCTGGATTCTTGCCTTACAATTTACCAAGGGTCCCAGGTGTGTCACGGACTATTTTTCTTTCTCTACGAGTCTCAAAACGTCAAGAAAAAGCGAGCGGCCGATACGAAGTATCCCTGCTGTCTCCGCTGTCTCCTCGGTGGGGGGCAAGTTACTGGAGTCGTGTGTCGGTCTTGACCGTCACCTCATAGTCGAACCTTGACACTCAATTCCTTGCCGACTCTGATTATTGTTCCGATCCCCTCATATCATCCCCATTGCTTCTAGTCAAACACACCTATCTCCTCTCTTGTCATTCGCTTATGAGACCCCCCTCAGCATCAAGAGAGCTTGAGGATGCTGTAACAGCCCACTAGGAAGTCACAATTGACACCTGATGGGTTTTGTCTAGCCTGACCACATTCGTTCGTTATATCTATACCTTTGACTATTGCCTTGTTGGGCTGAGGCTTTTCGGAGATCCCTCACAATGGCCAAAATTCTCTCCGTTCACCCCGTCAAGTGGGAGGGGATGAAGAACCACTGGTGGCAGTTTGTAAGTGTCCCATTGCTTCTCTGCTTCGTTGGAAATTCTGTAGCACTTTTGAGGCATACGCAGAAGCGGCCGGAATGCTGATCAAGTACAGTTGATGATTGGAATTTTACTGGCTTGCATTACCATTGGAGTTGGAAACCTTCTATGGTCTGCTGTCGCAAGAACTATTCGATACTACAAGGTGAGTTTGACTTGAAGGTTTGAAAGGTAGTCTATTGTTCTAGTCTTGCTTACACTCATGTTCATGACATAGTCGCGCCCAATCCCGGATAAGGTTTCTTCACATGTCGCCAAACGTCTTCAGAAATTGGAGAACCGAGAACTGAGTTTGGTACACACTTCGACGCCCTCACAAAAGCCCTTGTCATTTGGAGTATACCTGGGAAGCTTCAACCAGCCGCCGACTGCCTCTCAAGAAAGACTGCTGTCCCAGTGGGATCTTTTGATTGTCGACCCATTCCAGGATGGTGTTGCGGAAGGCATTTTAAAGTGCAATTGCAATCAAGTACTGGGCAGGCTGGATCTTGCGCAGGTCCATTCTTCAAAGGAATCAGTCGTGAGCGCAATCGAGAAGATTGAAGGCATCCTTGCCAACAACTTCAATGATAGCGCCTTCTCCGGTATCTTGTTCGCCAACTGGGAGGAAATTTTCACCCCATCGGTCCAGGCAAAACTCTTTGAGACAATCAGTGCCCTCGGTCTGGCTGTTTACTTGGAAACGCAACCACCAACTTTCTTGAAAAACAGAAAAGCCTTACAAAATGGAGCTATCGCTGGACTGGTTATTCGCAATGCCAGTATCATGCCAGATGGTGAAAAGCGCGACTATTTCCAAATGGAAAAACTGCAATCGACCATCAAAGCATTTGTCTCCGAGGCATGCATGAGAGACTTTGTAGTTCTGGCCTGGGAGACAGTCAACGACGATGTTGCTCTGTCGAACGCCATCGTCCGCCGGTCTATTCAGTGGTGCAGCTTCTACAGCGCTATTTCTTGGATTGGCCCCGAGGCCTCTCTCAGAGATTCTGACCTAAATATTCCGACTCTCGAGCCTCTTCCGGCTTTTGGCTGGCTCAAGGAAGCCGAGATCATGAAAACGCATGAGACATGGCGCTCCAACCGTGAAATTTCGACATCTTCTGGTGTTCAAACCGGGTGGGATACGCTTCGACCACTTTTCCCTGCCGTCGATGGTTTGCTTGACTCGGAGGAGAGCGAGACAAATTCGCCACTCAGCCCTGTCCTCCGACTCAGAGACCCTCCAGAATGGGTATCGCAGGTCAAGTCGCAAGGCAGCCCATTGTCTGTTTCTATGTCTGGACAAGAGTATACCAACATGGGATGCTTCCCTCTAGGATCGGACCCCACTCCAATGGCTTTCGCAGAGATTCTTCAATCCCAGCAACGTCTCAAAGGCCTGGAACTCCTTCATCCCGTACCTGCAACAAAGCTACAAAGCATCAGTCTTCTCTTCCGCAATTTTCACGAGAATCTGGGGATGACATGCGACGATGTGCACCTGTTGTCTACTATTCAAGAATTGTCCGATTCAGCATCTGATGGGTCACTGAGGATTAGCCTTGCACTGGACTCTGGCCTCAGAAAGACATCTGATTCCCGCTTCTGGGCAGTCTATGAACAGGATGAGGAAAAGTTCGAGATTTTTGTCTCCAAAAATGCCCAGGGTCTGGCTGGAACCGTCCTGCATACTTTCCTCTCTGCGAAAGGATTTTCTCGCCACGTCAGCTGTGAAATGGAAGTAGCCTTGGCAAGCTGGTCTGAGGATCTGGCTCCAAACACCAACCTTCCCCGTCGATTTGTTCAAGATATCGATGCTCTCAGTCCGGAGGAGCGACTGCTTCTTCTGCAACATCTGTCTCTTACCGATTCTCACAGCGAACTGTCTGAGAATATATGTGCCTACATTCGCGAGCAGCTCTTGGATGCACCCTCCTTTGCCCAGTTGAAGGAACTCAACACGGTGGGATATCTCGAAGGCTCCACAAGCCCTGAGGAGCTCATCCGATCGCGAATTGCTTGGTACGAAGAGCAGGGTTGTTCGTATCCTTCGCTCTCGGCTTCCCTTGATCTATTCCATCAGGTCGATCAGGTCTTTACGCGAGTACTGAAGCAGCACCGCGAAGACGATCTGGCCGCTATCACATCAGGACTTTGCCAATTGGTGCAAGAAGGCCAGATCGATGCCTACGCGGATATGATAGCCCTCGCGCTTTTTTGTGCCGCCAGGAGAGACGCATTTGACGAAATTTATGCCGAGGTCACCGACAGGAACCCATTGTTCAACCTGCACTCGGACCAAGCCGCCGCATTTGCAGAGTCATTCGCTTTGGGCTCGCGTTGTGAAGCGTACTTCGGTGTGAATCCCAGCGTCTTTGGAAAACTTCTATCTGATCGATTCCGAGCCTACTATTCCAAACATCAACCTCCAAACTGGATCAATGGTGCTCCGCAGCTGGCAACAGCCTACGCTGGTGCTCAGATCGATGTGAACCCGGACGATAAATCCAAAGTCATGCGATCATACCAGCGATTTACGTTCTTGAGTGTTTTTGCCATCCCGGCCCTGATTGACATCATGTTGCTCACCCTTATCGGACGAGGACTGTATCTTTCTGCCTACATGACGCATTCAGAGCAGGATAGTGCGACAATGGCCTTGATGATTTCCCTGCTGCTTTCCGGTGCCATCGGCACATGGATTGCCTGCGGTGGACCGTACTACCTTATCTCAATGGCCTTTGCTGCAGCCAACATGTTTGTCTTGATTCGGTTGATTGCAGGCATTGCCTTCACAGTCGCTGGAGGCTTGATTGGTTTTATCGGTATCTCCAGCGCCAGAGGCCCTCGAGCGGGTATCATCTTCTATCTCTACCTGATTGGCTTCACCATCTACTTTTCGACCTTCGCTTCCCTTGCAAGCTTCAGCTACCCCGGCTCCACATTCCTGTCGGGCCGTAAGCCGATTATCTTCTGCATTCCGATCCTCTTCCTGGCACCTGTCATCACTACTTTTGCTGGAAATGATTCGGCAATTTACTTGGCTACCATATACCTCTTCATTGGCGTTCTCCTTCTCAGCCTGCGATCTACAACTTCCAAATGGGTGACCTGGTATGAATCCATCCGCCGCACCGATGATACTGAGATTCGCAAGTGGTACATCTCCGTTCATGGAAACAACAATGAGAAGGTCTTTGGCACCATGAGTGACCCTGCTGCTCTCAAACTGGCACGAGAGGCTCTCTTCAGCGACATTCAGGCCGAGAAGTCCCGCGGAATTTTCTCCAAGCCAACCACTGATAAGATGGTCAAAGAACTTGCTCGCGACTGGGACTCAACCAACTTCCTTTTGGATTGGTACTGTCGCTATGCAGACGTCCCCCGACCAATCCCGTTCAGCTCTGGATGGAACATCCAGACCAAGGTTGCTCTCGATGTCCTACGTAACTCGCAAAAAGGCCTTCGTCTACACAATGCTTTCGTCCACTGGCGTCAATCCAGCAAGGAGATTGGTTGTGGTGTCCTGTACTTTGTTATTGCCCTGCTGGATAAGTGGATTCAATTACTGAGTGGCGATCGTCTCCTGGGATTGACAGCCTCTTTGACTGATGCGAATCGCATGGCTGTCGGGTTTGCGCTGGCCTATTATCTTATTGGTGCTGTACTCATCGACACCAAGGCTCAAGAGCTCCACGAAGCCATTGGTGGAGATACACCAGCTGCCGTCAAGTTCGCAAAGGACATTCGTGCCTCGCAGAAGAAGAGCATCCAATTCCGGCGGAAAGTCTACTGGCGTGTCCTGTTCAGGTTTTTGCTATGGCACGTCTGGAGTCTGGCCCTTTCAACTGCTCTCATCTGGACATTCCAGTCATCGTTGGAAGCCATGGTTGTCTTCTTCTCCTACGTTCTTGCCTACAGCGGTCTCATCTGGTACCAATATACCAAGATTTTCACCGGACCTCATGCCCTGAAGCCTCTCTTGACTGGTATCCTTGTCGGATTGCCCGTTGGAATTGCCCTCAAGGTCAGTTTCCCTAGCTTCCTGTACTCGCAGATCATTGGTCTTGGAGTTGCTACTTGGATTGTCGCCATTCTTTCTCTCTTCAATGCCAAAATGGGCATGCCTCACAAAGTCGATTCTCCCGTTGAATTGGGAAGAACTTTCCATGCCTTTACTACGCCATGGGCAGACCCTGATTGGTCCCAGCAAGAGCTTCAGAGCTACTTTGAGAACATCTCTCTTCTTCCGGCCGATTCCCGCTTCAAAGTCGATCCGAATCTCCACCCAGGAATTGAGATCAAGACTGTCATGCTTACTCGCAGGCAAGAACTTCGAATCCATGAAGCCTTCCCCAACTCCAAGGAAATGATTGAACAGGCTATTGCATTGTGGGAACGCGGAGACATCTGTCTTGAGCTTGTCCCACACGGTTCCATGGGACCCGGTATTCGGGCCTTGAGCTGCAGCACTGGCAATCAACTGAAGGTGGCGATTAGCGTGAGGGGCTTACACGATGAGCGACTTGACGTCAGCGCCAACTGTCAGATCATTGCGGAGACTCTGGTCCACTCTGTCGCCGAGATGGTCATGGGTATTCCTCACGAGTATGCGGCTCTGTCCGAGGCGATTATCTCGGGTGGAGTTACTCACACCATGGCCCGGCTACTGCGCGAAGAGGCCAACACCTCTCTCGTCGTGCAGTGGGCTAAAAAGGAGCTTCTCCGACAGTTGTGCCTTGGATTTGAAGCAGACATTCACTGGGACAAGCTGCCCGTGGAGGTACGAAAAGTCCTTCTGAGCCGCTGTGTCGGACAACAATGTGACCTACCGGAGAGTCAACGCCAATGGCTTCAACAGAGTCTTTGCCAGTTTGACACCAATGACCTTGACATTCACGTTGCGAGATGCAATCTTGGAGCGGCTATGGCGATCAGTATCCTCGACTATTCGCACTATGGTACTGGCGAGGCCGCTATTCCCAAGGAGCCCGAGACTGCCGAATTCATCTCTTACGTTCCTCGGAAGCTACCATTGCCTTTGACTTTGCTGAGATCCCCCTTTAGCTACATCTACCACAAGGCAGGGTCTGTTGTCAAGTTCGTGGTCATTGCTATGGTCGCCGATCCCGAATTCCAAAGAGAATTCGATCACGTCTCCAAGAGACTACCGACAGTCGTCCGCGTTCCAACTGTCTTCTTGCTCAACATGATCTGGGTCTATGCTAAGATTATGCAAGACTTTGGGCTATCTTTCTTCCTGTTCCATGGTCGCAAGAACGTCAAGCTACTTTGGGAAGAAACCAAGGGAATGACCATTCACATCAAGAAGAGCAGAGTCATCATCCAAGGACTTGACGGGACCTTCACGGCATTTAGGCACCAGGAAACTGATGGAGGCTTCAAAGTCTACCAATACGCTGGCGAGCACAAGACCGAGCCCAAAGACAAGGAAGCAAGAACGCTCAAGTATGTCAGCAGCTATTCCAGCGAAATGCTGCTTCTCATCAAGCAAGAGTTCAAAGACGGAAAACTGCTCAATGAATACCACTACGACTATCAAGCACCGGTCAAGAAGGGTCTCAAGCTCAGCAAGTCATCCAATGCGCGCATGCCCCTTGGTCGACGATGTGTCCAAGGCGAAAACCACCTGCAAAGCATCCAGTACAACTCCAAGGGCCTTGTTGACAAGGGTTCATACATGAAGGATGGCAATCTTATTCGGTTCCAGTACCATTATCGCAAGAACCCACGCTTTGGAGATGAACTGCTTCGAGCCGAGTTCTCGTTGTCCCACATCACTTGCAATGTCTCATGGTGTGCACCTCCGCGCCGTCACCGCGACAAGGAGCATCGTTGGATTCCTCATACCAAGGTTACCGAGGCCACCTTCGTTCAACAGGCCAATGGTGATGTGTACGAGAGTCGCTGGCTCTATGATCACAAGTTCCATCCGACCATCTTCACCACCATCAACGGAATGAAAGTCCAAACGCCGCCTATGATCGAGCACGATTACCTGGGGGTTCTGGCTAAGCCGAACTATACCAGCTTCGCGCATGACAATCCCTTCTTCTACGTTGACAGCCTCCGTTCGAATGTCTTCACCCGCCTTCTTGGGCTGAACAAGAAGCGCTTCATCGTGTCGACATCTCGATCTCGCTCTCTGATGTGGAAGGCATGGAAGGACCGTGTTGACCTTGATGGAATCATTGTTCGCTGGATGGATGACCGTATTCTCCGCAAAGATGAGGTGCTTGCTCCTTACTGGCGCAGTCGCGATTGGGGAAATCTCAGAGCCGCAAGGAAGTATATGGAGCTTCGTGCCGATGCAGTCATGGCGAGTGCAGACTTGGACAACAATATCTCCAGCTGGACACCTCTCGCAGTCAAGATTAGTGATTTCTTCAACTTTGGTCCCGGTGGTGATGCAGTCGTCACCACTCGATCCAAGGAAGTCAGTTCTGATACCGACAAGACTCTTCACGTCATGGCGGCAGACAACGGTACCTGGCCCAATGAAGGTGGTGGTGTCTCTGCCTGTCGACGAGACATGATCAACTCCCTGCGTACCATCAAGTGGCATATGATTTGCGAGTCTGCGAATGACTTTGGCATTCCCAAGCACCAGACGGAGAGGAACATCCAGTCGCTGAAGGTGATTCCCCTCTGGGGTATGGACTTCTTGACACCCACCCACGGTCTGTTCAGTAACAAGCTTGATTCGGAGGTGGACAATGTCACTTCCGCCAGCGAGTTCGACATCAAGATGAACTTCATTCCTATTCTCACGGCTTTGGTTAAGGGCGCACGAGCAGTCGATCTCTCAAAGGCGGATATTCACCAGGCAACTCGAGCTCTCGTGAATCTCAACACATACTTCCAGGAATCTCGTCACTGGTCGCAAGTCTGGAACAGTGAAATGGTCAAGCAGAGCTGGCGGGATCTCTGGCTCACTCAAGAAATGCCCAATACCATCCCATCATCTGAATGGTTTGACACTGAGCTCCCCACCTTGTCGACTCTTGATGTTGCTTTGGAGCTATGGTACCGTTACCTCTTCATCTTCTCCATCCCTGTCCCAGACAAGATTCCGAACGTCTTCCAGGCATCCCACCACAGCGTCAGTGCCTCTTACGGTGTCGTGTGTAAGATCAAGCGCAACTGCACCTTACAAATCTGGGATCATGCCATCAGTTGGCGAGAGACTAATCTTTGTCTTTCGTCTGCTCTCTGCAAGCTCTCACCCTTTGTCCGGAATGCCCTTCTGGGTCTGATGCGCATCACCTCCGTTCTGACTCTCCACCATGCGGATATCATTCTTCCTTGTGCGGACTTCTTTAACCCAGGCTGGGAAGTTGAGATCGGTACTTGCCAGGGAACTATTGAGCATCGTAACACGTTCCGTCGCAAGGTTGACCCGGTTGTTAACGGTATCACCGACATGCAGAAGTTTGCTCCTGTGAAGGAGATCAAGTCTGAGCGTCCGACCGTGACCATGCTTTCTCACGTGTGGTATGCTAAGGATATCAAGACTGCACTTCTGGCCGCCGATATCATTATCAACCAGTGGAAGTTCGATGACTACCATCTTGACATTTACGGTGCCATTGACAAGGCTCCCACGTACTCCACTGAATGTCAGGAGATCATCGCTTCCAAGGGTCTTCGCGGCAGAGTCACATTGCGCGGAACGGCTGATCCCATGAAGGTGCTCGAAAACACCTGGCTGTTCCTGAACTCCTCTCTGTCCGAAGGTCTTCCTCTGGCTTTGGGTGAAGCAGCTCTCACCGGAGCACCTGTTGTCTGCACAGACGTCGGTGCTTCGCTTCGTGTGCTCAGTGACCCAGATGACTTCTCACGCTTCAGCGCCGTAGTCGCACCCAACGATGCCCAAGCTCTCGCAAAGGCCCAAATCTCCATGCTCGCCATGCTTGGAGAATGGAGCCAATACAGCGATGACAATAGTCCCGCGCCTATCCTCACCTCAGTACCCACTCCAGAAGAGGTTGAACTCATCACTCGCCGCATGTACGAAAAGAGCGAACAACGACGCAAACTAGGCATGATGACTCGAAAGATCGTCCAGAAATCCTTCAGCGGTGACCGTTATCTCCGCGAGCACGAACAGATGCTCTGGATCGGCAAGTCAGCCAAGATGATGGCCAGCCGCGCCGCCGGCGAGCCAGTCGAGCCCTCAGACATCGCCGCAGCCGTCGGACGCTCAGGAGCAGTGGAAGAGGAAATCATCACCATCCCACCAAGCGCAGTCTACTCCTGGCGATCGTCAGCAGCCTCAAACATGTCCACCGTCTACAGCTCCGTTTCCAACTTCCCCCTGCAAGACCGTCGCACTCGCGCTGTCTCCAGCATTTCCGCCCTCAGTCTCAGCAATCTCTCCACAGACACCGAATCCCACGCCCGTCTCCCTGTCTTTGCACCTCGCCTCTCCATGCTCTCCGCCGGAGGCTCTCCTGGCAGCCGCTCCCCTGGCCTTGTCCCCCCGCAGAACTTCCGTGTGTCTCTGGGAGGACCGCGTCGGCCGCAGTCCTTCGCACGCTCCATCTCGACCGCTGGTCGGGAACAGGTTCGTGGTCTACACCGTGAGGATCTCATGCAGTATCGCAACTCGGATGTTAGTACGATCATGCGGGAGGACTTTTTGAAGTCTGGCCATGTTTTCAGCCATTAGGCATTGCATGCACATATCCTTCTTTTCTCATTTCTTTTCCTATCTCTTCTGTTCATATTATTCTCACTCTGTTGCGAAAAAGCCCTTTGTCTCTTCGCTCTAGCTCATATACCAGTCTGTTCAGCATTAGCATACCATAATCAATCGCATGTTAGCGTCTATAGTCATGATTGAACATATTTATCTTGTTTGAATTTGGAATCCATGTGAATGCGTAAAAATATTTGATCGTATAAAAGATATGCAGACCCGAAATAACGCCTCCTAGCAAAAGGGGGATGGGTGGGTAAAAAAGAATCACAGTGTGAAGGATAGTCTTCTAGTGACAAATCGCTTGGCCCGCTTCCAGGATGACTCCACAGGCTTTGGATGCGCAATGCGGTGCCACTCGCCATTGAACGCATTGATGAGCCAGCTCGACAAGCCTGGTGTGAAATGTCAGCTCAAGATCAATAGCATCCAATGCATTAGGTTTAGACTTACGCTCATAGACGACGCGGTGTGCATTGTGGAAAAAGATACTGTGATCCGAATCTGGGTACATCACCATGTCCCAGTTGTCGATGTTTTGCAAGTTCAGCTTGTCGAGCAGAGTGAGCGTATTCTGGTAGTGGACGTTGTCATCTGCCACACCATGCATGATCAGGAATCGGGTATTCTCGCCCATTGCTGCGACGTCGCTGATTGTTGAATTGTCATAGCCCTCGGGGTTGTTCTGGGGGCGGTGCATATAACGCTCGGTGTAGATGGAGTCTATCGAAAGTGAGTCGTCAGTCAATCTACTATTGGTAGTCTTTGAGCAAGGCCTTCATGGAAGCGACATACCGTAGAATCTCCAATCCGTCACAGGGGCTACGGCCATACCATACTGGAAGGTCTCGCCTGCATCCTGCTCGAGGACCTTCAGGGTCATGAAACCACCGAAACTCCAACCCCAGATGGCCAGTCGAGATTCATCTACATAAGGTTTCTGGGCCCAGATCTTGCCGGTTTCGATTTGATCCCGCGCCTCATAGTATCCCAGGTTGTCGCGAACGATGCACCGAGCCTCGCGACCGATGAAGCCTGTTCCGCGACCGTCCACCGTGACCACAATATACCCCAAGCTAGAGGCCACGTAGGATTGGAAGTCGACCAGGAACTTTCGGTCGACTGTTTGGGAGCCAGGTCCGCCGTACAGATGGAAGAGCACCGGATACTTCTTCTTCGGGTTGAAGTGTGGTGGTCGCCGTTCGACCACTTGGAGTTCGTACCCATCGATAGTCACCGTGCTGTATACCTCTGCTGGAAGCGCGAAGTCTTCGACCTTCTCGGCAAGCTGTTTATTCTCCTCGATGACAATCTCCTTCTTCATAACGCTGTCTTGGGTACTGACCACGGCTTGCCAGGGAACTGCGGGTCCCTTGTAGCTCAGGAGCGCATATCCAGCACCGTCGGAGAAGGAGACGCCGTAGTAGCCAGGCTTCGACGTATCGGTCAAAGCGCGAAGATCAGAGCCATCAAGTTTGACCTGATATACGTGTCGCTGTGTTGGTCCCTCCTTGGTCGCAACGAAATAGACCAAGTTATTCTTCAAGTCAACTGAGGTTGGCGCCTGGACTACTTCCCACTTGCCCGAGGTGAGCATCACTGGCTCGGAGCTGTCCAGTGGGGAGAAATACGCAAGATGATCGTAACCCTCATGAATCACGGTATCAATGTAGCCGGCCTCTGGTCGGCCACTGCTGGGATCGGCTGGAATAATCCATGTCGACTGAGAGGGCTCAACCCAGCCACCGTCCAAAGCAGCAATGTCAGTCGAGCGAACGAGCTTTGCAGTTCGAGCTTTGGCATCAACCAAGAATATCTTAACAACGTCACTTTCACGGTTCGTCTCGCGGATCAGAACCTTCTGCTCAGGTGCCCAGACGACTTCGATGATGATTCGATCGTCATCCTCAAAGTCTTCCGGCATCTCGATGGAGAAGAGCTCGTGCTTCTCCACGTCATAGAACCGAAGGTTGACGATGGGATTAGGAGTGCCGGCCTTGGGATATTTGATCTGGCGCACCTCGGGATAATTCTCCAGGCCGGCTTCAGGTTGAGTACCTGATGGACGGTGGAGGAAATACTGAACGGGATACTCGGGGACGTCGGTTTCGTTGGTGCGCAACATCGCAAGGAACTTGCCATCCAACGACCACCAGGTGGCTCCATTGCCAGACAGAACCTCCTCTTCATACACCCAATCCGGAACACCGTTGAACACCTCCTTACCACCATCCGTCGTGACGGGAATCGCCTTGGACGAGGACAGGTCGCGCAGATACACATTGTTCTCCCAGACAAATACAACTGCATCAGACTCGGGCGACCACCAGGCCAACTGGATGCGACCGGTGTGATTGTCGGGGTCCAAGGCCTCAGCTGTTTGAGTTGCGACATCAAAGATCCAGTAATTTCCATAATACGAGTGCCGCCAATTCGACGCATAATCAGACAGAACCAGAACCTTCTCGTGGTTGGGACTCACCCAAATCTTGGACGCCATGACGAAGGTGGTGCCCACCCAGAAATGTGACTCTTTCATTAGGACTTTAGCATCAGAGACCTTGGCTCCTCCAGCCTTGCGGTTGCGAATATCTTCAATGCGCAGGTATCCGCCCCCGTGCTCGCCCTGCTCGATCAAAAGCCCATCTTCGCCATTCGAGCCTGCGGTCCATGCGATCGCATGAGACTGCGGTGACCAATACCCCGTCAGGACCTGTTCGAGTGTCACCGGCTTCCCATAGCTGGTACCACCGGTTGCAGAGTCCGGCTCATGCACTTCAACCGCGGAGGGGGAGGAAATCGCCGCTGCATTGGACCGCCCCTGTACGAGGAAGAAGACGAATGCAACGATCCAGCCGCTGGCCATGACCACGCAGACAAGGACACCGAACAGGCACCATCGACGGCCCGATGAAGACTTGGTCTTCTTAGACGGGAGGAAAGGCTCGTCTACCCCAGATTCTTTCCCATCTTCCAAGTCCCGGTATCGTTGTCCCTCCCCGTCTCCATCTCCATCTTCCCCGGCCGCGAACTCGTGCTTGTAAGCATCGAGGAAGGCCGCGGAGGCGACCGAGAGACCCGAATCGGAGGAGGCATTTGATGCCGCGGAGGCCGACCGCTGTCGAGTTAGCGGTACAGCCTCGGGGACACCTTCATTGTCGAGCTTCCCCATGATCGTGTGTGTTTCGGGGAGATCGCAGGCAAGCTGGTTGAGGTACCTTCCGATCGGGGGACGATCTTATCGGCGGAACTGTGGAGCCGAGTCACCAATACTAATCAATTGGCTAGACCAATGCTGTCAACAGATTAACAGCAAGACTATACGAGACAAATCCAATCAATTGGGATGGAATGATCGACATGAAGTGAAATATAATCGTAGTCCTGTGGGAATTGCTGGACGACCCTTCTTCTCATCGCCTGCCTCGGCGTGTGGAAGACCAGCTTGGCGCAGACAAAGCCGCTATTAAGACCCCAATCGGGTATGTGTCTCTATTCAAACACAGTTTAGGCCTAGCAGTGGCACTTTTCTTTCATGTACCAGCGGTTGCCTCGAGCCAAGGAACCCTGGTTATTCTAGGAACAGTAGGTGCCTATGAATTAATGCTATTCTTGAGGCATACTTTTTGCCCAACCTACATCCATCAGGGAAAAGGTCTTCTTACTGGGCACCCCAAGCTGCTGTTTGAATGGACATAAGCACACGCCTCGAGGTCGGAATGATTCAGCTAACTGCCAGGTGGTTTAATTTCTAGCGAATAAGATCGAGTTCTCTAAATTTAAAATTTACTGTTTTGGGGCTGAGGCTCGTCTGCGATTCCTACTTCATGAAAAGCAAGACACAGCAAATGTACACTTCGAGGGAGAGGCGGGGGCAGCATGGGGTTGCAGGCTTTGGCATTGAAGGAGCGCTCCAAAACAGCAACAGCCGTGCTGTATCATAAATCTATATTGTAAAAGTACATTTCCATTCTCAGATATCCACGGCTTCTCTGATCCACTGGGTCATGTCTAGCCATTCAGGTGGAACTTTCCCCTCAAGCGGTTGCAGGATACCCAGGACCAGCCGTCGTCCTGAACCCCTTGCGAACCACTTCCTCGACATCAGATGCATGCCCAACCCATGAAACAAGAGCATGATACGAGCCATCCAGTCGCCTTGCTTTACCAGATCCACGTATGGATCACCAATCTCGATCGGCCACGATATGCTGTCTTCGGTAGGCCAGCCTTCAATTGCTTTGAGGAGCAAGTCATGGGTACTTCGGTAGATTTCCTGATGGGGATCTTGAAGTTCATCGATAGTAATGCGTAATGAATGGAGTTTCTCCAAGGTTGTCCTGATCCGATCAATAATTAGTCTTTGTAACACCCAGGAGCACGGTTTCTGGACTCTTACTTGTGTAGCTCAACCATTTTCGGATCCTCACTAAAAGTTAATCGTTAGTTTGAGGCCACGAAAAAGCAATGAAGATGGATTTGCATGCCTATCTTTAGATACCGGCGGCCTGTTCTTATCCCGACGTATCCAAGGATCAATAGAAGTCCTCTCTTCGCCGTGATATATCTGCAAGAAAAGGAATGCAGTACCGCTCAGAAACGATCGCATCGTCAAAATCTCACTCAACGGGTCCACAGGATTCCCATCACCGTAAATGCCCGGATATGCAGTCACAAAAATCAGATTGAATATAGAGCAACTGAACAACGCCTCATAATTCTGCTTGCTAGTCGCTAAATGCCGACTCAACCCCGTTATCGCTGAATTCTGATAAATCAAAGCAGTCTCCAGCCAATGCGCTGAACGCTCCGGCTCTAAAGATGCCAAATGAAGCGCAGCAACCGCCAAAGACCCATCCATGACATAGTCATGACCCGTCGCAATACGAGGAAGCACCGACTGCCAAAACTCGCGGTCAAGTTCATCCTTGACAAAACTGAGACTAGTCACCGTGAAAGCATGGTGAAAGAGTTGCATTTCTTCGAGTCTGGGCAGACGCGAGACCGGAGGAGGACTTGATGTGCTGCCAGATGCAGGTGTTGCTTTTTCGTCTTCCGGGAGATGATCTACAGCAGGTTTGCGCCTGGGCGGAGGAGTTACATAGGTGCATGTCAGCTCCCGTTTCAAGCAGAGACTGCATGTTGGCCGTTGTTCATCACACTGTCGGATTTGTTAGCTATCGTGGATATACTTCTACAGTACGGAGTAGATTGGTTCGGCTTTGTTGCCGAGGCCTGAGCCCAACTGTGGCGGGCCGTTAGTATGCTGACCTTGACATGTCTTTCTTTGCATTGAACGCAGCCTTTTCGGGATTTAGTGTGACAGCGGCGGGGCATTGTGGAAAGACGATCTGATGAGATGCCCCCATCATGCAGAGGTGGGGAATGTGTGAGCTATCAACGCAGCCTCGAGGTTCAAATCAGCTTTTTGGTTAGGGACAACACCCCTGAAGCTGACTCAGCCAGGCAGCGATGATGAGATCAAGAGGTTTCATTCTGAGACAACTACGAGTCATCTTAAGCAAAGGACTATCAGGTATAAGTTTATCTACTCAAGTTGAGGTGAATGCCTTGAGGAGGTGTCTACAAAAACCCCATTTGCTCAAGAGATGGTTGAGTCCATACATCCAGATATCTGTGACTCGATTTGAGAATGAGAAATTCAATACCTACGTGAAACCTACATACCACATGAAAGTCTATGCGAACTTGGATCCATTTTTTTTGGTAGTAATTACTCGTCGCGAACACATCGCGTTTCATCATACAGCTCAGAGCAGCGGCCCTTAAAACTATTTACCGCGACAGAGCAATGTCGTCAATTCTCATGATCATCTTCACCGTCTCGGCAGCCAGCTCAATGGCGCTGGTGCTGACCAGCAGAGGCTGCAGAATGTTCTCTTCAGTAATGTCGTCCTTGACACCGCCGCTGCGGATGCTGACACCAGCGTTGTGCTGGCCCTGGGCGTGGCGGTGACGCAGGTCGGTCACAACCTTGATGGAGTTGAGACCAGCGTTCTCCGCAAGAGTGGTGGGGATAACCTCCATAGCATCAGCGAAGGCCTTCCAGCAGATAGCCTCAGTTCCGGTCAGCTCGCGAGCCCGCTTTGCGAGCGTGTGAGCAACCTCAACCTCGGGAGCACCACCACCAGCAATCAGAGCACGCTTCTTGACCAGGCAGCGGATAACGCAGAGAGCATCGTGAAGAGAGCGCTCAGCCTCGTCCAGAATGAGGCTGTTGGCACCACGAGCAACGATCGAGACGGTCTGGTTGTTGACAGCGCTAGGCTGCTGCTTGATGCCGGTGACCTTGACATAGCGGGCACCGGAAGCCTGGACCTCCTCAACGAGGTCGGCGGTACCGAGCTTGTCCTCGGTGAAGGAGTCGACGTTGGCAACGGGCTTGCAGCCAAGAGTCTTGCACAGGAACTCCACCTCATCACGCTCGATGTCCTTGATGGCAAGGATCTTCAGACGGGAGAGGAAGTGCAGGGACAGGTCGTTGACGGCATCACGGAGGATGGACTTCTGAATCAGCAGCACGTTACACTTGGTCTTTTGAATCTTCTTGACCATGTTCAACAGGTACTGGCGCTCCTCCTTCAGGATCTTGTCCATCTGGCGGTAGTCGTTCACAACGATTTGGTTCTCCATCTGCAAAGGGGTCAGCTCATCTTTCGATATACCAATTCGAATACAAAAAGACGTACGTCTGGCTTAGGCGGGCTCAGCTGGAACTGAATGAGACCTATCCGGGCCTTCTCAATTCTTGTGGGGCCACCGCTGCTCTTGATCACGGGCTGGTTCAACACCAAGCCATCGATCATCTCACTGTCCTCAATGGTACCGCCGACCTTCTTCACAATTCGGATATTGCGCAGGTCAACATTCTCAGCGGTCTTGGGATCCACGACCTTCAGCACGGAGTCGACGGCCATGGGGCCCAGCAGGCTGGAGTGTTGGGAGACAATCTTCGAGGAAAGGGAGGTCGAGGCGGCTTGAAGGAGGGTAGCACGGTCGGTGAGGTTGATAGGGCGGGACATGTTGTGAAGGATCTCGACGGCGGCGGCGGCTGCGCGCTGGAAGGACTCGGAAATGACGGTGGGGTGAATGCCCTTGGAGAGCAGCTTTTCAGCAGCACCAAGCAGACTGCCAGCGATAACGACAACGGATGTAGTTCCATCACCAGCCTCGACATCCTGTGCGGCACTGAGATCGACCAGCATGCGAGCAGCCGGGTGCATAACGCTCATATCCCGCAGCATAGTGTTTCCATCGTTAGTCTGCGGCGGGGGGTTAGCCGAAGTGGACGGAAGGAGGGAGGCAGGCTGCATACGATAATGGTGTTTCCCTTGGGAGTTTGGATCTATATAACTCGTTAGCTTTCGTATTCAATTGCGGTGGATATGAAATGTGTGATCAACCTACCATCTTGTCCATGCCCCTGGGTCCCAAAGACTATTTTCCCCGTTAGCCCCTCATCTCCGTGATTTCGAATATCGCGGATTTGCATACCGTTCGGATGGCATCAGCGACGGCTATGAGATATTAGTAGGAAGCTCCTTTGGTACATAGAGTTCATCAACTTACCCCGAGCTGCGAGAATGTTGGATTGCCGCACCGCCATGGGCTTCTCCTTGTCCTGTGTGCTGTTTAGCAACCGGCCCGCACAAATGAGGATTTTGCAAGTCGTACCTTGAAGGTAGTGTTGCCAACGGCTCCCTGAGCCATTGCGGTCGCCATCTTGATTGTCAAAAATCCAAATGGAACCAATAGATTAATTCAAAAGGGGATATCGGGGTAGCGTTGGTGGAGGGACACACAGGGAAATTCTGCGAGGTTCTGGGGCGGTGATGAAGCTTGGCACTGATTAGTGAGTTGAGCTTCGGCCACCGCAGCTCTCTGCTACATCACCAACCCATCCATCCGCGTTTTACCTGTCTGCCCGTCACTCTTCAATTCTTTGAAGATTCAACTGTGCTCAATTTTCTTTCCTATCAAGGCATCTTCTTCTTTGAGTACTCTGCCCTTGTCCTTACCCTAGCTCCTCAGCCCTAGGCTGTCAACACCTGCATCATGCCTAGCGCCACGGGCTCGAACTGGGAGAAGTACCAGAAGAACTTTGCGGATGACGAAGAGCCGGAGAAGAAGATCACACCCCTCACAGAGAGGTCAGTTTCCTTGGATCTATCCGATCCGGATGAACACCGAATTCAGTTGGTGATGATAGGCTGTGGCTGACAACTTCCCCAGTGACATCGCAGTACTCAAGACCTACGGCGCCGCCCCCTACGCAAACGCCCTCAAGAAGCTCGAGAAGGACATCAAGGACAAGCAAGCAAGCGTCAATGAGAAGATCGGTGTGAAGGTGAATACGGAACCCAGCTGTTTTGACCCCCTTTGAACTCCCCGAAGCTCACACGCGCCCAGGAATCCGACACTGGTCTCGCACCTCCACACCTTTGGGATGTCGCCGCCGACCGACAACGGATGGCTGAGGAACAGCCTCTGCAGGTTGCTCGTTGCACAAAGATTATTCAGGATGAGAAGGACTCCGACAAGAGCAAATATGTCATCAACGTCAAACAGATTGCCAAGTTCGTGGTCAACCTAGGAGAGCGTGTCAGTCCGACAGATATTGAGGAAGGTATGCGAGTCGGGTAAGTCGAAAGATTCCGCATTCTTTAATTCGGAACAGGCATCCTAACATAGTGTCATATAGTGTCGACCGGAATAAGTACCAGATCATGCTACCACTCCCTCCCAAGATCGATCCCAGTGTGACGATGATGACGGTGGAAGATAAGCCTGATGTTACATACGGTGATGTTGGTGGATGCAAAGAGCAGATCGAGAAGCTACGAGAAGTCGTCGAGATGCCATTGCTATCACCAGAGCGATTCGTGAACCTTGGTATTGATCCGCCCAAGGGTGCTTTGCTCTACGGTCCTCCGGGTACCGGTAAGACTCTCTGTGCACGTGCTGTTGCCAACCGAACCGACGCCACATTCATCCGTGTCATTGGTAGCGAGTTGGTGCAGAAGTACGTCGGTGAGGGTGCTCGAATGGTCCGCGAGCTGTTCGAGATGGCCCGCACAAAGAAGGCTTGCATTATCTTCTTCGATGAGATTGATGCTGTCGGTGGTGCTCGCTTCGATGATGGTGCTGGTGGTGACAATGAAGTTCAGCGTACCATGCTGGAGCTGATTACTCAACTGGACGGTTTCGATTCCCGTGGTAACATCAAGGTGATGTTCGCCACCAACCGTCCATCTACTCTCGACCCGGCGCTGATGCGTCCCGGTCGTATCGATCGTAAGATCGAATTCTCCTTGCCAGATGTCGAGGGACGTGCCAACATTCTGCGCATTCACGCTAAGAGCATGTCCGTCGAGCGGGATATCCGATGGGAATTGATCTCTCGCCTGTGCCCCAACGCAACCGGTGCGGAGCTGCGCAGTGTTGCGACCGAGGCCGGTATGTTTGCTATTCGGGCGCGGAGAAAGGTGGCTACGGAGAAGGACTTTTTGGCATCGGTGGAGAAGGTTATCAAGGGCAACCTCAAGTTCAACTCAACGGCGACATACATGCAATACAACTAGAGCTAGACTGGGAAGCTGGTGTTTTGCATGGGCATGGCAGATGGGCTGTACGATCACTCTTTTTTTGTCATTTGCAGCTTGAGCTCTCAATGTGCACGAATTTATAATCAATAGCCTCATTGGCGTGAAATAAGCTGTCTTTACCCCCGAATAATTCTTAAATAGGCACATAGTAGTTAACACGAGACCAAAGCGCTTTAGCCTCCATCACCTGATCTGACTAGCCGGAATCCCTTCCACCCCATGGAATTGCTGCCGAATGACCACCAAGACCATCGTCATGTGACTACACGTGATATAGAATTTGGATTTCGATCGATTTGACCCTGACAGAATATAGAATGGGTTGATGAAGCTTTATAGACCGAAGAAAGGGATCAGCACCGTAGAGCAAATAGCTTGGCGTCCTGTTCTCCCCAGTCCTCTGCTGGTCCTCTCGGCACATCGCCCACCCTGCCGTTCCATCCCGATCCTCCACTACGACGGCCGGCAAAATGAATGTCGAGTCACGTGCAGTAAGCCAATCACAGGCGACCGGCTGCCCGAGGCTTTGGGGTGCTGCTTTCCATTGCGCACGATCTGATTGGCTGTCTCGGCCCCGGTCCTCCCCGTCGGCAAGTGAGAAAACGATTATGTCAGCGCAAACTGCCAACCGCAACCCGATCACAGAGCAGTCGTCCTGGAAAGAAGCACTATTCCCCCATTCTACCTGCCCCCTCCCTACCTACTTCCCACCGACGACCGGTGTTACTCTCCTCTCTTTGGGTTAGACGAAATAATCTTCTTCTGACCCGTCATCATGAGCTTCCTGGGCTCGCGGAGCTTGGCTCCTGCCAACAAGGTGAGTAGCCGACGAGAGAACGATTTTCGGCCCGGCGCGATGGTTTACTGACGAATGTCTTTCTTGGTCCCAGGTTTCCCGCATCTTGAGGGATCAGAGACGTCTCTTCTCTTCTTCACGGCCCGCTGGTACGCATTGACATCGCCTGACCGATTGATTGCTTTTTCAACACCCCGGAACTAACCAACTTCCCTGTCGGCAGCTCGGCTCTGGACTCCCGGCCCTCTGCGCGCGAAGGCTGCCGAAGGCTTGATTTCCGAGAAGTACCCCGTCATTGTAAGCCGAGAATAGCGCCTTCATTGAATACAAGTCGATTGGAATGGGATTCTGACTGGCGTAGGATCACGAGTACGATGCCGTTGTGGTCGGTGCCGGTGGTGCCGGTCTGCGTGCTGCCTTCGGTTTGGCCGAGGCTGGCTTCAACACAGCTTGTGTCTCCAAGCTCTTCCCTACTCGTTCTCACACTGTCGCTGCCCAGGGTGGTATCAATGCTGCTCTTGGAAAGTAGGTTACCCTCCAATTGGCTTTTTGGCACGAGCTCTACCCCAAAGTGCATATAACTAACCTGAGAAATAGCATGCACGAGGATGACTGGAGATGGCACATGTACGACACCGTGAAGGGTTCGGATTGGCTGGGTGACCAGGATGCGATTCACTACATGACCCGTGAGGCTCCCGCCTCCGTCCGTGAACTGGAGGGCTATGGTTGCCCCTTCTCTCGTACCGAGGATGGCCGTATCTACCAGCGTGCTTTCGGTGGTCAGTCTAAGGAGTACGGCAAGGGTGGCCAGGCCTACCGTTGCTGCGCTGCCGCTGACCGTACCGGCCACGCCCTTCTGCACACTCTCTACGGCCAGTCTCTGCGCCACAACACCAACTACTTCATCGAGTACTTCGCCCTCGATCTCCTGATGGAGGACGGTGAGTGCCGTGGTATCATCGCTTACAACCAGGAGGACGGTACTCTGCACCGTTTCAAGGCCCACCACACCGTCCTGGCCACCGGTGGATACGGACGTGCCTACTTCAGCTGCACCTCCGCCCACACTTGCACTGGTGACGGTATGGCCATGGTTGCCCGTGCTGGTCTCCCCAACCAGGATCTGGAGTTCGTCCAGTTCCACCCTACTGGTATCTACGGTGCCGGCTGCCTGATCACTGAGGGTTCCCGTGGTGAGGGTGGTTACCTGCTCAACTCCGAGGGTGAGCGTTTCATGGAGCGTTACGCCCCTACCGCCAAGGACCTGGCTTCTCGTGACGTTGTGTCCCGTTCCATGACCCTTGAGATCCGTGAGGGCCGTGGTGTCGGTCCCGAGAAGGACCACATCTACCTCCAGCTGAGCCACTTGCCCGCTGAGCTGCTCCACGAGCGTCTGCCCGGTATTTCCGAGACCGCCTCCATCTTCGCTGGTGTCGATGTCACCAAGCAGCCCATCCCCGTCCTGCCCACTGTCCACTACAACATGGGTGGTATTCCCACCAAGTACACCGGTGAGGTCATCGACGTTGATGAGAACGGTAACGACAAGGTTGTTCCCGGTCTGTACGCCTGTGGTGAGGCCGCCTGTGTGTCCGTCCACGGTGCCAACCGTCTGGGTGCCAACTCCCTGCTCGATCTGATTGTCTTCGGTCGTGCCGTCTCTCACCGTGTCCGTGACATCGCCTCCCCCGGCAAGCCCCACAAGGAGCTCGCTTCCGACGCTGGTGCTCAGTCCATCAAGGACCTTGACTTCGCCCGTACCGCCGATGGCCCCAAGTCCACCAACGAGGTCCGCAGCGCCATGCAGAAGGCCATGCAGACTGATGTCTCCGTCTTCCGCACCCAGGAGAGCTTGGACGAGGGTGTCAAGCGTGTGAGCGAGATTGACCAGTGGTACGGCCAGGTTGGCACCAAGGACCGCAGCATGATCTGGAACTCCGATCTTGTTGAGACCCTTGAGCTCCGCAACCTGCTCACTTGCGCGTATGTACAACCCTGACTTAACTGATTTGTGAAAGAAGCTTTGCTAACCATCTTATCTCTACAGTACCCAAACCGCCCTGGCTGCCTCCAACCGTAAGGAGTCTCGTGGTGCTCACGCCCGTGAGGACTACCCTGACCGTGACGACGAGAACTGGATGAAGCACACCCTCACCTGGCAGAAGGAGGCTCACGGCAAGGTCGACCTCGGCTACCGTGCCGTTGAGGCCAAGACCCTGGACGAGAACGAGTGCAAGCCCGTTCCTCCTTTCAAGCGTGTCTACTAAGCCTGTCACCAAACAGGTGTTTGTCTAAGAAGGGGAGAGTATACCACGGATTTGTTTCAGACCATCGACAGAAAAAACACCGGGTCCCATACTCTGGTAATAAATGAGATGAGGCTAGGTGACTTGTCGTGGCGTCGAGGGAGGAGTCCATGAAAAGAGCATGTTTTCTATTTGACTGTGTGTTATTTACCATCCTGTATAGCCATATTTCTTGATTTCCTTTATCCTACAGGCGAAGAGTCGGTGTACTGAGTTTTATCCTCTCAGCTTTGTCTCATATCATTCGAAATTTCTTTTTTGTTTACACCCAGTGCCGTCATCCGTAGTTTTCAGTAGCATCTGGTGGTCTTTTATACAAGGGTTGTTTTTTAGGGCTCTATAGCGAGGTGAGTATCGATCGCCCTCTGAAATTGATTCGAAAAGTCAATATCCAGCATCACAGCAATGACCACTTGTGCCCTTGACCCTTGAATGCTAGATTTGCGCACTGAGTTCCAATTCCGAGTGAAGACATTTGACCTCCACGAGGAACAAAGAGCCTTTTGACTCAGCCTCCTCCTCGGCCTCTTCATACCTACCCTGCACATCTCTTACATTTTTCAAACTGCATAAAACATGATACGAAGTGCTATTTCTTGTCTGTCAAGCCCATAGCTTGTTTGAAGATATAGCCAAGATGTATATTGTTCTCCCCCAGCCAATGACAGCGACCTTGCCAGGGTCTCATTTCACAAAGAACAGTCTGCCCTGAACCAATCTTCATCCACACATTTCTATTATTGGAGTCTTCGCCACCACAAGCTCGAGTCTTAGGACTTGATGAACAAAGAAACTATCATCTTTGAAGAAGTGGCATACCTGCATTGAGTCTGCCCCTGTCAGAAATATCCATGGATGCCATGGCGGACACACTTTTATCTAGTACTATTGCTTCTTTACTTGGATTCTGAGGATTTCCTCATTTCTACTTATTCACACACTGTCATTCTAGGACATCACAGATCACATACCATTATATCGCTCTGCACGTTGACCGTGTTCAAAGCTATATTCTCCCCTGGATGGACCTGCTCTCAACATGGACCTGGACGCATTAGCTCCTCGAGATGATACCAGTTGCTCAGGATCGAAGCAGTGGTATGTCTGCTCAGCTGGAAATTTTCGCGGCTGCTGTGCGAGTGATCCTTGCACTTCGGGAATCTGTTTCGACGATAATGTGAGCCTGTTGCACTTGACGAGTGCAGCGAGTTCTGCATCGTCTACGACCTCGAGCTCAAGTACGAGCACGATTATGAAGACAAGCACGGTCACGATCCCAACCGCAAGCTCTACTACATCTTCTACCACAGTCTCGAATACTTCTGCTTCAACAACGACGTCAGTGTCTTCAGAGACTTCCTCCGCAGCGGCTAATAGCACGGAACATTCGAGTTCAACCACGACTACCACAGCTACAGGCGGAGTAGCAGCGGCATCCACCGGCACTCAATCGTCCAGCAAAGGACCCATCATCGGTGGAGTTGTCGGAGGTCTCATCGCTCTGATACCTGTCATTCTGCTGTTGTGGTTCTGCAGACGACGGAGAAAGAGACATGGAAAATCGTATACATGCCATCGACGGCGATCTCCATCTACCAAGTCCCTGCATAACCGTGAAATGGCCTCAGTATCCAAGACAGAGCTGGCACAATTGGAGACGGATTCTACCAAGCTACATAATGGTAAACATTCGAATCGCCATCCTAAATAACAAAGAAGCATACAAATTAACCAATAAACAGAGTCCCACCACGGCAGCGAAACAGCCTCACCACCAATCAACTCGACCACACATTCCACCCTTTCAACTCCCGGTTCAACCACAGCGCTAAGCAGCCTTAGTGCTCCAACCGTCTCACCCGATCCATCAGAATACTCAACTCTCAGCTCGGGTATCCTGAGTACCTCATCAGGCGGATTCGCCCGACTCCCACCACTACGAATGCCAAACCCACAACCACCCACCGAGATGGAAGCAAGTATACCTAAAAGCGAATCGCAAACCGCCGCCGAACTCTCAGATACAGGCTTCTACAGACAACGCGCCGAACTAGCAGCCCATTCTCAGAGTGAACTCATAAACGTGCCCCTCGAAAGGAGAAGACGGAAAAGTCCACTCAACCCGGGTTCTTCACCTTCATCTTCTAGCGGCAGCGGTAGCAGCGAGTCTAGCCCCAGATCTGCGGTTGACAAGAGCGGCAGTTCACCAGTGACAAGCCGACATACAGCCCGCAGAGTGGTGACGAGAGATGGAGTCGTTATGGGCGCGAATCTAGATCGATATTCGACGATCCGGGATCCAGAGCGTGGTGAGGTGAAAGGAGGGAAGAAGAGTGATGCTGGACAGGAACATGTTATGAGTTTTATGACTTTTGGTGGGAGTGAGTTTGAGATGGTGCAAAGGAGGGGTCTGGTAGCCCTAGACAGGGCAATGGAGGGTCAGCTTCAGGAAGTAATGAGAGAGAAGGTGGGAGTGTATCAAGGGCGTCGCGATCAGTCCCGCGGGTTGTTCTGGAGGATTTTGGTGCTTCGTCGATTGGTGAGGCTCCGCCTGCTTATGATGCTGGGGGTGTAGCATTGCCAAAAGGAGGATGATAAGTCTCCATCCGGGACTATAGGATTGGGGGTTACTAGGATGAAGTGATGGGATGATTGGTGCTGGATGTTAGGGGTTGGAGTGGATGAGAGATGTATTTTACGTTCTTTACTCTATCTTTTCTTTGTTTGGGAGACAGTGACCGGTATATGAGCGTGTTAGAGAAGAGAAAAGGATAAAATGTCATTTTTGTCTAGCCAAAACATACACCCGAAAACGCTGGTATTTTCTTCATAAACCGTCCCACTGGAACACCTCCATGTCCCTCATATCACATAGTATTTTTTGTATATTTACAGCAGCTGCTTGAGCACGGCAGTCTGCTCCAAGACAGCCCGCTTGCTGGTACCACCGATGGCGTCCTTCAGCTCAACAGCACGCTCATAGTCAAGGCAAGTCTGGACATCCTCGTCGAAGCGAGCATCGACAGTCTTCAACTGCTCCAAAGACAACTTGTCCATGGGGATGCTGGTCTGCTCGGCGAGCTGGACAACACGGCCGGAGATGTGGTGGCCCTCACGGAAGGGAACACCCTTGCGGACCAGGTAGTCAGCAATCTCAGTGGCCAGCATCTCGGGAGCCAGAGCGGCGGTCATCTTCTCGGGGATGGTGGTCAGGGTAGACAGAACACCGGTGGCGATCAGGATGCTGTCGCTGACAGTCTTGATGTGGTCGAGCAGAGGCTCGATACTCTCCTGCAGATCCTTGTTGTAGGTAGTAGGCAGACCCTTGATAGTCATCATCAGGCCAGCCATCTGTCCGAAAGCACGACCAGACTTACCACGGAGCAGCTCCAGGCTGTCCGCGTTCTTCTTCTGGGGCATGAGCGAGGAACCAGTTGAGTAGGCATCAGACAGACGGACGAAGCCGAACTCCAGACTGCTGTAGATAATCAGATCCTCAGCCCAGCGAGAGATCTTGAGCATGAACGAGCTACCCCACTGCATAGTCTCCATAGCGAAGTCACGGTCACCGACGGTGTTCATGGAGTTGTACAGCAGATCGTCAAAGCCAAGCTCCTTGGCCATAGCCTCACGGTCAATCTGGAAGGGGTTTCCAGCCAGAGCACCACAGCCGAGCGGGCTGCGGTTAACACGGCGGATAACCTCGCGCAGGCGCTGCAGCTCACTGGCGAAGGCGGTCGCGTGCGACAGCACCCAGTGAGACCAGCGGACGGGCTGAGCCTTCTGCAAGTGGGTGTAGCCGGGCATGATAATGTCAATCTCCTTCTCGGCGCGGGCAATCGAGACCTTGACCAGGTCGGAAAGCTGAGTGTCCAGGGTGCGCAGCTCGTCGCGCAGCCACAGGCGCATATCAGTAGCGACCTGCTCGTTGCGCGAGCGACCAGTGTGCAACTTTCCACCAATCTCCTTGCCAATGATCTCGCTGAGACGGCGCTCGTTGGCAGTGTGAATATCCTCGTCGTTCTCCTTGGCCTCGAAGGTGTCGGTGCGCCACTCCTCAGCGATCAGCTTGAAGCCGCGCTCGATCTCGGCGAATTCTTGCGAGGTCAGGATACCGGTCTTCATGTTGGCGCGGGCGAAAGCAATGGAGCCAGCAATGTCCTGCTTCCACATGATGCGGTCATAGGGCAGGGACTGGTTGTACTGGTGCATGAGGGGGTCGAGGCCCTCTGTGATTCAATTGATTGTGAGTCAGTCATTTGAATGGAGCGGTGGGAGTAGATTGTGTGTCGAGGGGGATACTCACGGGTGAACCGGCCTCCCCAGAGCATGTTCTCGGCGACTCCCTTGGGATTGCTCATATTGACAGCTTTTTTAATGGTCAATTGGCGAAAATAGAGGGTAATGTGGGTGTATGAAGGAGGAAGACAATAAATGGGGATGACTCGAACGACTGCTAATCTGTGGCTCAACCGATTATCGGAACGCTAAGCCCTTTTGGGTCAGATCGACAGTGGGGAATTTATAGCGAGCAATCTTTGACGCGAATATTAGGGATGATTAGATAGATAGAATATTATTTAGATGAAATAGGTTGCGTGGTATATCAATTTTCATTCAGGAGAACAGTTTGGCTGGTTAATAGGATAGTATGACTGCGATAGTCGGCTTGACGGAAGTCGGAACTATACGGGGGCCCTTATCTCATTTTAAAGAAGGATACAAAACAACAATCAAAAATGATGACGAAATAACAGAACGGCAAACAGTCTGCTCAAACTCTAGTGTGCCTGATAGATTAGAAGACCCGACCGTCATCTATCTTCAGTATTCGCACCGGCATCTTGGTACGGATCGATTCCTCTCCAGGCAGATACATAGGTGCTGAAAAACCTGCAACTCGAGAGATCTCTTCTTTGCAGCGAGGGCAACGTATACCACTCGAGCCAGAGCCTCCCATAGCTGGTTTGATTTCACGGATGCACATGTTACAGAACTGGTGATCGCAAGGTCGGACACTATGATGAAAAATAAGACGAATTAGCATCTCCTTTGGCATCTCCTTTGCCACGATCGACAAGAGACATCGAGAAACCTGTTACTTACACGCAATCGCACAGTCTCCTCTCACAGCTACTACACATAGCAGGCTGATTAGGATCCAAGTAAGGTTCGTAAGTAATCCCCTTTCCCTCGTCCATCTTGCTGACAGACTTTACATGATCGAAATCATCTCCGTCCAGGCGGTTATCGATTTGCTCTTCGACGGCGAAGAAAGGCAATTCAGCCTGAATGGCCTCGTAAATTCTCATTGAAATAGGTGGAGGCACAATGTGTGTGACTGACTCGCAGCTGACTGGATCCAGGATGTGAATGTTGATCAGGCGAGCGGTGTCGACATTCCACATTGTAGGAGGATTGTGGTCAGCGAGGACGTCCTGGACTATACCGAAGTAGCCATTAGAAAAAGAGGAACGAAAGGGTCAATAGTGACGGCACGGTAGATGCCAATGGAATGATGTACCTATCTTTCCGCCAGCTGCCAGTCCCATGGCCTTGACATCCAACTGAGGTAGAGGACTTTTTGGTTTCGGGCGTTGAGGCATCGAGCTCAAGGTCGCTGGCCTGGAGCATAACTCTGCCATGTCACCAGTGCCGGTCTCTCCTAACCACGACGGGCTCCCAGCACTTCCTGTCTCTCCTAAGCCCGTCGCACTCCCAGAACTGCCTGTCCCTGCTAAGCAAGACGAGTTCCGAACACTGCTTGCCTCTTCTAAGCCAGAACAAGTCTGAATTTCTTCCGGATCAAGCATGGCGAATGGATGATACCTTGGGATATCGTAAGACTGAGACGCAAACCTTAGGGGTGGGCTGGACGAAGCCATGGGAATCAGGTGAGGGATTGAACTGGAGACCTCTGGTACTTTTTGATCTGCAGAGGCACTGCTACAGTCTGAAAGGTCCCTAGACTCCCAGTAGAAAGCCTGCCAGTCTCCTGATTATAATTTCTTTGTGTCTGCTTTATACATGGAGCCTCACCTCAAGATGTGCAACACCAATGCAAGAATCCTCTTTCTCCAGGATCAAATCACCGACCTCTACCAGTCTGCCATAGCTGGGTGGCGAAAGGTATAGTCGAACCTTAGCCCCAGCTTCCAGCCCAAGCTCATCTGGAGTCATTAATTCGTCGAGATATAGATATTCGTCAAGACATAGACGAGGATCCTGGAGAGCTTCACCTTCTGTTTCAGAAAGCCAATATTGTGATCTTCTTCGGTATGCTGGGATGATTTCGATCTGAAGGCCTCCGTGCTTTTCTTTGCCGGTTTGTTGGCCTTCAACGGTGTACCCAGAGCCCACTAGGTAATGTATCCATCAGTGATTCACTAGTTATGTCTAGAGTTTACTTAGACTTTACTCACAGGGCATGGCAACAAACTGTCTCACGACGCCAGGGGCTACGCAAATGCCGTCGATCCAAGGCTGCCCTGGAAAGATAATGTAGTCTTGTTCATCCTGGGTGCCTCTTTCCTCCATCATATTCTTGCCTGTAATTGCATTGATTTGGCCCACGTAGACTCGGATGGCGTAGTACTCTAGGCATTGCCCGGACTTGTGCTTTGGACAGTACATACTACAATGTCACGCCATTTTTGTAGTATGTACTGTGCACCCCCGCAGTTTTCAGCCGCAACCCGGGTTTTGGGCAAACATTTCGCATCGCAGATTATTTCCGTTCATAGCTCTCTCTAATCATACTTTCTGAGGGCGCTCTCTACGATAATCAATGGCTAGCCTACCCGAAGGTCTTTCCATCGACACCAGTCGAGCTACTCATTGCGGCTGAACAGGAGAATACACCCTAACGCCTCGAGCCCTCGTGGCAGCCCCTTTCCGGCCTGCAGCATGTTCGCAAAAGCCTAAACCAACATTGTATAAACACTCAATACGGCAGAGTGCACAATACTTCAAACTACCGGAGAACATTCAAGCTATCAAAGAGTCTCGTCGGGTAGTAGGAAAGAAGAAAATCGCATTGCCGGTATTCATGCCGGACTGAATTGGGTCCAGGGAGCCGGTGGCTTCTTTCTTATTGCTGACAATAAGAGAGGAGAAACTGTCATGTTGGAAGGTGAGATATATAAGAATGATCAGCGCTCTATTCAACTCAAGAACAGTGTCATGATTGGAGAATGCGACTTCACATTGCGTTATTTTCCTCGAACACCTGAGGAGGAGGAACAATTTCAGGTGGAATTGGCCGAGTTCTTCCGTGTATTCCACGACGATGCAAATCCACTGGTACTACCTTTGCCTAGCGATAGTGAGATGCGATTTGGGCATTGGAGATTTCAGAATCCGATCTCGCGAGGGTCGTATGGCGTTGTTTACATGGTAGTCAATGCCCGGACTGGTTTACCAGCAGCTGCAAAGCGAATTTTGAACTCGCACAGGAATGCGTATGCTGTGGATCAAGAGATTGAAATGACTTCACGTATATCCAATTTAGCGCATGTGAGTGACTCTATTCTTTTACCTTTCTACTTCTAAGAGATTGTATCTGATCACGAGCACCAGCGTCGGATTGCAAGCGCAATCGAGATCTGCCACCGAAAGGCACGATCAACAGTTGAGACGGTATGCAAAACTTTCTTTTGTTCATCTGGGCATAATTTCATCCTAACAGTACATAGCAACGAATTCGAAACTTCCTCGATGAGAACTGGATGCCATCAGCCGACAACATCACAGACGAATACATCACCATGTTCGCCTCTCTTAAACGCAACGTTCCGCTCCTTATACACCTCAAATGTGTCACATACAGGCCGATCTATATTCTTCCGCCGGCTTCTAGAAGCTGTCGCCTTTCTCCATTTGCACGGTATATGCCACAGGAACATAAAACCAGATAATATCCTAGTGAGAAGCTACGACCCGCCCGAGGCTATGTTGACCGGCTTTGGTTGTGCGTCGCACAGAATCCAGATTCCATACGGCTGTCCAGGTACTATATCATATCTTGCCCCGGAACAAGTTGAGGGTCAGACCCACGGTCCAGCCGTTGATTATTGGAGCTGCGGGGTGGTCGGGTTGGAGCTTGTTTTAGGCAAAGTAGTTGGGTCGAGAATTCTGCCTGGCCATAGACTCGCTCAGTATCAGGACTGTCTGCGGGAATCAGAATCGCCGCTGAATGTGTGTGCTTTGGCTATGCTGCAGTTGGATCCTTATTTGAGGATGACGGCTGCTGAAGCCTTGCCCTATCTTTTGAAGGCGTGGAGGAAACGAGGCCGTCGCGGCTCATGCGGAATAATAGCCCTGCTTTATAGATAGATCGAGGTCTGATGCTACATTACATGCTGGAGTTCGCTGTTCAACTGAGTATAATTCATCCCGTCCTGGATAGCATCAAAATCTACTCATCGTTCAACCAAAACCTCGTCAATCTACTGTCATCTCTTTATAGTTTATAAACACTGTATCCTGCCCAAACGCTACCCCAATTCACCTTGGTCAGATCATCAATCGATCAGTCAGTCACCTCAATAACAGTCCACAAAACAGTCGTCAAAACCTTCCCCCCAATCTTCTCCATAACCCGTCTACTCGCCTTATTATACCCCGCAACCTCTGCATGAACCCAATCCTCCACAAACCCCCTCATCTCACAATCCACAAGACCAACATTCTTAGCCCCAAACACTCCCTCCGCCTCCATCCCACGTCGCATAACCTCCTTCGACAACGAAAGCGCCAGCCCGCGTCCCCGATGCTCAGGTTCAACATGTAATGTCGCCACAGCACCGTCTACGCCTAGGAAGGCCCATGCAATGGGCATTTCATTTTCAAGTTCATCCTGGTTCGCATCTGAGGCTGAGCCGTTGTCTTGGTAGATCGCCACGCTAGGGATTGACTCCAATTGTCTGCGCGGCCGGGGGATATGTGTTCGACTTTGCACGAGATCTAACTGATATGGTAACACGCCGATACGACCGCGTCGATCGTGATACCTATACCCATCCGGCAATGGGTTCTCAGTCTCGGTGTTTGTCTGACCCGCGACGCTGGGACTAAACACGTCCCTCGGGAAGAAATACTTGTAATAAGGCGGATTATCAAATCGATGAACCCGCAGACCAGGTAGCGGGTCAGCATCGACGGGGGTCTTTACATCCCCGTCCAAACGAGGGAATTTTCCCGATTGCAGAAGTAACTCGAAAAGACCTGTGTGGAAGGACCCGACGAGGAAAGCGCGTGGGTCTGGTGCTGGTATTAGAGTGACGCCAGCTGAAGCCGCTGCCGCTGCTGATTCTGGAGCGGAGGGTCCAGACGTGTCCGACAGGGATGACAGGTACTCAGGCAGCAAGTTAGCCTTGACGTATGCGAGGAAAGCCAATAATTGAGCGCGGACGGTCTCCAGCCTGGCCGGCGCGGCCGTGATGGTGGACACGGCGTAGCTCGGACTGGGGCGTCCTTCTTCCGATGCAGATGCATGGGTAGCGTTGCTCGCGTGAGAATGCGATTTAGCGTTAGTGTTCGCATTAGCGAGGGCGGGACCTGCAGCTGAAGGTGAAGCTGGAGGACCCGAGTACCTGGACAGGTCGAGAGTGACAGGGTCGATCAGCGGGAGGGAGGTGCATTCCGCTTCGAGGCTGGAGTAGAGGATGATCTGGGTCTCGCGGCCGCGGAAGAGATCCACCCGTGCAGCCAGCCACGGTGTGGATGGGGCAGGGATTCCCGATTCCGATCCAGGGGCTGATGATGAGGATGGGGATGATCCAGGGGTCGATCCTGGCGGGAAGGTTGCTAGGATCTTGGCGGTGGTGGAGGGATACGCGAGGGCGTGTTGGATACGTCGGAGGAGGGAGCTTGTGTAGGGCATTTGCAGGGCCAAATGGGGGATGATTGATTGCGCGGTGTGCTCGTAGAAGCATGGCGCTGGTGGAGTAGTGGATTGGGCCATTTTAAATTGTGGATGTGGATGTCTATTTTTTCGAGGTGGACTTTTGATTCTGCACGGAAGTTCTGATTGAACTTCTGTTGCTTGTGCGTGTACTTGTACTTGTGCTTCAAGTGCTGACTCTGACTCTGACAGTCTGACTGACCTTGATTCTGATTCTGACGGGCGATGGCTGAACCCAACTCCCTGGACGTGGGATGTGTCACGACGCAAGAACCCGGCGATCGGGAGCTTCCAGAAAGAGGTCTATTGGCAAGGAGTGAACAGGGGAGGACAAAATAGCTTCAGTAGCAGGCAATCACGAGTGATGAAAGTACTCCAGCACTGAGAATAAAAGCAAAAATCCACCCGTGACAGGTTGACAGTTGACATGTCTTGGCTGGAGGAATTAAATGAGTCAGGCACACGGAGAAAGTGGAGTTCGAGAGATACGATCATCACCGGAGCTAAACCGTTATGGGTAAAATGTAGTATTATACGACTCCTGACTAGTGATAGGATGATACCTAATGACACTAGTGTCAGGCACAATATTAATTGACAAAGGGAGGAAGGACGTAGTAGGTAGTACTGAGTAGATTATGGAATCAAGTTTGTACCTAACAGGCGAGGAGACTCCCTAGTCAGGGGGGATAAATTGAACAAGAATCAAGATTCAGTTTCACTAGATTAACTAAATTAACTTCATAGTTAACGGAGTTTATTAACAACAAGAATAATAATGATAATAATAAATATGATCGACTCCTAACCAACGCTAACTATGCCCATTACAGGTATTTGTCATGGGCTGGTCTGTGCCTGTGGCGGTGCGCGACTATTGATTCTGACAGGCGATCCGCCGACGATCACTTGTCATTTGGGCGATCATGTTAGCCTCCAGTGGTCCAATATAGAGTAGTAGTGACCAGAGACAAGCTAGTAGATTTACACTGACGACGTATTCAACTATGATCGGTACATAGGTTACAGTATGACGGAATCATAGTAATTCTCCGAAATCATCAACATGACTAGTATTTTCCATGAGAAAGAAACATCCACCGCCAGTCATAAATAAGAAAACTATCTGCAACGCCGGAGAAAACGCCAGACGGCACGAGGCCGAATCCTTTTTGGAGCCGTCACATCACGATCATTCGTCACGGGAAGGGGGAGAACAAAAGAAATAACAGAAAAGGGAGAAAATCAAAAACAAAAGGAAACTGACATAGGAGAGCAACAAAAAAAAAACCACAAACCACCCACAAATGAAACACAGTAACATAAGAAAAAAAAACCAATCAAACAGTCATGTCTCATAATTAGCCCCAGGAACCAAGTAGTCGGAACCATCATCATCCCAGATCCCAGGGTTGGTCCCTGGACAATAGTACCACGTACCAAGTACCAGTACCACCCTGACTGACCCCAGTCTTCTCCCACGCGGGCGATCATCATCACCATCCACCTCGGCAAGAAAGTACCCAACACTTTTGCTTGTCTTGCTTACCAGGGACTCCTGGCACCGACCATCCAATCCTCCATAGCAAGCCATTCACTCCACCTCGCCTCCGCAGCCCGAATCTCCTCCTCCTCAGGATCCCTCAGCGGCCGCAGGAAAGGCGCCTGTTCATCCGGAAGAATATCATAAGCAGCCTTCGTCTGCGCCCAACCACTACTCTTCGCCGTAAATAGATAGTTTGCGCGCTCTTGTTTGTAGAGCACACCCACGCCGGCGGGCCAATCTGGGCCGAAAAAGGCTGTCATGATGGGTGGGGAGTCTTGCGCGGTGATTATCAGGCGGCGGACGTAAGGTCGTAGAGAGATAAAAGAGGGAGAGTGGATCTGAGCTTGAGATTGAGATTGAGCTTGGAGTTGCTGCTGTTGGTCTTCGGGTCGTTGGAACGGGAGACGGATATTAATGAATGCGGCAATAGATTGGACGGATGGATTGTGTTGGCCGGCTTCGAGAAAATACTGGACACATTGTTTGTAGTGCGGGTACCAGCCTGTAGTGTCGAGGCGGCCGAATTCGGGGTCCGGGAGGGGCGATGGTTCGGCATCGGCATCGATCATGCCCTCGTCTTGGGTGGGGTGACGGGGCTCGCGTCTGTCGGACGAGCGTTCAGCGTCGAGCGGGATGGATCCTGGGAGGGAGAGTGGTCTCAGAATGGATGTTATGGGGTGTGTAGGAGGGAGTGTGGTGCAGATGTAGACGGTTGAAGGGTTGTGATATAGACATGGATATAGAATAGAATATGTTGTGTATGGATATAGTGTGGTATGATGATATTGGGATTGGAGGTGTGATGGGGAAAACAATGAAAGAAAGACAGTAGAGTGATAGCTTCACCAACAGATGAGATTAACATACTTGTAGCAGGATGCTGCTCTCGCGAGCAATGATCGTGTAGGTCCATAAGTGGAGAGTTTTCCCAGCACTCTCTTCCGGAACCCTGCATGCTCAGTGACATGGTCGGCACTCGACATGTGTTGAAAAAAGGATCAAGAGTACTCCGTAGCTCGTAGCGCAATGGTTTTGACACGAGCAAGCTATAGCTTTAGCTATGATGATATAGCTTCACAAGCACAAATTGACAGATCGAGAAAGTAATAGAGTAGAAGGAGGGGAAGCTCAAAGCTCTGTGATGCTTAAAAAAAACTACTAACTAGGGTGGCGGCCAACGAGGCCTTATAGCTCCCAGCTCCCCCGGAGACATGGAGACGGCCAGGCCGAGACAACCCCCCATTTCGGGTCGGTGTGTGTGATGCCAAACACGATCACATCTGAAGATCAAGGGCGGACTAGTTCGGGGTTGACGGGTGTGGATCTGAGTATGAGGAGAGACTATCGAGTAAGGCGACAAATGGTCAAGCCACAGGACCAGCTTGAGCCACAGTTTGTTTGACGCCTAAGGTTTTTTACTTTTTATTTATTTTTCATTTATCTTTTTTTCCAGTTAGACCAGCAGTCGATCAACTGTAGTCAACTAAATCAACTAAGTAAACTATCGGTTGGACCGGTCGAGAAGACGCACTAGCCACGGCGTGGCCGAGCGTGTGGCTCGTGCGCTTATCCCTAAATAGCAAGGGGCACTGTGGCTGAGGCAATACTTGGTCCGTGCAGGACTTGTGCCTGATGATGTCAACTTTGCTGTGCCTATCTCTGCTACCTGTCTAGGATCTTTCCTCTCATGGGCTAGTCCGGTCAATTCTTTCCTCTTAGACTTTACCAACACTAATTCTAATTCTTGACCAGGTTAGACACCTGACACCCACCTGCCCTAGTGGAACCCCGACAATGAGATTGTGCACTAGCAGCCATGATGGCCCCCAATTCTCGCCAATCAGCCGCGTGCATCAGGTCACTGCCGATTAGCGCCCCAATAGTCGGGGTCGGACGTCCACAAAGTTTCTAACTATGGTAATCATAAAGTGAAAAAGGGAGTCGTGACCAGGATCTGGGAATCCGGAATGATTTGGAAGACTTGAGAGATGGTGGAGACTGGAGATCGGAAGATCACCGTCCTTTTGCGAAAACTGGCTACTCTATCCATCCGCCCTGTCTCTCGCGTGGCTGGTTGCTGGTCTATGCAGGGAAAGCGGAGCTAGTCAGAACGATTTATACATACAGATTGTCTACATTGGCATCCCCTACCACCCTTCTACGTAAACTGACATATTCTGGCGTTGGGCATCTGCTCGTGTCGGCCAGGCCAGGGCTCGAGCCTAGATCTCGTTCTCGGTCGCCTGCGCTGCCGCATACTTCAAACCATGCGTGGTAGAGACTGGGGATTAAGATTGGAGAAAGCATCCAGAATAAACTCTTTGCTCTGGGGCGCCTCGCGACGATTGACCTGTGCAACATTCCTGACACCGCCCCACTCTACCCAGGAAGAACTAGCCGGCATAGTTTTGACTCTTGAGCTAGGCAAGAATCTGCCCCATAATCCATTCGACGGATGTGTTCGGTCGATTGCACATCTCACCTCATCTCGGCTTTTGGAAAGTGGTTAGTACCTCCGTAGAGTGTGGTTAGAGGGATCTGGATCAAGGTTGGCAGGCGGAGATCGACAATGATAACGATGGGATGCCTGAATCCGGACGAGTTGCGAGGGGAAAACAATAATCGGGTGAAATCACAATGAAATCAGATGATAATAATAGTAATCTTGATATTATCATCATTGATCATCATGATATGGATTGTATATGGTGGTCTATCTATTGTGACCCTATTATGCTATCGTGGCAATGAATGGCCTCATGCCTATCCTTTCCCTCATTCTGATTGTTCTTGTTCTTATGCAGTATATTGTATGTAGGCAACTCAAATTCAAATCCCGGGTGCGTGACGTGAGACCCGTGGGACAAACATACTTGCGGTCGCGATAATACTCTCCATAACGTGGCCAGCTGCAAAATGCTGCAAGGGGGAAGGGGAAAACGAGATGGATAGATGTGTTGGGGGCTGTAATCATACGATGAATCCTGGCAGGGATCTTCCCAGTCCCTACTTCGTAATTCTTACATTCAACATAATGCTTCTTACTCCGTACTTACTATAGTAGTCGACCCTATATGATTATGCTAGGAACTACCAGCAAGGCTAACCTTCCTCCCAGTTCCAACCTCAATTAAATAATGTATGACTCCATGACTCCATTAGATAACCGCGATCAGATCTCGTCTTGCAGGCCAAAGACCAATAATAATATACGTCGTCAGATTAAATTATATTAAACCCCACTCGCAAACCAGGAACCAGGAGATTCAACCAATCGTAACCCTCACAAAATAAATTCAAAATCCTTCTCCATTCCATTCTCGGGCTCTCCGACAGATCGGCTGCCATCGACGCTTACGCCCGAGCCCCTTCCCGCCCATCCAATCATCGGTTCTCGTCTCGATGTCTCGACTCTCGATGCTCACCATCTCGCTTGTCTCTTCCCGGTTACCTGGTCACTTTTTTTACATTTCACCACTCTGGCACTACCTCATACTAATCGTGGATACCGACTAGCCCCATTCAGAAATGCAAATCACTTCTGACTTCCCAACATCCCTGCCAGGACCCAGTTTTCCTCCCACCCCGCCCTGCGGCTGAGGAACCTTGACCACACGGCCCTCATGACTATGACCCTCTAGGATCTTGTGTCTTTACTTTAAATGCATCTCCGCCGCGCTTGCATCTTGCAGCCCAACAATTTCAACTTGCATCGCCAATTCCGAGTCCTGAGGCCTAAACCTAGTAATCCTACAAGGTTCTACTTGCTTGAAAGCTGCAACATAGCCTGCATTGGCATTGGCCCTGTTCCAAACTTGCCCTTCGGTGCATCAATTCACATCTTCCTCTACAATCAAAGTACAACAAGACTCTCAACTTATTCGAACTGTTATTCGTCTTCGGCGGTCTCCGTCCCGTCCGCATTCCACATCCATCCCATACATACTTGCCTATTCGCAACCTCCTTCTACGCCCACCATGATCTACAAGACCAACTACGAACTCTATGTACGTTCGGACAACACCGAACTTTTAACCTTCCAACATTCTCTAATCAATTCCTTCCACAGACCACTCGCGAAAGCATCGATAGTCGACGCTCGCCGCCCCCAGACGAGCTCCTCTCCCCGCTCGCAACGCTCTACCCGCATGTCGCAGCCCTGCAGCCGCAGTACAACCCTGATAGCTGCACTTTCACCGGCTACCGTCACACAGGCTACTGGGCCTCCGCGTATACAACCCAACCACTGGAAGAGCCGCCATTTACGCCGCGACGAGGAAGTGGTATGTTTGATTCTTTCTTTATTATCAATTGCATTTCTTTTTGGGTCTTTTAATAACGACCTCGCAGAAATACCCTGTCGCTTCGTCTCCAAACTCTCAAAACTGCGTCGCTTTCTTAGTCGCGAGGATCTAAGGAATCGTCGGCGGTCGCAGGTCACTACTTAGATCGGATCGGATGATCCAATTCGATTCGATAACACACTCTATTATCTTTTTTTTCTTTCTTCGATTTGATATGACTTCGACTTTATCATTCGACCATCGAAACATACATACACGACCTACGATCATTCAACTTGACTCTAACCTCTTCTGTTCCAATTACAAATTTTCGTCGATCGACGACCTCGTCATCGCAATGATGGACATCATCACCGGCACATACGACCATACCACAGACCCCAACGAGCGGGGGATCTCCTGATTTTACTTTTTTGCTTTTTTTTTCCTCTTATGTTTGATCGACTGCAAGACACTCTAACGATAGTGGTCTTGCGGCTTTTCTTTTGTCTTGATTTGATTTGTCATTTTTGTGCTATAGCGATCGGTTAGCGGGAGTTTGGTGGTTTTCTTCTACGTCATTTGGGATAGTGTTTCCAACCAACATATGGGCATTGCATGAATGGGAGGTTGGAATCGAGGGGATCGATTATTCGAAATTTACTGTATATAGTTACGGCACCAAAGGGAGATTTTTCCCCCTACTTATTTAGGTATACATACAATTGTCATTTACCAAGGCACTCATCATCTGTATCTTCTTGTATGATCTCCAATATTTTGAAAACCACTGTACTAGGTCTTCAACACCTCCTCACTTTGTGATTCACCACCACTCCAAGGAGCCATTACCCGTAATTCAACGCCTGCCCCAACCCTCTAACAGCCTCCAACGACCGTCGTTCTACCCCGGAACTGGGAACCCGGGTACCTACATGAACCGAATCCTTCCCGCGCGTATCAGATCCCACCCTGCCCTTACCCCAGCCCAATCCTTTAGCCAAGACCTTCCTAGCTTGCCCCATCGCAACCTTACTCAAGTGCTACCGTAGCAAGCTTGCTAATCCGGAAACCGGGAACCCCAGGGGTCATGGCGGATCGACCGTTCCCAGAAAAAAGCAATAGATCGCGGGCCCCATGACCCGGGTTGGTTGGGTCCCTGCGCGGGTGCGCGGATGGGGAAGGGAGTCTGTGAGAGGGGGAGGGAACCACTGACAAGCTGACCAGAGGGTTAACTAGAGTTTGCTTTTGTCTATGCATATCAATTGGAGAAAGTATGACCTCATACAGTATACCTGGGCTGTTCATCGTTCTGGGCAGGAGGGATCGTCGGTAATTGGCCTGTATAGAGTAATATTTCACGATAGATACGTTATTACTGGTTTATCGATTGTGTTATTGCTGGTCAGATTCTTCTCAGCAGTGCTCAAGAGTGCAATACTACTGTACCCTGGTCACGGGTTGACCGGGGGGGGGGATCTGCAATAGTGCGAGGGGTTTTATTGGTGGAAGGGATATTGATCTACGAACGATTGGTACAGTAGGATAATTCTTCCTATGTCAGAACGGGGAACGGAGTACAGTTTGACTCGAGAGCCGTGTATCTCCCACAATGCTACGACCATAGCTGGGAAGCTGCATCTACACTGGATAGAGTATACCGGGCCCCTGCAGGTGAGGCTATTGCAAATTGACAAATAATAGTCATCCACGCTCATAAGCCAAGTAACAACAGATCAACGGCAATATAACCTACACTAGGAAATAGAGTCGAACGCAACATGACTCGTAATCAACGCATATCCATCCTGTACCCCGACCCCGTGCCGTGCGGTCGGTTACGTGCGAGGCCCGACCCGTGCAGGTCCAATAGTGCGGCGGGCCCCATCAGGCGAAATTCATGACTATTTACCGTGAGTAGTGGAGAGGAGAAACAAGGCGGGCATTTGAGATTTGGAAATCTGCCTGTACTAGCTTACACCTACGGTTTCTGCATATTGGCCCGACTACCGATGGCCTCTGATCATTCGCCCATCACCTTTTCTGGATACCATCTGAGACCCCCAATAAGTAACTAAACTACTACGCTAGCTAATGACCTACTGTACGTACAGTGGGTAGTACCTGCATAAACCGTTCAAGACTCGATTCAAATTAGCGGTTACCTGCGGTGCAACCCTCCATCTACACAACGGGCCCATAATGCTGTTCCCCTTAACGATTAACCTGACCAACCACAAAGGTCGAGGTTGCATGTATGTATGATAACGTTGATATGATCAACCTATCAGACGCTAGGTATATTGAGTGTGAATACCCCTTGAGGCCCCGTGCACCTACTTCTCTATGTATGTACTTCAACATTTACATACGTACATCCATGTCGTAAGTATCCGCTTCTCATGGCTCGCTCCGTCGCGTTGCATTATGTACAATATCCGCAGACAAATAACTTAAAAATCATGACTGAAGCCCGGCGGTTAATATAATCAACATGATTCATCTGCAGGGTAAATATGCCGTAGCGTTGTGGATCCTGTTTCCCCCCGCCCCGATGATCTACGCCGTCCTGCCTCGGGAGTGCGGGTCGGAGATGGTTGCATTGAAACCTATTTACTATTCAATGAAGATTATGCTGAAATGGGATTTTTGAGTGGAATTGGTTGCGTGATTGTGGAGGGAGTACTCGTGCTACGTCGTGGGGAGATATGCAGGGGTGAATCATTCGGATTTTGATATTTGGATTTCTGCAGAGGATGTTGCATCAGTGTGAATATAGAGGTGTGCAATTGGATTTTGAGAAGAAGGAGAAACTGATCTGTCATGAGTTGTCTAGAGAAGGTGGGATAGACTTGAAGCTGGGACTGGGCTTCACATGTCCGATGTCTTTTGCTCGTTGTGAGGGTCGTACGTGTCGGAATAGTCTGACCTCGTGCGAGGCATTCTTCCAGTTATTTCTTTAATGGCCGGTAATAAGATCATCTAGTTCTAGATTTCCATTTACATCTATTTTGAATCACTGGACCTGTTTTCCGACACAAGTAGAGCCAATCTGTTTGATAAAAATACTTGAAAAGAGGGTATAAATTCGAGATCAATCATATAACATCAACTTCATCATCTCAACCACCACGATACCGAATCAATTCCTAACCAAAATGCGATGAAGGAAGAAAAAAAAACGCCATAGCACCACTGTGGATAAGCCACCAAACAGCAAAGTGAAAAACATCACCCAAGTTTTGGCAGGCAGTAGCTCATCAGCTACACACTGACTGCTGGAAACAGGACAGTTGAATTAACAAATTCCATCAATGATGGAAAGGATCAGAAAATAATGAGAGAGGAAAAGGTGAGATAGGAACGTATGTTTCTTCACAACAAAATCAGAAAGAAAGAGAGGATATCATCATAGGAAATGGAAGAGCAGGGTGTATAGGCATCATGCCATCATCTCCCGTCATTGTCATGATAGTTTCTCGTCATCAACATATTATATCGTGGGCCAGTTTATTTCATGGCCAGGTTGCGTATGACTTGATTTGATTATTCAAGCCAAGCTGGCTGATCCAGCAGCAGCAGTGCCCCAACGCAGTCTCTTGAGACCGCCTCGCACTGCTTCTTGTCCACATGCCGCCGATGATCGTGCTCCGGGGACACTGCCATCTCCTATCATGCCCATCTCAGCGCGCCCAACTTCGCGGCCAAGCATGTATCCGGCCGAGAAACTGATCGCTGAGAAGAGGACGACGACACCCGCACTGATCACCCACGTCATGACGGTGGGACTGACAGGCGCCGTCGAGTCGGACAGACTGGCACGCCGGCTCTTCTTTGCAACGTTGCGGTCTTTGGGAGAGGCAGATCGGCGTTTTGCTTTGGACACGGACGGGCCTGATGGAGCCGCTGGGTGTCTGCGGCGGGGCGAACCCACTGAGGGGCTGGTCTCCATATACCGGGGTGAGGACGGGCCTTCTGCGCCGCTATCTTCATCGCCCATCGCAACAGATTCACCGACCAGCCTGAATGATGCTGGTGGAGCTGCGGCTGGAGGGCTGGTTTGCATGCGTGGAGATTCGGTTTTGGGAAGCCCTCGGGCGGCGGCTGCGCATGACAAAAGAGTGGAGAGACTCGCGCGGAGAGCGGCATCGTGGTCGGCGTGATGAGAAGGCGAGATCATATTATAAGGGCTGTGCTGGGGCTGTTGAGATCTACGAGATCCCCGTGTGCTGGGGTAGGACTCCCGACGGATCGCAGTGCGGCGGCTGGAGTTTGACAAGACGCTGGGCTGGGAGCGTCGAGATTCGGTTTGACGATTCCATGACGGGTCGGACGTTGGAAGTGGATGGGAGAAGACGTTGGGTTGTGGGACAAATGGTGATGGACTGATGCCCATTCCCAGTGCAGTAGAGGTATCGTCTTCATCGTCGCTGTCAGCTACATCGGAGTGGGCTGAACGTGGCATAGGTAGCAAAGTAGGCCGGACGGGGCGGTTGATATCTTCGTTCGAGCTGCTCATCGGCGGGTCTGACTCGCTTTCACTCTCTTCATATTCCTCCTGGCTGCTACTCGCTAAACTAGCCTCTCGCGACGAATAATCCACTTGGGCGGTAGCCACGGCAGCCAGATGCTGTATGCGCCGTCGACGACTGCGGTGCTGATACATGCCTGCCTCACGATGTTCGACCCGGAGACCCGTCGTGATTATATCGTCGTTTGTCGCTGCTGAGGACAGTGATGAGGAGGAGGGCTGGGATGATACTTCGATCCAAGAGTCTATGTAATATCGTAGTGAGTACATTGCGAAGTACGGGGGCGAGACGAAACAGTTTATACATGATGTAAATCGGATCGATAGGGAAGGGAAAATAAAGGATAAATTCATGCAGGAACTGGGTATAAATGAACTACGACATACCCTCTGATCTCATGGTTCCCCCACCAGATGATCGGGCCTGACCACTGTGGCCATGTTGGTCGCGCGGCTGGCCATCGCGCATCAGTTGACTTGCGGCTCTGGGCTCGCGCACCTGACCGAGGTCGCAGTGATTTGGTTGCATGGCCTCAGAGGAAGGAAATAAAGGAGGGGGGAGAGAGGAAGAGGAGGGGATGGTGAGAATATAAGCAGAGGAGATGATGAAAGGAGATGGACGATGATGGAGTCAGGCCACCCGGTGCGAGGAACAAGAGCGGTCAAGCGTGGGGAAGAGGACAATCAATGAGGTTATCTTATCAGAGTGGAGATGCGATGATCCACCTTCATGGCTGATGCCCAACCTTGGACCTTGACTTTCTTTGAATCCCGCCGTCTTTGCGTTCTCTTTGCCGAGGACTCCACCTAGGAAGAGTAAGAAGAGATGAGATAACTCGATATTAAGATAGGAGATATACCACTTTGGACGGTGAGAAAGAGGAAAGGGGGGGTAAAAGAAAGGAGGTGGAAGAGTGGATGATGAGGTGATCAGCAGACGGGACAGGTGATTCGTAGCCCGTGACGGGAACCACCGAGAGATGCGAGGGGGACAAGCCAAGGGAGAGTAGGCAGGATAAAAACGATGATATAATAGAATAAAGATCAAGATCAAAGAAATGATGTCAAAGTAAGGAAAAGAGGGAATTTCAAGTCCAAAGAAGGGAATCATCTAACTTGACTGGGAAAACCTACTTGGTATACTTTTTTTTTGCGATCGCACGAAGTCAAGAAGTATGACGGCCACCATAACAAAGGCAAATTGCGGGGAAAATGGGCGGTGTAGCACGGCAATATTTATCTCCAAGGACAGCAATACTTGCCTATCCGTGGAGAGTGGTTCTACAACAAGGATGAATTACCAATTGTCTACAGAATGGAGGAAGAAAGATAAGTTGGATGAGTGATGTATGAAATTACAATGTAGCCTATTCCGCAGACTATCCGAATACAGAAACTTTTAAAAAACCTAGGCCCACATTACACGCAGAAAAGTGCAAATGATGATCATGTCAGTAGCAAGAACGAAGCAGAGGCAGAAAGGCTCCCAGCTTAGAAGGTAACCTTGGTGCCCTTGAACTCAGGGATGCTGCCCTTGGCCTTGTTGTAGCCGCCCTGGCCGTCGCCGCGGCCACCGAAGCCACCACGACCACCACGGCCACCACCGCGACCACCGAAACTACCGCGACCACCGAAACTACCGCGGCCACCACCACGGCCACCACCACGGCCACCGAAGCCACCACCACCCTCACGGGGAGGACGGGGAGTGCTGAAGTCCAGACGGAGGGGACGGCCCTCAACATCGACACCCTGGAGGGCGGAGTGAGCGGCGCGAGCCTCATCGACGGAGGAGAACTGGACGTAACCGAAGCCCTTGGGACGGCCATCATCGGGGTTGGTGGGCAGACGGATTCCCAGAATGGTACCCTGCTCACCGAAGACATCACGGAGAGCATCCTCGGAGGCGCTGAAGGGGAGGTTGCCAACGAACAGAGTGTCGCTCTCGGGGCTGGTGGAGTCACCGAAGCTCTTGGCACGGGTCTGGGCACGCTCACCCTGCTGCTGGTTGTTCTGGCGGCCAGTGGCGTAGTCCAGGTTGATGGTACGGCCGTCAATCTCGGCACCCTTCTTGGCCTCGAAGGCCTTGGCGGCATCGGCAGCGTTGGCGTACTCGACGTAACCGAATCTGTAGGGAGAGGGAGGATTAGCAATCTGTGAAAACCCGCAGAGAGGACGAGAATGTATAATGACTTACCCACGGGAGCGACCAGAGTCACGGTCAGTGACGATGCGGCAGCCAGTGAGCTCACCGAACTCGGCGAACTCGCGCTGGAGCCACTCCTCGTCAACGTTCCAGGACAGGTTACCGACGAACAGATTGGCGGAAGCACCCTCGGGGGCATCCTCAGTCTTGGACTTCTTGGCAGCAGCGACGGGCTCCTCCTCGGCCTTGCGCTTCTTGGAGGGCTTCTCCTCAGCCTCGGACTCGGAGTCAGAGCTGTCAGAGCTGTCAGAGCCGGACTCGGACTCGGAATCGGAAGAGGACTCCTATTGTGAGAACATAAGTTAGTGATGTGTTCGAGTAACGAAAGAGAGTAGGATAGTATTATGTAAACATACCTTCTTGGCCTTCTCAGCCTTGGCAGGAGCCTCATCCTCAGACTCCGACTCGGAGTCGGAAGAGTCGGAAGAGTCAGAGCTCTCCTCCTTCTTGGCGGCCTTCTCAGCCTTCTTGGGGGCAGGCTTCTCATCCTCGGACTCAGACTCAGACTCGGAGGAAGACTCCTCCTTCTTAGCAGCCTTCTTGGGAGCGGGCTTCTCGTCCTCAGACTCAGACTCGGAAGAAGACTCCTCGGAAGAGGACTCCTCCTTCTTCTCAACCTTCTTGGACTCCTTCTTGACGGGCTTCTCGTCCTCGCTCTCGCTCTCGGAAGAGGAAGAAGCATCCTTCATGTCCTCATCGCTGTCGGACTCGGACTCCGAGGAGCTGGGAGTGGGCTCCTTCTTCTTGTTCTTGCGGGAAGCCTTGGCCTCCTTAGCAGCAACCTTGGACTTGGCAGCGGGGGAGGCGGTAGCCTTGGTGACACCAGCGTCCTTGACCTTGGACAGAGCCTTGGTGGCCTTCTTGTCAACCTTGGAGGAAACCTTGGTCTTCGACATTGTGATCTAGAGGAGAAGTCATGTTAGCATTGTGTGACAAGGCCCTGGGGTCTGTTCACATCCCACATACAGTGGTTGGAAGAAAATATCAAGTGGTTTGTGGTTTTCTTGGTTTTTCTTTCTTGTGCGGCAAAGCCAACAGAACCCTCAATAACCAACCCGTGTAAGTATTTTCGATGTGAAAAGGAAAAATGTGATGAACCCTCAAGGAGATAGAAACCGCCAGGAGTAATCTGATCACAGCTCGTAGATACCCAACAAGTAACCCGCAACCGACAGAGTTCAAGCCCACAGAGACCGGCACAGATACGCAACTGATCTGAAATGAAACCCACGAGGAATGTAAAATGTCCCACAGAGCCCACAAGATGTGCAGTATTTTGAAGCCCACAGCCCTCGATGTGAAAAGCCCACTTAAAATGTCTGTTGAAGTACTTTGAAAGTACGGAACCCACGCAGCTGCGTCAGTTAGTTGGGGGGAGGGGAAGGGGTAAGTACTTATTGAGATAGAAGCTGGTAGTACGATGCTTCAAAGAGGAAATGCTAGCACAGGAGATGTGATAGCAGAAAGGGAAGAGAGGATGGAGAGGATGAAGAAGGAAGAAAAAAAAAGTGATGCGCGGCCGGGGGAAGCTTCTGATAAGAAAAAAAAATCTGCAGAAGAAAAAATCGGAGGCTGGCAGAACATCTCTCCGCCTGCTATAATCGGTTAGGCCCAGGCACTGCCCAGCAAATGCGGTGGACACTGGGTGGAGACTTGGCGGGTACCTCGGGGCAACTTCCCTTCCACTCGCATGTCGCCCTGCGACAGGCACTTGGCATGTCACCCATTGGTACTTCTGGTCTCCCGTACTGATCCTCACTGCATCGCGGCCATCGACTGGTCCAATTAGTTCCTCTATACAGTTGAACGATCTTTGGAACCAACCCATTTCGCCTCCCGGACTCCTTCCGTGTCGCGTGCTTCCACTCTATCGGCTCTATTGAGTTCAATGGGCCGTGCTGAAGCCACCTGGCCAGTATCATGATGGCCCCTCCAACTCCCTCGTCGCACCGCCCCCGCAAGAAGAGAAAGAACCCGACGGCACCGGGCTCGAACAACAGCCTCATCGTGGATTTTGGAGATGGGAAACAATCACCTGCGTTCCCCCTGGTCTCGTTTCTGTGGGCTGCTCGGGCGGGTGTCTCACAATGGCTGATCCTGCCATTGACGCTCATGGCAGTTGGCCTCTTCCGATGGGCTGTCAGTCTGTGGGGTTACTCTGGTATGATAATTGCTTGTTGCATTGGTTGTCTGGTGTCTGACAAGGTATAGGATTCAATGTCCCTCCAATGCACGGTGACTTCGAGGCGCAAAGGCACTGGATGGAAATCACTGCCCATCTGCCAGTGGCCAAATGGTATCTCTATGATCTGCAATACTGGGGCTTGGATTATCCCCCATTGACTGCATACCACAGCTGGCTATGCGGGAAGATGTAAGTGATTCTCTGCTTGGGTTTTATAGTGGCACCCTGCTAACGGACGCAGCGGTTCGGCCTTTGATCCTGCTTGGTTTGCCTTGGACAAGTCCCGGGGAATTGAGGGTCCGGACTTGAAGGTCTATATGCGTGCTACTGTTCTCATCTCGGAATATTTTGTCTACGTTCCCGCCGTCGTCAACTTTCTTCGCCGTTATACCCGTATGCATGGAGTGCACGCGTGGTCAGCCTCGATCGCCCTCGTTGCTATCCTCCTCCAACCGGCCACCATTCTGATCGACCATGGCCACTTCCAATACAATACGGTGATGCTGGGTCTTATGGTGGCAAGTCTGGATGCTATCTTGGCCGGACGGATGCTCTGGGCTTGTATTTTCTTTGTCGGCGCATTGGGATTCAAGCAGATGGCATTATACTATGCACCCGTCATGTTCGCCTATCTCCTGGGCGTCTGTGTTTTCCCGCGCATTCGTATCCTTCGGCTCCTCAATATTGCTCTCATTACGCTCGCCGCATTTGCCGTGCTGTTTGCCCCGCTGCTGTATGGAGCTACGACCATGGAGGCTCGGGAGCTTTTTGCGACATCGGCAGAGCCTCCCCTGCTTCAATCGCTACCGATTTCTCTCGATAAGAAATCGGTGGCCTATGCTCTGCTTTTCCAGACGACGCAGACTATCCACCGCGTGTTCCCATTTGCTCGTGGTTTGTTCGAGGACAAGGTGGCCAATGCCTGGTGCGCTGTTCACACTTTCTACAAGCTCAACCGTTTCGAAGCTTCTCTGCTACAGCGGGCGTCTCTCGGCGCTACATTGGCTTCAATCATTGTCCCATGTGCCATCATATTTCGCCACCCTCGGGCCTCACTCCTCCTCCCTGCTCTTTCCTGTGTCTCCTGGGGCTTCTTCCTCTTCTCCTTCCAAGTGCACGAAAAGAGCGTTCTGCTTCCTCTCCTTCCCATGACCCTTACCTTGGCTGGTGATGGTGGGCTCAGCAAGCAGAACCGTGCCTGGATTGGTTGGGCTAATATACTTGGCTCGTGGACAATGTATCCACTTTTGAAGCGCGAAGAGCTGCGACTGCCCTACATTGTCATGACCCTCCTTTGGGCCTACCTAATGGGCCTTCCCCCAACTTCATTCGAGATCTTCCGGAGCCGGGCTTCTCCTGAAGAGAGCCCACTCGAGCCGCATATCTTGAGCAAGCTCCTGCATCTTGCCTTCTATCTGGCCATGATTGGCTGGCACATTCTGGAAGCGTTTGTGCCTCCGCCTGCCGGCAAACCGGATCTGTGGGTCGTCCTCAACGCCCTGATCGGTGCGGCCGGATTTGGGCTTGCCTATCTCTGGTGTATGTGGAATCTGGTTGTCCAATGTCGCGAAATCGACCTTCGGGCAGCCGAGGAGGGAAGCCGGAAAAAGAAGCAGTAGGAAAGTTCTTGGAAGGCGTGAGCCTTCAGTGATACCCCATTCATCAATGTATTACCATGGAAAGATTTCAGTAGCTAGTTTAATTTTGTCAAGATTCTCCGTTGATATTCATTTGTTCTTGTCGAGGAGATGAGATGGTACACTGGTGGATCTAATCCTAATCTCTATACAACCAACATTAAAAAGGTACAGTGTAAGTCCGAGGTATCCTCATGCTGCCGCTTGGCACAAAAGAAGTCCTATGGTATCCGCCAAATAAAAGAAAAGAACTCCAGCCAAGAGATGCCAAATGCTATGATACAGTTGTAGTGTTATACAAGCGGACGATCCACGCCGCCACGGTCTAGACCTTGAAGCCATAGCCGAGCATGCAGGCCTTGTATTGCTCGATCATCGACTTGCACTCCTTGGCGGGATCATCGGACTTGGAGAAGAGCATGCAGTCATCGCGGGCGGTCTTTTCGTCTTTGCAAACGCAGCAAGGCTAGGAAGAAAGGTAGAGTCAGTCAATGTCTGCGCTCTTCGGTCGATGCGACAACGCTTGGAGGGACCTACCTTGGGCTTCTCAGACTGGGCAGGCTGGGCCTTGGGCTCGGTAGGAGCAGCAGCTTTGTCTTTCAGGGGGATATGTTAGCGAAAAAGGCTGCTTGTCGTATTGGCGCAATTCGCCCTTGCGCATTGCACCGGTAGTCACCGAATAGCGGATCTGCGGGTGGTGAAGATTCGAGGGAATTCGAACTTACCACTGGAGGAACCGAAGAGCCACGACATTTTGGAGGGTTGGAATATGCGGTAGAAAAGCAATGAGCAAGTAAATGACAGTAGGAACGAAGGTTTACTAGGAAGAAGGATGTCGGAGCAACGGCGATGAGACCATCGTAACATTATTAATCCAGCGCAGATGGTCCATCCCGCCAGCCGTAGTGATATTTTTTGTTATCGACAAAAACATCCCCGACTGTCTTTCTTTTTTGCCTCCCTCTTCTGCCCCCCTGGACCTCTGGACTTTTGTCACTCTTTGAGCCTGCTCTTCATCGCTTCTACTTTTCTTCTCACGGTTCATATCTGTCCCAGTCCCAACCCTAATCCTCCAATCCGATTTCTTTGTTTCCCCTGAACTACACACTACCCCACCATGGCCCCTCCAAAGGTCTTCTCCCTTGAGGGCAAGGGTCTCAAGCTCGACACCGCGGAGGATATTGAAGCCCACATCAAGCCTCTTGTTGAGTCTACCGACTACACCGAGATCCGTTTTGGCGGTAACACCCTGGGTGTTGGTGCTTCGGAGCGCCTCGCCACTGTCCTCGCGACCCAGAAGAGCCTTGAAGTTGCAGAGCTCGCCGATATCTTCACCTCGCGTCTCCTGTCTGAAATCCCTCCCGCCTTGAAGTCCCTCCTGGATGCCCTTCTCGAGATCCCCTCCGTCCACACTGTCAACTTGTCCGACAATGCCTTCGGTCTAAACACACAGGCGCCCCTCGTCGATTTCCTGTCGCGTCATGTCCCGCTGCGCCACCTTATCCTGAACAACAACGGTCTCGGCCCTGCCGCTGGTACCCTCATCGCCGATGCTCTGAGCAAGCTTGCTGAGCGTAAGGAGGAGGCTCGCAAGGAGGGCAAGGAGGTTGCTATGTTGGAAAGCATTGTCTGTGGACGTAACCGTCTGGAGAACGGCAGCATGGAGGCTTGGGCTCGTGCTTATGAGAAGCACGCCGCGGGCATGAAGTCTGTCAAGATGACCCAGAACGGTATTCGCCAGGAGGGTACCTCGTACCTGCTGAAGAATGGTCTTCGTCACTGCAGCGCTCTGGAAGTTTTGGATCTGCAGGACAACACTTTTACCATCATGGGATCCACTGCGCTGGCTGACGTTCTGGCCGGCTGGCCTGCTCTGATTGAGCTGGGTGTTGGTGACTGCCTGCTCTCTTCCCGTGGTACTGTCAAGGTTGCCAAGGCTCTGGCCGCCAACAAGAACCCCAAGATCCAAACCTTGCGCATGCAGTACAACGAGATCAAGGCCGACGGTGTGAAGGCTCTCACCCATGCCGCCAAGACCGCTCTCCCCAGCCTGCGCCGTGTGGAGCTGAACGGCAACATCTTCTCTGAGGAGGATCCCAACATTGCCGACCTGCGCGAGCTGTTGGAGGCCCGTCAGGAGGAGCACGGCACTGATGATGATGCCGAGGATACCTGGGGTGTGGATGAGCTGGATGAGCTGGAGGAGGAGGGTTCTGAAGAGGAGGAGGAGGAGGAGGAGGAATATGAGGAAGTCCAGGCCAAGGCTGAGAAGGACTTGGAGGATGCTGATCGCGCTGAGCAAGAGAAGGTGGCTCAGAAGTCCGACAAGGAAGTTGATGAGCTGGCTGAAGCTCTGGGCAAGACCGGTCTGTAGATCCGACTCGGACTACTGGACTGCGGTTCCTCGATTTCCTTCTTATCCATGATCGTCAACCATCTCTGCATCTCGATTGGCGCAGCTGACGGCCAGCACTGCTCCATTTGGGTTTGAACCAAGTGATTCGCGCTGGCTGACAGCTCCAACTCCACCTTCAGTGCAATGATGTTTGATGTTCTGATTGACAACCCCAACTCCACCTCTCCCAAAACTTTTCTCCTTACTTGATATACCCTGTTGATGATGATGACTGCACATAATCCCATTACATTTCCCCCTTGTCATATTGCATAGCCCTTCTGAGCTCTGGTGTCCAGCGGGGATACAGGAGCAGAAATGTTCTCCATATAGATGTGAATACACCTCCGAGCCTCGCTTGGTAACCATCTCTTAATTTACTCTTACTCACGTATTACTATAGTAGCCTCTGTAGAGTTTTATCCTCCTTTTTGTCCAAATTGTATGTGACCATGTTGATGGGGTGTTGCTAGAACGACGATACACAATTACTATTTCGACGATAAACTTTTTATTCTAGTTTAACGTAGTAATAGTATTACTATCTTCCAAGGTAGAGGTCCGTAAGGTTGAGGCCCTGGCAATTAAAAACCAACTTAGTAGTCGCCATAGAAAGGTATCTGTGCTATCAAGAAAGGTAATCCGAAAGACATCTAGAAAGACGTTTCGTCAAAGAGTTTTTGAAGCATGTCAAGTTGGTCCATTTCTCTGGTTTCTAGACTCGAACTTTTGAACAGCTTTAAGGATATCCTAATTATAAGATAGTAATACAGTTACAACGCTAATCACCAAATGGGTGTGCATCGTGTGTTTAGCAATCTTGTATCGTCGCTTTCGCAAATCCCATGTTGATGGAGTGAGAAATTACCGAATCGGGAAGCCTTTTCTTGGCATTCAACCTCGGAGCTTCCCACACGTCGAGCATCTCAAGACTCTTTCAACTCTTCCCGTACGACGCAGACTTTCCTCTCGACACTTCGCTCGTTTGTCTGCCTGCACTCACCCGTCTTGCTACGTTCTCACTCTTTTCTCGAGTGTGCTCTCGGGGTAAGTGCTCGCGCAAAGCACCCCTCTTCACCCTGCCCACGTCTATACACCACCTCTCCCGCGGTCCCAGACGCTTTGAACAAGCGCATTCTGTCGAGAACCCCTTTTTCGGGCCGTTTTCTGTCTCCGTGACTTCAGTAAGCAAAGTGGGAAGGTGGACACGTGCCACCTGAAAAGCGCGGTCTGCATGGTGTATCGCATGGCGGCGGGCAAGAAATTTTGTTCATGGGACTTTGTTTCAATGGAATCTTCCTATTGGTGACTAGTACAGCAATGCGCATGCTGTATTGCTTGACTGCGACTGAGAATGGGCTTCCGTGGAATCCGCGACAATGAATTCACTTTGTGAAGGGTATTGAATGTCTCACTAACCGGTTTCACTATAGGCTTTGACGGGCTTCACCTTCAACCCTCGCCAGCCACACTCTATTTACCCAAAAAGACTCGCGCGGCCATTCGCTACCTCCCCACACAGCGGCCATGGATGCCAAAGCGATCGAGGCCAAGGCGAAAGCCTTGACCAAGGCTGCCACACAGAATGAGCCCGCGTCCACAATTCTGAGCATGCTCAAGGAGATCCAACAAGGTGTCAAGGCGACCGAGGACCTACTACGACAGACCCGTATCGGTATCATTGTCAACAAATTCAAGCAACACAAGTCCCCCGAGGTAGCCCGGCTATCCAGCGAGATTGTGTCAAAATGGCGCGTGGAAGTCAGCAAGCAAAAGCAAGGCGGCGCATCAGCAGCCAGCCGGGGCTCGAGTTCACCACGACCAGCACAGAATGGGACCGGCGCATCCACACCCGCGGCAGCGACCCCATCCGATAAGGCATCCAAACTGTCCGTGCCGCCAGACAAGCGCACATGGAAGGCCGATGGAGTCGACGCGGCTGTGACTGGGAACCGAGTGCGCGACAGCTGCTTGGGACTGATGTACGACGGGCTGTGCCTGGGTTCAACCGAGTCGCCCAAGACCGTTCTCGCCAAGGCCACCGCCGTTGAAAACGCCGCATACAAGTACCTAGGTCCGGAGACTAAGGAGGAATACCGGACCAAGATGCGCAGTCTGTTCCAGAACTTGAAGAACAAGTCGAACCCGAACCTGCGCATCCGCGTGCTCGCGGGTGAAATCGCCCCGGATGACTTTGTGCGGATGAGCTCGGATGAGTTGCGGTCTGCAGAGCAACGTGAAGCCGATGCTAAGATCAAGAAGTTGAATATGGACAAGGCTATGGTGGGCCAGCCCGAACGCAGTATCAGTACAAGTTTGCAGTGCGGCAAGTGTGGCCAGCGCAAGGTGACCTATACCGAGGCGCAGACCCGGGCTGCTGATGAGCCGATGACTTTGTTTTGTACGTGCCTGAACTGCGGCAAGTCCTGGCGTCAGTGATTTGAATGGGAGGCAGGGAAGAATCTCGGGCATCTTTACGAGTCTTTTCTACTAGTCTCTTTGCTGAGAGAAAGCCGGATTGCTCAAAGATGGCCGAAGTATCTTTTTTTTTTGATCCCGACTTAGGGCCCACGTGTTCCTGTTCCCTCCTCTACGTCTTCTGTACTTCTTTTTTCCTTGTGTCTCTCTTCATGGAGTTTCCTATTTTTCGTGATTCGTGAACCCTTGCTTTATCTATCAAGGCCGGCACTGGAGTTTTGATGCGGGTCTTTTTTGGGAGACGTGATTCTGATGTGTCTATTGCTTGGAGACTTCCATTCTGTCTCCAGTATCACCTCACCTACGAGAGAGAAGAATCTCTCAACCTGGCTTAGCCATAGATTGAGATATCTATTTTGAAAGATGCATTTTCTCGTCGTATAAGAAAGTAAATCTAAAACCATAGCTGAGAAGATAACAATGTATGTTGTATGTTGTCCTCCAAACGTCATGGTTATGTAAGTTCCAACAATGCATCCACCATCTTCAATAACCTACTTCCTAGCTTCCCCTAGCTTCTCTACAAGACATACACACATACACTACTACCTATACACTACCACTACTATCAATAATCTCACCTTCTCAGAACCCCCTCAATCAATCTAATACTCAAAATGACCCCTCGCACAACCCTCCTATCCCCAATCCAAACCTTTCTCCAAGCCCTAACAACACCCCCAACATCTCCAACATACATATCCACCCTCCTATCAGCATTCACCATCCAACCAACGCCCCTAATCCACGAACACGGTCTCCCCCAGCTAGCCCCCTTCCTCGGCCGCTCCTTCACCGGCACAGACGGTATCGCCCGGTACTTCGAGTTACTGGCCGAATACCTCTCCATCAGCGATATGAGCTTCGAGAACGAGGAGGCGTGGTTGGTGGATGATGATTGTATGGCTGTTGTGTTAAGGGGACGGGCGAGGTTTACCTGGAAGGGGAAGACCGCAGACGGTGTTACGGGGGGTGGGGGGCAGGGGTGGGATGAAACATTTATTTATCGAATTGCTCTCGCGGAAGAAACTGGTGCTGATGTAGGTGAAGCTGTTGATATGGCAAGGACGGGTGTGAGTACCACGCCTACTACCACTCCTGAGGGTAAACCAGGAAAGAAAGCCGTGGCGGGGAGGGGACAAGTGAAAGTATGCGAGTATCGTGTTTGGGCAGATACGGGGGCCGCCTATTTAGCGAGGATGGGTCGGTTGGGAGATTTATTGGGGGAGAAGGGCGGAGTGGAGGGTATTTATTTTAGGGATGGAGATGGGGAGGGGGATCCGGAGATGGAGGAGAGGAAGATGGAGGGGAGGGAGACGAGGGGGAGTTTGAATCGGAAGAGGAGTGGGAGTCAGGATGTGCTTGGGGCGGGGTTGAGTGTTTATGGGAGTTGTGGGTGATCCTAGATTGTGATTTGTATGGTTTGTGATATTGTGGTTGGATGTTAATGTTGGTATAGGATGTGATTCTATAAGCTGAGATATGATTTGATCTTTGGTGGTTGATAGAGAGTTTAGGGAAGAGTATCAGGTTGGGATAATCAGTCTATGTCCGATGAATATTCAAGGTTGCATGACCAAGATATTCATGCATTATTCTCTATCAGGTTGTTATTTTTCTATTCTTCTATAATGAGTGGAGTATTGTGCCTCGTCTAGCCAACGCCCGAGTTCCCTCCCTAGCACGACGAATTATACATCCTCTCCACTGAATCCATGCATCAAACTCGATCCGTGTATAGATATAGATGTCGATTCTCCTGGGACGATCCGGCTCGATGAATCATCTCCACGAGAAACACAACTAGCGAAAGGAATCTCATCCCTCAAACACATTGTGATTCAACTCCACCCCCATATCCTTGGCCATATGTTGCATCTGCGCCTCAATCTCATCCTCCATACCACCACCCAGTCTCAAAAACTGCCGGATCTTAGTAAACCAGAAAAAGACATCACTCGTGAACAACACAATGCGGAATACCACATGTCGTCCCAAGTTACGTATCTTCTCAGCCAACGGCAGATCGGAAGCTTCAACAAGCGCGCGAGAAGCCCACATCCCCGTAATCTTCACCCGGTTAACCGGCGAACCCAGGAATTGATTGTTACCTTGAACAATACGCAAGTTGCGGCCGATGAAGATCAGTTCGCGAGGCCATTTGTTCTCGTCGCCCAGAATTTCGCGGATTGCCTTGCGGGCTGCTTGTTGCATTTCGTAGTGACGCTCTGCGCGCTCGTGTTTGCTTAGTCCCTCAATGCCGCGCTGGGTGGACATATCGCCGCCGCGGTAGGGGCGGAGCAGGGTTGCAGAGGCGAAGATGTCGGCGTTGTTGACGCCCCAGCCCTTGGCGATCTCGCTGAGGGTGCGATTGTCAAAGGTTAGCAGGGCTTTCCAGAAGCGGGCGTATTGGTGTCGGAAAGTCGGTTCCATGTGGATGTATAGACCGTGGTCAAGGAGGACTAGCTCCGGCTGGCCTGAGGGCTTGCGTCGGATGAGAATGTTGCCTGGGTGCGGGTCGCAGTGTACCCAGCCGAATAGGAACATTTGTGCGGAGAAGAGGTCGACCATGGTTGTCATTACGTCTTTGAGGGATACGCCGAGTCCACCGCGGTTGTTCGGGCCCCTCCAGTGAGTGCGCTCGGGCTTGGACTTGGCTATCTGGACATTTCGGGGAGTTTGTGGTAAGACCTTGCTCTCTGGAGGATCTAGTGGAGTCCCCCGGCATCCAGGACTACCCTGTCGCCAGCCACCCCGCCATGTACGAGTGATTGAGTCCTTGTCCCAGAGTCGCACACCTTCGATCCACTCAGCGGTCATGACTCGCCTGGAGCTCAGCTCGCGGTAAACCTTGGGGATATATACCCGGTCACGCAGACGAGGCTCGGCAGCGATCAGTCTGGCCATGGTCTCGGAGTTGGTGGCCTCATTCTCAAAGTCTGTCTCCAGCGAGAGCCGTTCGCTGATATACGGCACGAGACTGTAGAAGGGGATATCGAACAGCTTGCTGTAGATAAAAGTGACAACTCTATAAGAACGGTCAGTTTTCCTTCTCCACTGATATTTCAATGATTGACAAAATACATGAAACTTACTTGAATGCCCATAGATCCCAGGCAAGCTGCTGTACAATCTCGTGCTTCTGGATCTTGATCGCAACCTCCCGACCATCCTGAAGACGAGCCCAGTGTACCTGCGCTACACTCGCACTCGCCCGTGCCCTCCGTTCCATGACACCCTTCCCAGGCTCACCATCAAAGGAGACCCCAAATACCTCCTCGGGCGACTTTCCAAAATCCTCACGAATCACCTTCTCAACCTCCTTCCAGTCATTCTGCGGGGCATCATCAAACATGCGCGAGAACATAGCCTGGAACTCAGGCGGCAGAATCGCAGATTGCATGGCAATCGCCTGCCCCATTTTCAAATACAACCCCCCATTGTGACGTAGTAGGTCCGACAACCGCTCCGCATTGCGGGCATGCACGGCCGCAATGGAACTCGCCAGCGGGGGTGGGGGCGGAAATTAATTTTATAGTCCAGCGCAACGAGCAAACCCAGGGAGAACGTTCGGGCGGTTCTCGTCAGCGAGGAAGCGTAGAATTGGGAGTCGATCCCGTAGACGATTCCCGTGGCGAGGGAGGTGTAGAATAGTCGCCGAAGCCATTTCCGGGTCCGGGTGTAGGTCTTTGCGGGGGTTGGTTTTCCGAGTGAGCTCGGTGATGGGGGGACAAAGGGCTGGAATTCGCCAGCGTGGACTGCACGACGTGGTAGAGGGCGCCAGAGATGGTGAGATCGGGGTGCGATGGGGAGCCGCAGAGAGCGGAGCAGCGTCGCGTGCGCCATTAGTCGTTTGGTGAGATGCGGGGATTAGCGCATTGTGCGAGTGGGAGATCGGTCCAACAGATGATATGACAGATGTAAGAGAAGGTTGAAAGATTCCTCTCTTTGCAGGAGAAATTGGTGGGCGAAGGGAGGAGAGAGTAAGAGAAAGAGGCCGAGTTCAAAGTCGGCGATCGATCTGGTCTGTCATCATCCGCTTAAGTCCGCGGACTCTATTCATTTAGTCTCCGAGTCGGACATAATCCGGAACAGATAATCAGGTTATTATTGAGAATCGAGAATTGAGGATTGAGAATTGAGGATTAAGAAAATAGTCATGTATATGTTTTAAAAAATCTATCAGCCGAGATATAGAATAGTAAATTACAACTCCTCATGCTTAACTTCCTCCTCTGTATTCTCCTCCAGCCTCGGCTTCTTCTCCAACTGATTGCACACGCTAGCATACTCACGCATATTATTCGGAATAGTCACATCCCACAACTCATCCCCCTGTAGATACTGATATTGCTCCTTACACGCCGCCTCTGAAGCCATAGGCAACAAAATCGGAATATGCTTAACCGACGCCTTAAAGAAGTAGCGCTTAAAGCAGTTTCCAAAGTCCGCCAGCGTCACCGGGTCCGAGCAAATGTGTCGCCCACCCAGCATCGGTCCGCATTGATCTTTGATGATAGTTGCGACATCATCGCCCATCTTGAGTAGGGCTTCTTCTCGGTGGGGCACGTTCATGCGCTTCATGAGGCTGCGTACGGCGGGGACAAAGCTGTTGTTGCGAGTCCAGAGGTCCCAGTGCGGGATGGTTGGTTGGCAGCCTCGTTCACAGATTTCGGTCTGGAAGAGGTTGAAGAGGTGGCCTGGTCGGCCGACGAGGGCGGAGGCGACTTTGATACATGAGAGGCCGATGGCGTTGGCGGGGGTGAGGGCGAGGAAGAGGAGGAGGAGGATGCGATCGAGGGACACGCGCATGGTGGCGACAGCACAAGAGGAGGAATCAGGATAGGGAGGGGAGGGATTGAATGGAAGAGCGACAGGATGAGTTGTCGCGTCTTGACCAGCTAGTCAGTCAGGCAGTCTAAACGACAGAGAATGCTCAACTTCAAGCTCGATCCCCCGCGATTGTAAGTGTGGAGGTGCGGAGTTTGGGAATAAATGGAGATGGCGATTCTCGTTGGCTTTTTTAGTTTTTGGGGACTTTGGGATCCACCGGATGGCCGAGCCTCCGGGTTTTAATGTTTTTATGCAGTCAATCACGTTCATCTACTAGATCGAGATAGTAGATACTCATTGCAAACCTCATTATTGGAGATATATTGGTCTTTTTCAATTATAAACTCACCTCGACAGGACAATTGTCCACAACACCCACTGCCCATCCAGTGTGTACCTATCGCGGGGGCCGTCATCAGCCCCACTACTCTGTGCAAATACACTCAATCTCCAGCCTGCAGTCTGTCCCTAACAAATCGCCATCCACAGACCGACCTAAACATAATCAGCATCGAGGGTGAGTCCATCTCGCAGAGAAAACCGTCCTCGAAACACCCAAGAATTGATTCCAACGGAACGCGCGGCACTCAATCAGGCTGACGTATTTACCTCCGAGGTTCAGCCCAGCATCTGACAGACAACCACCTCACCTTACCTCATCTTCACCTCTCCAAAAATCTCAAAATGAACACCCTCAATCTCCAAGAAATAGACTCCCTCGAGGCCACCGTCATCATCGACAATGAACTCGATCCACTCTCCCCGCCAGCACCCAACACCGTCCAGATTACTGGGACATTGGGCACCATCGGATTGAACTCGAGACATAACCTCACTGATCGCGGTGGTGCATGCAAAGAAATGCGTATGGAGGATATTTGTTGCGCGGCACACGGTCTGTCGATTCTGGTGGTAAGATGAATAACATCCATGTGCTCTTGGTCCTGCCTTGCGACGTCTGGCTTATACGAAGCCCGGTGGTCGGGGTGGTGGTTTGATGATTAGACTGCAACCAAAGGTGATACAAAGCATGCTGTGCTGTTTGATGCTGGTCCTGAAGAGGATGCGTGGGAGAGGAATGTGAAACGATTAAGACCGGATCTTGCTTCTGTCGAGGTTATTCAGTTATCGCATTGGCATCGAGATCATTCAGGTTGGTTCTGCTCGGGGAGGTGTTGGCATGATGTGGTGTCTTCAACATATGTCGTTCTTATTCATACTGACTCGATGCAGGCGGTCTTTGCCAGGCTATTCGCATGATCAAAGACGCTAAACAGAGCCATGGCCGCTCAGATGATCTAGTAATAGACCTACACCCAGATCGACCAGTCTACCGTGGTATCGCTCTGCCCGAGGATATCATATCTCTCGAAGCAGATCCCACCTTCGACGAACTAACAGACGCGGGTGCCGTCGTGAACAAATCAAACGAAGCACACACAGTCCTCGATGACATGTTCTTGATATCCGGAGAGATTCCCCGACTCACGCCCTACGAGACAGGCCTTAAGAACGCAGTGCGATATGATCCCGAGGAAAATGACTGGTATTCAGATGAACTTATCGCTGACGAACGCTTCCTCGCTTGTAACATCAAAGGTGAGCATTATATCACATCCACGGTTATCACAATATGCAATTCCAGTAATTCTCACCGTCCACAGGGAAAGGAATCGTCGTCTTTACCGGCTGCAGCCACGCCGGCGTCGTCAACACGACTAAGAACGCACTCGATCTCATTGGAAACGATGTACCACTTCACACAGTGGTTGGCGGCTTTCATCTTGCTATGAGTGATGAGGTGCAGATCCAGAGTACAGTGGCTGATTTGAAACGCCTTGATCCTGCCGTACTCATGCCGGGACACTGCTCGGGTTGGCGGGCTAAGTTTGCGATCGAGAAATCCATGCCTGGTACTCTAGTTCCATGTACTGTGGGCATCAAGATTACCTTTTAGACTGTTCATGCGGAGCTCTGCACTTCCATTTCATACTACATTTTCTCTGAGCGTTCTGCTGGTTGAATCTGATCTGATCAGATCTGCTCTGCTCGATCAAATCTCAATGTAAGTCATACACCATGCAGGACGCCTGTTCCTTGCAGTTCCCGGTACATTCACTACATCAGTAACTCCACGTGGACATTTAAAGCCAGGGTCCAACGATAACATGGAGTACCTCTTTTAGGATAACATATCGGGTGTTGCTCCTAGCAACATATTATTCTCGCAAGGGATGAATCGTGTCACGGGGCTGGAGTGCTCGGCTAACTTACTTTGCTCTTGTTGATGGGATCTCGATCCTATGAGATCATGCTTCTCCCTTGCTGCATTGTTCCGTTTTCTGTTCCGTACGATTGGGAGAATGTGGGAACGAAAGGGAGGAGGGTTTGGGGTTGTTATCTAAGATCCAGGTGAAGATTGCCGTTTTGGGATGGATGAAGTTGAGATCGCTTGATCGTGCCATTTTGGAAAACGAGGCACTGTTTTATGGGTAGAGAGACCTTTTTTCTTTTATTTTGTACTTTTGAAATACTGGAAATATATAGGTTTCCATTAAGATGGTGCCACAGATTCAACTGAGGCAGCTGTTTCTGAAGTATAGCATCCCAATCTGTGTCAAAATATATATCCAGCCCAACCATCTACTGTCCCTGTATTTACGCGCAATGTTGCCAGATTATTGAGAGTACCGTTATTTTACCAAATGAGAATCTTTCAGTTACAAGTCAGGCATGTTTTTAGCATTCGAGAAGTTGACCTTGACCTTCGGGCGTGAGGTTAATTCGCGGGCGGCCACGCTTAAAAGATCAGATAGCATTTACATACAATCATGTCGGACCAATGGCAAGACAGTTGAATTATAGTTGGGGAAAACCTAGGTACGCGTATCTTCTACGAGTCCAAGTACGCCCTTTCACTAAAAAAACTGCAACAGCCTCCAGTTTAGCTCCGGACTGGAAGTGCCGGAAACATTCAATGTGATAACTGTTCCATTTCACCCGTTCAACAATTAGCCGGTCTGGCATCAACCTTGTCATCAAATAACAATAGCAAAACCCTCAATTCTCGCGGGCGACTTTCCATGTTCCAATCTGCACACCGGAGGATGGTACATATTTGGCCAAGACCTACCACGACACCCACAGCTTAACCCAGTCTACCGTTACTCTGCTAGAAGCGAAACAACAAATATAGCCATCTTCTAGGTTAGCGGCGTAGATCACTGTAAAACAAAGCAATGTAACCACCCTCGGCGCCACGCCGGACATCAACAATAAAGCCGACGAGGCAACCTCTCTACTGCACCTACGGGCCACGGCCACTGCCACGTCTTAAGGTTAGTTAGCTATGTATGTACGAACATGTACACTGCATGACAGGCACAGTGTACAGCCCCCCGCCAAGCATCCTTCACAGGGAGAAAGATACTCCGCATGCACATCAGTATGTATAGATATCTCGTAAAGATAAATGAGATGATGTTATCTCGATGTCCCCTTGCTGGTGTTGGTGATGGTGCTTATTCCGCTCCCTTCCACCCCGCCCCACGGCGATCAGGGGGAAACAATGATACTGTAGTTAGTTAGTCCGTATTTATGCAACATCGATATTCTCTGGGGAAAGGGGGCAGAGTGAGGCGTATTGTGCCAGCGCGCCGAGAAGCGAATGTCCGCCAAGACGATAATGCGGGTGGGATGCACGGTGTGTTTTCTTGGCGTGTGTGTTATGGTCAGGGGGAGGGGTGGAAAGATACGATACCAGGATATATGCATGAGTACAGTATGCAATGCAATACATCATGATACTTGTATTACCTTGGACATATCTGGAAACCAAGCTGACAAGCAAATCAAGGGGTGGTTGATAGTCTGGTCATCATGTTTACTGTACCACCCTCGATTGCCGAATTGGGTAGTATTACCAGTCTTACATACCATACTTCAGATACTATACGGAGCACGGAGTACAGCCAAGAAGATGCAAAGTCGATCGTTGACTAGGATCTTCTTTCAGGGCAGCATTGGCGCCAAGAGTGATTGCCCGGAGGGATTGGGGGTTGCAGTGCCAGTGGTGGTTAAGATTTGCAGCGTCGGATTTCGAAACCGGGCGTTTGTCTCATTGTCACAATGGCAGATAAGCCGGGCATAATTTATTGGGTCCTTTATTGTCTTTGCTTGTTCCGGGGATACGTTTCGGGCGTATATAGTTGCAGCCAAGACACAATACTAAGGAACAGATCGAAGGCACTACAGTATGAGTATGAGTAGGTGCTGGATTTGGAAGATCTGGGGTAGACCAAGAAAAGTCTGTCGATCAGAAGACTGCCATTTTTGATACAAACTCAAATTATTGGCATCAAGTGATTCTTACGGTAGAGCCAAGAGGTTATGGTGGAACAGGAACTCAATATTAGGCTCACATTGGCTTCATTGTTTGGATACCGAACGTACTAGTGTTGCTCAAGCATGCTTGTCTTAGCATTGACTTGGTCGAGATCATGAGATATCCTCTATTGTGGCGATGCCGAGGAGATGGTTCACCGCGATTATCTGCTGCTGCCTCATACTGCATTGCAGCACAGCCTCATTCTACAGTATCGGTAAATCACAGCCTGCTAGGCAGTCGAGTATCTACACTGCAAAGCATGAATCAATATTCGACGACTCCAACAATAGCAACACAAACATATCCCTTCGACATCATTTCGTCATAACCCCGTCCTAGATCTTCGCGGAGGGTCGGTGATACATGAGATCGGCAGGCCATTCACGAAACACCGATCATCATCACATCACGGAGAGTTACAGACAGTCGGCATCCGAAGTGATCAAGGCCGATATGTAAGTATACAGATTGTAATGCAAACATGGTCATGTAGTTACCGAATGACAAGAATTTAGGATAACCAATTCAAATAACTATTGAAACAAGCACTCAACGCATCAGGTCCACCGGATTGACGTCAATAAACACTCCAGATTTATCCCCACGGAGTACACAGCCCAGGGTCGGCCTACCTACCTCAGACTACCACAGCAAGAAGACCCGCTGATCATCACGGCTCTGTTTTCTCCCATGGTTATGTACTACTATAGACGCGACTTTTTACAGTTGGTACCTGCATAAGCATAATTGAGCGACGTATGGAGTACACCACTGACTACTACTTCGCATATCCCATGACCACGTAAATATAATCCTATCGTGACTCACGAGTCAGACAATCCACCACAAGATAAAAGAAATTAAATAGCGCGAAACACGAAAGCCCCCCAAAATGAAAACAGCCCAGTCTCAGCCAAAATACCAGTTTCCAGTTTCGATCTCCAATATGTACAGTATCCATTTCCCAGACCGCGCCAATTCGCCCAGCTTTAATAGTGATACGCGCTATACAGCGCCCGCACCGATAAAGAGTTCACTCCTTGCCCGTTGCGAGTATCGCGTCGGGGCCCGTGTGGGGGTAACTAGCAAGTCTAGCAAGCTATGGCCCCTCCATAGCTGTGCGACAGACTGCGGGCAGAAGAGCTCCTGTTTTGCCGACTTGCTGTTGATTCTCTCCTGTCGATCAAGGACCGAAAAAAAGGGGTCACGCTAACTGTTTACGGTAGTATGTAGCATGTGGCCTCGGCCTTGTGGTATGTCCTGCTCGAGGTGTTATTGGAGGGCTCGTTTTCCATAACGTGTTTTGTTTTGGCCATTCCTGGTTCTGTGCGATGTCATCATAGTCGTGTTCTTGCTCTGGCCTTGACCTGTGGTTCCTGGGATTATTGCTGAGGTCCTGGGAAATGATTTCATCATAGGATTCCTGCTATAGCAGCCTGCTACAGCAGGTTATCCTGCCTATCTAGTTCTACAGATCACAATAGGGAGCCTGGATGGTACGTGTTTTATGGTTGACGTTCGAGTTCGAGTTCGCGGTCCCTGCGGGACGGGCCATTGCCCACATTTTCAGGAACTGGCTTGCTTAGAGGCATGTTATCCCGTACCTGCAGTAGTTTGGGCCTTGTGGCCGTATGAAGCAGCTACTGGCGCGGAGATTTCGGTCGTTCGAGTGCATATCCCAACCCTTAACTCAACAAACTTGGTTGGTTTATCGGCGAGCTAGTGGTAGAAACGCCAATTAAGATCCTCACTCAGGAACTAGAATTATCCGCCGTGATCCGGGTGATAGAGCAATTTCTTTGTGCACAAGATTCCCGTACAACAGTGCACGGCATACGTAAATTAATTTACTGAACTTGAGTGATGACTCTGATTATTGCTGATCGGCGCAGGGGTTTGATGCATCCAAGCACAAAATACGGAGTAAAGACATCACAGTCAGCGGTGTTCGACGCCCCCCAAAGTGACGAGGAAACATCCGACTAGGATCCCCTAACTGGACAGTTGACGACTCACTGGAGTACGAATACGAAAGCCAGAAACCTCACCTCGACTTCTCCAAACAAGGCAAACGCTACGTAGGGCTGATAACAATTCATGGCGTTCCTCTCACGCGAGCACACTGATAATGATGAAAAATTTCAGCCGACTCAACAATTTAGCCGACCCTAAGAAAAAAATCCGAAGCGATTAAAGTCAGAGGACATAGGGCTCATAACGAACCAGCAGAATACAAAACCAACCCAATCTGACACAAAAACAACTAACAACCAAGGTTCCATTCACAGTACGGAGTAGAAGGAACACATCGAGAACCCTTGCTATAGTACTGCAACGTGTCGTAAAGATCTAGCATATCTCAAGCCGGTGCCGACACCCGGCGCTGCCGCGTTGCCGCGTCGGCCTCTCAAGATTTTCGGCATTCCGGCCGATTAAGGCCGAAGTCCATTATTCCCTCACGCACTTTTTCACTTACTGGCTGGATTTAAGCCGAGGTATAGTTGCCGAAAAATCAGACGGCGCCGGGGCACCGATGGGGATTCTTCTGGGGCAATGGTAATAGTGGCAAGGCCAAGCTAGATAGGTCATGGAGGTAAGAAACGGGCTTGGATTATTGGTACATCACCCGTTGACTAGTAGGGAAAAAGGCGCAGAAGCACGGACGGCCGATTATCCGGAGTGATTGATTATTGACGTATGTAGGAAGTACTGTATCTGATTATTTCGCATAGAGTGCAATTATTACTGTGATTGCCTCTTGGTGGCTCGATGACGATGTGGTCGATGCATGGATGGATGATCCAGAAGAGGAAAAATTGCAGCGGACTCGCGGTGAGAACTACGCACGCAGTGATTGGGACGGACTCTGCAGAGAGTGTCCATTTTTTGCCCCGTTCTCCATCTCCATTTCTTGGCCCCTCTTTCCAGAATACTCCAATTATTCCACGCAGTGGCCAGTTCACTATTATACGAGACTATGTACAAATAGATTATGTTGTATGTATAATATGGAGTCATCTATTTGACTCACCAATTTGCCCTCCATATGCCGCCCTATCCTATCTATCGAGTTATGCCAGAACGGAGTGAGGTACGGTACATGCATGGATGATTCCGGTAAAAAGGCACGCAACAATCTCTGCACTGACGCATATGCGAATAAGCTGCCGAATCCTTCCCGCCCTACCCAGCGCCTAGACGAAGAAATTTAAATCTCTCATCCAAATAATCCATACATTCATACTTTAGTCACACTATACATAGCTATATACCCTGTAACTCACTACTGCTACTATGAACATGGATGTCGGCCTCGGTCCTCGCACTACACCGATCCTCCCGCCAACGGTAATCCGCTAACCACGTTCATCTCTTTGCATCGTGCAGGACCGTCCGGTCCGTGATGCGTGACTTTTTCAGGTGCGCTACATACAGTACATCCCCTAGTATTGTACACAGGATTTTGTATACAAGCATACATTGTGTAAAGCCCTGTATACAAGTATAACCTAGCCACGAGCCCGACGGGACCGCTGGGCTGGCCCGAACCCTCCAAACCTTAAAGCTTCCCTGCAGCCTGCCAGGCGCGGGAACCGCAATGGAAACTTTACTACGGGGTAAACAAACTTAGAAACAAAAAAGTCTGAGGTCTCTGGCTGAAAATGAGATTCAAAGCAGTTATCATTGGAGCGTTGGTTCTATTCAGCCCGGTGTCCGGCTGGAGTACTGAGTCGAGACAGCATGAGGCTTGAGTCGAGACGCTACCGGACTCTTCCTCACCGAGCCTTAGTATTGCTATTGCTTTTTTTTCTCCGTGAATGTGAACCTGGGGGAAAATCCTGGGATATGGAGACGCTGGGATCGCTTGGCGAACCCGATGTTGAGGGAAAGGGGGTAAGTGCTTGTTTCGAGTTGGTTGAGTGATAGGCTTGAGTTAGTAAATTAGTGCTGGTTTACT